TAATTTCTTGTGTCTACCACCCTATGCGCACTAGGTATGTAGACTAGACAGCCAAATGAGGTTTCGGACTTTCTGAGTATGAATCCGGGAATGCTGCGTACGTTAAGTTTCTTCTTCAGTGCAGCAGGGTCATGTACCATACATGGTTGACCAAACGGTGGTAATTTGGATGCTCTAATCGGAGCTAATCCTACCATGTTTCTAGACGATGTGCCAATTCGTGGGTTGTATAATGAGTTACGATGGTGACAAGCAGTTTTTATTGCATGGAACCACAAGTGTCTTGGCATTCCTGAACTGGATAGAAGTGTTCGACAGTCATTTAGTAGTGTCAGATTTAACCTTTCTGCAACCCCGTGGGATGCTGAATCTGCCGTAGTAGTATAATATGTGTCAATGCCACTTTTGGCAAAGTAGTCTCTAACTGACTGATTTGTATATTCGCTGCCTCTGTCCATTTGGAAAGCCTTGACTTTGATGTTGTGTTGTCTCTTAATGTGGGAGACTAGGTTCTCAATACAGTCCAATACGGTATCCTCGTCCTTATGTTGGAGTGGAAATACCCATCTGTATCTGGTTCGTTCATCTGTGAAAGAAATAAAGTATTTCGGAGTTCCGGGAGGCATCTTATGCATCGGTCCGAATACGTCTGTGTGTATGAGCTCTAACTCATTATATTTGCCCTGATAGGTTTCGCGTGAATTAGGCACATGGTTGTTCCGTTTTCCTTTGCCTTGTAGGCAAGTTACACATTCAAATTCTTCCATTAGTCGCCAGTCCACGTCATTCATCGACACATCTTGTATCAAGCCGGACTTCACAGAGTCCTTGATGTACCTTGGATTAATGTGGCTTAATGAGGCATGAAGTTGCTCTAGTGTGATTTTGCCTCGCCTACTATGTACTGCACTCAACGTTTTGTCATATTTCTGACTTTCCCCTCTTATTATCAAATCAGAGGGTAGCCAGTTGACACGCTGTTCTCTTATTAATTTCGCCATCTTATTTCCATCCTGATCCCGTAAATGGCGTGTTTGGAAATCAGGATAAATTTCAAATTCCTCAAGTTGTATTGTGGATATAACGTTGCAAAAAATACTATCAGATAGGTATGCTTCTAGTCTTACCACCCTACCTAAATCTAGCTCCACAATTCCTTTGCCCTTGAGTTCAATCTTTCGATCTTGTGCGTCGAACATCTCATCGTTCGAGTCGATCGGGTGTAAAGAAGTAAAAAAATCTCGGTTACAAAAAATTGAAAAACATGCACCACTGTCTATTAGCACACGTTGTGATTCTTTTGATTTATTGTAACTCTTCGTTACTTTCTCTGTTGACAATTTGCCTAAGACGTTTCTTGGTCTTGTCCTTTTGATAGGATCCGTATTTTTTATTGGTCTTGACTTCGTCTTCTGGACATCTATTTGCAGTATGTCCTTTTTCATTGCATTTGTAGCATCTTAGGGTGCTGGATTTACTTTCCATTGGATCAACTCTGTCCCAAGTGACACGTCCCATTTTTCCATAATTAACTCCATAGTTGTAAATGCCTTTTAGAACTTCGTCTACATCGCAGGTAATGAAACGTGCACTGTCAAAAGGAATGCCGGGTCTGAAGCTTGCCATAAGTTTTGGTACTGCGTCTTCTTTTTCGTCAAAGTATCCAGACTCGAGTGATTCCTCAATTAGTTCCTTGACCTCTTCAACGTATAAAAAGGGATCTGTGTACTTGTCAAGCTTTAACTCTTTCCATTTTGAGTTCATGGATGGCTTGGAATCATCTGTAGTGACCCTCATTGCAGCCTTACGAAATGCTTTATAAGTGCTCTTATTGTCATGTGGAGGGCAAATCATTTCAGGATATGCTTCAAAATCGATGTATGTTTCCATCAATTGTACAATGGCCCTTTTCTGGCCCAAAGTAGGCTCCCTTCTTGTTCTTCCTGTCCGGTCTGGAATAATGTCCTTTAATCCCACCCTGGTCAACAAGTTTAATACTTTCGTAATAAATGGCATGAAACCAGCGACTTTTCTAACTGGATAAAAAGTGAGATCTTCATCATCCATTTCTGATGCACTAGACCTTTTTCTTGAACTAGTTTTGGCCACTTGCAGCCATTCATCAAGAGGATTATGGTCCCAGTTAAACTCTTTCTTTTTAACTCTTTTCGATCCAGTACGGAGAGATTTTCCGTCATCCGAAGTATCATCCTCAGAGTCAGAGTCAGATTGCTCTAGAATTGTCTTTCTCGAAATCTTTTGATGCTTGTCAACTGCGTCGGCGGTTTCCGCATCCTTAGCGGCGCTACCATTATTGAGGCGAATCTGATTCATCAGTAGAAAGCTTACTAAATTTGTCTTGTAAGTCGGACATGGTCATTGTAAGATGAGTAACTTGGATCTAGGGAATTCTATTTATCTCTCCGTGATTATTTTAGGCATTAGAGTTGGTTCAGTTACCTGAACAAAAGCCTGGTATTTATACAATTCTCACTCGGTGACTCTGGTCAACATATTTATTAATCACCAATTCTAGATCATTCTATTGCCCAAGGATTACGGCTTCAATGCCGTACACTACCGATAACTTATCAATGGCCAATCCCATTGGACAATAGTTGTTCTCTTCGGTTTGTCTTAGCTTGTAGCTCTATTTGTATGGCCTCGGTTGTGTACTATCATTCTGTACCACTGTGTCACATATTTACTGACGCTGATTATGCGATTAGACGCACATCACCATCAGTTTATTCACATCATTCCCAACAAATCGGAGTGAAGTGAACTTGCTCTGACACTTGCAGGCTTTAGCCGCCGAAGTAAACAAGTTCGCACGGTTTTCCAACCAGAGCCGAAAGGACGAGTCTATCTCAGTAAAGTACATCTATGCATACTCGTTCAAAATATCGGATACAGCAATGCCCCACTATGAGTTTCATACTAAGTGCCAGGTTGTAGTTATTTGGTATAGGCCCTTGTTGATTATGACAGTATTTATGCTAGCCGTTGTACACGATGAACGAATTTGTTTACATAGCTCATAGTTATTAACGACAAGTGTAAGTAATATCTATATGTGGCTCGATGAGTTGGGCAGTTAATCCATTGTACATTAGGACATAACGACCGTGGGCTCTTGGGTCCTTCGAGCTCGTACAAGTGTTTCTCCATCTTATCCCACTTTCTTAACATGAGTGAGAATACGCTAGTTGGTTCTGAAGTCCGTCGCAATTCGTTACATCAGCGAAATATGCTTTTGAGTATGAGACTCAACAGTGGAGCTGGACGGAAAAGTTTGACTGCCTCCGGTAGGCCTGAAATTAACCCAAACCGAGTTCGAAAACAGCGTACGTCATTTTCTCAAAGCTCCAAAATACCCGCTGCTTCCGGAGCTAGCGGTGGGCGAGTTCACAATTCGAACAACAATCGCCCTGGGGAGTTTTCAGCAGCCCCCATAGCTGCTTCTCCCATTAAAACAAACCCCCCCGCCGCGCAGACATCCCCAAGGAAAAGATCGGCAGCCCTGAGTACCCTTGGATCGGAAAAGTCGCCATTAAAATTTCAGGAGTTATCGCTGGACGATTTTGAAGTGGGCAAAAAATTGGGTAAGGGTAAATTTGGTAAGGTCTACTGCGTCAAGCACAAAAGAACCGGCTTCATTTGTGCATTGAAAGCTATGAAAAAGAATGAAATTGTTCAGTATAATGTTCAAAAACAATTTCGCCGGGAGGTTGAAATTCAGGCTGCCCTCAAGCATCCTAACTTGACGCGATTGTACGGCTATTTCCATGACGAGAAGCGCGTTTATCTTTTGATGGAGTACCTTGTCAATGGCGAGCTTTACAAACATCTGAGATCCCACGGGCCTTTTAACGATATTACCGCATCATATTTTGTATATCAAATGGCCGACGCTCTCGATCATATGCATAGCCGGCGAATACTGCATCGAGATATTAAGCCTGAAAACATCTTACTGGGTTTCAATAACACCTTGAAGTTGACTGATTTTGGGTGGAGTGTGACCAACGTTGGGAGTGCCAAAAGGAAAACTTTATGTGGAACAATGGACTATCTTTCACCTGAATTGATAAAATCCCGTGAATATGACAATAAAGTGGATGTTTGGGCCCTTGGCGTCCTGACTTTTGAGTTGCTAGTAGGGAATCCCCCTTTCGAGGAAAATTCTAAAGAACTCACATACAAGCGCATTATTAGACGTGACTTGAGGTTTCCTGACCATGTTTCACCAAAGGCCCGGCACCTTATTAGTCGGCTATTGGAATACGAACCTAGTGCTAGGCTACCACTGAAAGATGTCAAAACGCACCCCTGGATTGAAAAAAACCGCCCATTCTGGTAATGGCCACCTCAACCTATGAATGCTTATAATATATATATCTACAAGGAGCTCAAGATAATGCTTTGTTATTCCTAACAATTTTGGGTACTGCCCTAGCCCAGGATTTCGTCTTTTTATCTATGATCATAAAGACCCTTCCACCTCCCATCATTCTACCAGTTCTTCCAGCTCGATGCACTAAATCAACCGAGGTCTTAGGTACGTCATAAAGAATGACGTTTCGAACGCCTTGAAAATTGAGACCTCGGGCCATGAGATCTGTGGTCACCAAGACTTTCAAAGCCACTCGCCTAGGGCCAGCGCTAGAAGACGGCTTCGTGATTGTAATGTTAGAATTTGGGAGGGTTTGAGTGATGTCCTGATCCGAGTGCGCACTAGTATTCTGAGCATCCAGGTCCTCCAAACGTCTGGGTGGCTTGACGAAAACATCGATTTTATTTAATCTTTCCTCAACTGTATCTTCCCCTGTCAGGCTGACACAATCATGCCCATAAGTTGCACTTAGTTTTTCGGCCACGGATTTAACGTCTCTTTTCTCATTAACGAAAACAATACACCTCTTTTCATACCCTTCTTCCGTTCCGTCTTTCATAATTGCATAAAGAATCTGTGCCAACACCTTGGATCTAGAACCCTTGTAAGGATTTAGACTCGCGTCAATAACCTTGAAATCAATTTTTTGAGAGATTTTGTGTAGCTTAGGAGTTGTAATTGATTGGAAAGTAGGGAATAAGCGATCGACGGTCTTACTGAACTCATTAGGGATTGTTGCCGAGCAAAATACGAGATGATTGACATTTGGAAAAGCCTGTATAGCTGTGTGGGTTTCCTCGAGCCATGACCTATCCATCAACGTGTCAGCCTCGTCTAGGACCGCAAAGCGTACACCTGACAGTAGACGCTCCGGTCTGTTGATAATACGGACATTGAACATGTTCAGTACTTTGCCCGGAGTAGTCACTAAAACGTCGATTCTGTTCTTGACAGCTTCAATGAAGTCGCCATATGAGGTCTCGGAATTCCAGCGAAATGCATGCAAGCCTAGCTTTTTTGCGCTTCGCTCAACGGTCCTGTATACCTGCTCCACCAATTCATGAGTCGGAACAAACACTACAGACCTAACGATCGCCTTGTCTTTTATCACATCCCAGCTTTCAGGTGCTTCCACTTCTGCTCGCTTCAGGTAATCGAAAAGAGGAGTCAAGTATGCAATGGTTTTGCCCGAGCCGGTCTCTGCGGCAATGGTGTGTACCTGTAGTTTTTTGTCCATTAGTGTTTTGGAAAACTTCTGCGTCACGGCAATTTGTATGGGAGACGGTTTGACGCTACTCAGATCGGTGGACGTCCCAGATTTAATTGCGATAGACTCTTCCGAGATCACTTGTTGCAGCGCCGTTCTCACTGTAGGCAATATCTTCAACTGTTCGAAATCAGTAATCTTCTTCAACACACCCAAAGTTTTCTGCTGTTGCGACTCTTCTATTTCTTTGAGACTGCTAAAACTTCCATATCTAAACACTTGATTCTTCCTCTCAGAATTCTTATGAGGAGCCTTGGCTGACTTTGGCCCAGCCTTAGATGCATTACCCAACATTTTACGCCTTGATAATCGACTGTTCCTATCGCCATTCGCAGCTAATTTGACCTGGAAAGTCGCGAAAGCTCTCTGGAACATTCTTCTAGAGACTGAAAGGTTATTCTCTTGCCATATCAGCCCTTTCATATTGATATTGATGGCTCTCTATGAATAGTCATCGTGGGCTGGATATCAAAGTTGTATCTGACCGAACGGAAGATCAAATTCCAAAAATTTTCCAAGTAGTAACTAGGTAGTTTTCAAGAAATTTCACGGTAAAGAATAACCACAGATCGCACAATTAAACAGGTTTGTCCTTTTGCTGGCTATGAAGGACTTGGCATCTTTGTTCGCCGACTTAGATGTTCAGTATAACGATAATCGACACTCAGAAGTTGTTACAACTTGTCAAAGATTGATTGACGGTGGAGTTGAAGACAAAACGCCAGTATTGCGGCAATGGCTCATTGCTCTCATCAAAAGCGACCAATATTACCAATCATGGGATCTGTTGAAACGGTTTGAGTCTGATATAGCGGATGACTTTATTTTAGAGAGGTTATACGTCCTCTACAAGCTAGGCTATGCCAAGGAGTTTGAGAGGCTATACAAGAAGGTGAAGACCTTGATACACAGCTCGGGCGATTCCCAGAATAGAGGAATTTTGCATGTACGTGCTCAATTTTTGATCAAGACTGGCCACCACGACGAAGCCGCAGAAATTTACAAAGTCTTGGCTCAAAACAATGAACAGCAATTAGACAACGAAACCGAGATTGCGTGTAACGAGCGAGCTGCTGTTTCATCATCAAGCTTCGTACGCGACACAGCATTGGTGACCATATTGAACGACGAATCTTATGATCTTTTGTTCAATGAGTCTCTTATCGCTTTGGCAAAAGACGAACCAAAGCAAGCTATCGACTATCTCGTGAAAGCTGCGAGCTTAGCTGACAAGGAAGGCTCGGAGGAAGATCAGTTCTCTATTGAGCTTCAAAGAAGTTACGTCTTACAGGCAATCGGTAAGGTTACAGAGTCTCAGGACATACTGAGAGACCTTCAGCAAAAAAGTAAAGTTGGTTCCACCAACTACTTACTGGCTACTAGCAATTTGAAGTCGTTTCAGGATTTCTCCAAATACTCTACGAATATTCCACTTTTGTCCCGCGAGCTGAATGTGTCCAAACTGAGTGGTATCGCTGGAAGCTTGGGCCATGAACAACAGAACCGCATCTTGAATAACTTGCTATTCCTGAAGCTTTTCAGCAATTCCAGTATTCAGCCCAAAAAATCGATTATCTCTAAAACTTTTTCGCAATACCAAGCGTTGGTGAACGATGTTACTTTAGAGCCTTATTACACTCAAGCGAAAAAGACTTACCATCACGCTATGTCCGCAATCGCATGTGGAACCGGGGGCAGCACTATCGGCCTTCTTTTGTTAGCAGTTCAATTGCAAGTTGTCGAAAAGGAATGGGAAAGGGCAGTTCATCTGTGTGAAACATTTTTGAACCGTTGCTCTCCAGCTCTGACGGCCGAATATCGGATTGTTTCTTGTATATTGTTTGAACTCTACCAGGAGAGTGGACGTACTGACTCGGTCAACTCTTTGCTTGAAAGATTGGTTTCTGGAATGGAAGATCATCATATCAAAGATGATCCTCTATTTTGGAGGCTCGTGGCATTCAAATTTTTGTCTCAGGCTTGTCAAGAAAAGGCCAATAAAATATTTGCCAAACTGCAGGTTCTGAGTCCTGATTTGCCACTCACAAATCCGGGTTTTGAGAATCATGATCTCAGCATTCACGAATTGGAGTCCCTTGTTGACACGGTTGATATAGAGGCAATTAAATCGCAAGGCGCTACTGCCTTTGAAGGCCACGGCAAACATAGCAATCAGTTCAGGTTGGGGAGAGTGGTGAAGAAAAGAAGAATTCACAAAAATAAGAAGCTACCAAAAAATTACGATTCGACAGTGCAACCAAATCCTGAAAGGTGGCTACCTTTGAAAGACAGGTCCGATTTTAGACCTAATAAGAAAATTGCCGCCAAGCAAACTCAAGGCGGTTCAGTGGGTCGCAAGGGAGACCATAATTTAGACATTTCTAAGAAATCCAAGGCTAAGAAAAATAGATCCTAAATTAGTATAGCTAGCTTCATAATGTAGTGTTTGCAATAACGACCAATAAACGATATGTTACACCCTTGAAGTATTTATCTTAGTTACTTTTTTCTATTAAACCAGTATGCCTATCTCTAATGATTGATGCAGGACACTCAAGTAAATAGAGTATCTTCGTCTCTCAAATATTCTCCAATATCTGCTTGTCTGAAAGCCACAATGCCGGTAGGTTGCAAGTTTCTTGATTCTGATGTACTTTTAGCGCTTACTCCAAATCCCAGCGGCACGTCATGCATCGAAAATACAATTACACCTGCGTGCTCAGGAATATCTTCAGACATTTTACCTACATGAGCCTTCAAGACATGGTTGCCGTAAAGAAAAGGCATCTCTCCATTGGGCTTGATCCAGATCTTGTATTTGGCGTGTTCTGCAAGGACGGTTAGCGCTGTAATGTGAATTCTGAACTTGCCAGTCTTGGTGAATTTCCCGAGACAAAGTCCCACGGACATCAAATTTGGTCTGGCAACCGAAGTCGCTAGCTTTGCAATGTGCTCAGGAACATAGTAAACTCTATCCTTTTGAAGCCTAAAGACAAAAGGCTGAGTTTTGTTGTCGACCAGTAGCTTAATGTTTCTTCCAATGTAACCGGCGAGCTTTTCGAACACCACTCTAGTTTCCTCCTCAGTTAGTTGACGCATAACAGTAGGGATTGATATGCCTGAACTCAAAGTACCACCTGGAAAAGATAAGTCTGTCTCGAATAGCCAAGCTCATCGCCCAAGGCTTCTATCTATCTCATCGCGCAGCTGCTTGAATTAAAAAAATTTCACATCTCGTATAGACTGATATTTACAAGTTGGTGACATTTTAAACTGACGCAAGTAAGTTCGTGATACCATTCTGATTCTTAAAGCCACAACGAGGTTTGATCCGGCCGTTTTTGATTATTGGAATTAATTTCTAACTGTTATGGGGCTGGTTAAGACGCTGGCTATCTTATAAAATTGTGTCCTTGAAGGCAATTTAGATAATGCGGAGAGAGCGTGCCCTCAAGCCACTGCCTCGCTGCCTGAGCTCATTGCCAATCTTCAGTATACAATATGCCAGGCGAGCTCAATGATTCCGAGTTTAATTCCAATGCTATTTCATCACAGGTGCAGCTGCGTTTTGCAAAATGAGAACTTCCGTGTAAGCAGAGCCTAATGGGAAGTCACCTTATCATGCTACTCAGTCACTTACCTTTTGTGAGTTGGACTGTGCCAATCATGGCGCCCTATTCATCTCTTTACACCAATTGGCACAACCTTGACAATAGTGACAGAAAAATAAATAGCAGTTAAGTTATAATCTATGATGAGTTACTCTCAATATGGCATCGTAGCTGTTGGTGAATTGTCTTTACCCAAGCAAATAGAGGTTGAAGGCTTGCTTTGAACTGAAATTAATTGTATTCTCTACGTGCTGTCGTCTATTTCGTGCTCGAGGTTGAAATTAAAGTGATCGTCGACATGAAAAATTGAAAAGCTCATCGAAGAGAGAAGTTTACCATCCAACATTCTTATCACGGTAACCTGGTTTTTCTGCATTCTATAGTCACTCATGTCCAACAGCGAGGACGCGAGACAGGATTACGACTATGATCAGCCTGGTGAAGACGCTTATAAAAGAGGTAGCCAATATAAGTGGACTAAAGCTCGGAAGGCTGACTATGATGAATCCAAGCAGGATTCAGACAGTTCCAACAAAAGAGCGTACGTATACTGTTGACGAAGACATGGCAGAGCAAGACTACTCAGAGTTTCGATCAGTGTTATTAACCACATTTTGCAGTAAAGTTGAAGTAGACAGGCCCCAAACTACTGAAGGTGAGATTTCGGAATCTAAGGAAAAAAGGCTGCCAAAACGTAAAGTAGCCGTTATGATTGGTTACTGTGGAACTGGTTATCATGGAATGCAATACAATCCTCCTACCCCAACTATTGAAGCTGAACTATTCAAAGCGTTTGTGGAGGCTGGGGCCATTTCACAAGCTAACTCCACAGACTTGAAAAAAAGCGGCTTTATGAGAGCCGCCAGAACAGACAAGGGCGTGCACGCTGGTGGAAATGTGATATCTTTGAAGCTCATAATTGAAGACCCTGATATTATCTCCAAGATCAACTCTAAATTACCCGAGGGCATCCGCATCTGGGACATTGAGCGTGTTAACAAGGCCTTTGACTGCAGGAAAATGTGCAGCTCTCGTTGGTACGAATATCTTCTCCCAACTTACTCCTTAATTGGTCCAAAGCCGGGAAGTGCTCTTTTTATGGACATCGCGGAAAGTAAAACCGAGATTCCCGGAGTTCTGTCAGATGATGACGAGAGCGCGGAAATTTGGACAAATTTCTTCAAAGAGGCAGAACAAATGTTCACACCGGAGGAATTAACGGCCATTCAAAGCTATGCACCTCCGCCCAGGAACGAATTTGATGACTCCGATCCAACCTACCAGTTGGTAAAACGTTACAAGCTGCTTGAAAATCAGCATCGGAGGGCTTATAGAATATCTTCAAGCAGACTTGAAGCATTCCGTTCCGCAATGAATCAATACTTGGGCCCGCATAACTTCTACAACTTTACTTTAGGAAAAGAGTTCAAGGATCCGAGTGCCGTGAGGTTCATGAAGGAAATCAAGGTTTCAGAGCCATTTGTAATCGGTGAAAAGCATACAGAATGGGTTTCTATAAAAATTCACGGACAGTCCTTCATGCTTCACCAAATCCGGAAAATGATCTCGATGGCCACGCTTGTTACGCGATGCGCCTGCCCGACGGACCGTATTACCGACGCTTACAAGCCCCAGAGGATTAATATACCCAAGGCCCCGGCTTTGGGTTTGTTGCTAGAATGTCCGGTTTATGAAGGATACAACAAAAGGCTACAAGATTTTGGCTATAATGGAATTGATTTCGGCAAGTATCAGCAAAAAATGGATGATTTCAAAATGAAACATATTTATGATAAGATTTATCAGGAAGAAGTGTCCGAAAACGTGTTTAATGCTTTTTTCAGCTACATCGACAATTTCAGCCAAGTTACCGGAGCACAGCCGGCGGTCGAGGAAACTCCGGATTTAACTGGCTTAGATACTAAGCCAGTCGCTTCGGGTCAAAGAAGCGTTTTTGATTTCCTGACAGCGAGGGGAATAATTGATAAAACGGATAGCAGGAAGGATGGTAAGCCCGAAGGAAGGGATCCAGAAGTGGTCAACGTAGCAGCTCAAGAACGTCAGGCCACTCCTCAAACCATAGAGAATGAGATTGCTGAAGAACAGAAGTGAGTCTATTCGAAAAAATTATAGTTCAGGGTAAAGTGTTACTATGAAAAGGGTTCAAACTCTCTGAAGTGATGTAGCATTTTCTGTATGTATTTTCGAACCAAGTAGATTGTAAATTGCAAACCATCCATCAATAAGTGTCATCTGCTAAAGTATCGCGTGAACCGACGTAGCCAGCCGTGTCATCAAGAAAATGATAGAGGATGAGAAGAATAATATGGAAAAGAATGTTACAAGGGTTCAAATGATAAGCCTGGGGGCCAGGTTGATGAAGCTATGAGCTTGAATGGAACGCTTGAGCAATACAGTCAACAGAGATGGGCATCCTTGGATTTTTGATTAAAAAAGTATTGAACTACTTTGAAGGATTGCAAGGGTAATAGATAAGCGTTTGCGAGCAAATTACACGTCACAGAAACCGGTACCATGATTTACTTTGTAATCGAATTAATGAAACAGGGCTAGCTATCCTGTCGTCTAAGTGATGTGATGTAATCTCAAGTGTCTGCTGAAATTAACTGGCAATAGAATGGAGACATTATTGTAAAAAGTGATCATGATTTGAAAATTTTACGAAAATGGCATTGGCATTTGAGATACCCAAATTTGAGCTTACTCCAGATGGGCAAGTTCAGCATCCAGGAGGTGTCAGATATGTTGCGCATAGGCGTGAGGAGCCTCAGTACGAGCTGTGCCAGATATGCTGCGCCGGCTCGAGGCAAAGCCCAAGGGTTCGCCAAAAAGGTGAGTTCTGGTAAGACATCTGCAAAGAAAGTAAGCGCAGGGTCGCTGTACAAACCGTGGCAGCAAACCGTTGCTACCGCGAACTTCAATAAAAATTCGATTCCTACTGAATTGACTGTTTTCAAACCCACCAACCTCTCACAAAGTTTAAATGAAATTGTTGCATTTTCAAATTCTCAATACAAAAGCCTGTTTGTACTGGGCTCGTTCAAGCAGAACCAGTTCAATGAACTATTTTCTCGACCTGTCAGTCTTGTAAGGAATAAAACAACGAAAAAGCTTTTTGATCAATTAGAGGGTACGCAAACCGTGCAGAAGATCGTTCTAACTGGTGAATCTGGTGTTGGTAAAAGTATGCTTCTGGCTCAAGCACACGCGCTCGCTTGCGACAGAAAGGCCATCGTTGTCAATGTTTCATATCCAGAACTTTTCATGAACGGTACCAGTGACTTTTTTCACGATGGAACGGCATATGTGCAGCCCATGTATCTAAAACAGCTGCTTACTAAAATCGTTAAAGGTAACGATTCTTCCGTGCTGTCCTCCATTCCGTTGGCTAATAGCTATAAGTTTGCCAATGCTGATCCCAAGGATGCCGCGAGCAGGAAGTTTATACAGGTCAACGCTGGTAAGAGTACCTTATTAGATCTTCTTTCTGTTAAGACAACACCTCGTAACAGAGGGGAACTATTCCGTGCTTTGATCACAGAACTGGAACAACAGAAGAAAGCACCAGTTTTTTTCACTGTTGATAATTTCTCCCGTATTTTAAGCGAGCCATACACTGCCTACAAGAGTGTACAAAATGAGAGGATACACGTACTAGAACTGCAGCTTGGTAAGATCATCATGGACATCGTAGGTGGTAACATTAGTTTCAAGAATCCTTTAAGCAGCATTATTTTGGCTACTTCCGGAGCCGACAAGACCAACAAGACACTCCCTGTCGGTTTGAACAAGCTACCTCACGACCCATACATCAGCAAGAAACACTATGATAGTCAGTTAGCTAGTCTTTTGCTGAAGGGTGGTGTACAAGAATTTCACGTCGAGAAACTGACCAAAGAAGAGGTACGCAAGCTGCTTGATTTTTACATTAAGTCTGAGATTGTCCTATCTAAAGACACTGAGAGTATGAATGTTGATCAGCTAGTTGACGAGAAATACTTTTTGAGTGGAAACGGCAATCCGAAAGAAGTTTTGAAGAGCCTAGTTCTGCAATTTTCATGAGCATTCATCTGTATATATGTGTATATATCTTACTAAACAAGACCTGTGAATAAAAACTCCAGTTTAAATTTCATTAGTTGGCATGAATGTCAAATTTTAGGCTTTTTAAAATCGACATCAAAATCATCTTCATTCTCTGACCAAATCTCTTCATCGTCGTCATCATCGATATACTTCGGTTGGTCAACGTTGACTACATTTTGAGAAGGCTCTGATTGAGTGCGTGGCTCACTGGATGGTTCCGAGCGGTTCATTTCCCGTATATCGCGTTTTTGAGGCGAATGACGTAGCTGCCAATTCTCACGCATTTGTTGAGTCGCTTCCTCGAGATCTTCAATTTTCACCGAATCACTGATACTTTCCAGTACTTTCTTCACGACTGAAACGTGGTTACCATTCAACTTATCATCTCTAAAACGCAGCATGTGCCAAACGCCAGTCTCTTGGTCCTTCGTGCACTCCACTATTCTACCGTTGAGTGGTTCGTCTAGCGCCTTTAGTTCTCGCCATTTAGCATCATTGATTTCCAGTTCTGCGAATTTCTTGTATGTCCTCTCAAGTAATTCAAGCTCTTTTTTAGTGAAGGGTCGTTCAAAGTCTTGGATTCTAGCATTGACATCAGCTCCTCCCTGCCATGTGTACAAGTGGAAATTAGGTTTAACTTCATAATTGAAATAAAATCGGTTAGGATCGTTTTTGGGTAGGGATGTATCCTCGGCCAAAGGGATTTCGACGATCATTTTGAAATCCACCGAATTTTCTTCTTCTGGTTTCCATTTTAGAAGGAGTGAGTCTTTGGTCCCAATGCAATAAGGCGTGGTGACAGGTGTGAATATTAAGCCATCAGAGACGTGAGGAAGTTTATCGAGCGTCTGAGCAACCTTCACCAAATCAGTGCTAAAGTTCATCACTTTCATGGAAATTTTGAAGGGAAAAGTAGAGCAATGCGTGGGGTAAAGTGACCGGAGATCGTAGTACGGTTTGAAGAACTCTTTACCTAAATGTGCGAGACGTGAACTTGTTGGAGATTGTGCGATGCAACGACCATTTATTGCTAAACAGTCGAACATCAGATACCGTAGCTCCTTTAGTTTAGTGACAGGATTTGTTTGTAACACCATTTCTCCGTCAATCAGTGTACCATCCTGAAAGGTTTCTAGTAATTCCTTCCGATGTTGCTTCGGTAATCTAGGAAACTTGAATCCATTTATTTGAAAATAGTTATTCTCCCTGTCGATAACGAAACACCCCTGCTCTTTTGTCACCGGGTTTATAACTATTAGCATCAGGGCTCTTAATCCGTCAGTCTTCTCACAAACGTAATAGTCTTGGGCAAGAAGTTTTTCCTCAATATCAGAGTGATGAAACGATATAGGTTGGGTGCCTGGAAAGGTTTTTGCTGGTTTTGGAGAATTTAATAGCTTACAGGCCAACATTTTGATGTCTTGCGTTACATTGGCTGGCAACCGCAAACCTGGGATTTCTGGGGCAGCGCGAGCGTCCATCTCGAATCGATAGAGGTCAGTGGGCTCACTTAAGAACGAAACGAGTTGACAGGCTTGTCGTTGGGGGGTAAGGTATCTCTCTTAAGGTTAAGTGTCACCAACTTAAGCTGCTCGATATATTTATTGGCGGATAAACATACAGCGTCATCATTGACGAATGATCAATTCCTGCCCATTATTTGATTAAGAGGCGAAGTTCACCCAATAGGCCCCCCATCATGGGCTACTATATAAGAGAGTCAGAGTTAGAAATAGTTAGTTTGCTGAACTGTTTGTTGAATTTGATCCTAGAGATAGTTAATGATGCCCTTAGTACTTGATATCAAATGAGCTTCCAAAGCGACTCCTGCTAGTCTCTTCGTATATATTTGGCCATGAATCTGGTCTCTATCTGAACCATATAGCCGGTATTAATACTAAATTTAGACAGAAATAATATAGGTGCAGTCAGAGCAGCATAGTCCAACACTTTAACCCAAGTGATGAGTTTTTGGGTTGTTGGATAATTGAAATGGCTTGCCATGACGTTTATATGCAATTAATGTTCTTCTGGAACCCATTGGTTGACTGGTCACCTCGTTCAACCTTGTGTTATTGAGGCCGCAAGTAGCACAATGTTGCCAGATCGTCGATTTAAATTTTACGACGGTATTGTGCAAAGTGATCACAAGTGTCACTAAATTTAGTTGTTCGAGAGGAAGTGAATTAGGATAACATCTGTGGCGAGGTATAAGGCCTGAAAATATCCAAGAGGACATTATTCTAATATCGAATAGTATATGTGTGAGAAAAACCTTCCCCCCCCCTCTACGGTGCAAAATCATGGCTTTATAATAGAGTTATAAAGGATTTTGAATATCTTCTTGGATAATTTGTCGGGACGGATTGCCGGATATTTGTACAACAGTTCAAGAATCACTTTAAAGAGACTGAATCATCACTTGGAATAAGATATGGCAATTTGACGGCGCCTTTCTTCGTTCCCTCCGTTTTACTAGTTATATTATTTCGGTACAGGTCGACAGACAAAGGAAACTCGAAAGTCTATGATAATACTTTGAGATAGTCGCCCAGGTAATGAAGGATTCGTATGAACCACTCTCCCAGATCAACTAGCACGCCGTTTCGGCTCTAAAATATTTGAAGACGGTCCCGAACAAAAGTTTACGCGGGTGAAGACTTTAAATATTCTAGAAGCCGCTCGTAGAACACCTTTTAAACTGTCAATGAGGACTACTTGAGTCAAATGCGATGTTTACCTTTAGTTGCTGACCTTTCGGTAGTTGCACAGTCTGTGTTGAAGAATCTATTGAAAAAAAGTTCATGGGCAAATATAAATGGCCTGTGGCACGAGCATGGAATTGATATGTGGCCTTTATGGGCGGGTGTCGATTATGGCTAGGAACTGGACGAAGTACATGTCATTTTATGTGACTACGTACGAAATTTCCATTAGGAATAAAAGATGGAAACTTATATATTATAGATCTGCCCACCTATACAGCAATCCAACCCTTTATAGGCAACTCTGGGCTCAACTTGTTTATTGAAGCTATCACCATTTTTACTCCAGTGATGGAATCGAATCAAAGGTTATTCAGACTACCATTCAAGTTTCCAAGCTCCGCCAGGGCTAGGTCTGTAGGAGTGTACATCTCAGGCGGACTTTATGCTGTGGGGGCATGGTGCTTCCTCGATGCGGCAATCTATTCCAGAAAGGCGAATGGTTCGTCTGTACATGTTACTTTTGTGGACTGGATTCCTTTTATTTGCAGTACTCTTGGGATGATCATTGTGAATTCGATTGAAAAGAATAGACTCATACAAGATGCCCTGGGCTCAGGCTCATTCAATGGCTCTTCTTCTATGGCATGGCAGGCTCGTGTTATTCTCTTTCTAGGCTTTGCACTGCTGGCGGGTGGTATTTCGGGCTCCATTGTGGTGCTGATACTCAAATTTCTGGTTAAGGACTTCACATCTTATCCTACTTTGGGAATGGGTGTCAATAACGTCGTTGGCAATTTTTGTATAGCATTGAGCTGTGTGGTTCTATGGATAGCGCAGAATGTAGAGGACGAGTATTCCTACTCATTGACCCTCTGAAGTATGTAACTGGTAATTCTAAAACCGACAATTAAGAGGATAATAAGATTGAAAAACATTCGTCTAATCTACATTTAAGGAAACCGAAACTCTGGTGTTATCAATACGAAAAAATTATGCGTTGAAAGACACCAATTGTTGTTCAACTCACCAACCACCTCTGTTGATTGTTAAACTATCTTATAAAAGCAGCAGGTCTTATACGTGGGTGCGGGTTGGCTCATTTTTGAGACTAGCTCAAAAGCAGTGCAGCTCTCAAGTTTAAAATAGAGCCGCAGGCAGCATTGGGAACTCAAAATTCACAGAATTGGAGCTCAGATGCCTACAAGCCTCCCCTTAACAATCCGAGTACGACAGGTAGGCGTTGTGGATTTCTAGGTCGATGAAGAACCTCGCATGGAAATGTGTGGGTAGGAAGTCTGCTAGATGTTAGATGAAAACTGTCATCTTTGAAGCCATAGTGTACAGGTGAGTAAAGCGCACGTTCTTGCTTTGCTCGATTCTTCACTTACAGATTACTCACGAGGTAAAATCTCAGTTTCCAGTTCACCAATAACTTGGAGCTCAAATGGCGTGAAGTTGAATAACTCCGGTAGGCACTTTGGTTGATTGTGACCTCTGGGGAAAAAGTAGCGTTCGTTTTTCAAATCATCGAAGAAAGGATGAGCTAGGATACGCCTTGGTGAAAGTCTACGCTCAGGCTCATAGGTCAAAATCTTCATCAGCAAGTCGATTCCCTCGGGGCCCGCCTGACCAAAGTGTTTCTCAAATCTCTCTTGGACAGTTCCTGTGAACAATGGCTTGGAGAAGAGTGGACCATCGTAAGACGGGTTGGAGAAAAACAGGAACTTCTTATCTGGAGGACCTAGCAGTTTGGAGATTTCTCTTAATTGCAACAGTGGCTCTTGTCCTTGAAAAACGGCCTTTCCTATCAGCATCTCACCCATGACACACCCAAGTCCCCATATATCTATCTGAGTAGTATATTGCGTGCATCCAACAATTAGCTCAGGTGCTCTGTAGAATCGAGAGCAGATATAGCTTATCGAAGGTTGATTGTGCTCGAGTTTTTTAGCAGACCCGAAATCGCAGATTTTCAACACACCGGTGTTAGGGTCCACCAACACATTCGAAGGTTTCATATCGCGGTGGCATATCCCCAACGCATGCAAATAAAGCATCCCGCGTGCGACCTGATAGGTGTATAGCTTTGTATGTTTCAAAGGTAATTCCAGCTTGTTCAAAGCATACCGATGGATCTCGAGCTGTAGCGTCCCTGGAAGACACTCCATGGCCAAGTGTTGGTAGACTTTGTTGTCCTGGGGCGATACATGGGAGAAGAAGTATTCTAGCTTGACCACATTAGGGTGGTCAGCGATCCGGAGAATCTCCAGTTCTCGCGACTTGTACTCCGTTTGGGCGGGAACCCGCTTGATCGCAAAAGGACCATACCATTTATTGTTGTCTGGGGTGAGAAATGCCTGTACTACGGTCCCAAAAGCACCGTGTCCGATCTTCTTGTACTCTCTAATGAGCATTGGTCTCGTGGTGTTCGAGGAGTTCGATGTCACGTCATTGGCAATGAATTGTTCTTGCTTCTGAACCTGCGACATGATGAATTACAAAATGTCAACCACTACTCGTAACCTACCGTCCAAATAAGGTGATTGAGGCTCAAGTTGTTGGGTCTTAGTCCCTTCCCTATCTCAAAGGCAAAGTGTGGCCCAAGGCCTTGTTGAAATGCTAAGCTTATTTAGACCGATTATATTGGGTTGAAGGCCGGGTAACCAAAAATAGACTAACGCGACAGTGAAAGATGAAACTTTATATAGGGAATTTCACTTGCAGTCAGCAGACTGTGGTGCCTCGAAGGCGCAGTGATACCATCCTAGGAGATATCGCGGTAAATATCTAGGTACAACAACAATAGTTGTGGACTTTAGCCGTCATGTGCTGCACTCCTACATAAGGGGCCACCTACTGTATTGTAAAGGGTGGCGGCTGGTGTATAAAATCTACACTATTCTGGCGGGACTAACATTTGTTTGATCTTGGCCACGCTTCCTGACTTATTTTGAGACTATACTACAACTGTTTCTGTCTGCAAAATTAAGTAATATTTGGACAGAAGTGTCAAATTAGTACAGAGTGATGTGTATTTTAAAGTGCTGCCAGTTGAATACAGTCTGTGATTGACATACACCTAACTGCAAGATTTGAACTGAGATACTTCTGACTGTGGGCACTGATGGTGATACAGATTACAAGAAATGATGACTTTGGGACTACCGGTGTTTCTGGCTTGGAAAAGAAGACCCTGGCCATAAAGATTACTCAACAGAATGCAATTATAGTGCAATATGGAAAAGTTTCTTTAAAATTCCGAGCAAGCATTTGCTAGTCTCTATAGAAACCGTCACCCGTCCTTGGCTGTAGGTAATTCTAATAGAGCACTGTACCATATTCAACTGCTAACAACTTAGTAAGAAAGAGCTTGATTTTGGAGCCGAAATTTTTCTGCCGTCTCAGCGACCTCGACTTTTTCGTCAGAGACGTCGTGTGAACTCCGTATTGTTCTGTTCGTACACCATCCCGATTCTTGATTCTCGTTCTCGTGCTTGTCATAAATCTTGTTCGTGTGCTGTGCTCAACAGAGCCCAAATTAATGAAGCGGAAAGTGAAAATGCGAATCTACGCTCCGGAAGGACAATAAGACCACACATACCGTGACGGCGGATCCCTCTGAGACATGTTTAGGAAGTTCATCGGACTGACGAGACCTTTTTCTACAGGACGGCGTGTTCTGAATCCGGAATCGCCTGTCTCCTTTGCTGGCGTTGCGAAAGCTGTTAACGCAGCTAGCAACCCCATGTCGAACGTCATTGCGCCTCAAGCGAACGCCAGCGACGTTGGTTCCAGAGCTTCCAAAAAGCGCAATGAGCACACGGTGAAGTACATTCTAAATTGTTTGTTCACCAAAAATAATACGCACTTTACCTACTCTGCAGTGGTGGAAGATCTAAACTACCTCAAGAACAACGCAGATGCGAGCTACAACAAAAAATTCCTATACTACCTGAAACTTCCGCAAAAGGTCAAATTTAGACTATCCACAGGCAATTTGGGTTTCCGTAAGGCCGCGCGTGGCGAATACGAAGCGACTTTCCAGACGAGCGCGCGCTTGTTCCAGATGGCTCACCAGAAAAAACTGCTGGATAGAAATGTCGAGATTGTAATGAAGGACTTCGGGAAGGGCCGGGAGGCCTTTATCGCGGCTCTCAACGGTAAAGAGGGCACTGCCTTCCGCAAGAGCGTGGTCAGAGTGAGCGATGCGACTCCAATCAAATTTGGTGGTGTCAGAGCACCCAGACAAAGACGTTTGTAACCCTGTATATATGTAGCATGTGCATAAGAAACCGACCGTGATTGGCGAAGGAATGAGAAGATCTGTGCTGTGGCCCTGGTGGAAGTGTCTTGAAGGAGTGCCGCCAACTAGAGCGGAACCCATTGGCAACGATAGCCTAATTGTATCGCAACAGCCACATCTACTATATGAACAATATAAGTGCTTTCTAACAATTTTGTATCAACCAACATGGTACATTGAGCCCTCCATTGAGCCCTAGACCGAGACAAAAACCGTTCGAGGCCGAAGTGTTCAGATGCGCACGGTTTCCTTGAAACACTATCTTATACATCCACACACGCACACGCAACATGCTCGCTGTCGCGGAGGTAAATCATACTACTGTCACTCTCAGTGCTCCCAAAGCTCTCTTGTGACTGCTTTCTCTTCATTATTAACACCCACACCTTTTATCACCTGACTGTGATGATATTTTTCATTTGTGAAAAAAAACAGTTTGCGTCTGCTCGAAGCAAATTCACTGTCGAAACTCGCGTGCCAACAAGGTGCTCCGTAGCATTCGATGGCCGCCCTGTGTAGGCCCCTCCCCATGGGCCTGAGATCCTCCACCTCCCTTCCGCGCGCTACTGGCCCGTCCCATTGGCTCTCCCTGGCTCCAGGCTGAGTTCTGCCTAGCACTCTGGTCGCTCCTGTCTAGCCCGGACACGGACAGGCTCAGCCGCCTAGACTCTCTGGTTGTGGCCCCTCCGGTCCACTTCGTCCTGGCATCCAAATTTTCAAGATTCCTTAAAACTTGGAAATTTAACAGCAGCGCTCATCTTATAGGCGTTGGAAGAACCGAATAATAGATCAATCAATAATGGCTCCATCTAGTATGTTATAATATGAAATTGGGAATGATAGTTGAGTGTGGGATATGTTAGAGGCAGCTGCGAAGGTTAGGCATCGCTGAAGAGCGCCTGAGGTTGAACCAGGGATAATTATTGGACGAGACGATAAAACACGGGCTACGATATCAGAGAAGTCGGACTGTGGTAAGAGACAGAGTCCAGCAATGAGTGAATTTAGGAATAGCGAAAAGATACTTTAATGGAGGCTCAGAAGCCCATTCGTGGTTGTTTAATTACAAAAAACCAGAGTAGGAGGACGAAACCTTGAGGCACTCATGTTTTCATGCAACCGAGCTCTGATGCCGACTCTCACGATCCCACCCAGCCCTGCTCGCGGCCGGGCTTTCGCTTGCTATTTCTGCCTGCTGTTTACGTGCGACAAAGTACTAACAATTTATTTTCTATAGCTAAGGCTACTGCTGCCAAGAAGGCTGTTGTGAAAGGTACTAACGGTAAGAAGGCCCAAAAGGTGAGAACCTCGGCCTCTTTCCGTCTACCAAAGACCTTGAAGTTGGCTAGACGTCCAGCTTACGCCACCAAGTCTGTCCCACACTACAACAGATTGGACTCCTTCAAGATCATCGAACAACCAATCACATCCGAAACCGCCATGAAGAAGGTCGAAGACGGTAACACTTTGGTTTTCCAAGTCTCCATGAAATCCAACAAGCACCAAATCAAGCAAGCCGTCAAGGAATTGTACGAAGTTGACATCAGATCCGTCAACACCTTGGTGAGACCAAACGGTACCAAGAAGGCTTACGTCAGATTGACCGCCGACTACGATGCTTTGGACATTGCCAACAGAATCGGTTACATCTAAATGCTGCGTTCGATGTATATGTAGTTAAAAAAGATTTTTAATACAACAAGCGTTTATTCATTACTGGTATATACTGCTGTGTCATGATGACAAAGGGGAGATCTGGTCAGTCGTCGCGGTTTCTGCCGAGAATGCGCAGGATGTACAGGAAGAGATTGATGATATCCAAGTATAACATCATCGCACAACGAATCTCTTCATCGGGGTACACCTTGCGGAAAATCAACTGTGTGTCGATGAACAAATACACGGTGAAGACGGCGGCGCCCAGCCAACTGTAGATCAGATCCACAGTCGAGTTCATCCCGAAAAACATGGACGAAAAGCCAATTCCAATCAGCAGCCATACGGCCAGGTTGAGCCAGTAGTAGATGGTGCCTGACGCTGTCACGGTGGCTTCAAATCTGTCGGATACGGCCATCGCGGTTATTCCGACGACCACAATTCCGGTTATGAGCATGGCGCTCAAAATGGTGCGGGGTTCGTATACCAGCGTTACCAGCGAAAGGGTATAGGCCTCGCAAACGGTGAAACCCGCCAGAAGCGCCAACTGGCCGCGGTATGAAAGACAGTACCAGGGCCGTTTGGACCGCTCGGCAAGAGGCTGCGGGTCGGCAGCATCAGAGTTCAGCAGAGAGGAATCCTCGTCGTAGTCACTGGCCCTTGGGGCCAGCGTGAGCCAGATACAACTGACAATACCTCCGATCATCGCGACGAAGAAGAGCCATTGCTTTTGGTACACAAATTCTTGGAGCGACGTGGAACGGCTTACCCACAGACAGAAGGCGAAGGAGAACAGGATCTGGAACGATAGCAGAGTGTACACCTTGCGCATAAACCATCGGCGGACTTGTGGCTCGCACGACACGACGGTCGTGGAGTACTTGAAGTCGTCTGGGATGAAGTCCCGGGTTTCCTCGCTTTGATAGTATGAGGTTGGGTTGCCGGGCCCTGAGGCGCCGGGCGTTTGGGTTTCGTTGTACGCCGGGGGTGGTGGCAGACTCGAATCGGTCTGGTCCTTCATTGTTGGCTGTCTGTGTTGTCGAGACGCGTGTAGTGTGGTTGGACACTAGCCAAGCCATCTTCGCCTACTAGTGTGCTATATTTCCAGTAATAGAGGGGATGATGAGCAAGCTGCCCAGGCCGTTCGTGTCGGGCGATCTCTCACGTGACAGTTGGGATTTGCGTATCGTTATCCACGGCAGGGTTCTGACACACATGACGTTATTGTACATAGTGATACACAAGATAGACAACTGCGTCTGTGAGCGCCATCTCTGCTTGAGAGGCATAAACCAACACCTTCGTGAGCCATACACTTGAACCAATGCTAGCAACAGAATAGAACGTAGGTTGCGTCTGGTTTTCTCCCCAGCCTGCCTGCCCTGTTCTCCATGCCTATATGCCGTTAACCCGACCCTGTTTTGAAACCTTCCTCTCCTTCTTGTATGCCCTTCACTTTTCATGCACAGAGCCTTGCAGCTCTTCCACACAGCCCGACCACAGCTCCTGCTCCGCCGGCGTCATACTACGGGCCCACTTTGTGTCGTAGCTCTGCAATCCATCGCTAGTGATTGTGAGCGGCAGCGACACATAACGCAGACCGCCCGTCAGCTTGTGTAGTTCCTGACTCTGGTCCCCGGCCACCCTGGTAATACCTCCCACGTTTGCGTACAGCGTGTCCCGAATCTCTGATCTGACTCCGAGCAACAGCTCTGCAAAAGCCCGGGTCACCTGAGCCGCGGCAAAAGCCATCGACAAAGTAGCGCTTCCGGTTCCGTTCTTGGCCTTCACCACCTCGTCTCCTCCAAACTGAACGCGGTGCACGAGCTGCGCGAGGGCCTCGGCTCCGAGCGCGGCAACACCGTCCCGCAACTCGTCCGTGAACACGTGCGGGGTGTTGGCAGAGACGTACTGGCCCGTCGCCTGCGAGAAGAGCGGCACGATGGTGTGGCCGGAATGGCCACCCACCACAGGAACGCGGACCACATCGCGTGCATGGCGGCCCAGAGCCTCGTGCAGGAAGGTGGACGCGCGGACCGCGTCCAGCTGCGTCAGTCCAAACACGCGCCGCGGCACCTCCTGCGCGGCCGCAGCTGCAGACCCCGCGCTGCTACTCGCAACAAGCGTGTCCACCAGCACGCGCACCAGCGAGTTGACTGGGTTGGAGATGAGCAGCACAAACGTGCGGCTCAGATCGCAGTGCGCGGCAATGCCCGCCGCCAGCGTCGTCACGATGCGCGCGTTGATGGCGTACAGGTCGTCACGTGTCATCCCGGGCTTGCGCGGCACCCCCGCGGGGATCACCACCAGCTGCGCGTCGCGCAGGCACGTGGCCAGCGGGTCGTCCGCGCCGGAGCCGCCCGGCGCGTGCCACGTGACTGTCACGGGCGTGTTGATGTGCGACAGGTCCGTGCCGGCGCCGGCGACCGCGTCGCGGTTCACGTCGTACAGCGCCACGTGGATCCCGGACTCCGCCGCCAGGCACGTGCTGCGCAGCTCGGTCTTCAGCAGCAGCGACAGCGACTGGCCTATCCCGCCGCCCGCGCCCAGAACAGCAATTTTGAGCGACGCCATCTCTGTAGCATGGGGCATAATACCCAACGAGCTTTAAAGAGTAGTTGGTTGGTTTCGGTGCAGTGTTCGCAACAGCACTGGCGCAAGTATAACTAGTGTGTGAGTCGGGTCCGGTTACAATCCACTAACAACAATGCTGGGAAATGGTGCGAGACCTGAGGGATGTTTCCAGTCGAATGCAATGATGCCTCTGACCTCTGACTTGTACACACACAGTGTATACGTATATATATATATACACCTATAGATGTATGCTCCTCCCTGTTTCACCTATCGTTTTCCAGCCTACCCTGGCCCTTCTGCCATTGCGTGTGATAAGGAAAATCGTCAGTGGCCTCACCGCAATTACGGGAGCTGCTATCGTGGACGACGTGCGCTGTAGCGTTTGCGGGTGGATGGCTACCCAGACACGTGCTTTGCATGTGATGCTGATGTCAAACACGGCGGGTCACGTTGTCGAGACAATGGGGGCGGAGCAGAAGTACTCGGAGTGTACTCGGGGGTTTGCTCGAGGGTGGTCACGTGGGCTTGGTCTGGGATCACGTGCTCGGCACGTGATGATGGCCAACCCGGCTCCCACTATATGATATAACCCACCTACGCGCCAGGCCCCACCCATCGACTGTCCCCACCGCCACAGGGCTTCCTACCACCACCGATGTCCGACCCGAGCACCGTCGCCGTCGCTTCATCAGCCGGCAAGGCAACAGGCTTGCCAGTACGACTGCAATGCAAGTTCTACCTCCAGCACAAGCGAAGGCACTGTGGCATGACTCGGAAAGCGGGTCTCGACTATTGTTCGGAGCACTTGAACACCTTGAGGCAGCAGGATCCGAATCTGGCGGCCGTCAAGGGCCGCCGGATCGCATGCCCTATCGACCCCAGACACTCGGTATGGGAAAAAGACGTCACCCGTCATCTGCGCAGATGTAACACCGCCAAGAAGAACCGGCCGCCCGTGGACTGTCCCTGGGTCAAGTTGGACTACAACTGGAAACCTCTGCCTGCTTCCGAGACCCACGAGCCGCACCACGCCGCCGACGACGCATCGATCCTGCGATCCATCCCGATCTTGAAGCGGTGTTACGCACAAAACTTTGCTGCTTCGCCAATCTCGCTCGAAGTCAAGCGCAACGCTACCGTGGAATCGCACCGGTTTCCCCAGCTGCTGGGCTCCAAAAAGCATGCTCTGCAGCAATCGTCTCTGATTCAGTATTTGCTGGACAACAAAATGGCGCCGCAAAGCGACAGCGACGACATCACCTACATCGAGTTCGGTTGTGGGCGGGCCGAATTTTCCCGCTACCTCAACCGCAGCGTTTTCGACTACAGAGGTATTGCCGCTACTGCAAATGGCGCCCACCGTGTACCCCGCCAGCCGCGTTTCCTTCTGGTTGATCGTGCTTCCAATAGAATGAAGTTCGACTCCAAATTCAGAGAAGATCTGGACGAGCTTTACGGCGACAGCGTCCCCGCAGACCAACGAACATATGCCACTCTGGACCGCAAGAAGATCGATATCAAGGACCTGTATATCGACCAGCTGCTGCAAGATTCCGACCCCAGGTGTGTGGCGATCTCTAAGCACCTCTGTGGGGTGGCCACCGACCTCACCATCCATTGCTGTCTCAACAGTGATGTGCTTCACACACAAAAAAAGAAGCTCCACGGGATGGTAATTGCCATGTGTTGCAGACACGTCTGTGATGCTCACCAGTATGTGAATCGGCCCTTCATCGAATCCCTGATCGAGGGTTCTGAGATGTCGTACGTGGAGTTCTTCAACTCGCTCAAGAAAATTGCGTCCTGGGCCGTATGTGGCAGGAGAGAGGGCATAAACGACCGCGACATCAACCATCATTTCACAAACTTGCCCGTTATTGAACGCGAAGAGCTCGGCCAAAGAGCCAGGCGAATCATAGATGAAGGTCGCGCTGAATTTCTGCGCAGTAATGGCTATAAAGTCTCTTTGGTGAAGTATATAGAGTCCTCGGTCTCACTAGAAAATGTAGCCATGGTGGTTACCAGGATATAGATTGGGTATATAAGCAATCTCAGAATCTTACGGTTCGAGAAATCATCGCTGTCTGCCGATGCGACAGGTATTTTCTAAGGCCGTTGTCTCTCTACTGTTTAAATTTCGTCTGGTTAGGTTAATCTTCAGACCTCAACGAGTTTTTCTCATACAGCTACTCAAAGTGATGACTACAGTCGAAAACACTAATAACAGAATCCATAAGCAGCTTGAAGCTAACGCAAAACTAAAGAGATATCGAAGAGCCCTCGGTATACCATATTATGACTTCTCTCGAACCGCGTTGGTCTCGGACTTCCCTCGTCAGCGGCTATTTGTTACGCGCGGGGAGTATTTCAACCACATAGTAATTATACACGAATAGTTCTTCGCGGATGTCATTAATATATATGCTATATGGCCTGTAAATCCAGCAGAAGTACAGAAACAGATAGCCAATTTCTAGCGCACTAGGAGGGGACAACAAGTACCGAAACTAAACCTAGGATCAGATGCCAGATTCTAGGAGGAAACGGTACTCGATCAACTTTTCGGCTCCGGCCTCGCCCGTTTCGCCCTCTGTGGGTCGATTTCCGCCTGAGAGTGGAATGGAATCAAGCAACGCCAGACCATTGGCGTCAAGAACACAGTCAGCTCGCCCTTCGTCAGTATATGGGGTGATTGGGAGTCGGGCGGAACCAGCGAGAAACTTATCTGGTAAATCTTTTTACCGAATTCCCAACGACGACCAACGAAACGTTTCTTTAGATTCGCTATCTGACTCGTCGTCAATCAAGCTATTATTAATTGGTGATGCCGCCGTGGGTAAGACAGCCATGATATTGAGCTACTGTAATGAGCTTCCAACGCGCTCTCAGGCTACTCTGGTGAACAAGGGCAACGCAAGAATACCTTCGTTGGAGTCCAGTCGGAAAAAACGTTTACAAAATCTCAAAACCATTGATAAGCGCAAAAGATATAGTCTCAACGACTATGAGGAGCTTTTCCATCATCAACGCAATGAAAACACTGCGTCTGCGAGAACAGAGGGGGCGGAGCAGCAAGAAGACCCCAATGAGATCATCATTGACACAAGAAGCACCATAGGTGTGGATATACGGACAAACTTGGTTAATATCGACAACCGATATTTCAAAGTCACCATGTGGGATACTGCTGGTCAGGAACGTTATAGAAATGCTATGATTCCCTCATTGTATAAAGGTTCGAATGGTGTCTTGTTGAGTTACGACATCTGCAACAAGAAGAGCTTCCAAAACTGTCTTGACTACTGGTTAGAGGAAGTCTTGAACTGCTGTAGTCCTCATGACGATCATTTGCGGATTTATCTGGTCGGGAACAAAATTGACTTGTTCAAAGTAAGGCAGGTGACACATGAAGACGTGTTGCAACTCATTCAACAAGCCTATGAAAAGTTTGGAGTCACGATTGCCGGTAATTTTGAAGTGAGTTGCAAGTGGCATCAGGTCGTAGAAAGGTCATTCAATATTATCATTAAAGATTTGGTCGAACATGGCTGTTACGAAAATGATCTGGGCGACAAACCGGACACTTCACATCAGGTCGATAGCCAGCCAAAGGAACCCGCGTACCCAGCAACGGAAGAAGAGCCTCGTTCCGTGGAAGTATACCGAAGGGGTTCGACAGTTGTGCGGCGTAGGCCCAAAGATAGCCCCAAGACTGTCGACATTTCAAAACCATTGGGGGCGGACGAAAATCAAAGCAGAAACTCCTGCTGTGTGTAATAATACCGATAAACAGAATGCGGCTCTCTTGGAAGTCTTGGATTGGCGCTGTAACCACCAACTAAGCTCCTCATTGTCCGTTTTATAGAAGATAAAGAAAAATGCATTATTAATTAAAACCACTGAAGTAACGATCCCGGAATCTTTCCTTGGACCTCTCCGAGCCCATGTTAGTGGGTCCATTGTAATCAGCTCCTCTTTGAATGTACACCAGCAAACGCCTAGACCATTTATTGAATTCCTGCACGCAATTGTATTTGAGTTCGAGGTCAGCATGCATCGGTATCACTGTTTCTATATTTTCGTCATTGGCTACAGGCATCCAAAACGCTAGCCTACCACCGATGGGCAGCCTTTCGACAGCAAAATGCAATAGATCATCAAGCAAAGAATCTAAAGAGTAAGGTTTCTTTGTAGGAATGTAGTCGCGTAACAGATATGCCTTTTGCCCATTGATCTCCACGTTTTCTTTACCAATAAAACGTTCCGGGTCCTTAGCACCAAGAACTTTAATACTCTCGCGAATTCCATAAGGTGGATCACATAAGATGGTGTCTATTATCAAATTTTTTCTCAAGGCATTATGTGTGAAATCCATAGTCAAAACATCCAAGAACTGTAACGAGTCCTGGTATTTCTTGAAGTTGGCCCTTATAGTCTGCGAGCCTTTGCCTCTTATCATCCGTCCATCGATATCTGAACCGATAACCATCGCGTTGTAATGACCCCCTGCAGTCAGGAAGGACCCTGTACCAGCAAAGGGATCGTACATAAATGTACCGGGTTTAACCTGAGCAATATTGGCACTCACCAAGGACAGTTCGGCCTCAAAGCTGGTGGTGCCCTTGTAAGGCCTTTTCTTGAGGTCGTATTTCTCCAGGGCGCCGCGAAAGCGATCGCTGCGCTGAACCTCGCGCCCGAAGAACAAACGCAAGGGGGTTTCTCCGGCTTGGTTGTCGCTTAATGGCTCGTATTCTTCAATAACGGTAAAAATCTGTTCAGGATTCTTCATCCGGATAGGACCTTGGAAATCCAGGTATTTAAAGGACTCGATGCAGGCCACCCGATCAAGTTTCCCTGCTGAGCTACCTCCGAAACTGTCAAACTCGAACTTGAACGACGACTCACGATACTCCTGCTTAAGTTGTAGGTAGAGAGGATTTTCTTGCACATCTAGGTGTAGTTGTTCGTAGTTGCTGCCCTGTCCCCAGTACTCGTAGATGGCTCGAGTGAGGATAGATCTTGAGATCCACTCGCGGGCCTGCTGGTCATTTTCAAGCTCCACCACAAAAAAAGGCGATTCCTCGTCATACTGGCTAAAGTCGATTGTCGTTAGGCCAAACATATCTGCCAGTGACTCCAGTTCGGCCAATCTGAAGTTCAGGTGAACTTGGACCATGAACAGGAGATATCTCTTGGTCATTTTTGCGCAGATTACAGCTCAAAGTCCAACCAAACTAACCACCTCCAGCAACGGTCTCCAAGAACTCTATCCAGCAACCTTCGAGAGCCAAAGTCCAAATTTTGGCCCCGATGTATGTCTACTTGTCACTCAGAAAATTTTTTATACCATTGCCGCCGAACTTACTACAGACAAAAAGGTCAAACGTCCCACAGCAAAGGATCGCGATTATCCCAGGATCGCTACCGAAGAGCGCTCAAAGTTCCAGGACTTGTGGTGTTCGTCAAATAGGTGGGCCGTCTTTATTTCGAAAGTCTCAAATCGCCATTCACGACAACGATGACATAATCCATAAGGGGTTACCCGACGTTTTGAATATTTTGGTATATAAGGAGCATAATTTGGTCAACTTGGACGCTTTTCTAGTCGCCGCTCATCAACAACTTGTGAAACATTTTGGACCCATACAAGTAAAATCCAAGAAGCTTGGATAAAGTCGGCTCGTTCACGTGGAACAGAGCTTTATTGAACATAGTCAGACGGATTTCTCCCAGAAGTGCTTTCTCTCTGAATCTCCTCCTACCCTGCAGAGTGCCAATTTTGTGGAGACCGAGAACAAACTTGAATATTTGGATCTGCGAATACTAGTTGTAACATCGTTTAGTTTGTTTAGACAGAGTTTATTTTGTGCAGGAGCCGGATATACGCGTCAATCAATAGCACGTCCCAAAACTGGCAGACGCAAGCACACCGGAGCATTTTCTACAGTTTTTGAAGTATACTAGCTCAAGAGAGACTATCTTGCGCGTCACCTTACTTACTACTAGAGCACGTCACCCGGAAGCGATTCCTTTATACCTACTTTTTAGATCCCCCCGTATCTATCCTAGTGGTTTCGGACAAAGAAGGAGCGAAGATATACACACGCCTCCCCACCAACTTCTCCCCAATAATAACATCGTATAATGAGTTTCTCTGACGACGAGGACTTTAACGACATCTACGGTGACGAATCCAATGTCTCCAATACCACTTCTACCACAGCGGCCACGACTGCTGCCGAACCTTCAAAAGCAGAAGTAGCAACCTCACACGGATCTAGCGACAACGCTACTCCATCTAACACTCACGAAACTACTCCTACTACGGGAAGCGTGCTGCCTGCAACTACAGGCGCAGCAGCAGGATCTGCAACAGCGCCCACTACATCTACTACTTCGTCTTTAGACCAACTAGCAGCCCTTCAGGCATTGTCCTCGAACTTGAATCAGCTTCAACAGGCCGCCAGCGGTAGTAACAGCGGCGGCGATGTTTCTTCGCAGCAGCAAAACTCCACCCAGGCTCAGGATGCGTCTGACAAGGCCTCTAGTGCAACCCCTATGGCAAATCTTGCAAATACTGGTTTAAATACTACCCAAGCAGCGATGCCTGGAATGCCGAGTATGCCTGGAATGCCAAATATGCCAGGTATGCCAACAATGCCCGGAATGCCCAACATGCAGCAATGGCAGCAACTACAACAGCTGCAGCAGAATATGCCCCAGTTTAACCAAGCCGGCTCGCTTACCGGAGGTGTCAGCGCTGCTCAAGACAAAATCAATAAGGCTGATCTTTCCCGCGACATTTGTAAAATGTTTATTGGTGGACTAAACTGGGAAACCACCGAGGACAACTTAAAAGATTATTTTACCAAATATGGTGTAGTCACGGATCTCAAAATCATGAGGGATAACGCTACCGGAAGATCCAGAGGTTTTGGCTTCCTTACTTTTGCCGAGGCCTCCAGTGTAGACGAAGTTGTAAAAACCCAGCACATTCTTGATGGTAAAGTAATCGACCCTAAGAGGGCCATCCCTCGCGAAGAACAAGATAAGACCGGGAAAATCTTTGTGGGTGGTATCGGTCCAGATGTCAGACCTAAGGAGTTTGAAGATTTTTTTTCTCAATGGGGTACGATCATTGATGCTCAGTTAATGTTAGACAAAGATACCGGAAGATCTAGAGGCTTCGGGTTCATTACTTATGATACTCCTGACGCGGTCGATCGTGTCTGCGAGAATAAGTTCATCGAATTCAAGGGCAAGAGAATCGAAATTAAAAGGGCAGAACCAAGGCATTTACAGAAACAGCAACAACAGCAGAAAACACAACCTTTTGGAGCTACTTCTCAATTCAACATGTTTCAGAATCCTATGATGGGTAACTTCAACCCTATGTTCAACCCACAAGCAATGGCAGAATATTACACTAAGATGCAAGAATATTATTCTCAGATGCAACAGCAAACAGGTGTCGATTACACTCAAATGTATCAACAACAAATGCAACAAATGCAGCAGATGATGGGTGGGATGATGCCTGGTGTGGGCGGAATGCCTGGAATGCCAGGTATGCCATCTGCGCCTACAGATTCTCCCGCTCAGGAATCTTCTGAAGTCCCTACTATTGGATCGGAGGAAAAACCAGACGATGGAAGAGACGGCGACAGAGATACCGATAGAAGAGGACCATCTCCTCCAATGAATGCCCCAAGGGGCCCAAGGATGGGGGGATCACGCAGCGATAATCGTGACGGCAACCGTGACAACCGTGATGGAAACCGCGACTTCAATAATGATTATCATCGTGATAGTGGCCGTGAAGGCGGCCGTGATGGCAGCCGCGACGGAAATCGCGGTAATTTTCGTTCTGGCTTCCGCAACCGTAATCGCAGCGGTTATCGAGGAGGCCGTAGCGGCTACTCTAGGCGCAACAATAATGGCTACCATCCTTACTCGACTTAGCGGAACTGAAATGGGTTATATTTACATAAACTTTGCAATGCATTAGAGTGTAATAGCATTAAGCGATCTACGCTCAACATATCTACAATTATGTTACGCGAAATTGGCTCGGCATGGGGATGGCAAGTCCGCATATTTGTATACTATCTATATGTAAATTTAATAACTATCTACAGAACTCTTGAAAGGAGTTTTTGTGAACACTAGCTAATGTCACCATGCAAGAGGCCCAACTGCACAATGGCATAAACGTTGAGCACAGATATGAAGAGCCATATCAATACCGAAACGGTGGAAGTAGCCCAATTATTAGACATGTCAACAAATCCATTGTCGCCATTTTCCTCGACACTAGAGTCTGGCGTTGAAATGCTACTGTCGGTTTTGGGCTTCTCAACTCTCATAACTGATTTTCTACAAGTGAAGTAGATGAGTGGTGCCGTTAAAAATGGAAGCAGTAACGATAAAACAACTTGCGAGGCGTTCAAAGCTTTCGATAGTGCAGGCCGCCCAATGGATAACGATATCGCCAGACAGGGAACAATCGATATCATCCTAGTCGCGACACGTCTCTTCCAAGGTTTTAGTTTCCAATTGATATGCCCCTCACTGACTATTTGACCAGCGATAGTGCATACAATTCCTGCAGATTGTCCACTTAACAGTAGGGCAAGCATAAAAATAGTTCCAACCACTGGTGCCAAAGTTTCTGACAAGAGGTCATGGATGGTATACAGATCAGCACCCGCGGCCTCTGATGATCCGAAAAGCGTGGAGCCTGATATAATCAGAATGGAACTGTTCACAAATAGGGCAAAAGTGAAAAGTGTGATGGCCAGCTCCGAGATCGAATACTTGAGCGCATATCGTATAGCTGACATGGAGGGTTTGTAGTTAAGATAACCTTGATCAATCTTTTCATCTTCGCTCAATGACTTAGCAGAAGAATCGATGGTGCGGGCTTCAACCGAAGCAAGCTTACAGTAGTTTCCGTTCTGTTCATCGTACTCCAACAATCGTGGCTGGACTAGACCAGAGCCCAGAAAAAGAGAATGAGGCATGACAGTAGCACCAAGAATAGACGTTGCAATGTAGATACCATTATTCTGGAACATTTCTTTGGAGGGTGCAAATCCCCGAAACACTTCCCGGACGGAAATATGAGGGATGTAAGCAAGCTCAACACAAAAACAGATGCAAACACCCAAGACTAGAGCTGCGACGGCAAATTCAAAAAAGCGGACGAACCTCATGGAAGAACTGCCGGGTTTATAAGCAAGCATGACAAACAATACGTCGACCACAGTGATTGCTACGCCGGCGGGCAGAGGCACCTTGATGAGGATGTTCAAAGCCACAGCAGAGCCGATGACCTCCGCAACGTCAGTTGCGATAATAGCAGCTTCAGCACATAGATAGAGGGTCCAGTTCATCCAACGCGGCAAATATCGGCGACAGGCCCGCGACAGATCTAAACCTGTAACGGTACCAAGTTTGATGCAGAGAGACTGAAGAAAGATGGCAATGATATTTGACAACAGAATGACGAATAGAAGTGCAAACCTATTAGTAGCACCTGCTTCCACAGCAGTAGAATAGTTTCCCGGGTCCATATATGCTACGCTCACCATCAGTCCGGGACCAACAAATTTCATATATTTAGTCACAACCCCTCTGACATTAGCTAGCATATTGGCTATCGCCGCTGGCATCCATGTTTTAAGAGGTCGCAAGACCAGAGCCTGATCTCTTTCAGGAAGACAATCAGCCATATCCGAATTCGACCTACACACCCGCTGTTAACTGCTGTAGCAAAGAAACCAATGGAGATGACCTAAATCAGAGTCTCGATTTATACCCGCAAGAGCCTCAAGGTACAAGCACTACCCCGGTGTAGCCGACGGTCTCGCCTTTTAGATTCTGACTTTTCATGGTTTCCGTCCTTTCCAGGTGCTGATACAGTTGTTTTCTTCCAAGAAATGAATGGGCCCACTGTGGAAAACTACTTAAAGGGAAAGAGTCCGAGAGAACCCTGCCGAATCAAGAGATGAATAGCACAGTGTAATTGCGTAAGGGCGGAGAGTACGCTTACTCTGTCTGGGCACTGTCTGGTTACTTGGACTCCACGAGTGGCCTGCGACTGTTGGCATGTCATTGTTAATATTTATGGCATCAATTCAGCCATTAATTACAGTGCCAGATGTTGCACGACAGTAAGCGTGACTCCCAGTATACTGTTTGAACCAAAATTTTTCTCTTATATTTAACAACATTAATGGTCTCTTGGCCCAGTTGGTTAAGGCACCGTGCTAATAACGCGGGGATCAGCGGTTCGATCCCGCTAGAGACCATTTATTTTTTGGAACCCTTCTCAAGAAGGTAGCTTGCGGTGACGCACGATCTATTACTCAAGGGACATTAGGAGACAAATCATTACCTTGGCTACATAATTCATTTACCTACATCACAAATCGTCAAATTTCTTTATGCCATGCTCCTGTTTCTGTAAGTTTTGTAGTTGTTTCGACGTCAGGGGCTTCTGCTTAACTTTGTGTCTCTTAGACGACTTCGCTGTGCCACTTTCCCCAGCTCCCCTCTTTTTTGAAGATGCTTCTTCTTCCGCTTCACTCTGGACAAGATCTTTGTCCAGCTCCTTGAGCAACTCTTCTTTACTCAAACCGACCAACTCCTCACCTCCACTGGGACTATGTTCGGAATCGGAACTGGAACCAGAACCAGTATCAGAGTTCGAGTCATTGTCGGCGCTTTCTGCATCAGACCCAAAATCAGAGCCCGAGTCGGATTGTGAAGCCATGCCACCCTCTTCTGCGCTACTATCAGCCTTTTCAAGGTCATCCCCATTTTCTGTGAACTCCCAAATCTTCACCTTATCCATACCGCCTGACACTAAGCGATATTCATGGTCCAAGTCCACAAAAAGCACCTCGTCGATGTCGTTATGCTTTCTTATCTCGACAACTTTACTCGTCTTCACGTTCACCTTGTAAATTTGACCGTCCGAGCAACCAACCCACACGGAATCATCATCTTGTAATGTTGGTACTATACAGTCCAGACTCTCATTTTTTTTGACTTTGATCCGACTGATCTGGTCCACCAAATCGTTTTTTTTTGGTTTCCAAACGGTTAATATACCCTCGCCCATACCACACACCAGGGTGTCACCATTTTGGGGGTCTACGAATGTCCCGCATAAGATTTCGTCTTCCTGATCGTCACTCAAACGAACCTTGCGCTTAGCATCAAGGTCGTCTAGCTGAATAAGATGGTCTGATTCGTTCGACTCTCGCGAATCCCAATACGCCAGAGTAGTTTGTCCCAGAGAGATAAACTTATACATTGATTTGCCTGTGAATTGAAATATGTCATTAATTGCATCGCCAGAATGAATGTTGCTAATGGTCGTTTTCACCTCCAAAGTATGGCTATCAAGGGCAACCACGTTTCCATTCTCATCTCCCAAAAGGAGTAGATTGTGGCTCGTGGACTTCACAATTTTGGTGTACTTAACACTGGTGTCGCTTGACACTTGGTGCTTTTTAACCACTCTGCCTGTTTCCGAGTTTGCTTTTTTCAACATACAATCAATCCCAATAGAATATATGTGCGACCCATCAGCATCTAAGCACATGGCCCGTACACTACCTTTGTGTCTTTTGGTTTTCCATTGCAGTTTGAAACCTTTATTATCCGAACTGCCATCTTCTTTCGCGTCAACCGCCGTCCACAACTTCTTTCTCGTTTCGGACTTTTCCTTCTTGTTGTTTTGTTCTTCAGCAAGTAATGCAGCGTTCCGCTTCATGATGCTAGCTAAAACAACAGGGTCGTAGCTATGACACATAATTAGACCAGTGGCCTGCCCGCTGAATATCAGAGGCTTCTCAGGGTGACAGCATAGTGCAAATAATGGTTCCGGGAAATTAATTTCCAAAAGGGGACTGCTGTTAGAGACAAGACTGCTTAGGTCCTGATTACTCTTGACTTTCTTCTTTGCCATGGCGGTATTAGCAAGTGGGAAGTTCAGTAGCCGGCTAGCTGTGGTTGCGATGAGCACCTATGTATGTGCTGTGCTAGTGTCGGTGGGCAGCTAAAAATTTCTTAAGAAACAACGCACGTGATGCGCAAGGAATACGTTCTGTCATTACCATACCAAAGGACCAGCCACTGGCCGCTTGGAGAATAAGAAGCAAGCCTTCCCTAAAGTGCCACCAATTCAAGTTCTTGAATCTTGCACTGAGTCACAAATGCACATCATTTTCTGTCTCGTTCTTGTTCCTCCCGCACCCAATACGGCAGGTTTTTACAGTCACCGCGTGAAGACCACGAGGAGTCGTTGATACAGCAACAGTGCAAAATCTATAGCCTTTGCATCAAAATGCCGCTGTTCTAAGATTGGGTTCGGCCACTAAGATGCAAGTCGACCATAAAACGGCATGCAACACACACCAGCCCTCCCACTCGATAAACAGCCACTTTTATTTTGACCCATACCAATAACCTCCTATGCCTTAGTTCTTATCATCTCTCTGTTCTATTCAATATATCCTTGACACTTGCTTCCATGTCTGGAAACTCCTCCACTATTTTGTGCGCTAGCTTGTCTCTTAGCTGTTTTACGCCATTCATCTTGGCACGTTGATATTGATTAGACCTTCTTATTGCTTCCACAAAATCTCTAGTGTACACATCGGGGTTCCTTCCATCTTCAATATACTGTAGCACTTCAATTGGGATCTGAAACAAGTTCAATTGTGAATCTGGATCATTGCTCTGCTTGTTTAACTTTCCTAGTCGATCTACATTCCTCTTCAGGTTCGTCATCATTCCTTGCGCGGCTTCTGATGTCCCAGGGAAATCGTAAACTGAGACACCAAGCTCAACAAATGATTCGATGATGGCACCAATCTGTTGTTCGACCCCGGCTAGGTCATCGTGCATTTTGTTCAAGTCTAAAGCCACCATCTCTCAAAAGCTGTCCAAACAACTAGACTTGCTGATCGAACTTGGTACAATTCGTCCTGCTGTACCCTGGTTTAGCACAATGAAATCCTTTGATATACTTTATTTTTGAAATTGAAATGGCAATAAAGATATGAACTACGAGCACAATTCTCGATAAAAACCCAGGCTCCCATTCAGAATGCCGAGAGAGCCACTTCTCACCAAGAAAATTTCAGAACAGTAGAATCCCCGAACCATATGTGAGCTTCAGCTTTAGAAGCTAGTAGCGGGGGATGAAAGCGGCTAAGATGAGTAAATACCACCGGAGGAGGACTGACAAATACAATCTCACGTGCAGAAACAACATCAGTTTTGGTGTTCGCTATTCACTATGGCTGGGCAGAAATGTTGACCACTTAGTAAGAATTTGTCGATCGTAAATGTATCTCTTTCTCTACAATATATCGAACCTTCAATCTGTCTTAAAGCTCCCATTCACAATCTCTCTTTTCCAGTCGCCGATTCCAACAGTATGACCCAGTACAAGCTAAACAACGACATAGTTGTTACCCAGGTCCAGATAGACCACTGGAATGCAGCACTGTCTCAAATGCCGTCGCCCCAGGACATTTTGAAGTGGGCAATTACAACGTTTCCACACCTCTTTCAAACCACTGCTTTCGGACTCACAGGATTGGCCACGATAGACATGCTTTCGAAAATCCAAGAAGACCACATAACCCCTCTCATTTTCATCGACACACTGCACCACTTTCCACAGTCATTAGAACTTCTTCGAAAGGTAGAAGATCGTTATTATACCCCTCACAACCAAAGCATCCATATATTCAAGCCTGAGGGCCTCCAAAGTGAGGCCGAATTTGCCGCAAAGCATGGGGACTTTCTATGGGAGCGTGATGATAACCAATATGACTACCTGGTAAAAGCAGAGCCTGCCCATCGGGCTTACAATGAGCTTGGGGTGACGGCGGTTTTTACGGGGCGTCGTAAATCCCAAGGTGGTGGTCGTTCGGATTTAAAGTTTATTGAGGTGGACGAGGTCAATGGGATCGTCAAGATCAATCCTCTGGCGGACTGGGATTTCAAGCAGGTGAGGGCCTATATTGACGAGAACCAAGTACCTTACAATGAACTACTCGACTTGGGATATAAGTCAATTGGCGATTACCACTCCACAGTGCCAGTCGCAGACGGCGAAGACGAGAGAGCCGGAAGATGGAAGGGTAAAACGAAGACTGAGTGTGGAATTCACGAGACAAGTCGTTTTGCTCAGTTTTTACAGAACAATAACGAACTAAAAAGCTGAAGCACAGAATCCTCTCATGGCATTCAAAACAAGGAATTTCTTACAGAAGAAATAGTATAGTAATTTAACCCAGATCAGCCTGCAAATACTGTTAATAATATGTGGTATGGCCATCAAACTAGTTTTTATTTAAGATTATGATATCACCTTGTACTAATGATCAAGTTATCAAAATTTTTAGTTTGATTAAGTCAAGAGCGTGTAGAAAGAACAGTTGTGCAACCCAAACACAATATTCTACACCATGGGTAACTTTAGATTTCCAGTCAAAGTCAAGCTTCCATCCACTTTTCTCAATGCAAGAGTTATACGGGATAACTTCAAGAGACAGCAGGTAGCTGAACATGAGATCACCACCAAGGCTCTTAAATACATTGCGAGAAATACTACTTTGCCACCCAGAGCTAGATTGGAGGCCCAATTGCGTTTGAGTGTAATGCCAAACTATACTAGAATGACTCAGGTGAGAAACAGATGCGTTGAAACAGGCCACGCTAGAGCTGTGCTCAGTGACTTTAGACTATGCAGAACACAATTTAGAGAAAAGGCAAAAAGTGGAGAACTACCCGGCGTAAAGAAGGGTGTGTGGTAGCGACTGTTTGAATTTAGCATTTGGCATAGGGGTTTCATGTATATATACAATATAGTAAAACGTCGATAAAAGAACCTGAAAGCGACCAACGACGGCAAACGCAGGAAGTAGGCATGTAGTTGGCGTTCCTGTGATACTCATCATTCAACTTATACTTGAATTGGCTTGCCATACTTACAGGTAATAATAGTAAGATTTAAATATTTTCATTGCCTCCGAGCCGAATATACAACTAACTTCCTCACGCTGCCTTCCTTGCTCGAAATGACTCCGCGTCCGAAACGGCCGTTTCGTATTTTTCGATTGCAAAATTCAGAGAGTCTAGGGCAGATTTTAAATATGCTCTGCAATTGTTGACCAATCCATCCCGCTCTGCATTCTCGTCGTTCCCTACTTCATCTAAAAGTTTCGTTATTCTGTCCAAACATTTCTTCAAATGTATGTACAGCTTCCTTACGGTTGGAGCTTGGCGAATTTCACCACTTTGAAAAAGAATGTAGAAATGTTTTAGAAACTCACAACAAGTTCCATGCAATATCCTGCTGGTCTCTAGGAGTTCCGGTGGCAGCGGCGAGTTCACCTCCCTAATGGATTCCGTTGAAGATAAGCCAACAGTAGCTCCGACAACAGCACTCAGGTCGGTATTTTTAGCTTGCTTAGCATTAATCTTAACTGCCCGAATCACATTCTGGTTAACGGTATTGTTAAATTTCTTGTCATCATTCGTAACTTGAGTCAAGTCAATAGACTTTGTTAGACCCTCAAGTAGAAGATCCACTTGATGTTGAGCGGCTTGAGGTCCTACGACTGACTTAGCATCGCCATTCACGCTAACGGGAAGGGTTTTGCTTGATGCCATTCGTTGCTTGACTTTAATCTCAAGATAGTTTGCTTCTTGTGCTTCAGCCAAGTCGGTAAACAGCAACTCTTCTCGTTCCTGCTTATCCACGTCTTCTGAGAGCAGGCTGGCTCTCGAATACTCGTTTTCCAAGGATTGAATCATCTTTTGACTCAAACGATTCATCCCCTTCAAAATATCCACTACTCCGTCACTATTGCCGTTGGGATCCACCCCTGCCATCATAGTGAAATCAGGCCTGTTTCCCTTTCGTGCTGGATCATCTTGATCATTACCTTCCAAGTCCAATAGTTTCTTTACTGGGTGTTGCAAACGCGTATCATCTTTTCTATCGAACTCTTGGTCAAGCGTGAGGTAACGATCTATAATCATATCACCACGGTCGCTTTGCATAATCCGTTCACCTCTGAGCTTTCGAAATAACTTGGATGAAAAAAATCTGGCCCAAAACTCTTGCTCTTTGAAGTTTTTAGGAACACTATCGTCATAGGCCTTTTTCACAATGGGGTATGTCTGAAAAATGGTTAAGATCTTTTCTCGCGACACGCTAACATTCACCTTGTTATCTGAAGAGGCCACGGGCTTAATAGTAGAGAGTACATTATATGGGCCTGTCCTTTGAGATGTGGTAAGAGCAAAAGCCCGTAATAGAGGAACCCTTGTCGACCAAAACTCATCAGACGGGAGACCCGAGTAAATGACGGCATCTTGGAATGTCTTCATGAGACTTTTATTGTCCTTCAGTAATGATTGCTGCAGCTTTAGATTGGTGAGTAGCTTTTCGCGAGATAAAGAATCATCCAAAGTCAATGTATTGATTAAAGGAGCTGTATCTGCAGGAGAAGGTGCTAAGCTACTTTCCTTACGCCGCTTTTCTTCATACGCCTCTTGATCTTTGTAGCGGGCTATAATAAGCTGTAAAGTTTCTTTTATGTTGTCCATAACAGTGCGATTATTGAAGGAGAAGACGTGACTTGGAACCATTGGCTTGATTTCGTTTCCTTCGCTGTCCTTGCGCTTCTTCGATTCATCCATCTTTTCTATGAGCCGCAGCATCATTTTCTCACTAGAAGCCGGTGTCGCTTGCAGTTTATCAATCATGCTCAAAACAACCTTATGACTTTTGTCACCATCAGTGGAGCGCCATAAGAGATTGGCAGGAGATGCATCTTCGTCAACATTCAGGATGCCCGAAACTTTTTTGAATATTGCTGCGCCTGAGTGCGACATATGTGGAGTGGATTCGAATATGAAAAGGTAACGTAACGATCAGATACCAATAAGTGACTTCCAACTCAATTTGACCGCACGCTAGCTAGCTTCAATTTTGATAGTACAAGGTTGAAGTAAAGGTCAATGCAGAAAGACGTGAAAAGCAGGTTAAGGAGCTCTGCAAAGTAAGGTTAACTAAACTATAGCTACTAGTAGCCAGACTAAAGTTTGAAATGAAAGCTCTAATCCAGTGGAAGTAATTGACGCTATCAGATTAACACATCCTGTATAATGAATATATTTTGATTTCGATTACTTAATATCATGAGTACTTTGGAAATACTTTCGATAATCATTACAAACGACTGGTTACCTCTAATAAAAATTTTCAACCTCATCGAGCTAGAAGGATGAGCATTTCAAGACCACCATACAAGTATCTTTGTTAGTGGCTTTGTTATTATCAAGCAAGGTATTTTTTGATCATGTCTCCTATTGTTGGTATTGCCTTTGGTAACACCACATCTTCCATTGCTTACGTTAATCCAAAGAACGATGTGGATGTGATTGCAAACCCTGACGGTGAGCGGACCATCCCTTCCGTGTTGTCCTACGTTGGAGAGGACGAATACCATGGTGGACAGGCTCTTCAACAAATTGTGAGAAATCCAAAGAACACTATTGTCAACTTTCGTGACTTTTTAGGTCTATCGTATTCCGAGTGCGATTTGTCTAAGTGCACCACGGGTGCCCCCGTCGTTGAAATTGGAGGCAAAGCCGGTTTTGTCGTTACAAGAGCTGACGGCAGACAAGAACAACTTACTGTTGACGAGGTTGTGTCGAGGCACTTGAACCAGCTGAAACGTGCCGCCGAAGACTACATCGGCCAAGAGCTATCAGAGACCGTCATCAGCGTGCCAACCAACTTCACCGATGCTCAGAAAGACGCTTTGCGCGCTTGCGCCAAGAAAATCGGTCTGAACATCATCCAGCTTATCAATGAGCCTTCGGCGGCTTTACTTGCACACACCGAAGCTTTTCCTTTCAAAGACGACTGCAACGTGGTGGTGGCTGACTTTGGTGGTGTCAGATCTGACGCCGCTGTCATTGCCATTCGTAATGGTATCTTTACTTTATTAGCTACTTCTCACGACTCTAAACTTGGTGGAGACAGCCTGGATGCCGAACTCGTGGAGTTCTACGCCAAGGACTTCGAAAAAAAGACTAAGTCCAACCCCAGAACCAATGCCAAATCCATGGCCAAGCTAAGAGCTAATGCCGAGCTCACTAAGAAAACTCTATCCAACGTGACTACTGCCACCATCTCTATCGATTCTCTAGCCGATGGCTTCGATTACCACACATCAATCAACAGACTGAGATATGAACTCGTTGCCAATAAGGTCCTAAGCAAGTTCGCTCAATTCATTGAAGGTGTTATCGCCAAGGCAGAGTTAGATCCCCTAGACATCAATGGTGTTGTGCTTTGTGGTGGTTCCTCATTCACACCAAAATTAAGCTCCAACTTGGAATACCTGCTTCCAGAGTCGGTCGCCATCTTGGGCCCACAATCTAAAGAAGCTTCTAACAATCCCAACGAGCTTTTGGCCTGTGGTGCTGCGTTACAAGCCCAATTATTGTCTAATTACGATGCAGATGAGCTGGCTCAAGCTTTGGAACCAGTTGTCATCAACACTCAACACATTAAGAAGGCCATTGGTCTAGTTGACGCTGAGGGTAACTTCGTGCCAGTGTTGCTACCTGAAACTTCCTTTCCAGTCAAGAAGAATCTGACACTCAAGAATGCTAAGGGCGACTTTCTTGTTGGTGTCTACGAAGGGGACCACCACATCAAGGAAACTGTTGCTGAACCCGCTGCCAAGGAGGCTGACGATGACGAAAGCGATTGGTCTGACGAAGACGATGAGCCCGAAATTCTCAGAGAGAAGCTTTATACTTTGGGCACCAAACTCATGGAGCTTGGTGTGAAGGGAGCCCAGGGTTTGGAAATCTCTTTCAACCTGAACGGCGCTGGTGCACTAAGAGTTACTGCTCGCGACCTCAAGACTGGACAAATTGTCAAAGGCGATTTGTAAGCGAAGCACACTGGAGATTATATAGAGTTTGTTTGAGAATTAGAGACAGACGAAAAATTTTGTTAAATACGGCATAATAGAAACACACTTACCGCACCGCACTAATTCACATACGTGCTGAATAAATCTGTGCGATTAATATCAAAAAGGATGGCAGCTACACAACCTAGGGTATGCATTTTGGGATTTGGATCTATTGGAGTACTGCTGGCGTCTCATTTGCAACAAAATGCCCAGGTCACCGTTATACCGCTCTTAAGATCTGAAAAACGGCTGGAAGATTTAATCGCTCATCGAAAAACTGCTAACGTCAAATCTCTATTCTTAGATCAACAACCAATCCGCGAGACAATTTTCGATGCTGCCACATGTCCAGAACTGATTCCCAATGATTGGAAGATCGACAACTTGATCATTACCACAAAAACGTATCAGACTAAAGATGCCTTGAAGCCTTATATGAAATATTTGCATCCTCGCACCAACATAATGCTTGTCCAGAATGGCCTGGGAGTCTTTGAAGTGCTCAATGAAGAGATATTCGTGGAGTGGAAGCCCAACTTATTTCAAGGTGTTATATCACACGGTATCTTCAACACAGGCGGCTTTTCCTTTAGTCATGCCGGTTTCGGAAACCTCAAGGTTGCTAGACTCCCTAGTCAAGATCCAGGAAGTATTGTACAGTCCAACCAACTTATCTCCTCTGACCGCTCGGGAAATGAACTGATCAGAATTATGAACGACTCTAACTTTGCGGCAGGCTTAGATGTGCAGCATTTGACCTACCAGGAAATGTTGCTGGGACAGCTAGAAAAGCTCATCGTCAATTGCTGCATGAACTCAGTAACTTCAATCGTTGACTGTATCAACGGCGAACTCAGAGACATCGGCGCCCCGATTTTCGATGCTATCATTTCAGAGTCACTTACTGTGCTGCAGACTGCTTATAAACCGCTCTTTGATTACAAGCCCAGTAGTAGGGACTTTCCGTCTCTTGACGTTTTGGGGGTTTTGGATCGTAAAAGGCTCTTAGCATTCGTCTTGAATATTGGTTGCGTGGTCAATGGAAGTAACAGTACATCCATGCGACAAGATGTGGTGAATTTGAGAGACACTGAAATCGAATACATCAATGGATACATTGTCAGGCTATGTGACAAACTGGCGTTGGGTAGAGAGTCTTGTAAGACTAACGAGACTATCGAAACTCTAGTGAAATTGCGGCTTGGACTAAATAGATATCGCGATGAGCATGGCGACAAAAGGGTAAAGCATTGAAAGTACAAAAGAAAGCGCTTCTGGCTTAAGACGAGATTGGAACCTCTCTGCATTCGCTATCTGTGCTACTAAGCGTCCACCCCGCCATATTCCTGACGCCGGGTGCGCATGTACGTATTAAATGACTGGATTATAAGCTAGGGAATATACATGGCAGCCTTTCCATAGAGTAAGTAACCCATAAATTTAGCCGGCAAACTTCCTACTATCTTGAGCCAGGTGGACCGATGATATTAGAATACCTAGCTATCATATTGTGTTCCACCTCCGTTTTCTGTATGGCGTGGCCCGCTTTTTTTTTCACGCCCAGCGCCAGAAAAAAAAACCTAAATAACCAATCTTAGTCCCATCAACTTGAACACTTAACCATTATCGCTTTACAAGTTAAACCTTCCGCACAACTCGAGCCGCTCTATATTCGTTCGAACGTCATAAAAACTTACGTTATCGGCAGACCAAAATCTCCAGCTCGAAAAAAATCGCACTCTTTTCAAAGCGGCCATTGTGATTCTTCTCAACCAACAATCACTGGCCCCTTTCCAATATCGTCTTCGACAAAAGATCAGTGCTACCATTGTTATTCTCTGTATCAACGTGTGGCAGATCAAATTTCGTTCGTGCGGTTCAAACAGAAGGCTCTGACTAAAAGTTCGTGAAGCGAGGACAGCGACAGCAAGATACCAAGGTGATCATTTTTTATTTACGGCGTCTATCACACAAGAGTCTTGACACTACCACTTGAAGAAAGCCCTGACTTTCCTCTATCTGTCTAATCTTATCGTCCCACTCAAAACATCGCAAAGATAGGTAAACAGGACCGGCCAAAACCATCCCCAGTGTGGCAGCGTACTTTTAAGTGAGAGGTCAAACCCAAAAAAAAATAAAAACATTCAATACTGCCTGATAGTCCTTGCCATGTCCAATTCTCCATCGACTGGATTTCAATTGGAGCCGGCAGTTCGCACAACAGACTACAATCACGACGAGGCTGGACCACAAGGCTCGCCCGATCATCATTTACTCGACGGCGGAAAACCTACCGAAAAAAGTGGTGAGAGTGACCGTCCTTTTGTAGAAGACAATACTACAAGCCTCAGTGCAACGATATCCGCTCCCAATAGCGCGCAAACCAATTTAAGCACCACCTCAACCCAGTTTCCGTTGTCCGCCGCTGTCGCTGTGCCAGAGTTACCTACCGCGACAGGTCACGTGGGTGGAGGTGATTTAGAGCCTGAAATTAAAAGACTGACAACAATAACAACAGGAAACGACCAACGGCCAGAACAGCCTAAACAACAGCAAGGAATAGCAACCGCTAATACTCTTTCAGTAGACACCAAGGGATCTGCAAACGGCTCCCCTTCCATTTTTGAGAATCCTAACGCCACTGCTACTGTGCGTCAGCTTGTGTCTCAAGTGGATAACCAATCCGACGCCATTGCCCTACTGAAAGAAAAGCTTCAGCAAGTGGAGAATTCTGCGTGTACCACCGACGAGGGTCTCAACGAGCTTCTCGGAAACTTGACTTCATCGACCAGAAGTCTTGCTCATAACCAAAAGGTACTGGAAAATAAGCTAGAAGATCTACTAAGGAACCAGGTCAATACTGATTCTTCTGTAAACGCTTTACTAGAGAAACTGGAGTTTGTGTCCCAATCGCTTAATAAAGCCGTGAGGTCTAACGCATTAAACTTTCCTGCGAGCGTACAAGGTACACACCGAGGACCAGGAAGACCACCAAAGACGAGAACCGGCCTCTCATCAATCGCAGCAGCCTTATCAATGACCAGCAAAGATTCCCTACCCGACAGCAACATCGGGATTCCCCGTAGCAGAAGAATGTTTCAAGATCCCGAGCCCTTACTTTCTGCCGACCCACAGTCTGCCGGGGCCAGGGCAACTAGAGACCAGGGTACTGCCCCTGCGAGCCAGGGTTTACCTCCCGTGAAGAAAAGAGGGCCAGGAAGACCTCCTAAGCGGAAACACCATTGGTCTGAAAGAAAGCAAGCAGCATCCTTGCAGGGCCAGGATGAGAACGCCGTGGATGAAAATGAGACTCCTGGGGACGACGAAGCCGCCGTTGAGAGAAACAATGGTGAAGACATTGAAGGAGATGAAGAAGAAGAAGAGGAGGAGGAGGAGGAGGAGGAAGAAGAAGAAGTTGATGAGGAAGACGATGACTACGATGGTTCTGACGAGCCAAAGGTCGAAGAAGACGAACTGTTATCCCAGTCATTAGGTAATGACTCCTCCGTGAGAGTTGACGACTCCTTCTACGAGCAAAAACCTTCTCGTGGCAGAGGTCGCCCGAGCTCAAAATCTGCAGAGAAAGTCGCGCCGCTGACTTCGGCTCAAATCAAAATGCAACAGGAATTGGAGCGTCGGCGTGATGCCCGTGAGCAAATGCTGGTCTCTATGAAATACAGTGATCGCAACAAAGCCAAGGTGTTCATGGAATCGAACAAGGATCTATTGAGAGCAATGAGAGAAGAGGAAAGAAGAAAGAGGATGACTGCTTTCCATTACGACCCTCACAGCCATTCGGCAACGCTTTCCTCTGGAAAGACGCCGTCTCCAAATGGGACACCAGGGAACAGCAGGCGTGTTTCACAATTTGCTCCCTCGTCGCAGGGTGATGCGGTGAACAGAGAAAATGAGGAATTTCAAAGTAGAACTGCAGAGCAGGATGCTGTAACTAACGAATCCCCTCAGGAGGATGTCGGTTCCAGGACTCCTCATTCAGAGTCAACTCAGGAAGCTACGGTGACACCATCCTTGGCTTCAATAGCTGCCTCTTCCGATTTCGCGTCTCCTGCTCCATCGTTGATTCCTAGAAAAGTGGGGATTTTGTCAATGCTGAACGAGGATGAAGGTGAGGGCTCTGCGAAACGTAAGCTTCCCGAAAAGTATCACAATGGAGCCTCGTCCGAATTCCCTAACAAGAGAGAGAAGTTAGAAGAGGCTGGCGGTCGTGATTTTAGATCTATCATCCCGATGCTTCCCGAGAAAAAGGACAACAGAGGACGTCCTGCCAATAGCAGCAGCAGCGGGGACAACTCCACCGCATTACTGCTGGCCTCCCCTGTCGAACTTATATGCCGAGAGGGCTTCTTCTATCGCAAATCTGATCCAGAGCTGCCCATAACGACGGGAGATTATTTGGAATTCAAGTTCAAATCTAAAGAAGCTGAGCTGATTCGTTTGAATCTGAGCCAAGTGGACTATGCAGAGCTCACGAGACAGGATAGGATCAATGCTTATTTCTTGAAACCTGATATTGAACGAGAGACGGATGTAGCCTCTCGCTTATTGAGCAATATCGTTCTAACTGAAAGATACGTCAATAGCCTGGAATATTTCATAATGGAGTTCCGTTGGGAAAATAGGCTTGTTGGTTTGGGCCTCAAGCTACGCGAGTCCAAGCGAACCTGGCAAAGGCGTAAGGCGCTATTCGCTCTTTTCGAATTTTGGAGAGACAAATCCCGGGAGAAGAGGGGTTTCCCCGGCTATACCATGATGCACGCTGTTAAAGAAATGGAAAATTATCGTATATTCATCAACAGGTCAGTTTCATGGTTTTATAACCATATCACGCTCCTCAAGATGATTCTTTATGACTTGTGTGACAATACTGACACGCAGTGGAGAGAGTGGATGTTTCCCAAGGGCCATCCAGTGCCTATTGTTAGTGACAGCTTGCCTGAGGACAGATTGAATGCTGCTATAGATCAAGTTTTGACATTGGACTTTTTGGAAGATGGTACTGACAATCGTGACAACAAAGGGTCTTCAGCTAATGTGATTGTCGAGACAAGCTCAGCCGCCAAAGAGCCTGAAGCTGAATGAGTGTATGCTTTCGGGCACGCTATTTTTTTTAAGGCTACATACTACGAAACCTGGCAATATGTATTATTTTAAAACCAGTTCATGTTCACCTGATGCAAGCAAACTAAATAGCCGCGGTTGAAGAGTACGGTGATTACAAGCCGCGCACCATCCCTTGCCTCTGTATTTTGAAACATATATGACATCCGTCAAATAAGTTTGAGATCGTGGCCATATTTTCAACCATTAATGAAAACTTTAAAATCGACTCAACGTGCCGGTCCATTTCGATGCTCCACAAGCAGTGACTTTCTCTTCGACCGATCGGTTGTTCAGGCAATAATCAAGCTAATCTACCTTTCATTAAAGTAAGTTTGAGCCGAGGTACACAACTCATCGACCTTTATCATATTAAAAAAAAGAATTTACTCGCCGATGCCACTTTCCCTTTCGCATCCATTCAGAGTCGGGACAAGTTAGTCTGCTAAACTGCTCTTAAAATTACATGAAGACATATTCGGCTTACTTCAGATTATGTGATGAGGAATCTGGAAGTACAATGTCACTTCTGGTTGTTTTTCAGCGATTATTTGGATAATAATCTTGGTCCATCTGTGAGAGGTACAATGGATATTTAAGCGAACTTTAGGCAGAGATACGCCGGGTGCATTTATGGCTATTTGATCCAGTAGCCCCACCCAAAAGCTCGGATATCTGAAATATTGGATATCTGAAATGGTTGGCCTTGTCATTTCTATGTAGTCGCTGTTCCTCTTGGTTCTTTTTCATATCTTGATTCACTGTCATCACCATTATCATTTTGTACTATTATGACACTCTGTTAGCACTAACACCTTATCAACTTGACGCTATTCGGAAAATGCTAATTCATTACAATCTGCTGAAGTCTCAACGTCGCAACGGCAGGAGCCTGATTCAAATATAGTTAGTCTTGATTTGCCTATTTAAGCGTATTCAGTGATTAACCTACCGATGGGCATTAATTAGTTCATCGAACATCTTGAATAATGGATCCCCACAGAGAGCATCATCAAGGTTACTGAGAAACATTATAACGACTATGCTTGTAGATCTGAATGTTCCTTGGCCACAGACCACCTTTTCTGAGCCTGTGAGCGAACAACAGATTCGAGAATTAACGAGCACGCTGGAGACCTTGCACACTCTGGGATATACTCATTTGGCATTAAATTTTACGGTTAGCCACACTGACAAGTTCCCTACGTCCCTTAAGGAACTAAACCCAATCAAAATCGAGGTGTATTTTGGGCAGCTGCTGAAAACCACGGGTTTGAAACTGTACTCTAGGATCACACTGATCATAGATGATCCATCCAAAGGGCAGTCGCTTTCCAAGATCTCACAGGCCTTCGATATTGTGGCTGCTTTACCAGTTAGTGAAAAGGCCCTAACATTAGCTACCTCCTCTTTGGATATCGATTTACTCACGTTCCAATACAAACAACGTCTTCCGACGTTTCTCAAGCACAAAAGTATTTGTAGTTGTATCGCCAGAGGAGTGAAGCTAGAAATCGTATACGCATACGCATTGAGAGACATGCAGACAAGACGCCAATTCATACAAAATGTAAAGAGTGTTGTCAGAAGCTCCCGCTCTCGGGGTATAGTCATCAGCAGTGGTGCTACCAATGCCTTGGAGTGTCGAAACGTCTTGGGCGTCACTAGTCTCATCAAATATCTTGGCCTTGATAGCGACAAGTGCATGAAGGCCATGGCAGATTTACCGGCTCTTGTGCTCCTCAATGGCCGGCTCCGCACCAAGAGCCACAAGCAAACAGTCGTAATTGGCGGTGGTGCCGATACTGACATCGTCAATGAAACCGATGCCATAGACAGTGGTAAACTAATCAAGATCGTTAAACGCAAGAAGCCAGAAGATTCGGTCCTTGAGGATCCTCCTAACAAGAAGTCTCGATCATAGTAGGCGTCTCATGTCATGGGCATTGTGTTTGAGGTCTCTGGTGAACTGTGCCTTATATAGTCGTACAATTTGATATTAGCGCTGATCGTTCTGTTATTAGTTTTGAATAGGTGGGCGGTTAACTGCATTCAGACACTAACCAACCTTCAGACAAGCAGGTGTGGAAACCTAAGGAGAAACATAGGATAACGAAGATTACAGTTCTTGTTGAGCAGCTCAGATCAATGACACTTGAAGGCGTAAGGCGTTTTGGAAGGCGCGTCTCGAAACAAATGTCCATAAACCGTGCGCCGTTTGAGTACAAGAGACGTGGTAACAAGAAGAAGCAGCCAATGGCAGCAAGAAGAGCAGTGTATGATCTTTTGGAGCAAGCAGAGGCTGATTATGCCAAAGGAGAAACAGATATGGCCATCTATAGGCTAACGCGTATTCTCTCTAGCTGGGAAAAGGAAAACACTGAGCCATTTGAGCCTCTTCCAACCCAAGAGGCACCAAAAACCTTCTCTTTGGGTGACTCCATGAAGACTCTTCCGGACATTCCCGTGCGGATCATCGGACCCCGTGCAAGCTCGAATATCGGGATGTCAACAGAGCCGGGCACTGTAGCCTCGGGTCCACAGAGCCGGGTGCGAAAGCTGCTTGTCCGAAGTAATTTAAACTTCTCAATTGCGCCTCAGGGGTACGACGTTCTGTCTAGGCGGTTAGAAAGGGCGAATCCTCATTGCACAAGTTACAACCACGTGAGAAATATGGAAACTGCAAATACCCAAAATACGGATGGCGTTCATTGTGATTCCAGTCTCGATAACACCGCTCTCAACGTGGACCCTCAGGTTTTCGAGTTTTCTGACATGGTTGAACGGTCCTTTAACCTTCTCAGTATTTCCGACTCTATTGCGATACTCGAGGACGACACGACGCGCTTCGAGGGCCGCGACTATTCACACAGTCCAGCATCTGAAACTATATTGAGTAAGAGTCTGAATTACTGACGCGTTCGAGCAGTAGCGCTCAGTATGCACAGTCGTAAGGGGAGCCTTCGTTCGTCGCGCGTTCGCGTTTCATAATAGGCAAAATGTGACCGTTTTTTTAAATTATTTTTCTATCAAGATCGTGGTATTTCGTGATTTTACTTGAATGGGAAGAGATATAACGAATTGGCAACAGTCGTCGCATCTGGTAGATTGGTTATAAAAGAATTTGTGAAACTCGAGGGTGGAACCTGAGGTTGAAACATCCACAGAAAGCTGATATAGCATTGTTTCTCATCTAACTTTTGAATCTAGCTGCGTCGCTATACGTGAACAATACGCCAGGAAACATGGCTTTGCAAATGAATCTACCACAGATGAGGTCGATCTGGATAGACGAGGATCAAGAAGCTGAAAAACTGTATGGATTACAAGTTCAACGGTTGATGGACTCCGACGATGATGACCAGGTGGATATGATGCTGATCAACAGCGACAGACCGGTCTTGAACAACAAAGAACGCATCGAGCTACCGCCGTTAAGGCCATCCGCATACAAACCAAGCCGTAGCAAAAAACCACTTTCCAAGGCTTCTGACCTAGGCCATGGAATGTCTTCTTCCAAGACCAAAAAGACCACTGGGAAGTTTTTCAAATTATTCAAGAGCAAAGAACCTCGTCTAAATTCCCAAAGCACCAACATTTCAGTGCCTTTTAACTTCCAACACATCTCACACGCGGACATGAAGAACGTTTTTGAAGGTGAAAGACTATCGCAAGACGACCCTGTTTCACCCATTTCGTTGAACAAGGCCTTTGTCACGGAGAGTTTTCTTTCCGCACAAGATTTGCCCGATAAAAACAAGTTTGGGTACTCCAAGACCGCTTCTCCTCGTCGTTCTTCATCTATCGCCTCCTCCCAATACTCGAGTAAATCAGCAAGAATAGTATCGACATCAACAATGGCCACGTCTGTGAATGATGACTCCTACAAATCAATCAAAAAGCTGAAGCAGTTGGAAAGAGTACATTTGAAACATAGATACAATAAATCGGAAGATAGTGCTGTTTCGGTCGAATTTTTGAAGAACTACAGCTTCCCCACTGTCTTGGAGGACGTTTCTTTGGTCGAAGTTAAAACCCCAGACATGTCAAAAACCAACTGTGACAAGTTTACCTGGGAGTCTCCGCAGGACCCGGGGGCTCTTTTGGAAACTATGCTACAAGACAGATCCCCAATGCCGGCCACTACGGGTTCTAGAAGGAAGTCTGATTCACAATTAGTCTTTACACCAATGATTGAGCAACGAGGTTCGTTCCTTGATACCCCCAGAACGAGAAAATCCGTTGACGATGTACTGCTGTGCTACCATCAGCCAAGCGAAGCAAGTTCAGATCTACGCGAATCTGGTGACTTCTCCTTCAGCCAGAGCTCCGGTAGGATGAACAATGGATCATCCTGGGACAAAGAAACCGAAACATTCGTGTTATAGCTCAAAGAGCTACACGTCCGAATCTCGTAACACGCTATCATTTCTTTATGTTTCGCACAAGAAGCATCAGCGTTTGTTGCTCTCAGCATTATTCTAGTGATGAAGTCACTCCACCCAATCAATTGGCGTCACACCAGTGAAAGCAATTATTTACCGTTCCTTTAGCATGGTGGCTCATCCTTTGTACTTATCCGCCCCACTTCAAAGTCATTCTGCATTTACCTTAGTCATTCACTACCGGGTCTTCTACATAACTAAATATACGATCCTTAATTCAAATATCATGGTTTTAATGCTTCAATTTTCTTCCGGCAGTTCACTAGTTCAAGAATCAGCTCTGTGCTCCCTTTAAAGCTGCTCTGACATTGTCGCAACGACGATGGGATGGACAAAGCTCCTCCGAACATAAAAATTGGATCTTTTGCTTTTGTTGCGCGCTTGGTTTTTTGAACTCCAGCGCTGTCCTTAGTCTCTTTTCGTCTCCTCACGGTCTTTTCTTCCTGCGCTTGATCTGAACCTTCGTGTTCAACTTCTTCGAATTGTGCCAGATATTGTTCAACTGTTTCACTGTCCTTGAAGGTGAATTTAGTTCCCTCTATGGAAACAAATCTAGAGCCTCTGTAAGTTTCATCCCAGTAGTCCTTTCCATATCTTTCTCTGATAGCATCTTTATTATGATAATTAGCTCTGCTTAGTTGGAAGAAGCCATCGCCACAGGCCACCTGAAACTGTTCCAACAGACCATCGTAGTGTGCAAGAAGCTCCAAAAGCTCTACACACTTGTCTTCGCTCAGCATCCGATGTATTAAATATTCAAATGCATTTTGTTTTCAAGTGAAATTGTGAGTACATTCGTTAACATTTAATTGAGCCTAGTTAATTAAACTTGCTTGTTGTAAGTTTAGTGCGCGAGTTTGATTAGGTGTACTGACCATGGCAGATAGACTTACTCAACTGCAAATATGTCTAGACCAAATGATGGAGCAATTTTGTGCTACCTTGAACTACATCGACAAGAATCACGACTTCGAGGCGTCAGAAGCTGGAGAGGATAAAATGACAGATCCGCATGCTACAATAGCATCAAAAGAAGATTTCGATAATACCATCGACGAGCTTTCAACAGACCTTATCCTGAAGACTAGGCAAATCACAAAGCTGATAGATTCATTGCCAGGAGTCGACGTGTCGGCGGATGAACAGATGCATAGGATAGAGGCACTGCAAAACCAGCTGGTGAAGATGGAGGACAAGAAGATGGAAGCTACAAAGCAAAAAGAGGAACTACTGAGAAAAGTGGACAGTATGATAGTTGATTTTACTGTAGGGATCGCTAACGCTCGAAAATCAGAAACCCTTGCCGAAAATGAGGTCAATGTGACAGGACAAAGTGACATGTAATTTGTGTGCGCTAAGAAATGGTCCGACTATTTAATTATTCTGGCGCTCGTCATTATAATTAGTTAGATATATGTGTGATGACCATGGCTGCTGCCGATGATCCTACCAACAGAAGACGAGTAATCTTACCATAATTCCAGAGGAAGTTGGCCGTCTGTGCGGCTAGCAGAAGGCTGAGGACATAGCTGGGAAGATACTGAGTTACAGTGATATTGTCATGTTTGGACCATGCAAAAATGTAGTAGTGCATAAACCACCCTGTAGCAAGTTCCTGGCAGCTGTCCAAGTATAGATACTTCACCGGATCCACTTCGGAGCTGGTGTCAGCCCAAGGATCCCATTTTATCCACCTGAAGCATTCCACAAGTATGTACCCAACCAGAGATGCTAATGGAATAAACCACATGAAATTCACAGCTGCGGAGTCTGCAATATTCAATAGCCAATTTACTCTTTTGATATCACTTCTCGCATCTTTATTCTTTAGGTAATAATCAAACTTGTACTGTCTTTGAACATACTCTAGGGTGAGAGTCCAAAGCCTCTTGCCAATCCAGTGTTTTGGACTGGAAATATATGCACCTCTTTCTTTGTAAAGGTTAGACCTATCAATAAAGAAAAGTGACCTTTCCTTGTCAGCAGAATCCACACAGAGCACTTCTTGTTGTTCAAAGCCCCAGTCAGGCAGTCTCAAATCATGACTCAAGAGCTTGCAGTTATGGCCTTTGTTTTCAAGGCTGAAGTATATCGTAAAAGGACACAACAATCCATCATGAACTGTCTTACCTCTCTCAAACCTCAAACGCCAGGTTTCGTCAGCATCGCCCCTATATTTCTCATCTCCAGTGCAGGAAACCTCATGGTCATAGTCCTGCTCACTGATAGGAGGCTTCGCTGATGACGCTCTCAATAATTTTCCGGTGGTCCTGTGTCTGAGCTTGATCGAAGCCCCATTTTTGACGGGCTCAAGTTTGGTTTTGTACTCCAAAGTATCTGAGGACGGCTCAATGATCCATTCATTATCAGCATCATTTGAATATATGAATAGTGAAACTTGTTGTTCTCCAGACCCACCTCTATAAGTGTAGTTGTGTGAATGTAGATAGCCACCTAATGATGGTGCATGTCTAATGAGTAAATTACTACCATAGTATATCACATCTGGCTGTGGCATAGTTTCGGGTACAAACCAACTTTTGAAGTAAGGTGACACCAAACCCGAATGGTTGGAAGAGGGAATTCTCGAGTTGCTAAGGAAGGTAAAGTATGATGAAGTTAGTACTGCAAGCGGAATAAATCCCACAGCAGCAGTTCTCCAAATAGTCTGAACAAGAAGTCTGTCCAACTGAACGTCTGCGTCTCCAGCTATTTCCCAACTGCGCTTGGCCACTAGGAACAAAAACCAGCACCAAGTTACAACTCCGACAAATTTGGATCCAGCTGACAGGGAAATAAAAGATCCGAGTGATAATAGACTCAGATACCAACAGGTGGAATACAAGCGGGTTCTTTTCAAAATGTTCCAGCTCAGCACACCGCAGGACAGAAAGAGGGTGTGGAGAACAACAGGGGAAAGATGAATGCATTCTTTAGTAAACAATGGCAGGCGAGAGATGATCGATACTGCCAGTACTGCTATTGCGCTTTTCACATTAGAGACACGCATGGTTAGATATAAAACAGAAATGGTTAGAGCGCCTGTAAAAATGGCATAGTATTGCAAAGTTTCATTTGGTACGCTTTTCAAAATCGAGCTTATTGAAGACAGTATCTGAATTAGCAAGGGAGGAAATTCTGTTATGAAGAATTCGCCGTTTTTATAATGAGTAATTGCTTCGAAAAGGTCAACTTCAGTTGAGTTCAATTCCGTGGTGGGCTTCAAGATTTTGATCTGGTGCAAAATGAAGGATAGACCCAAGAGAACTGACATTAACACATCAGTTCCCCTCAATTCGTTAAACAATAGACTTTCGTAGAAGTCGCTACCGAGGAATGGCCTGTAAGGGCCCTTTTTCAAAGGCGCGGGCCTCATGATGATACAGTAGGATAGTAGCCGAGTCGCACGAAACCAATACGAATTAGATTGAATGGATGTGGCTAAAGGTTTTATCCCAGCAGGCTGTGTCCGATTGGTTGACTGGAGCGAACCTGTCCACTAAGTAACTGCCTTGAGTTTGATGAAACTTTCAAGCTCATCAAAATCAAAACAATTTGAAGTCAGTTCGTGAACAGCGTACTCGCTCAAACCTCTATGAGTACGAGTGTCAGTGGCTGAAAGAGTCAAGTCTAACAGTATACTTCATGGTCGCAACACCTAGCAGCGCAGAAGAGGCGACTCAACAGCGTACTACTTTTTCCTGAGGCCCCAATAAGCCGTTTCGTAATAGACCTTTTTCGCCGGGATCTACTCTATCAATTCAGGAGCATTGAAAAGAGAGCGGTTAATGATGAACAGTGTTGGGTGAGGGGCAACGATGGACACTTATGGCCCCCTCCAGTATCCGCTGCTTTTGTCCCAGGACCATCTCAAAGGTCTTAAAAGTCTTCAAACGAAAAGAATTCCGATGGGACATTCCGAGATTATTTGTAGGCTTGGACTCATCGCATGGTGATTTTGATTCCAAAAACAAGCTATTCCATAGTGCAGCTAGCGGTATGAGGCTGAATACGCAATCGTTTTTCCACTCATGAAATACGTTTCTCCCTTTGTCAACACTACAGATCTTAAACCGCAATCAACGCACTCATTTTACCGTCTATCTTTCCCTAGTACTGCTCATATACTCTTAAAGCGTGGTTCAAGTTTCCTGTCGTCCTTCAACATACCATCGATTAACTGGGCGGCTAACATCTTTTCCACTTATGGCGCGTAAGTACAGCGAAGCGGTAGCCTTAACACTTTAACATCATAAGTCCATGATGTTGTAGTTACTAAAGTCAATTTAGGGCTACCTTCTGAGCTGCCTTCCTTACTGTTTTAGTGTCGTGGAATAGTAATAAAGAGGAAAGACACAAAAGCTTTTCCCACTGAATCATTTGAAGAAATAAAGGACACTTTGAGGATACGTCAACACCACTGAGCTTCCATTGATTCTATATGATGGCATTTCACAAATTGAACACTGACGTTTTTGTCAACAACTCCATGGAACGAAGTGAAAACTATCCAGATATAGCGGAGAGTTTCGACCATAATCTTAGAACCCGACTCTCGAGTAAGAAAAGTGATTCGGTATTCACAAGAAAAGGGAATGTTAAACGGGGGATAAAAGATTCGCTGCTGCTTTACGAAGGCCAGTCGTTTGAGTTGGGAAACGTCAATGCTGCCGTCAATGTCCCACGCAGACATATGAGTGGTGCCAAAGACTGTTTTGATTCGTCAATCGGCAATTTCGAGAAGTGTGCAGGTGGAAAGCATGTTTGGTATCGTGAGGATGATAGCTTTACAGGCAGGAGGATGGAGGATGGCGCAAGGAGACTGAGCGCTACCAATTCCGTCCACATAAGAGATGTGATTGAAAATGCAACCCACTCAATCGCTAGGAGCCAGAAGGCTTGCTTAGGGATCAAAGGTAGACTGAACAAGTACTGCTCTTCAAACTCTATTCACATGCCAGGCAGCTTCTCTGGCATCGATGTAGATGCTGAAAACATCGCTCCGCAAGATCTAGGTCGAAGATCTGAAGCGAATGACCAATTGGAGCAGTACCACTCAGTGGAACCTATACAATATCTATCAAGGCTGTTGGTTTCCCCGGTGATTATAAAAGCAGCGTATTTTTTGTTGGCCCACTGGGCCACGCTCGAATGTGATAGCTACTCATTTGTCGACACATGTGCAATGGTTATCAACTCCAGGGCTTCATGGTTTACATTGTCTCAATTGGACAACCTTATTCTTGAAGTAATAGAGGCGTGGTTGCTTATCAAGGCAGCTCCCATTCTCGTTAAAACGCCGTGGAGATTCTATGATATCGCTAGCCGCTACCAATCTTGTTCCAAAATCCATGAGGGTATGTATGACTGGGGCGATCGAACCGCTGTGCAAGAATTAACCAGGCTCTGCAAACGTCACGGTAAGCTCGGTTCGCAGCTTTACCGAACTAGCTTGATTGTCCTAATTATGTCGCCACTTGGATTAACCCTGGGAGCTCTGGCAGGGCATGCTATTACTTTCAAGTTGACCACCTACGAATTAACAGCAAGCCCGAGATGGACTGTATACTGGTCACTAATGTCAATTGCATTCTCACCCTCCCAATTTGCACTGCTGATATGGTGTTTGTGGTGTCAATACTTCAAGGATACTTTGGAATATCTCGAAAACTACGTGGTCAGACAACATCAGGCCTTTGTGAAGGATATTGACTTTATCGCTGATCAACTTGACAAAACTCAGCAAACAAACTCGGCTCATCTGGATGCTGGAACGAGGCAAATGGGGTTTTGCGAAAGCCAGATTCGTCCCTCAAGGATATTTCACCAACGTCGGGATTTCCAAAATACCCACCCCATTCACTCCCCCCATTCAAATAGCCAGTTACCTTCTTTTGCAATGGCTGCCTACGAAAGTCCTCTGACAGGCAAGAAACCTATAGATTCGCCAATCTCAACAATCCAGCCTGTTTCCCCTATGCCCGGCCCTTTCAGGACAGAAAGATCCCCTGGCAAGCCATCTTTTCTCAATCGTGTGTTCGCATTCTCGGGGCGTCTCCCCATTCACGTCCTGGCACTCCTTTATCGTGTTACACACAGGACAGTTAAGGTGCTGATATTCTCGTTATTTCTATCGTACTGGATAGTGATAGGAAAAAGCCGTCATTCGTCTTGATTTTTCTGTTCGTGACTGATATTACTGCCTACCCATAGAGGGATGCCCAACACCACTACGTCTTGCTTCTAACAACCATCGCAACATCCGTTACTGGCGTGCTTTAAACTATAGACCATGGTAAATGTACCATTTACACCTTCTAAGTCTTCGATGGATCCTCCATGTATACTGACGTAAATATCAATTGTCCAAACCGGTTGTCAATTACATGGCACTACTTCTGTCACAATAATCGGACCAAGAGAAGTAGTATTCGTTAAGCGCCAGCCAGCTGGCTGGCCCCCTCAGCTTGGTATAAGATTTATGACGTTGTTATGATTTTAGTGATAGTTCCGATAGTGTAGTGGTTATCACGTAACCTTCACACGGTTAAGGTCCTGGGTTCGACCCCCAGTCGGAACATTTATTTTTTGCAATCTTGATATTCATATTCACTAGAATAAGAATTATCCGTTTCCCTGGATGACAGGTGCCCTTAATGAGGCCAAGGCTCTTTGTCTGCTTTGACCTGGTGTCTTGCTTGTTATTTTCAGCTGCCTAATATGTAATTATTTAATTGCACATTTCGAATGAATTCGCAGTGCTACCGTAGAATACAATTATCAATTTTGGGGATGTGGAAACCGCCTTTCTGAATCTGATTAATGGCCAATAAGAGACGTCCCAAGAAGGTAAAAGCCCCGTACCGGAAGTATGTCGCCGGTCAGGGCTTTGTGCATACCAGGGGATTCAATAACAATGACGATGCTGTTGGAATTACTGTTCAGCAGGATCGGCATCCAAATGGCGAGGTCTTCCGTACACCTCAGGGAAGTTACATATACGATGTGCACACCGAGTCGATTGTACAGGTCGAACCCGCTCCAGAAGTACCAGGGTCTTTGAGAGATAAAATGGGCGATTTTCAAGCTCACAACGCTGTCTTGCCTTGGGAAGTATTCGATATCGTGCTGAGACTGTGTCCCAAAGTAGAGCCCCAATTCCTACTCGTGTGTCGTCACTGGTACCACATATGTGTTCCGCTACTCTACGCATCCCCCCGACTTCAGAGCAGGAACTTTAGTCAGTTTGTCGATGCAGTGGTGAACAACCGGAAAAAGAGACTGGGGGAAAACGTTATGGATCTGGACCTTTCGAATATCATACAGAGTGGGAAGAATTCGTACGTTTCTAAACTGCTGCGAAGGTGCAGTCCGAAATTGCGACGCTTCACTGCACCACAAACGAGTTTTGGATATGCGCCTCTAATAAGCTTAAAAGCGTGCCGACGGCTGCAATTCTTGGATTTAGGGTTGGTTTCGGAAACTGTGCAACTGGGAGAGCTCTTTAGTGCAATCAAAGAATTTACAAGTCTCACTCACCTGTCTTTCCCGAGAAGCTCTGTTGATTGCAGCGGATTTCGCAACTTTGAGTGGCCCCCGAATCTTCAATATCTGAAGCTGAGTGGTGGTATAACCAATGAATTTGTGAGGGAGACCGAGTTTCCACGAACCATAAGAACATTGGAGTTCTCGTTTTGCCCCCAGATCAATGAGCATGCCGTATACACTGTTCTAGCCAAGATCGGGGATTCCCTGCGACACCTTTACTTCCACTACCCCATGCCTACGCTCCATGGTACCTCTTTGGACTTTGTGTTTCGCTATTGCACGAATTTAGTTACACTACAATTGACTGTAGACTATTGCTCTAAGTGGGCTTTCTCGGAGCACATGCTGGTAGCTTTGTCCTCCCCACGCCCGTTGAAAACACTCTTATTGGAATGCAGCGGCAACTTAGGCCAAGCTTTCAAAGTGCATCCTGATGACATTACCATCGCGTTGGCAGAAGATAGACTGCCGAACCTGGACACAATACGAGTTTCATCCAAGGTTGGTTGGGACATGAGAAGTTCCGATGTCACCGATCTGATTTCATATCTGGAGGATCAAAATGGTAGCCTGTACATAAAATATTAAATAATAAGAAGGACAAACTTGGCATGAAGCGGCGGGACAATGCGTTGATCTGTTCGGCTTGATCTTCACGTGCTGAAGATCTCTTGATACATCTTTTGGATCTGATGATTATAGTTTACCGCAACTATGTGAAAAGGAGAAATGTTTAGCTGATTATAGCATTGGCCCCTGCGATGAGCTCTGCAATTTATTTCAGCCGATTCCTAGTCACAAACCAAGTTTTTTACGTACGTATCAGTGGAGATGACTGCCGCCAGAAACTTCTTCTAACGTTTGATTATAGAAATCTAAACACTCATTTGCACTCGTCAACCTAAAACCTTTAGTTCCTGGCCATGTTCTCGTAGTGCCACTAAGAACATCGGTCGTATGCTTGGCTGACCTAACGAAAGAGGAAAACGATGACTTTTTCGGGACCCTCCAACTGATTCACCGATTCATCAAGTTCCACTTCAAGGCTGACTCGCTCAACATTGCTATCCAGGATGGCCCTGAAGCGGGTCAGACGGTCCCGCATTTGCACACGCACATCATCCCACGCTATCACACCAACAACGTAGGGGACAAGATATATGAGATGCTAGATGGTTGGACGTTCGAGTCGTGGACGCAAAGACGCCAGTTATATTTGGAGTCTGGGGGCCGCGAGGGAAGGAAGCACTTTGCTAAACCGGACGATCAACGTGTTGAGTGCTCACAGGAGCATATGGCCTCTGAGACCCAGCTGTTGAGGGAAAGTCTTTCGCAGTATCTCACGGATAGTGACTTGTGATGCAGTGTTGATTATACAGATATATACATGGCTGGGGAAACACGGAAACACCTCTAGGTGCTGGCATTTCTCTGTTCCGCGCGCATTTTGGCTACAGTCTCCTTGCGCTTCCGCTCGCCGCCCAAAAACGACTTTTTGCCTTCCTTGATCTCTTGGATGGGCTGACTCTTCCGCAGTCTTTCGACTTGACTTAGGATGTATTTTCGCTGCTGTGGTCCCATGCCCTTTTCCTTCAAAGTTCTAGAATCCCATGAAAACAGATTATCCCACTTATTCTCATAGAGCTCGACATGCTCTTCACATTTACGTCCGATTCTGGTCAAAAATGCTTCCACGGTTGGAATTTGCCCTGAAGTCTTGGGAACTTTGCGCAGCAAGGCATCGTTTACTTTTAAAGCAACACTACAAGAGCTCAGTAGTCGTCTACCGGTCATAGTTGAAGCCATTTGGAGTCTCTTGTGTCGTCAGCCACCTCACTAGGCAAGTCCTTTCAAGTTTCCCAAGTGGATCTTCAATTTTGCATATATAAATCGGTAGTGGCACTATGTACGAACAAATGCCTTTGAAATTGTTCAAGTCTTCACACTCACCAAAGGATCAAGAGATTCCAACCAGACACGTTTCAACAAGCCGTCGACGACCAGCTCGAGTGAAGCTGGTATCGTTATATTATGAGCTCCAGTGATGAAGACGAAAAGTTCTTATATGGGTCTGACGATGAGAATACGGTGATGACAGGGGAAAACACCAAGAAGAGAGCTCCAGCGGACGGTGACACCAATGCTGCAACCACGGGAGAGTCCGCGAAAAGAGCTAAAACCATGGGGGAGTTTGACAGTACGGCAAGCTCTGGTGCAGTGATCTCTAATAGCAGTAGCAGTGAGGAGGCTTCAAGCGATGATGAGAACTCGGATGAAGAGTCCGATGTTGAATTTATTATTGGGGTTGGGACAGATAGCTCGAAGTTGGATTCGAAACAGGCAACTTCTTCCGGTAATGATAGTTCTGCAGCAAAAAATGCTGCCACTACCGTGGTGGCCCCGACCCTTGAGGTGAGCAGTGCGCTGGATGAAACAGACCCCGCGCTAGGCAATGGCACCGCTGAAGAGGCAATTGGTGGTACCCCTCAGGCGCAACCTGGTACCGAAAGGCTCCCTGTGCTAGATCTGAATGCACCTGGTAAATTCGGTGATAAGCTCGTGACAGATATAGATCCAGAGGTCTTGAAAGAGAAGCCCTGGCGCCAACCGGGTGCCAATCTAAGTGATTACTTTAACTATGGTTTCAACGAGCAAACATGGACGGAGTATCTGCATAAACAAGAAAAGCTTCGGGCTGAGTATAATCCGCATAAGCTACTCATGGGGCTGTTAGCTTTGCAGCAACAGGGCAAGCTCAATGACTCTGGCTCTAATACCATGGGGCAAGAGAGTGGTCCACCAAACGTGGCACCACCAGGCTTCCCCATGGGTATGCCACCCATGTTCGGGGGATTCCCGTTCCCCTTCCCTGGCATGATGAACAACATGAACCCGCAACAAAAAAAATAACAATGATTTTATGTGTGTGTATAGTCTGTATAGTATTAAACAAAAGTTTATCCCGGAAATTCAAACCGAGAGGCGCGAGTTGTTGAGCACATGTTTAACCCATGGTTGATGAAATTTATTCAAGTCGACCACATGGCTGAGTAGGTTTGTCCATGTGTTTTTGTCATCTGCAGATTCAGCGTCTAAATTTATCACTTCCCCGTTCTCGAAAATCAGTTTAAAGCATTCACTGAAAAGCACGACATCAGTGAAGTTGCGCACTCTCTGGACTGCCGTCTCGGTAAGTTTGCCTTCTCCTACAACACTAACAACCTTCAATAAATTGATCATGGCCTGCGGCTTTCGCGTTATCTCATGATGTGCAACAAGCTGTGTGCCATTTAAAACAAAATATCTCTTCTGTAGCATCCCATCAATGTCACCTCCCTCTTGCCATAAAAATCCTTCGAACTTGGTGTCTTGTTGTTCAGAATACTTGTTGACGATATCGTGCGCCAGTTTCAGCGTCTTGGGGAATTTCTCTAGTTGAGACGTCCTTGGCAAAAAACACATCTCAATCTGAATTTCACCAATTTTATACTTTGGTTTACGAGGGAGTGAAAAGATATCTTGTCCAGCCTCCACGCGTCCATCCTCTCTTTCCCATTCGTTGAAAAGATGCATGTTGAAAGTCTTCGTTCTGTAGGTACATTGATCCAATTTTTCCTCATTGAGAGAAAAGCTGCAGCGGGCAAATGACCCGTCTTGTGCGAATTTATAATCCCAAGAGTCCACGCCAATCTTCTTGCTAACGAACTTTTTGTTCACGACATATTTTTGTTTACCGAACAGAAATTTCTTCTTCACAGGAATACGCTCAACCACCTCCACTAGCTCCGAGGTTGGCCTCTCATATTTGCACTTCAACGTTACTATTATTTCAGGAACTGTCTTTGGATTCACTTGTTCCATGATGAGCTCATATTCCTCATTCACATCCATACCATCTCCACTCAAAGGCTTCCACGCGGTTTGGGCCACATTAACTCCGTTATCAAATTCCATGGCGATTTTTGGTTTATGGCGCAAAGTATCGTTGAGACTGAGATTTTTTATTGATTTGATCATGATGTAAAGTTTGCCGCTGTCCTGTAGATCTGTGACTACTTCTTTTCCATCCTTTGTGAAATCTTTGACAGAGGAATGAATGCTAATTTTTGGACTTGGCGTTGAGAGTTTTGGTTCAGAAAGTTCAAAATTTTTTGAAACGTTTTCGAGCTCTGGTTGGGTGTTATTTTCAGCTTGCTCCATGAGCTTCCGCGATCGAATCGTTTTGAATGGGCTCTCTACGTGGGACTTCTTGATTGGCGATGGTGTTTTGGGAGATTGAAATAGATCTCTGTTGTGCTCGACGCTTTCGCTTGAAGCACACCTTGACACCTCATATCCATTGAAGCTCTCAGTTCGGCAGATAGCAACATCGCTATCTGCCTTCTTCAAAATTCCTAATCCTGTTAGAGTATTTTCTGCCTCCTGGTTGGCATTTGAATTGGGACTTCCAACTAGTAGCTTTTTGATTACCTTGTCGTTTAGCGCGTCTCTGGCAGCTTCCCCATCTCTTTTATTGAAAGAGAAGTTCAACCCATTTTCATAGTTGTTCTCATCCCAGATATGGTACACAGTTGGGTCTTCAAGTTGGCGCTCACTATGCTTCAGCGATATGTTATCTTGGTTCATATTCTTCAAGATATCTCCAAAATCCTCCATGAAGCTAAACTTTGTGGTTGATAATTCGGGCAAGTACAAGGAATCACTAGCCGTCTGAACGAGGTCTTCATTCTTTTCTACAGGAGCTTCGTTAACGTCTGTTGGTTTTGAAAATGATTCCTCGACTATTTTACCAGGCAACTCTATATCTTCATCTTGTGATGGCTCTTTCGAGCCTTCTTGTGGCGCATTGCAACTTTTAGACTCACTCTGGATCAAGGCTATTTGTGCAATTGAGGGTATCTGCTGGACTGGGGGCCGTGTTCCACGAACTTCCGATGCCTGCGGATCCAAAATACTAGAGGTAGCAGCAGACTCGATTTTACTCCTCAACAAAGGAGAATGGGCTCTTTGGTGATGGGAATAATGGATCTTACTTCTGCTCACTAGGCGCGGCTTTAGCCTGAACTTTGAGGGCGCCACCAATGACGAATCTGCTGTTCCCGCCGAATGGTTGGAAAATTGTGAGTTTGCAGAGATGGTTGGAGAAGACTTCTTAATTCCTTCCTGACAATGCCATATTGACAAGTAGTCTGGCTTCAGTGAATAGGTGATGTCAACAGAATCCTGGGATGTATCTCCCACGTCTGCAAATATAGGATCATCATCAAACAGGGTGGCAAAGTTGTTTGAAGCTATCCGATTGTGGATCAACAGCTGCTCACTCTCATGCCCCTCGGCAGTATGTTTCTCGGTATTATTTTCAAGCGAAGAGTCACCTGGCTCTGAATGACATAGTGAATTTTCGCCCTTCTGAATTTCAATGTTTTCTAGCTCATCTTTGTCATCGAATGGGATGTCTTGGACGTTCAAATTTTGTTCACCATTGCTCCCAGTACAAAGGGGGATTATATCACCAGTTTGACTTCTAATCTCTTTTTGGCCTACTGCAAAATTGCCCCCGTTGGAAGCTGTGGAGTTTCCGGTGCGGCTCTGATCACCGTTATCGTTATCCTTCTCAATGTGACCCTGATATTCTACTGGTGAAGAAATGTGAGAACAATTGTCATCTTCAATAACCTCTTGGTCGTTGAGAGTAGCATTCCCTATGTGATTCAGGTCTGTCAATTTAACGGTGGAATTGGAAATAGATTTCAACATGCTATTTTCCTCATCCGAAGTTTTTGGTAAGAAGATCGGTCTTTCCCTCGTGTACGTCGGTATCGAAAAGCCATTAGAATATTGTTCATCTTTCTTAACCTCTTTACTAATGTCTTCAAGAGTCTCGTCTTCTCGGACAAATCCTGTCGATATCTGCAGGTCTTTGATGGATTGTTCAATGCGATCGTCATTGACCGATGAAGATGAGCTCCAGTCACTCTCCCTTGCGGATTGAAATTCGTCAGCCGTTGTTGCAACGCTGAAAACCCTTGATGTATTAACATCTGGCTCAAGTATTGATAAGCTCTTATTAGGCAATTGATAGGTATGGGTACTAGAGTGTGCCGCATTATTGGATGGTACGTAGGTTCGCAGTAGCTGAAACTTGTCTTGACGCATCGTCGTTTCCAAGTCGGTCACACTTTCGTCCATAGACGATCCCGAGGAAACTCTACTTTGGCCTGTTCCAGCGAGTAGCTCCGCGCTTGCCAATCTGTTGATCCGAATGGTGTTGGTTGTAGGAATTTTTGAAGGCGAGTGTTGAACATTATTGAAAGTTTCCTCTTCAGAGTGCGCGGGCTCTAGTTCGAACTCTAAAAACTTGTGGGCAGCGTCGGCATCATTGCTAAGCAGCGGAGGAGTTGACTCAAACTTGATTTTCAACGGCTGGCTTGGGAGGTGGTTTTCAGGAGCCGCGAATGCCATCTGGTCCGCGTTGTTCACCATTTCTTTCAGTTTCGGAACGTTAGGAGAGCCATGTTTGCTGCCTAAGACGTGATCAAGGCGTTCGTGAAGATTTGTAACCGAGTTAGCCCTCAATTCTGCCTCAGTGATATCTAGTGAACTGTCAGAACTGTCGCTCGCGCTAAGGCCATTATCGTTATAGTCCAGGCCGGGTCTGGCTGGTAAATTGTCTGCTACAACATTTTCCTTGGTGTACTTTTCCTTTGGACAGCTTTGAGTTGTAACAGAAAGGTCCCAAGCTACCACGTCGCTAGCAGCCTCCGTTGGATGCTCTCCGATCAACGACGATTCTGCACCCGGGTATTCATGTAGCTCAAATTTATCGCTGAACATAACAGACCTATTGTGGCGTGATTCGAGGAAGAGTTGCTGCTCAGACTTGTCGGCATTGGCACTCTTGGAATCGTCTGCGCCAACATTAGAGTTAGATCGCGTATTGTGCCTCACAATTTTGTCCATCGTCTCATCGCCAATTTCATGTAGGGAAAGCTGCCTTTTGGCTGTTAAAGGGATTTCTCTCTCGATTTCTGATAGAAGTGAGTCGACAGTCGTTAAGTTCAAATTATCATCCGAGTTCATGGTGTAATAGAGGAGTCTCCAATCACCAAATTTCGTCCAGTGGGTGGGGCGTTATTCACAATGCTGAGAACCCTCGACAATTGTCACAGACTCTTGGTATGATACACCAGACGAGATGCACCTCAATTTCTACACTTTTTTGCTCGAAGGATTGAACAACATTTTGACGTGCCTGATTGATTCCCTTCACCGTTGACATTACTATTGTCAATGTTGTTGTCTCGCCTAATATGGCAGTTTGTAAACATAAACACCGAGTGCAGTAACTGTAACATTAAGTCATGTGGTTTTCAGATGAGCTCATGGATACACTCTGGCGATGCTCCACGACAGCGTCAGTATACTCACTACCCGTTATCTTGACTGTTTTTCGATCAAGTACCATTAAATATTTACTATTGGCGCCCGTGACTTTGGTTCTCAATTGCTTTTGAATAAAGACCTAACCTTAGAAACATAATATAATACTTTGGTCAAGATGCTCTTTTCACGCTAAACACTGATCCTAGATCTAAGACCTGGAGCGGGCTAGATGCTGCATAAACCTCGTTTAATCCAGAAACGTCTTCAATTTATGATATAGGATGTTCTATCAAAAGGTAGTGCTTGAGTTATATGCTCATATATAGTACAGTGATTCCTCAATTCTAGTCAGAACCCTAACCCTTTCTCCTTATGATTCTTTCTTGACATGTAAGAAAAAAGATGATTGCTCTTGAGCAGCAAGGTGTGGTGTTTGGTCCTTTATTCGTAGCTAACAAGTGTGTTTTGTGAAGTTCCCGGTTTGCCCCCAACCTCAATCATCTCACGAATACTGTCATTGAACGACAGGAATAGTAGTAATGGCATGAATGGCAATAATGACAGACTAGGAACCATCAGAACCCAGCCAAAGAAGCTAGATGGCTATGAACAAGGATAATACAGCACGAAGCAGTCCCCACGAGCCCCGCCAACGATCACATGACGTCTCAAGGCTGTTACCGCATTTTGACCTTCCTCAGAGACGAGTTAGAGTACGGGAAAGCATACAATAGGAGACTGGTGGATCAGAACAAATGGGCTCATTGGAGATAGAAAGAAGTGAGGAATGGCGAAATACTACCGCGATCTACAAGTTCTGATTGCCTTCAAGTAACTATTCAGTAAGTTGACGCTGTGATAATTGTTCACGAGAAATTCGCTGCAAACAAGTATTCGCTATGTCGGATAGTGTTCACGACAATCATATCAAGTACGAGAGTTTGGCCGAGTGGTTAAGGCGTCAGATTTAGGCTTAGCTTTCATAATAAGTCAGATTCTCTGATATCTTCGGATGCGCGGGTTCGAATCCCGTAGCTCTCATTTATTTTTTTGAATATTATATGACCGGCTGAACCTGAAGCACGTTTCGGTGTTGGGTCTACATCCGAATCTTCAGATTGCAAATTTCAATGTTCTCACTGGAAAACGGAAAAGAAGGTTTGTTTCAAGAGAACTTGTGGCTGTCCGAAGTTACCTGGCCTCTTGGCACTTGTGGATGAGGTATATCACTCTGTACTATTCTGGCGTGCTCAAGCACCCCGTCGCATGACGCTAAGAAACTTAAGGATAATGTCAATAATAGGTCTCGGATGATGTTTCAAGGACAGTTGAGGCTAAGCCTCAACTGGGAGCTCATTTATAAATATGGCTAATGGAAACTCCTCGGTGATTGATGGCTAGTTATAGGAAGAGAGAAAATGCGTCATTTGATCTATTTATCAAATTTATGTTCTAAGCCCGATCGTATCACACACCCATGTTTGTAGTGTACACTTGGTCTATAAAACAACAAGGATTTAGTTGATCATCCTGCTTGCAAGCTTTCAGAAAACCTTATAGGGACTACATCACTGGGTGTTTCAAGAGAACTTTCGAATGATCTACAATGAGTCGAGCACATCCGCCGACATCAGAATGCAGAAAGATGTATATCTGAAGATATCAAGCAAGCATTGCGCGCGTTTCTTCAGGTCACGGTGTTTCCAACAACAAATTTGGGTAAATCAGATTTATTTATATTAACCTCGCCAGCAATGTAAGACGCTAGCGTGCCACATTCTCAAAATGCTTCACCTATCAGAGCCAATTGTCAAGGACAACACGTCGAAATCGAACCAAGCAAGCTTATCGATGTGCTGGACTAGGTTTCAAGGCTTCATGTATTCCCGTGTATCATGATATTCATTTACAGACTGGATGGTCCATCGTGACAAGCTCGAACATCCAAGAGATCAACCTGACTTTGGGGATCTTACAGATCGCGCTGGAGCCCATCCTCTTTCTAGTCGTGTTGAAAACGCTTGATTTGCCAATCAGTGTCGATCTGGAGCACTGTGTTCTGGATTTTGTCGGGCATTTTCAACCTCTGCGATGAACAATCTGGAGGCCAACCGCTGGCGGCAGTTTCTGTTTAGCCAAACCAGTGTGGCATTTTGGGCTGGTGGTCTCGCTGGTGCCGTGTCAAGAACGGTTGTATCGCCCTTTGAAAGAGTGAAGATCCTCCTGCAAGTACAAAGTTCTACGCAGGCATACAATCAAGGCATTTTTGGCGCCGTTAAGCAGATATATGTGGAAGAAGGAGTTCCTGGTCTTTTGCGTGGCAATGGACTAAACTGTGTTCGGATCTTTCCATACAGTGCTGTGCAGTTTGTGGTATACGAATTTTGCAAGCGCCAGTGGTTCGAATTGAGGTCATCACCACCTGAGCAAAAACAGCTCTATGGATGGCAGAGACTAATGAGCGGGGCACTGTGCGGATTCTGTAGTGTTCTCGCAACATATCCCCTTGACTTGGTGCGTACGCGTCTTTCCATTCAAACTGCCAACCTTTCGCGATTGAAGAAGATGCAGGGTACGGAAGCCGTGAAAGAGAAACCACCCGGCGTGTGGCAGCTACTGGTGAGAACGTACACCCAAGAAGGCGGTGTTGCCGGTTTATACCGCGGGTTTTGGCCCACTAGCATCGGTGTTGTGCCGTACGTGGCCCTCAATTTTACAGTTTACGAACAGTTGCGAGAATTCATACCTAGCAGCATCGATCCTGCTTGGGCTAGCCTTTACAAGCTTTCCATTGGGGCTGTGAGTGGTGGTGTGGCCCAAACTATGACGTATCCGTTTGATTTGCTTAGGAGACGCTTTCAGGTACTGGCCATGAGCCAGAACGCGCTAGGATACCGCTACACCGGAGTTTTCGATGCCTTACGTACTATAGGGCGCACAGAAGGTTTCAAGGGCTATTATAAGGGCCTTACTGCGAACCTTTTTAAGGTCGTTCCCTCCACGGCTGTCAGCTGGATAGTATACGAGACAGTCAAGGATATGATGTCCCATCACTAAAGGGCTTTATATCGAATAAAACAAAATGCAATTCGAGCCAACATACCCCGCGTTATAGAAGATAAATTTTCATTAAGTTAATATTCAACATCGACTGCCTTGAGTTCAAGCAACAAATCTCCCCTCGCCGACGCCCTGTACGCATTCAACTGCTCTGCGACTGCGCATGGAGTGAGAATGTGTTTAGGTGTTCTATACGGCATCCCATTTACAGAGGAACGTTATCCTAGGCAGGAAAGAAAGCTCTATAAAGATGTAGGTTGGTCCTTCGGCTCAGTCCGTCTCCCACCATGCTGGACCTCTAGCTACTAAGCCAGAGTACATCTACCAATATAAAGCTATCCACCGCGGAGGTCAAGATGATTCTACGGCCCGTTGCGTTCATCAAGATGGTCCTGTGCTTAACCCGACCACATGAACCCAAGAAGTAATGCAAACCGAGCGAAAATGCTTGAAAATGGCACTTTTTCGACGATCTTAGTTACTGTAAAGGGGAAAAGCTCTGTAACCTCGTGGCAGATCCCTAGATCCCTAGGTCCCGGTCTTCTGGGCCATTGCCTTGATGTTGTCTGGTGTTGGGACACCTTCCTGTCCCTTTCTACGTTAGTAATTACTGGGCCAATTAGATTTCAAATCTTTAATTATATCACCTTTAACGGAAATAAACTTGTTAAAAATCGACTTACAAAATCGATTACGTCGTCAGTGATCAAGGGAAGGATTGAAAATTATACAATTAAAAACAGCTTACTGGTCGTGTAGGAGTTCCTGTTCGTCCGAAGACTTAGAGTTCCCTCCCTATATCAATAACTGCCCGATAATGAGAGCCACCAGATATCTACTAAACGCAGCTGTATGTGCCTGACGAGGCCGTTTGCCCGTCTTTTAGAAGGAATGAACTTGGTTTGGAGGTATCAGCGATGGTACTTTGGTAGTGCTTTTCATCGGTAGTGTATAAAAGACGACCAACCGAAGTACCGCAGTGCTATCATATGGAATCATGATCTGTTAGAACCCCACCCGTTCAAAATGGCTCCTTGCAAATGTACTAACAATTCGCGCAATTAGCAAAAACAAAAACCAGGTCTCGGAATTCCGGTCGAATTGACGCCTCTTTTCCTAGCTATGGGCGTGGCCATGGGCTCTGCGTGCTGGTTTTCCTACAAGAAGTTTAGATTCGACACCAGTTTGAGAGTTGGCAGAACCAACCCTGACAGATCGGGCCTACAGAAAGTGTTGGAAGAAAACAAAAACTAAGCAGATAAGTTTTCAGTAACTTGTTCTAAAGAATGTCATTTATCAGCACACCACTACCCCACTCTTTAGGTCTATATGTCTGATCCACCACTTTTTGCGGAGGTGGACCATCAGTTCCTTAGTTAACTCAAACATTCGTACTTTCAGTATCAATTCTATGTACCAGGCACATGTTGACGAACTGTATTTATTTGCACATCAGCTCACAAATGCGCATATCTTTAACTGGTGATGGCCCTGATGTTTGTGTCCGACTCTTCAATCTTAAAGAATGCCGCGTTAACGTTTATGAATATTATTTATACAGAGAATGCCTTTGCATTCAACATGAGCTTGCCACCCCCATCTATTCCGACGTGGAAGCTTGTCCCGTGTTAACAACCACATTGCTACCCTTCATTTCGAAGCTGTTCCTAATTTCATCTAGGTCATTGCCTCTTGAAAACGCTTCCCTGCCCTTGTTGCTGAGAACGTGTCCGTCTTCAAACTCATTATGAGCGTCCAAAACCTGTAGATTATCTTGCTGTATTTCGATTTCGTCCATAAGATCCTCATCCAGCTGTTGAGGAATGATCAAATTCAATATCATCGCGACAATTCCTGCTACTGCGAAACCGGACTCCATAATCAAAATGATAGCATTCAAAAGCCCTTGTAATGACTGATTGTCCCCGGAATAATGAAAGAACGTATCAAACCAATCTGGAACTAAAATGGCTCCAAATCCAAATAAGAGTGTGCCAGTTAAGACGAATCTATCACGCCTTGTGAAGGGTATGGTGGAGATAATCTTCAAACCTGAAACAGCCACACTTGTAAACAAAAAGGTGGTCATGCCACCCAGGACCGGCTTTGGAATGGCTACTAACGCGGCACCAAATTTGGCAAAAATACCCATGACAATTAAGAAGAAGCAACACCAGTAGCCCACTTGTCTATTAGCACATTTCGTTAGCGAGATAACACCATTGTTTTGAGCGAAAGTCGACATGGGGGGGAGGGTGCAAAGCGCAGAAATGACACCGCCGATACCATCGCTTAACACAGCACCCTGAATTCTGGACTCGTACAATTCACCTTCCACCTCCAAACGAGAAACATCACATGTGGCTGTCACATCACCGATACACTCCTGAGCCAACACAATGTACATGACCAACATTGGAAGAACAATTGGGCCATAGACTTTCAGTGGGAAGGTGTGGACCCACATGAAAGTAACAGCTGGGGCGGCATTGATTGACGAATTCGAAAAGTAACCGCAAGCTGCCGCCACAATGCAGCCTACGATAAGGCCAACAATGACAGCGCAGGACTTCATGATGGGGGAGCCCCATTTTTCACACATGATGATTGTCGAAAACACCAGAAATCCCAGTCCGACAAACCTCGCACTGCCCCATTCGCCGGCCATTGGTGCCCCTTCGCTGGGACAGATTGCTCCGACACAGCTTGACCCACCAACCCAATCATTGAATCCACTCTGAATTAAGCTCACAGCAATACATAGCACAACTGGACCAGTAACAATCTTGGGAAATAATTTTTGTAGAACCTTAGGGGGCGTGAAAGACATCAATATTTCCAATAAAGCGCAGCACGCAGCAGTTGCTAAAAGCGCACCATAGCCAGCAGAGCACGGACCAGGTGTGCCGTCCTCATTTGTGGGGCAAAACCCTGACTTGTACATTACTGGAACGGCCTTTTCAATGATAGTAATAGTCGCGAACGAAGTTCCGACCACAGAGATTAAACCAGAGCCAATGTAGTAGGGCGTCTTAGGAATGTGAAACCTTGTAATTTGAATACAAGACATGATACCAGAAACAATAAGAGAAGCAGAAACCAGATACTGTTGGATTTCGGTTGGGAAATTGCAGACGGACGAAATGATGATGGGGGGCGTGATGACACCTGCTAACATTGCCAAAGAATGCTGAAGGCCTAACAAGAAGCCCAAGAAAAGTGGAATATCTGAATATACCGAGAAGAAAGGCTGGTCTCTCTGAACCGGCTCGATTCCTCGCTTGCGTGAGATCCAGTCCCTGAACGGATATGAGGGAGTGAACAGAAAAGCGTAGTCATAGTCTCCAAAAAGCCCTTCTTTTGTAGTCAGCTTGCGGAAGAACTGCTTGGCTTGCAGTTGCACGTTATTCATCGTAATCTCTGACCCACGACAAAAATTCTGCTAGTAACCAAAGTTGACTGGAAGCCGTTGAACGAAACTTCTAATGTCTCTTTTTATGGAAGGAGTAGTATTAACTGTGCGATGAAATCGTCTTTTGATCTTCTCTTGATGTCACGATGAGCAGAGCTTCTGCCTGTCGTTTACTATCAAAATGTACGTTACTACTGATAACGAATTCGAAGGCTCGAAATGGATATGGCACAAAAATGAAAACACGCGCCTTTAGTCTCGATAAGGTGAGTTAATGGATGGCAACAACTTTGTCGAAAGTACTGTTGTTCGTTGTAATTTTTGTTCGCTTTAATATCCTTCTTGTAAGGTTATCTTACATGGAGTTACCGCTTTGCCTCGCTTCGGATGATGATAAGCTTTTGTCATGCGCATCCGTCAGAAAAGGTGCAGTCCGCTCATCCAAGGCTCTGTTCCAAAAGTAATAAAAGTTCATTTTGAGTTGTTTCTGACGGTTCTTTCCTTCGGCTTTGCCCCTCTGCTGATAAGCAACGATTTTCGCACTTGCCCGCGACAACTTTTTTGTCTCGTGCAAATCACACCAGTTCATGCAGATGTGCGGTGTGATGGCTGCTGGAATTGCGGGCGCGATCGCCAAGTCCACCTGCAGTAATACACCCGGACTTGTATCTACCAGGAAGAGACGGCCGGCTCCAGCAGTAAAATTAAGCTAGGCCCGTTAAGTGCTAGTCTTCAAATTGTAATAGAAATCGGTAACATCATCAATCTCGTCGAGTTGCCCCATAAACTTTTTGAGCTTGGCTTTGGTCTCTTCGTCGAGAATCTCGACCGCCATATCATCTTTCGGCACGTAGGCGACGTTGACCTCTTGGATATAAAACCCACCTTCTTTTAGGACAGAAGCTACCTGGTTCGCATGAACCGGGTCTGTGCTCAATTCGTAAAGCATGTCCCCGTATCCGGCTCTCAGTGCGTCCTTGTCGGTGTTTTGTGGCTCGAAAACCTCGAGATCTTCGACTCCGTCGATTTCCAAAACCTTTTCCATGACCTGGTCGAATTCGCGTAGTGCGACCGGTGGTTGGACAACAACACTTCCCTTGCGTTCGAAAAAGTACAGTGTCGGTGTGATGCTCCCGTTGGCCTTTGTGAAAGCGCTTCTGACCAGCCCGATGGTTCTGTTCTTGTTGTCTGTGAGAGCCTCAACAACAAAGGCCACACCTCCGGGGCCCATTCCCTCGTAAACACATGTATCTGACTTTGCTCCGTCTTTGCTGGTAGCTCCCGAACCCTTGCGTATAGCGTTTTCCACCACCCGCTTGGTAACGTTGTTCTTGTTGGCAGCTTCGATAGCCGCTGCCAAACGGACGTTTAGCAGAGGATCTGAAGACCCACCTCCAAGCTTGACAGCTAGCGCAATTTGATTGGCAAATTTGTTGAACAGCTTGTTTCGCTCGGAGTCATTCTTGGCTTTGTCGTGTTTGATGGTTGACCATTTGTTGTGTCCCGATAAAACGGGACGACAAACTGAAAATGGGCGCACCAATAGGGCCGGAATACTGGAAACCGTCAACCGCAGCATCTATAAAGTATATAAAGAAAGGAAGGCTATTTACAAGAGCTCCAAAGTCTGGGTCTAGCTCGACTTGTTTTCCAGAACGTTTTCCATTGTGATGTTGATTTTCCGCATGGCTACAAAATTGGCTACAGCGAAAAAACAAGGGAACAAGTAGAAGATACAATATGGAAAAGCATCCAGTCACCTAAGGACCATCACCATACAATTTCGCTAGATCCGTTGGCGGCCCTTTGAATTGGCAATGGCTTCTTCTTTTCCCATAATCTTACTTGGTATGACTCTAAATCATCTCTGACGAGTACTAATCAATGTGTAGGAATTGAAGAAACCTTCATAATCTTAGCTACTTTCCCTTTTTACAACGAAAAGATACATACACCATTGACCGATGTCCGACAAGCGCTCTCTTATCGCGGTTATCGGCGATGAAGACACATGCACCGGTATGCTACTCGCTGGCGTGGGCCAGGTCTCGCCTTCGAGTCAGGAGAAGAACTTCTTCATGTACCAAGAGGGCAAAACCACCAGGGAAGAAGTCTTAGCGGCCTTTGACAATTATACACAGGAAAGGGAAGACATCGCGATTTTGCTGATCAACCAGCACGTTGCTGAAAAAATCAGAGGCCAGGTAGACAATTTCACGGCTGCGTTCCCGGCAGTTTTGGAAATTCCATCGAAGGAGCATCCCTACGACCCGGAAAAGGATTCCATCTTGAAAAGAGTGCGCAGACTCTTTGGCGAATAAGCGCGGGCAGCTAAAGTCTATATAGAGTTACAATCGAATTGTGTACAAGACTGTAATAGATCAAAAACAAAAAATGAGAACTTTTGGAGACTACTAAACACGGCCACAAGGCGCGAACACAAACACATTACTTCTTATTTTTCTTCTTACTCTTCTTTTTCTTCTTCTTCGAACTGCTAGGAGTGTTGCCATTTGTGGTGTCCGGGATCGTCGACTCTCCAGCCTCTGGTGTGCTCTCAATCGCCTTTTCATCGTCATCGTCATCATCAACTTCATTTTCATTTGCTTCGTCATTCACAGCCTCTTGAGGGTTCTCTGGAAGCGTGTCCGTCTCCGCTGGCACAGCCTTGGGGGATTCGGCCTGTAATGGTAGATCATGCATTTCGGAAACTTCCGCGATCAAATCTTTCTCCAGAGATTCTGGGGTTTCATTCGCTTTATCTGTTGGGCCCAAACCTTCAGTCTGAGCAGTTTCTTCGGCATGGTCGCTTTCCTCGTTCTTCTCCGATGGCTCTGCCGTAGAGGATGGATCAACAGGGTCGGTATTCGTCGGCACCACATCTTCAGCAGCATTAGCGGTGGCACTATTGGTGGATAGTATATCTTCAGCCACTTCGACCTTGTGGGCTGTGCTACTCCCCTCCGGTGTTGTGATGGTTTCCGAACTATTTATTTGGAGAGGCACCTCCCGTCCGTTCGAGTCTGGGACGATATCGGGCTCAGAAGCGCTAGCTTCTTCTTTTTGATCCACGATAGGCTCTTCTACTTCTGGAGTTCCACCAACGTCCACCGCAGAGTCCACCGCAGTTTCCTGGATTGCTGGCTGTTGAGTTAGCGAAACAGTTTCTTGCGTCTCGTTCAATTGTTCGTCTCCCGCAACGTCTTCGGTGTTGGGGATTTCAGAGGTTAACGTAGGACTGTTGCCGTCGCTGGCTGGATCGCCTGCCTCTTGGGGCACGTCTTCAAGTTTCTCAACTATGTTGGAAGCTTCCGGTTCTTCAGCTATTTGTGGTTGTTCTACTGTCGCAGAGGGAACCGCAGAAATTACTTCAGCATCGCTTTTTACTGCTGTATTTGAAATTCCAGTCGAAACTGCGGATAAGCTACCCTGAGCCCCAATACTAGGGGCCGGTGTGTTCGCTTCACGAGAAATCTCTGGAGGTTCTTTCACCTTATTTTCCCCATTTGCTGCTTCGTTCAAAGAAGGGAGCTTCAAAAATTTATAGCTTTCCAAATTGCTGGCATCGGCGTCCAGATAGAAGCCACGAACACCAACAATTCGTCTTTCAAGTTCGCAGGCGCGGACCCACTCGGGCCTTACCACCGGAATGTTACTCTGCTTTGCCTTTTGAAGTTCAGCATCTTCGTTGTCATTGTCATTTGTAATGAAATGCGTCGTGTCGATAGTTACATGCGACTGTAAAGGTTTCGCCCCAATGTTTTGCAGACTCGACTCGATATGTCTTTTTGTAATCCCTTCGATGCCTTCAAGTGCACCCAAACATGCAGTTATCCCCGACATATCGGTCATCTTATGCGTTTGAAGGACAACTTTATCTGACCAGAGGTCTCCTGAAGTTGTGCTCAATTTGAGCTGAAACGTATACTGGCTGTCCACGGATAGCCCCGAGATCTTAGTGGCGGTAGTTTTGAAGGGATTGGGTATCATTAAAGACCGTACTCCGTCTTTATAAAGGACTAGTGACTTCAGCTGGGCAGAGCCTAACTCTATGGGCTCCCATCCCAAAACACCACTGGTTTGTGTGACGTTAATACTTTTCAACACCGGACTCTGGGGTCTTCGAGTTCCGTATTTCTCTAAGATCTCATTTTGAAGTGATTGGAACTTTTCAAACTCCTGCTGTTCCAGATCATGATCTTCAGAGACTTGGATCCTGACGATGGATCCAGCTTTAACGTTATCCGGCAGAAGCATAGTTGGAAATTCAATTACGTGGTGATTTTTTGTTGTCAGGAGTGCTAATGAGGCATCCAGCCTGCCGACAGTGAGCCATTCTTCGACTGGAGTTGTCGAATCGGTGCTCATCTTTGTTATTTTGGCCTTGCCCTTGTCTCCGTTTGTATAGCTTGGTCTCCTTTTACATTTGAGGTATTGTAACCGAGGCCTCCATGAAATCATCATTCACGAGTGTCGTGCTTCAAGGGCTACCATTATCTCGAGCGTTGCAAACATTGGTGATACTGGCGTCGCGACCTAGAGATTCAATTTGAGCTTTCAAAAATTAGGTGTATCGACGCACTCATTGTTCAAAGCTGATGGCATTGAAATCCAGCGTAATCATCCTAACTACATTTGGTATTTAGTTTATTTTTCCACATGTGACGGCGAATGCCACCCGCTTGATACAATGCCGCCCGCTAGATGCCCCTGACTTCAGAAGGGTATCATGCGTTCTCTTGTTAACCGAGGCTACTTAAACTCATTCTTAATAGGATCTCAAATATGTGCGTTGTCAGGACATCTCTCGAAACGATGAACATGCGTTGTAGCTATCATGGGCATCACGGAACCTTGAAAACAAAAATGTGCTGCTAACGGTGGTCAAGGGCCGAACTCCTAACGGTACATTTATATCAAATTATGGATTATCTAATTACGCCCTCGACTAATGTGTCCACTTATTTTCATTCAGGAGCTGCTGAACGCCAGGGATCGACACACCCTCACCAAGGGCACATATTGCTCGAAGACAAGTCATTCTTTACAGAATCATGCAATTAATTCACCTATATACAACGTACCTTCACTTTTTGTCATCGAGGTCATTTTCAGTAATTAATTAACCTCACATGCCGGACACAGGTGAAGGTTCTCGGTCAACGTGAGTCTATCATATAAGCGCGAGTGCAGGAATGCCAAACCATCTTTCAATTCTCTAGTTCAGCAACTGCCTGAGTGAGTGCTTCCAAGAGAATGTCAGCATGCTTCTCTTCAAAAGTAAGCGTTGGTCTGAGCCTGACAGATTTCTCAGCGCACCCACCGACGTTGCATCCTTTCTGTTTTAAAGACTTGAGCAAGGCATCTCTCTGGGCAGACGATGGTAAGTCCCAAGCAATGAATGTGCCTCTGTGTTGACCTCTCAATCTCTGAAATTTATCAGGGTTCTGAGATTGGAGCTGTTCCAGCTTGCCAAAAAGGTAGTCGCCGACACGAGATACCTGCTGGATCAGATTCTTATCGGTAACCTCCTGCGCAATGGCACCGGCAATAATCATACGGGCTGGCTCACCACACCAGGTGTTGAATTGTCTGTAAGGCTGATTAGGTACAAATAGTGGGTCATGAAAAAAGTAGCCAGCACTTTGAAATTTTTTGGAAAAGGTGACCAGATCAACTGGTGGTTGAATGTCGGCCCATTCGTGGCACCAAGCCTTACCTGTGGCACCGACACCTGTTTGGACCTCATCGATGATATACACAACACCGTGCTTCAAAGTCAAATCTCTCAGCTTCTGCAAGAAGTAAGTGGAAGCATGGTTGTCGCCACCCTCAGATTGAATGGGTTCGACGATCAAAGCTGCCACGGGAGTAGGCCATGATGTGATGAGGTCTTCCACAATTTTTAAACAGCGGTCGTCCTCGGCACGGTTGGCAGCCTCGTTCTCGGCCAAGGGGAACGCATAGTATGGGTATTCAGCGTGCGGCCACTCAAAAGCAGGGAAGTCAAGCTTGTGGATGGGCTTGGAACAGGTGGACGAACCGGAAGCAAAAAGTCTCCCGTGAAAAGCTTTCTTAAAAGACAAGACGGCCAATTGAGGAGATCCCGGTTGCGCGTTCTGCATGACTGTGGTATTTTCCTCAGCGGAAAAAGCAGCGTTGTAGCCTCTTTGCTTGGCACGGTAGTACATAAAGGCTGCTTTGAACGCCAACTCGTTGGCGTCTGCGCCAGAGAGACCCGACCAGACCTTGTCCTGGCCCTTTGGAGCAAAATCCAAAATCTTTTGCAAAATTGGAGCTAGGTCCTTAGAAGGGAAGTTCCCCAAAGCCGGGCGGTCAACCAAAGCCCGAATCATCTCAGGCGACTTGGCGGCCTCGATCAGCTTGGGGTTGTTGTAGCCGAGCGCGATCGACGCAATTTGAGCGTACACGTCCAAAAAGGCATTGCCATCCGCGTCCACAATATAATTACCCAGCGATTTTTCGTAGTCCGCCAAGAAATACGCTGGTCTCGCGTCAAAGACCTGACCAAGCGTTTCCAAACCTTGGACAGACTGTGGGCCAGGAACACTGGCAGTCGTCACGACTGGAGAACTAGGTTCGGTAGGGTAGTATTCAGAGCAGGCAGACATTGTTGAACGAGTCGAGAAAAGCCTTTGTATCGTGCGTATTTTCTAGCAAACCAAGGCTAACGGTTGGCGAGTGTCAATGAGATAGTGACTTACAAACCTCTTGGCTCGTAACTCTGGTTCCTTTTATACCTTTACAGTCCACAGCCATCAGCTTATCATCCTGGCCCTTTTAGCCCATAAACCGATCCCGCGCGGGAACTAATAATTTCACTCATGATACACGGCCGGGCTCGCCAGCAACATCCACCGACCAGAGCTTCTCCCGCTTATTCGCGCTGGAGGCCCTTATGGGCACACTTCTTCTTCATTCCATGATTCCGCACCCGTATCCGGGTCGACGTGGCGGCGAAACTTCCACCGCTCGCCGCCCCGTCCATCCTTGAGGTTCAAAAAATCGACCTCTTCGATGCACAGACACACAACGCCAAAGTTGTCGAAACCGGCGTCTTCCTTAGCACCGTCGACCCCCCGCTGTATCTTATCGAGCTGTTTGCTGGTCTCGGAGGTTACTGGGGTGCCGGGGTCTGGCTTGCGAAACTGGGCCTTCGTGGAGCGGGACAGATTGAACCACTGGCGGGTCAATTCCAACTGCCATTCTTTGGCAAGGGGCGGAGCGTAGTCCGGAGACCCTAGCACGCGGTTAGGGTGGGCTGGGGCGCCCCCGCCGCGGCTGCTACTTGTGGAAGAACGAGAAAGGTCGGCCGGCTGCGAGCCCGAGGCCGGTACAGAGCCACCTTCCGCCTGGCACGCGGCAGCAGAGCCCTCTGAGTCTTCCTGCTCCTCTTCCTCGTCCCCCGCCTCTCCGTGCCCCTTCAGCTGTTGCTGCTGGCCTTCGTCGTATTTGTAAAGCTCCTGTGCACCACCGTGAACGCTGGGCGACAGTATTGGATACTCGATCGTCCCTGCGTCTGGTAGGTTGTATTTGCTGGAAATAGGCGGCGTCTGCTGCTGCGACACCACAAAGCACTTCCCGCTGAAGCGGTATTGCTCCCACGTACTCGGGAAGTAGAAACAGGCCTCGAACGGCGCCGTTTCCGACCCAGACGCCAGGATTTCCTTGACTTTATCGCCACGCATGTCCGTGGTGAAGGTCAGCACATTGCTGCGCTTGTCGTGAAACAAAAAGTCCCGGAAGATGACCGTTCTACACTTGGGCCGGTTGGTGATGGGGTCGACCGTGGCAAAGGAAAATGGCGTGAAGGTCTGGGAGTGGTTTTTCCACGACTGGATAAACTGCGGCACCCAGGGCGCCATCTGGTGAATCATCGGATACTCAATTACGCACGATCTGCACTCCGGGTAGGGCTAGGTGTGTTGAATGTCAACTCGTGGCCATTGGTCGTTTGAATCTCCCTGGCGGTGCGTGTATTATGAAATTTTCACGCGAGATGAGATGCACGTACAAAGCGATTCAGCCGTTAATAGCGATATACACGAATGTACTCGCGAGTACATTCGTCCTTGATGATTTTCGTATGAGAGCATCTCATTTTCAAATATATTTATTGTTTAATTACAATTCGATACTTTCGGCGCTTAAACTCAGTCTGAAGCCCAGGTTCACCTTCCATGATACCAGTCAGATCAACTTATCTCTAGCCTCAGTTGTGTTTGTAGATGTTAGAATATGTACGAGCCATTATGTAGCACTTAGAATAGTCACAAAGTCCAGGGACTTTTGTCATGTTAGGGACCGGTCAACGGACAAGAAATGGAAGATAGGGCTGCGTGTGAACCTTGGGGCTGGCCTTTCAAGGTGATGCAACAAGTGGTGGTGATGGACCAGAGTCGTGTAGCCACCTAGGCTGGAGAGAAATCGAAGAATAGAAAAGCGAAAACATGGGGACGAATGCAATAAGCCCAGCGGAGTAACGGATCCAAAGTCCACAAACTCGAATATAGTCGATAACATCAGTATACCGCGTGGTAATCCAATTCTCCGCTTAGAATGTGAGTTTTGGAAGTCCACAATTTTATTCCGCTTGCCTTGTGCAGATCTCAGCAAGGTCAACAGAAGTTTTATTGTCATGGCTACCAACTTCGTCAAAGGACCTTCGCCATGTCAGAAGGCACCATGAAAGCGACCAGGAAGTGGGTCGTTGTAGATAAGCAGGGCATCGCAGATCAACTAACAGGGGGTGGTTATTCGACGAACCCGAAAGCTAGTTGGGCTACCAAATCACATTTACCCCTCCTGACTACCTACAGTGGTCTGTATTCATCTGCTGAGCACGCTTAGCGATTGCTTGAATTCATGTCGAAATTTTCAGCTCTCGTTCACTGCTGTCCTAGTTGGGGGCTAAAAAAGAAGCTGTCTTGTCTTTTCAAGGCGGTCCTGTCAAACTAGCAACTAAAGCACACCTTGCAGACCGTTAAGAGGGTATTTCCACTGATATGTGAATTCCAAGAAGAAGACATACATCGCTATCGAAGTGCCGTTGTATCGAAGTGCCGTTGTATCGAAGTGCCGTTGTATCGAAGTGTCGATGTATCGAAGGGTCGTTGCATCGATGTGTCGTCTATCAGACTGCAAAGAAAGCAAATATCAACAATATTATAATGGATAGTGGACCTAAAAGCGTCGCCAAGCTTGAGGGTCTACAAGATGCCGGTGGTATGCTTATGAAAATCAGATGCATGAACTCATGCTTGGGAACCTGATTTTTCTTCAAAAATTGCCAAAACCACGAGAGGAGGGAAGTGTGTAACTCTTGGCGAGACTTTAACCACTTCACACACTTCCTAAACCCATAGTTTTTATCATAGTGGACAATAGGCGGTACCATCCCGCAGCAACATCAGAAAATTTGTTTCCCGCCACGGACAAGTTTGTGCATTTGGTAGGGTGCCAAGGTGCTCCATGGACTTCCTTACTTATGATCTTGCAAGGACGAGTATATCATTTGCGGCGAAGATGAAGGGACCGAATTTGTATGCCTCACAACCCTTGTCAAAGAGCCAAGCGTGGGTTTCAAAGGATAAAAACGGGTGTTCCAAAATCACAGGCTTAGGGTGCTACGCACAGCCACGAACAGTCGATCAGTCGACGATACTCATCCCAAAAATTTTGGGAAAAGAGAATCTCAGGTACCCGCTTTCAAGTACTTTGTGACACACCTCTGTCATGCATCCTTGGCGTAAGCCCATGTTTCGAGAAATATCAGCCAATCGCGTATGTATGAAGAATTAGGGCACTGGGTAACGCGGAAGCTACAACCCAACGCAAGACACATGCACTGATTGGCAGACTGGATGAGGCCCAAAACTGAAAGCTCTTGAGGAGGTCATAAATATGCGGCATGGTTTCTTGAAAGGTCCAAACAGAAGTAGAAGCCTTCTCCTAGCAAACCGCGCTACCTGGCCCTACCGAGTCCACCACTATGCCCACCTCTCGCTCCCCGTCCAGAACACATAGCGGCACCGTCTTCCCCGCCTCGGGGTCCCAAAACACGACGCGGTGGTCCGCGTCCACCGAAAGCCGTGATGCCAGCTCTTCCCATTCGGCCCGCTTAAGTCTTCTGGTCTCCGCTGCGACCTCGCCCGCGCTTCCGGCCAAAATCACTTGTTTCCCCACCAGAGAAGCAGCATCTACCGCACCAAGGGCAGGCCGGCATGGCACAACAATCCCCTGGACCGTGTCCTCGCCACATAGCAGCATTGCCTCGCTGACCTCGCCTCGAAGCTTGCATTTTTTCAAATTATCCACCACCACCACCAAACTTCCCTCCAGTGCATCGGCACCCACGTACGCCCGGAGCCCGCTACACACCTGTCGTACCGTAGCGGCTCCACCGGGGGCTGTCACATCAATCTGCGATACATACATCGTGTCGGCATTGGGATGGTGGGCCACATCCACTGCTCGGCCAATCTTCAAGTTTGCGAGCGAGAACCGCGTTTTCGACTGGGTTTTCGATACCAGCTCCGAATAACCGCGGTTCCAGATGCGCACAGAAAGGCCCAAGCCCACTCGGGCTGTTCCAAGGTGAATCCCAAGCATGGGTTTGTCTGTTTGTCTGACCTCGCGCCCGCGATGCCGATCGCGATGAGGGTTTCAATATCTTGATATTGAAAAATAAATTAATACAATTGATATAACGTACCCAGATTGGCAACCTCTCGTCCACCAGTTGAACACATCCACACGTCAACACAACCGATGAGAGACTATAAGCTGGTGGTGCTAGGAGCCGGCGGGGTCGGCAAGTCGTGCCTAACCGTGCAATTCGTCCAGGGCGTGTATCTGGACACGTACGACCCGACGATCGAAGACTCGTATCGCAAGTCCATGGAGATTGACAACAAGATCTTCGACCTGGAGATCTTGGACACCGCGGGCGTCGCGCAATTCACGGCGATGCGGGAGCTGTACATCAAATCTGGGCTCGGGTTTCTGCTGGTGTACTCGGTGACGGACCGGCAATCGCTGGAGGAATTGGTGGAGCTTCGCGAACAAGTCCTGCGAATCAAGGACTCGGACCGGGTGCCAATGGTGCTGGTGGGCAACAAGGCGGACCTGGAGGAAGAGAGGGTGGTGTCGGTCGAGGAGGGCATCGAGATGAGCAGCAAATGGGGGAAAGTGCCGTTTTACGAGACCAGCGCGCTGCTGCGCAGCAACGTGGAGGAAGTGTTTGTAGACGTGGTGAGACAGATTATCCGCAACGAGTTGGAGGCGGCGAACGCGAACGCGAGTGCGAGTGCCGGCCTGGGCGCGGGCGCGGGCGCGGGTGTTGCGCGAGCCGAGGCTCCTGCTGGGAGGGAAAAGACGGCGGTGAGCAGGGACAAGGCACCCGTGGGCGGGCCCAAGAAACCGGAGCCCAAGCGCAGGAAGAAGAGCAAGAAGAAGAACGCGTGTGTAGTGCTGTAGCCGCACGGTTGCGGGTGTGTATTATTATGTATTTAGTGGAAGTATGAGCGGAGCTGGAGAGGGCGAAGGAGCTACGTGTCGGGCGCGGTGCCGGGCTTCGTGCCCTTCCATGAACCCTCAAACATGTGCTTGACAAACGCCATGGCGTGGTCGTCCTCCTTGGCGTTCATCTGGTTCACGCCCGGCGAGAAACTGGTGATCGGCAGGACCAGCACGTCGTCGACGGCCACGGGCTCCTCGATCAGCGTGAAGAACTCCTTGACAAAAACGGCTGCGGACTCCAGGCCCTCGGTCACCTTGCGGTAGAACTTGTGGGTGCCCGCGCCGCCGTGTGCGCGCAGGTTGTCGTTGATGATGGCCACGTCCGGGTTGGTGGCTATCAGGTTGTCGAGGTAGTTGAAGACCGCGTCCGAGAACACCCCGGGCCCGGTCCAGTTCATGGTGTCGGTGCCGTCGACGTTGGCGGCGGTCTTCTTCTGCGAGGCCGGGAACTCGTCGTCGAAGCGCCGCTTGTCGCGGCAGTTGACCAAGTAGTCGGCGCGATGGTCCTCGTCGATGCTGAACGGCGGCGCCTGCGCCGAGGACCGGACGTGGGTGCTGGCGAGCGTGGTGGCGGTGATGTTGACGATGAGCTCGCGCAGCAGCGGGTGGCCGGGCTTCGACTGGATCGTCCACTGGCAAAACTGGATCCGCCGCGCATACCAGTCGCTCCAGTCCACGCGGTCCGGGTCCGCCTCGATGCCCACCACGAACCCGGCCTCCGGCGCCCCGCTGCTGCTGGCCGCGCCGCTGCTGGCCGCGCGGCCGCGGTACTGGATCGCGGCCCCCGTCGCCGCCGGCGGCCACGACCCCAGCGCCTTCAGCGGGAACGTGTCCATGTCCGAGTAGATGCCGCCGCGCGCGTACAGGATCAGGTACCGGAAGAAGTCTGCCTTGAGGATCGGCAGCGGCAGCGACTCGAACGCCTGGATCACCTGCGGCACCCCGCCATACAGGTTGTGCAAGAGCGCGAGGACGTGCGCGTCCGGCACCAGCGCGTACTGGTACGACGCCAGCTCCGCGGCCTCCATCCACAGCCCGGAGTTCCTGCGGAACTCGGGCGACAGCTGCGGCGAGTCCACCGCGGTCTTCCACGTCTGCCACACGCGCTTGGGCATCGGCTGCGATGCGTCGTACGGGAACTGCAGCGCCAGCTGCGATCGCAGGCTCGCCAGCGAGCCCGTCGCCGCCGCGTCCGCGGCCGCCGCGGCGGGCGGCTGGAAGCGCTTGAGGTTGGTGTCGCCGGCGCGCGCGGTCGACGGCAGCTCTGTGGTGAGGCCCTTGTAGAACCCGGAATGCACTCGCCAGCTGTGCAATTGGAACGCCAGGAGCACGTACACACACACCGCCGACGCGAGCGCGGTTCTGCCGCGCCTGGAGAGTTTGGGGAGCTTGCTGAGCTTGGCCATTGGTCTGCGAGCGAGCGTGCGCGGAGGGACGATCGGCTGTGCGCCGGGAGGAGCGCCTTCTTATACCGCGCCGAAAATTTGTGACGGGCAGAGGGGCCCAACCGTGAGGTTCCAGAACCCGGGGCGCGCGCGCGCGCGCGCTAGACGCGGTTGTCGTGGCGCACGGCCGGGCGGCCGGAGGCGCGCTGGCCGAGAAGAAAGCGGATACTTTTCGGATCAGTCAGGTGGCGGCGGGCGGTAGCGGGCGGGTAGGTGCCAGTGGGAGGGCGAGAGAGAGAGAGGGAGTCGGCCATGTAGACTATGTGTGAGGCCGGCACTGGGTGGCTCACGATGGGAATAACTAGTCTATGCACCCGCGCTCACGGTGGCGCCTCGCACTTCGAATGTAGCGTTCTCGAAGCAGGTAGCACGGCGTCATTCGAGCGCTGCCCAGTTGGCGTTTTGTACCGGCCAACAGTGAGGATATACGCACTTCGGGCGACGCAGTGAGAATATACACTTCGGGCGATGCAGTGAGATTATACACTCTGGGGCAATACAGTGACATTATACACTTCGGACAATACAGTGACATTATATACACTTCGGGCAATACAGTGAGAATATTCACACCCCAGGGCAATACAGTGACATTATACACTCTCCAGGGCAATACAGTGACATTATATACACTTCGGGCAATACAGTGAGAATATTCACACCCCAGGGCAATACAGTGACATTATATACACTTCGGGGCAACAATATACACTCCCCAGGGCCAACAGTGAGAATATTCACACCCCAGGGCAATACAGTGACATTATACACTCTGGGGCAATACAGTGAGAATATTCACACCCCAGGGCAATACAGTGACATTATACACTCTCCAGGGCAATACAGTGACATTATATACACTTCGGGCAATACAGTGAGAATATTCACACCCTCCAGGGCAATACAGTGACATTATACGCATTCCAGGCAATACAGTGACATTATATACACTTCGGGCAATACAGTGAGAATATTCACACCCTCCAGGGCAATACAGTGACATTATATACACTTCGGGGCAACAATATACACTCCCCAGGGCCAACAGTGAGAATATTCACACCCCAGGGCAATACAGTGACATTATACACCCCAGGGCCAACAGTATTTCCCACACAGTCGCCGCCGTGTTTGCGCCACGGTTCACCCTACTTCAAAAGGATATCGTTTTGGACCAGTTCTTGTTCAAGATTGCACTGCGCCTTGGCGTCTGTGGCGATCCCACGGGTGTAGTCTTTGAGAATGGTGGTGCGGTAGCCAAGGTTTGCGGCGGAAACTGCGGTTGACTTGACGCAAAAGTCCAAAGCCACGCCGACGATGGAAACCTCGTTGACGCCATGCTTCTGCAGAAGTCCGTGTAGCTGCGTATGGTGGTCGCTCCAGATGTCGTGGAAGGCAGAGTAATACTCGCGGTCACTCAGGAAGCCCTTTTGGACAACGTGGTGGTCGCACTCCAGCCGGTCCAGCGTGTGCACCAGTTCTGGTGCGAGTTCCGCACCCTGCGTTCCTTGCACGCAATGCACGGGCCACAGAGTGGCCGCCTGCGTCTCGTTGCGCCTGATGGGCGACGTATATACAAACTCGCTAAACTCCGGCACGTTGTGGTTGACGGCGAAAGAAACATGGTCGCGCGGGTGCCAGTCCTGAGTGGCAACCACCACGCTCCACCTGTCGTCCTTGGCCAATTCCACGATCGGCGCGACGATCTCGTCTCCGCCAGGCACGGCCAACGAGCCGTGTGGAGGAAGAAAGTCGTGCTGGAGGTCAACAATTATCAGGGCCTTTCCCATGGTCGCGGTATCGATGATTGGCTATTCTTCGCGAGTATCAGACAAATGGTACTTATACTTGCTAGTCCGTCTCAAAAACGCCTCCCCGGCCTGACTGTGAAATGTGCGATGGTACTTGTACTTATAGTTTGTCTCAAAAAAAAACGGCCCTCCCCAAGTCGCTAACGTCTGTCAAAAGCTGATGGTCTGACAAGTGCCCCTTAGCACCCAGATGGTCAGACTCTGCCGGCTACTTGGCACCGGTGCCCGTTCTTGCACTGAGACTAAACTACAATCCCTTAAGCCTGGTCGATCACCGTCAGCGCCGCGGCACGTGATGCCGAAGCATTATGTACGGGAAGATGAATCACGTGACTCGCGTCACGTGACAAGGACAAAAAGGTCGCGTGACTCGCGGGCTGGGCAACCGGCGTTCGGCGACTCTTGCATCCGCGCCAGCGTGCCAGCGTAGTGTGGCCCGCTTGCTCGTTCCTGAACGGCCACGCCACTCGCATGCTCCCGGTTTGGCGGTTCTTGGGAAGGGACTGCCTGGACCACCCTGGTTCATAATCCTCGGTTCTGGGCTATATCCGTCGCGTCCCATCATCCACCTTGCTCTCTCGGAACATATATCATTTTCCGAGACCCAGGTACACACAGCAACACCGCCCCTGGCCCCTCCCAGGATACAGGTGTCTCGTTTTGGCACCACGCATTGATAGCATTCTTCAGCTTAACCTTCACCATCCCAATGCTTCGGTCTACACACAATAAGAGTGACATTAATATATCTTTTCATGACGCCGGGAACATCACTCTGAAGAATATTGTGACCAGCCAGTGCAAAGCTTGACGCGGTGGAAACAACACCTGCCGGGCGGACACCAATGGCTTCTCTTCTGCTGGTACGCTGGCCTTCACACACCCTCCCATTGATGCCAGCCGTGTTTTCCCACTCTAGCGGGCCATTGTGGTGCTATCGGGTCAAAAGCGACATGCAACCAACATTGTGGTTCACCACTTGGCCGCAACAGAATAGCGGACTGTACAGCGAGGCCTCACTGTCGTGCTGTCATTCTGTACATTCTCTTCGGCACGTAACAAGCTTTGTCCCAGCACCCGTCAATTTAAAAGCGAGGGTGAGGGAAGCTAGACGAAGTCATCTGAAACAGCTAGAATATAGGCGTACACAGGCAGCTGGCTTAACTGTCATCTCAAGTAGTTGCGCATTTGAGGTTGTTGACGATGTGTCTCACCAAACTCGTACATGGCGACCGAGGTCCTGGATCCAACGACTGTTTCATATATAATGGGGCTTCAACTCCTCTACTCACACCTCGCGGACCAGTTACACGCTGAAACCGGTCTCGTAGACGGTATATAATAAGCTTCCAGCAGGCGTTTGCGTCCAACGATTCTAGCGTGGATGAACAGGGTGCCAAGTACCGCAACTCTGGAAGAGAACCATTTAGCCGCCGACGCTGGGATGGGGACCCACTGGAGTCCAAATAGGGATGTTCCCACGGACAATGCAGCACTGCTGGAGGTCGAAAGAACTGCGCTGGGACTTCTCCAGGGCTGCGACGCCGCAAGAGAGGGAGAAAGCGTTTGGGACGATGCGTTGGCGTTTCTGAACGCGATTCGCAGCTTGAAGCCAGCCCAGAATGTGGATCTGACCACAACTGACGATGTGTTTACACCCATGGTGCGGTCTTTGGTGGCAAGAAGAGCTCGCTGGGAGATCTGTGCCGACCTTGTGGCAGTCACGTTCGCGTACTGCGCGGTGCACCCGGACCTGGCCGGCTTGGTGTGCAATTTCGCGAGGGCTGTGGAGCAAAATCGAAGCTTGCGTTCCCAGTTGCGTGAGATTTGCGGCACGGCGCCTTTGTCCCCCAACTATAAACCAGGCGTTTACACGGTCGTCGCGACCTTGGAGACTTTCGACAAGCTTGACATTGCGACCTTCGAAACACTGCGGCTGGGCCTTGGTCCGGTCCTCAGACTGCAATGGGCCCCACTCTGGGCTTTCCAATATCCGGACCTAAGGCTCGACGCGGCGTTTCTGGCCAAAAACTTGATGCGCGCCACCACCCAGGAGCACCGCCTGGACTTTCTGATCGCATCGTTGTCACCCGACCTCCCGCAATGGGAAGAGCTCCAAAGTCACAGCTCAAAGTCCGTAGATTTTTTCCTTTACAGCGTCGCGCGCCGCTCGCTGCATGGTGGTCGGTATTTGCCGCCCTTTTTCAAGACTTTTTGCCAGGATGTTCTGTCAACGTGTACCAAGAACGACTGTTTTAAAAGACTCGAGAACGACACGCAATTCAACCTTTCCGTACTAATGGAAATTGTGGACCATCCCGACTTGAACTTTCTGGAAGAACCCCATCTGGTGTCCTTGCTGCACTGTGCCTTGCGCCGGGTTCTAGAAATTTGCACACAGGAGCAAATACAGACACTCCATCTTGAATTGGGGAGCATGGGGACCACGCTTAGCTTACCTGGACTTTTGAACATAGTACAATACCTTTTGACTCGATTTCTCTTGAGCATGGGGACTCTAGTAAATAACGCCCGACACCTCAAGGCTGACAACAAAAAGTGGGCAACCAGAGAGTCGCCTTATCAACTACCGCCCTTCTTTGATAAAATCGTTCCGAAAATCTCTCCTGTCTCAAGATCGGCGTCAAGTTTCGATCACAGCGGACACGAATCCCATTTCCAAACCACCAAATTGTCCACAATCGTGTGGACAGTACTCCAGTCGATAAACTACCTCGAAAACATCAACTGTTTACTTTTGGACTTTTATGAAAGGAATGGTACGGGTCTATCGGCCAAGCCTAAAGACGGTGGTGCAAATGACTTCTCACATGTCGTAGAGAACAAAGCGCGTTCAGATGTCTTGGACCTTTTCTTTATAGCGGGCGTTTCCGTCATGCTTCTAGCCGAACAGTTGCAGGAAGATGGATACCTCTCAAAGGTTATTGGCACACACGAATCTAGAATACTGGGTAAACAGCTGTCTCTTTCAACCCGGACATTTTTCAAAGCCATTATACGCACTTTTGGAAAAGAATCAGCCCACGAACTGATCAAGTTTTTAGCACGAACGTCCCGGATGGAACTCACTTTGCAGAGGGTCTCCATGCGAATTCTGCAATGTGTACTCGTCGACGAACGGGGCAGTGCCTTGAAAATCGGAGCCCCGGCACATCAGGCACTTCATGATTACCTCGGCATTTGGAATGATGGGTCAGAGGTATACAGCCAACTTTATTCTGCCCTTATGATGCCGATGCCTGCTGTGGCCACAGCAGTCATCAATTTCCCTCAACTTCTTGCCTCGGCATCTCCCAGTTGGAGCCGCGCAATGGGAAGAGTAGCGTTGGGTTCAGCCTCCAATACTGACAACATAAGCTGTGATACGAAGAGGACCGGACCAGCATCTCGATACAACACGCATGCAACTTCCTTTATCCCTTCTACCAAGTCACAGCACCAGAAAACCAATGGTTTTGAAAGTGAAGACGTACTTCCCTTAGCGATGGCTAGTCAACCCACCTCTGCCACTGCGGATTATGGTTTCGTAGGCAACCAGCCGGAAAGGTATGGTACTGCACAGACATCCCCTTTTTCAGCCACGCGACACTCGCAATTTCCAGATGGCAGCAAAAGTGCCATTTCAATGAGCGGTCCGATAGCTAATAGCTCCACTAATGCTACCAAATGGGACGCAGGCTGCTTTTCCCAGGGCCCGCTATTGTCCACGGATTTTAGCTCTGCGGCGGTGAACACGGGCAAAAACTATATTATGGGTGGTCATAGCAGGGCCACAAACAACAGTAGGGCACAGTCAGTACATGTTGACCGGTTTGACTATTTGCAACAGTAAGCACTAACTTTTGTAGAGCTCCAAGTCTTGATTTAAGTCGCTTGCAAGTCTTCACTTTTTCTCATTTTCAACTCGCGGAGTGATTGATGAGAGAAAAGGAACTGAAAAAATTTGAAGCTCATCGCATCGGCAATCTCATCTCATTTGTCAAAACTAACATAGCTGTTTAGCACTTACCATAGAATCCAAGGAAAATGGTTCTCAAATCTACTTCGGCTAGTGATAATTCTGTATACCAGGTCTCGGGTACAAATTTCTCGAGATCTTTGCCAGACTGGATAGCGAAGAAACGGAAGAGGTCACTGAAGAATGATTTGGAATTTCAAAACCGTGTGGAGCTGATACAAGATTTTGAATTCAGCGAGGCCTCCAATAAGATTAAATGTACACCAGACGGTCAGTTTGCTATGGCCACAGGGACTTACAAGCCTCAGATACATCTTTACGATTTTGCCAACTTATCATTGAAGTTTGAGAGGCATACAGACGCCGAAAACGTTGACTTTCTAATCCTATCGGACGACTGGACAAAGTCTGTTCATCTGCAAAACGATAGAAGTATACAATTCCAGAACAAAGGAGGAATTCACTACACCACAAGGATACCAAAGTTTGGAAGAAGTCTGGCGTACAATAAGGTCAACTGCGACCTTTACATCGGCGCAAGCGGCGATGAGCTGTACAGGCTGAATTTGGAGCAAGGTAGATTCCTGAATCCTTTTAAGCTTGACTCAGAAGGTGTTAACCACGTTTCAGTAAATGATACTAATGGCCTTGTTGCCGTAGGTACTGAAGAGAATACAGTTGAGTTTTGGGACTCTCGAGCACGGTCTAGAGCCGCCAAACTTTCACTGGAAAACAGCTTCGATAATTCGCCGTTTCAGGTAACCGCGACAAGCTTCAGGAAGGACGGCTTGAACTTCGCCTGCGGGACGTCAACCGGATATTCTTATCTCTACGATCTGCGTACATCACAACCGGTCATCGTTAAAGACCAAGGCTATGGGTTTGAAATCAAAAAGCTTGTGTGGCTAGATAATACCGGTGCAGAGGGCAATAACAACAACATTCTAACTTGCGATAAGAGAATCGCCAAGATCTGGGACAGGAATAGTGGAAAAGCATTCGCTTCAATGGAGCCGAATGTAGATATAAATGATATCGAGCACATACCTGGAACGGGCATGTTTTTTACAGCCAATGAGGGAATCCCAATGCATACCTACTACATTCCAAACCTGGGACCTGCCCCACAGTGGTGCTCATTCTTGGATTCTATCACGGAGGAGTTAGAAGAAAAGCCAAGCGACTCTGTATACTCCAATTACAGATTTATCACGAGGGAAGACGTGAAGAAACTCGGCCTCGCCCATTTAGTCGGTTCCAAAGTACTGCGGTCTTATATGCATGGGTTTTTCATCAATAACGAGTTGTACGACAAGGTTTCCCTGATTGCTAATCCAAACTCATATAGAGACGAAAGAGAGAGGGAAATCAGGCGTCGTATCGAGAAGGAACGGGAATCTAGAATTCGCACTTCGGGTGCCGTTACCAAGCCCAAGGTCAAGATCAATAAAGAATTGGTCGACAGATTGTCGCAAAAGCGTGGTGGAAAAATGGCCGACGACGTGGTTGTGGATGAACGTTTCAAAGAGATGTTCGAAGACGAAGATTTCCAGGTGGATGAACATGATTACGATTACAAGCAGTTGAATCCTGTCAAGTCTGCCAAAGAAACTGAAGAAGGTGCAGCCAAGCGTATCAGAGCCCTCACAGCTGCTGAAGAGTCCGACGAGGAGAGAATTGCCCTCAAAGAAGGCAGAGGTAAATATTCGGATTCTGAGGCGGATGACAGCGAGGACGAGGATGAAGATTCGGAGTCTGAATCTCAAGCTTCAGCTCGTGAAATGACTGAAAAGGAAAAGAAGATGCTGGCCAAGAAAATCGCCACCGCCCAAAATCGTAAGCAAGAGCGTGAGCGTGCTACTAAGTTCATGAACCAAATGAGTGTGGGAACTGACGATAAATATGAGGAAGACACGCGGGATGGCGCTTTTGATACGAAAGTTGCTGCACTTCGTGAAGAGGAGCAACACCGTGCGGCCAACACCGCTGTTGTTCGTCGTAATCACCAAGGTGAAGCGGAGTTCAGTTATGTTCCCTCCAAGCGTCCGTCTAAGAGTCACAAGAAGCCTGTTACTGCCCACGATGACGACGAAGAAGACGGATCTGAGGGGACTGCTAAGAAAGATACTGGTCGTTCCAGAGCGCGTATCCATGGTAGAAGAGCCGGTAAGAATGCGTTCAGAGGCATGTGAAGGATGGAAAATGGGCCGATTGCAGCCTTGGTATGAAGATTCGCCTCGTCGACCATCTTTAATCACTTTGTACTAAGTATAGACTAGTAATCTAAAATTGTGTTAGGCATTGAAACTACCTTTAACTCCAACACTCTACTTTCATACCCTGGTAGAAGATAAGAAGGACTTTAAGATACCTCTTTTGAACTACTTGCTTAAATCTGTGTCTGGTACAAGATGGGAATCAAGCGTTTTTTCAAAATCAAACCCCCCGAGGAGGACACTCCAGAAATGAACCGAGAGAAGTTGAATGAACTCGGTATTCCAACCAAGAACGTAAGCCGCGTCAGGAAGGAGAAATTCTCAGCCTATGGACACTTTGCTAAGGATCATGCTGAAGATCGATACTACGCTCCCCCAGGATACGACAAAAAGGGTCAGACTGACAGTGCTACCTTGAATGACTTGAATAAATCGGCTATGGACTCAGAACCCGAGAGTGACGCCTACATGCGTGCTCCAGATAAGAGCGGTTTTGATCCTTACGCCAGGAATAATGTTCAAGACAATATGCGCGCCACAAACCCGTATGAAAAACAGGCAGCCGATCCCTACTCCCGAGGAAGCCCATATGGTATGCGTTCGACAGATCCGTATAGCCAGCAACCTGCGAAGAACAATAGTTATGGTGGTCAACAGCCGGGTACCTCTAATCCTTACAATAGGGCGCCACAAGCAGAATCGCTGTCCTCGAATCCTTATTCGGGACAGCAGAAATCGTCGTCCACCGCGAACCCTTATGTGGGCCGTCAAAACTCGACTTCTCAAAACTCGTCTCGCAATGCCACTCCAGGGACATCCCAAAACCCTTATGGCTCTCTGGCGAATGACCCTTATGCTGGCTCTCAGAATAACGTGAGTTATGGTTCGGCTGCACCCCAGCACAGACCAAGTGCGAGTCTTAAAAACAGTGAAAGCTATAATAGCGGTCCCCAACGTCTGGCCGGAGCCCTTCGAGATCCGTATGCTGCTAGTGCGAGTAGTCAGGGGCCTGCATCGCTCGATAGGACTAGTTCGGTACCTCCGGACGATTCGTTCAATTTTGAAAGTGAACAGCAGGCCGAGCGCTCTGACCTGAACGACGATGAAATCGACCTTAATGCCACTTTACAACAAGACGAAGATGACTTCAATGGATCCATGCACGCTGGGTACGAAGGAAGTGGCTACCAACGCCAGCAGCAGCAGTATGCGCCCACTGGCGAACCGTCCCGGGGGTTCCAGACATTCGAGGACTTACAGCGAGAGAACGAATTGAAACAGCAACAGGAGGAAGATGAGGCGGTGGACGAAATCAAGAAAGAGATCCGTTTTACGAAGCAAAGTTCCGTAGCCTCTACCAGGAACACTTTGAAAATGGCACAGGAGGCAGAAATGGCAGGAACCAACACCCTCGGAATGCTGGGCCATCAAAGTGAGAAGCTGAACAACGTGGAGAGGAACCTTGATCTAATGAAGATGCAAAACAGGGTCGCGGACGACAAAGTGGCAGAGCTAAAGAAGCTCAACCGGAACATTTTGGCAGTTCATGTGAGCAATCCCTTCAACTCTAAACGAAGGCTGCGAGAGGCGGAAGACCGCATCAGAAACCAAAGGATCGAGGACAAACTCATGCAAAAGCAAACCAATGGCCGCCTTCAGCAGTCCACTAATCGCATCGAAGGCGCTTTGAATGCGTCAAGTCATGAACCACACGACAGTGTCAAGCAGCGCTACCAAAACCAGGCTATCTTGGAGAAAGCTAAGCGCTACCAGTTTGAAAACGACGAGGAAGACGACGAGATGGAACTGGAGATCGACAAGAACCTAGACAAGGTGGGCCAAGTTAGTGGAAGATTGAAAAGGCTTGCCATCGCAACAGGAGGCGAAATCGACGCCCAACAAGGCCGTGTAAAGAACATAGAAGAAGACACCGACAACCTGGATATCAAAATTCACATGAACACCACACGGCTGACCCAAATCAGGTGAGCGACGGAGAGATTCTTATGACACAGCGGGATAGGAAGGTAGTTAGCTACTTTGGCCCTTTTTTTAGGTTTTTCAAGTGTATACATGATAAAAAGCTAGGTAACTAAACGTTGAGCAATGGTATGAATGCATGGGCCGTAATTTCGTGATGTCTTGTAGAGAGCAACGCTGATGGTGGAACTCGATTTGTTTTTCTTATAATGCTATTAAGGTTGGTTGCGAATGCAATATGCTGGGGCGTGTGGAAGTAGTACACCTACACCATGGTGGGAAGGTGAAAGGCGGTATGGCTTGGTAGTTGTAGTGGGTGGGTTTTTCCTCCACTAATTTTTGTAATTTTCTGTTTTCCAACTCCCACCACCGCCATAGCCCGCTGTGTCATAGGGCCCTGGCGTTCAGCCACAGCTTGTAGTTATCTTCTGCAGTGTGATCGAGGTACATTTCGGAAACCAGCGAGAAGTAGCCGTCCTGGCCTCCCTTTTCAATAGCTCTCGGAGAGCTTAGCGTTGTCGGCACCGTGGCATTGTAGTCGAGATCCGGAAGGTCCTCATCCTCGGAATCGTTGCCGGCTTCGAAATCGACGGGGCACAGCTGCGGAGTGGCCACCAGGCTCTCCACCACGCTCTTGCGCCGCTCGGAGCCCACGTCGCGCCCACAGCATGCCTGCGAGCAGTAAAGTGTGCTGGAGCCGTCGATGAGACGCTGGCACACTACGCAGTAATCGTTGAATGCTGACATAGTTGTAGTCGAAGCGTGAGTTTTGGAGTTGAGTGCTTGGAACCCACTTGGTCGACAATCTCTAGAGCCGGCAGCTTTGGTTTTGTAGGCAGGAAGACTCATTGATAGATAAAGATATATATATATCTGTATATATCCACACCCAGAATCCCTCCCTGGTCTACCAAATGTGTGTTCGTTTTTCAATTCCAAATATACTGTTATGACACGCACGCACTAGAGCTAGTGCTACTAATCTTAAACACCCACCGTTGTTGGGCATTCTGCCGTTGAAAAAGGCTCATTTGATCCACCCGTTGCGCTCACATAGGGCTTCTAAAACAGATAACCCACAAGGGCATTTTGCTCGCTTCTTCACGCCCACATCTAGGCACCAGCCGAATGTAGCTCGCAATAGTCGCAGATCATCTCATCACCATCAGCATCCTCATCGATTGAGTGTTTTACCCAGAAAAAAAATCCTGAACCGCCGGAACGCCAATTGCAGGCGTGGTCGGTCACCGCAGCGTGGCTAGTGGCTTTTCTGTGATCAAGGACACCAGGACTCTTGACACCTACTTGGTCAAACCAACTTTTCAGCCTGTTGGCCCAAACGACAATGCATCATCGATCGGGAAGCTGAAAAAAAACACAAGCTTCCCGGAGAGTCTTGCGGCCGTTGATTGGGACCAAACGAGATTAGTTTGAACAACACACGATGGTGCGTACTAAGCTTGTTGATGTTTTCGCGGATTTGAGCGCGAAAATGTGCCTAATTTTGGCACGGGTGTGAAGAGCTCTGAGGATGGTACCAGGAAGGAGCTAGGTGATTGCCAGAAGGTCTTAGAGGTTACACGCATTTCCACGCGTGATTACGGCAATTTGAGGCTAAGACTGCGGCACAGATTGGTTCTTACACGGTGGCCGTGGCAATACCACGATGTTGATGGATGTGGCATAGTAATAAAACTTTTCACTGGAAAGAAAAACGCATAGAATTCCGTTGTGTGGAAACGAAGTTGAGGAAGGAAGCGCAAAGAGCCTCGTAAAACGCATCCGGGGCATTTGTTTAGGATGGTCTGGAATTCCTACTTCGCAGCAGAGCGTTTGGGAAAGATAGGCCAGGATAGACGGGTAAAAGCGTGGAGGCCACAGCCGGAAGACAGATGTGCCATAAACGAGCGTAAGTTACGCACCAGTCGAGGCTAGGCACGGTCTGAAAAGCGAGGCAGTCCAGCCAGCCCGGCAGGGGGACGAGACGTGCCCGGTGGGCAAAGCCGGCTGGCATCCCTCACGTGATCAAAATGTGTCATTTTCCACCGGCGCTGACACCGGTGACAGCAGTGATGCGAAGTGATCGATGGCGGGCGGAGGCATCGAGCGACCGTCTGGGTGTCTTACCGCGGTGTCTATAAATTAGTTAGTCGTAATGATACAAATGCGCTATCCCGTTGGGAATCGCAAGTCCAGACTCCTGAGCGGAGGGAGGACAGAGTCGGGCTCGTCGCCGTCGGAGCGAGGTGCCTCAGCGGCGTTCTTCAAGTCCAGGTTGATCTTGGCGTTGGACGGGCTCGACACGGGCGGCGGGGTGCCCAAGGGCGTATATTTTGTGGAAGCTGCGTTGGAGTGCACAACAGACGGCGTTGACGCATAGCGATCGAGAAATTGGCCCGACTGCGAACTTTGTACGTTTTGTAAGCGGAGGCTTAACTCGCTGGTGAAATCCGCAGCGGACGAGGACTTGGACGACAGAATTCCAGCCACTCCTGGGGGTTGGGATAGCGGCTGGAGTGCTGCCAAATTGGTGAAAGAACCGGCGGTTCTGATGCCGAGGCTGGCGCGGCTGTGGCTGCGACTGATGGTAGGTGTAGTGGTGCGAGACTTCTTGCGAGCCCGCCCCAGTTCGTCGTCGTCCAGCTCGTCGTCTCCGTCGTCTGCGTGGATCAGGTTGGAGATGCTCGTCAACGAGGACGAAGCAGCGTTGGTTTGATATGAGCCCAGAGATCCTTTGGGCGGTGGACCGAAGGTGTTATAAGCGTCGGGCGTAGTGAATCCACTGTTGGATGCGCTCGCCGGTCGTATAGGTGCGGAATTCGGCGCGGATATCGGCGCCAGCGGTGTCATTCTTTGCAAAGAAGAGAGTACGTTGAGCTTCAGACGGGATGACACCGGCCTCAGAGGCATCGAGTGCTGATGCAGGTTGACCGCGGAAGCGTAATGCGTTTGAGGGTTGCCCACCATAGGAAGCTGCGGTGCTTGTTGCGGTGGAGGAACCGAATGGGCGTTTCTAGCTGTGCTGTGGTCCCAGGATTTCAGGGACGGCAGCGAACGCACTGTGTATAATGAACCGAGAGTACCGCTGCTGATAGAGCCGGGATTGGCTTGTTGACTGTGATTAATATTGTCACTTGTGTTGTTGTTCACATCCGCACCACTATACCTCCCCAGAGCTGCGTTTACCAAAAGTCCCATGGTCTGTTCCTCGGAAGAGCTCGCAGCATTATTCACATCTGATGGTTCATCGTCTTCACCGCCACCCAACTGGAAGGTGGGGGTTTTCTTGAGTTTCCGCTCTCGTCCAGTGGCGGTCTTGAAGATTCCACTTTCACCCTCCGGTGTTTCGTTGTTATTCGCGATATCTGACTTCTTCTTTCGCCCCCGCTTGCCCTTGGGATGCGGGTTTGTGTGAATTCTCTTGTGCCGTGTCAACTCATCACTTCTGCTGAACCTTTTTGTACATCCCGCGAAATCGCATACGTGGGGTTTTTCTCCGGTGTGAGTTCTTATATGCCTTGTTTGGTGCTCTAAACGATGGAAAGCGCGCGAGCAAATCGGACACACGTAAGGCCTGGGAGAGTCAGGACCCGAGTTAGGAGATCTGCGCTTCTTTTGGGCTTCCGTGTCGTCCATATTGCCCCGTGGTTAACACAATAAATGTGGAGGTTGTATTGTCGAGAGCGTTCAGATTATCTATCAATATGGTATAGTAAACGCCCATTATTGAGCATTGTGTACGATATGCAAATCGATAGACTCCTGTTCTGCTCAAACCGTTTATGGACAGCTTAGAAGCATGCAGCGGGTAGATGCCGAAGCTACCAGTAGATTATTATTGCCAATGAGTAAAAGCACTTAGTATCTGTGCTTTTTTGCACAAGGCAAGCAGAAACGAACAGTGTGTGCGTATACCAAAGTGGCTACACGTATTATCACTAGGAAGTCCAGAAGCGCAGGCGGTAGGTGCGCGCCTTTGTGCTTCTGCTTTTTGCCGCACAGTGTTCGGGAGCTTTCCAGTAAAGACGGTCTCGTGGTATCGAAAATGAACGCGTTGTAAGGTGTTGACATGGCCAGCTTAGAAAGTAGGCTATGGCTTCATGATACGGCTCCTCAGTGGCATATAGTATAAAAGGCGGTGTCCCGTGTCCCTGCTTGTTTGGTATTCAGTACCTTCATAAAATGAATCTGCATGAAGTTTCTTAGTTTGAGCAGTCGACCTGAAAAACTCGATACCCACAAGGGTGCTGGCATGTACCGCGACCCGAACTCTAGCGTTGCGTGCAGATGTGAAGCTCGAATTCCAAGCAGACATAATAAGAACATCGGCATGTCTCCCGTTCCCAAAGTAGTTACCTTGTGCTTCGCGTATGCTTATCCAGTAGCCAGCATCCGTGGTCCATTGAAGCTAAACCGACATAGCTGGATGGCTTAGGCTCTTGTGTAAAAGCTCTCGGGTAGCTCACGAAACTCACAAAACCTACAAAACCCACACTCTTCATGACAAGCCCTACCAAGTGCTCTTTACATTCAGCAGTCATGAAAACTATCCTCCTAGTCCCAAATCGCCACGCACCCCAGTGCCCCCTGGCGAAGAACCAAATTAGCCTGTGAACATCTTCATCTGCCGCCCATTACACTTGAGCCATTGAAATGTTTCAAACCAACTCTTGTGACGCGTACTGTGTGTCCACGAGGAATACGCGTGAGGAGAATAGCGGGTAACACGAAACGTTTAATTAAAAACCAGCTCACAAATGCCCGCTGTGAGTTCGGAAACCAAACCTATTTAAACGTATATCAAAGTTTGAGTTCCGTTCAATTTTCAGTTCCGAATACAAACCCCAGCCCATTTTTGTTTTGCCGACCTGCCAATTAAAAGGTGCAATTAAGAGGTCACACCTGTAACAAATAAGTGCTGTCTGTCTTAACCTGGATCAACTTTTGGATTGGTGGTCTGTCCTAGTTCACTTGTACTTCGCCACTTGAGCTCCGAAGCTCAATTTATTTAGCCGCCGAGAGCCCATCCTCGTCATCATAAACGGACGCGTCTTCCTGTGTGATTTTGTAATCTCCGCATGCCTTGTGCAGAGAGCCCACCGCCCGCAAGATATTCGGGAATGGGCAATGCTCCATGTTTGACACTTTGGTTGGCCTTCGTTGCCGGAGCTAGCCAGGTATTTGCCCATTCTCAAACGGATGCCATTAGCTACACTTTCGATCGTGTATGTATCGCCATTCAAATCCCCGCCACTTCACAAAACAGTAACTAACGTATACCATCACAGAACAATGCTATTGATCTTAGCAGAAAACTTGCCACCGCGGCGCTCCAGCAATCTGATGCTTTTAGGTTGAGCTACGACATAACTTGCGAATGGTCTCTAACTGCTCCCACGAGTATGGGTTCAAATGTGGAAGAGCTCGGCTCTTCTAGTTTCACAATTAGCGACACACTATTCTGTTCCCCACTGCGTGGCACGCCCCAGGTGAGTTTGGAGTGTCAAAAAGGTAGTTTAGCTTCTGCCTCAAATTTTCAGACATCTACAATGGGTATGGAGAGGGCTCCATTGCCAACAGATGCCGCTAGGGCCATTTTAGTGGCAAGGGCGGGTCAACTTGCCAGGCGGCCAAGTAGCAATGCTACCGACTTACCTCTGCAAGAGAGATCCGATTCGAAAATCAAGCACAGGTGTGCTCAACAAAGAGAAAGTTGCTCTTTTGGTGGGCTCTCTCTTTCACTTTCCACAGAGCCCAATGTCCATTCAAGAAACTCCGAAGAAGTTAACATCCGCCTCAACGGAAAAACTAAGCCCACAAGACTGAGCGTCGAAATTTTCTCTACTCGCACAGCTACCACACGGCCCGGTAACGGTGCTATTATACTGCCACTGACAAGTGGAACACCCGCTTCTAGCTACAATCTTGGTCGCATCCTACTGGAAGCAATTGCCACCCTTCTGGTCTGTTCTTTTGTTTATTGATCCAGAATTTTTGTTTCTCTGGTATCTTATCACAGGGTGGGGTGGTCTTTTCGATAGGCCTGCTTACTGATACTTTGCAATAACACGAGTGACCTTCTTTTATGAAGTGTCCTTCAATAGCCACTTAGCTCATACCCAAGCCTCATGAACCAAGGCTTCCAATTGTTATCTTTGAGCTCAGCTCTTGAGGTTGGTACTACTAAATATGCTCTGCTTATATTCACTGTATGCAATTACCTTCGAATGATTAGAGTTACTGATTGGAAGCGCTAATTAGAGGATAAAAATGCTCGGCGGCTAAAGTCCTTTCCCTACTACAAACAACATTTATCGGATAAACAAGTCCATAAGTCTTCGATGTCTGGTAAGAAGGCCATTGAGAAGGCTCCACAGGCCAAGGGCACTGAAGGTATGCACCCTATCGGTTAAAACGACTCTTAGCGAACTCGATTAATGGCATTCTCGCCCACCCCCATTAACTAACTTAAGCCTTGTTCCAGCTGAAGACATTATTGAGGAATACCTCAGAGAGCAGTATCGTCCTTTTGCCGTCAATGATATCGTTCAGAATCTGCATAACAAGCTGACGAAAACGCAAGCTGTGAAAGCTTTGGAAAGCTTAGTGAAACAAGAACGCATTACGTGTAAACTATTTGGCAAGATCGCCATATATGTGTGTAACGAACAAGAACTAAGACCGGAAAGCCCTGGGGACCATGCAGCAGAAGATACTTCGTTAGAGGCACTCATCCAATTGAGGGAGGAGCTTGTTCAGATTGAAAAGGACCGAAACGAGAGTTCGTCCCATTTGCAGAACATCCTGAAGAGGCCCACTAACGAAGAACTAACGGAATTGCTCGAGGTTAGAACGAGAGAGATCGCTCAGATAGAAGAGCATTTACAAGAAGTTGTGGACGGTTGGAGACCTGAAAACGACAGGATTATAAGCATCATAAGAGAAAACGAGCGAAAGATACAGAAAGAAATCGCCTCACGCAAACGAATATTGGATTCTGCAGTATCGTTAGTGAAAGAAGCTCTGGCGATCAAAAATATAGACGAGCTCCTTGTATGTTTTACTTGGTATTCCACACAACCTTGACAATGAAACCGCCTCCTAACTAATCTCAAAAAAACAGGAGGGTTTGGGCATCGAAAAAGTTGACTGAGCATGGTGTACCTATATTCCCTGTCTTGCGTTGAAGCTTGTGAGTCCAAGGTAGCACCCCTGGCACTTTTTCCTTTTTTAGCTATCTATGCCTAAGGGGAACTCCAGGTCTTCGGACACGCCCATTCCGCCCATCTCCTCCAAAAGATTATCCGATTTCACCCTGGTTCACCAGCAGCAACCGCGACGGGCATCCCCGGCCAATTGGGCCTTTAATTTTCACGATAACAATCCCGTGATTTTAAAGATATCTCATGCGATGGGGGTGAAATGGACAACACGGGCATGCCCGATATCGCAGTAATCAATATTTGACAATCTCGAAGTGATCGAGAGTTCAGCATATTTAAAGCTTGAAGAATGGGATAATTTGGTTTCAATCAACTTCGGCTTCTAAAAAACTGTACTCAATATCAAAACACTCACATCATCGCAGCTCAGAATAACAATAATGTCGTACTCGTATCTAGCCGATTCAACCTATGGGAAGGACAATGTCAAGTTCCTGAAGGTGAAGAAGGACAAGCAAAACCAAAAGGTCCATGAGATTATGGAGGCTACTGTGTGTGTTTTGCTCAAAGGTGATTTCGATGTTTCTTACACAGAGGCTAACAACGCACCAATTGTTCCCACTGACACCGTTAAGAACACAATCTTGATTTTGGCTAAGAAATACGACACTTTTCCTCTCGAGAAGTTCGCTGCCAGACTGGCCTTGCACTTCACCTCCAAATACGCTCACGTTTCTGGCTTGACCGTCAAAATCACTCAAGATCGTTGGGCCAAATACAACGTCGACGGCAAGCCGGCACATCATTCGTTTGTCCACCAGGGTCCTGAAAAGAAGATCATTTGTCTAGACTATGATAAGAAGAATGGACCATCCAAGTATTCTCTTTCAACTTCGATCAAAGACCTAACCGTTTTGAAGTCTACAAACTCTATGTTTTACGGCTACAATGTCTGTGACTACACAACCTTGAAGCCTACCAATGACCGTGTTTTGTCTACCGATGTCTTTGCCACTGTTGACTGGTGCCCAAAGAGACTAGGATGCTTGAACAGCATTTCCTCTGGGTCCAAGGACGAGATCTTCAACCACACTTACCTAACTGCTCGCGACATCACTCTCGATACTTTTGCTAAGGAGAATTCCCCATCCGTGCAGGCCACGATGTACAACATGGCGACCGCCATTTTGAAGGCCGCTCCCCAAGTTGCCTTTGTTAATTACGAATTGCCCAACAAACACTACTTCCTGTTTGACCTCAAATGGTTCGAGGGATTGGAAAACGACAACGAATTGTTTTACCCATCTCCACACCCAAATGGTTTGATCAGATGCAAGGTTGGGCGCAACCAAGCAAAATTGTAGATCTAAGCAGGCATTTTTTGAGATTTAATTGAAATATGTATGTACAGGAGTAGATGCGGAGATTGAATAGTTCCCGCCTTGATAAATTGATTTATGTTATTTTTACTACATGAGCCCGTCAAACCACTTCTTTCCCTTCCCTTGCGACTGCTTTGGGACTTGAACGCCACTAACAAAATCTTTAGGGTTACCGGTCTTGAATTTGACTTTGGCACTTTCTCCAGCAGTTTTGAAGCTCTTATTGAAGTTACCCACGTTAAATCCCCATTTTTGCAAAATCTTCACTGTGGCCGGTGTGATAGCTGCCGCCACTGGTAGTCGGAGAACTATCAAACTCTTGTGTATCCCATATGCGATCAAAGCTTCAGTCAGAAGCGTGCTCTCCTTCATTCTTGTCCAAAAGGAGGTGTCGTCTGCTTCGCCTGACAGTTTTCTCTTCTCTTTTTCCTCAATGCTGGCCCTAACTTCTTTGATCAATTCAGTCTCGTCCCGACCATATCCCGCTAGCTGTTGAGCCTTGTTGATGTAGACGCGAATGGTCTCTTCTCCCAGGGAGTGCACCGCTACAAAGCAGATAGGGAAATCAATGGCTGATAAGCCTAAATACACACCCAGGGCAGAGTATCCGTAAGTTTGCATCAATTTCTTCAAAGACGGCTTTTCATCCGCCTTTTTGCCAACAGTGGTATTGAATCGCAGTGGCCGCTGGATGGGCCGTCTAAACAACGAAAGACGAGAGATATTCAAAGCTGGAGACTTGAAAATTCCACTAAGCATGGTCCTGAGAGGCGTTGAAGTAAATAGGGAGCCTGGTTTTGAGGGTAGATGCTCCTTGTGAGGTATACTGAGTGTCCAGATGAGATCGTATAATTAAAGTATTATGGTCATTATTGTTCGAGAAATTAAAGTATTTAACCAGTGTTGAGTTACAGATGGTACCAAGCAGGAGAAAAGTCGCTAATGCTCTATTATTTTCCGAGGTAGTGACCGGTCATCAGCTTTATGATGAGCTAAAATTGAAGAAGCAGTTGATTTCGGAGCAAGTTCTGGAGAAATGAAACTCAGAATCAGTGATTCACCCTCAGATGGGGAACCTGTTACATGCCGCTCAGAAGACTGGCATACCTGGTGTTATCATGAAAGCGTAGAATAGAAAGTGCATCCAATACTTCGTTTTGTGCAAATCCAAAGAAGGATGTTGGAATGAGGATTAGTGGCCCTCACGTCCTCGAGCCATAGCGACACCGCACTGAGATTCCCAGATGCGCCAACCGCATTCTCCAGAGGACATGGACCGGAATCGATTCAAAGGTCTCTTATTTTGCATAGATACACATGTACTAGTATATGGTGATGGTAGGATTCACGTCTGTAGCAGAGCGGGTGCTTGGGTTACAATCACTGACATATGTCACTGAACGGTAAAATTCATACACCCCGACCACCTCTTTTCCTCGTTTCAAAATCGTGGCCGTGGAGGAAGTATATGGGGATGCCTCTAGGGTACCACCGGTAGCGATGGTGCCGCATGTTACGCTACTTTGTGCAGAGACCAGCGCTGAAGACAGAATGACTAGATCGACAACATTGTGAGTAACCTTATTTAGTGCCCGAAGTTTCATGACTGACTATAACGAACGGGTGGTAGTTTTGGCGAAAGACTTCTAAAGACGAAGAGGGTCATCCAATGACGAGGCATCTGATATATACTTGTCACTCGTGAGTCTACTGTGGCCCGCGGCCGCTTGCGACAAGCCCTTGGTGAATAGGCATATAGTTTTCGAGCGTTATCATTTTGAACTCCGCATCGGGCAAACTCTGGCCAACTTGAGATCTTCTCGAAACTAAGAATGCGGGGTTGAGAGTAACTCCCGGCTGGTCCGGTTATTACACTCCCCATACTGACGTCCAACTCGGGAAGCGTCGGCGGCCGATCCTAACACCCTCATCGGAATGCACAACATTTACACCTTACATAGAAGAAAAAACTGTAAAACAAGTACTTAAGTTAAAAGTTGCAAAAGTTGTAATAGTAGTATTAGTAGTTACTAGGTTACGTGGGTAGCGTTTTTTTTCAATTTGGTTCGTCAACTAACCGGTTTAACGGGAAGTGGCAGCAACCTTTTGGAAAGCACCCTTGGCTTGTTGCTTGGAGACCTTGGAGCCTTGAGCACCGGCAGACTTGGCCTTTTCAGCCTTTCTCTTCTCCTTGTCGGCCTTCTTCTTTTCCTTGTCAGCCTTCAACTTCTCCTCTCTTTGGGCCTTTCTGACTTCAGTCTTCAAAGATCTTCTCTCCTTGATGAATTCCAAAGAGGCACCAACGATGGCTCTTTGCGACTTGACGGTCTTTCTGGATCTCTTCTTGGCGACTTCCTCGGTGATACCCTTCTTGTGGTGTCTTCTGTACAAAACAGTCCAGGCGATTCTTCTTGGGTTCTTTCTCTGGGCGAACAAAGAAGAGCTCTTGGAGTTTTGGAATCTGAAGATCTTGGAGTCACCACGGACAAACAAAGTACCTCTGCCTGGGTAGATCTTAGCACCGGAAAAAGAGTCAATTTCAACCTTCATTGTGAGCTGAAAACACAGACGTATTGTTAGTAAAACGATTACACTTTTGATTTGCATGAACAACTGGCGTGTGGCTTCCTCAACGTTGTGACCCGTCCGTCTGCATTGCCACTCACGGTTTGCTATTTGACCAAATGAACGACCTTGAGATGTCTGTGCGATGAAAACCGCATGGCAGGCCGTCTCTGCCGTCCCAATACCTATCAATCACTGCAACCACTGCACACACTGCAAACACACATTTTTGACATCTAGCTTGTCTCTTTCCGTATCATGTTCACCATAATCCTTGTCCAGCACCCAATGTACTCAAATTCACATACTTTTGCAGCTGTTCTTCGGCTCTTTCGAAATATACTGTGTACCAAGAATGCAGTCTATCGTAACCTATATTGAAGTTCTAAGTTCACGATTGGGGGCACTACGCTAGCCACGATTACTGGGACAAAGTTTCCTGCTACGACCTGCCGGCCTAGGCTGAGCACCAGCTCGTCAGCTCAGCCTAGCTCACAATCCGCTATTGGTCCATCTCTCGGGGAGTTAGGCTGGGCCCCGCCTAGCCATTGCCCCTAGCCTTGGTGAAGAGCTGCACGGACTCACGCCAGGCCGTGAAACTTTTTTTTCCAAAAGCACGCACAAAAACTTGAAAATTTTCCACGTCTGAAAAATTTTAGTGTTAAATTACATTATGGCTGTGGTTCATGGGTCTTCAGAGTGTCGTCTCATAGTAATAATGAGAGCAGTCAAACGAGAACCGGCCTGGTCGAGCCTGGGACAGACGCTAGTGGGACCCATGCAAGAAAACTTCACCAGTATAGCATGATGAAAAATAAATGGGAGGACTAACATCTCTCAGTTTCTGTTCTTTCTTGAAATCTTGTTTTCTTCGAATTCTGCAGCTAAGACCGGAGTGTTAACACATAGCATAACAACAACTACACAGAGATGGTCAGTATCCCTTAGTTTTTCCATTGGAGGCAGAAACGTCGCGTGTTATAGGCAGACGAAAGATGGAGATTCGATCTTCATCGGCCACGATTCAGCAATTCTTGGTCAAGACCTACATGTGGCTTTCTGTTCCTCGGCATGTTTGGCACACGTTACTAACCGCAACTCTCACATAGGCCCCAGTTAAATCCCAAGAATCTATCAACCAAAAGTTGGCCTTGGTCATCAAGTCTGGTAAGTACACCCTAGGTTACAAATCGACCGTCAAGTCTTTGAGACAGGGTAAGTCCAAGTTGATCATCATCGCTTCCAACACCCCAGTGTTGAGAAAGTCCGAGTTGGAATACTACGCCATGTTGTCCAAGACCAAGGTGTACTACTTCCAAGGTGGCAACAACGAGTTGGGTACCGCTGTTGGTAAGCTTTTCAGAGTCGGTGTCGTCTCCGTTTTGGACGCCGGTGACTCTGACATCTTGACCACTTTGGCCTAATTCTAGAGAACGCGGATTTTCGCACTTATCGACGCAGGTATAGCGCTTTGTATAGATAGTATTTTAAGAAACGTCATTCTCGTGCTCAGCGTGTGAGTCTTGGGACCGTCCTCAGCTGGTGTCGTTAAGATGTATGCATTCGTTAACCTATTTACAGATGGGGCCGGTGGAAGTGGCCATGGAGGGGGTCATCATTTGCCGTTAGGCTGCACCTTGGCGTCGTCCGGCAGTCCCAGGTTTTTCCATTCATCCCTGTCCATCAACTGGTGGTTCATTCGACAGTTCAGGTACTCCTTCGCCAGCAACCTACAATTTGGGGCATTCTCACCTTTCACAAGTTTGATACACCGTAGGTATTCCTGCATCTGTTTCGTACACTCGCCGTCATGATCCAAAGGGAACGAGCCGCGTTCAGGCGGGGTTGGCGAAAGGGCCTTCAAGGCGTTGCCAGGGTTTGCGGACATCGGTCGTTCTTTATTTGGCTGGTGATGAGAACCTACAGGTCCATGGGCATTGGTCTCTTAAAAGCTTTCAAATTCTATCACTCTAATAACAACCTACGTACAGCTCAGTGAAATTACTATCACAAGTTACGTCTAGCGGTATTTCTTTAATGCTGAACACACTACAAAAACCAAGCATTGTGGTCCAGGTACGTTCTACCACTGCTGCTATTCATGGTCTTAGCCTCTTGGGGTCTCTTGGGAATAGAGATGCTCTCCTAATGTTTTTGAGATCCAAGAAAAACATCACCACTCTTTCCAGCCCGATACCACCACCGGCGTGGGGCGCACACCCGTAGGTGAAACTGTCAATGTAGTCTTTGAGGCCAGGGTCCTCAGGCGACAAGCCGTGATGCGACATTCTCTCTCTCAAAAATTCGGCGTCGTGGATACGTTGAGCCCCAGACAAGATTTCCTCGCCTCTCATGAAGAAATCGTAAGAGTTGGAGTAGCGAGGATCATTAGGGTCTGGCATGGTATAAAATGGACGAATCTCTAGGGGGAATTTATCCAAGATGTAAAAGTCCGTATCGTACTTTTCTCTCACCAAAGCACCCAAGTGTTTTTCGTTTTCAGTTGACAAGTCTTCCAAGTCGGAAATATCCTTCCCAGCAGCCTTCAACATCGCAATACCGTCTTTGTATGCCAGGCGAACCATCTTCCCATCTTTGGGGAGCTTAAACTCTTCCACTGGGTACTGTTTACGAACCAAGGCAATTTCCTTGGCATAACGGACTTTCAGTTCGGTGAAGATGAAAACAAACAAGTCACTCAAAACATCGATAACCTCGTCATAATGCTCTTCAAAAGCCATCTCTAGATCCAAGCCAGTGAATTCGGTCATATGACGATGGGTATTGGAATTTTCGGCCCTGAAGACTGGGGCAACTTCGAAAACACGCTCGAAATCAGCCGCGATCAGTTCTTGCTTGTAAAATTGAGGACTTTGTGCCAAATAAGATTTACCCTTGAAATAAGTAACCTCGAAAACATTGGCGCCACCCTCCGATGGAGCACCCAGCAATTTAGGGGTGTGAATTTCCACGAACTTTCTCTTGGACAAAAATTCTCTGAAGAGTTCGCATACACCGGATTGAATTCTGAAAATGGCTTGGTTAGTCGCTGTTCTCAAATCGATCACACGCGCGTCTAATCTGGTGTCTAAGTTGACTACCGGTAACCCTGCGGCCTCAGCCTCTGCGTCAGAACGCGAAGCGTCTTCAATCAAAATGGGCAACTGTTGTGGAGACTCAGAGATGGTGTGAATTTGAGTGATGTGAATCTCCAGGTTTTGAACAGTGGCGGACTTGATAGGCTCCTCCACAGTCTTTACAATACCCTTGACTAAAACAATACTCTCCGGGTTTACAGAAGCGGCCCATTTGACCATCTGCTTGGATATGGTACCTTCTTTGTTGACCTTGGCCAGGGCCTGTATCAATTGTGCCTGCTGTCTCAAGGTCAAAAATACCAGGGTAGCCCCTTGCTGTCTAGAATTGTGAACGCGGGCTCTGATGGACACCTCTTTACCATCGTCAGCCTCACTTAGCTCCTCCAACTTTGCTCTGGGGATTCCTGTCTTTGTGGCAGATTGAATCAATGGCAGCTTGCCGTAATAGTCTTTGGCGGTGTCATTAGCAGCCGCTTCACGCTCGCGGGCCTCCTTTTCCTCGGCCAATTGGAGAGCTTTCTCCTCCTTCTTCTTCTGCTTTTCTTGTTCTTTCTGCAACTTCTTCAAGGCTTTCTTAGAAAGTGGTTGTCCATCTTCGCCAAGCACGACAGGCTCAGAGCTTTCTTGTCCAGTTGTCAAATTCTTGACTTCTTCGGTAACTTTCTCAACTGACTCCTTTACGGTCTCGGTTGCCTTTCCAATTGCTTCCGACATCTTTGGGTGATCACTGTAGTCCTGGCCAAAGCTGTTGGGGAGAGTTAACTGCCAGTTCTCTAATAAATTTTTGTAGTTCTCTTGACACATGGTGAGTCAACCCGAATATCACCTTAGTCAATTCTGACATTGTTGTCAACTGGACTTGCGGGAACCAGCCATATGGGTCATTCAAACCTTTAGCAAAGCGAGATAGAGAAGGGACCCTAAGCTACGCCTATGGTAGATACCAACCAAGTCCTCCTTGAGTTGAGTGGGCAACTTCTAAACTTTCAAAAAACATTTGCTCAAAAGTTCTCAACGGCGTTGACCAGGACAACCACACGGTGGGTGATTGATGGGCGAGTGGAAAAATGGATTAAGAGAAAGCTGCTGATTATATAGCTTTTCGAGTAGCCGAGAGGCCCATAATTCATAGATTAACGAAAATGTATTCCCAGGTCAAAAACAATAAAACGTGCGGATATCCTACCCTTCAGAAAGAAGGAGGTCTATGGCCTCATAGTGTTGGAGTTGATTGCTAGAGGAAGGATTGATATCAGCAACATCAGCGCGCTCCATCTACAGCTTGATGACAGGGTTCAATATAGTGACAGGAATATTTGGCGCAGCGGGGATGAGAAATCTCATTGACTGCCGGAGAGTTCGCTAGCAGCTTCCACTTGGATACCAGCCCTTTGTATATTCTTCTTGCTCCCATTGATCCACGGTCCACGGAAGCAGATAGCATTCATGAGCACGATTTGAAAGGATAATGTGGGCTATGTCAGAAGAGTACAAAGTGACTTCCCGTCCCTTCCGAAACCAGTGGGCTCGAGCCTACCACAACCGGGTATCGTGATTGTATGAAGTTACAGATCATCACAAGAGACAGCTGGCCAATGGATGGAGCCACAACGCACTGGCTACCGCTGATTAATAAGAGCCTTCCGTGGTTCACATACCGGATACAAGTAGCAAAACTCGATGGATATGGCTTAGGTCTAGATAAATACATCAAAACCTCAGAGTCCAAGACCTCGATACCACGAGCTCTTCGCAACTGGTGAGTCTCTCACATTTATTCGTCAACGTGTTTTTGACATGGATCGAAATATAACCGTCGTATCAGATGATCTTTAAAATTGAAGCTGAAAACTTTAACCCCATATAGCAAGAAATATAAGTAAAAGCACTGCGGTCTTAGAAGAACATAAAAGGGATTGGTTACCAAAAGGCCGCGAGACGCATCCATCTCATTTGAGAAGTATGAGTTTGTCGCGGACTTCCTCCTTTGACGAGCAGGGCTCGTTGGGCGCACGCACAGGAAAGGCTAGTGGAGTTGGGAACTCGGCCAGTAATAGTGGAGGTGGTGCAGGCCTTGGAAGTAGCATACCAGGCGTTGGGAACTCTAGTCTGAGACCTGTGGATATAGTAGTAGCCAATTTCGACTTTATGCCTAACAAAAAGTCACAGCTGCGATTGAATGCCGGCGACGTGATCTATGTGCTGGGAAAACATGAATCTGGTTGGTGGGATGGTGTTATTGTAGGAAATCGAACATCTGTGCGGTGTGCGCGTGGGTGGTTTCCGCAAAACTTCACCAGATCTTGTCGCGATAGGCTGCAAGTGGCGGCACATCAGGCTATAACCGGAAAAACCGTTGGCCACCGCCAAAATGCTCGGTCGGGTGCCAGCAGTCGGCGTAGCAGTTTAGCAGCTTCGCCAGCGGCAGCAGCAGTCATGCATCTGATGCTCGGCAACAACGGTAATCAGAGCTCAAACCTCTCACCAAACTATAATAATAATAGCAGCAACCCGCTGCTGGCGACTGTGAGTGACCCGGACTTGTTACCAGCTGCAAAAGCGCACTCTTCCTCACCACCACCACACTTGAAGGAAGATTATAAATTTGATATGCGCACCGTCTTACCGAGTGGCCAGTCTATGTCAAGGCGAGCAAGTTTGGCCTCACCGGCTGCCTCGATACCAATGTCAACGTCAGGCTCGGGCTCGATGTCTGCCGCCGGTAAGTCACGCTCAAAGTCACCGTGCCGTGCTCCTGCAGCCGCCAACCCACCGACTAGTGATGGACAACAGAATAACCTGCGGCCTTCACCGCCCCCACAAAACGCTCAAATAGACCCACTTCAAAAATTGGGCAGTTTTGATGACCGCAGGAGGCGATCTCAGGTGAAAAGTGAGAAGGTTACGATACTAAGCGCAGAAGAAGTTGAAATGATTTTTAACAATATTAATAATGATTGCCCCCCAATATGGACGCCGGTTGCAACCACTGAGGGGAAGGTGATTTACTACAATCGTGAATACGATCTTTACAGTAGCTCGCTTCCCTTTCTACAATCTCCCGAACTTAATTTAAAAAGTGTCTTTCCGGATGACGACTGGTATGTAAGTTTGAGCGAAAGACCGCTGGATGAAGACAGAAAGATCATTGACCTCACGAAAAAGGACAATGCCGCACATCGCCCCCCAGTCCAACGCTTGGACTCGTCTTCCTCAACGACAAATAATTCGCGTTCCACGCACAAACCAAGTGTAGATGAAAAGAGCAAAAGCTTTATGGCCGCGGCTCTACAATCCCAAAGCAGTGCAGGCACTGAAACCAAATCTGGAAAAATCAATAATGGTACAAAAGACCACAATGCAAGCGAATCCCCAGAAGCTCCAAACACCCAGGAAGATAAGCCTAAAAATGCTTGGTGGCAGAAAAATGCGAACGTTCCTCTTCTATCAAGAGAAGAATTATTCTTCCATCACAGGATGGACGTACGCTCTTGGACAGAGCTCCGTGAGACCACGCTATATTTCGCTCGAAAGTCCTACGCCAGCTTTTTCCAAGATAACTACGGCGAGTTCAAGAAAAACTTCGAAATGACCTCTAAGTTTACCATTTATTACCATAATGCTTGTCGACTTCTGAAGTCTGAACTGGTGAAAAAAAATTTGAAAAAAGGTGTAAGGAAGCTTTTAAAACAGATGCTTTCATCCATGTCTACTATCAGCATAAATGGAAACTTATTTTTTTGCTCCCCTCAGAGGTCCGATCTTCGTTTTTCGCCGGACATGCGTCATCCTCACAAATCTAGCGCTACCAGCTCTGGTACGGAAGTCCAAGATCCCCTTCGCGTGTCAATAACGACGCTCAATCCCATCCAATCTAATGCGGCCCCTAAATTAAGTATAGGGAACAGCGACTTCTTTTTTAGTGATGAAGTACAACATCCTCTTTCAGGCGAAAGGAAGGATGCTAGTGGTAGCAGGTTTGGATCAGTGATGAGCTCTTACACCATTCAAGCGCATAGCTCTGCGATTGATGAGAACTCGAACTTATCAATTCAAATGTTGTTTCAGTCACTTGATAACGAATTTAGCAATCTCATGAATGCTGTGGGAGACCTTCATGATATAATGAGTACAAGTTGTTCAGGAGGCGGAGTTCTACCTCAACTCTTTACTCGTTTTTTTCGAGATTGCTTCAGCGGTGGCGCTTGGACGAGCACATTTCAAGAAAAACTTGTCGATTTGAGTCCTAGAAACTCTATTGTTGATGATGGCTCCTCAGAACCTTATGCGACGGTAAACGCTTTTGGAAGCATCAGCAGTAAAGCTCCAACAATGGAGGGCTCGTTTATGTCCAGGAGCTCAGCAGATCCTGATTTATCGGCATACCAGCGTGATTCTTTCAGAACGCGGCCCCAAAGCAAGAGCCGGCACCCTCTATCAGTTGATACTCTTAACTATATGAAGAAAAAACTGGACTATTTTACTACTCTATCTTTTCAAAGCTACGAGACGCTACTTGAACAGAAACGTTCCAAGAAGAGAAACCTCGAGATTAGCGCTGCCTGTCATCGTGAGCTTACTCACTCAGTGGCCATAATCGAATTGCTAGAAAACCTAGACCTGAGGTTTTTTTTGAACATGAAGAACCTGGGTTATAAACCAGAACATGACAAAGACAGCGAGGAACTGCGTCAGCACGCAATGACCTCGTCAGCATCCTTGTTAATGGAATTTTTTGACGTGAAGCAGGCTCTTTACGATGTCACGATTAAGAAAATATTGGACATTCAAAATTTAACGTTACAAGACCCCTATGTATTCTGTTCCATGGCTGGCGATCAATCATTCCGTGACGATGATAGTGACAATTTGGAAGAAAGCAACATTCTAAAGGTAGAGAAGTTAGCCGAAACTTATTACAAACGCTTCTTGAAGGAGGACGTCGAAGTAAATGCGCTATCCTTCTGCGATACAGATTCGGAGTTCAAAGCAACCCAAGCATCGTTTTTGGGAGTAATTGAATCTGCCTACCAGGTGGTAGAGCAATTAATGCAGGAGCGTGAAAGCATTTTAAATTACGCGGCAAGGATGATGAAAAATGACTTGATAGCTGAGCTGATAAAAGGTGAACAAAACAAAGGCTATTTAGACGTTGAAGGGAAGTCAGCTGACTCAGAGATTGAGCACATTGGCCCACAAGATTTTGATAGGAGTTTTTCGATTGACGTCCCTTGGTACCTAGACTCTGAGCACGAGTACTCGCTTATCTATGACAACAATGGGAATATCAAAGGCGGTCGGAAGGCTGCCCTACTGGAGCACCTTACCAGCCATCAAACGATCGATGCCTCCTTCAATATTGCTATGCTGCTTTCTTTCCGAAGCATCTTCACGACTTCCGAATTCCTTCATGCTCTAGTCGAGAGGTATCACTTATACCCCCCTGACGGATTGACCTTTGATGAATATAACTTGTGGATTGAAAAGAAAGCTAATGTTGTGAAAGGGCGCGTAGTCACAATCATGAAGACACTTTTCTCACACTACTGGACCCCTGCGTACTACGAGTCTGGAATCGATGACCTTGTAAGTTTTGCTCAATTAGCTGTCGCCCAAAATATCAGTGGAGCACCTGTGCTGTTAATTGAACTAAAAAATCGCCTCTCTTTGAAAGGTAATTTAAAGAATTTTGTCCCAGAAATAATTAAGTTTGACGAAAGCGGTCATAACTACGGATCCAACGCATTAAATCCAGAGGTACAAAGTGCGGGCTCTACGGAAGTCGGTGCAGGGTACGGATTTAGAATGAGAAAATTGAAAATTTTGGACATTGATCCTCAGACTTTCGCAAAGCAGTTGACCACCAAAGACCACTTTCTTTATTCCAGAATCACCCCATTTGCGTGTCTTGATCGGATATGGGGTAGGAAATATTGCAAGTTTGCAGGCTCTGAATTGATCACAAAGTTTGTCACCAGTGCAAATACGCTAACTAATTACGTTGCGTTCAGTATTGTAAAACAGACCAATTTCAAAAAAAGAGTCAAAGTCATTCAACATTTTGTGTCAGTTGCAGAAAGCTGCTATGAGCTAAATAGTTTCTCCTCCATGACAGCTATTATTTCGGCATTGTATTCGTCTCCAGTCTATCGCTTGAAAAAGACGTGGGCCAGCGTGCCCACTGACTGCATCAAGGTTTTAGAGAATCTCAACACTCTGATGGACCCAACGAAGAATTTTTTTACCTATAGAACGTGGCTGAAGACAGTAAAGGACGTCGCATGCGTTCCGTTTTTCGGAGTTTACTTGTCTGACTTGACATTCATCGCCGAGGGAAACCCTGACTACTTACACAGGTCGACAGACATTGTTAATTTTAACAAGCGCATTCGGATTGTTGAGATATTGAAACAGATCTCAAGCTACCAAAATATTCGGTACAAGTTTAAGTTGTATGATGACGTCCAGGCATTCATCGACGAGTCTATGAAGTCAGTTCCCACCATTGAGAAGCAGTATGAGCAATCACTGAGGATCGAGCCTCGGACGGACGTTTCAGCCGGCCTGAACAATTCTCCCACGGCCTCGAAAATTGATGTGAGCAAGAAGTTTGACAAACGACCACGATTCAGTAAGAGCAAGAAAAAATCAAATAAATTGAGTAGTCTTTGATTACGCCTATTATATAATACGTCCTCAGCAGAAAATGATAGTAGACTTTATTGTATGAAAGCTTAATAGGTGATTAAGAACAGGCATACACTCTATCCGGGTGATTAAGTCAACATATACGGATGAACTAAACGAAATTCAAATGAACTGGTGTTGAGGCGAGAAAGAAGTAGGTCGAGAAGGCGCGGAGTTCGGTCAGAATGTTCAAGCAACTTTCTCAATTCAGCAAAAACTTTACTGATGAATTGGCAAAGGGGCTGAATGATGACTTAAGTGAAGAGCAAGAACATTACGATAAGAATAGTGATCTTCCAGTCGAGATCCAGGCCAAGCTTAGGAAATTTGATAAGTACGAACAGAAATATCCCTTGCTACTCAATGCATACAAGGTGGAAAAGTCAAAAAGCGAAAAGCTACTCATTTTACAAAAGATTTTGAGCGAAAACACTCCTGTATCATCTCTTGATGATTTTGATTCACTCACGAATTTCTTTCACAACACAACACTGAAGACGGACATGCTCAACGATGAGATCAAGCGTCTCTCTGGTCAAAACAATCATTATCTGGCAGAGTTAGAGGAGCTTCGCGCTCAAATCGACGCAAAAAACCGAAGTGCAGGACATATGGACAAGGATGGAGCAGCGCCAAACGGGAACATTCATCACGAACATTCTGAGGAAGTGCTCAACGAAGTGAGGGCCAAGTACGAACGTCTAGAAGTTGATCTGGAAGCACTTCAGCAGGATTACTCAGCCAAGAACGAGGAGCATGCTAAGGCTTTAGCCACCTGTGAGGAGTTGCAAGGGAAACTCGAAGGGCTTAAAGGGGAGTCTGATGCTGAACTGCACGAAATGAAGGAAAGTCTTTCGAAAAGCGAAGCGAGGTTAAATGAGGAGCAGAAAGCTCATCAAGTAGTTACAGGTGAACTCGAAGACCTTAGAAAAATGTATGATGAAAGATCAATTGAGTTTCAGAGGTTACTAGATATGGAGCAAAAAGGTTTTATCACTGAAGATGCCACTCAATTGGAGCACAGTGTCGGTAGTCCGCCAGAAATAAGTACTGCGGTTCAAGGGACAGCTTCAAAATCGAAGAAAAAGAAAAAGAAAGCCAAATCTAAAAATTGCGAGAAGCCCACCTTCCAAAACAATACCGAGCGCTCTACAGTTTGGACTAATGAATCGAGACAATTGAAAGAAGCACTCGAAAGAATAAGGGAATACGAATCAAAATTCAAAGTGATTCAGACTCAATACAGTGCTTTACTTGGTGAGGGCACCAGCTCAACTGATAACGCTGTTGACCTTGACGTCATTCGAATCAAAATTGAACAACTACATGATGAAAATAAAGATCTATTGAAGCAACTGCGTGATAACAAGCAATTACTTACGTTCAAGTCGGAGGAGTTGGATAATAATAAGGACATTTTAAAAAGTGTAGGAAATGAGTTAGTCACTGCTAAGGACAAAATAAAAGATTTGGAAAATGGTGAAAATGCAGATGCAGATCATTTAAAAGCTCAATTGGAGGGACTAAGGGAAAATAATTCAGAATGTATCAAAAACTATGAATTAACTTTGAATGAATTGAAGCAGCGTATTAGTTTATTAGAGGAGGAAAAATTGAAAGTGGTGGAGGAATGCAAAAAGCTGAGGGGGTCTGTGGCCAGCAAGCAAAACGATGTTGAAAGCCTCTCCAAAAACCTGTTGAGAATCGAAGAAGTGGCTGCAACCCTCAAGAAGGACAATAGCTCTCTCAGCGATCAGCTGCGTGAGCTATCTTTGCTCAAGCGCTCAGAAAGTGCTTTGAAAATGTCTGTTGGTCAAAAGGAAAAGACGATTGTTTACTTAGAGCAGCAGATAAAGGATTACAACGCGAAGGACGAACAGTCTACCAGAGCTCTGCGAGAAGCCAAGAGAGAGATTGGATCGTTGTCCTCTAAGGTCGGCCAACTAGCCAAAGAGGCTGAAATTTCAGCTAATAATACCAAAGACAACAAGCAGTCATTGGAGAAGTTTATAGCCGATAATGCCACTCTGACTGAAAGATTAGAAGTAATGAGCGAAAAGTATGAAACCTTGAAGGATGCTAAAAGCGTATCCTACGAGCAAGTCGGAACAATCAGAAGACAATGCGACGAGCTGAACGTTAAGCTCAAAGAGGCCAACAAACGTGCAAGCTACCTAGAAGAGGAACTGAACGAGGTCGCCTCCACATTACAAGAAAGGACTAAGGAAGTCCATGGTATGCGCCGCTTAATATCAGAAAGTCAATCCGCTGAAAGGACCCAGGTAGGAAAGCTGGAGCAAAGTCTGAAGTCTGCGTACGATGAGAAAGAAAGGTCAGAGAATGACCTCACCTTACAGCTGGCGGTTTCCAAGCGTAACATTCAAGAATTGAGGGAAGCAAATGAAAGACTGAAGTCAAAGTTACAGGACTACCATAGCAAGGAAAAAGGGTATGAGTCAGATATCACGAGACTAGATTCATTGAGGGCTGAGGTGCAAAAGACAAAGAGTGAATCAACCGAAGTCGCGCACGCTTTAGAGCAAGCTCTATCAAATGTCAAGATAAGCTTATCGCAATCAGAGAAAAAGTTACGCGGGTTGGAGGTAGCTAACGAAAAGTTGAGAGAACAGAACAATGATTTGACTGTTAAGTTAGAGAGAATATCTAAAAATTACAAACAAGTCTCCAATCAGTTAGCTGCAAGTAAAGAACGCACTACAGCAAGGGGTTTGAGTCGATCTAATTCAAATTTGTCCATTCCAGATCGAGCCTCTCTTGAAAATCTCTCTCGCCGGGGATCATACACCGGAGAACCTGTACGGGAAACTCAAACAGAGATAAACGACAAGATTGCATACATAAAAAACGTTCTGCTGGGGTTTTTAGAACACAAGGATCAACGTGACATGCTGCTACCCGTCGTTTCTACTCTGCTGCAGTTAGATAGTAGCGATGAGCAAAGACTACTAATCTCAATCCGGTAGTTTCAGCGTGGAAAAAAGATGACTATTTTAAATTCTCCAATTCAACTCCGGTATCGCTTCAGAGTCCCAAACCCGGTGTCTTTCAAGGATTGCGGGCTATGGTCTTGCGCGTCGGTTTGACGAGAAGGATAATGTCACATCCTTAGTGGCCAGCATGGCCGGTACCGGCCCATGCTAGAAGTCATGTGAGTGTTTTGTGTCATAAACCGTCTCGATGAGCCGGCTTCGGCCTTTTTTTGTAATCAAAAATAGACAGGGCAACTGTCTTGGCAAATGTGCAAGAGCTCCCTGAGAAGGAAATATAAGAAGTACCCCCAAGATCATTGGCGAGCTCACACCGCTCGAATTTTTGTAATAAACATCTCCAACAAAGATGTCCACGTACTCCGAGAAATCTTTTGATTCTGAATTTTACCAGGAGAACAGGCCAACTTACCCCAAATCTCTTTATCGCGCTATTGTCTCATACCACCAAGGTCCAGCGGTCAATGTTATCGATATTGGCTGTGGTACCGGAATATCAACGTTTCCTTTACTAGAATATTTCGGTTCGGTGATAGGTTCGGATCCTTCTTCAACTATGTTAACTTCCGCGGAAAGAATGAAGAGTAGGTTAAACCCTCATGATCAAAACAGATTAAAGTTTCAGCAATGTGCTGCAGAGGAAATCAGTTCATTGGCAAAGAATAGTACCGTTGATATGGTGGTAGGTGCAGAATCTGTCCATTGGCTCGATCACGACAGGTTTTTCGATCAGGTTCATCAGGTCCTGAGGCCAGGAGGCACTGTAGCCTATTGGTTTTATGTAGAGCCGATTTTTTTGGATTTTCCCGAGGCCAACGTCATATATGAAAAGTACGTTTACGAAGATCCTGCGTACATGGGACCTTTATGGAAGTCGGGAAAGGAAAACTTGCGCTACTTTGGTGAGCCCATCAATATTCCACACGATAAGTTTGGTGAGCTGCAGAAACACATCTATCGACCTTTGCAATCCAACGTAAAGACGCAATACTATGAGCATCGGGAAGCATTCACCATGAATGATTTCAGAAAATATCTTCGCAGCTGGAGTGCTTACCATACATGGCAACAAAAGTACGGAGGTACTGGAGCCGATGTGGCAGAAATGTTGATTCAAGAGCTAAAGCAAAGGTGCAATTGGGACGAGCAGACCCCACTGAGAGTAGAGTGGGGCACCGCCTATTATATGGCCCGCAAGAAGTAGGGGCGCTCGTAAAACGAACAGTGGCAGACAACTAGATTTATTTTCTCAATAATTGCCGATATAGATGTATAAAAAGCAGATATGTTGTACAATTCTCTCATTGCTTCACAGCACTTAACAACAGTTCCTAAGGGAATGCCCTGATATAATCAATCCCACCAGCGCATTCAGCAACCGTCATTTGATTATCGCCTAGAATTTTATTGACATTGATGCCCACTTGAACTGTTTTGAACGTGCCATCATGCTCTAGAATTAGACCCTCCCCATCATGTTTCCATTCCTGAACATCTCTATATATATCCTCCTCTGTTCTTACTGTCTGATCTTCATTGATGAGCTGCCAGTCAAAAGAATCGTGATCCCACAAAACGGCCTGCAGACCAAACATTCTTGCAATAGAACGAACTCGGTTGTCAATAGCTCCATAAGGCGGTCTAAACCATTTGGGAAGATGATGTCCAGTTGCGTTCATTGCCCAAACCGACCATTGAAGTTGCGCAATAATCTGCTCATTGGTGAGGCTTGGCATGAAAGGGTGAGACCACGTATGTGTACCAACCAGATGGCCGCCATCTAGTATTTTGCGGTACATTTCTGGATAGTTCACGATATTGATACCCAAGTTGAAGAAGGTCGTTTTGTGGTCCAAAGCTTCCAGCAGTTTGTCGGTAGCCGGAGACGGTCCGTCGTCAAATGTTTGTGAAATTTTCCTACAGGTGTAGACATCATCAGGGGCTAAACAGTGGTCACAATCAAAGGAGCAAGACTCTCGTGGGTTGGCTCCACAGACGCCTTGATCATAACGCTTGTAGTCCGGAATTTTGTCAAAATCAATGAAGTCCATGGGGATGTAAGGCGGGTCAATTCCTGGCCATTCCTTGAGCCCAGTAAAATCCGTCAACCACTGTGGGAACGGTGTCTGTTTGCGACCAGCACGAACGGAGACGAATCCACCAACGGGCTGTCCAACGGGCTGCCCAATGGGCTGCCCTTTGGGATATCCCGCGGGTTGACCTACGTCTGAACCATTGGAAAGGACCATTTTATGGCTGACAGCATAACGGGCAGCAACAAGTGCATACAAATAGGAAGTTCTCATAATGAATATGCGAGAAATCAAAGTTGAGGGGTGGCACGTAAAGTTCATGACGGAAGGTCACTTCTGTTCGAGAACCGCTCAATTTATACCATCAAATTGCAGTAAGGAACACAAATGTCAACCGACAATACTGACGCTGACGTTGTGCCATGTAGCCCGTGACCGGCTCTACTGAGTACTAAAGTACTTATGGGCGTCCTTAAACGGTACTCGCAGAGTTGAACACGAGATCGTGTCAGTGTCGCGCGAATGAATGGGAAACTTACCAGTGATTGGGCTTGTGGTCGGGCCACAGAAGCCTTGATTATCTCACAGTGTTAACTTCGTGCCAAGAAATCCAAGAAATGGACAAATCTTATTTGCCCCGTAACCAGAGAGCATATTTATCCCGGCGTACTTGCGAACCAACCGTGATATCTATAGCCGACCATATCACGCTGGGCTCAACGATGTCCATTGAGCTCAGAAAAACCTAATGTCTATTAGGCTCTTTCCGTTAGTCATTAGCAATGTAGTACAAAATTCTTCCCAAGATTGTTTGCTCCAAAGCAAGCCTTTTTATTCTTTCACTCGGTGAGTCCCAAAACTGCTCTCTATGCTACCAAGTGGTTCAGAAACAATGGGGGTGGAATACTTAAAGTTACCAGCACTGTCGCAACGCCCCACTGGGTCATAAGCTCAGAAAGCGAGTCATTGTAATAGCGACCAAGTCACGTGAATGCATAGTGTGTATATCTGGATGTGTTGTATGTCCGACGCTGGGAGTGTATCGACATGGCATCCCAGCGTCTCTGGTAGTAATTTCTCTAGACGACTCTATCGTAGTACTGTCCATCTACTACACTTCCCCGCATGGAATCTGCGACTAGTTGCTCGAAGCGAGCACGACTGGCATTTAGGACATTAGCGGCATCCTTGTTGAGCGGATCCAAAGCGTTAGGCTCTAACAAGAGCATGAGTAATCCTATAACAATGCTCTGAAGGTCGAGAACAGGGGACCAATCTTCCCTAAGGATGTTCAAGCAGACGTTGCCCTGAATGTCGATGTTGGGATGGAAGATCTTAGCCAACAGAGTTACTTTAGGCGGATCCATGGGATACGTGTCTTTGAAAACAAGCTGGAAATTGAAAGTACCGCGTCTGTAGCATCCCTCATCAGGCGAAATTCGAAGAAAAACGATGGAGTCTGAGTCAGAACGGGAGGAATCAACTTGAACGCACGGGGGCACGTCGAGCGACCCTAGGTCTTTGCGGAGACGCAGTTGAGATGCTTTGATTGGCTTTTGAGCCTCTGCAGAAGGTGCCGATGACTGTCCTGCTAACTGTTGCTGTTTTTCCTTTTGCAATTGCCGGAGTTTCAACTAAGACACTATAAGGTTAGTAAAATCGACAACAGAAGGCAGAGAAAGGCATTACATACCATCAGAATACTCACACGCTCGATACAAAGGTGCGCTGCCAAGGTAAGCGCAAGACGTACCTTGAAGAAGATCTGCCGATCGAGTTCACTTAAACGGTCACGTCAAAACCACGTGACAAACTAATAAACACTTCCCTCGGGACCAAGCTATGCTGATTGTGTAAGCTTACCCACAAATTCTCGACAATCATAATATCACTGGACAGCGCTTTCGGGAGCGCTAGCCACTTTTCGTAACTATAGCCAACCGAGTAATGCGGTAGTGCATCACCAAGCGGATGTTAACTCAAAGGCCGGGGCAGAGGTTTGAGTATTTTAGTGCAAATCCACAGCTAAACCAAACTGTACGAAGTCGCTGGCCGGAAGACCTCGAAATAAGTGTATGAAGGGGAGGCGCGCGGACGCAGGGCTTGCGTATTGCCACCCGCTCTAAGGTAAGCCCAATTGCGGATAGTCACTATATACGAACACACTATATGCTTGTCTCTTGCGTTCTCACGACTCGTGTAATCTAGTTTCCTACTGTAGGTGCTGCTTGGGTCCTGGCCAAATCACATAATATCCGTTACCTTCTACATGCTTGTCATGTCCGTCTGGCTTTTCGATATACGCGAGAAACTTTTTGTCAACTAGCGTTGCAATAACCTCTAATAGTAAAATCGGCAACGGCTCATACAGCAGGGATCTGTTATTCACTTCACCGTGCATCCCCAACTGGCTTGTGGTAAAATCAACGACGTATTTTTTCGTCTAGCTTGTGTTACCCAGAATCGTCCGCTACTTAATCACACCTGACTCATGGGCATGGCTCATGGCTCATGGCTCATGGCTCATTGCGCATCGCGTACACTAATCAACATTCCCTCGCGGTGAACTACCACTGTCGTAAAGCTCTTCACTGAAGAAAATAGCGTGGCAGGCGTCAAAATGCGGCAAGCAGTATCGCGGCTTCGCATCTTCTCAGTTTTTTTTCACTCACCACAGCACCAACTGACTCATTTTCCACCGAAATTTTAGCAGAAGCTGATAAAAATTGTGCATCCTGGTGCGGGAGCGTATAAAAAAGGTCCAAGAGGCGAGGTAGATGTCTTATTTGTCCCCTAAGTACAGGTAACAACGACCAGTCCGTTAATAAATCAGTATCTCATTTCGGAGCAACACTGAGTGTTTTAATCTTAAGGTAATTCCGATCACACATATCGTCTTCATTAATTGCAAGAAATGCGCCACTTAGTGTCTATCAAGGATCTGTCTAATGAAGAGTTCAAAGTGCTCGTAGACAGAGCAGAACACTACAAGAAAGTCTTCAAGTCCGGTGATGTGGATGAGGCCCAAAAAAACCACCTGAAGTTACTAGGTAAAACTATCGCGATGATCTTTTCAAAAAGATCAACCCGTACCAGAATCTCTACCGAAGGTGCGGGTGCCTTTTTCGGCGCGCAACCCATGTTTTTAGGTAAGGACGACGTCCAAATTGGTGTTAACGAGTCGTTCTACGACACGACATTCGTGGTGTCGTCCATGGTGTCCTGTATTTTTGCCCGTGTGAACAAGCACTCGGAAATTCAAGCGTTGGCCCAGCATTCCAAAGTTCCTATCATCAACTCGCTTTGCGACAAGTACCATCCTCTTCAGGCTATTTGCGACCTCCTGACCATCAAGGAACATCTCGATTACACGAAAAACAAGCTCAAAGTAGCATGGATAGGGGACGCCAACAACGTTATCAACGACATGGCCATCGCCTGCCTCAAATTGGGCTTGGATGTTGCTATATCGACTCCACCTGGCATCGAGATGGATTCAGAGATAGTTAAAGCTGGTCAAGAGATATGCAAGGAAAACGGTTCCAAGCTGGAGTGTACTCACAACTCAGCAGAAGCTGCGAAGGGTGCGCATGTAGTGGTCACAGACACCTTTATCTCCATGGGCGAAGAATACGCCAAAGTTGCCAAGTTAAAACAGTTCCAGGGCTTCCAGGTAAACACTGAAATATGTTCCCACGCCGATCCCAACTTCAAATTTATGCATTGTTTGCCAAGACACCACGAAGAAGTCACAGACGAAGTCTTTTATGGCGACCATTCTATTGTCTTTGACGAGGCTGAAAACAGACTGTACGCTGCCATGGCGGCGATAGACGTATTCGTAATTAACAAGGGTGATTTCACCGCGGGTCCAGACTCGATCTTCAATTGATCTCCGGCTGGTTGATTTCGCTTAGCATTGATAGTTACAGGTTATAGAAATGTAAAATGGGATGTGTTCATTTGAGGTAGATAACCTTTATAAATTGATGCAGATATCGGCCGTCATTTCGGGGCCATGTTTGAGTTCTAAACAACCTGTCCCGTCCTCAAAGGTCCCTTGAAGCAGTCCGTGATGTTCATTCATGTATTTGCAGAGGGTGTTCGAGTAAAATGGGTTCACTTCCGATTTTAAAAGCGCCAGAGTTACGTGCGGGAACTCGTTTGTGCAGGCCAACCGCGGGATCGCGTCACCTGTATCTCCATCAATGATCCCATCATCCAAAAGGTTCACTGTAGCCGTGATGATCTTGTCATCCCACAATAATCGCGTCAATCTAAACTTGACTTTATCCTTCGTTTTGAGATGTTTGGGCGACTCCTCAGAATGAGAGCTAGTCTGTTTCAAAAGTTTGATGTAGCGCTTATTGAATTCGCACCAAATGTCCTTTTCCCCCTTTGTGCCTTTCTTGCAGCTTGCCCAGTGACATAACGTTATATGAAGATTGCGCAACACTCTTCCCGCTTCTTCCGCCTCAGAAATTGGCGAGGATCCAACAGTTGAAATTTGTGAACTTGTGTCGCGAATGACTTGCAAAAATGATCTTCTATCCATTATCTCTGCCGAGAAATATATTGGTTTCAATTTCTTTCCTTTAGTATCGCTTTTGTTCCCTCCACCAATAATCTTGGTTATTGTCGGCTCATACTGCAAGCTTTTCTCAAAAGCACTAGTGATACGCTCTTGAGAAGGCATTTCCGGAACCAGAATGGGATACTTAGCCTTCAATGCGTGCAAAATTGTTTGCACATTGCTGCGCGATGAATCACGCTCCAGTACACGTAGAGTGACGACGTAGTCAAAGAGATTATCTGGCTCCTTATTAACATCAAGTGGCTGATAACGATTAATAAAGCCTCGCATTATCCCCAGAACCTTCTTTTCGCCGTCTTTCTCGGCCTTGATACTCTGGTGTCTGTCACCGCGGGCTAAAACTCTAGTGATTGTAAGCTTCGACGTCTCCTCAACATCTTCGTACGGCAGAAAAGACAGCGCTATAATTTTGACGTTGCAGTCGTAAGGCATATACTTTTCTTTGAGTTCTGCAAACCACTCAAATAGCTGCTTTCGTTCCCTGAACTGATGATTGTTTCTGTCCACAATCACAGCCTTGACACCATCTTGCGCAAGGATGTCCAAAGATTTCTTCATCAGCATTGCCTTATCTCTGCCGCTAATGTCGTCATTTTGGACATGGCCCCACTGTGTTGGATACAGGTTTTGTAATGTCAGGGCCGTTGTCGTTTTGCCACAACCAATTGTCGCAATAGGAAAGAACATAAATTTTGTATTTGAATCAACAGTATTGTAATCAATTGCATTCTCGCGTTCAAGTTCCTTGATCTTCTCGCTATTCAAAATTTCTAATCCAGATAGACCATAGTCCAGCAAGAAGAGTTTGCGCAACCGTATAATGGCAAGATCTTTCATATAATCGTCACGCAGTTGCTCATCAGCATCAAGAAGAGGAATCACAAAGTCGAGATACTTGTTTGTGATGAATCTGTGTTTTTTAAAACTAAAAACCCGAGATTTAGTCTCAATGTATCTCTTTGTCGCCTCTCTCCACTGACGATACATTAAATATGGCTCTTCAAACTTGAATTTGAAGAAAAAGGGTGAGCCATCTTGCAGCCTTGTCCGAATGACAAACCCTTCAATTTCTTTATTTTCGTAAGAACCAACCAACGCACTTTGCTCCAAGAATTTCCGGAGGCTGTATATGTCATGTTTCGTGAAGTAGTTCACCTTTTTAAATCCATACTTGTCTGCAAATGTGGTTACATCGGAAATTGGCAAAGTTTCAAATTTTCTAGAGTTGATGTTGATCCCATGAACGTAAAGACCAGCTGCGTCTTCAGAATATTCAAGGATGTGTTCCTCAAAAGTATCGTCACAGTACTCGGCTACTACTGTAGCATTCATATCATAAAGTTCTAGCCCCAGCGCTCGAGAATCGATATTGTGCTCTTGAAGCTGCTTTGCTAAAAACTTCTCGCCTGCTATGGAATGATTTCTGTCCGTATCATCTCTGGCACCTGTAGAATGCTTTGAGCAAATCAACAAAGTTCCATCTTCTAAGCCTGATACAAAAATAATGCATCCATTTTCCTTGACAGTCACATCATATGGGCCCACAGTATTTGCTGAAAGCCAATCCCAGGAAGTGAAAGGTACTTCGCCAACGTTGAAGAACTTATCGTACCCACGGGCCGCGATTCGCGGGGGTTTAGCATCTTCTAGAATGAATAACCCTCGAGCGTTCACTGGTAGCTGAATACTACTTTTACCGTAATCCCACTCGTTAAATTTCCAGCTAACGACTGTTCGATCGCAGTTAGTTATCTGGCATAAAGTTTTATAAGCTTTTCCGCGCTTATGAAGCTGTGAAGCGGCCTCGAGATCAGCTATCAGCCGTTCACAGCTCTCGTTCACATTTAAGTTCATTGAGATAGTCCGCAATATCGACGCTATATGGCTTGGCGGGCCAGATTTTGAGTTCGTCGTGGTCATCTACATAATAACACTTGCAATAAGTGTAATAACATTTTATATACAAAGCAGAACTAAAAAAAACGAACAATCAACATACGTCGCTATCTGTGAGTTTGAAGATATATGAATAATTGAGAAGTGCCAGAGCTTCAAGTCATTTAGTTTTCATACTCTAGCTGTCAATCGCCCCAAACTTTACGCATTTTTAGAGAATTCAGAATAACCATGTCAATGGCTGATTACAACGTTGATGGTGCAGACGTACTGGTCTTGAGAGATAAACTAGAACAGCTATCTCGGATATCATTGCAAATCAACAAATCTTTAGAAAAGATAGGGAGCACAACTGTCCAGTCAAGAAACTTGTTTACGCCTATCGTACAATCCAACGCAAGATTAGGCATTCTCCAAAAAAATATTGAGAGCAGTCTGGAGGCCATCTCCTCAATTAAGGATGTAGCTAATGATGCTTCGAAGCATGAGTTCGTAATCTCTCAGGGCATCCGGAAAGTCGGATTGACAGCCTACGTTAAGGCCACTAGAAAACTTCAGAATATTCAGGAAAGCATGAATCACCAAAGGGAAATGTCCCCAGACTCAAATGATTTCCAAGGTGTGCGAAACCATCTCTCAGAGGTTGTTAAGTCTAGTGAACATGAATTGAGAAGCTATTTTTCGTCAATTTTACGCAAGATTGAGCCCTTTGATCCACAACTTATGTTAAATAAGAAGGTCCCCTTTCCGTACTACGAGGACGAGGATATCGCCAGACTAACCAATATCTTGGACTACTTTGGAGTCGACGGTATTGGCTCGTTAACTACCCTTGTCGGAAATAATCGTACTGAATTAATTCTCAAGAGTCTGGCATTTTTGGAACCATTCGCCAAGCAGATAACTAGCAACCCTAGCGTGCCATACAGAAAAGGCAGCAGTGGGTTTTTAAACTACAATGAGTCTGTTCTTGGGTTCATTGCCAATGAGTCGTCATTTACCGAAGACCTCTATTCCAAGAATTCACTTCTGAGAGGTGAAGTGTTCAGGACCATAATGTCACCGGTTGTCAACAACTACGCGAAGCTTGTAAATCTAAATCTGGATTTGATCAAGAGTAATACGTCAAATGTTGGACTGTTCACTTTTGAGCTAAGTGATTGTATTACGAACGTCGTCAAAATGTTGAAGAATACACCCTTGACCGATAGTTCTGCTCTCATGAGCTGTCAGCAAGAGGCAACGTCTATTCTTTATTCATTGTTTCGAGACCTTATGCTCTATATCGAGAACAAGGCTGGTCAGCTTTCTCAACTACCCAGTGATAACGGTGTTATAGAATCGACCATTGATGCCATGTCTCGCTTGCGCAAATTTAGTGAATACAAACAGGGCTGTCTCAACTGTATATCAGGTATGACAAGAGAGGAATGGCTTCCGAAGAAATTCAACGAAAAGGAGTCCACATACCATGAGCGTCAAAACGTGGATCAAGCGTCTAATCTTCTATCATGCTTTTTTAGTGATTGCATAGACTGTCTCATTGTTTCGCTAGAACGCAGAGCACAACAAATACTCATGCCCAATCAGGAGCCAGATATTGCCAATCCCAATAGTGTACGAAACATCCATAAGCAAAGAATAGGATTCTTCCTTATCACAAACATTACACTTGTGGAACAAATAATATCAAGATCAGAACTTAGCTCCATTCTTGGTGAGCAGGGAAATACTCGTCTGGAAAAATTGAAGAAGAGGTACGTAAGTTATTTTGTGTCAGATTGGCGTGCTCTAACTTCCAACCTGCTCGATGCTGTTTTCGTCGACAGTACAGGTAAGGTCTCGTCTAAGGACAAAGATCAAATAAAAGAAAAGTTCAAAAAGTTCAATGAGGGTTTTGAGGAATTGGCTTCCAAATTCAAAGATTTTAGGATAACTGATCCTACCATGAAAAAACTACTAAAGTCTGAAGTCAATTCTCTTGTTTTACCCATGTACGAAAGATTTCACGGCCGCTACAAAGATTCGTTTAAAAACCCGCGAAAGCACATAAAATATACACCAAGCGAACTTGCTACAGTACTTAGTTCGTTAGATCGATGACAGCACTGGCGGTCAATATCTTTTAATAAAAATAAACTGATTATTTGTATCTATTCACATGCAGAACCTGCGCGGTGGAAATGAGCCTTGAAACTTCAGTTAAATGGACACCAACTTATTAATTTGGCTGTTCCCCTGGGCTTGCAATGGTGGAATTTCCGGGACTTGTTCCAGATCCGCTAGTAACCCCGTGTGTTGATTTTTGTTCTGAAGCCATGTTTCCCGATCCTGCAGGAATTTTAAAAGCTGATTTAAAATCTTCAAATACTTTGTTTCCATCAGCGACTCCGAATGTATATTCCCTACTAGAGTCGGGAGACCCAGGCGTATCATTTTGCAGGGGATGCCAAGTATTGCTGTTTCGATCATAAAGTGCTGTAATATCGACGGACGCTTCCGTCGTAGAATCCTCATAGCCTGTTATCGATTCCCTGGACTGTAATAAAGTATCCACTGTTTGGTTTGTCCGGTGATTGAGGAGAGGTGCCATATTATTCACGTTATTTTCTCGACTCAAGTAATCGGCAGCAGTATCAATAGATGATCTGGGTGACGCTGCGATGGAGGAAGATTGACTTTTGGACGGAGCAATGTCCTCGCTCTTGTCTAGAGCATTGAAAATACCATTCATATCGTTGTAAGAGTCGCTTGAATTTTTGATAGTCGAAGGAAGAATATCCTGAATACTTCCACGTCTGCCTCCGTTTACGACAATCCCTAGGGATTTTAATTTTGGAGATTGCCCTTTTAAAAAAGCACTGACATCCGGAGAAACCAAGTTTTGTGCGCTGGACGAGGTCGAAGCAGAGACAGCGTCAAAAGCATTGTACTCGGAGAGTGACCTATGCATTGTATTGACATTCTCCTTTTCTTGTCCATCCGCACTCGTTATGGTAAATGTAGGTCGCCTCGATCTTGCCGCCTCTACTTTCAACGATTCCTCATAAGTAGGCGGATTTTTTGGAAGGCGAGCAGGTGTGCAATTAGTTCCATTATGCTGCGGGGGCGAGAAGTCGGCATCAAAAGGAGGCGGCCCAAAACTTGGCTGCCTTAGCAAATGTATGGGCCTTGAGAGAGGGGATGAAATAGGTGACAGAGGAATGGCCTGGGGCGAAGTTAACTCAGCCTTCAGAGAACCAGGATGATATAAGTTCGATCTAAGCTCTGGGGATTTGGAGAGAAAATCTTCAACAGTTCTCTGATGGTCTTCATTTCTTTTTTGCTGATGTCCTAAACTCAAGCTTCCCCGACGAACCGGATTGGATAGCGGAGACAAAGTTGCACGGTCTTCCACGGGTAAAACGTCTGGAGACAGTATGGGGGATTTGATAACCTCCTCAGGAAAATAGAGGTTTGATTGATGATATAAATTGACACCCAGATCGCCAAATTGAGAACAATCAGTACCCGGAATAAGCGCATGGGTATCGTAGCTCGGCAAAAGAGTATTGGCATGCGAGCACAGCCTGTTCAATACATGTATTGGCGAATCGATACTTATTTCATAATGTTTCCGCTGACCATCGACTAAGCGCGAAAGACGTAGACAGATCTTGATCCAGTGGTTCGACCTGATGTTCTGGTAAGAAGTATCTGGGTGTATTCTTTGCTGCAGATTCAGTCTTTCGGGGACAAAAACCTGATATTCAAATTCTTTCGAAACGAGATCGCCGTGCTCATCTAAGAGTAAATTGCCCAAATTTTTCGCCTTCTCTGCGCTAGCTCCCTGCGGGAGGTTAGCCAAAAGTGGAGCTTTATGTTCAGCAAGTAAAAACTTCTTGGTAGGCTCCAAACGATGTACTTTCTTATGTTTACAATAGTATTCAACTGTTTCGGTAAGGTAAATCCTTATTCTGTGCAAATTTACTTTGTCCATCGGAGTTATGTGAAATGCGATTGGTAAAAAAGCATCCAGTACAATATCTTTGGACGCAATGACAATATCGTAGTGCAGCTGGTCTTCCCAATCCCGAGAAATAGCTATGGGTTCAGTTTCCTCCACTGATGAGTCAGAGGGCGCCCTAATTACGTCCACAGGCATCCGAGCGTGAATATTTGTTTTGAATGCCCCAGAGCGTTCGATCGATGTCATCAATGTGTATTCGACTGATCCAAATGAGGCCATTATACTCTCGGGGCACGAAAGAGGTATCGTTTGTTCGAAACCGTAAACATACTCTCCAGGCTGGAATATAAAGGGTTCACCGCCAGAAGCTGAGGACTTAGAGAAAATAGAGGAGCCATCACTGTTTGTAGCATGGGGTGACCCCAGCAAATCAGAAAGCGCATTGGTACTAGATCGAGATCTCTGCTTGGCCCCATGTCCGTCAGGCGAGGCACCTCTCCGAAGCATTCCGCCGATCGGAAGGAAACTCGCTGTCTGCACCTTTGATGAGTTTGGTGATGTAGCTGGACTCAGATTTATGTAACTGACGCTGTCACTTTTCTTTCTTGAAGGTCGATACAGGGAAGCCCAACTCCCTTTAGTCAAATCATCTGGATCGCACGAATTACTATTAGCCACCATACAGTTTTCAACCTGGAAAAATGGCCAGGTATGGTTTACAATGTCCAACGATTCGAGAAACTCCTGCCTTTTTGGGGGAATGCCTTCCGGCCATTCAGTTTTAGAAACACCCCTGAAAGAAAGCTCAATCGACTTGATTTTACTAGGTTTTAGCACCCTTAGGATCAATGAACCTCTCAACAGGCCTGGAGGGCGCTCTTCCCATTGTTGTTGATCGAACCCTTGCAAGAAAACTGCCGGCTCGGCCAGTTGAATATACACCTGAATAGATGTGGTCTGGCTTAAGGGATGAGCAGACTCGGGAATATCTAAATCCTTTTCAGCCGGAAACACAGGGGAATTAAGCTGGGGCGGATAAGCGCTCATCGGAGACCTGTGGGAATCAGAATTATTTTAATTGTTATGCTTAAGAGTAACGGGCTCATTAATAAATAATATTATCGATAACATCTTCAAAGGATGACTACCCAAAAAAAAAACAAACGTCAATGTAACAAACATTATATAACTAAGATGATGGAAGACGGCTGACAGGGCATAGGAACCCTGTTTTTTCAGAATTGAGGGGAAGGGCCGAAGGGGCGGCATTTCCATTCGTAATGAAATGGCAAGCTATAGCCCATTTATATGACAATTTTAGTGCTACTCGTATTGGCGTAGCGTCGACAAGACCAATGTAGTTCTTCTTGACCGTCGTCGATGTATTCGTCGAGGAGCAAATTTATGTTATTTGCCCTTAAACGGAGATAGGCATATAATCTCTAGCTGTCCAACGGTTCCCAATTCGATTCAGTCGAACTCTCTTTACACGTCTTATGCTCGCCCTGCGAGATGGCCCATATCGTACCAGGAGCGCGCGCTGCTAAGATTCGTCCAACAGCTTGATTACCGACTTAAGTTGTTTTAAGTGCTCGTTTTCACTACCGCTAACGCTGTGCAGGAGCTCATTCACTTTTATCAGATCGTAGTAATTTTCGTATACCGCATTCTTGATGTTATTGTTCATTTCCGCTTTCTTGCTCAACAAAGCGTTATGTGTGTGAATGAGTTGTGATATCGTGCACTCGGAAACTGTGGGAATGGAAATACCTACTTCCTCCACGGAGGCATTGCTGGTGCCGTTTCCGACCTCTGTGTGATTGGTATCAGCAGTATCTACAGGTAATTCGACAGCTTCTTTAGGCCTACTACCATCTTTGTCCCCAGTGTCTTCAGGCTCATCTTTCAGGTTGTAAAATTCGTGCAATTGTTTTCGTCTTTCTTTATCGACTTTCAGTCTCACAGGACGTTTATGAGAGATTTGTTCCGTCATCTTGCTGGCGACCGATTGCTCAATGGTTTGTGAGGGGCTTCTTTCCTGGTACTCATTATTTTCTATGATTAAAGTTGACAAAATAAAGAACGGACTAGAATACAAAAAATTCTTAGAGGCCATCAATTAGCTGGCTACTGTAGAGAGCGAGATTCTCTTCAATTGAGCCAACACAATTTGACTTTAGACATTTTGACTTCAGAAGCTGTACAGCATTCTCCCATTGAAGAGGAACCATCGTGAGAATTCCCGCGATACAAATACCACTATTGCCCGCTCTTTGAAAGGACTAGATTCGAATAAGGCTCAGCAGTAGTGGTAATATGCCATTGACTTGGACTCAGAGAGGATCCGGTTTGAATGGCAAGTCGTCCCTATCGAGTAACGAGGACCGGCTGTCCAGTGATGCTTCATTGAAAGCAGCACAGGCAATCTTCAAAAAGCACGGAACTGCACTAGGGCCAGAAAATAAGTCGCTGAACAAAAACAAGGCTAGAATTACTGTGGGTACAAAACCTCAGCCGGCCAAACCAGCTCTTAGAGTGAAATCGGTACCGAGAAGACCTCGGGCTCCTTCTAAAGTAAAGTCCCCAACTTTGAAAACACCTGTCTCGAATATCGGCACTCTGACGGCAGCACAGGCGGCTGCTGCGAAAGCCCAAAGGAGCGTGCTGAAGGTTGAGCCCCAGGTTAAACCAAAACCCTCTCGGCTTAGCAAAATCTTTGGCGCATCTTCTAACGAACCAAAATTTAACCCCCATTCTGCACCGTCCCCTGGACCCAATTCTCTTGCCCCTCCTGCCCAGAAGTCAGCATCACCCCATAGGAGTCCATCTTTTTCAGGCTCTGTAGATAGCCAGGCATCTGTACGAAGTGGTCAGACCGATGATATTGATGAAATTGTGGCCAAACTGCAAGCTAGTAAGGACAATCTTTTGCCATACAAGTTTAGCAGGGCACCAAGGTCCGGAAGCACTTCACCAAAGGCAAATATCTCCACAGATAGCATTCTATCGGCGAATACGAGTTCCGAGGACGTTTGGGGCCAGTTGCGTTCGAGAGGCGCCCAGGATGGTCCACCGCTTTTGTCAAAGCGGACAGTTAACAACAGTAGTGCAATATCAGACCCTCAGATTGGCGAGATGGGGAATAGTTTTTCTAGTAAGCCGGAGTTTCCTGGAACACTGGCAATCATGCCGAGTTCTACACACACCATTACGATAAAGCGCCCGTTTTCCAGGTCGCAGGGCAAAGAAAACATGGGCGGCGACAATTTTTCGATATCTTCCATGCAGTCTTCTGTTTATTCAGGTTTTCCATCAACCGGTATGGGAGGCGAAGCTTTGAGTGATCAAGATGTTTCTGAGTTTAGCATTTCCCCCAGAGCCGAAAATTATAGGCCCGAGTTAGCAAGATCATCACTTGACTACGGTAGTGGATTTTTTGAGACTAATCCTGATCGCTTATCCACCGATGCCCTAGGCAAAAATTTTAAACAACCCGGCACATTGCCAGATCTCATCCCAAATCATAAGTGGGAGAAGAAACAAGGGAGACTGTCGTCCTTCTTTGGCAAGAAAGCCAAGTCTGTCGCCAGTCAAAACTCAAGCAGCAACAACTTGGGCTTGGAAAAGGACCAGAATGTCATAAGTGGAAAGAACAGTCAGCAGACGCGGTTGATGACAACAATGAGAAGGGAGAGTGAGGATATCAAAGATACTATTTCTGAAGAAAGCAGTGATGAATATGAAAGCGAATCAAGCGGCGGAGCTTTTGGAAGTACGAACAAGAAGCACAAAACTAAAGGACGGAGGGCGCGACTCGGTCACCAAATCAAAAAGGCGTCGGGCCATCACCACTCCCATAGAAAAAGTTTCAATGAAGACAAACCATGGAAGAGTCATATCGACATCGGCTTTGTCACACAAGCCGAACGCAAACGCTACGAGGGTATGTGGGTTACCAACCGTAATTGTTACCTCGATCTTCTTCCGTGGTGGGACGATAATTGTCAATCTGAAGATAAAAACATGGTGTCAGATGAGGGGTTGATGCTTAACTTAGTAGTGCTGGACATTTGGAGCAGAAGCCACCTGCCGCAAAACAAACTTGCGGCCATCTACGACATGGTCGACACACGCGGCGACGGCACTTTAGAACGGAAATCTTTTATTGTAGGGATGTGGCTGGTTGACCAGAGTTTATATGGCAGGAAACTACCATCCAGAATTCAACCCCGGGTTTGGGAAAGCGTTGATAGATACGTTATAAATGTGCCTAATGAGGAACGGTCGGGTTTAAACCACAAAGATAAGAAGAAACAAGTGAAGCAAACGATGAAGCAACTGAAGAAGGGGATGAAAAAGTCTCAGCGGTGATACCTTTTGGCTTCAAGTGCACAACCTATAATCACTTAGAACCGAAATCACATGACTATATTAATTTCTACGATCCTTTGGCATAGTATATTAAGGAACCAAGTTTATCTTGGTGTAGGTAATGTTCGCAATGACCCGGTTTTCAAAAAGAGGCAATGTTCAGGGTCCTTGGTGCTCTTACTGGCTCTAAAGGCTCCTCTGAGCTCAGCCAAGATCAGCGGAGCAAAAAAATATTGAGCCAAGCTCATGATTTCGAGGTAGCACTGCAAGCTATGGACTATGTGCTAGATGATCACCCAGGTAAGGGTATGGCTCTTTTGAAAAATGGCAAATCACATAGTCAGGATGATGACCGTAGTGTCAGAGTTCTAGCCCGTGGTGTTATTGAGTTTTTGGAAGCGACTCTTGGGTTTGAGGCAAGTGTGATGAAAAAAGCTGCCACTACTTTAGCAGAAGCTCAACAGCTCTCACAGAAAAGAAGGCAATGCTTCCAAAAACTCAAGTTAAAAACGAGCTCCTTGTATCCCCCGGGAACTGAATATGCTGTAACGTATACTGAGGCGTGCCTCTTGCATGCCTTGCTAATGCTGTTCAGCGAGAGCATGGTTGAAAGTGCAAAAGCACTTTTCAAGTTAAGAAAAGCTTACCACATGCTACAAGAAATTCTGAATGACATAAATGCTGCTAAAGCAAGCTCAGGGGCGTCAATACATTCTCAGGATGCGAATGCTTCTTGCGCCTCCTTTATTGCCGCGGATACGTCAAAGTTCAAATCAGTTGATATCCCGTATGAGCTGACCCCTCAGGAACAACAAGATCGAAAGCTTATGGAACTAGCGGAAGATATCTATCACATGCGGAAGAAGAGACTCGAGGGAGCCCACATTGGAAACTCTCCCGCGGCAGAAAGACTGAGGACAAACCTTGGATTGCAGGCTATGAGTGACTTATCTCTTGACTCTGAAGCAAAAAAGAGGCCAATTAACCTTTCAAACGAAGAAATTGAACAAGACCAGGCAACAATTGACGAGTTTATACACTCTGGTGTCAACTTGTGTTTTGGTATTTTGCAAGTAGTGCTATCGCTCATACCACCAGCTATCGGTGCTGTACTCTCTATCGTCGGATTTCATGGCTCGAGGGAGGAAGGATTGAGGATGATATGGCGATCCACTAAGGACCGTAACATTCATGGTGGTATCGGGCTGCTATCTCTTCTATTTTATTATGATGGTCCATTCCAATTCACCGATGTCGATTTCGATGTTCCGGCAACTAGTGAAGACACAGACAAAGCCTTATCGAGTGACCTAGATAAGCCCACATTACTTCACCCGGGACAACTACTGGAAGACTCCCTACTACGGGCAAGAGCCGTTTTTCCTAACAGTGCCCTGTGGCTTCTGCAGGAATCCAGGATGCTCTCTTCCAAAGGAAGGCCACAGGATGCAGTTGATTTGATGGATTCCATCGATGTGAATGGAATAGAAATGAGACAAGTCAAGGCAATAATGATTTTTGATAGGGCAATGACTCTGGTTCATCTCCACGAGTTTGAAAGGGCCGCTGAAGATTTACTTTCGTTGTTGGATATTAGTGAGTGGTCTCACGCGCTGTATACTTATTTTGCGGGGTGTTGCTATTTGGAGAACTACCGAATGTGTCAAATTGGTATGATGGATACAACGAAAATGTCATTTTACAAGGAGCGTGCTACGAAATTGATTTTCAGCTCGCCGGAATTGGCAGGAAAAAAGAAGTTTATGGCCAAGAACACCCCGCTAGAGAGGTTCATGTTGAGAAAGGTCGACCAGTTCAAGAGAAATCAATTCGCGTTGAAACTGAATGATCCGCTTGAGGCGATTGGTGTTTCTCCAGTGCATGAATTGACCTATTTTTACAATGGATATAACAGAATGACCAAAAGCGCTCTTGCAGTGTCGCATAGACTTCTTACTGAGTACAAAAATGCTATGGTAGAAAGGTGCAATCCCGATCAGGAGCTGATCAAAAATTTTCTTGTTTCCTTAACACTACGGAGACTTGGAAATTTGGATGACGGTTGTGAACTCCTGGACAAGCATGTTTTATCTCACCTATTCACAACGGAAACACCGGACAAATTCAAGTATTTCAAGAAGACTGAGGACCCATGGCTTTACCCCACGGCATTCTATGAGCGTGCGCTTTTTACGTGGAAACTAAAGGGCATGGATGGTCTAGATGAGTGCAAAACGTGGCTTCTTAGAGCCCAAAATTATGCCGAAGACTATGAGCTCAGTACACGTATTGGAATGAAGATAAAAGCCGCCATTGACAGGCTAGATGCTTAAACAATGATGCTGAAGTTGAGAAACTTACATTTGAACTTCAGACTTTAGCGCTCAGTTTCATTTAAATCACTACTAACGAACACTTCAATGTTAAGGTGTCTCCGCCTTTTACGTAACGTTAAGTATAGTAAACGGACAGTGTACACATAGGCTGAGAAGCTTGGACGCAGTTATTGCTTGATACAAGTGTCAAGGAAGATGGTCTATAGTGCCAAGATGTTAAATGACCTAAGTGGCGACGAAGACTCTGTCGAGTTGGAATTTGAAAGTGATTCCGAATTTAATGATGATGAGTACGGTGAGGGCAGCGACACTAGCGATGAGTTGCTGTACAAGAACGACAAGAAGAAAACTGATTATTTAGACTCAATCAACCAAAAAGAGTCGCTCGATAGAAAACCTCTTGAAAATGGGTATGAGAATGACGGTGTACCGAGACTCACTTACAACTGTTTAACAACTGATCAGATATATGACCTGGTGCTTTTAAGATTGGATCGAATACAGCCTATATTTGACTGTCCGTATGGCGACATTATTGTGATGCTACAAAAGTATGGATGGAGCGAAGAGCGACTTTTGGAAGACTGGACAGAATTTGAGGACAAGGTTCTTATTTCTTGCGGGCTTAAAGTTGCCAAGCAAATAGGTTGCTCGCGGGGATTACAGAATCACCCTGACTTTCTTTGTCACATCTGTTGTGAATCTAACAAACGAAAATCGTTTCGGCTAGAGTGCGGGCATGAATATTGTCTGGAGTGCTACCAGCACTACATCAAGGACAAGCTGCTGGAGGGTAAAGTAATCACTTGCATGGGATGTTCGTTGGCCCTGAAAAACTGCGACATAGACGCTATCGCTGGCGAAAATTCCAGTCAAGTTTTAATGAGGTCCTCGATTAAGGGCTTCATACAAAAACATAGTAATCACTACAAGTGGTGCCCATTTGTGGACTGTAACTGTGTGATACAAGTCAATAACATTTCGACACTGTCAGAATTCCCTCGCTTTCATCTTTCACCTTACGTCGTTTGTAAGAATCACCATAGATTCTGCTTCAAATGTGGGCTGGAGTCGCACGCCCCTGGCGATTGTCAGGTCGCAGAAGTTTGGGTTAAAATGGCGCAGATGGAATCTGCTAATTTGAATTGGGTTTTGAAGAATACTAAGGAATGCCCGAAGTGTGGCGTTAATATCGAGAAGAATGGCGGTTGCAACCATATGACATGTCAAAGTTGTGATTATGAGTTTTGCTGGATCTGTGAACTATGTTGGAAAGGACACGGGGGTGGTTACTACGAGTGTACTCGATTCAAAAAGGATGAAAATAATGGCGCGCCGGAAACTAAAAACTCTCTTAGAAAGTATACGTTTTACTATAAGCTCTTTAGCGAGCATGAAAATTCTGCCAAGTTGGACTGGGCCCTAGGACTGGCCGTGGAGCAGAAAGTGAAAGCGTTACAGGAAAACATTGGTCTGTCTTGGATCGAAACACAATTTTTACCGGAGAGCATTCGCGCTCTTATAGAAGGAAGGACGACCCTCAAATGGTCTTTCCCTGTGGCGTTCTATTCAGATCCATCACATAATCTCACAAAGATATTTGTCGATAATCAAGCTCTACTGGTGGGAGCGGTGGAAAGCCTATCACAGCTTTTACAAGTGAAAGAACCACAGGACATCATCAACAGGAAACTTGAGTTTTTTAATAAAGCGAAGTTTGTGGAGAGTAGAAATAAAGCACTCTCCGAGTGTGGACGGGATTTACTATGTAAGGGCATATGCATCGCGCGCACTACTTAGAATGTATATTAAGCAATATCCGGGCATTGAATAAATAAGAGACTAGACTCTTTTATGTTCGAAATCTTTTGAGTATATTTTACACGTATAATTTTATTTATCTGAACCTATCTTTCAACAGTCTCTCAGCTCCAACTTCCTCATACTCTTGCTTCCCTACCCATAATTGATGAAAGGTCCCTAAACTCGATAATATGCTACCACCAAGCCATGCTTTTGATTGCCGTTCTCTCAGATGACCAGCTGTTAATATGCGAAATTTCAAGGCAGGCAACTTTTTGTTTAATTCCGCCATTAGTCTATCAGTAAGTCCAGGTATTGATGAAGATCCTCCACTTATGATCAGGTTGTGAGCCAAGGTAGCTCGAAGATCTACATCGGTAGCTGTTATCGCAGTGTTCACGAGGTCACCAAGTCCCGCGATTAGGCCAGAATTTTCTTGAGATTCGTCCAAAGATCTCTTACCGTTTTCATTAATAGTGGAGGACCCCGTTGGCTCAGCCTTGATCTCTTCAGGAGCTGGTGTTGATTCGGCAGTTTCTTCTCTTTCTTTGTTACCCACATTGGGCTTCGCACGTTTCATTGGCACGTAATCGTTATGCCAAGTTTCTACAACACCATTCGATCGCGGCCAATTATCTGGCATACCGTCCGTAGATGGTTTGAAAAGTTGTTCTGCGAAGGAAAATCTGGTTTTGCTGTCAAATACTATATGTTCACCCCAAGGTGCCTCGATCGATCTTTTCGACATCGAATCGAGTTCGGCTTCGAGTTTGGGAGAGTCAGAAGGTGCGACCTGAAGTAACGTTTCCTTGCATTCTTGCAGGAAACCTCTGCTGTTAGCAAAGTCAATCACGGAGCTGCTAATTTCAAAATCAAAATTTTTAGGCTTAAACTCCGGTCTCCTTTGGGCTACCTTAAACAGTGGAATGAGTTCTTTGGGTTTCAAGTGGTTCTCTATCAGTTTGTTGAGAAACTTGCCCGCTAAGAAATTTCTCGCAGAACTTTTTGAAAGGGTCATTCCATCCACCACAGGGCAGACACTTGAAACGTCATGTCCAATGTCGACCACCAGACACGTAGGTCTTCCCATCGAAAATGATATGCAAGTGGCCGTGGGCGCTATGTAGCATGCTTCGAAATCCATTCCTTCAAGCAAAACTTCTAAAGACTTTTTGCGATTTTCATCAGAGTTCCAAATAGCCTCAGTCAAGAATGCGGGTGTTCCTCTAAATGAGTCGAATTTCAACTGATCCTTGGCTGCCCATGTCCATTGCTCCTGTGCGGCATCCCAATCAACGACACAGCCGTTCTCAACAATAGGCTTTATCTCAAAATCTGGTCTAGGTAAAGTCATAAACTGATCGTTGAAAGATCTCTGGCCAGCTTTATCGCCTCCGGTGTATTGGCCGTAGCATGATGGAATGTTTAACTGGGGGACGTCAGTGCCAGAATATCCGATGTTGGTACTGTGCGAACCAGGGTCAATTACAACCGCTGATATCTCATCACCACCGTAAACTTGCAATGCAGGATTTGACATTCAAATTGCGTCTGAGCCAGAATTGACACGCCTGTCTTTGCGAGTTATGTCTTCATTCAGCTAGACGTCAACACCGTGATCTAATTAAAAGGTAATATTGAACATGTTACATTCGTGTATAATGATTAAGATTTACAATGGAAGAAGGTGTTCAGCTCAGAATATTGATACTATATCTGAACACATAGCAGTAATCAGCTTTTCAATAAAATCAGGATGGATTCTGAGTATGTGTCTAGACTTTAATTTTGACAGGCGCTTGTCCATGTGTGTCATGTAACCTCTTTTTGCTTAAGTGTCTCATAGACTTCTAATTTCACAATCAAGAGCGTCGACAAGCGTCTCTATTTCGAGCTTTCTTCTAGCCTCAAGGACCCATTCGTCGCAAAGAACACGAGGCCAGCCTTTCAAGGCCACTGCTTCTTCAACTGCCTTGTCAAGTTTTGAATGTGTGAGGTTTGTACCCACGCGAGCAAATATACTGTCAACGTCACTGTCGACAGGAGTTCCATTTTTGTCGAGTACAAAGAAGCTGAAGAATTTTGCGGCAGTGTGACCCAAAATACCAGCATTGGGAGGTAGCAGGGAGGAAGTTACTAAGTCTTTTTGTAGGAGGGACCACCGGCTGTGAAGCTGTTCATTGGACAAAATTTGTTGCTTAGAGGCTAGCGAATCTAGCTGGGTGATAAGGATGTCAAGTAATTGTGGGTCTTTTGTCTTGCAACATTTGGAGGGCTTGCCTGGCAAAATTTCGTATAGGGTCTTGAGTCTGCTCAGTTCGGAATCCAGCTGAACGCTATGGGACCCGGACTGAAGCTTGGTTTTCAAAGCAGTGGCTAACAAATTGAGCTGAGTCACAACTTCACTCTTCATCATGAAAGTATCGACCTGATCGATGGCATCGGTGAGACCCTGAACAGAGTTGTCAAGCTCTTGCAATTTAGAAAGTCTACCAGACCTTTCTTGGTCCAGCTTTTCGGACAAAATTTTGTTGAATTCCTCGACCTGCTTGATAGACAAAAGAGCAACTTCGTTAGATTGTTTGGCTAGCAAAGCTTGCTCTTTGGCCTTGAGGGCAGAAGATAGTTCCTCAGAGGAACGGGACTCTAGTTGGGCTTTGAAAGCATTGAACTCATTCAAGAATTGTTCAGTCAGCTCCACTTCACGAGTTTTCAGCTTCAGTTCGTAGCTCTCGGATAAATCTTGACTTGCACGTCCATACTTATCCGCCAAGGACTGGGAGAGGTCTGTTTGGAAGTTCTCGTTGAGTGTTTGGAGAGCGTGATTGAGTTTGGCATACGTATCAGTCACGGCGTTATAGGCGTCCTCTGGCAAAATGAAGGATTCCTCATTGATCTCTTGAACACTGTCATTGACGAGCTGCACCAAATCTCTGGTTCTGGGTTCAGCTTGGCTCCTCAAGTTCAAGGGTGGTAGTCTGAGCTTGACGAGTGTTTCATCCTCAATTTTGACCTCCTGGGTAGCAGGTAGCGCGGCAATTTGCTCCGTGGTCAACACGGAATCGGCACCGCGAGCGGGAATGCGGTCTGTTTTTGTTCCGAGCTCGCCAAATTTCTGCTTTAGCTCCTCTAGAGGCATCCGCGACGCTTGGAAAGATTCGTCTCTGTAGGACTCATAAAGTTCCACCATCGTCTCGGCTAAGGGCACATTGTCACAGAAAAGTTCGCCAAACTGGTCATTGTTCACCGAAAGAGCCACACCACCGGCATAAAACCCGGTTACCGCTATCGTCGCGCGGATCACGAAACGTCTTAGTGGATTCGACCTTTTCATGGGTTTTCCTTCGAAGGTGGCCATTCCACGGGACCTTTGGCCCCTGCCTAACGTCTGCAGTAGTCTGCCATACGAAGCATTGTGTCTTGATCTTAGCATGCTCGATGTGAAGGTATTCTGCATCAATTGGACAATGCTACTGGCGACTCCTCAGTATTTGGTCCGAGGAAGCATTATTATTGGTTATTCTAGCTCAAATTTTGCAAATACACTATTGTCCACGTGTCATTGTATACGTATAGACACATCTGAACTGTCCCTCTGCAACAGCGGTCAAGAACAATAGACAGTAGACCGTTTAGGAGTTCGACGCACCGCAGTTTTACTTTGAAGTGTCCAGCGAGAGTGGCAGCAGCGCGTTTTTCAAATTTCAAGCGTGCGAGCGATTTCGAAAGAAGCCCCACAACAAAAAAAAAGAACAAATGCTTAACGACTGGTTGCCTAGGGTAAACGTCAGCTCTTTATTGGTTTCATGAATGGTGGCAGTACGTCAAACAGCACTCCCGAGTCCCAAATCTATTCTCGCTTCTGGGAACCCGTAACCGGTCTACCAGGCACCCCAAAAACGACAAAAAGGTACCGTCGTTGAGAGCACCAGAGTATGTAAGTACTCAAATCCGAGCAGCACCGGTGCTTGTGGGCGCTAGAAGCCAGTGTCAGGACACAAGCACGTCCACTGTCACGTAATTCGTGTCTCCGTCCAGAACACGTGATACAGAAGTTAATATCACACTATACGTAACGACAACTACTCGTTTTTCTAGTCACCATCGCGTCGACTAGCTGACGCCAATCTTATTATCGAGAATTTCATTGGACTTAAACCACCGATAAAGGCCATAATCGCACATGATAGCATGGTGGCACCGATTTTTCCGAATCCCGATCACACCGGTACTATTGGTAGCATTCCATCACCGCCACCATTCCACTGACCTCCCCCCACTTTTTTTTTAAGCATCCTTCTGAGCCACGATGCCGTGCGGGCTCGTTGGCTAAGGACCAACCTTCTTCTTCTGGAACACGAGTGTAATCTAGATTGTGGTTTCTCCTTTGAGATGTGAAGGTATGCAAATCTCGGGATAGTCGGACCGACGCAGTCCGGTCTCCTGTCTTGGGGTGCCGTACGGTTTTTCAACATCCAACATGAAGCCTGCAACTCGTCAATCGTGGGGCAAAGTTCGGCACGGCAATCAGTCAAGGGAGCGATCCTGGTAACCACTCGAGCTGGGAGGTTTATGCAGTATTTGCACAGAATTTGCACGGAATTTTTCCGTGTCGGTTCAGAGATAAGGAAGTGCACTCGATCTTAACCAGGTAATAGACCACCGATAGAATCGGTTGGCAGAAGCAAATGTGCAGGAAGAGCGTACATAGTGTATTCGGCGCATTGCCAAGCCAAGAGAAGTAGCTGCACTGTAGTAGAGTTGGGATTTAGTAGATGTTTTATAATATTTGTAGTCGGGAAGGCATTTTACTTTCTTTCCATCAACACTGACAGATGAACAGAGTGTGGGAGGTAAGCCTGTTAATGCCAAAAAATACATAATTGTAGCGGACAGGCAGATACTGCAGAGCACAAAGTATGGATTATTTTGTCGAGAGTATAGAATCCAGCAGCGAGCTGCTGGCAAAGAGTACGCAGCTACGTGACTTGTCACGAATGGATAAGATCACCAACATCAAGAACCTCCGCAGACTTAGCGAGCTGTTGCACTCACTGCACCAACAGGCGTATTGTGAGGAGCTCAACTGCGTGGCGCTGGCGCTGGCTAACATACTGTTGAAGGAGCCCCGCTTCCGAGCACAAGTGCTAGCCGAAAAGCTGGACTTGGTACATGACATCCAAACACGACTGCTGGTGGATTCCAGAAAGCCCGGCTTCGAGCTGCAGTGGGAGGTGCCCCTGTGGCGTGTGCTATTCTTACTGGCTCACGGTCAGCGGTCTGAAAACTTGGTGGTCTCCATGTTCGACCGGAACCTCGCTCCCGCTAAATTCCAGCATCTGGTAGATCTTCTCGACAACACGACTGCTTCGCCACATCCCATGTTGCAAGTGGTTATGGAAGAGCTGGGCAAGTTTTGGTACGCGCTGTGTTACAACTATGGTCTGCTTGTAAGGCAAAATAGCGAGGCTTTCCGGTCCTCATTAACAAAACTGAATCAAACGCTGCGCAGTGGTAAGGGCCTCCTTCTGGACAAGTTTTCCGTACCACTGATACAGTTAGCGTCGCTACTGTTGTTGTATCCAGAGAACGATCTGCTGGTAACGTTCGACATGGCACTGAACTTGATGTTTATTCTTAAGCGAGCCGTGACCACATGGTCGCAAGAGGTGTCTCAAAGGCTGTACTCTTCTCCAGACACGTACAACATTCCACAGACTTTGCATTTGATCCGTATCATAGTTGCACAATCGCCAGGACCTGTGAGAGACCAACTGCAACAATGCTTGAGTGGCCATCCGACGGCTCCCGTAGACTTGAAGGAACAAATCCTCGACCTTCATAACTCCCCAATCACTTCCTCGGACGTTAGGGGCACTGTCAGTTCAGTACTAGAGGCGCTTTCTCTCTCCATCCTTGAGGCCTCCCCTCGATCTCCACAGGATATTGTTCTTGCCATACAACCAAAGCCTATGAATAGAGACCGAGATTCGGCTGAGACTGTGATTGGACAAGAATTTGTCACTCGACCCAAGATGAGTCACCAAGCCAATGCTTCTTCAAGTTCGATCTCAACCATGCATAGTGATCGCCGGCCGTCACATTGCGACGATTCGTGGAGTGAGGAAGAGCGCTTTGAAGAGGCAACGCGGATCATGGGGGCAATCAGGAGGTTAGATGAGCTTGGCGTAATAAAGCCAACGTTGCCGAACACTATTGGTTGAATTGATCCACGCGACAAATATTACAGCAGTACACGGACAAGCAGATTTTTGAGGGCCGTTGGATAAGAAAACAGCTGCATTGAACTACCAGCCTCATTGCGCAACTGCCCTAATGTTATCTGTTGAAGATACACTGTAGGTTCGACTATCCACGCTGCAGCTCAGTAAACAAGCTCTCGAAGCCTCAGTTCCAAACCAAATCAAGAGTTACAATTCGGCTGCTGAAAGGCAAGAAACCTACTGCTGTCTTATTCCAATTCACAAACTTAGAAGTTCGGAACATTGCAAGGTTTTCAAGTGTATTTCCCTGATTGAACGTCATATGAGATGCCAGCTTTCAGCACGTCTGAAAGCAAGTCACTTGAAACTACAATCAAGCTCAACCTTCTTTATAAACTGCCAGCGACGGGTGGAATACTCAGCGTCGAGTCCTCGAGCTCCATCGCACCTTATAGTTCATAGCATTCAAGACCCATACACCACACTGTCTTCCATGGATTCCCAACTTTTTGCTCGAGTACATTCGAGAGTACCATTATGATCACTATACACGGGAGTACTTGGCTCGGCAATCTTCATGAGTCTTGTGAGTTACATACATACAATACAAGGTTTGATAACCAAAGATACCTCCTGTAGGGCTATCAAAGAAGTCTCAAACAACAAAGAGGTCTCGAATAAACTCAGGCTCTTTGGCTTTCAAAAATGCTACAGTTCAAATTGGTGCTACTGGGGGACTCGTCCGTTGGAAAATCGTCTATAGTACATAGATTTGTAAAGGACTCTTTCGATGAGTTCAGAGAAAGCACAATCGGAGCGGCTTTTCTGTCGCAAACTGTCAAGCTCGGGAAACATGATGATGTTACTATCAAGTTCGAAATTTGGGATACTGCAGGTCAGGAAAGGTACAAGTCCTTGGCTCCCATGTACTACAGAAACGCCAACGCAGCACTTATAGTATACGATGTGACCCAGCCGGGTTCTCTCCTCAAAGCTCAAAGCTGGGTAGAGGAACTCAAACACAAGGTGGGAGACCAGGATCTGGTGATCTGTTTGGTGGGTAACAAGCTCGATTTGTGCGCGGAGGATCCCAATGCCCGTCAGGTGGATATTGACGACGCTCAGGCATATGCTCAAGAAAAGCACTTGCTGTTTCATGAGGTAAGTGCGAAGACAGGTGTGGGTGTGGCACAGATCTTTCAAGAAATGGGCGAAAAAGTCTACGAACAAAAAACGGCGGAATCCGCTGCAGCAGCTGCTTCTCGCCCACGTAAGGCAGTTAATGTTGAGCTGCAGAGACCATCCACCAACGATTCCACCACCTGCTGTGCTTAAGACTGGCTCCTAATCTCGAGGGCCCAGGAACAAGAATGGAAAAGCGTTTCTGATCTCATCGGTTTTCTAATGCTCTCTGGCTGAAATGTCAGCGTGTATTATCGTCCTTCGTTTTAGACTCTGCACCATCCCTTTCCACTTAGTTGTCAGTTACTTTATTGTATAGGATAAAGCACTCAATACCATATTAATCAATCATTCTCATTGATAAAGAAGTACATACTTAAACGATTAAAACTTTTCTCTTGATGCAGTTCAGTTCTTGAGGGTCTTGGTGATTGCATCTGCGGCCTTCTCGACTCCTTCCTTGGTACCTCTGATGAAAATAATATCGGCAACCGCGTCTCCTTTCTTTGGAATGCTGATCAAAGTATTGGAAGCCTCCCTGATCTTCTTCACATGGGAACCCATAGGTCCAACAACTTTTCTAAAATCTTGAGGTTTGCTGGACCACAAATAGCCAATCGTAGAGGCCCTGGAAGCAAGTTCGATCCTTTGTTCGATCAATTTTTGAGCCTGGGCCAAAACATCTTGTTTCTTTGGTAGTGGCTCCTTGTCTTGTTCTTCAGGGGATAAGATGTCGGATAGATCGACAGGCTCGTAAGACAACCTCCAGGGAATCGTTCCTTCAACTTTGTCTTTTGCAATGGCGTTCTCCTCCATTGTAAGCTTAATTTTCTCGCCTTCAGAGCCGGAAGCACGTTCAACTGGAATTGACAACTTAGCACGGGCTAGTTTGTTGGCTTTGTTGCCTGCGTTACCAAATTTGACATTGATAGAAAAATCTGACCTCAACCTCTGGATGAACGCTCCTTTTTCCGAAACAAACTCGTGGAAAGAGGCTGGCACATCAATCTCAACATCACAGTTATCTCTGATAATTTCCGAAAATATTTTCTTTTCGCAGGCGGCAATGTTACTAGGAAGACCTAAAACCTTGACTTTACTACTTTTATCACCAATGGCTGGCAGTAACAGCCTAACACGGAACTCTGATTCTAGCTGGCGGCGAACGGAACCACCAGGGCCAATTAAAGCCCCCACTCTGTCTAGAGGAACCTCCAACTCCTTCTCAATAGAGTTTTCTCTTTCTTCGACAATTTTTTTGATCTCCTTTACTAGTGCCTGGACAAAAGATTGAGGTCCTTGGATAACTATCTTTTTATCCTGTGCTTTGGCATCTGGAATGTCAACGGTTTTATTTCTTATGTCATCACCTCCTGCCTTAGAGATTAATTCCTTTAGTACACGTCCTCCAGCACCCACGATGTCTCTAATATAATCCGGATTCACTTCAAATGATTCCACCTGAACATCAGCGGCTTCCTTGATAATCTCATTTACACGTTGAGTCGCCTCTTTGATGGCTTGTCTGGATCCGGTGATTTCTAATTCGACCTCTCCTGCTTCCACGGCCTTAGAATCGGAAGTCTTCTGTAAGAAGTCCAACTCAACGCCACACTCAGCCCTTATGTCATTAATCATATCACCACCCTTGCCGATAATGCGAGGGACGTGCTCGGTTGGAACTTTAATAATGGACGCGTGTCCGTTTTCTATTTCAAAGTCTAAGAGTGCTTTTAGCTCCTCGTAGGCTTTTGCCACACCTCTAGAAGGACCTTTGATAGTGACACCTTGACTTTCATCTTCGGCTGGGAAATGAATGAATACGTTGTACTTGGTTTGTAAACGATTGCGGTAGGTACCCTGTGAACCGATTAGTTTGCCACGAAACTTAGGGAGAACGTTCAGTTCCTTTGTGACAATGTCCGCCCACTTCTTCGACTCGTTAATCAAGTAGGCCTTCGCATGCTCTACACAATACTGAAGGCCTGTAACGGTAACCTCTGTAACATTGTTATCGGACTCGGGAGCAACATCAATGGCACATTGAAACTTTTCTTTGGTGGCATGAAGGTTAGCACCTTTAGTTCCGATCAATCGTGGGACGGCGTTGGCTGATACGCCAAACTTTGCTTCGAACTTTTGGCCATCCTGGGTCAAAATGGATTCAACTGCATTTGTTGCTGTCTTTACAGCTTTGCTATCACCTCTAATGGTTAACTTGTCAGCAGATGGGTAATGAAGTTTGAACTGGACATGACCACCTTGTGCATCGATATCTTCGTCTATCAGTAGGCGAGTAATTGCTGGTAGTTTGAAGTAGGTATCCTGTTTGCCATGTGGAACATTCATAACTTCTTGAGACAAGTTAGCTAGCTTGTTGCGCAATGGTTCAAGAGCGGAATTAACCTCGTCCAAAACTTGTTTTAGCTCGTCAGCAGATGGCCTGAAGTCATCGTCAGAAAGTTGGGCCACAATGAGTATTCTATCGTCGCCTGGGTACAGGTCCCCGAGTTGAACGAAACCTGCTTTATTTTTCTGTTGCAAAAGTGCATGCTTAATGTCTTTAGCATATAGTTCGTAGTCCAAGTCGTCAACAATCAAAACTTGTGTAGTAGGCATTTCGTTAACTAGATTGATGATGTCTTTGCGAACAGCCTTCAGTTCGTCAGCATTGTCCAAAGTTGAAGTAATTCTCACCAGCACAGACTCAGCATTGATTAGCTCCTGGGCAGATGGTAAAGCAATGCGTACGCTTGGATGCCCATCTTTGATAGGCTCCAATAGATTGTACTTCTCGAAGTAGAGGGCGACATATTTGGCATGTTCCAAGTTTTTTCCGTGAGCCTTGGAAATCTCCAATGATTCAACCTTAAACTTCTTGGAGTTTTCTCTTGCAAATGAGACAGCATCTTCAAGCTTAGAAGCTGGGCCAACGAATGCAACTTCTTCGTCAAACTCGTGCGAGAACTTTACGGCAACGTTGAATTTTTCCTTTATTTGCGAATCATCAATTAGAAACTGAAACTTAGTTGGGATGTTGATACGCAATGTCTTTATTTGACCATCCAGTTCTGAAAAATACTTTGAGATGGCAAGTTTTGCAGCTTGGACATTCTCGCGAAGACCCGAAAGTCTGATTACGCCCTGGGCAGAGTCAAAATGAGATACGATCTCGCTGGAGAGAAAGTCTAACTTGACAAAAGGTACTAGATTTTTGTCTGGGACTTCAATCTTGATGGAAGCATTCTTGGTGTCTTCTCTGACAATCAGTAGAATCTTTTCTTGGGCAATTCTAACAGACTCTAAGTCACCATGAATAGAAACGTTCACCAAATAATCGTCCAAGTCCTCGTCAAAAGAATCTTCGATAATATCCTTTCCGATGTCAATTTTAACTTGTAGGGGATCAGAGATTCCACGAATGTTCTTACCTCCAGAGCCGATTATAGTAGACCTGGTTTTTGAGGGAACTTTTAAGACGGTGGTGATTGGCTTTGTAAGTTTTTTGACCACTTCTCTTCTGGCGGCACTCACGTTTTCAGGTTTCCCGGATATTAGAAAAGTACGACTAGTCTTCGACAAGGTTGATTCAATGGAAACATTGTGAGATTGCTTTACACTTTGAACGATTCTAGAAAAGTCTGGCTTCGCGATAGAGAGCTGTGACTGTAGATCCAGCGAGAAGGCTTCCTGAATGGTCTTGGAGCGAGCTGGTTTTGCAGAATGTGAAGCAGGGGTGGCCGAACGCGACTGAGAGGCCGAATTCGACGCGGACCTGCTTTCTGAAGCACTTGACGAGGCCGAGGGTTTCATGTTGGGCCCCCATGAGACCTTGTTGGTAGCTGCCAAGAAGGCACCTGATCCCAAAGTGGGAAAGTCCTTCTTGGTAGGTAGGGGCTTCTTTACTGCAGGAGCCTCACCTTGCCCCATAGCTGTCTCACCCAATGCGGTTCCATCAGCCTTGATGCCAATGGTTTCGGCGGAAGCGTCAAACGTCTCTGAATTAGTTTTGGAATCTTGAACAAAAGGAGCGGGCTCGGAATCAGGGTACGACATAATGATTTAGAACAAGCAGGTCAACAGGTAGCCAATACAGAGGAGGAAGAGACAGGTCGCAAGCGAGCCGGAATTCGGTACTAATTAATTTTTGACTTTCCTGGTCAAAAAGGACTAGTCAAAGATGTGGCGTGGCCAAATGATTCGAAAGTATCAGTTCAAATCGATCTTGTTCACGGCAATCGCTTTTGCAAGATAACAAAAGTTAGATATAGCTGTAGTAGAATTGAGTTATCAGGGGCGATGTCTCTGGAGAATCAATGTCTAAAATTGGTTCTTGCCTGTGTAAGCGTTAAGTTGACGTGTCCCCGGTACTGGTACGGACAAATTTTTTAGCCCAGGTGCTGTTGGTAAAATCGGGACCACACTCGATATACAAAACTAACAATCACATGATATAAGAGAAGCTGTGGTAAACAGTGACAGCGAGCTGGGCTGTGTGTTTGAGGGCCGAAGTTTGTCTGTTGTGCTTATCGAACGTTGTGACTATCTCCCAGCATGATATTCAATGAACCTATCTCTTTTTAACGTTGTCTTGATATTGTCCAGCAACGTTTCCAGGTGGATTGTAGTTACAAATCGTATATTGGCCGTAGTAATCCCCACAATCGATGTAAGCGCATCCTATTTCGGTGGTAGCTTCCCACACCAATTGAGTGAAGTGGCCTGTTTTTTCAGAAAAACCAGGTTTCTCGTAGTCGTAAAGCTTGTACTCGTTGTACCAGGCTGACACGGCGCCAGTCGAATTGAACCCTAACGCCAAGTTCTCGCCAAAGGGTGAGTTTGAGTGGATAAGGGTACCATTACAGTTGTAGTTATTAGCATAGTCTTGAGCAATGTTCTGTAGCTTTGCAGACCAGATCAGTGCAGGGGCGCTGTGCAGTTTGCGATAAGCATTATGTTGGTTGAGAACCTGGGGTAGAAACTGGGCATCAGGGAAATCGCTCGAGGAGGTTTGGGACAAGGTAACCGACATACCTGCCGGCAGTATCGATTTGGTGGATGATCCGAGAGAAGAAATAACGGCTGATGATATTTTCTTAACAGTCTCGGTGCTGGAGCCGCCCCAGGCATATCCTGGGGAAACGGTCCTGGATCTTATTATTGTTGTCCGCAGAGTGATCCACGCAACTGTGGTAGGAGCTGCATCACTACTAAAGCCTGTCGCCTGTACAGGCGCAGTGTCCACCAGAGAAACCGCTACACACAAGGCTTGTGGAGCCAGGGGTAAAACATACGCAAGGTATAGCTTCATATGAGAGTTGGCATTGAAGGGGCAAGAATTACTTTAACATACTGTGACACAAACTACCCTCCTACCGTCCCTATATATGGTTTTCAGCTGCCTCCTCCCATCCTGTTCTTCCTGAATCTTGAATAAACATCTAACAGGGAAGAAACACGATCCGTAACAGAGGTGAAACCTGAAATGCAATATCATTTAAATCTGAAACTAAGTGATACGAACGAAATAACCTAATGTACATTTTTCTGAAGTATTTTTACGTCGTCATCCGGATGGTCATACTGGACTAATTTATTTGGTGGACATAACGTTATCGGCGAATTCGCCAAGGAAGTTACCAGCGGACTTGTAGGAGCAGATAACGTAGTCACCAGTACCACCGCCGCATTTCTTGATCCCACAGCCAACTTGGGAAGTAGATTTCCAAACCACTTGTGTAAAGTGCCCAGTAGATTCGGAGAAAGTTGGATTGGACCAATCGTAGGATTTAATTTCATCGTACCAAGCCTCAACAGAGCCCGCTCCCGAATATCCGCAGGCCAAGTTCTCACCGTATGGACCGCCAGAGTGGGTCAAGGATCCCGAACAATCATATTTGTCGGCGTAGTCTTGAGCATAAGAGGCCAAAGTGTCAGACCAGGATAGGTCTGAGGTATCCTCATGCAAGGCTCTCTTGTCATTGTGAGCCTTCAACATACTACTTTCGAAGTCTGACGATGAAGATGTTGATGAAGCAGTGGCAGAGCTCGAAGAGCTGGTCGAAGTTTCGGTCGAGGATGCCGATGCGGACTCGGAGGATGGTGACAAAGTAGTGGTAGATGATGATGACGTTTCAGAGGAGCTGGTTGAGACAGGAGCAACGCTCTGCGCGGCGACCTTTTGAGCAACGCTGACTGAGGTAGCTGGCGCGGAGGAGAAAGTGCTGGAGCTGGAGGAGCTGGCAGAACTGGACGTTGTTGCTTCGGGAACAACAGTAGACGCAATCAAATAGTCAGAAGATGAAGCTGGGGCTGACACAGTAGACGCAATCGAATAGTCAGAAGATGAAGCTGGGGCTGAAACAGTAGACGCTGGCACTGACGATGCAACTGCTGCAGAGGATGAGGTAGCGGAAACCACAGTTGCTGGTGTGGACGTGGCAATTGCGTTTTCGAGCTCTGTTGTCCACGACGTCTTTACAACGCCGTTCTCAGTGTACAAGCTACCCTTAACAACGGCTGTTTGTTGAGCATGAGCGTGGTGTGTCACAGTAGTGACTGCTGGGGCAGCAAGAGTTGTCGAAACTGCTGCCGCGGAGACGAGTGCGACTTGTGAGAATTTCATAGCTAAAGGAGAGTGCGAGAGCTCGAGGACGAGGTCGGAAAAGGAATGGAAGGGGTATGGACTGTTTTCCTAAGGAGAGATCCTAGTTGGACGTTGAAGTAGACCGGCAAAGACCTATGGCAGGTGAAGAGCTGATTATAACTTGAAAACCTTGAATTAAACCTCCAAAATCCATAAGGAAAACAACTGTACCAGCCTCTCGTTTCTTATACCCACCGTGGGACTAAGTAGTCATCCGAGTATTTTTCGTAGCTTTGTTTCATTCCTCGAACTTGCAATCTGCAGTGTAACAAAACACCGGGTGTCTCGAATTTCCCGTCTTTCCCTGATACAGAATGGTCCTGAATGATGCAATATCTAGATCTGGACGAACACGCGAAAAAAAAAAGACACGACGCAACCAAGCTATACAGTGGCTGTGTTGAGCAGTGCCTGTAGTGATCCTAGGCCCTGTAACGCTGTTAGCACTGGCAATGCTGCACCGAACAAGCAGGTATCCAGTCACAGCCGTGCTCCAGCTTTGGTAAAAGTCCGCATAAAACCAAGCTTAAGCTTGTTACTAGGGAATGAAAACAACACCATGTCGTCAACGGAGGCTGTGTACATTTGCCGTTCGATAGTTTTTTATGGTCTTTCACGAGCCCAGCCGCATGAACTGGGAATATTTCGTGGGTTCAATAAGTCCCTTTTAGGCAAAAAAATATCAGGCTATGCACATTTGGAAGCTGCGGGCATCGTTGCCAAATGTGTCCATCGGCTACTCTGTTGTCATACCCGTTATGGTAAAGCAAGTGCCAGTGCTGGCAAACACCCTGGAGTCTGAAATTCTGGAGGTTTGTATGACCGATTCTCAAAATTGCATAAGCTGAACTAAAAAGCAAACGTAACAGCCGAGACCCTCCGCCTCAATTCTAGATCTTAGAAAGACCTCTTCGACGATTGTTCGAAAGCACGAACAACAAAAATCTCTCAGAAGAGCTAGAACTGGAGACAGCTGGGGTGGCTTCTGATGAGGTAGCAGCTGTGCTCGGGAATTTTCCCTATGGAAATAACTGTTTGATCCTGCAAAACGCGTACCTGCCATTACTATGTGCTTCATTTGCGGAGGTGAGTAGCACAGAGTTGAATCGGAAATCTAATAACTGGGCGTGTGGCGTAGTTGGTAGCGCGCTCCCTTAGCATGGGAGAGGTCATCGGTTCGACTCCGGTCTCGTCCAAATTTTTTTACTTTTTGAAAGCTGCCTCGCTGGGTACGCTGTCCACGATAGCTGGACGCAATGCGACTTTGGTGATGGAATCGTGAGTTTGAGCGGTCCTTTGACACATTTTTTTTCTGCAGTTCATTAACACAGATGTATACCCTCCGATATTGTGCTCCAAAATATCGTGAATGGTCCCCAGTATTAGTCCCCATGCGACTAGATGACAGCTTCCAGCGTGGCCAGAGCTGCTGCTCTTTGCTAGTTGTTAGAAACGTCTAATCTTGTAGCGATGTTGTGTTCATCCGGCCCGTACCCGCCCAAGGCCCTTACTCTAATTATCGCTCCCACCGCAAGTACTTGAAACGTACTCGTCACGATCCCAGGTTGTTTACGTCCATAGTGATTTATACAACCATGTTATCTGATAGACAGATTGCTGACATGTACCACTATTATGGATACAATTATGATTATATTATAGTTATGACAGATACGAAGCAAGTGTGGCCTTTTACCTGAAACTTTGAAACGCACAGCCCTGAACAAACGTCATTCGTCAATTGATAATTGTCACGATTCATCAGGCGATCCTTTGTCTCAGTTTCAAATGCAAGAAATAATGGTGCCAAGTGGCGGTGATCAATGTATGAAGCTGACGCTTGTCAGCATCTTTCAAGATATCACGCAAGTGCAGAAGTACCTAGGTTCACTTCAAGACACGTTTTCTGTGGAGCTCAAAAGTACAGAAACAATTACGCAGAACTTGAAGGTCAAGTGCGTTTCGCACGGGTCGTGCCACGACTGTCCTCTGTACATCCTAGAGTACAACTCCAAATCCCACGAGTATGCTTTGTGGAAATCAGCTGCTGGAGGCTGGACGATCGGGGCTACCTTGGCACGGCTGTTTGCTAGAGCGCCCACCTCGAAATCCAAAACAATTCTGAATGTGGCAGAACTGGATCGCCACCTGGAATCCTCCGACGTGTCTTCTCGACACAGCCGCAATTTTCTGCGGGAAACGCTACAAAATCTAAATGTGGAATGGCACACATCGCCTTTCGACTTCAAGGTTTTTTTCAAGTTGCTTGACGAATCGATCGATCGTGAAATGGCCTCCAAACAAGCCCACGCTTCAACACTCGAGCTGGTCTCGCCTTTACAGTACAAGAGCTTGATCACATTAGCGGTTCTTAAGACGAAGGTTTTGGTCAGTAAGCAAAAGTTACAAAAAGATTTGCTGGAGTACAACCAACGCGTGCAAAAGTGTCAATTACTCGCCACGACTGATGATTCATCGACAATCCAAGCAGAAAGTCCAGAGCCATCGCTCTTCTCGGCTACGTCCCATCCTCTGTCATCTCCTGCTGACGATTCTTATTCATTATCTTCAAGACAGCTGCTGACCAACTTTCAAAAGCATTTCAAAGGTTTGGCCGAAACTTTCGAAACTTTTGACGTACAGAAGAGCTCACCGCGCATGGCTCACAAGTGGAAGATCGGCAAGACCTCAAAAAGTGGAAAATCTAGCTCCAAGAAATTGAGCGCTTGATGGCTTCACCATATCTTAACGATAAATGAAAAAATAAAAATCTGTGTGCATCCAAAAGTTTATAATAATTGCCTTTACATAATTTGAAAACATTTTATTCCTGTAATCACGAGAATAAAAGCTATATCTACATTAAGTTACATTTGCATTGAAATTTCAAAGTTTACATACCCTCTCTGAAAGCTTCTAAGGCTCTTTCCCTGCTCTCTTTCAGGTCTACAATGGGAGCACAGTAACCTTCGATATCGGTGCCATTGACGGCACCTTCTCTTAAAATCTTGACGTCATCAACTTTCTCAAGTTCGGGAATCCAGCTCTTGACAAAGTCACCCTGTGGATCATATCTTTCAGTTTGGAGTTTCATATTAAAAATGCGGAAATAGGGTTGCGAGTCCACTCCAGTGCTCGAGCAAAAGCCCCATCCACCAGAGTTGGACGCTAAGTCCGCGTCAATCAAATGCTTTCTGAACCAACGTTCGCCCCACCTCCAATCAACAAGTAAATTTTTGGAAAGAAATGACGCCACTATCATCCGGCACCTATTACTGATATAGCCGGTTTGAAGTAATTTTCTCATTATTGCGTCCACAATCGGGAGTCCTGTTTCTCCGACGCACCACTTACGGAATTGTTCCACATCATTATCCCATTTAATGTCCATTGTCTCAAACTTGAAAGCGATGTCCATCGATGTGTAAGGCCAGTTACACATAACATGTTTATAGAAATCCCTCCAAGCAACCTCTTTGACAAAGTTTTCCATAGAGTTATTTTGCTTGATGTCCCTTCGCATAAGACTGTCGCCATTGGCATGATATCCGAAGTTCACGACAGTCCTAGTGCTGATTAGCCCACTAGTTATATAACAGCTCAAATGTGAGGTGCTGTCAAGAGCCAAAATATCCTTCTCCTCATTGTATTTTGACGCCCTTGCGTTGAAAAATTCTTGCAACGTCCTATGAGCTTCTTTTTCAGTTGCCTCGGGAAGACCTAAATCCTCGATTGGAAGATATTCCAAAAATTCTTTCGACAACGAATAACTGTGTGATTCATATTTCTCCAGCTTTTCATTTACAGGCTTGTTCATGTCTATTTCTACCGTGCTTACCACATCTTTCCCATCTTGATGTGAATGTAAATACTCCACCCATTTCTTATACCAGGGGGTAAAGACGGTATACTGGGAGCCTTTACCTGTCGTTAATACTCCTGGCTCTACGGTACACTGATCGTGAAAGACCTGATAATGAAATTTGCTGTCGGTCTTGTCAAAAACCTTCAGGTCTCGATACAGCTCGTCCGTTTCATATTGAGCATTAGAAGTCACGAGAATTTCACCCTCATTGGATGACAACGACATGCATTGCGTCTTGAACCAATCGGCAAACTGGGATGATCTTGATAGTAAGGCATCTTTAGGCTCAAAATGCCGAAATACTAAGGCAACGTTGATCTTGCTCAAACTTTTACGTAGGCTACTCAGGGCTTCGAGAGCAAACTTGAGCTTCCAACCACTCTCCAAATGAGCTCGAAAATCGTGTTCGTTAATGGTGTAAAGCGCTACCAATTGGGCATTCTTATTGTGTTTCTTAGCGGCGCTTAATTGTTCAATAGCTTTGGACAACCCAATATTGTCCTCTACCCTTAAATCGGTTCTAAACCAATGAATAACCGTAGAAACATTTGTTTGGCCATTCAATTTCTGGTTCTTGATTCGCTCATTAAGCAATGTGATGGGTTTTGGTCGTTTCCCATTGTTAAACGCATTGGCTTGCTTCCACGATATAGGATTGGGATAGTACCTAGGATCTGGTCTATAGTACTCTTCGAAGTTGTCAGAAAGCTTTAGCTTTTTAGACAAACCTGGTGGTGGTGAGAGAGATGATCTTTTGGGTGGCATTTTCTTGGTCGACAATCCTAAAGTCGCGAACCGTCATAGACTTCAAGAGACGATGTACTCTCGAGAGAAGCCATGTTGTTATATGGTGAGCTTGTAGCAAGCAATCAATCTTTGTCAAAAGCAAAAGTATTTCAGCCGTTGAACAGATGTCATTGAACTTGTAGTAAATGACGAAGGCCTGCACTAATAAATTTAAAGTTGAGAGCAGAAGTTGGGATCTTGAAAGAGATTTTCAAAGTGGCACAATTCTTTCCGAGGTTTATTCTGCTCTGCTGCCAATCTTGATGGGCTGATGTTGGTGACTTTTATTTTTATTTCCTCGTAGACACACACTTGATCTCAAAGTTAAAGAATGTACGAATTAAGAGAGAATTTGAATGTGCCATTGCGCACCGATTTCTTATATACGTTCTTATAACATCAATTCCTCTTCAAAGCAAGATTTGACCATCAATTGCAGTGACAGCTTCCCCACCGATGAAGTAAGAAATCTCACCCTCTTTGTGCTGTATGGTGGCCGATACCTGGCCCGCACGCCCAACTCTGCCACCTTGGCTGATGTGGAAGGAGTAAGTTGTCTTGTAGCCGTTCACTTCTTGCAAGTATCTCGCCAAAGCGAGAGAACCACTGCCGCAAACTGGATCTTCATTGACTCCTATTCTCGGCGCAAAGGCTCTCATTTCGTACTTGTCCTCGTCTGCGTATTTACCAGCAATAATGACACCCGTGGCGTCAAACTGGGTGCAAACCTTATTCAACCCCACAAAGTCGACGTCCATCTCAAAGCATGCTTTAGAGTCCCGCACTAGAGCTACAACCCATTTGGGTCCAACTTCCAGGAGGCGTGCCCGTTCGATCAGCTTGGTGGAAAACGCAGAGCCGTAGCCTTGCACTTCCTTGTCTGAAATTTCAACAATATTTGTCTTGGCACCTTTGAAAGATAGCGTTTCACCTTCTAATGACAAGCTGATGGCTCCAAGACCGCATTCTTGGGTTATTTCGGTAACGTCTTTTCTGCCCGAAAATTCCAGATACGCCTTACAGGTCCCGATTGTGGGATGACCAGCAAATGGGAGCTCGCTTTGTGGACAAAAGATTCTTACCTTGTAGTCACAGTTTGGTATTGTGGGTTTGAAAAGGAATGTCGTCTCTGACAGGTTTGTCCAATTGGCGATCTTTTGCATTAAGGAAGTGTGGACCTCCTTCTCGTCCAAATTCCAACAGTTCACCACTGCCACAGGATTACCTTGGAAAGGCACTGACGTGAAAACATCGACTTGCTTGAATGGTACACTATTCGGCATGGTTCGTTCACCTAATTGGTGTTCTTGGAGATAAGTTGTAGGAAATTCTGGGCCAGATCTCTAATCTCATTTTATTGGGAAAAAAACCAGATTGAGTCATATTTGTAAACTGTCGTTAGAGTCCGCCTAAATAACATCTACGCGCTGTTAATCTTACTTATCGTTCAAATGCCTTGACAATCAGCAACATAAGTATTGACAATATTTTACAAACTGCGAATGGCATTAGGCATCCTCCGTAGTTTCTTGCCTCGCACACCCATTCCAACAAGATTTGAATAGTATTTCTATTCTTCTACAGCTTACAATTCAATGCCTCCAACACAATTTTTCGTCTAGTATTCTTTGTATGGGGACTATCGATTGTTGTTTACGCCAATATGCTGATAATGTTACGATTTGCTCGGCCACATTCAACACCGCAAACATGATAGTTTGCATCATTGGACATAATTGCCAGGACTGGGCACATTGCTTCTTTTCAAATCCGAAATTTAAGCATTATTCGCGTTATGACGCTTCGCATTTTAACGTCGTTAGTTGTTCTTACATTCGTAAGGTCATTTATTGGTCTAATATTGACATTTTAAGTCAAAATTTTAGAGGCTTCCAAAACAAACTTGAACTTAAAATACGAAAAGTTACGTTATTCCGCAGCCTTTTGAAGGGATGTACAAGCTTCAAGTGGTTTTAGTACCTCCTGGCTCTCCCAATGGTGCTTTTCCGTTTCTTTCAAATCCTGCAACGACAGAAAGTTCGCAGGTACTCCCTTCAACCATGGGTGCTAACGGATCAGCAATCTTGACTGGGAATAGGCCTGAAATGGCGCCATCTGGTGGCTCAAATAACAATTTGTTCATGTCAAGCTTCATTTCCAATCATATTCCACAACCAAAGCTGAAGAAATTTCTGCATTTCACGAAACCCACAAACTCGCTGCTGGCGCTTGCGGAAGAAATTGTGGACAAATGTGACAAGATCTACCCTAGCTTGGTACATCCAGTTGAGCTCTCAACTTTACAGGACTCGAATGACTGTGATCTTGATCCTGATTTTCTGGTACAAGATGTGTTCAATGTTGATAATGTTGTTCGTGCGGTTCTCAGGCACGACATTGAACTGACAGATGATCAGTCTCCAACACTGTACTCGGTGAAAAGGCGGCGTCTGAATACTGATGCAGCGAAAATAGGGCCCGCCAATGGTGCGTTAGGGACCAAAAACACGACGAACGGGCATGCAGGCGGTGGACAGTCGAGTACGCTTCATGTTGCCAAGAAACGCCCTCACATACTGCGCAACTCTACTGCGATGCGCGTCTCAACTCCTCTGGCTAATCAAATTTATCCGCCTCCTTCTGGAAGGCAGGTCAATTCGGACTATGAAGATGACGATTTTGCCGATCGGTCGATTCTTCCGCCACCAAAACCTCAATCTCAATCAATTCGGATCAGTTCGGGCATTGAAAGCAGTGCCAAAAAAATAAACTTCAAGGAAGATACCATATCTAAATCGGAAAGCGTGGACCCGGATAAATCTAGACAACAGCGACTGCCCTCCGGGACGCCAAAGAGGCAATCCATAAAGCGCTTCACTACAACTCCCAAGAGGAGCAATGATCAAGGCTTACTATTGGCAACTACTGAAGAAGATGCCAGTACTTCAGCCACACCAATGGTTACTAATAAGAGAATAACGTCTGGGATGCTGCGTATTCCTGAGCCAAAGATCTCTGAAGTGGAAAAAGAGCTGAGACAGGGACCCGCCAGTCCCTCGGCTATACTCCCAGCTCGTTCCGAGCGCTTACCTACAAAAAAACCAGAGTTTCCGAGATCTGATGAGGATGACCAGAGTCAATCTTCTTCAGAGGAGAGCCCAGTTGCATCGAACCTTCCGATCAATCTACCAGTAGAGCCTGCTTTTAAACTAGCTGCTTCTCGCCAAACTTCGATCGCTGACAACAATGGCTCACCCATGAAAGACGGGAGTAAAATTGGAAACGTCAATCTTGCCGAACTGCCGTCATCTGGAAGAAAACGAGTCACTCGCAAGTCTTCTCTAGAGAGCAAGGTGGACTCCCTCATTAAACATGCTAATGCTCTTCCGGAGAAAGGGAGGGAAGACTCAAAACGTGTCAAGGAGGATACCATTTCCACGACTAGGAAGGACACTTTTTCGGACGACGATGAAACGGATGGTAGGCAAGAACAGCAGGATCCGAACGAAACTGTTCGGGTGAATAATCTTGATAATATTGGAAACAACAGCTTTCACAAATCAGAGTTGCTTTCGATGCTCAAAGGAAATAAGTTTGATATTCCTTCTGATTTCAATACTAGGTCATTGAGATCGAAAGGTGGATACCTTGAAAACTCAGCCGACAAATCAAGTTCCGATGCTAAAGAGATCATCAACCAAAGGATACAAAGAAGTGCTGCCATAAAGGCTGCGGAACTACTATCTTCGGGAAAGTCCAGAAATCGGGAGCCCACGTCGGAAAGCGAAGAGGAATCAAGCGATATTGAAACCGACGGGAGTGAAAATGAAAAGGTAACAGTATTGGAGAATCAAGCATTAAAAAGACTTAATATACATCCACTCAAGGAACGAGTAATTGGTGAAGGTCTAGAGAAAATTCCTACTGCCGAGACAAGCGCGCACTCAAGAGGTGCTCGAGATACTGCTGAACAAAATATCGATCGTGCTGGGGCGACTGATGGGTCGAAGCAAGATGATGCACCTGGCGCTTCGACAAAGAAGTCCGACTTGATTGATCGGAAGAAGTATGATGCACCTCCAAATATGTCTACTTCGAAAGTGAGGGAACCGACATCTGCTTCAAGTAATGACCTAGGCTCTTTGTCTCTAGCAACGAAAACACGGTCTGCGCGAGAAAAGAATGGCTCGGATTCTCCAACAGACGACAGCAATCTCACAAAGTCTAAGAATTCCCCTTCCAAGGATGAAATTTCTTCTAATCTAGTTAAAGGAATTACTCCACAACCTGCAAATAATGGGAATAAAGCTTTCCAAAGCGCGGAATTCATTGAAGATTCTGATGATGATGATAATCCTTCAACCAACACGTCAATTCAAAAAAGCGATACTTTGAAAAAACTACCACCGTCAGTGCTCAAGAGGAGAGAAGAGGCGGATCGTAAACGAAAAGAGAAGGAAGCTTTGAAGAAACTGCGGGAAGAAGAACACGCTAGAAAGAAGGCAGAAAAAGAAGCAAAGAGAAAGGAAAAGAACGAAGCTGCAGAGCGTAAAAAAATAGAACGGGAGGAGCGGAAAAGATTAAAGGAAGAAGAGGCAGCCAAAAAGCGTAAAGCCAAGGTTGTATCAAAAGGATACAAATCGAACTCGAAATTAGCGGCTCCTGAGAAAAAGGACAAACAGGTTTCTAAACCTGTGGATCCTAGCGTCAATGATAAAGGTCAGCGTGAACACGCGGCGGAGGAACAAAACGCAGAATGGAGTTCATCAAATGCCAAAAATAACGGAGGTGGTCAGGGGACTGGAGGAGAAGCAGGTGGTTTGGGAGATCGGGAGGACCGGGGTCATGACCCTTCTTTACCTTTGGAACCACATAATTTGGCCCGCTATTTCAATACGGGAGACAAAGCGGAAGGTACTCAAGGTACCCAAGCCTTATCGATCGATGAAAATCAAGGTGATGAGAGCTCTAAGTTGCAACAGATGAAATCTCACTTTGCTTCTAGAAAAAAAACGTCTCCCGAAAACGAAAAAAAGAATGAGAAAAGACTTTCTCATGGTACCATTCAAAGAGACTCTCCTTCTTCCCTCGGTTCAGAAATTGAGATTTCTGATGCTGGAAGCTCATCTGAAGGAGATGACTCTGAGGATTTGTCATCTGATGAGGAAGTCTCCAACACCAACAAGAAATCTCGAAGAGGTATAGTTGATACACCCAAGGGCATGATTGTATCTTTACCTAATAGGGCAAAAGCTAGTGATATTTCTGGTCTGGAAAATGCACCTCAATCTACGCAGCAAGTCGCCTCTACCCAGCAATTGGATAGCCCTAATAGAGTCCCTGTCACGAGGTTGATGGAGATGTCTTCGCCGTCGTCAGCTGTGAATGGATCACCTACAAAAGGCGCTAAAAAGCCACAAGCGATGCCGAGCAGGTCCTTAAGCTCTTTATCTGACCTTGTGTCTCGAGGAGTACCTGAAGTAAAAGAAGTATCGTCAAAAGCTAGTCAGGCACCAGCTACTTCTAAAGGAGACTCCAGCGGCGGCGAGAGTCAAAATGACTCCGGAGAAAGTGGCAGTGATGACAGTGATAGTGATGATTCTTCTGACGATGATAGTTCAAATTTCATAAGCGCCAAATCCGCTAGCAAAGCATTAGGCCGACAAAGGAAGTCAAACAGTGGATTTGCTTCACTAGTTAAGGACTCAAAAAAGCATTGACTGATTGATAACAGATATTTAAATTTTATTCTACTAGCAAAGGGCGTAAGCGGGATTGGTATAATTGCTATCTGGCCGTCTCATGTCCTAGGTACCTTGTGTTAGCTAGTGCCTCAAAACTTGCTAACTTTATTTCTTCTTCTAATGAACTTGACAGCATCTTGTTCGGAGACTTCTTGTACCTCCGATATCTTGTTATCGAATCTCACGCGATAGAATGAATTGGCGACTTGCAACATATCGCTTCTAAAAGTGGTGCAGATAAACTGTGCATGTACAGATAGCTCTTTAATAATGTTGGCAACCGAAGTCCGATGTTGCTTGTCTAAGGCAGCGTCAATTTCGTCGAACAGATAGAATGGAGCTGGATCAACCATTTGTATAGCTAATATTAGTGCAATAGCGCATACGGTCTTCTGTCCGCCTGACAGTTGCTCAACGTACAGCTGCTCATCTTGTTTCGAATTGAAGGAAACTGATATGGAAACTCCGGTGTAGTTAGTTTTGCCAGAAAGTTGTAACCTTCTACTTTCGACGCTATCCTCTTGAGAGTCTGCAGCCTCGCGTGAGCTACTCCGATTTATTATTAGTTTCCCTACTCCGGCAGGCACAAGCTTCTCAAATATAACGCTAAAGTTATGAGCGACCTTGGTAAATGTTTTCTCCACAGCCTCCACCTTTTGAATTTTCAAGGAATCAATAAGGCCCTCGATGGAGTGCTTTGAATTTGATAGTTCTTCGGCTCTCTTCTCAATTTCTTGTCTTTTCTCATTGAACTTCCTGTAGTTTTCCGTGGCCCGCCGATTCACGTTGCTCATGCTAGACAATCTTTCATTGACGTGGTTTAGCTTCCGGAGAACATGCTCACTTTCTAAATTTTGATGGCGTTCGAGAGAGTCCTCGAAGAGCAAGCCAATTTCGCTAATATTCTTCTGAACTTCGTCTCTTCTTGATGTCAATGTCATTTTTTTGACAACAGTTTTTTCGGCAGCCTTTTGAAAATCCTCCAATTTTTTCAGAAGCATCCGCTGTTGCGAGTTAGCCTTTTCCAATAGCCTTAAATTCGTTACTTTTTCCTCGTTCAATACATTTATTGCTTGCACGATTTGTTCAACTGAAGCCTTTAACTTGCTTTCTTTTGATATAATTTCCTGCAGATCTTCGGAAAGTTGCGCAACTTCCTCATCTCCATTGAAACCTTGAAGTCTTCTTGAAAGCAGTAATCTGTTTTCAATTTCTGTTTTCTGAGGGGAAAGTTTGATATCTATCTCGGTTTTATGAAGGTCGATCCTGGTTTTAATTTCTTCGAGAGCTTTAATTGTGGTATCAAACGGATCTGACAGATTTCTAATCTCTAAAGCAAGCGCCTTTAGGTTTTCTTGCTCCTCGAAGGATAATTTTGTGTCAAATGGCCTTGATAAATCGTCTTGGTACATCTTGATTTTTTCAATGAAGAGCTTCGAAGATGACTCACTCCGTTCCACCTTCAGCTCCGTGCTTTGTAGCAGCTGTTTTTTAAGGTTGAATTTTGACGAAATGTTACTGAGCTTCGCTCTTTGGATCTCGATGTTGGTCAAAATCGCTTCTTTTCTTGCAGACAGGTTTTTCAATGAGCCATTGATCTCATCAATGTCAACATCGGTACCGGTGATCTTTTCTCTAAGGAGCTCAAGGTTTCGAGTAGATTCGCTCAGTTGAATTTTGGCTAGACTTATGTCCCGAAGTGCATCTAACCTGGTCTTCCGATGGTGATTGTGGTAACCACCAATAATCAGTCCCTTTTTGTCAGCTCTGTCGCCATCAAGTGTTACAATGTCAAGGTTATAATCCCTTGCGAGCTTTGATGTGGCCTCAAGATCGCGGACTACAATCGTTTTTCCAAAGACATGCTTGACGGCCGATTGGAACTGTTCGTCGTATTTGATCTTCCGCAAGAGTGGGGTGAATTCAGCATCAGAGTTGTCCGGAAAAGACACGGTGGTAGCGCTGTTCAACCTATTAAGTGGCATGAAGGTGACTCTTCCTGCCTTTGTATTATAAAGCTCTTGCATCAGAATACTAGCAGTTTCATCGGTATCAACTACGACGTGTAGTAAGGAACTACCGCCAACTGCTTCGGCGCAAGCTTTATACTTTTCATTCACCTTAATAAGCTCCCCGAGGGGGCCATGAACAGCACCTTGCGGTAGCTTCAAGCGCTCTGCTATTTCGACGACGGCTCTTAAGCCTTTGGCTAGTCCACGATCCATTGTCTCGGATAAGCTTCTCTCTGACCTTTTCACGCCTTCAATCAAAGCTTCCGTGATAGATTGCAACCTCTGTTCAGATCTCCATAGTTCTTTGCGTTCATCTATCTTTTCGAGGTATTTTCGTCTTAAGCCGGTCATCTGTGTTTGTAAGTCATCTAGCTCTGCGGTTACGCCTGGTCCACGTACAGTGTCATTGAGCTCCAAAATTTGGTCATCAAGTACCTTTATTTCTCTTTCGATCTCATCTTTCTCTAAAGATATATCAAAAAGATAGGACTTTGTATTCTCATTTTGTTGCTCTAGCGACGCTAATTCAGTTCTAAGCCATGTATCCCTCTCTGCCTGGTTGGTAAACTTCAGGTAGATTCCTCGTTTGGAAGTCACCTCCCTCTGTCTTTGATTCAAATTTGCTAACCGAACTTCATAGCTCCGGGCCTCATTTTGAAGCTGTTCATGTCGAGGAAGCAGGCGATTCAGCTGAATCTCATTTTTCTGTATTTCTTCTTCAATAATCGCTAGGTTGTTGCGATCTGTTGTGGTTTGTCTTCGATGAGTATCCGTTTGCCGTCTAACATCCTCTAGGCGAACCTCTAGATCCGCTTTTTTCTTTGAAACTTCGGCCAAGCGTGATCTCTCCAACTGCAAATCGGTAGTCTCTTTTACCTTAAGCTCGGTCTCTACGCTGGACAAATTTTTGCTTACGTTCATAATTAATTGTTCTCTTTTAGAAACCTCTTCGATAAATTCTTCGGAAGATTGCATAACATGGTTATACTCGTCTTCAAGCGTTTCGATTTGACCTGTAACTTCATTAAGCTCTCTATCGTAAAGAACAAACTGGAAAATACGTTTATCACGCTCAAGTTCTTGATACTTCTCAAGTTCTTTGCGTTCTTCGTCCAACTCATCCAGACGAGTTTTCAGCTCGCTCAACTCGGCGTCTATCTTAACACGATCTCTATTGGTGATCTCCATTTTTTTGATGGACTCTTTTAGCCTTATTTCAAACGAGCTAGCACCTACAACCTCCTCGAGCAACTTTAGCCGCTCCTTATCTTTAGCGTTCGTTAGAGCAACAATTCGGCCCTGTGGAACAATATTGTAGGGATTCGAAGAAGAAAACCCAACAGTTTCAAACATTCGAATTATATCACTTCTGTGGCAGGTCTTCCCATTTACAGAGTACTCATCCTTTTTTAGACCAATTGTTCTTCTTACTCGGACGAGATTTTCATCCTCACTGTGAACGCCCGATGTCATCTTCAGTTTCCCCTCTGGATCGTGGAAGACAATCTCCACATACGCGCTCATTATTGAGCCAGTGCCCTGGTGTATTAAGCCTTGTCTCTCCTCCCTTCTCAGATTACTGTAGTCATCACTCAGCACAAACCTGACCGCGGCAAAGAAGTTCGATTTTCCAGAACCATTGCCTCCAATGATAACATTGAAACGCGGTGACAGATTTTCAACATTTGTTGTATTCTTATAAGTTTTGAAACCTTGTATGATGACATTTTTGATGTACATTTTACCTTTATTTGTTGGTCTTGATGTCTTCAAAGCTGTGTTTGATACTTGAAACGCGATTTGCAGGATCAGGATTTTAATTAACGCGTTTGAAAATCACTTCTTTCATAACTGACACTTTTTCAATATTGGTCAGTACCAAGCTAAACAACAGTTTAATTAACATTAACTTCAAAAACTTCTAGATAGAAAGGGGGGTGTCATTCGCCAAATAGCGATCGTGTGTACACTATATTTCTTTACACAACTGAAGAGACAGTTTATTGAGATTGCTTTAATCTATCCTTTGACATGTGTGTACGTAGCATGCTTAACCCCAGACCTTTGACAGTCAGGTGGGAAATGAAAAAGGATAAGGAAGGACAATGAGGAGCTTGTAGGGCTACTATTATTGTCGTCTGTTCCTTTGGCAGGTTCAAAATGTTTGGCGCCTTTTTGTTACATTGGACATTTGTTTACCTAATTCATTATCTTTTAGTGGTGTATTAGTTAACACTGTGAACAGGCATCTCAAACCTTTAACATTCGCTTGAGTCCAATGTTTGGGACCACATTGAAGTAAAGCAGTAGTCAAAATGGGTGGCACTTGCATGTTGCAAAGAATGCAAAAAAATGGTTGCTAAGAGATTCGAACTCTTGCATCTTACGATACCTGAGGATTCTGCTGTTCACAGCATTAAGAATGGAAGTTCTTGAATCAGGCGCCTTAGACCGCTCGGCCAAACAACCTATAACATTAATGCTGCAATTAGTTAGGTCAATATACCTTATAAATAGAGTCATGTGACGGACTGCTTGCTACGTGAGAAGTATCAGTAGCTTGATCCAAGGATAGAGACAGTTTAAGACTGACTTGTAGCCATGGTGCGGTTATAAGATGACCTGAGCCAACGCAGCTCGAGCTAGGTGTCAAAATGGCGGTCGTCCATCAAACAAAATTTAGGAAGCATGTGACCGAGAGCCCGCGTATCAGGATTACGAACGAGCCATGGTATAGAAGGAGAGGGAGTATGTAGTAGAAACTGAAGAAACTGGCTTGCCTAGTGCCTAGTGAGCATCATTCATTTTTTAGTTAAATTTTAGCAGCTAGTCATGACGAGAGCCGAGAAATCTCCCCCTGGCGTCAGTGCTTTGATGTAGCGAAGTTTTTTCGAAGCATATCGCCAACCAGGAATATCAACTAGATGCAACATATAGCCCTACGTTTCCCAGTTAAAAGAATGAAAGTATTTAGTTCAATAATAGGTCTATTTAAGCGTGAGACTCCTGGGCCCACCTCAGTACTGACATGGCCGCACTAACACCGAAAATGCTAATAGGAAGAGACAACACGACATATCCCCAAAATAAAACGCCCGCCATTTCGCTTTCGAAGAACTCGTTCAATTGAGTAATTTGAGTCAATTGGATTGCAGGTGGGGAGATGGTTAGGATAAATCCACAAACCAAGAATATGGGGTCGTCCAAAATACTGACCTTGATATACTTCACAGCAATTGCAATAATCGGTAGCATGACCATAGAGGGCAAAATCATTCGCCCTACAATTGAGCCGAAAACCATTTTCTTGTAGTTTCGCGTCATCTGAGGGGTATCTTTTGATGGATACAAATTGGAGCCCAAAACGACTAAAATCAATGGAATGGAAATCCCACCAAGCTGCGTAATAGCATCTGAAAGTGTATTATTTATGAAGCCGTCATTGCTGAAGAATTCATGCTGTATTGGATGAATGCAGGCCACTAAAACGCTGAAGACCATGGCCCACAACGGTGGGTTCATAATAGCAAGGGCCCTTTCAGAGAACCTAGACATTTTAGAACGAAATTTGTAAAATGACCCCGATGTCCGGTCGGAGAGGGCATTAAACTCATCGTTAACAGCCGCGTCAGATGAACTGATCCCAGGGGCTTCAAGCTGTCCAGCAACGCTCTCCACTGAACCCTGTCCACGATCTCCAGACCACCTCATAAGAGTATTGTAACCGTAGGACCATCTTAGAACATGGCCGATTTGCTGGAAAATTAAAAGATATAGGATACCCCTACTAGCCACATTGTCCGAGTTGTCATTGGGGATTTCATCCCAAAGCAGGCCAGGCAAGGTATATGCCAAAGACACAGTTAGCGATACGGGCAGCGAGTTACTGTTACCGAAGATTGAGTTCGCCACCACGAAGTTGCTCTCATCTTTGTCCAGGCCAAGAATACGACCCATAAGCTTGCCAGAACCGAACGAAACGATTGTCGTTAATGCGTAAAACAGGGGTATCACAGCAATTTCCAAAATCTTCGCCAAAGAGAGACTGCGAGCCAACTTGCTGAAAATCAAGCAGGGTGTGAATAGATCCACGTTGAGCTTGGAGATAACTTTTTGCCCCTGTTTCGGCAATAGGCCCGAGTAGGCACACCAAAATCCGGAAAATGCCACGATCACTACCTGGAGGACCGATTCAAAAGTTAAAAACGCGATGTGGCCAAATGAAAGGCCGGAGTCCTCGTCCATTGCTATTAGCGTGATTTGTAATTTATTGCGCCTGTAACTGAGCTGTCAAAAACCTGGCTCACTGGTATTCAGTAAAACCCTAAGGGATCAGTAGAACACTAACTTATGGGGAAGCTGAAAGATCTGACTTCTCTTTGGTTCTTATGGTCTTTAGGTGGCTGAGTCTTGAAAGGGAAAGGAAGGATTTATATATCGATGGAATTTGTGAATGCTGCCAAATTATTATATTTCCAACTTAATAACCACATGTGATATTCAAGCATAGGCAGTCGAACTTGGATATACGACGACGATTCAGATTTTCTCTAGTTGATACCCAGCCTTGAACAAAGGAGCTAATTCCCATTGGTGAGAGTGTCGCTTGAGGAACATTCTAGTGACGCTTTAGACTGTGTTTACTTCAGATTGAAAGTAGACGTCGATTGCTTCATATAACCATCATTATATGCTATGCGAACATATATATGGTGGCTTTGGATTAGTTTGGCAGGCGTATGGGCGGATTGTGATTTTATCAGACTTTCTAAAAGGAGCCAGGGTTTGCAATATGACGAACATGCCCTCCCTCAATATGCGGATATCGCGGCCCAGCTTTCCCTGTGTAAAACTCCACAAGCTGAAGCTCTGCGCCATCAATTGCTTTACAAGAGTGGGCTCATCCAGATATCTATTGGTGATGAGTTGAGGGCCATGGAAACGTTCCAAGAAATCGTGAATTCGGGAGAAACATCGAATTATGTGCCACTGTCTCAAAATAGACTTCAAGAAATCTATCAGCAGTTTGGGTTATGGGATAAAATCGGGAGTTCACCTCTGCGTGATCGTTATATTTCGCTCATGGAGGCCCTCTCCTCGCATGTGGACCGCGAGGAACAAGTTCCCATAGAACTAAAGAACGAGCTTTTTGATTTGTCACCATTTTCTATAGAGTTAAGGGTCCTGATCAACGATGCTCTGTACTATGAACTTTCAAAAACCCTTAGCATAAATGTTGCGCAATCTATCATCGAAAATTATAAAGTTGTGCTTGGCAAACACAGAAGGCATGTTAGCGTCGCCGAAAAGCTTAAAATATATACTTCAATGTCGGCACTACAACTGTTTGTAATGGCAGTTCCTCCTACCAACCTAATGAGCTGCTTGGCATTAGATATGGACTACAGACCGTGCCGCGAATTGTCAAAAATTGTTAGCAAGATCAATAGTGTCAGTCCACCATTTGCAGCTATCTCGCATGCAGATCAGTTTTTGGAGCTCAATCACTTTCAGTGGGATAAACTTTTGAATTTCTATGTTGGCGACGCGAAACTTATAAAGTATAATGGTTTGGGGAATGGTAAGAATAATTTAGGGCTTTTGCGTAGGCTTCAACAAGTGCTATTATCAGATGTTCTTGCGAATCGGCCACTTTCACAGATCAAGCGAAAGTGGACCTTGCCTACATCTGGAAGGTCTGCCCTCGAAGTTCTTCAGGATCTTATGTTATGTGAGGCCTACGACCAAATGCTCAACCTCAAGACTGCTGACGCCTATTTCAATGATGTCGTAAGTGAAAAACTATCTTCTGACGAACAAGCAATACTAAATGGATTTGTTAATAATTTCCAGAGTATGGATAATATTAATGAAGTACTTCACAACCTGTGGCAAGATTTTCCCTCGCTTGCCCTTCATGCTGTTCGGAAAAGTCTCAAAACATTATTAAGTCGCGGAAAGAATGTTGGCGGAAGTGACAGGGATCAAGTGTGGGCCCTCCTGGAAAACTTTGCAAAAAATCACAATTGGGAAACCTCTTCAAATGAAGGGGTCGTCGGAGCCCTGCGAACAATCGCGTCTCATACCAAGAGAATCAGAGAAGAACAAGCAAAATTCCAACAACAACGACAACAACAACAGCGACAACAGCATAATTTTTTCAGGCAGCAGCAGCAGCACAGTTCTCCTCCTGCTGCTAGCGATTTGTCGAAAAAGGATCTATACAAGGTTTTAGGATTGTCACAACATGCTTCCGCTAAAGATATACGAAAATCATACCTGACATTTACCAGGAAGTATCATCCGGATAAACAAGGTCAACTCACAGTTAAAGAGAAACAGAAGAACGAGGAGAAGATGTCACAGATAAATGAGGCCTATGAAATTTTGAGTAACGAGGAAAAACGTAAGGAGTACGATCTTCAGAGAACAGGTAGCAGGGGCCATCAAAGGCGCCGGGCTTCATTTTCTAATGGGGGAGGATTTCCTTTCGGAGGTGGCAACTTCAAAATGAATTTTGGCGGATTTAGCTAAGGATTTAGCATGTATAACCATGAGCCAAACTATAATCAATGCATTGTTTTTAAAACAAAGGTTTTCATATGTAATAAAAGTCTATTAACTTTTTGCGCTAAGCGTCGAAAGGTTATGGCTCTTTATAATAGAAGGTTCGCACCACCTTTGTAGGCGTACGGATAGTTGTATCCTACACCAAAAGTAGACACAGTTTCATTGGTGTCTCTTTCTGGGAAATCTTCTAGAGAATCAGCGAAATGGGCTACTGAATAGGCGATCAGTTGAGTATTTGTCAAGAAAGCATCCCAGTTCAAGTTGCTGACATCGTCACAAAGTTCGTGGTAGCATTTGTCGAACACATTGCCATTATCAGTGTTGACATCCTCGGCACCAGCCGCGATACCTCCACCAGGAATACCGTTTTCGATGAATCCGACGTAGTCAGATCTACCGTCAAAGGGAATCAAAGTGTAATTGAGCCCCCTTTCAGTGTAGTAGTCAATGTATAGATCCCTCAATTCTTCGGATCCCTTGGGGTTATCAATGTTGTTAGCGTTATAAACCTGATATTGGTAGTTTGGTGAGGCCATCATATCGTAGTCCATAAATAGTCTTATCTTCAGGTTTTCTTCCGGAGACAAGTTTTCGGCGTAGTAGGTAGAGCCAACTAAACCCTCTTCCTCTGCTGCCCAAAAAGCGAAACGTACCTTATTGTTGACTTTATAGTCCGACAAATGTTTGGCAACTGCTAAGAGGGAAATGGTACCAGAGCCATCATCGTTGATTCCCGGTCCGGCAGCAACGGAATCGGTATGGGCACCCAAAGACACGATATTCTCAGGATCACCGTGCTTCGTATCGGCAATAATATTCTTGGTCTCAATTTCGTTCACATACGAGTCCATGAAATAGTACAAAGAGAAGTCCGGATCCAAAGTAATGCCCAACACCAGCTCTTGTCCAACGACGTAAGAGACACCGATAGTGGACACAGTGTTGTTAGTGGGTTTTTCTAAAGTTCCTGAAACTCCTTTTTTGGATTTTGGGTCGTTATCGTAAATTACAACGGCTTTGAAACCGTGCTTACCAGCCAGATCACTTTTCTTGCCGAAGGAACATTCACCTCGTTCAATCAAGGCGATTGAGTCTCCTTTCACTTCCAAAGCTTGGTAATCAGCCTCCGAACAACCCAAATTGGGGACCTCGACTAGCTTACCGACAAAAGGTGCCACAGGGGGCGACAAGCTAAAAGCCTGGGCCGAGGGGACCTTTGCTCCGCTAGTATAGTTAAGATCGTAGTGCAAGACTTTACCATTCAGGGCTTTGAAAGTCTGAGTGGAAATTTCGTAATAGTCCCTCATTTGATCGAATTGGCGGAAAATGTAGTTGAGAGTGTTCCAGTGACCTTCCGAGCCAATGACTCGGGTAGGGTGGCCGTAGGTACGATTTGAGGTACTAGCAATTTGATAGAGATCCCAAGCAGTGGAATTGAGCTCAGCAAGAGTAATATCCTCCGGGAAGCTTTCGGGGTTCACTTGGTGCTTTAGAAAATACGGTTTGTGTGGCCAAAACGACTGTTCATCGATAGCAGAGGGCAGTTGAAATGCATCCAGAAAGGTTTGGGGGATAACGAAGGCGTACGCGCAGCTCAGGGATGCGCCAATCAGTGTGGAGACTCTCATTGGAGAAGTGAGTGTGTTTCCAATTGCTAGTCTTCGTTGTGAGGCAAGACCAAAAGTAGTTGAAGTTTCCATGACTTTTCAACCCTTTCTTGGGCAATGACGTTGAAAGACCCAAAAAGAGCACGTGACATTCAGATGACCAATCATCTAAAAAATTATTTTGAAAGTTACTCCGATACCGGGAATCGAACCCGGGTTTCCACGGTGAGAGCGTGATGTGATAGCCCCTACACTATATCGGATTTTATATGATATCTGTAAATATGGTTACGGTATAAGGAAGCTTTGGGGTAGTGCGACTTGTCGTGAGTTATTATCACACGGTCAACTTAAGGTAAAGTTACTGAACGTATATCAGAACCAATGGATATCAGTTATGAGCTCTTTTACGCTCGCTATGTTTTTTACTTTCTTTTGTGTCAAAACTTTCCCATTGCATTGTCGCACAGGGCCCGAGTCATCGTGTAATCCCGAGCACGGCTGATGTGGCTTACCTGGTGCTGCTACATTCGTGTCTCAGAGCTATGTGGGTCCATAGGCTCGTCTTCGGCCCTCTTTCCCTGACTGAAATTATTGACTTTTTCTACATCAGACACTTTCAACCGACGGATGTTGTTAATTCTGGCAGAAATAGTCCAGGCGCCATTGGGGCTGTACAATCCTACAAATCGCCCAACACACGTGTTCTTTGAGCTATTGGATACAGATGGCTGGCCAGTGCACCGCTGTTCCTCTGAAGCACTACTGGTTTGTGTTTTATCATGTACAATTTCGATTTACTGACATCGGACTTATCACTTCGTACTATACTGGCGCCGGGCCGATGAATTCTATTCTGCAGCTCGATGCGATTCAAACAGTACCCAATCACTCTCCCACTCGCTTGTGCCAACAGGACAAAATCTTGCCATCAGGGAATCATGTGTGTGGCCGGCTGTAGACGGTGTGTTCCTGGCGCACGTTTTGTAAACAGCGTGTTCCTGGCGCACGTTTTGAAAACAGCAAATGCGGTACGTTTCGGCCGCCCAGGTGGACACCGCAGTCGCACGGCAGAGTCCTACCATTCCAGCTCGGTGTTGGAGATCCCTTGTCTGCCGCTAGCACGCATCTTTATCGCTCCCACCTCATTATTACTCCCGATGAATATATATACGTATATATCTATTAATATAACATTTGCGCGCCTTCATGGCACGGGCCCACGCCGAATCGCTGCGGTCTGACCACCCACCACACCCAAAAGCATAGCTGTGTCTTGGTATGGACTGCGGTGCGATGTTATGTCGACCTCCCAGTCCCAGAACCCAGTTGCGATCTTGACAAGCTGCCGGATGTGAGCCGGGCAAGCATTCCGCCAGCTTCTACGACGGGCGGCCCTTCAGATTATTTTTGATTTTTTTTTGGTTTTATCTTGTCACTTCCAGCGGAACCCGCCATTTCTCACGCGCCAAACTTCTGGCACCGGTCTCTGCGCGACTCGACCTTGGTCTTGCGGTTCCACTTGTCGTCGTACAAGCACTCCAGGTCCTCGTCCATGGAGGTGTCGCGGTATTCCACCACAGCGCATGCAGCGTGGCGCTGCGCGGCCACGCTGCCACCGCGTTTTCCGCCTCCGACCCGGATGGTCTCGATCCGGTGCGCCAGGCGCTGCGACTTGGATCCCACCACGCGCGGCGCCCGCGTCACAGGCGTCTTCTGCTCGCGTTTCGCGTTCCAGTTGCGCGCCATTTCCCACGCAGACACGTCCACCTCCGCAGGGTCCTCCGCGATGGCCGACCGCGTCTCCAGAATCAAACTGTGCGGCACGCGGCTGGCTTCCGCTCCTCCGCTCTCGGGCCCTGAAACCAGCACGTATTCCGAGTCTAAATCACGCGTGCTGGCCTCCGCTGGGCTGCGCAACCCTCCGTTTTTTCTTCCAAACAGTCTCTTGAGAAACGACATCTGTCTATCTGTGTGTGTGTGCTTGCTGTATCCTCTACCACAAGCCTCTGCCACAAACCCAATGCTGGTCCTAGCCGTCGCGCTCTTTTTGTTTATCTGGCTCGTGCTTTTTCAATTCACGAGATATCCGCAGCTAGCAGTACCAAATGCTCTCCACTATCCTGTATATAAGCACTTTTGCTCAACAGTCCTGCCTCTTGTTGCGTTTTGCTGGACCGTCAAGAGCAAGTTGCTCGAGCCTTCCCATATCGCCCTTTGTAAACAGCCCCCGGGTATTTATACTCCAGTCTCGCGCTTAGGGGGTGGTGGTTTCCTGGTGATGCGACCCTTCCACCCTCGTGCCCCGTGACCTCAACATGATAACGCCGAACCCCCCGGCTTGTTGTTGTGTGTTTTTGTTGTTGTGAGTTTGTTGACGCGTGGGCCCGACTGCGCGGGAGTTGGCAAGCCTTAGCGGGAACACTCGAAGGCGGGAGAGGCCGCGGAGCACACACACAAGAGCGGCGGGCGCGTGGTGTGTGGTGTGTGGTGTGTGGGGTATCGGGGTGTGTGGGTGGTTGGGTGGCTGGGTGTATGCGAGCACCCACACACCCGCGGTGTAGAGCGTCACTCGTCAGGCTGGTCCTCGGACACGCTGCCGTGCACTTGCTTGAGCTTGTTCATGACCCCCAAGACGAACGGCCGCAGCTCGTTTATCTCCAGCAGACTCAGATTGTCCAGCTGCAGGTGGGATTCGTTCAGGTGCTTGAGGCCCTGTCCGATCTTGCCAAGCCGTATTTCGCGCAGGTCCTGGACCTTCCCGCGCAGCAGGTGGACGGGGTCGTGGAGGTCGTCGGCGGCCTTCGAAAATAACAGCTGGGCCACGACCAGCCAGTTCCAGGGCAGATCGCTGAACCGCTCGGTGTTTTTCAGTTCGTAGTCGATGTGCTTCTGCAGTTGCGCCAGGCGCAGCCATTCCGGGGCGACGATGCTACACTTGCCCTGCTGCTTGAGCAGCAGGGCGATCCAGAGCGCAACCTGGGTGGTCTGTATCGCCACTAGGTTGTTCAGCGGCGTGTCGTTCGCCGTCAGCAGCTTCCAACGGGGTTGCGCCGAAGGGGCGGAGCCCCCACGGGCCGCGCCACGGACGCTGGGCTTGGTGGTGAAGCGTGGAAAGATCTTGATAGGTTCGTTTTCCACCATGAACTGGATCTCTTCTGGGGAAAACGTTTCTCTGAGCTTCCAGGGCAGCGACATCTTTGGCGTGGTGACGGGCCGCCGGGCGTCCGAGAAAGTTTATTGAAACCCGAGGCCTCGAGGAAGGTAAGCAGATGGTTCCTTTCCGCTCTGCTGGAGTGTCCTTTCACTTTGACCAGGTTATATATTTGATAGATGGATTTTCAATTTTTAGACAGGCAATTAGCACTGGGCTGGGTGGGATCATCGGAAAAGCCCTGAACGACGAATAGCAGGCAGATGCTGCGTTGGGCGTGTTTGACTGCCAGACGCTACTCGCAAAAGTCTGGGTATTTCCAACCCAACAGCATAAATAAAGAGCTTATCCTGTCGGTCCTGAACTCTACAGCCACGAAGCGGGAAGCACAGACTTACCTGAAAAAATATGGAGAGAGCTCGATACGCAACCATTGCTTACTGATGGTGCGCGAATTGGTCACCCAGACGCCTGAAAAATTGGATCGCTTCGCCATCACAGTCAAAAGAATGCAGATGCTGGGCGTGAAGCCCATTTTCATGCTGTACCCTTACCAAGATGTGGAGAGGCAGGCCGAGATGCTCGAAAGCTGCCTGAACAACAACGGCGTAAGATCAATTATACTGCCAGATGCTCTCACGCGGCTTGTGGACGGCAATTACCGCTCTCTAGTGGAGTACGGTGCCTTTTGTGGTCTGGTTCCGATCATCAGACCCCGGATTTTCGACCAGAAAACTTGCATTTCCTCCACTGCCACCGACATCCCAGAGCTAATGGGTAACTTCACCGCCCAAACTGACTGCAGAATCGATAAAGTGGTCTTGTTGAGCCCTTCCGGCGGGATCTCCTCAGGAGAAAGACACGACAACGCGCACGTATTTATAAATTTATCACAAGAGTTTGACAGGTTAACCCGGTCCCTGACAGAAGATGTCGAATCTACAAGATTGCGTCTTGTTCAGGGAATTGAATCGCCTGCTGATACTCTCGCACCCGTGTCAAGTTTAGATAAATTGCAAAAAACCATGAAGCGTTACCAAGAACACTTGGAGGACTTACAAATTGTAAATCGCGTGCTTACAAGACTTCCGTCCACATCTACAGGTCTTATCACCGATCTAAGTGCTGCTTCAAATCTCACGAGAAATAATCCGCTACTGTACAATGTTCTCACAGACCGTTCACTGATTTCCTCCTCTCTCCCTCGATTCAAGAAAAGTCCAACGACAAATTTATCCTGGTATGAGACGGTTGATGGCACCAACTGCGATGGCGAATCGAAGGATGCGGCCCTGTCCACTACGGTGGTTAAAAAAGGGGTGAATATCAAGATTTATGATTACCAAACGCTTACGGAGCATAATTCTATTGGGTTTCCCGGCGCAAAACCACAAGATGAAAATAGCGATGCAATTGCCAAAGTCGATCTCACTAAGCTCAAACTTATCATAGAAAAGAGTTTTGGCCGTGAGCTTGATCTGGAACATTATCTGGATCGCATCAATGGCAGAATTGCCTCCATCATTGTCATCGGTGACTACGGAGGAATCGCCATTTTAACCTACGAGGGCCCCGAAGAAGAGACATTTCCGTACCTTGACAAATTCGCCGTCTTGCCCCATTTGAAAGGGTCTCTTGGGATATCAGATGTTATCTTTAATTTAATGTTCCAGAAATACCCGCATGAGCTTGTTTGGAGGAGTCGAAAGGACAACTTGGTGAACAAATGGTACTTCCAACGCAGCGTAGGTGTATTAGACCTTGCAATAGACTTGGGGAACGGCGACCTGCAACCTAGCATGTTCAAGTTGTTTTTTCATGGGGATGATGACCACCAAAGATTTTTCAGTAACAAAGATCGCTTGAAAACTTACGCAAAGTATGTGAGAGATATAAGGCCCAGCTGGAAAGGCTAACTATAATGTTTAAAGGAGATTATACAGCTTACTCTTTGGGGGTGGCAATTTCTATGACCATTTTCGTTTCTGAGTGAGATGACGTTGATACCCGTGGCGACGTAGCCTTGCGAGTTGAGTCTTGGTCCCTTCTTTCCACTTCGCCCTTCTCCAGTTTCATGTATTCACCTTCCAATTCTTCCGAGTATGGCATCATGCCTATGCTTTGACACTCCGCGAGGCTGAAGGCATTGAAAAAGTCCTTATCATCCGTCACCCCAACGCGCTGCTTGATTGGGAAAATTAGAGTCAAGATATAGTACGTCAAGCCAGATATTATCACCGTGAAGAACGTGTATCCACTATAATAATTGTTCAACGCGTTATTTGGCTTGAAGTTTGTGTTGACAGAAAAAGCGAGGCCAGGTAAGCCCAAAGCAATTCCCAGAAGTAAAGCAAATATGGCCCTAAGATTGAAGCCCCGGTAAAACCAATATGCACCCTTGTGATCCAAGGTAAATAGATCAGCGATAGAAATGCGAGTTTTCCGCACTAGATAGTAGTCCACTGCATTGATGGCCATGATCGGGGTGGTGAAGATGCCAAATGAAGTCATACTGTCAAGAAAGGCAGAAGACGTGTTGAAAAATGTCCATGGCTGAACAACCCATGAGATAAGCTGAACAAAAATCGTACCCCGCGTTATGTTGACATATTTGGGGAAAATTCCTGCCAAGTCCATCCCGCACGCGTACCCATTTTGTGTCATGTTTACCACGAGTTGCGTTCCGGTGAAGCTCAGACCGAGGAAAAACACGGCGCAGCGTGCTTTTGCCGAATAGCCATCTTGAAGCCATTTTAGGGCCATGTCTGTGGGGAGCCAAAACGGCTCACCGTAAAGCTGTTGGGTTGCAGATGCGCTGAACATTCCGGCTACAGGGGCTAGAGTCCCTGTCAAACATACTCCGAGTGTGACACCGAGGTTCATTTTTAATTGATGAGACCCATATCTGGAATAGTCTGACTGGTTTGCGATCACGGGAGACATACCACTATACCAAATGGTAATCGCCAGTAACCACGTCCAAGCCCGCTGGTTGGCTGTCAAATCTTGGCTTTCATAGTACAGAGGGCCTGGTCCGCCATTAGCACTGACCGTGTAGGCAAGTACACCAATGACGGAAAATATGGCCATAAAGCAGAAGACAATGCCCGCACCGTTTATTTTCCTCGGATGCACAAAACTGAGAGGCATTTGGATCAGCTGGAAAATGAGAAACGAAATGCAATCTCTTTTAGTCATCGGAACAGACTCGGGGAAGGTGTTCGTCATATTCATGTAGGACTTGGACCATGAGCTCAATATCAAGTTCAGGCATAGCGCCCCCAACCATGATAGATACCCATAAAGAACAACCGAAAGACCTACCCTGATAATTATACCGATCACAGATCCATAGATGCCAAAAAGCATGCGCTGCTCGAGAGTGTATCCAATATGGTACTTGTACCCGGGATTGGAATTTAATACCGTGTACAGTGAAATTACTATGTTGCCTACGATAATAGTGCCAATAGATTGTTTGATGTTAAGGCCCAAAGTCAAAAGCGCAGAGCCGATGCTAAAGGTAGCTGCTGAGACATTCGGCAAACCGTAATATGCGAAAAAAGACCAAAATGCCCATTGGCGCTTGGCATGGGGTATGGGCTCCAGATCAGGATTCCTCAACACTGACAGCGGACGACCATCTGGTTCGACCTCGAGTTTCTTCAAAAGGGCACTTATTCTGGACATTTTACTAAGCTTAATATTCCACTGTCGCTAGCTTTTTGTAACATGCGCCGAATGCTCAGTTTTATAGATTCTCTGGCTCTCAATTGATGTTAATGGTTATCTGTCCCGTGGCACATGCCAATAATGATCCTGTGACGTGCGTTAGACACCTTTTTCGGACTACGAAAAATGTTATCTCAAGTTGCCGTTCACAGGCTAGGCATGAATGAAATTCCATTCGCGGCCAATGCATTCCTGGCGATAAAGTCTTCTCGTAGTAGGGACATTGTGTTTGTAGCAAGTGTCGGGTTCCTGGTCAAACCATATGTCGGTAGATCCGATATGCTCTGTAAAGAACTCCGTGGGAGTCAGGCGTATTCCGTTCCAGTGGGCTTTGTAAAAACCCTCGTAGCCACTCGTCATGGCACTATCGCGAACGAGCTCGCACATGTCCGCACTTGTAAGCAGATAAATGCTTGCGGCGACACTATACTCCTCGATGATAGGTTCCATAGTGTACGAGCTGTTGAATAGAACCGAGCTACTAGATAAGACGACCTTCAATCCTATCTTGTGGAGGTGCATGAAAGGGTTTCCACTGTAACTTCTGGAGGATGGGGTGGTGACATCCCTGTTAACCGTCGGCGATCTTTCAGGATAAGCCGATTGGCCATGTTCTCGGGTCAGGGACACCGATGAAAGAGGGGACACGATAACCGGGATCTGCAATAGGTAGAACACGTATAGGAGGGGAGGAGATACAGTCCATAGTGCTTCCGCCTGGAGTAATCCGCCCCCGCAAAGCAACGCGTTGCACAATAATGATTCAAACTGTTCCGTAACACTTATCCCCCGTCGAAATTGCGAGACCCGGCTCTTGGACACTGGGCAGTAGTTCCGCAATACTATTGTGTTCTGTCCATTGTTGCGTCTCTTGATATTGAGAGCTTTGAGATACTCATAGATGTAAAACATATAATATGCTAGCGGCGGATTATCTCCCGTGTCTCGCCATTTGGTTGGGGGCGTCAATTGTGGGTCTCTGAACGATCGCCATAAGTAGTCGTCGGAGTCGTCGGCAACAAGGTCAAAACAGCATACCGTGGAGAGCACATATTGCAATTGCATGTTACTTTCGGAAGGCTCTTCGAATAAGGGTTTGAAAATGTAGTCCAAGTAGTCTTGGAAGCATTGCACCTGTCCGCTGGCAAACAGTTTCGTGTAGCACCTGTTAAACCGTACGTTCCACCGGATATTGTAAGAGACAAGCTTCCACCGCGTGATCCATTCACAGAACTTGGACCACCAGTTTTCGGAAAACTGAAAGTCGACAGAAAGCTGCGCTAATTGGTATTTGCTCTTTTCAAAGAATTGGATAACATACTTGATTACTATCTCGGCAAGATACTCACCACTAAGCAAATTATCAAATTCGAGGAACGTTTTCGCTATCGCAAAGAACATTGGTGAGTCCTTAGCGGCGCTCGCTGTACCTGTGAGGTGCGCTCCCGATAGATAGACGGTTTCGTACCAATCTAAAAAGATGTCGTCGACAGCCTTAAGTCCAATGGAGGCGTCTTCATTGCATTTTATATCTGCGCCGTTGCAAAAAATCTGTCGCAAAGTAAACTCACTCCCTAGCGGATCCTTGTAGACAACACGGTCGGGTTCGAGGTTCAGCTTTTCCCAAATAAAATCATTGAGCAGTCGCTGTGATACACAACCGCTGAGCAAAAAATTTTGATCGACTTTTCTAATGTTATAGAAATCGCGATGAGGTACTAGTCTGCTTTCGCGCACTTCCATGCGCCCTTCAAGCTGCTGGAATAGATCAAACCGGTTTAGTAGATACTCTATGCGCTTGACAGTCAGGGCATCTAGCTCCTGTGCCGAAAGACGGCAAACCAAGTCCTCGAAATGGTCTCCGAAAGCTTTAATGTCACGTACATTGTCAACCACGTCATCATATGTACCTGCCACTTCGGAGGATCGTCCGCGCAGCATAGTAACCTTTTTGAGTTCTTCCGCGTAATGAGAAAGGTCGAAGAATTCACCTGTGTAGTGCAGCTGGAATCTCTCTGAAAGCTGGGAATCATTGCCAGTGGTCCTGGTACAGAAGTAACCGTGCATTTCATCAGTTGGTGTAATAATCTCCTCCTGGAGTCTCTTGTCCTTTTCAAATTTCCAGAACTTCGGCAAAGGTTTTGGATATAAAAACCAGCTTTCTGTGTAATTCTTGGCGTTCGATTCCGCATCCTGAGCAGATTCCTTGAGATATTTGAATCGCAGTTCGTTTATGTCATCGAAAACTGTCTTCCCCGTCTTGCTCACCGTTAAAGCTTTGCGATGCCTACTGTTTCCCCCGCTTTGGGCAAAATGAGGTGCAACTAAATCATTCACGTCGTCTCCAACCTCGAAATACATAGGATGGCCATCAGAAATTTGTCTGTCAAAGGAGGTAGTCAGGGCCAACATATCGGTATTGTCCAAAGAAGCGTCAACGATGTGGCCCGGTGATCGAAATTTCCTATCATCTTGAGGCTCTTCCTCTTCTCCATACAGGAGTGAAGGTCTGCGCTCTGCCTTTGTCATGATGTCGTGCTTAAAGCATAAGGGACTGTCTTTCAAGAAACGATGAAACGTATAAGCTCCCAGTCCAAGTTAACCGCCAATTGTTAGAAAAGATTCTTTATGTAGCTAATATACCCCAGATTGAGGACGCCGGCAATAAGATCTGCTAAGTCGCAACGAAACACCTTTAGTTGTCTATTTTTGGGTATACCTTAATGACAATTATGAGGGCTCATTTAATAAGTTCTACTTGCTTTCCTGGTACTACAAGATGATATATTGTCTAAACAATGAAAGTCAAGCTTACCACCTACTTCAAGATGATTTGGTGAGCCTGCTTAGCCCTGATGTTGCCGCAGAAAGTGTATTGTTTCCAAGGAACTACCTGTGGTTGTTTTAACACTACCATTCACGAATACCTGCACCTCAAAAAGTGCGCCCACAAGCTCAGTATAAAGAGTCAAGGAGTACAGAAGTGGCATCAAGGGCTGTCCTTTGTGATCGATGTGTTCAAGACGCATTTGCCGAGGAGAAAGGCCTTATTGCCGGTTAATGGTCTCGTTGGGTAGAGACTCATCGGAAATTTAAATTGCTAGGGCCCCAATTACAGCAAGACATAAACATCTCCCACCGCGATGTGGTTCGGACGAACCTACAAGGTGCGAGCTATCTTTGCATGACCAGCCTGGCATCAACGGTCATCGACAGTTGTCTCTCGAAAGAACTATTTTGTCGAGCCGCCTGACATACACATGGCGAAAACGCAGAAAATATGTCGACCATAGCTCGTCGACCAATTCAACAAATGGGCCTGTCGATCGACAATAAATGTACAATAGCCAACTCCAGATAAATGTTGAGAGCCCAGTGGGCTCCTAGTATAGTTTGTGGTCGACCCTGGTGGTTGTCGTGAAATGACACAGATAGGAATCTTATGTTGAAAGTAACGAAACCACTCGATCTGAGATAAGATCAGCGACAGGAATGTCAGTGCCAGGAATTCAAGGGAGCGTTGACACTTGATGAGCTCACTGCAGAATAGCGGTGACAACCGATGAGCTCACTGCAGAACGACATATAAAAGAGGACCTTATTGGCCATGTCAATGTCATCCATAGTATTGAAGAGATCAAGTAGCAACTAATAAGTAAACAGTAATCAAGAGTTGAACCATTATTATACACGTCTGCTATAACAGAAGTTTTCGCTAAGTCTCACTTCTACTTCGGATTGATTATCCGGGACCGTAGCATAACATTTGGTAGCGCCGCTAATATTATTAGTGACTAATCTCACCTCTCGCTGTATTAAGCAAGTACCTCATTTGGGACAGAATCAACAACTCCACTCTTCACACGGGATGTCCCAAAGGTTCTGGTGGCAGTACGCCTGATTTTCCCACAACAGGAACCGCACCGATGCTCTCCAGGTACCGCCGTGAGTCATAGAGGCACACCAACTGACATATTCGTTCTTTAGAGAGTCCGTTATTTCCTGCTTGAATATAGCTGTCAGTTGATCGGCAGTGACAGTGGTGTCACATTTATTGCCGCCACACTTGTATGGCGCCCACCCCACTAGGTAAGTGCGTTCAAGTGTGCCCGCACTATTCTGTATATTGATGTATTTCGAGCCCCCGGTACATGCTTGCGGAGTAAATGCAGACTTAAGAGTGCCGCCAAGGTTAGACCATACCTTGGTTGCGTCAGCACCAAGGCCGACAAATGATACTGCCCCTGTCCAAGCCGATTGCAACACGCGCCATTTCAGTGAATGGTCTTTGCTGCTCATGAAAGAGCTCACCTTATTCGTGAACCATTGGTAGTAACCATCATCACATTGGCTCTCAGTGTCACGCTCGTAAATGCTTGACTCGTTCCGATATTGCAGTGTTCTGAGTAAGTGCGACTTGATTTCCATACAAGATACGTTGGTATTCTTGCTATGCTCCAAGGATGTCACGTGTTCTACAGCCGTGTAGTTTATATTACTCGGGTGCCCGTTAGTTAAATCGATGATTGTGACTGTATTAGAAGTGGCGTTGACGTAGCCTTCACCTAGGTCAACTGCTCTGAATATTTCAGTACCAATAGCAAATTCTACTAATAGTAGTACAGCGGCGTAAAACGCATGGGTGGTCATAAGTAATTTCATTAAGACAGAAAGAGCACGAGCAAAGATCGGACCAGATCTGGAGTTATTCGTCGTCAGAATAGAAGAAACGAAAGAAGACGAAGTTAACAATACTTTTCAAAGTTTGCCAGAATGGTTAAAAACAAAGTATGAGGACACTGTTAGAAATGACGTGTAGTTGAGCATGAAATTAATATCAAGCCAAATTGAAAATTACCGCGTATGCAACCATACCGCTTGACACCGAAGATGGAAGGCGTAGTACGACAACTGATTGAAGACTTATTGGAAAAGGCTTTGTAGTACCATCAAGAGCACCATGTAGCTCACCTATTGTACTAGTCAAGAAGAAGGACGAGACATATTGAATGTGCGTCGATTATCGAAGATCGAACGAAGTCACAGTTAAGGATCCATTCCTTCCACCACATATTGAAACATTATTGACAAAGATCGACAATGCACAAGTATTCTCCACACTGGACTTACAGTGATTAACATCAAATCCCAATGAGGAAGGAAGATCAACAAAAGACAGCTTTTGTGACACCTACGGGCAAGTATGAATATACTGTCATGCATTTTGGTCTTGTAAATGCACCAAGTACATTCGCAAGATATATTACTGACTTATTCCGAGATTCAACATTCGTATGCGTCTATTTAGATGACATACTTATATTCTCGCGTTCCAAACCGGAACATTGGAAACATCTGGATGAAGTGTTGGGAAGGCTTAAGAAAGAACAACTTATTGCTAAGCTGAAGAAGTGCCAGTTTTTACAAAGGAAAGTAGAATTTCTTGGTTTATATTATTGGACCTAACACCATCGAACCAATTCAAGGAAAATGTGAAGCTATATCCAGGTTTCCGTCGCCCAAGACCATCAAGGAAGCTCAGAGATTCCTAGGAATGATAAACTATTATCGGAAGTTTATACCACATTGTTCAAGATTGGCTAGACCTATTATTGAGTATATAACAGGAAAAGAGTCGTGGACTAAACCACAGGAAGAATCGTTTATTGCACTTAAGAAGCATTTGATGGATAAGCCGTTGCTAGTTCCATTCAAAGAAAAGGCCAGCTACAGACTCACGACGGACGCGTCGAAAGAAGGTATTGGGGCCGTACTAGAGGAAATGCAAGGTAGACGAATGGTAGGAGTTGTGGGATATTATTCCAAGTCGTTGGAAAAAGCACAAAAGAACTACCCTGCTTGAGAATTGGAGTTGTTAGGAGTGATCGCAGCACTTGAACATTTTAAGTACGCACTCCAGGGAAGAAGGTTTCTGTTGAGAACAGACCATATAAGTCTACTCGCACTGAAGAACAAGCGCGAACCAAGCAGACGGCTTGCTACTTGGATAGACAGACTGGGAGATAAGAACGTGGTGGCCGATGCCATCTCGAGGGCCGAATATCCCATAGAATTGGATGCCCTAGAATAGGTCCCGAGAATAGATCCACGGAATTGGATAGAGGACTGGAAAAGCGATGCTTTGGGAGCTGCAGCTCTACAGTATCTGGAGATAATAGAGAACACGAATGTTCTACCTGCCGAACGCAGCGATTTTACGAAATACAAGAAGAGATTTGAACTATCTTCGAAGTTTCGTGAGAAATTCACGTATAGGGACGACACCCTACGATACGACGAACGGATTATCTTAGAGACTTTCCCTGATAGTCCGTTGCATGGAGGACACTACGGTTCCCACATTACGTATCCAAAGGTTGCCGAATAGCTATATTGGCCAAATTTAGCCAAAGCAATCAGCCGCTACGTGAGAACTTGTATTCAGTGTCAGTTGATGAAAGCCCACCGACCCCAAAATAATGGATTGACACACACCATTGCCGATTGCAGAAGGACGTCGGACGGATATATTAATGGACTTTATCACAGGATCACCACTTACATTGAATGGATTAGATATGATCCTAGTAGTGGTAGATAAATTTTCCAAACGATGCCATCTTATCGCTTGCAGGAAAACTATTGGTGGTTCACAAGTAGTTGATCTGATGCTTAAACGCGTATTCGCTTACCATGGGTTTCCTAGAACGATAACACGCGATAGGGACGTCAGATTTACGTCTAACCACTACCAAGAGATGACAAGACGATTAGGGACAGACTGAACGATGTATTCAGATACTTAACAGGCTGTTACGTAGTTATGCTAAAACCAACATCAAGCGTGGGACAAGTTATTACCCCAAATTGAGTTTGTCTACAAATCAGCATACAACATTGACCGTTTGAAATCGACTTAGGGTTCCGACCTTACCCACCGTTGTTGGACACCACCGGACAGCTGGAAGCTAGAAGCTTTAGCACGGTAGAGTTGGTTAAGAAACTTAAAGTACTAGAGCTCCGGACTAAGGAAATGCTACAAAAAAACCAAGTTAGAATGGAGGTTGCGACGAATAGGAGGCGGAGAGGTTTGGATTAATGGTAGGAGACTTCGTCTTACTTCATCGTGACGCATATTTCAAGAAAGGACCATTTAAAAAGGTACAACCAATATATGTGGGACCTTACCGTGTAGTCAAAAAGATAAATGACAACGCTTTCGAGCTAGATCTACCATCTACAGTGAAAGTTCGCCGTGTCATCAATATCCAATGGCTAAAGAAGTTTGAAGACAGAAAAGATCAATATATAAAAGGAAGACCTAGAGGACAGATTGAGAAGGTGGCAAGAATAACAGAAATTGTGGCCATTGTAGAACACAATGAACAGGTAAAAGTCTATTATTGCCAAATGATGGACGTAGATCCAAGATTGACTGTAACGTATTCGGAAAAAGAAGTAGAGAACTTAGATGTGCCAAGGAGAGCCTCGCTTATTGCTAATTTCGAGCAATTGCTGGAACAAGATTCGAACCCATAAGGGAGGACGATTTCATGAAATGACTAGATAAGAATCTTATGTTAAAAGTTACGAAACCACTCGATCTGAGGTAAGATCAGCGACAGGAATATCAGTGCCGGGAATGCAAGGGAGCGTTGACACTTGATGAGTTCACCGCAGAACGATATTAAAAAGAGGACCTTATAGGCCATGCTAATACCATCCCTAGTATTGAAGAGATCAATTAGAAACTAATAAGTAAACAGTAGTCAAGAATTGAACCATTATTATACCGTCTGGTATAATAGAAGTTATCGCTACTTCTACTTCGGATTGATTATGTGGGACCGTAGCATAACATTGTTAAGTTAAGCTTGTATGGCGCAGTGGTAGCGCAGCAGATTGCAAATCTGTTGGTCCTTAGTTCGAACCTGAGTGCAAGCTTAATTTGAATTTTTTGAAACTTAAAAAGTAAGAGACTTTTTTGCCATTCATGACTTCTCTTTCTAGAAAGAAGGCCGCATATTGATCAGCTACTTGTACACCGACTAGCACAGCAGATAGCGCTCCGCGTATCGGTTCTTTGGCTAATACTTGGTAAGCCAACATCCATCTTGATCATTAATGACGATAGTATTCAGGTGTGCAATTGTCAAATTCACCCAGACCATAGCTGAACAGTTGAACAGGATTTACTGGGTTCTTCGATAGTTCCAGCTGGTAAGGGTGGTAAATAAGAAGCTGTGGAATGCTCTCAAGAATTTCAATGCGCCAATTTCAGGGCCTGGCCGCCTCCAAGAGGCTATATGCCACCGCTAAGGCCAGTGCCAACCAAATTTTGGTCTCCAAGCATGTGCAGGAGGTGGATCCTGAAATGTATGATATCTTGACCAAAGAGCGTCAGAGACAGAAGCATTCGATTACCTTGATCCCTAGTGAAAACTTTACGTCTAGATCGGTAATGGATTTGCTGGGCTCAGAGATGCAAAACAAGTACTCTGAAGGCTACCCTGGCGAGCGCTACTACGGCGGCAATCAGTTCATCGATAAGGCCGAGTCATTGTGCCAGAAAAGAGCATTGGAGCTTTATGGCTTGGACCCGGAAAAATGGGGTGTTAATGTGCAAGCTTTGAGTGGTGCGCCGGCCAATTTGTACACCTACTCGGCAGTGATGGATGTTAACGACCGTTTAATGGGATTGGACTTACCCCATGGGGGGCACTTGTCCCATGGCTATCAGTTGGCCAGCGGCACGAAGATTTCCTACGTGTCCAAGTATTTCCAAACAATGCCTTATCATGTGGATGTTCAAACTGGTCTAATTGATTACGCTACTCTGGCACAAACTTCGAAGCTGTTCAGACCCAAAGTTATTGTAGCTGGTACATCGGCCTACTCCAGAACTTTAGACTACAAAAGATTCAAGGAAATTGCTGATGCGTGTGGCGCTTATCTAATGAGTGACATGGCCCATATTTCAGGGCTAGTAGCTGCTGGCGTAATTCCTTCGCCGTTCGAATATTCCGATATCGTCACAACCACTACTCACAAGTCTTTGAGAGGACCTCGTGGCTCAATGATCTTCTACAGAAAAGGTATTAGAAAGGTGACTAAAAAAGGAAAGGAAGTAATGTACGACCTGGACAAGAAGATCAACTTTTCTGTCTTCCCCGGCCACCAAGGTGGACCACATAACCATACGATTTCCGCACTTGCCGTTGCTTTGAAGCAGGCCGCGTCGCCCGAATTCAAGGAATACCAAAAAGCCGTTGTGGAAAACGCTCGAATTTTTGGTGAGGAATTGACAAAGCGCGGCTTCCAACTTGTCTCCGGGGGAAGTGATACCCATTTGGTTCTCATTGATCTGTCGAGCATCGGAATTGACGGCGCTCGTGTTGAAACTATTTTGGAAAAAATCAACATCGCTGCCAACAAAAACACTGTTCCAGGTGATAAATCAGCCCTTTTCCCCTCGGGGCTGAGGCTTGGTACTCCAGCTATGACCACTCGTGGATTTGGACCTAAGGAGTTTGTTCAAGTAGCCCATTACATTGATAAAGCTGCCAAGTTGGCTATTGGCCTAAAATCCCAAGAGTCTCCAGACGCCAAAGATGTGAGGTCCAAACTGGCCAACTTCAAACAATTATGCGAGGAAAGTGCCGAAGTTGCCCATTTGGCGGAGGAAGTATCCCAATGGGCTGGGAGCTTCCCCGTTCCTGGTGAACTCTAAACTGTCAACTTTTAGTTTAGTGATAGTTAACCTTGTAATTTAACATGCACAACCACCTGATGGGGTTATGTTGGCTCCATCTGCCCCACGAAGGTTGATTACAGATACATCCGACGTTTCTGATGCGAATTTCGAAAGAGGAATTTGCTTAGCTATTTCTTCAAATAGTTCGTTAACGCCAGCTCCAGTTTTGGCACTGACCGGCATCCAATCAACATCTGAAGCTGAGGACCCTGGCAAAAGGTCAATTTTGTTGCCCACAACTTTAATAACGATCTCAGGGGTACTTTCATCGCTGTGTATGTAGTTTTGTAGCTCTTGAATCCAGGATTCGGCTTTACTTTGTGTTATCTCAGCTGAAACATCGAAGACCACCAAAGCAACGTCGGTATTACGGTAATACATCGGAGCAAGTGATCTGTAGCGCTCCTGTCCGGCTGTGTCCCAGATTTCAAACGTGACGCTCCAAAAGCCAGACTCGTTTTCCCACGAGATTGTTTTTGTAGTAAACGCCGCGCCAATTGTAGCATTATTACGATGAAACTTTCCTGTCGTGAAGCGGGTCACTAAAGCTGATTTACCTACGGATGATTCTCCCAGGAGTACAAGTTTTAAATCTGCCCTGAACAGTGGTTTATTCATAGCTGAAAGATATACCTTCAAAGACCACAGGATCTTATATGAGCTCAAAATTCCAGATAACCAGCGTCTTCAACACAGTTTCATCCCACGGTTAGTAGCTAATGCTTATAGTATATCGATATGGAATTACTATGCAGTGTATTAATGCCTTCTGTATGAATATCAAATTTCAATCAGTGCTAGATTTACCAGATAAAAGACCGCTGGCAAAAGCGAAGCCAATGAAACGTTGATTATGGATGGTGGCAAATGAAATAAGATCAACAGAAAAATGGATGTTCATGACATATTTAGCACGATCTTGATGTTTTAGGTATTGAACGATGCCCGGAAACTTATCTGATTGTCATTGTGAACGTAATTGTCATATATAATAGCGATGAGATAACTGCAGTGTGTCCGTGACTAAACGTGCAAAACCGCGTTCACATAGATCAAAATACATCCTGAACTGTCAAACAGTCCTTGTTGGGCAATGCACCAATAGAAATATGAACACGTCTCCAGGAAATTCCCAGAAACATGCTAGAGCTCTGGACATGTTAGAAAAACACATTTCGCAGCAGAACAAACGTGTCAAGGGCAACAATTATGTCGCGTTGTCATCAATGCTGCAGCCTCTTTCGGGATCATCGCGACTGCCTGCACCTTCACAATCCAGGCCTTTCACCAGATCGCTAAATGGACCGTCACCATTCAGGCAAACGGTGAGAGAAGACGCAGCTGGGCAAGAGAGTCCGACGCGGCTGCGATCTTCTCCCTTGCGCAAAAGCGTCGCGTTTTCAGACAAAGTGGACTCATCGCCGCCACAGGAAGCACTGAATTCGAGTCCGCGTCCTTCTTCGATGGCCAAGGCTCCAAGGCCCATTCTAAAATTTTCAGACTCTCCTATACGCATCAAGACCAGTCCCCGTCGCTCTAGAGGTAGTTCCAGCAGCTCTAGTGACCATAGGCTTCCTTTAGAGCTTTCGAGGCATGATTCCACAAATCCTCTTACCTTAGACTACTGGATCTGTGGAGAAGTCCATAGTCTTGTGGATATCAACAGCATTGCTGAATTTAGGGCCATCTTGACAGGCGGCCTGTATTTTTTATCCAAAGCGACGCCTGCGGCAAAGGAGCGCTTTTTTGAGTTTTATGCAACTTTTAACAACATCATGCCGGTTTACTCTTCAGCAATATATTCAGACGTCAAGGAAAAGAAATTACAGATCCTCATAAACAATATTGATTTAATATTATCAACATGTGTACCACAATTGATCGAGTTTCAGAACGTCCTGCTGAAGTCTTCGAGAAAGGATCCCTTTGTTTCACGAACTTATGTTCAAATTGTTCGCTTTTTGACCACGATATTTTCGAACTTTAGACTTATACGGGCATGTGAGAAGAATCCCATTTTTCTATCTTCTCTTCAAAGAGTAGTGGATGGCTGTATTGAAACAATGGAGCATTCAAACTCCAATAAGGTAATGATCACCGCCCAGCTCGCCTTCCTCAGAGATGAACAATGTGCTATTCAACGAATTTCTGCTCCAAGAATTGGTGCCATTATTAAGGCAATGGGCAGGATGAAGAGAATTGAAAGCACTAATTTGCTAAGCGAAAAGCTTTTGTTACTCAAAACATTTTTGGGAAAGTATACCAAGGTTATGCTCGACACTATTGAGTATTGGCTTCCTACGGAGGTTTGTATCCAATTGATAAAAACTGGCGATTCGTTTTCGTCCAAAATTTGCAGCATATGCGTGTCCATATTACTTGACCTTCTTAAAAAATGTTTACAAGACTCAACTCATCAGAATATTCTTTGTGTGCTAAAGCAGCCGGCTGCAAGACACTATGCGCATTCTGATATTTTGGAATGTCAGACCGACAGAACGTTAGAGGAACTTCTTCTGGCTCGTGTAGAAGATTTTATTGTGGATAAGGATGAGCCAAGATTGGCATTGGATCTCTGGCTCGCCCTTGTAGGGCTTCTCTTCAATGCCAAAAATGAAATCAAGACCCTATGTGAGGAGCCTATAAATCCATGGCTAGCGGTTAATCTCAGATATCAAGGTACAGATGATTATCATTTGAAAACTCTGGCTTTTCGTTCCTGGAGAATAGTAACATTTTTAATTTGCTACAGAGGTTTTGGAGATGCAGGCATCTTGAACCAGCAGCTGTGCAATACTCTTCTCTTGCCCTTTCGTTCTACTGAAGCAGCTGGGGAACACCTACGGGATCAGGACTATTATGTTATGAGAGGCGTTCTATACATGGTACTTTGCAATAACAACAAGAACCTACTGGATTTCGCTCTAAGAAATATTGTTCAGTCTTTACTGTTGGATAAATCAATGAATTTTTCGAATAACAACCGTTGCTACGTCTTAGAGGTTTTGAATCATATGTTGTGTCAGCCACAAAGTTTATCTGCAAACAAAAGTGATTTCAATCCACTAAAAGTTGTAGCTTCTGCTGGAGTCAAAATCGAAGAGTTTCCTCCTTTGACACAATCGTTTCATGACACGTACTGGAAACTAATTTTAGATTTAGCAATTGAACTCAACAAAAACTGTGGAAGCGAGACAAGAGAAACTTGTTTTGAATTTTTGATTTTAGCCATCGCCAAGATCCCCCACCAAAGCGTTTCTGGATCCATGCGAGACATTTGTCTTGAAGCTCTGTCAGGGTCAATGAAAGCTGTGTTCATGAACAGTTCGAGAATCATAAGTGTTTTAACAACCTGTATGCTTGTATTTCAGAGCCATATGTGGTCAACTGCCACCAGCGCCTTGCAATTTCGGGAGGTTATTAGCACAATTATTCGGAGTAGGAACTTGACTCTCCTTGATATTCTGAAGCCTGTGGCAGAAAACACAAAAGATGTCCTCTCGGATTTAGAGGTATACAATTTTTTTCTGATGTTCAAAGACAGTGTCATAACTTCATATGTTTCTAACGCTGTGACCTCTAAAATACGCTCTGCTGAAATCTCTCAGAGTGCGTTTGCTGCGCTTCTTAGCATTGCCGAAAAGATATCTACTGAGAATGTTGCCAGCACCGTCATGACCATCTGTGACAAATTACAACGTGAACTAGCAAGAAATGAGCACGACATAATGAATTCTCTCGATTTAGACGCACTGCAAAAGTACCTGCGATTACGGTTGAGCTCATTTACTCGTCCCATCGACTCCGAGTTCATGTATTATTTTGGTAAGACTGTAAGGAGTCACCAGCAGTTGCAAACCGCTTTGCATGTACTTTTAAGTCCTCAAGAGTTTTCCCAACTAGTATTACCTACGATCATGCTCGAGAGTCTGAACAATGCTAACAAACCCCATTGCTATTTGAGCTGGTGGGAGCCATGCATCATGAAATACCCTAAGATGGCTCTCCCCGAGGTCCTGATGCATTTTGATGCCTTGTGCAAGCATGTGCAACTTTGGTTTATTAGACGAGTATTGGTGAGTTCCCGTGACAGCGAGATACCTCTTTGCTTCTCGTTTATTGAAAACATTTTGAATTCTCCTTCTGATGGCTGGTGGCGCTCGAACCTTGAATTTCAAAGCCTGCAATGTTCATTCCTAAATATGTGTTGGTTGAAAAATGAGAGCGAACTTTTGGCAAGAGCTATACGAATGCTGGTCGCTGTAAACTACATCGCACCAATCAAGGACCTGTTACTGACAAATCCTGAAGCCGCAACCAATGCACTAGAAACTTCCACTTTGATCATGTTGATTGAAAAAACTGATGATGACAAAAACTCCATAATTCAGTTGTTGAAAGATCGTATAAGAGCAAACAATTTAACCATCGCCTTAGACGCCTTGGAAATAGCCCTCACATACGAAACCAAGCGTACTTTTTCTGCTTGCAAAAATGAATTTTTAGAGCTCTTGTTGGACACCGAGGAGACAATTGTGCATGAGAAGAAGCGAACTTTGACGCTACTCGAGAGCTCACTCGCATATCTGACCTCGGAGGACAATAGCCTTCTGCACAGAGTTTTGAGGAAGCTTTTCTCAAGACTACCCACAGATATGGGTTCTTTGGTTTTCGAACAGTTATCAATTCTGCGCCGTGCTCCGTCTATTAACCCAGACGAATTTCCAGAGCTACGAAATTTGCGAGAAAACCTAGCCAGTGGTGTGCAAATACTTACACTTGACCAACCAATTGATTGTATAAAACTTGGCGGGATTCCAGGAGAAACGACCTCACGTTTGAACTATGCTGGGCACTCGATTAATGTGACCTCTTATGATTCAGAAGCTGCGTTTCTTGGTTACAAGTCCATCATACCCAATGTTGAAGGAACTATGGTTGAAAAGGACCAACTTGAAACACGTTGCCCTACTGACGTTACTGAATCCACTTCTACTACTAAAGAGGATGGCCAGCAATCTAACGTGGTACCATGCTGCGGAACAAGTGCGCCATCCAATTTTCCAGGAGAGCTTTCGCGCAAGTTACAATCACAAGACAATCACATCAACGAGGTCAGCAATTTGTCCACTTTTGAAGATCATAATAGACTAAAGACTAAAAGTAAACTTAAAACCGCAAAAACCTCTTCCACGAAGACAAAGTGTATTGCACATGAAGCAACGCTGCCGCTTGATGAAACAGTTGGTCCTGAATTGCCTAAACTTCTTCCTCCGCCTGTTTGCGGGCCTTCATCCCAAAATATCGGCTTGGACAAAAAGTTTGAAAAGCCAGAAGAACCAGCGAGAGCTCGGGCGTCGTCATTAGAGGTCAACGGCACTGCGGTGCCCAAGATTCCAATTTTTAATTCGAGAAAGCTCAGTGGGAATATAGATTCCGACTCTTCCTCACAGCAAGCGAACGAGCTACTGGGAAGTGGACAGCCAAAAGTTCAGGCATGTACTACTGATGACAGTCCTAAGGGTGAGCAAACACAAGACCCCGTAAACTTTAGCTACCCAACTTCTCCTCAAGAGACTATTTTGATGTCTGATAGAAAGACTAGAATGATAGTTCAAATTATCAAACAATTTGGTAAGACAGAGTTTGGACAGCTCTCTGATACTCAAAAGGCTTATCTTAAAAGCTCTATTTTGAGGTTCGTGACCAATACAGAAGCGAAACAAACACAACAAAATATCGAATAGCATACATTGAATTCCCGCTTTTCATTGAATAGCATGACATCAACATTTCAAATTAATTATCTGTGGGGTAGAAAAATGAGATCACGACAAAGAACACTCATTTTTTTGAAGAATCGTCTCCACTCTAAAGGATCACCCTTTCTTCGGTTGAAATAGAGAAGCGTGAGACCCTCGTCGACATTGTACAATATTATGTTTCCAGACAGGACCCAGCCCTTTCGGTCAGTTGTTTTAACGTTGATGGACATCGGAAACAAATCCGCTTCGCCGTGACATTTCCGTAACTCTTGAAATGTCTGATGTAAGGTCTTGACAGGTACATTTAGCCTTAGCAAGGCAGTTTCCACCGTCTCTAGAATGACATTTATTTGCCGAAAAGAGTAAAATTTGGTTAACCTGGAAGGGCTGATTAGGGGGAATTCGGCTCCATTTGTATCATTAAACTGCTGTGTTGCCATATCATGCTGGATTTGCTGGCTCCACTCAATTTCATGTCCAACAAAATTGCCCTGATCTTGCTTCCGCGGTAGCTCATATTGACTAGAAACAAAGTTGTCCGTTTCACAAAAATCTCTTTGCAACTCAGCGATATCAGACTGCACGGGTTGCGTCGACAAAACTCTGTCATTTGAATGGACTTCTGTAGAAGAAGAATCGGCAAAGAATGCGTCGTCAGTAAGTGATATATGAAGCCTACTCATCAGTTTCTGTGTCAAAATGTGAGTGTCGTTGCAAATTCCAGATTCATCTGCAAATGATATAGGTGCTGTATACCAATTGTGTAACTTCAGCTGATTCAAACTAGATCGCTTATCTGGGTTTGGATCTAACATTTTTCGAAGAAGGTTTAGCTGTGCAAAATCTACTTTTGCCCATGGGCCATTGGCCAACTTGCCACTGTTTTCCCAGAATTCACGAAATTGGCTATCTTCTTCATTCGGCAGTGCCCAAGGTGTTTCGCCTGTAAGAAGAACAAAAATTAAAACACCACAAGACCAAATATCTGTAATGTCAGCGTAGTAGCCACGAGAGTACACAATTTCAGGGGCCATGTATGGCAAACTGCCTCGTGTGTCCGAGCAAACGCGTCGAGTTCCGTCCTTGCGTCTGAATTGGGAAGCCAAACCAAAGTCGGCTAGTTTCAGATTACCATTTTTATCAAGTAAAATATTTTCTGGCTTTACATCGCGGTGTGCGATTCCACAGTCCTGGTGCAGGTACGCTAGAGCATTGACTAACTGCTTGAAGTAAAAACGGACCACTTCGACATCCACACCGACATCGGGTTCGATTTTATCAAAAAGATCGCCACCACTAGCCATCTCCATAACAATCCACAGAAAATCTTGCGTGAGGTTACAGTCTATTATTTTCAAGACGTTCACATGCGAGCTGCATTTCGACTGTAAAATGACTTCCTGAGTCACTGCTCTTTCGTCTAGCCCGTATTTGGCACATGTGGGAAGATGAACAAACTTTACTGCTACTATCTTGTCGGGATCAGATTGCAAAGACGCTTTCTTGACACTAGTTGCGACATAAAATGGTTAATAATTGATCATGGTCGCACATGAGCAAAGATGGAACATTCACTTTCTTGGACTGACTAACATACAACGCAAAGGAACCCTGCCCTATGGTCTCACCCAATTGCAGGTGCTTGATACGAGGAAGGGGCGATCTTTGTGAGAAGTTTATAGACATGATCTACGCACAAGTTCGATATTTAAACCTACAAATATCAACTTTGAATTTAATACTTTCAACATACAGCGTCATAATTGTAAAAAATGATATCTGGTAGATAGTTACTCGACACTTTACCGCAGAGTCGAGAGTATTGGCATAGAAGATTAGGCATTGAATTGTTTGTCAAATCCAGATATTGATATCATGTAATCGCTTTTGTACCATGATCAAGCTTTCTCAATATTGGTATTTTATAATACATGGTGTTGACTCACTTTAGAAAAGAAGTCGGTGAATCGAAGGATAACAGAGTGTTTAGTCAAAATCACTTGGTTTGAGAGGCTTAACTTATACGACTAATGACTTTGAAATTTAGTACTACATTTTGGTTCCCAACAATGACCAGGAAGTAGTTCCATGCGCAGCTAGCCCCAACCTTTTGCTATTTTGAGAACATTCAGACATGGTCACAATTATAAATGTTAATATGTATATTGATGTGATCCAGCGTCATCAGCTGGTAACTCACCTCAATAACGTCTACTTCAGGATGCCTTAAGTCTACTTCTGTGATCTCTAGCTCCGATGCCCTATCCATGCTTAAGTACGACGAGTGTGATTAAAAATAACTATGTGATCTAAGCATTCGGAATATCAGGGTTTCAAGTTACATTCGAACCAAGATGGGAGATCTTTCTGTAGCATTTGAGGAGCAGGTTCAACCAGCTGTGAACAGATCTCTTCAAGAGAGTAAACCGCTGGTTGTTTATTGCTCGTCGGACGATGACATTTGGCTAAAAACTTGGTTAAATAATGATATTGGGAAACTGCTACAAACCAGATGCGTAGCAGTGAGACTGCTGCAGAATACACCTGACTTCAATTACTTTGAGCAAATATGCCCTAATGTACCTGTTCCCAGTTTCTGCTGTATTTTAGAAGGCAAAATAGCAGCTATCATTCAAGGCGAGAATTACTCTGAGAACAGAACTACCCTGCTAACATGCTTGGGATTGCCTAACCCGGGTCCATCGCAAGAAGTACACGGTGATAGTGGTGAAGGTAGCTTTCGACAGAGAGATACGTCGCTTAGGGAAGAAGCGGAGAAAAAAGTGGCACAAATGTATCACGAAAGTGTATTGAAACAGCGAAAGGTTGAGAAGGAAGAGCGTGAGCGGATAATACGACTTGTGAAAGCTGACCGTGAAGAATTTGTGGCGAAAAGACGTGGCAGTGTGAAGCCTGAGGCTCAAGTACCCGTGAGCAACTTGGATAGTATTCACGACAACATTAAGAGCGCAGAACGCTTGCTGGCCAAAACTTGCACGCTACAGATTCGTCTCTTGAATGGTCACTCCATCACACATCAATTTGATTCTTCCACGAAACTGGACGCCGTAAGGCAATGGGTAGATGCAAACAGAACGGATGGAGACATGCCATACGTGTTTTTAAGAAGCATACCGCGAGAAACCTTCTTAGATTCGGATGAGATGAAAAGTCTTCGTGACTTACAGCTCACTCCTCGTTCCGTACTTATCGTGAAAGCCATTGAAACTGGACTCAATCGGCCCCGAGTTGTTGATGCTCAGGGCCCTGGCTTGCTCGGCAAAATGTTCAACTCTGTTTCAGGTTGGTGGAACTCCGGTAAAAGTGATGAGCACGAGTCTACTGGTAGACCTTCCTCAAAATCTAGTGTGAGACAGATGGACGACTCCATTTCTGTCGCCTCTTCAAAATACGTCTCTCCACTCAATTCTCCTCGCATGAAGCACCAATTGATGCGTAACCCATCTGAGTTGAGCCTCCCTTCGAGGCCCGTTTCCCCCAATGTTTATCAGTTTGTGAATGCGGACGATGAAAACCGAGACGAGACTGACCGGAAAACGTTCAATGGTAATAGTGTCAAACTCGAGGACAAGAACGACGGATCAGATGAGAGTAATTAATAGTAGTTCACTTATTTATAACGGTTTGCATGCTGGCTTTTTTTCGTCATCCTAGGCTGCAGGTTCTTGCAGGGGCTCTTTCTCTAGTTTCGAATCTTTCGACTTCTCTGGCTCTTCTGGGCTACCTGCAACAATCTTCAAACCTGCAAGTCGATTGACCATATCAGTGTCTGCTTCTTGTTCTGTCCCCATTTTTTCAAGCTCTCGTTCAAGCTCGTCATCCGCTTGTTTATCAAGGTTGTCTCCCAAAATTTCACCAATCTTCTCATTCCTAAGATTTTCGGCCTTGATGTCCTCCATGATTTCTTCAATCTCGTCAACATCTCCCAAAAGAGTTGATATTTTCATTAGTGCCTTTCGACTATTCTCGAATGTATTTTTCAAATGAACATTATCCATGGCGAGTTCAACCTCGTTCAAAAGCTGCTCCACACTTTGTAGACTTTGACAAGCCACTGTCATGTTCTTTTCAAGCAGCTTCTGAGTCCGCAGGCGTGTCTTTTGGATGTCTTTGGCCATACACTGTTGAACACTCATACTGACGAGCTCTTTCGAGATTCGTATCCGTTCTTCTAGGTTAGCTACTTGTGCATTCAGCTGAGATTTCGTCTCCTTGAGGGAAGCTATACACACGTCGTCCTCTGACACGCCAAAACCGCCAAACTTTGTCACGATCATACTGACATCATTACTGCAAACCTTAACGGTATCGGAACGTATTGTTATAAGTTTCTTGTGGTATTCCATGTACGCTAACATAACATCAACCTCATCCGAATTCTTCAATTGAGTGTCCATACTAGTTATTGCGAGAAACTCTCGTCTCGAAAAAACCAAATCTGAATACCTAGTGGCATTCTGGCAGATACGGTGCCGAATAGCTTTCTCTATGGGCACATATTTCCGCTCCACCGTTGGTAACACCACATAACTTTGTTCTCGCAGGTAAGGCTGTCTCTCTGAGATTCTGGTCTTTGAGGAAGCTGAGATCATTGGCAAAATAGCACCAAGAGTCCATGTAATGGCACCAGAGATCTGGGTCCATCTCTTATTATTGCTCTTAAAATGGTCCATTGCGACGATGGATCCGTCTGCTACCAGCGCATCTAGAACCACGTCCAAACTTCTGGGTTCACCATTCTCGGGATTTGAAAGCCTTTTTAAAAGCCCATGACCGCATTGAAGTATTAAATCATCTAGTAGTAGTTGGTCCAATAGAAAATGCTTCCAACTCCTGACATTGGCCTCATAACCTTCGGGATTAAGTTCTTGTAATTGTCTAAAGTCTGAGTATAACGATGGAATCCTAGATCTAGGAAGGATTTTGCTCTCCATTGATGCTATTATGGGTGGCGATAGGTATTGTCATTAGCGAGTACCTAAGCAGCATCTCAAGATTAATTAAACTGAAGCTTAGCGGATACATATAAATATTATACTTATATCAATTATCAGCATAAAGCAACACCGATCGAAGCCGATTTGAATATCAATCTCCTAACATGTCAAGCCATCGGGAATTGTTGAATCAAATGAACAATTGCATAAATGCTGGTGAAATCATTGAACTTAATGGTCTTCTACGGAAAGCTCATCTTCAGCTAGCCAATGCTACGAATTTAGAAGGAGCAGAGACACCTGAGTTTTTGACTAAAATGAAATCCTTACTGAGTCAAGAAATAGAGTCTGAGTTAGATTATGACAGTGCAATCGAAATATTCGCGCAAGCTCTGGAATTGGTCTCATTTGACCTAATTTTGGAACTCTTCAGCGTCCAAGATTTAGTGCTCGCCCTCCAGAGTAACGTGACGGGTCTCGTCAGAATTGCTTGTAAGGCGCTACAAAGGTCAGACCCCAAGGGACTTTTTGCCAGCTCTGGGCTTATAGATGTCTTACTCTTGCAGTTATTTGAACCAGGCACAGACTTAGGCATTGTAACGGAGATTGAAAGTGTCTTTGAAAGTTTGGTTAGTGACACTTTAATAAGAAGACGCATCTTGAGCGATAATGTCAGTCTTTTGCTAAGAATAAAGTTGCAGGGTGATCCGATTCTTCTAAGCAGACTTTTGGATCTTTTGCAGGTTCTCGTTCTATTCGCAGACTGCAGTGAGCTTAATGAGAAACTCTTCATCTTCTGCGAGGAAGACATTCGCAAGAGCTTGGACTCGGATATTTTTGCATTCATTGCCATAACAAACTACTACAGCGCGCTGTTAGCTTCGATCCGATCTGAAAAATGCTCTAAACACGGTGGTGCCTGGATTCGCACACATACAATGGACGTGGTGCTACCAACATATGGGAGCCTTTTCGCTAATGCAGAAAATGATTCAGTTGCTAAACTCTATGGGAGACAAAGCATTTACAGTTTATTCAAGGAAATATCATTCTTGGATGACTTTGGATACTTCGAGCGCCTCGAAAGTGAGTATCTACATCTAAGCCCGTCAAACGCTGACTACGAGGAATTTTTGAAGTTTGTTAATCCAGAATATTTAATTCACTACCAAAGGGAATCTCTACTGCACCATATACAAGTCACGCCATCTCATTTGGCGGCAATAAGGAACCTCATATCCAGCCTATCGTCTTTCGAACTGCTGAAACCAAAACTTACAGCCGATCGCATTTTGGATATGCCTTACTATGAACAAATGGTCTTACTACAGAAGCTGACGGAATTTGGGTACTCTGCGGAATACCTGTTGCTCAGCCTTTCGAAAGTCATGTCTCATTTACTCGATGACAGTTCTGATCCCGTAACTGAGCCCCAATCGTTTGAACTAAGACGCACCGTTTTAGAGAATTTGCTGTCTTTGGGAGATGACGCCTTAAACGTTTGGGCATTGCCTATAAAAAAGGCATACAGATCCATTATGACTGGTGTAGTTGATAACGGAGACTCTGCCCAAATCGCCGACACGTATCTATGAGTCAAATGCCATATTGTGTATATGTTATGATAATAATTACAAATACAATGAACCTGCGGAAACAATATCTCTGTGGATCAAGTTGAGCGCTGCTTCCATCTTTTCCCTTAACATAGCATTCCCAATGGTGTTTGCAACATCTACCAGTTCCTTTATGAGTTCTTCTAAACGCTTGAACATTCTGATTAGAGATCCTTCATATACATCCGTCATTTTGCAAATCTGGGTGAAAGTGGCGCCTTTACACCATTCGAAAACCACCTCCATAAGTTCATGTCTGAAGCTTTCCACATAGTCTTTCTCAACTATCTCAATTTTAGAGTCCTTCACTATTTTGGCGATCTTTCCTGCAACTTCCCTCATATTTTTCAAAGGTTCGGCCAGCTCTGGCTTTAACCTTGGTGCCTCTTTACAACGTTCTTGAAAGGCAAAACAAGACAATAAAGCGGCGGACTGTTCTGGCGTTAGGTCATTAAAGTTACCATTGAAAATCAATTCGGTTAACAGAAGTTCATCACCACTGGAAATTTCGCAGGCAACTCGTCCCTTCAATTCTATCACATCGCTTTGAGTTGAAAAGCCTAGACGACGCAAAACCCTCTTACGACGACGTAGGTCATCTAATTGAATAACGGCTTGAGCTTCGTTTATTTGCCTTGTCAACTGCTTGATCTCCTCATTGACTGCAACTTTCTGGTCATACTTCTTGTATAGATCAACTAGTTTCACTGAACCCGCCAAGGGGTTGGCGTTCTGTCTAGATGTCAACACGTCGCTTTTTTGTAGTAGTTTTTTGAAATCCTCATCCTCAATTTTCATATTCTGGACGGGGTCGATTAGTGGCACTGCATCAGGAAATCTACGCCTAACCTCTTTCAATGATTTTCCAACAACATCTCGTTGACTACTGGCGCGTACGTCGCTTGGCATGTAAAGTCTCAAGTTTCCTACACTCTTAATCGAGCTCAAAGTAATAGGAAGAATGGTAGTAATCGACTTTTCCCCGGGATAAGCTGGTCTGATACCCTCTGGGAAAGTCGGATTGAACGGCTTGATTAAGTTGACAGGAGCGTCCACATACATGGTATTAACAACGACGTTCACAATGTACGATTCGTGATCAGAAAAGGTTGCCGTGGGATCGCGCTTATTTGTACGTTTGGCAAAGTCAATCACAGCAGCCCACCCATAGTTGAAGTTGGGGGCTACATTAACCTCAACAAGTCTTCCAGGCTGTAAAAAGCTTAGAATATTTGCCGGATGTGTGACAATATGGCGGATATCGTTAGCATAGCCGTCCAAAGTTTTCTGAATTTCCCAATAATCCTTGATGTTCTGTTCGTCTTCGATAACAATCTCTTTAGACTTGAGTGTTAGTTCAGTGAGCTTCTTCTCCATGATGGGTACTGAGGTAACATTTTGAAATTGAAAAAACGAGTGCTCCAGCATAAACTCCGGGGATATCCCCTCTACCCTCATCAAATTCAGAATCATATTGTAACCAAGATGGAATGCGGAATCTAATCTGTCAGCTTGACCTTTTACCATGCCCTTTGCCACTTGAGGTTCCATCTTTTCGTCAATCATCATGATGACGATACCACGATCATCTAATCCACGACGACCCGCACGACCCGACATCTGAATATATTCACCACCAGATACCCAACGAAATTGCTTGCCATCCCATTTTCTTACACTCGTGAAAACCACCGTCTTCGCAGGCATATTTAAACCTATTGAGAATGTCTCTGTCGCAAATAAAACCTTGAGAAAACCCTCCTGGAACAAAATTTCGATCACCTCTTTCAAGATAGGCAACAACCCAGAATGGTGAATGCCTATGCCCCTCCTCAAAAGAGGCAAAATGTGTTTGATCTGTGGTAAGCCCCTGTCAATCTCAGGAAGAAGATCTACGGCATTATTGAAAATCTTCGTTAGTGCTTCTTTCTCATCTTCCGAGTTGAAGTCCAATTTGGACATTTTTAGAGCCAGTTCCTCGCAGTCTCTTTTACTGAAAGAGAATACAATAACGGGGTTGTATTTTTTCTTCCAGATCATCCTTACGATCTTGTAGATGTCGCCTTTGGAATCACCTTTGGAAGCCCCACCTTTATACGTTTGCCCCTTCTTGCCTCTCGAATTAGCTGAGTTGGAACTATCACCTATTTGGTTACTGATTGACGCCATAGCCTTCTGGAAATTTTCTTCTCTGAAGGTACTTTTTTCATCGACTACCAAGTGTATACCGTCCCCATGGGCAGGAAATAGATAGTGTTGCAGAGGCGTTGGACGAAAGTCGGTGTAGACAATATGGCAAGGTTGAGAGTGAATCTTACAAATCCATTCGGCAAATTCCATGGCGTTAGGAATGGTGGCAGACAGAAAAACATAACGGACCTTGTCGGGTAGTAGAATGATTGTCTCTTCCCAAACTACCCCCCTTTCTTTGTCTCTCATATAATGCACTTCATCAAATATAACCCAAGCGACTTCTCTCATCACTTCACTACCTCTGTAAAGCATACTTCTCAAAATTTCAGTGGTCATAACCAAACAACCGGCATCGGGATTTATTGTGATGTCACCAGTCATCAAGCCTACATCACCAAAATCGGCTAAAAGCTCTCTATATTTTTGATTCGAAAGCGCTTTGATAGGTGATGTGTAGATAACTCTTTGCTTCTCTCTCATTGATTGTGCAATTGCATACTCGGCAACCACCGTTTTACCAGCAGATGTGTGGGCGGAAACCAAAACGGATTCACCTCTATCTATACAGGAAATAGCGGTGTCTTGGAAAGGATCCAAAGTGAAAGGGTAAGTTCTAGCTTCATTCTGACGTTTGTGTTCCCCGATTGGCAAGTAATCATAGTTAGGCGGCAGAGCAACCTGATGTCTAACTTGATGAGAAAGCTTCAATTTACCATCTTCCTCTACTTGAGTAGCATCACCAGCGCCTAGTCCATTCGATGCATTTATCTCACGGGAAGCCTCTTGTTCGAACGAGTCTGCCACAACGGGAATAACGTCAGACTTCTTCTTCTTATCAAGCAACTTTTTATCGCCCTTAGCCCGTTTCGTTGGATTCTCCTTAGATTCTTCACCTTCTAGAACATCGTTTGCACCAGATTCGGCCTCCGAACTGTCTAGTTGACGTTTACTAGAACCATTTTCATTTGGCTCCAATTGTTGGTCATCCTGAACATCCGAGGGCTTATCTAACTCGGGAAGTTCGATAGATTTCTCATCAAAGACGTCAAAGAGCTCATCATTATCCATTGCGAATAATGAAGTTGTGAAACGGTCCCGCTTATGTCTAGATCCTTGACGTGCACGAACTTTTAGGCAGCAAGCTCATCGCATCGCATTTTCTGGTAGCCGGATCGTAACAAAAATTTTCGAGTTCTACATCACTTCTTCCGAAAGTGACACTCATTCAACAATAAACACTTCATTTAGGATATTGGCAAATCTACTTATCATACAAGGTTGGTAAAGCACCTCTTCCGAGTATCCTCGCACTCTTTTCTTCCTTCTAAATAATCTACGATATATTTTCAGGCCTTTATGAAGCCGAGTAACCTAATTAAATAGTTACTTTACTTTGCGGCCATGTGAGCTTCTCGACCCTCGTTAAAGGACTTTCTCTCTGCCCTACATTTCTCTGTCGTGCCCTTCGTTTACTTACATTGTTGTAGTGGGTAACGCAACTTCCGCGAAAGAAAGAAGATTAGGTTTCTCAATGGAAACGATATGCTACCAGCAGACATTGTTGGGCGCTTGGTTACCTAACCACTCTGGGCTCGAAACCCTAAACTAGCAAAATTTACTTCTTGAAATTTTGGCCAAAATCCCAGCCGGTTTTCGGATATCGAAACTTTGTCTCCTGGGTGCCCACATAATCAACAACTAGGCTTATCAAGGAATTTTGTAAAAGCTTTCTTATAGAAAAATCAAACGTTATGAGTGTCATTAGGGGGTGCGATTACACAATAGATAAATTTTGTATAGTAGTCCACTTTTCACGATCATACTCGCTCATTACAGTGTGTGGGTAATCGTGATCGCTTTGCTTTGAAAATGAATTCGGTCTGCTTGCCTGACCCTCTTGACTATCGGACTCAAGTGAATTGTTGAGGTCAAGGTGTCGATCTAAGTTATGCTGGGACTTTTTAAGCTCTTTATCATTTGTGGCAGTAAAAATCGCGCTCAGTGCTCGTGAGTTTCGGTCACTTGGTGAGAAAGTGCTGTTGCGTCTTGATAAGGACGAAACAGATTTGGATGGAGAGTGCTTGTTTTGTAGGGTGTGTAGGTAGCTAAAATCGATGCTATTTCCCCTATTATGTGGGTTTGAACCACCCTCTTCTTCATGTTTGAAGGATATGCCCGACAGAGAGACTTTTTTGCTAAGTCTTTTCAGCCTACGACTTTTAGTGGGAGATGATTGTGTGGAGTGACTGAACCCATTTGCGCTGTTCCCTGTATGAAAAAATGTTGTTATTTGCGAGTTTGATCTGGAGTGATGTATTTGGTTGGGTATACTCGAATTACCAGCATTCGTGAATACCGAACCAATTTTGGAAGGAGATTTGATGCTCCCTGCGGCAGAACCCGTTATAATCGAGTTAATTGATTTTGTGGGGGAGTGTGGGCCACTTTTAAAGCTCAAATCTTTAGAAAACCTTCTGACCTGGGCAAGAGAGTTCTCTTGCTTCAAAATATCATTCATTATCTCGTTTTGAGTCTCGCTTAAATCATTTCCTCCTTCACTTTGTTTCAGTAATGCATCCAACGCGCTTACAGCATCTGCATTATCATTTTCGCCTTCCGGGAGACTCTCGAAATTGTACTTTGTCAGTGGGAAACTGAACTCATCCTTAGTCTTTAGCTCTTCGTTGGACTGGAATTCAAAACTTGGCATTAGCTGAGGAACATCTCGAAGAATTTGACGCTCGTTCTCCAAAAGCTTTTGACCATTTAATTCCCAGTCACCTAAGCTGACATTATGAAATAAAGCGGGAGAGCCATCCATCTGGGGGCATCTGTCGGTTAAAATCTGAGGTTCGGGAATACGTGGTATTTCTTCTAGACCGTTTTCCATAAGAACGTCGTCAACATCGTCACATCCAGAGCTTGCCACAGGCGTAGATTGGGTGCTATTGTGAGCAGCCTCATGTGAGGTGGGACCTTCATAACCCTGTAAAGAAGGCGGTAAGAGAGCATTGTTGATTCTATGGACAGCATCTCTTTCCAATAAGAGAGCCTTGTTTACATTATCACATTTTTGTCCGTCAAGTAGAAAGCTTGATCGTATGCTTTTGGAGCTGGCGTCGTAGTTTTGTGAGCTATGAGCAACATTAACAAGACTCCTCGAGCCGTCGTGGATCGTAGAAAGCCTTGTAACGTAATGAGCATTGATGCTGTCTTCCGGAATTGCTAAGTCCGCTCCAGGCGGGCTCTTTGCCGACCTACTCATAGCCCTCATCCGTGCGAAAACGTCAATTTTAGGTTTCCTAGGTGTCCTTGACGGGGTTTTGGGTTTAGAGGCGTCTAAAACCGGAGATTCCGGTGAATTTACTTGCATGTGCACATGATGCAATCCCAAATTATGCTTTAGAACTGAATTTACCGAGAGGCACTCCGAACTGGAATACGTCGAAGGGTATTTGTTCATCCAGTTCTGTTGGCTGGTCAGCGCGGTAGTGTATTCATGGTCAGGAGTTAGCGTTTGAGCCGAGTTTTTCATGGTGACTGTTTTGTGCGCTTGTATATCATTTTTTTCGGCTTGCATCTCGTTTGACTGTTGCTCAAATTCCGATGCACACGATTTCTGGTCACTGATTCGGTCTGACGTGTCAAAAGCTACTAGCAGATTGCTGAATAGCATGGTGGCCACTATCGCGCAGGTCTGTACTGATACCAGGTGCTCGTCCATTGTGGACAGCCTTGAGCTCGATATATCGCTCAGTAGGGTCCTAAGGTAGACGATAGTCGAAACAAAGCATACGACTAACGTGGCTATCGACATCCACCTCAGCATTTGTGAGTTTGTTAAAGGGATGGTAAGTTGGACAAGGCCATTAGCTAGCAGTCCGCATGTAAGTACAATCAAGGCCGGTCTATTAAAACAATGTTGTTGATTATCTCTGCACAATATAGCAATCGAGAAGGAGCCACCCACCAGACTTGCCAATGTCGAGAGCCCATGCTTGACCACTAGCATTCCCAGAGTACGCCTTTTTTTGGGCATTTCGTCCTATCGATCAAATCGAGATCACTCCAGTACACAGAATATATCGACAACTGCTAAAATAACTGGGGCAAGTTCTCAAGGTATCACCAGACGTGGTCGAAAAGTTTTGGTTGTTCTCCATCAATTGATGTTCTTGATATTTGTTGATGTTTATCATATTCCCAAAGGGGTTCGATATGCTTATATAATCAGATGATAGATTCGATTATAGCCCAAAAAAACAAAAAGGAGATATTCGCCATCTCCTTTAATCGTTCATCGGTCCAAGTATAGCTGGTGTTTATCAGGGCTCAATTGTAGATTTCGTTAGTCATCATGCTTTTTCTACAGCAAAGCAATGGGCCCTAATTGATACTATTTTGCTAACAAACATGAGAGGGTGTGAGAAGATAGGTGAGCAATTTGCTCCTTTTCCTTACTTCTCGATGGCTGTTTGGTAAGCTACCTCGACTATAATCAAATGACGACACGCCTTGGGAAGGCACACGAGCAGTTTGTCAATACTCTATGGTGCACACTCAAAAATGTTAAATTATCAGGTGCGCCTTCGGTAGAGAGTGATCTCTGACTGCTTGAAGTACCGTCGGCCATCCTCGTCAATGATCACCAAACTCAAGTAATTTTTGATGCTGAAATGGTTGAAGTTGCTAGTAGGTGTTAGTTCGTAACCCCCTAGAAAAAGTCTTATTGGTATGGTTTCGCCTTTTACCGGAGAACCGTCCATGATCTCGTAGCGGATGGATGTGGAGTCTGAAAGTTGGTTGGGCTCCAGTCCGCATGTCTCTCGCGTTATTACGCTGAGCTCCATATGCTTGACCTTGAGCCTCGTCAACAGAAAATAAATCCTCCCAACAATTACGTCCTTGAGGGAAAAGTGGGGCTTTGAATACTCGAATTCTATGTGCAGGCAGTTCTCAATCCCGATATCAAGCTTCACGGGCATATCCTTGTCCGCTGTTTTGGACACCGCAGCTGGCATAGGATCTCTATTATAAAGCAGACACCAAAACGGCTTATGTTTGACGATGTCTGTGGACTTTCGTAACACTGTAACTTTCACGTAGTAAGAGACGTCGACATTTTTACCCCGGTACGACTCGTAGCGCTTCTCCACATCTTTGAAGTTAAACGGGAAGCTTTGGGAGTGAGTCAGTTCACCATGCGGGCACAGATCGGCACTCATACTCAAAAACGTTTCCACTGGACGCTTTTTCCGTTCAGAACTGGATTTCGATATATCGACGCTACCCACCAAACTAACCTTGACACCCAAATGCTCTAGTTTTTTGCCTTCTTTTACTCTCAGAGTAACTATTCCACTAACACTTTCGCCGTCCTCGTAAACAGGAAATCGGTCCTTCAGCGTTCTTGCCGCGTGATTATCAGCATTGGCAATTTCGACGTGCTTGCGCGATTCCTCACCGTCCAATAAAACCTCGATATCAATTGGTGACTTGAAGAAGATACTCATTTGGTCTAGCGTCCGCGGCCTCCGGTCCTTATTCACAATGAGCCCACAAACGAGTGAATCCATTTATTTTAGTCGCTAGTACAACCTCCCTTTCTAGCCAACACAAAAATCGTTTAGAACGAGCTAGCATAAAGTAATCGAGATGGCCATTCGACTTTACTGGTCATCACTTGAATGAACAGGTCACTGGTGCTCGGCTTCTATAAACTTTGTTAGTCAAAAACTCTTCGGTATTTGCAGGATTTTGATGATCGCCATCAACTTGGCCCTTAAACTCTCGCACATTGCGTGGCACAAAATTTCCTGACATTGTGGTAAGCTTTAAGTTTTACACACTGTTCAATTGACTGTTTATCGTTGTAGCAAATATTCATTAGTAGCACGATCTTATAAGCAGACTGCATGTATCAAATTGTAGCTTGTATTCATCGCAGTTTTACGGCGGCTTGAGGCTCGAGATAGATCGAAAGTCCAACTCATCCTCCTTAAAATGATTCCAGAGCACATTCGTCTCTGTGGTTTGAGATGTGGGTCCACAGGTACGTAAGAAGTCCTTACGAGTGAGATTCTGGAATCAAAAGGCTGATGACGTGGATTCGCAAATTATAGTCGAACTTCAGATGAATTTATCAGATGGATTTACTCAGTCGACCCCCGCTTAAGCAACAGCTTCAGCTCCAGACCTATTTCTTTACGCAAGATGTGCGTTGCAATTGAAGGGAGTCAATGCCAAGGGTATGGTACTCGGGTTGAAGCGCTGAGGGGGTTTATAGTACTGGCTTCCGAGCGGCATTATCCCCTAAATGGCTACGGCTAGAATTAAGAAGCCTATACACGTTTCTAAGTAACCTTGTTGAGAACACTGAGTTGAAAATCGCCTTGGTGTGATGTGGGGCTCTCAATATGTCCTGAGACTCAATATTCCAATTTTCATTACTGGCCAGGGAGGGCCATATATACTGCAGTTAACACTCCAAAGTGCGCTCTTGTATTCACATGGCTGCTCGTATCATCCATGCCTTAGTTGGGCCCATGTGTTTGTTACGCGACGCTCTGGAAATGGCGGCCTCAACACATGAAAATAACAAAGATCAAATCAGGCTTGACCTCGCCTACCTGTGACTAGCTAGCAACCCATAAGTAGTTTCCATTAGCTCGGTTTACTTTTGAACTCCATCTTGCGGCTAGACCCCAATTTGTTGCTGAACACTATTTGAAACGCATTATTGGCATTTTCCTGTCAACTTGAAATTTCCCTTCTTAAGCACGACAAGTGACCGATACTGCTTCACCTTGCTCACTTCCAGTATCTTGTGTGTCAGTAAATAAGCTGGTCACCCTAGAACAACACAACTGCATCGTCAGAAAGCTTTTGTTTGGGACTGAATAAATAAACTAGCCATTCTCGTAGTCCCCCTTCGACTCGTGTTGAGCATAAACCCGTAGCTTAGCGGACGGAGATATGGGAAAATGATTGAAACATGTGAACGTACCTGACGCAGTGCTTCGGACTATGGAAATGAAAAACAGGTGCGTTCCTGTTGCCAACTTTAAAGAAAAGGGACTTAAATGTGTATCGGCGCCATTCAACAGCTCTGATCAAGGAAAGTAGGTATGTCACAGTGAGGATACCCAGAGATCTCTACATTATAATTCGTATTGAGGGCATGCTTAATACACCCTGTCGTGCAGATCGCGAATGTTGCTCGGAAGTAAAGTCCTAGAATCAATACTCCACGACTCTCCACCGGCTGGCCAAAGTGTAGTGCTGTATTCGCAGAGCCGAGTGGCTGTGCGATGGCTCCGTCAGGGCCCAAAAAGGCTACTCTGCCCCCACATAATGACATAACCAATTTAAATCAGGAGATCACAATCGACATCTCTAAAAAAAGAACTCGGCGACGCGGGACAAACTCGCACCACTAATCAACTGAAAATGTCTCCGCAAGGTTTTCGACGCTGTTTGCAGAATCGCCGCACCGGAGAAGCTCACTAAACTCATTTGCTATCACTAATCACCACTCTGGCGCAATGTCAAGTAGAGAAAATTAAAGAGGCTGGGCTTCACAATAAAATTTCATAAAGCCTTTGAAAGTAACAAGAAACCGAGTTCGCTGCTGGGTCTGCTTCTATTCGTTACTCGAGGAACTAATGCTAGCTTTCGTCCCTCCTATTTTTTTGACCTTAACGGCTTTCGGCGAATGACCTTACAATTTACCGTGTAGTAGTAATATAATTGGTGCTAGCATGACCCCGATGCTGGCAAAGTAATTGAACTTGAATTCGGCACCTTCTAAGACGACGCCGGCAAACCTATGACAGTGGTTCTTTAATTAGGGCATCCCCCAGAACTAGAGGGCTTAGTTCATCGCCGCAGTAGCTCAGCCTGTTCTAAGAAAATGACCCGTGAAATTGTAATGCATGTGGACTGATATTTATATATAGACATAGGTCCGTCGTGTATATATAAACTTCATGTTGAGCGGGTGGATCATTAGAATGTTGTCAATACTTAACAGAGCAAACACTATACAATCTCGATTCGCATAAGGTTGTACTAAAGAAGCAGCAATGGCTAACTGTGTATCATTGTTCCTTGCAGCATTTCTATCAGCCTCCGCTGTCATTTTAGCGTGTGTAGCCTGTGCTGGCTCAACCAAAAACTATGATCCCATCAACAAGATATTCGAAGCTCAACTAGATCTTTCCAATTTAAGTGTCCCAGAAGTGTTGTCAAGCGTGAGTTCTTCGGTAACATCATTAGATGACCTGGGGTTGCCGTCATATATCAACATGGGTCTGTGGTCCTACTGTCTCGCGGATTCTTCGGGCGAAATTTCAAACTGCACATCCCCTTCAGGGATTCAACAATTCAATCTTCAAGACTTGATCTACGACAACATCCAAAACAACCAAGTTGCTCAACTTCTGGACAGTGTCGCGCAAGTTGCGCTCCCTGACAAGCTACAGGACAATATCAAGTACTACAACAACTTGGTTAAATGCACCTTCATCACACTTCTTATTGGTATCGTGGTTAGCGGACTTAACTTTGGTACCAATATTCTCCGCTGGATCCTGCATTTCACGTTCGTCACCTGGGTATGCCGCTTTCTGTCACTGGTAGGCTTTCTCAGCCTCACTGTTGCTGCAGGTACGAGTACCGGAACCTACGTCTACATCAAAAAAGCGTTGGATGATAATTACGATTCGTACGGTATTCGCATGAACCTGGGCCGGAATTTTTATGCTCTGTTATGGGCGAGTGTTGCCGCCGCATTGCTGAATTTGCTATGCCTCTCGTTTGTGAGAAGAAGGCGCAATGTCTACGTCACACCTGTCGAAGAGAAACCACTTATATAGTGTAAGTCTCTTTGGCCCCTTGCATCTTTACCATACTCTTACGTACGTTGTTCTTATTTGTTAAACTCATCTTTTCATAGTCATCATACCATCTTTGATTCCGTTATGATAGTGGAAGCGCTTTGAGAGCTTGAGCGACGCAAAAAACTTTCCTACTAGTTATCGGTGGGTAGCTGAAGTATCTGACATTCTAAAAGCCGGTATGTTGACGTCCAATTACCATATAAACATACATAATCACGGGGGATTGTACCAAACGATGGGCCAAATATCTGGCAAATGACTTTAAGATACTTGAGATAGCACATCTTCATCATTACTGACCACCGGAGCATTTGTTTTTTTTTTTTTCGTCGGACGACGCGGTTGACTCAGCGGATCCCATGTCATTTATGTTTATCAGCGAGTTCTTGCCGCTCGTTACTCTTACAAAGAATAGCAAGATGAAGGTAATGAAGGCGAGGGCAAAAGCAGCCCAAATAAGCCCGGCGTAAGCAGACCCAGTTGTAAAGGTGACGCTGTAATCATCCGCCTTAGTGTCTTGTTTGATAATGTTAACGATAGCAGCTACAATAGCACCCGATAGTAAAGCAAAGACGAAAACAAAGAGAGCCAGAATCTTGGCACCCGTTAGTATGCAGAATGCAGCCCTTTCTCTTTGAGCAGTCATGCAGAGGAGACAAAGCATCAGCAAGAGGAGAACGAATGACAATACGATTGTCAGGATGTTGAGAGCCAGTGTTGCCCTGACTGCTGAAACGTATGAGGTATGTTTGTCTTGCAGCTTCCCATCCAGATACATTTCCTGCTTTTTAACACCTAATGCCAGCATGTAAGGTTTAAAATCCGACTTCTCAAGCTCATCGTAGAGAATATCTCTCAAGACAAAGGATTGGACAGTATGGGGTGAACTGCACTCATTGATCTTGCCATTACTGAATCCACGGCAGAGAGTGAAAATGGCGAGCCGGTATTGTGAACTCACACGTAGGTTGTCCATGACCATGGGCATCATGGCATCCAAGGTTTTTTTCGTGATAGCCGTGCTGCCCAGCGACGTTTGTGATACAACTTCGAGCAGTGGTTGGAGAGCGGTTCCGTTTGATTGCATAGCCTCGGTGAGGTCCCAAAAAGATTCGATGGTAGCTGTGTGGTTCTTAGAATTGACCAATAACCCATAAATAGGAGCCAGGTCGTTTGCACTTGATAACGAATTTGACGACTGCATATGCTGCAGGCCATTCACACTAACGGAAGCATTGATGGAGTAGTCCAAAATTTCTTGAAGACCGAACAATTGTAGGGTATTGGCTGCATTGGTAGAGTTGGCAAGAGAAGCAAGTGAAGATATAACGTTCGTTTGATTCGAGGAATGCCTAATCAACACGGATAGAGCAGCCAATGAGTGACGAGCACTGGGCGAGCTACTAATATTACCTTGCAGCAACATACCCAGAGTAGAGCTAGTTTGGGTGGCATCTCGAGAGTCGTTGAGCAGAGCACCGACTGCCGAAATTGCAGGACGTGATTGCTCGGATACTGAGTCAAGTATTTGGTTCAAAATTGTTTGAGGGTCTGAATTAGATGATTGCAACGCACCCAACAAAGTTGCAGCCATGTTCGATGTCATATTGGTCAGCATTAAAGTGTCTAAAGCAGCCATGGTAACTGTCACATTTTGGGACTCCTGTAAGAGTTCAAGAACCGACGATAGCATAGCCTTTTCGCTTGTAGATTGATTTTGCAAAACAACCAACGAATCTATGGAGGAAGTAGCATTGTTGGACTGGTTCAAAACCCCGAGAACGGTACGGGCTACTGAACGTTCAGTGTCGTTGGACGTTTGTACCACTGTTGCTAATCCATGAAGGGTCTCTGTGACATTGGATGAGTTTTGGATCAATGCTCCAAGTAGCGCGAGCTGGTCTGAAGTTTCTGAGCTAGAATTTGACAGTTGAGCAATCATAGGAGCTGTAAGTGCAAGTGCACTCACGGTCTGTGAAACATTACTACTGGTAGCCAAAAGCTGCAAAAGCGGTTTCAACGCCGAGCTCTCGGAGACTACTTTCAACGCATCGAAAACGTCGCGCATGCCATTGACGGACGTATTTTGAAGGGGGCTATTCACCAGTCCGGCAAGAACTGACAAGACGGGAGCCATTTCTGGAATTACTTTGGTAACATTGATGCGCGAAATATCCGCTTCACCCAAGTACACATTGTTAATGGGCCAGTAATTAGATGTTGAGCCTGTTGTAGCCACAATAGTCAGGATGAAAGTAGTGAATGCAAAGAGAACACCTACCAATAGTGGCCATTTTTTGATAAAGGCGATCATAACCGCTGTCAGGACAAACTTGGTGGTGGGTTTTGAGAAAGAAACTCTTGTGCTTCGTTTTGATAGAGGTCCTTATATACTTTTTAAAAGTCAAGGACACTTCCAGTTATCGAGTCAAAAGTTTCGCCACAAACTGTCTTTCCTCGATGGAGTTTCTCCAACAAATTCTCAGATGCGTACGCGACTGGCGATGGGAAATTTCGATGCAGAGGCTACATCTCTGGGCAACGCGGTTCTTCTGGAAGCATGATTATCATCAAGCCGAGCGTCGCCAACGCAGTAGCTTACAATGCCCTGTCATGCAGGCTGGTATGTGATGGATCTACCGAAAAGCGTCAATGTTGAGGGCCTTGGAGCTAGCAGGCTTCAAAGGGTCTTCTCTACCCTAAGAACTGTACCATCTTTGAAGACAGGCAAAAGTTAATCGCTACGACAATGCACACTGGTGATGGCGCGACTCAAAGAGAATAGGTTCAAAAAAAAATCTGCTCCAAGCGACGAGCCGTATTTCTCACCATAAAAACGGCAACAGTGTCTATGGCTCCCGCATCCACTAGTGAATGAAGACGCATCACCGGCCATCAGTGGTGAGACTCTCAAAGTGCGTTTTGTTGAGGATTGTGCCCTACTCGCTATACGAGTGTTCGAACAATTGATTGCCAAGCGGGAAGCAGAGCCATAGAGGAAAAAACGAGGCAGAAAAAATATTTCGCCTACAGTATCCAGGAGCCGTGCAGCATCGTAGGAATCGTGGCATGGGATTACAGTGCCATCAATGAGTCGTCGGGTTTGTAAACCATTGTGTAGTTAAAGCTGGAAATCACGCAGTTTTGGTCGCCGTTCAAAACACGGTCGTCCAACACCAACTGCAAAGAAGTACCAAAATACGGGCCCCACAGCGGCCTATGCTTGGCCGCTGGCGTGCTTGAATTGAGGGATCCGGAGATGGGGACCGGATTACCGGCACTAGGATCGGGGATCACAGAGTCCTGGCCCGCCTTGTCCTTTCCACTTTCGTCAAATCTTACTTTCCCATTCACGCTGCACACTGTGGAACCCGTGCCTGGAATGACATGATAGTCCATTCCAGTCAGCACATGCTGAGTCTGTACAACTCCACGCTGCCATGTTTCGAGAAACAATGCGGCCTGGGCAAACGGATTGGCATTCACAATGACCTTACTATTAGCCGCGTCGAAACATTGCAGAAACGGAGCAAGCTGCTGCGAGTCCTTTTCGTCCAAAAAAGTGAATATTTTCTTGACAAATGTTTCTAGCACTTGGGATTGGTTGTTCATCCTTGCGGCTAATCTTACCTTCTGGCTTCTCTGATGGGATTCTTCGGGCTGAGAGTTTGGCCTCATCGCCCTGCAAGGTCTTGATTTTTCATCAGTATCATTTCAAATTTCATGTGCTTCGATACGAAAGTAGGACTCAGGAAAAAATCAAAAATCGGCAAGGGTTATCGCGTCTCGCAAAAGGTCCTCAAATGGACATCAAAACATGTACCTCTCATCGTTAAGCATACTTTTCTTTGAACCCTCGCTTCCTTGCGGTTTGAATGACACCAATAAAGGAGAGATTTCCCCATTGTGTTGATCACTGTGTACGTTGTGGAAGTTAGTTCAATGTATACAGTTCAGCCTCTTCAATTTAATATTGACATAATAAAGAACTACCCGCCATCCTGGTATAATTGCCCGATTCGCTTGATTCGTACACGTACATGGGATCGATGACGATCGTCGTGCTGGTTTCCTCTCCATGGAGTCCAATCGGTTAATTTTAGCTTGCTAAGCAAGCCTGTTTCTTTGTACGCGTGGGTTTGCAGATCAAGCAGCAACAGACATCTACTCGTGAGATCAGGCTGGTTTGATCTGGTGGTTGGTCGATACCTGGAGAACACACAGAAAACCCTGCAAACAGTACGAATTTCGATGGGGACCCACTGGTGCTTTCGATATAAAAAGCTATGGGTTCAAGGGACGGTCCTCGCAAGTTGGAGTTGCTTCTAGTACTGGCGCCCGTTTTACTTTTTACACACCATCCACTCTTAGGAATATTCATTCTGCAGGCGTCACTTTCCACGCGGTCTACTCACTCACTCTCGCTGGCCTCAACCACGTTCGCCCTTTTCTTGCCATGTCCGCCTTCTCTCATTTTGGCAACGGACCCACTCTCAGTTCAGTAATTGCTGCTACTGCTGCTCCAAAAAGACATGATCCATCTGCATCGTTTAGCAGAAAGAGATCATTCGACGACCTACTGCTGCCCTCTTTGAATTTCAATTCACCGCGTTTGTGCTACAAAGAAAAACCATACGTACTACAACCTTTGCTGGTCAACCAACCTGTGAGTAAGCGAGCTCGTACGGCTCCTGCATCACCAGTCGGTGTTAATCTACTAACACCAACTACGTCGCCCTTACTGACCAAGGTGAACATTGCCTGTACGTCTCGCCCGGGCTTGCCTTCAGTCTTCAGCGGCAGTTTGACAACTGATTCGCAGGATAAACGCAATACAAATCCTGTAAATGAGGAAAGTTATGTTCCAGGACCTGTACCGGCCACAAAATCCTCACAATTTAATGCTCACGGGCACTTCTCCTCGTATACCTCCATTCCTCTTCACCAAAACAGCGGGCGCGACGAATCCGATAGCGATGAACAACCCTTTCGCTCACATACCAGCTCGCAGTGCGAGGCTTTACCTTCCCTCAGACATTTGCAGTTGCTTCCTCATCCTAAAATTCAAGAACAATCTTACCGCTATCCGGATACCTCAGAAAACACACCATTCTGGAGAGAAAATCTTCTGAGCTGGTGCAAAAATGAAAACTATAGCGATTACTTAACCATCAGTCAAGAAGTCAAGAACACCATACAATACTCGCAGGCCCCCAGGTTGAGCACGCTGGCCAACGTCGCATCGATGTTGGAAACTGTGCCATCGATTTTGAAACCGTCGAATGAGTTTTACGGTTTGTCCAATACAGCTCCTTACCAGGGAGTTGTCACACCACCTATGAGTCCGTGTAGCCCAAGCATATCTGTCAAGGACTCTTCATCTTTCACACCTATCATGAGCGACAAAATGATTCAGTTTGTCAAGGAGAAAAGGACCAAGTCTCACAAGAAGACTAATAGTTTTAAAGCTAGAGAGATGAAGAAACTCTTGAGCAATAGAGATCTCTTCTCTCCCACTTCCAAGGCAAAGGTGACAAAAGTAAAACAAAGAACAAAGAGCAAGCCGAGTGCGCCACCTTCCCCACAACAGTATATTATGAAAATTAGCACTCTAGCATCTCCCAAAAGTTTGACTAAGACACCAGGTGGTGATAATGCAGAGGAACCACATGTCGACACGGCGCCAATCCGTACTGGCACTCCCCCAAAGACCCACGTCTTTGCGCTCAACGAACCACAAACGCCGACTAGAGCCACTGACGTAATCCCTGAACTGACCTCCCACAAAAGTAAAACGACCCCGGAGAGTCCCTTGGTAGGGGCTACCACTACATCAACAAGAAAACCGTCGTCGCCAAAACGCGTCTCGAACAGAACGTGTATTTCTTGTCTTGCAAGTGACTCTCCATGCTGGCGGCCATCCTGGACAAACAAGAAGCAAGATCAGTTATGCAACTCGTGTGGTCTTCGCTACAAAAAGACGCAAACACGATGCCTCAATGATTCTTGTCGAAAGATCCCTTCGAAGGGCGAACTTGCTATCATGAAGGCCAACGGCATGTTAAGCACTGTGGGGTCAGGAGGTGAAACTATCAGGGCGTTGGGTTGTCTGTTCTGTAACAGCCTAGTGGAGACCAAAGAATGGCTCGAACACAAATAAGAGGCGCGCTGGAAGCGTTGGCCACTTTGGTCGTCCCCAGAATTCTGCATAAATAATATATAATAGCATAAGCAAGGTTTGATAGTAAATTGGGTCGAACACAACTAAAGCGCTGGTCAGAGGAATGTGATCCTCTCTTTTACGGCATTGCAATGGCACAATGCTCGTGACAGGATTTCGAAGTCGTCCAGTATACACTAGCCGAGCTCGAAAAGCACGTAATGTGACGATAGCAGATGATGTGGTCCCCATTGCCGAAGGAAGGAAATCTTGACAGGCTGTTAAAACCTGACGAAACGAAGTTTCGTATGTCATGTCTGATCTGAGTGTTTAAGGTGTTTATTAATTTTGTTTCTTTAGAATACAGTTTGCCTTTCCAAAACATTAATATCTGGTAGGATCTAGGGTAGTGTAAACATCCGCTCAATTGGAGAAAAAGGATGATTCTGAGGACTCCCCAACATTATAGACGCCAGAGCTTCCATTTAATTGGTGAGTCCGTCTCAAGTCGATCTCAGTCGTACGAAACCTCGTCTATCAAGATGACTATTTGAACCTCTTTTTCTGCTAATAATTGGTATCAGTTGAATCGATCTAGGGAAGCCAGAATAATTGCATTGAAGCCCTACCAGGGCCCCAAAAAAATACACGATTGATGTAAAGTGACAACTTTTTGTCTTAGACGAAAATAATCGCTTTTTTTGAAGAGACTCCAAAATAACATGAAAAACGCAATTCAATTTACCCAAAGGTGAAGATCCAACGATTGACTAAAGTACGAGGACTCTTTGTTTCACTCACCCTCTCTTACATCTGACATTCACAATAAGGGTTTATATGTTTGGCATCATCCACGAACAGTAGTGAAGAAAATGTATGTCGATGAGGTTGGCACATGGAACAAGAGCATGGCAAGAACACGCAGCGGTGTAACTACGTAGGGCACCCGAGTCAACTGGTGAAGAATTAAAAGTTTGGAATGACAACCCTGCAACAGACCAGAGCTGCAATTGAAGGCGTTGGCGGCACTTTGAGACCAAACGGAACTGGGTACCAAGTCTTAGAGCAGGTACAGCATCCTCAAGCTCTGCAACTATCAAGTTTAAATGATGAACGGGCTCATGCACAGATTTTTCAAGCGTTGCAAGGACGGGTGGAGGGTGTGAATCAGGAGAACTGCGAAGCTGGGGACGAGAACTCTTTTTTCGTTTGTGATCTGGGCGAAGTCCATAGATTGTACGCCCATTGGCGTAGTAAGCTGCCTCGGGTCCAGCCCTTCTATGCGGTCAAATCCAATCCAAACAGACTAGTGCTGGAGACTTTGGCGAAACTGAACGTGAACTTCGACTGTGCGTCGAAATCAGAGATTGAAATGGTACTTTCCCTTGGCGTCGATCCATCGCGCATCATTTATGCCAATCCGTGCAAGGCGTCGTCTTTTATTCGGTTTGCAAAAAATCAGTGTGTCACCAAGTCCACGTTTGATAATGTAGAAGAGCTTGCTAAGATCAAAAAATACCATCCACATTCGGAGCTGCTTCTCCGGATTGCAACAGATGATTCCACGGCGAAATGCAGACTATCAACCAAGTATGGCTGTGATATGCAAAACGTGGACTCTCTGCTATCAAAGGTCAAAGAGCTGGGGCTAAACATGGTCGGTGTCTCGTTCCACATCGGATCGGGCGCCTCTGACTTTAGCACTTTCTACAAGGCCGTCAGGGACTCCCGCGAGGTATTCAACCGTGCCAGCAGTAGGTTCGGATTGCCAAACGTGAAGATCCTCGACATTGGCGGCGGATTTCATTTGGAGACGTTTGACGAGTCAAGTGCGTCCTTGAATGTAGCCCTAAAAGAGTTCTTTCCCGAGTCTTCGGATGTGACGATCATTGCAGAGCCTGGCCGTTTTTTCGCCGCGTCACCCTTCACGCTGGCGTGCCATGTTATTGCCAAGCGCACACACACCGACCGCGAGGCCATGCTCTACATAAACGATGGTGTCTACGGCAACATGAACTGTATCTTGTTCGACCACCAAGAGCCCACACCACGTGTACTTTGCCATAACTCCAACTACCACTATCACGACGCCGGATCCACGTCCGCTACCGAAACCGTAAGATGTCCTAACAAGGTGTCCATCTGGGGTCCTACATGCGACGGTCTCGACTGCGTGACTAAAGAATACTACATGAAATACGAGCTTTCTGTAGGTGACTGGCTATACTTTCCCGTTCTCGGAGCATATACTTCATCCGCTGCGACCCAGTTCAATGGCTTTGAACAGTCTGTGGACGTGATCTATATCAATTCCAATGCTCTGTGACAGGAACGGTAAGCACAACTTAAAAAAAAAGCTAACTAAAACGGATCATTCTCATTCTGGCATATCGCTCTCCCACCCTCGTCTCTAAATAGCACTGTTTTCTGCAACCGTTGAAACTTGATTTTGACGGATAGTGGAGTAGTACCGTCGTTTTATGGTTGGTCAAACTGTCATGTGCCGTGTGTCACATGACCTTTTCTCTAAAATTCTGGCTGCCTACATAATAAAAGTTGACATCGGACAGTTCAAAGAGATCTTGGATGCGGTCCGAAATATGTTCAAGGATGGTGACGATAATCTGATTTGCCAGCTGGAGACTACGAAACCAACTGTCGAAAATGTCACTCCCTTTTCGGAGTACGAGCAAACGCATCCCAGACTAAAATGCTTCTCTAGAGACCAACAGAACGAGCTGCCTATCTTGTATGGAGGTGGCCGTGAATTTTTGATAGGAGCTATTTCGTGGCCAGGCGAAAATTTGAACCTGGACTGTGTGGAAGTAGCAGATTTTTTCGTCCTTAACACCTATATGGTGATTTGGATTAACGCTCACGACACAGGCTTGCAAATACCTTACCAAAAGGTGGTATACCACGGCGTGCGTATAATCGACAAGGCCAAAGGGGGCGTAGAGAAAGGCCATCAGCTGGAAATCGTCCTGACACTACAGCGGGATGCAACACTAGACCAGATTTTTCCTCCAACGGGTGCGACAGATGCAACGGCTACGATGCCCACGGTGGATCTGGTGCTGCGGCCACGGTACGCCGATTCCGACCGGGTATACAACAACCAGTTGGAGACTCTGTTTACGTTCAGCGACTTTGGGCTGAACAGAGGTGATTCGCTGGTGCGAAACTGCAATGAGGCCATTGCTCGGTGCATGGATTTTTACTACGTAGAGGACGACGACAGCGAGGAGGATGGCGATGTAGGGAACGAGTGTATGGGCGGCGCAGGATTCACGGGCTTAGGTGAGTTTTTGCAAGAGCAGACACCCGTTTACCGCAATGCGGGTGCAGCAGATGACTTGGCGGACGGGCTCGGATCTTGGCAAGACGTCGGCAATGGTGCCGAAATAGACGCTGGCATGTCGATGGAGTTTTTCGGCGGCGATCAGGTGGCCGGACGCAAGAAAGTCTTAGACCACTGGGACCGAGACCTACACAAGAGATTCAAGAGCTGAGTCACCCAGCTCACGGAACTCAGAGAAAGTGGACCTTTGAACTTGGCCCGTAAAGCTGGAGCCCAGAAGAGGCTCAGCCTGCTAACAGCGACGTGTGCCCTTCCCTGCTCCCGACACCGCGGAACATTTGAGATCTTCCGAGCCAGTCTGTACGCTTCTGCCTCGCCAGTGGCACCACTATAGAGCTGTTGGGCTTGATTACATCACGGAATACGACACCAACAGACTACGCGGGCGAGTACCCGAAGACTCGATAAGTCCGAACTCAACCGAAATTCTGGTCACCCCACCTACGTCCTGCCGAAGGTCGCGGAAATTCCGACCATCTCGAGGAATTTAGCTGGCGTACTCTCAACACACAACCAAAAAAAAGCGCTACTTCTCATTGACTCCTCACGCCAAAATACTCGACCGTCCCTTACCCACCATACACCACTTCCTCTCTAAACCGCACTTTTCTTCGCACCTGCAGTGGCACATCATTCTTCCTTCGCCTCTGTTGGTCACGGCCGTTTGTTCAACGCGCTGTTGGGCTTGCTGGTCGGGTGCCAAGCCCAACCTTTAACTGTCTTGCCTTTGTGCCTTGTCCTTTACACATACATCCTCGCACCGCATCGCCCGTGCCTTTTTTTTCCAACCCACCAAAATCACGTGCCACGCCAAACAAGCCGAAATCCAACAGTATTCAATCCAACAACGCAACCGCCCAGGGCCCCCGTACACGCGGGTATTGAGAGTGTGGCCGGTATCCAACGCGCTCAACAAGCAAGCCAAGGGTCGCAGTATCTTCGGCAGTGGCCTCGTTGTGTGTATCTATGTATATATAAGTGGTATATCGTGCAGTGTACCGACGCTCGAGCTTGTAGTATTTGAAAAGACACTAGTTGATCCCATCGGCGCTAGAGCTCAACTAACTAAAGCATTTTTATCTGTCTATTAAACTCGTCTGTTCCCAGCTGACGATATCGACAAGGTATGTAGAGAGATGACAGAAGATGGAGACGGATGAAGAGCACCGCAGTATTGCAAACAAGAATAATATACCGCCCGTTCGCACTTGCTGGACTGCGATCAGGCCCGGCAGTTGGGCCTCCCATCCACAAGCACTTGGCCAGTGTGCTTTGCCAGGAGTACTCGCGACAGCAGTACTCGCGGACCCCGAAAATCCAACAAAAAGGATACACGTATGAAGTGATCAGAGATACAACGGTGATGGCCTCCAGGAAACCGTAATGTGAGCCAGAATGGCACACAAGCGGGCCCAGCTGTAAGGACGCTTCGTGTGGACGAGCGTGTGGTTGCCGGGCTGTCTACTGGCTGGCTCTTCTCCTTTTTGCAATTGAGGGGGCTGTCTCGTGAACGCGTTAGCTGCCCTTTTTTTTTCAACCAGCCGGTGTTGAATATGGTATATTTTTCAATGTTGATTTTTCCCCCAGTGGCGCGTCAGAAGGCACGGCAGGCGGCCAAGGCTGGTTGGTACGACAATACTCGGGAGGAAAGCCCAACAATTTGGCGGGTCCCAAACCAGTGAAAAACGGGCTCCAGGGACGAAGGTGAAGATGGCGAAATTTCGGCCAGTGTCGAAAACTCTTTTCACCTTCTCCTTGTACCTAGGAAACTCTTGAAAACCCGTTAAGGCGCTCGAAAACTGCTAAAGGAACTGTTCCCTCTCTCGTCTCCTTCTTGGCCAGTACAAGAGCCTTTTTACTAACTCGTTCTCGCAGTAATAGCCGTCGTTATTACTAGTTTTCTAGTATTTTTCAATTTCCCATATCGTTGCTTCACGAGCGTACCCAGTTTTCCCCACGAGCGGCTCGCCTAGTGATTCAACACATTTCGAACGTGAATTAGAAGAGCATCTCCCAATTGGTTCTTCTTTGACACTTTATAAGTTATACTCACCGATACTTTATTTTCCGGTACAAAACGCACGATGAGCGCCTCCAACAGCACCAGAGCGCTCACCTTGAGCCACGGTGCCATTGAGCACGTTCTCCCAGTGCCAACGGCCTCGTTTTTCCCAGGCTCGCAATTACAAGACCAATTCACCAAACAGCTTCCATCTGCTACGGAGGGTTTCGTCGCCGACAACGAACCGGCGTCTCCAGCAGAGCTGTTGGGTCAATTCCTAGGCTACGTGTCCACTTTGGTCGATCCTTCTACCAAGGGCCAATTCGACGACGTTTTGACCGTGGCACTTGCCGAGTTCGAATCCAGCTACTTGCAAGGTAACGATGTACACACTCTGGCCTCCAAGCTTCTGGCCGACGAAGACGTTTATCCAACCACTTTGGAGAAGGTCAAGGCCCTCATCAAAAACTACTTCAACGCTCGCGTCACCGCTCAAAGACCTTTTACCAAGTCCGATTCTGCTCTTTTCAAAAGCGCCGCGGCCAAAGAATCCCAGCTGGTTGCTATTTTCGGCGGTCAAGGTAACACTGATGACTATTTCGAAGAGCTGCGTGAGCTGTACCAAACTTACTACAGTGTCGTTTCGGATGTTATAGAATCTGCTGCCTCCAAGCTGGCCGAATTAGTCAAGTCGACCGACGACACTGAAAAAGTGTACACTCAAGGTTTTGATGTTCTTCAATGGTTGCAAAACCCTGAGACTACTCCAGACAACGCTTACCTCCTGTCTATTCCAATCTCATGCCCCATGATTGGTGTCATCCAATTGGTACACTACGCCGTCACCGCCCGTGTCTTGGGTTTCACCCCTGGTGAGTTGAGATCCCACTTGGTCGGTGCCACTGGTCACTCTCAAGGTTTGGCTACTGCCGTGGCAATCGCAGAAGCCGATTCCTGGGAGTCTTTCTTCAAGGCTCTGAATAAAACCATCACTTTATTATTCTTCATCGGTGTGCGTTGTTACCAAGCTTACCCAAATACTTCAATGCCTCCATCAATGCTTGAAGACTCTGCAGAAAACGGTGAAGGTACTCCTTCGCCAATGTTGTCCATTTCCAACTTGACTAAAGAACAAGTGCAAGAATTTGTGGATCAAACTAACGCTCATTTGCCAGCCGAGAAACACATTGTGATTTCTTTGATCAATGGTGCCAGGAATTTGGTTGTGACTGGTCCTCCACAATCTCTGTACGGTTTGAATTTGACATTGAGAAAGGCCAAGGCTCCAGCTGGTTTGGATCAAGCCAGAATTCCCCACAGTGAGAGAAAACTCAAGTTTTTCAACAGGTTTTTACCAATCGCATCCCCATTCCATTCTCATTTGTTAGAACCTGCTAACGAGTTTATCAAGCAAGATCTAAAGGATGCTGGCCTAGAGTTCAAGCAGTCAGACTTGCAAGTTCCTGTTTACGATACTTTTGATGGTAAGGACTTGAGAGATTACACCGGTTCCGTTGCTGAAAGAATTACCTTGTGCATTACCAAGTTGCCCGTGAACTGGGAAGCTTCTACGCAATTTTCTGCCACCCACATCCTAGATTTTGGTCCCGGCGGCTCCTCTGGCCTAGGTGTTTTAACTCACCGTAACAAGGATGGTACTGGTGTTCGTGTCATTGTTGCAGGTGCTTTGGAAGCCAACATAGATGACGAATATGGATTTAAGCAGGAAATATTTGATGTTTCTGCTAACGGTCTCAAGTTTTCCCCCAATTGGTTAAAGGAATTCCACCCCAAGTTGGTAAAGACAAAGGGAGGTAAGATTTATGTTGATACTAAATTCTCCAAACTTTTGGGCCGTGCTCCACTTCTTGTACCTGGTATGACTCCTTGTACTGTCTCTCCCGACTTTGTCGCTGCCACCATTAACGCTGGCTACACCATTGAATTGGCTGGTGGTGGTTACTTCTCTCCTGCCCAAATGACTAAGGCCATCGACTCTGTTGTTTCTCAGATTAAAAAGGGCTACGGTTTGGGCATAAATCTAATTTATGTCAACCCTAGAATGTTGCAGTGGGGTATTCCTATGATCAAAGAATTGAGAGAAAAAGGCTATCCTATTCAATCGATGACAATTGGTGCCGGTGTTCCTTCCTTAGAAGTTGCTACTGAGTACATCGAAACCTTGGGCTTGACCTATTTAGGTTTGAAACCTGGCTCTATCGATGCCATCTCTCAAGTCATTGCTATTGCTAAGGCTCATCCTTCTTTCCCTATTGTGATGCAATGGACTGGTGGTAGAGGTGGTGGTCATCATTCTTTTGAGGACATGCACTCTCCTTTGTTCCAAATGTACTCTAAGGTCAGAAGATTATCAAACATCATCTTAGTTGCCGGTTCTGGTTTTGGTTCTGCTTCTGATACTTATCCATACTTGACCGGTGAATGGTCTACCAAGTTCAATTATCCTCCTATGCCATTCGATGGTTTCTTGTTTGGCTCTAGAGTTATGATTGCTAAAGAAGCCAAAACCTCTCCAGATGCCAAGAAGGCTATTGCCGATTGCTCAGGAGCTCCTGACGATAAGTGGGAGCAGACTTACAAGAAACCCACCGGTGGTATTGTAACTGTTCGTTCAGAAATGGGTGAACCTATCCATAAGATCGCAACCAGAGGTGTTATGTTGTGGAAAGAACTGGATGAGACGATCTTCAACCTCCCTAAGAACAAACTTCAAGCTGCTTTGGATTCTAAAAGAGACTATATTATTGCGAAATTGAACGCTGACTTTCAGAAACCTTGGTTTGCAACAGTTAAAGGTGAGCCACGCGACGTCACTGATATGAACTATGAGGAGGTTGCTCAAAGAATGGTCGAATTGATGTACTTGAGGTCGGCCAATAAATGGATTGATGCTTCCTGGAAGAACTTTACTGGTGACTTTTTGCGCCGGGTTGAAGAACGTTTCACCAAGAAAAAGGCTGCCTCTCTCTTGCAGTCTTATTCTATTTTAGACCAGCCAGACAAGGTTTTGACTACAATTTTTGACGCCTACCCAGCTGCGAGAGCTCAGTACCTAAATGCTCAAGATGTCGACTATTTCTTAAGCTTATGTCAGAGACCATCTCAAAAGCCAGTGCCATTCGTTCCTGTGTTGGATCAGAGATTCGAATTTTTCTTCAAAAAGGATTCTTTGTGGCAATCTGAATATCTGGAAGCTGTTGTCGACCAAGATGTCCAGAGAACTTGTATTTTGCACGGACCTGTTGCTGCCCAGTTCACAAATGTTGTTGATGAACCTATAAAGAGCATCATGGATGGCATTCACGATGGTCACATAGAAAGACTGTTGAAAGACTTCTACGACAACGACTCCTCAAAAATTCCCGTTGTGGAATACTTCGGCGGAGAAGATCCAGAGGCCGTAAAGTTTGATTCTGTTGAAACTGATGGCAAAATTTCGTACCGCGCCTCAGCTTCAACTGATGAAGATGAGTGGTTCAAATTACTGGCTGGCCCTAAGCGCAATTGGAGGCAAGCTTTTTTTTCCACTCCAAGGGTTGTGCAAGACTCCATGTACGCTGAAAACCCACTCCACAAGGTCTTCAAGCCAACCGCTCAATCTGTCGTCCAAATTTCGTACCCAGAGAATGCTTCCAAGTCTGTTATCACTTTATTGGAACCTGTCCAGGGTAGTTTGAAGCCTACCGCTTCCTTGCGTTTGTCAAAGGATAATTTGATGGAGCTACAGCTTATCGAAAACAGAACAATGGACGGCAAGCCAGCGAGCCTTCCATTATTGTACCAATACCAACCCGAGGATGGGTTTGCTCCAATTTCTGAAGTAATGGATGGTCGTAACGATCGTATCAAAGAATTCTACTGGAAATTGTGGGTCGAAGAACCATTCAACTTAGACTTCGACCCCAAGAAACCATTGAAGGGAGCTGATGTCACTATCACTGCGAAGGATATTGCTGAGTTTACCCACGCTATTGGCAACAAATGCGAAGATTTTGTCGCTAGGCCAGGGAGAAAACTATTGGCACCAATGGATTTTGCTATTGTTGTTGGATGGAGAGTCATCATCAAGGCCATCTTCCCTAAGACTGTCGATGGTGACTTGCTGAAGTTGGTTCACATGTCCAATGGATACAGAATGATCCCTGGCGCAGAGCCACTGAAAGAAGGTGACACCATTTCTTCAACTGCCGTAATCAAATGCGTCGTGAATCAGCCAAGTGGTAAAATAGTTGAAGTTGTGGGTACTTTGAGTAGAGAGGGCTCTCCTGTCATGGAAGTGACTTCTTCCTTCTTCTACCGTGGCAAGTACACCGACTTCGAGAACACTTTCGAGAAGATTACCGAACCAGTATATCAAGTTCAAATCAAGTCCGCCAAGGATATTGCTGTCCTGCGCTCCAAAGAATGGTTTCAGTTGGATGACGAAAGCATCGACTTGCTCGGCAAGGTTTTGACGTTTGAGACAGAAACGGCGGTAACCTTTAAGGACGAGTCAGTTTTCAACTCTGTTAAGTGCGAGGGTAAAATCAAGATGGAATTGCCTACCAAGGAAAACGTCGAGATCGGCGTTGTTGACTATGAAGCCGGCGAATCTCATGGTAACCCGGTTGTGGATTATTTGAGCAGAAATGGCTCTACCTTGGAACATAAGGTGAATTTGGAGAATGCAATTCCGATTGCTACCAAGGACACACAAGCTCCTGGTACCAACGAGCCTTACGCCAGAGTGTCTGGCGACTTGAACCCTATTCACGTGTCGCGTCACTTTGCAGACTACGCTAGCTTGCCAGGTACTATCACACATGGTATGTACTCCTCGGCATCTGTCCGTGCCTTGGTCGAAACCTGGGCCGCTGACAATGTTTCTGCCAGAGTTCGTGCTTATAGCTGTCAGTTTGTGGGAATGGTTTTGCCGAACACCCCCCTAAACACTTCCATTCAGCATGTTGGTATGATCAATGGCCGTAAATTGATCAAATTCGAGACCAAGAATGATCAAGAAGAAACCGTCATGGTGGGTGAGGCCGAAGTTGAGCAACCAGTGTCTACCTTCGTTTTCACTGGCCAAGGTTCTCAGGAGCAAGGTATGGGTATGGACTTGTATGACAAGTCGGAAGTTGCAAGAACTGTCTGGGACAGAGCTGACGCTCACTTCAAGAAAACCTACGGATTTTCAATTCTCGAAATTGTTAGAAAGAACCCTACTTCGATGACTATCTATTTCGGTGGTGAGAAGGGAAGAAAGATCAAAACCAACTATACCCAAATGATTTTTGAGACCATCGTTGACGGCGAACTAAAGACTGAGAAGATTTTCAAGGATATTACGGAAGAGACTACTTCTTACACCTTCAAATCCCCAACTGGTTTGTTATCCGCTACTCAATTTACACAACCTGCTTTGACTCTTATGGAAAAGGCTTCTTTCGAAGACTTGAAGGCTAAGGGTTTGATTCCGGCAGATGCAGCCTTTGCTGGTCACTCTTTGGGCGAATACGCTGCTCTAGCTTCGCTGGCCGATGTCATGTCAATTGAGTCTCTCGTTGAAGTTGTCTTCTACAGAGGTATGACCATGCAGGTGGCTGTTCCAAGAGATGACTTAGGTAGATCCAACTACGGTATGGTTGCTGTAAACCCAGGTCGTGTGTCACCAACTTTCAACCAGGATGCTTTGAAGTTTGTGGTCAACTGTGTAGACAAGAGAACAGGGTGGCTCGTCGAAATTGTAAATTACAACGTGGAAAACCAACAATATGTTGCAGCCGGTGACTTGAGAGCATTGGATACTTTGACGAACGTGCTCAACTTTGTTAAGGTTCAAAAGATTGATATTGTCAAGCTACAGGCCACTATGTCTTTGGAAGAGGTAGAAAGCCACTTGAACGAGATAATCGACGAGGTTGCCAAGAAATCTTTGGCCAAGCCTCAACCTATCGACCTGGAGAGAGGTTTTGCTTGTATTCCATTGAAGGGTATCTCTGTTCCATTCCATTCGTCCTACCTCAGAAATGGTGTGAAGCCTTTCAAGAACTTCTTGAAGAAGAACATCGTCAAAGAAAATGTGAATGCTGACAGACTAATTGGAAAGTATATTCCTAACTTGACTGCCAAGCCTTTCGAGATCACTCGTGAGTACTTCCAAGATGTTTACAACTTGACTGGCTCCGAGAAAGTCAAGGAAGTTTTGGACAACTGGGAAAAGTACCAAAACTGAATATTTCACGAATGACACATGCAGCAACCCTTCACGGTTTGCCTCGCAATTAAAGATAGATTTGCGGCTGATAGACAACAGCGGGTTGGATACAATAGACATACGCAACGTCAATTGATCATTAGTTTGCGCTCTGCAACATGGCCGGTACTGGGAAATACCGTCCTCAAAAGAGTAGCGGATGGCTGAAATGAGATACCCACCGCACCACCCTGAGCAGGATTGGGAAACCTGATCAGAGATTTGCTGCGGAATTTCGCTTTAGTCGTACGAGAGATCACATCTAATGGGGCCTACGACAAGAACCACCGAGCGCTTCTATTTAAGTGTATAATATACAACATATTATTAGTATAATAATTTCAATCTGATTATAAAGACCCCTCCTCGCTGGGGAGTAGTGGGCAATAGCTTTAGACTATCAGCTGGAGTGCTAGGTCTGAGAAAGAATTTATCCATGGCTGGTCCATTAAAGATCTGCCGCCAGAAAAGTCGGTGATTACCTGCACTTCTTGAAAATATGTCTCTATCTTATCGTAATCAATTTCGCTTTCCTGTGGTTGATGCTTTTGCTTGCGGCGAGCCTTTCTGGATACAAAAGGCTTGAAACCCGAGTCAGGGTGGGGATCGGAGGAGGCTAGTACATGGTTTAGTTTAGCCAAGACCGGGTATTTTAGAGCAAGTTGAGCGCGGGTATATCTGTCGACATGCTTAGCAATATGATTTGCCAAGAAGAACTTTGGCTTTTCCGAAATTAAGATGTTCTGTGTAAGGTCCAGTGGGGCATGCGGCAGAAAGAATAAAACGTTGGAGCTATTCTCGGGATCCCACGGACATTTTTCGTCGATTGTCCAATCACTCCCCATATTGCCGATGAATTTCCTATCGGCATCGGTGAAAACTGGGTCATATATAGATACTTTAAAGCTAGCCCCTCCAGGATTGATGAGATCAAGCAGTTCCAAAAGCAACGCCAACTGATATAAAGCTGCAAACTCCTCATGAAAACTTCCAATCGCGAGACATCTTATCTTAGTAATATCTTTCAGAAATGGATCCAGCTCTTCGGATAGTGCTTTGAACATTCGAGATCTGTGAATAATGGCCCTTCGCTCTTGCAGATTTTCTTCGAAACTAGCTTTGCCCAACCTAGCGCTAGTCTTTCCAACAGTCTTAAAATCATCATTGCTGTCCTTCTGGCTGGCTCTGGTGGTCATTTGGCCGAGTGTCGCGAGCAGCTTGGTGTTGCAGGTACATAGGAAGCCATCACTTACTTATAAGCGCTGAAATCTGCATCTCACGTGGACAAGACACAGGAATGAATTACATGAAGATGCCACTGCAAACGCTGACTTTGAATCAACCAGTGTCATTCTTATAATCTTGGTTGTCGAGAAGCTTCGAAGTCTCACTTCTTCAAAGCATTGTGTGGATGGTTTTGGAGTTACAGCGCAGAGCAAATAAGCTTACCCTCCAAACTAAGTCCGTATCCAATATGACACTCAAGCTCAAGACATTTGAAATGGTTGAAATCTCAAATGGCTTTGATGATCGAAAAAGCTTGGAGGTTTCAACTAAATGAAGTCGCCGTGTGAAGGTTGGTGTGACATAATAGTATAAAGTGACACATTTGAGGTAAAGCACAAGAGCTGTCATAAAAGAGAAAATACGGGCATTTCATACCTTATCCATTTGGAAGGCCGTGCAAAAGGTTCTTTATCTGCCGTGGATGTGTTCCACAAGTGCTTGTTCACTGTTCAAGATGGTAGAATGCTGAAAACCCTCGCTTGATGGAGTTTCGGAACGCTCTCTGGGTGATATAAACTCCTAATCAGTCAACCTCACTATTAGATACCACTGAACTGCTCGAAAAGCCTTCACAACTGAGGAATACAGGACAATGAACCTTCAGCCACTCAAACATCACTAGATACGAATATAGACATTATAAAACCAATAAATGACTAGCCAACTCGGGCAGAATGCTCAACCCAGGTAACCACCAATTGTGCAGGTGGCCATGACATTGACCAATGGCGACTTAATTCCATGCAAAATGCTCCGAAATGATACAGTAGGTGTATGTGTTCAGAATTCATTACAGTTGGTGTCCCGTGAGTACAGTCATCCAGCGTCGACAGCTTAACCGCCGAGGTTCTTAGTACGCTCAACCGACAGAACTGGGATCTAAAAAATTGTTGTTGACAGCTTTGCGTAAGGCTAGTCAATTGGAAAGGTATTCGCCTGCAATGGGTTCAAGAAAGATTTGCGGAACTGCGTCGTCGCAAGCCGTCGCAAGCCACCATCCCTGAGGTGAGAAAGTAGGTCGGAACCTCGGTGTCTGCCAAGTAGTCACCAAGCTATTGAGCCAAAATGGGAGGTAATAAACTGGATTTGAAATTGCTTGGACCCAGTTAATTACCTCCCATTTTGAGGGCAAGTGCGCTAGCTACATAACCCATGCCACTCATCCAAGTCACTGAAGACCGTGAATTACAAGCTGGGAAGTCAGAAGTCCGTGCCCAGTCTACTGATTACCTTACAAGAGCTGTCAAACCTTCCCCAGATCCAAGTGTGCAAATCCCTACATTTACACTACCCACTACCGACTCTTCCGCTTCCCCAAAAGATAGAGCAGTTTTAACGAAATTGGCACTTGTGGATTAACACCCGTATCCTACAAGGTAGACCATAGCGTTGAGTTTAGCTAAGTTCACTATCCGACGTGCACATCCTCCAGGATTGTAACTCGCTCGCAACAAATGTGTTTTAAGCCTAAACCTCCACCCACCTTCGTGCTCAGACTTCCTAAAAAAAGGGCAATGTTGACCTGTCCGAACGAATCCGATAACATTAGCTCGAGGTCACATTAAGTCCAACGGTTTGGGCATGCCATCCCGCGAATCGTGGGCCGTCACGCTGATCACCATTTTTCTTTTTAGCATTTTTTTTTCCAACGGGCAGAGACAGTCTGGTTCAAATTTTTTTTTTCGTCTGGAAAATCTAATGGTTTAAAACTAACTCATCGGTTATTGCCTTTGCCTCCTTTCGCTTTTAACAACTATTGGCTTGGCCATTTATTGTCACTTTTAATGTCCCTAATCTTTGGAAGATAGGATTCATTCAAATACCGACAACTAGAACTCAAATCGCCAGTTTCCGGGCACCTTCGCAGTTTTTTTTCTCACTTTGCTCTTTTAGGATTTCTTCTATCGTTTTTGGAGGAACTGCTCACTCATTCATTGTACCCCCCACAGTTCACGTAGTAGTCAAGACCTTCAAGGACTACATCGATAGCTATCTTCACAGAGTTGGAAATTGAATTATTTCGAGCTCCAAACCCACATTGTGCCCTTCGGAATCACCTAGAGAGTTTTGCACTCCTCAGAACAGTGATATGCGTAAGTGCAAGGTTTTCGTCGGAAATTCTCACCCGGAACTCGGGAACTTGGTATGCGAGAGGCTAGGTATTCAACCGGCTCCTTGTACGCTAAAAAAGTTCGCCAATGGCGAGACTTCAGTGCAGATTGGAGTCTCGGTACGTGACGAGGACGTTTATGTTATTCAGTCTGGTTCTCCTGCCATTAATGACCACATCATGGAACTGTTGATTCTAGTTTCTGCATGCAGAGGTGGATCTGCAAAGAAGATTACTGCGGTGATCCCACAATTCCCCTACTCGAAACAATGCAAAATGAAAAAGCACAGAGGGGCTATCACTGCCCGCATGCTTGCGAATTTGCTGATCATGGCTGGCGCGGACCACGTTGTTTCCATGGATTTACATGCTTCTCAGATGCAAGGTTTTTTTAGCAAACCTGTAGATAACTTGTATGGTGGTCCAAGTTTGGCAAGATGGATAAGAGAAAACGTGGAGGATTTTCCTGATGCCGTTGTTGTCTCAAAAAACCCCGGCGGTACCAAGAGAGTTACTGCTCTAGCAGATTCACTAAAAATAAATTTCGCCATGATTCACACCGATCGCCGCCGTTCCAAGGATTTATATGCTCAGAATAAAAACAAGCAGCAATTAATGCAAAGAAAACAATCCATGCTAAGGAAAAATAGACCAATAGTCAGACCTGGAGAAGCGCCCGATGAAGAAGAAAATATCATCTTGACCAACGGGATTCAAACGGCCAGGATCGTCGGGGGGCATGTTGTCGATGACGATGACTACGTGGATGAGGAGTCTATCACGGACTCTGATAATGACTCAGAGGCTCTGTCCTCAATAAGTGATTCCTACGCACTTGGTGGATCTTACGATGCAGTGGACTCGGAAGATGAGGAGGGACCGGAGTTTGTTGACCAAGAGAAGCTGATCACACTAGTCGGTAACGTTAACGGTCGCTCTGCAATTATTTTGGACGACATGATTGATAGACCGGGTTCATTTATCAGCGCAGCCGAGCACCTTGTTAAAAACTGTGGTGCCAAGAAGGTTTACATCATTGCTACTCACGGTGTCTTCACTGGTGACTGCTTAGAACAACTTGAACAGTCCAGTTCTATACACCAAATTGTCGTTACCAACACTTACCCAATTTCTCAAACAAAAAGACAAAGTTCTAAGAAATTAGTTGTGATCGACGTATCATCAATTTTTGCTGAGTGCATTCGTCGTGATCATTACGGTGAGAGTATATCAGTTCTTTTCGATTCCTTGGCTTCTCTGTGATCAAACTCAGGGGATGCGGTTTCGCTGTACTTTATATTGGAAATTAACATCAAGAATTTATCTCTGAAGTTGACTTCTTGGATCGTAAAGTAATCTTGTAAGAGGATATTTTTAACCCAGTGTTGCAATCAACGGATTGCAGTACATGCCCCCAATTTTGATCCTAGGGACATTGTACTAACGGAGCATTGGAAGAGGAAAATTGGTAGTTAACGTCTCAACTGCAAGTGGTATTCGCTGGCATGCTAGAAAATGATGAGAACTTGTCATGACGACAAACTCTGAATCTCATTGTTTTCTGGAGATCAAAAACTAGAACATTTTAAAAGTCACCAACTGTCTTGCATGTAGGCCCTACACCTATTCCCATAGCGTAGCATAAATGTAGAAGTGGTAGAACTGCGGCACACAGATTTTGGAGGTTTACTAAGCTCATCCAATGTTTACTAAATATGAACGGCCGCTAATCTAAAACAAAGTGAAAATTAACTACATGCAACACTTCCTATCGTTTTCTTCCTTGTCGTGGGCGACAATGTTACCGCTACTATTGCTGCCACCACAAGTCGTTAGTGGTTCGAAGTTGAACAATAGTCTGCCAAATAAAGCACCCAACAGGCAGCTGATGATAATATAACCGTTGTAATACATGAAGAGCAGCATGATAATGTAAGACAATCCCCATTGGATTGTAAAGATGAGAGCGCGCAGAACATGATCCAACATTGTGGGATATATATTCAGGGGAGTTGAACAGCATCGTGTCATGGACTCAACCTCTGCTGACCCATCAGTGAGGTTGTGGGATACATACCACGTATGAGACAAAGTGCTCCCCAGCGCTCTCAAAGTGGTTCTCCAGTCCGGCTCAGATACTAACGTCTGAAGTTCCTGGAGCGCTGAGTCAGGCAAAGATGACACAGAGCCTTCATCGCCGATATTTAGCGTCCCCATGTGTTTTACCAACGTTTTGAATTTCCGTCTCTTGGCCAATTCCAGGTCAAATTGTCGAGACACACGGTTTAGCCACTGAGCGGCTACTACCAAAAGGAAACAGCCAATGCAGGAGCCCGCAAATTTACCTCTCGTATCGTTCATCCATGATTTTGAGATAAAGCACGTATCAATGGTGTACCAATTCCACAACATAGATATTTTACAGGTTTTTGCGCTACCGCCACTGCTATTCCCCATGCCCATGGACATCCTGACCGCTGGCTCAATGATAGCGCTGGATGACATAGCCTCTTTCACAAACTTGTGACTGTATACTTTGAAGTTCTCTGATTCAAACCCGAGGATATGAACCTGGTTTGAAGCGTCAAGGATCCATCATATGGCAGCTTTCAAGACCTTTTATAGTTCAACCGGCCACAGTTCGAAATCTGCTCGTATTAGATCTACTTTGTATCTCCAGTTGAACAAACGTGCTATATCATCGTCGCCAATTATGCTCAAAATGCTCAAAATGCTCAGGAAGGTTGTACGCGAGCACGTTATAAGGAAAAATCCTCGAATGACATTCACACAGTGGTGGTAATCTAAGAACATATTGAAAGATGTGTTCACTTTCTCTTCAAAAAAACAGGCTATTGACTTACACACTATTGTATATAAGCCGTAGGAGGCCTGTTCGATAACAACAGCAATGCTAACGAGGAACAAGCTAATCACTTCTGGTGAATTTCTGACGAGCTGTTGAGGGACGACGACGACGGAGTTCTATGAAATGTCAAGTTAGGGCTTGTGATGTTGACCGGCGTGAACTGTCGTGGAAGGATCACTCTGCTGAATTTGTTGCGCAATTTTTGAGAAACATAGTCTATGTCCAAGTGTTTCGTGAGAGAAAGCTTAGGAATACAACTGATGTAATGCTTCTCATCAAGCTGGACCTCCAAGGGGTCCTGGGTGTGGCAACCGGGTGACATTTTAAGTCTGATGGCGTGAGACTTATGACCTGAACTATCACTGCTTTCATAAAGTTCGAAGTTGATCTGAGACAGATAGTCTAGTTCTGGAAGGGCATTGCGCGCAATTCTCATTGGTAGCCCACTCTCGTAGATGATATTAAGCAGTGTATAGATGTGAGATTCCTTGGTGAAGTATGCCACACACGCAGGCTCATCCCTGTTCTTCATATCGTCAATGTCATTGAGGATCTGTTTAGCAAGAGGAAGCGAGGTCAACAGGCCAATGTCAAGCTTTTCGCCATCCTCGATCCCGTACTCTTGGGGACATATAAAGTCAAACAAGACTTTTGACAATTTGTAGAGTTCACGCAGTTGCATAAATTTTGGATCATCAAAATGTGATGGAGACTGCGGGGGTTTTGAATTGCTGTCAAGAACCCAGCCTAACGACCCCACACTGCTTCCTTTACTTGAACCACTAGCGTTTGGCGACTGAGAATCCGGTATTTTGAAGTTGTTCATCGCAAGGATGTTAATCGGATACCGGTCAACTAGAGAGTCCTTGCATAGATCGACGGTAGCTTTGGCCGTTGTACCACTAGATGCAAAAATTTGCTCCAAAAATTGGCGATTATGCAAAGCATCATACTTCATCGTATCATATAGTTCAGAAATTTTGGCAGGATCCACCTTCTCGACGCTGACAAATTCTTTGAACAGTTTATCCCACCGTTCTTTGAACAGCATTGGATCCTCAGCACAGCACCATCTGCGTTGCATTTCCTCCACGTCTTTAGTCTCGAAATTGTAGTCCATGACATGTTTGTGGTAGTTCATCAGCTCAACAACACGCTTGATCACCAAGTAAGGTTCGGGCATCTTGGCAGGCCACGCAAATTGCGGTGGTGCCTCTTTACCTTCTCTTAAAAGTGGTTTCAATTGTTTCTTCACCTTGTCCATGTTATCTTTGGCAGCGTTACTGTCGTCTAACAAATCCTTTCGAATCCTAATCTCGTCGCTCCCTAATTCGTCTGCGCCAAAGAGAGCCATAGCCCATAGTTGTGCTGAGGCCAGGACTCTTCGCTCAGAGGAAGAGAATATTTTGATGTTAGACAAAATGTTTTTGTTCAGCAAGTCAAAATCTTGTCTCATTTGCTCACCAAGCTCAGTAGCTTGATAACGAGCTGAATGTGTTGGTTCACCTCCCCACTTCAAAATAAACTGAACTTTTTCGACTTCTTTCTCACTATTCAGGACGGGTTTCAATTGAATTTTAGTACCTGGAAGTTCCATCTTTTTCTCAAGAGCGTTTGCCAGGACTTTCAGCTTCTGTGGGTCCTCTGTGTTTTCCTCCTGAGCTATCATCAAAGCCTGCAAAACTATTTCCAGATCAGAAGCGTTCCTAATAACAACCTCCTCTTTATGTCCCTTGAGTAGGGAGATAAAAATAGGTGACCGGAACGAATGCTTCACCTTTTGCTTTGGCGTACGATCTGCATGCCGAATGACAGTTACAAGACCCTTGAAAACCCACTTTTGGGTTTTCTCCTCTTTAATTACGGGCAAATTGCGTTTCTCGAGATCCATTCTCTTTTTGGCCTGCAGGAAAGTCTCTCTCAGAATCTTAGCACACGCATCGTAGTAAGCAGAGTTATCTTTGACAAATGAAAACCCGTTCACGTCAATGACATAGCTCTTTCCATTCACACGTAATAGGTCAAATCCGCAGATCATTTGCGAGAAGGCCTTGGTGACTCTTTTCGCTATTTCCTTTTCTTCTGGACTCAATTCAGTGATGTACCTAATTTCCTTCCCATGGGTATTTCTACGCACGATGCCATCAACCACTGGTGACTTCCTTGTTTCAGCATGACAGAAACCTTCGCCGACAGTATAAGCCTTCACATCCTCGAAATTGTCAGTATCCATAAACTCCTCGTATATATAAGACCCGTCAGTACGTGGCGACGTCAATGTAGGATCAAATTCTGAACTTTTGTTTCCTACTTTACGGAACAGGCGTCTCCCACCACCACCGTTCTTCGAATGGTAGTAGATATAGATGTTGTGGTCTTCACCGTCGACAGGCTTCTCCACATATGGCTTCGTCATCTTCACACCTTTGACCTCCAGCGTGTCAGCACCTACCATTCTCCATTCTGGTTCCTTACATGGCTTGATGTCGACGCCCCGTTCTAGAAATTTGGCTCGCAATGAGGCATCAACGCGAGGACCTCCATCCCTGCTGATTTCCAGTCTAGGAGGGGTGGGAACCCCTGAGACATCCAGTAGCTTCAAGCATAGTCTTCTATCCCACAGGGCCTTTTGCATAACCAAATCGTTGATGAAAAAGGGCTTGCGAAGTTCAACGTAGTCAATGGCTTTGTTGAGTGGGAACCCCGAGGAGAAGAAACTGATGAGAAAGTCGCAAGTGGGCCAGCTCTCCTTATTTTCATCGAGAATCACCTTATCGCCAAAGATGATGGTTTCGAACTCACCGTTTTCAATCAACCGGTTCAAGATGTGTCTGCATGGTTTAGATAGCACCTTTGCATCCATTGCGCACATACCAATCTTCCCTATCTTGGGCAGCTGAGGTTTTCCCAGGTTCGCAGAAGGTTTCCGAGATGAGCCCGCAGAGCTGGTGGTCGAACTGTTGGCAGTCTCTGCGATCCCATCGATAGCCGACGAGTCGTTCACTTGGGCCTGATCAGCTGTGGCTTGCGGGGAAACCGATTGCGAACTGCCATGAGCCGATGTATTTGGGTTCAAGTTCGAGTTGCTTTTAAACCTCTGCAGCATGATTCCTGCATGAACGTTGTCACAAGAGTTCGTGGGAGATAACCCCGGTCTTGACGAAGCCGACGAATGCTGGGAGCTAATGCTAACGCTGCGGTTCAGGGGCATATCGCCTCCTATATCGTCCTCAACCTGCGAATCATGGGGGCTACTTGGAGGCGGCAACTTCAACGATGTATTTTCGCTGGCTGACGTCTTAGGACTAAATCCTTCCAGAATGGGTGCGATTGACTCCATGGCTTTCTTTGTCTTGTTGTTGAGCAGCAATGGGGAAACAGGTCCCTGAGCACCATCCTTGCCACTGTTTTCGCCCATCCTTATGAGTGATGGCTTTCGTTGTAAGTTTAGTTCGAAAGAAGAACTATTATCTTAAATCTCATCCCAATTTTATAATATAAGATATTCCTTGAAATCTAACAACGTGGGCACAGAGGGCAACAAAGATCAGATGCGGACCCATCATCTCGACGAGATGGCTGTGTAGCTAGTCAAGATACAGAATCAGAAGATAGGTTTCCAAATTGCAGGTCACCTCTGCCGCGCGAAATGTACATGGCATATGTCCATTCAGACAGTCAGACAACACTTCAGCTATATCCATGCTTCGAAGATTGCTTTATTGGGTCGTCTTCCAAAGCGTAGATCAAAGGAGAACAGCCGGCTATTGTGGCCTAACCCTTGTTGTAGTTGGAAGTACAAATGTACATTCTTGCAGATTTGTGCGCCCGTATTCCGCAAAGTGAGCCATTGATACGATGAGACTTATTTCAGCCATCAAGCCGAGCACCCTCATTCACTGGGGTGTTCGTATATTCAGCGATAAAGAGTTCCATAAGCCGTTAGATTACTCCTCCAGACCTCTCGCCGCTGTTTCCTATTATTTTGGAAAACGTTCTGGTGCCAACAAGCACACATCCCAGTGGCCGCCCAGCAACAAACCAGCACCCCACTCTAGACCACCCTATCACTAATCGTTTCGGGAGATCCCTCAGAATTACACCTAAAACTAATACTACAAAACGCAGACTTTTCTATCGCTGATCATTTGCAAGCGTGAAGAAAAGCATAAATATCACTGATACCGCGTTCATATATATTCAATTGCGTCAGTATCCACTGGAAGCTCCCATTCGATACTCTTTGGTGCTTGATCAAATACCCGCCGAGAATCGTAGGTGTGATGTTTTTATTAAGACGTTCTATCCAATTTTTTTGAGTATATTACATTGCTGACGTATAAAGAGATATATGAGCTAGCTGGCTTCCTCATCAAAAATATTCACACATCATCGATGAGCAGTAGACATTGGTCTCATCTTCATTACTATTGACCGTAGTTCAGAGAGCGAGTCATGACGATGAGCGAGGCTTACAAAAAGCGCAAACTTGTTCCAGACGGTGTCAGTGCCAGTAAAAGTTCTCGATCAAAGGTGCTGTCACCTTTTAGAATCGTTGGTAACGTTTCAAACGGAGTTCCCTTCGCAGTGGGTTCACTGGGAAACACTTTCTATATTGTGACCAGCGTTGGCAGAAGCTTCCAAATTTATGACGCCAATAATCTGCACCTTTTGTTTGTGAGCGACCAGGAAACCGGCTCTTCTATCACCTGTTTGGCAGCGCACTTCCAGTACGTCTTTGCTGGATTTGGCAACAAAGTGGGGGTTTTCAGAAGGGGCCGCATGGAAAGTGTACTGGATCTCCCGGTCGAAGACGCTGTGGTTGCTAACATATGTGTTTTTGGAGAGTTTTTGTGCGCGTCGTGCAGCGACAACTCCATCTATGTCTTCAAGCAAGCTGCTGGCGAGAAATATGCGACGGCCTTTTACTGCAAACTTTCAGTTTCAAAGCTTCAGGGCTCAGAAATTATCTCGGTGGTACACTTGCCCACATACCTGAACAAAATTGTGGTGGTCACGAAGTCAAATGTACTACTCTTCAATGTCAAATCTGGGAAGCTTCTTTTCACCTCAGATGAGTTTTCTGATGCAATCACTGCTGCCGAATGTGCACCGGCCCTCGATATTCTCGGACTGGGCTTTGCCTCAGGCGAGATCGTCTTGTATAACATCAAAAAGGGCCGCAAAGTGCGCACGATCAAGACACCAGTTAAGGTTTCGTCGCTTTCTTTCAGAACTGACGGCTCTGCTCACTTGGCTGTTGGGTCGTTTAATGGCGATGTGATCTTTTACGACTTGGACCGCCGCGCCCGCATCCATGTCCTCAGGAACGTCCATCGGGAGGCCTTTGGAGGTGTTGCAAAAATCAGCTTCCTCAACGGTCAGCCTATCGTAGTCACCTCAGGTGATGATAACCAATTGAAAGAGTACGTCTTTGATCCCTCTTTATCTCAAGATAGTGCCGAAGTCGTCGTGCAACCTCCCAGGTTTTTGAGATCCAGAGGCGGTCACTCCCAGCCACCAACTTCAATCCTTTTTGCCGATGATCAATCACACTTTTTGTTGTCTGCTTCCAGTGATAAATCCCTGTGGGGCTTTTCCCTTAGAAAAGATGCCCAATCCCAGGAGTTGTCACAACGGTTACATAAGAAAAAAGATGGAGGCAGAATTGCTGGTAACAATCTCAAGGAAAAGTTTCCAGAGATCGTATGCATGGCAATCGAGAGCGCTCGGCAAAGGGAATGGGAGAATATTTTGACCGCGCATAAAGATGAAAACTTTGCAAGAACCTGGAGTTTGGCAACGAAAAGAGTGGGCAGGTGGACCTTAGAGACCATTGACGGTGGTTTAGCTAAGAGCGTTGCTATATCACCTTGTGGTAATTTTGGTTTCGTTGGTTCTTCCATAGGCGGAATTGGAGTTTACAACCTTCAAAGTGGACTACCTCGAAAGAAATATAGGCTGCATAAGAAAACAGTTACCGGTATTGCTGTTGATGGTATGAACAGAAAGATGGTTTCATGTGGGCTCGATGGGATCGTGGGATTTTACGATTTTAGCCAATCCTCGTTTCTGGGCAAATTACAACTTGATGCCCCCATCACATCCATGGTTTATCATAGATCCTCCGATCTCTTTGCACTTGCTTTGGATGATTTTTCGATTGTTATCGTAGATGCAGTCACTCAGAAAGTTGTTAGACAGTTGTGGGGCCATACCAATAGGATTACATCTTTTGACTTTTCCCCTGACGGCCGGTGGGTTGTTTCGGCCTCTTTAGATGCAGTCATCAGAACGTGGGATTTACCAACTGGCTCCTGTATTGACGGTGTGAGGTTGGATAGCGTTGCAACTAATATCAAGTTTTCACCTAATGGTGATTACGTCGCCACGTCTCATGTAACCGGAAATGGTATCCTGGTATGGACTAACCGCGCACAGTTCAAGCCACTTCCATCTCGTCAAGTAGACGAAAGCGATTTTGCTCAGGTTTCTGTGTTGACATCATTTGGAAATGCGGCTTCATCCATGCTCGAGGGTGCCTTTGAGACTAAAGATTCGACTGACTATAGCGATGAAGAATTTGGGCATTATGAGTCAGTAGATCAAGTTAATTCTGAACTAGTGACACTTTCCTTAGGACCGAGAAGTAAACTAAAAACTCTCTTGAACCTTGATGTGATAAGACAACGATCCAAGCCCACTGAAGCCCCAAAGAAGCCTGAAAAAGCACCCTTTTTCTTGCAGCTTTCAGGTCAAAATGTTGGTGACGACGCTATAGTCAGAGAGGGCGCAGATACCTCAAACACAGGAAATATTAAAGCGCAGCAAGAACTGGAAAAAAGATCCTTGGAAGCCGAAGAACAACTTCGTAAACACAAGCCAAGTGCTGCCACCTTTGAATCTAGATTTACTAGACTATTACGCGAAGGTAACTTGAGTTCAGATTACTCGGCCTTTTTGGACCAGCTTGTGGGCCTTTCTCCAGCTTCAGTCGACATGGAAATTAGGTCTCTTAATGGATTTGAGCCATTTGACGAGCTGGTGTGGTTTTTGGAAGCGTTGGTCGAGGGATTTCTCTCAAACAAAAACTTTGAGTTGTATGAAGCTTATATGAGCCTGTTGTTCAAAGCCCACGGCGACGTAATTCATGCCAACGCCGATCATAAGGCGTTAGGCGCAGCACTCAAAGCTTGGGGGGATGCTCATAATCACGATAAAAGATTGGATGAAATTGTTAAATTTTGTTCAAGCGTAGCCAATTTTGTATCATCAACTTGAATAATGTTTCCCTCAAGCGCTATGCATGTTATTTAAATAGATCTGTAAACCTGAATTCTTTTTTATCTAACTTCATTGATCAGTTCTAGACAATTTCTCTTCGATAACTTGCCTGCAGCTATAGTGAGTTAGAACCTTTCCATCGGGTGTAGAATACCATAAAATCATTTCTCCTCGGCTGCTGTTGAGGACCTTGTGACACACAAAGCATTTTTGTTCATCCGCGATAACACAGTAATTGCCTAACTCTTGGTTTAGTAGAAATGTTTTATTGACTAGCTCTACCTGTAGAAGATTTTTCTTCATTCTTACCTGATTTTTCCTAAGCGATGAGCCCTCGATCCCTTTTCCCAGTATCTGTTGAAGATCCTTCAAAGGTATGGTTGGCGGTAATTTCTTCAAAGCTTCCGCACTTTCCAACCTGGAACCAAACTCTTCAAGAAAACGAAGAATTACTCTCGTGTCTCTGTTCTTCTCAGACTTTTTTATGATCATTTCAAACCAAGTATTGAAGAGCATCAGGCCTGTCTTTGAACTATCTTGGTAAACTTGAGTACAGTACAGTGCGCAATAGTTATAGCTTGCAAGTTCTTCGAATAAAATGTGGAGAGACTCTTCGTGCTCATTCAAGATCTTCAAAGGATAGGTTTTAAGCCGCTTCAGAGTGAGAGAAGTATCGAGGCTTATTCCATTAAGTTCAGAGGCGCTATCCAGAAGCCTCGCCAAGCTGCGAGGCTCATAACAAGTTGTTGATTTGACTATGGCCTCTAACTTCCGAACTGTTTGGTTGTTTTGAATATCCTCAAGATATCGCCCAATTAATTTCATATAAACAAGTTTATTGGTGGTACCCAAGTCGTCGATGACAAATTCCAAGTATTTTATCGATAGTTCATGATCAAATTGGTCGATGTAATTGTAAACTTCAACGAAATCAAGTGCGGCACAATTTAAATTGTGATTAATGAAAATGCTATTGAGAATGATGATTGTGTCCTCGGGAAATCTCTCGACTAGCCAGTTGGTGTACTTGAACAAAATATCCGATGCGGAGTGTGGAAGTTTCTTCAGGTAATCAACCACGAGTTTCTTTATGCTATTTGAGACGTCCTTAGTGTCAACTGACGTGATATTTCCCTCTAATTCAGTAAGAACCCTCAATGCAGATTCGTGCTTGTTTTTCATGTAATAATAATCCACTAACTCCTGAATTTTCATTCGGCTTCCCAGCTCTTCCACGACTGTTTCAAAATCACAATAATTTGGTACTCTTGTAAAAGGACCTACCATTGCAGGGTTATACTCAAGGTAAATTTTGAATATAGAGGTGTCGACCAAATCAAGGAGATAATGTATGTTGTGCTCTTGGTGTTGGTTGAGAAGAAAGAATTGGATATCGAATGAAATGCCTAGGCTCTCGTAGTTCCACTGCACAGTCCCGTATTTGGCTAGGTTATAAAGAATGCGTCTCGTGTCTGTAAGATACGGTAGACACCATTTATTCATAATAGTAGCAGGAATGTTATTCGTGTTACGGTCGGTATGCATCTTCATGGTGGTTTCAAAGCTCCCATCTAATGTTTTCGTCAAGAAACTGGGAAGACAATGACCAATGACAAGCTCAGGTGGAGCCATGAATTTGATGAAATTTTCGAAAACACTCTTCACAATAAATTCTTGCAGTTTGAGTGCTCTATCCGAGACTTTGTGCATTTGTCGAGCGTCATTAATGTATCGTTGACAGCTTTCGAAGCTGTCGAGGCACCATAATACGACAAGGTCTCGGAGTTTTAGTGCACAGATTTCGAGATTTTGCTCAGGGTTAGCACATCTGTAGCTTTCGCACAAGTTCCATTGGGTGTTATTTGAGAGTATCGACTCATAAAACACGATCAACTGTAGGTACTGAACGGTGTCACGTTCCCCCAAGTGCGGAATATCCCCTCCATCAATTAGTTCATCTAGCTCATCATCGATGACAAGGTTATAAAACTGAAGCTTGTCGGTATTAGTCCAGATAACTAAAGAAGAACCTTGGCCCTTTATTACCTCCTTGATACCATCCGGGACCTTTAACTCCAAGTAATTAAAATTGTATTGGTAGTCCACAATCCGCAAGCCTTCTTTATTGTTGAGAAGCAGTAAGCGCGCAGACAGGTGCTGCATTTGGTCAAAGTCACCATTTGCATCAAAAAAGTGTCGATGGGGGCGAACCGAGACTTGGGGGGCTTCATGGCCGGATACTGCAATTGAGCGTAATGTTTGAGATGAACCATCGAGTATTACCGGAAAAGTACTATCTGTAGGTTGAAAAATGAGCTTTTCTTTGCGCAAAGCTCCGCGATTATTGCTTCCTTGAAAAAAGTGGCCCAGGCTTAGTTTTCGTGACAAGGCCGATTCGCTGGAAATTGAGGCTGTCTCAAGATCCCCTGTAAATTCCGCCTGATGGTTGCCCAGTTCCATCAGTGCTTCCCTGATATTGCGGGGCCATTTTGGAGCTGTCGTTCTTGACAGTCTAACTAACACCAGGTCTTTCAAACACCAAAAATAACTGTTCACGTTAGTGGCAATTAGAACCCCATTTTTATTCATATGAAGGGATATTATGCGCTCGTCTCGGCTGCTGAGATCCATCTCGGACACGTTCTTGAACGATCTATCATTCCACAGGAAAAGTTTTAGCTTTGAAGTCTTGCTCGGTTGAATTAAAAGCGCGGTTGTGGCCCCGTGTTTTTCTGAAGGTTCTTCGAAGACCCAAGCTTGTTTTATACCCCTCTTTTCCACTATTTTATCGAATTGGTTCAGATTCGAGCTATTCAGCAAAACTATGCTCTTCCCACAAATAGCAAACACCGTTGCCAATTGATGCGCATATAACATGTCTTGAATAATTGCGTCACCTCCATTATTCTTCATTAGGTGGTGGTAAGTCTGTGTTAGCCTGAGCGAGAGTCCTTCAAATGCATATACCAGGACATGTCCGTCTTTGTTAGAGACAAGAAGCTTGGAAGCTTCCGCTACCGCTAGTACTGATGTTATGTCATTACTTTGAGTAGTTGAAAGTAATCTAGCACTCAGCATCGGCGAACAGACTAACCTGAGCCGTCGGTGGTATCGTATGTGTGAAGTAAATATTCCATCAAGGCCGTTTCCAAACAAAACTTCCCGTGATTCATGACAGGTGCTCGCTGCAGACTTCAATGGTATCTACAATATATGATACAGGTTTATGTGACCAGACGACCTCAAAATCTGCAAGCTTTCTTCCGAATACTCGCCATTCGAGGGTTACGATATCTTTAGAAGTCGTTTTCGGCCCAGTTTTCTGTGCCTTAACTTCGTACATATCTCCTCTACAATCGTGCAAAAGTGTCGATGCCTGAGTAGCTCTCAGATCACAGTATTAGCATTCTGACAAGCAGAATAAGAGCCCTTAAAGATGTCTAAGGCTTCACTGGAGGCACAATTGGAAACCGAAATAGCTAAGATTATAAAAGCGCATTCAGATACTGCAGTTTCAGAAGCCCAAAAGGAAATTGAGTCTAACTACGCATACATTAATGACAAGCAATTAAAAAAGCTGATCGGCTTACATGATGATGTGTTACAGCATAAATGCGGTGTCCCCTTGCAGAAGTTATACGACAAATATAGTCAGTTCAATTTGCAACACGGAAATCTTCAGAATTGGGCTGAACTGATAGATCGTGATCTGCGAGTTCTTGAGGCAACAATAGAAAGGGTATGGGATAATCGTCGAGAGGATGGGTTTGACTGAGCGGCGAGCGCAATCAAATTTTAGGAATTTGGGTCGTGCTGAAATCCCCGTGTGTTCAATTTATTGTACATAATTTAGAAAGGGTTCATAAAGCGAATTATTATGTGAAGTACAGCTGTCATTTTCCAAAACGTCCAGAATCAAAGAAGAAGCTGCAGGCTTTTAGTCCGTCGTTTTAGCTGCTACTGGTCGTTACGTTGTTGCTCCAAGTTCAAAGATTTTCAGGCCAGCCCGCTAGCAGCTCTTTCCCATTTATTCGTTTCTACCCACCCGGCATTGATAACCTTTATGGCGTCTTGCAGGTTCAAAGCCCGTTTTAAAGGAAGTCCTTCCACCACAAGCTTCCTGTAAACACGTACATAGTGTCGGGGAGAAAGTTCGCTAAAGCACTCTCTAGCGTCCCTGGCAACACGATCGTGGTCGCCCTGCACAGGTTTGCACCAGAGGTCGCGCCGGCGACGCCATATTTGATCCGCCTGCACAAACGGTTCTCCCACCCTGGATCGCAGCTTGGCACATTCATGCACGGCATCGTATTTTGAAAAGCTCGCCACTTCACGGGAGCTGGGCCCACTGCTGCTGTCGGCACTAGAGTTACAATCTTCGTCCTCTTCTTCGTCATCAGTTAGCCGCATTTCCCGCGTCAGTGGTACAGAGGTACTACTATTCCGCTCCTCGCTTATGCGACTAAAACCTCGAACACCGCTGTCTTTCGCATCGCTGTCAAAAAGGCCTTCCAAATGACCCTCGTCTTCTTCAGAGTCACTTTCTAGGGCCTCCTTGGATATGCGATGGAGCCCAGTGCGACACTTATGCAGGAACTGACGGATGGAACTTTTTACAGATGTGGTAGCGGATGTGCTAGTAGATGCATTAGGACTGGACTTGCGTTGGTCCGATATCATTTGTCTTTTGCACCAACACTTACCTGAACAAATGTCCAGTGAGAGTTCGTAACACAGCCTATTTGTAACCAACAGACAGCATTCGTCTTGCAATTGAAGCGGAAAAGATTAGCCTCTTCCGATGGGTCTAGAAGTGTAAACTCAAAAATTTCGTTTATCGTGATGTTTTGAAACAGGTCCATATCAGGTGATTACCACTCAACGGTCTTCACCTGGTCCTGGGCGTCGACATCGCGCAGTGAGTGGTCTCTGGGTATGATCTCGACGGCATATATACCATAGCTCAAGCCGTCGTGAAGGGCGTCCCAGGAACGGGACCGAATGCCGTTCTGGTACGTAGAGCAATAGGCCTGGAGCGGCGGCAGGAGCAACAAGTCCACTTTCAGGTCATACGCAGCTGCACCAGGCGGAAAGCTGCCCACGACGTTGTCCGTGTTGCGTAGGTTGGCCGGCGTTCGCATGGGTTTTTGAGCAGGCGCCGGGGTGGTTTTTGTGGGGCCCAGCACACCGCAGTGAATCAATGCAAGTAGAGGGTCTGAGTCGTCCGTGTAGATGTGTGAGCCCCAAAGCTCATTGTTGGCGACGCGCGTGTTGGCCGAAGGGTCCTGCAAGGCGGCAGTGATGTTTTCGTAGCGCAGATCGACAGCCACAAGCGAATTGACGGCGGAAAGCCCAAAGGCAGGCAAAAACGGCCGGGGCAAGGCGAGCCCGGCCTCTAAAGCGCGCACTTCTCCGTCCAAACTTTGCCGCGGTTCCAGCCGAGCGGTCTTCCAGGGATCGTATGCCAGAGTCCCCAGTTGTGGGTGGCCACGCCCAAATTTTTGATCCACCACAGCCAGCACGGGTCTGGAGTCGATCTCTGTGCGTGGCAGAGTCGCGCCCGGCTTGAACTGGTCGTTTGCTGCGTCACTGCTGTTCTTCGCGTTGGTGGTCTTGCTTCTCTGCCCGTCTGATCTAGTTGCAGATGGCGTCTGGTTTTCGGCCCCCCTGCTGGTACCATTCTTGGACGAATTCAAAAGTGTCTGTTGTAGGTTGTAGATCTGGAATTGGGTTTGACGATACGCCTCATTGGGATCGTGAGCGGTGCTCATAACACAAACAGACCCACGGTGCACCCTCGGTGGTGTAAACAACGCCGCCCACGATGTGTGCTCTACCGCGACCTTATATATATAATGCTTTAAAGTTAGATATTGAGATCTGCGCTTCTCACAACGTATGTGGTGATTCAATGTGATCGAGTCCCTGATGCTGTGACTGGCCAAGTTCTCGATCTTGCAGAGCCTATTGGATATTATACTTCAGCGGCGATGCGCTCTTCCATGTCTCGAGTGTTCTTCTCCGGGTCTTTTCCCCTGGTGATCTTTGTTTGTCCTATAGCTCTCTGATCACAAACCCAGGACTCCGGTCACGAGACCAGGGACATTGACTTTTGTTGTGACTGCTACATCCGTACATCTGTTTTTAATTTTTTACACTTTTAAATTTTTTAGTGAGTGGGTGAAAATTATGAAGTTGAAATTAATCTGAATTTACCGAGAGACACGCACGCAACTACCAGAGGACGGGGAGGTGGGCTGAGTGTCAGTCCGCCTAGCAGGCGTCAGCTCTGCCTAGGGCAGTGTAGCTCTCGGCCCGGGATCCAGCGGTTCCTGTGTAGCTCGCTGCCTGGCTCGTGGTAGCTACCAGCCTAGCTCCTCGCCAACTCCCTCGAACACACCACTGGTACCTTGGCACGGAATGTGCAGGTGGTTCTCTGCCCAGTGGACCCAGTTGAATTTTGACAAAATTCATCAATCGCTTCGCAGGAGCACATAGTAGTATTCACAAGCAGAAGCATCTCCAGTAAACGAAAAATGGCCGGTTTGAAAGACGTTGTTACTCGTGAATACACCATCAACATGCACAAGAGGGTATGTGCTCAATAAGTGCGCCAGGCGCGCAATTCCCGGTACACTAAGTGGACTTATGTGGGTTTTTGGGAGGACAGATTTTGGACAGTGTGCTCTAATGAGGACCGCTGCAAGCTCGCGAGGGGTGGCGGCGTATGCTGTTTGAACAGCTGAGAAAGTGCCAGTGGCAGTTCAGCGACTGCGGACGAGAAATGGCGGAAATGCGAATCACCGCGAGGGTAATTGTTGTAGAGGCTCTTTTAGCAGTGGCTTCTGCGGTGGCCAATATCTGTTCTTTCCGTGAAACCCACAACCACTCAGCCGTGGTTTGTTCCCAAATACTAACTTTTCCTAATTACAGTTGCATGGTGTTTCCTTCAAGAAGAGAGCTCCAAGAGCCGTGAAGGAAATCAAGAAGTTCGCCAAGTTGCACATGGGTACCGAGGAGGTTCGTTTGGACCCAAGATTGAACCAAGAGATCTGGAAGAGAGGTGTCCAAGGTGTCCAATACAGACTAAGATTGAGAATCTCCAGAAAGAGAAACGAAGAGGAAAACGCCAAGTTCCCATTGTTCTCTTACGTCGAGCCAGTTGCCGTCGCCTCCGCCAAGGGTTTGCACACCGTTGTTGTTGAAGAAGATGAAGCTTAAGCTCTACAGCCCGCGTGCCCGGTAGACCAGATTTCCCCCATATCAGTGAGAATCCAACTGTAGTTTAAGTTTTATGTAACCTAAAAAACGTTTCAATAATAATATCAGAACGGTCATTCAGTAAGTCATTGTTCCTAATCCATCAACTCGATCTACACGCCCAAAGGGTGATTTATACAGAGCTTCAGTCGAATATGACAGCATCCGCCTGCGAGCTATCATTCCGCGATTGCACAACGCCGATTACCTTTATTACCCTATATCACCTATACCCGTTAAACATCACTAATCAAACAAACGGTTAGTAAATCTGAGGTCCGTTAAGCTGGGCCACACACACTTCTAAGATCTTTCCTTACAGCACAAACATTCTCAGTGTAACTATGACAAAAAAACACCAGCCACTCATTGCATTAAAAAACGCCCAATTCCCACAAGATTCGATTTAAGAGAAACAAGCGCCAAAACGGCACTTAAATCAAAACCAAATAGCGGAGACGCGAATAAACACGGGGTGGTCTTAAAAATGGTTCTTGCGGAAACATTCTGCTCTCAATAGGCTGGCAAAAATTGAAAACTATCATCATAAAATGCGTGACTCTCGGAAATTTGAAGGCGGATCTCCATCCGCAATCCGTGGGCCCAGAAGGCAATTTCTTTTGAAAACATACAATCATTTCATTGGTAAGAAATAAACCACTTTTTGGTTCCCTATGTCGTCTTTTGTGTGGGTCCAAGTGTCATACAAGTAGGAAAACACACTGAAATTTTTCAGATTTATTCAGTCCTGCCAATTGTAAATTGAAGTTACCCGGCGGCGCCAGATAACCGGCTCAAAATACCTGTGTCAAGCTGGGGCAAGGGCCTGAACCTGAGAAAAGGTCGACATTGATTGCCTCCCATATCGAACGCAATACAGCTGCATTATTCAGGTTTTGTTGGTTTATTATACTTTAGAGGCATGTTTGAAAGGAATATCAACTGCTTCAGAGAATCCGATTTCTCCAAACCTTTTTAGTACAAAATGGCTATCAAACCACTCTATGAGTTCTGTCGTGGTCCTAATGTTCATCAGCTCATTGTGGAGGCTTTTTTCCAATCCCATGCTTTCAAACATGCAGTGAAGATGGTGGAGTAACAGCTGGTGTGGTAAACCTCCGAATTCCATTGCGTAATGCCAGAATAATTCTAAAGCACCCCATGGGCACTTATCATAGCCACTGAACAAAGCTGGGTTGTCTAGCAGGCCCCTTACAGCCATGACACCATCGACACCGCAGTAATCCACAATTTTTTGTAAATCCCTCATCGAAAAGCAGTCTCCGTTTGCAATAACGGGTACATTACTTTTGGCTTTAATCTTGTCTGTGATGTACTTGATTGCATCTAGGTTCACGGGGACAGAAGACCGCGTAGTTCTAGTTCTGCCATGAATTGTGATCCAGTCGACGCCTGCATCACAGAGCTTATGACAAAGATCAACCGTCTGATCCCAATCATCGTGTATCCTAATCTTGGTTTCTAATCTTACTTTGTCTCCATATTTCTCCTTCACAGCGGATACCATTGAAGACAAAAGCTCTGGATTGTAAATGAGAGCCGAACCAATTCCTTCCCTTATTTGCTCCTTGATTGGGCACCCGCAGTTGATTCCGATCCCATCACAATAAGGACTTACCATTTCCACGAATCGTAGCAGATCTGTAACATTATTTACTCCTACTTGGACAATGAGAGGCGAATCACTTTCATTTGAGCTGAAGTCCGCTATCCTCGCGTGGCAGTTACGTACAAATTCGCGAGCCAGAATCATGGGTGTATAAACTATGTCAGCGTCATAGTGCCGGCACACTTGGCGAAATGGCAGTTTGGAGTATCGAACCATTGGGCCAGCAATGGTAACTGGCCTATTATGGGTTATTTGTCTTGTTTTTATAATGTGTAGCGGATCATTTATCTTAGTCAGGATCCGAGCCTGTGGGTACGTATTTGACATCGATATAGATCCGTCAACAAGTGTAGCTTCTTGTCAATCTAGTTTCGTTTAGTTGCAGGCGCCGAACTTGATCGTACTTTTGACAATTTTTCTTTATCATTTAATACAAGAACGTCACCAAATCCAACCAAACAATTTGACTAGAAATAGTTTCTTAATTGTTACAACTTGATGCTATGTATGTCGAATTCTAAATTACAAAATGTGCACGCATATTCAGCAACTCATGAACATCAATCTTAATGAATTGAAAATGTGGGTTTTCAAGCTACCTGTCTTTTGGAGGTGACTCACATATGAAGATCCAATAAATCTGGTGCACCGAATGGTGTCCTGCAAATCGGACATTTACGCATTCTAGCTGCTAGTCTTTCTTTACAGCATTGATCACAAAACACATGGCCACAATTCTTAATGGCAGTATTTTTCCAGTTTTTAGAGCATAGTGAACAATAAACGATGGTTCTGAAATTTTCCAGTTCCTCTGTGAGTACGGAACTATCGCTATTTCCGCTGGACGCCAAGAACTTATGCAATTTCGCGGCTTTGGCGTGCGCCTGTGAAAGCTGCAACTTCAAAGCCTTGGACTCAGTCTGGGATGAGTGATTTTGTGACTCTAAAGCAGCGATTTGTCCAATAAACTTGGCCTTCTCCTGTGACAAAAACTCATTGGCTCTTTTAGACTTACCTAACGCAGAAGTTAAGTCCATGAGTTTAGCAGATGTACTTTTGTTGGCATCAAGAAGTCTTTTCTCATTGTTTTCATGGAAATGAATCTGCTTGTTGAGACTTTCAACCTTGCTCTGCAGTGTGCGTTCTATGTCCTTCAACTGTGCAATCAGTTCGTTAGACTTACTGTAGTTCTTGGAGAGATTTTTATTTTCGATCAAAATGGAATCCTTAGACCTCATAGCAGCAAAATATTTTTGATCAGCCTTAGACTTCTCCACTGTTAACTTAGAGACGATATTCTCTTGAGTTAAATGTTCAGAGTACTTCTTATGCGCGAATTGGGATAATTCTCGGAAAGCACGTTCAAGATCTTGTAATTCTTTAGTTAGTGCATCCTTGGAAGGCTCTTCCAGTTTATTATCTAGCTTTATGACACGCTCCTTCTGTAAATCTATTACCTTTTGCAGATCGTCTAGAATTTCCGATTTGGATTTTTGACTCTCAAGTATCGCCAGTTTGCCACTCATTTCGTCTCTGGTGCTTCTTATTCTGACCAGATCTTTCTCTAGCATGTCATTGTGCTTTTTCAATGCTTCTTGCGCAGTTTGAAATTCATTAGTCAATTTATTAGTGAAGACCTCTTTCTCCTGCACCAGTTTTTGAAATTTGCTTAAAAACGCACTGTTGGTTTGAGTGAGCGCATTATTTTCCTCAGTGAGCATCTCAAGTCGACGCAGAAGTTCCTCCCGATCTGGCTCCCCATCTGCTGGGTGACCATGGCTGGGTCTCGGCACAGCAGCTAGTTCAGTTCGAAGCTTGGTGATCTCGTTCTCACGCTGTGTCTTCCAGTTCTCTAGCTCTTCAATAGTGGCCCTCAGGGTGTCGATCTGATCATTGAGTTCCTTTAGTTGCAATTCGTGCTCGAGAGTTGTAACCACATCTGTACGTTCGGACGCTTCTGATTTTACTTCATCGTTTGTCTTCGCGACGATTTGCACAGCTTGGGACTCGGGAGAGTCTTTGAAGCGCTTCGATTCGCTTTCGTGGTCCTCGTCCTTGATCTTAAAAATCCGCTTGATCGTTTCACTATCTTCGCGATCATAACTGTGAATAAGTGACTCGTAGTAGCTCCGAACCGCCTCCACTTCCCTCTGTAGCTGTTCATTATGTGTCGAGAGCGATTTCTTTGCAACTTCGGAAGCATGCAGGTGCGACGCTAAACTAGAGTCTGCGGAGTTCCGACCCACATATTTGTCTACCAGAACTGCCAATTCGTCCCCTACTGCCGATACGTCCGTTTCCACGCCCTCTGCAATGCTTTGGCACAGTTTGTAGGCAGCAGGGTCGTCCCGACATAAGTCAGATAACTTGGCGGCCACGACGGCCAGCGCCCCGCACACACGCGCAAATTGCTCTCGCAAAGACAACAGATCCTCATGTCCCTGAGCCAGCTGCTTCTCAAAACTCTCGGCGCGCGAGCGGTGCTTATTAAGTGCTCGAAATAGAGCTTCTTTCTGAAAAGCGATCACATCTTTGCGAGCAAGAGGCTCCGTTGGATCAGTCAAATTCCACGCTACTTTGGCTTTCTTGGTAGCGGGCTCCTCGGACATCACTAACCTAGCACACTGTCACCCTCAAACACTCGTATTTACTTATTCTGTCCACTTCTCCTTGCAGTGCGAATACCGAGTTTCTTTCCTCAGTTACTGATTTCCCAATTTTTTTCCCATCTCTACTTAAGTCCTCTCCGTGTGTGGTGATAATTATCTGGATCACCTATATCCATCTCCGAGAAGTTGAGTTCAGGGCAGGTAATTATAGCCACAAACAGCGGGCATTGGTTGAATCAGCCGATTGCCAGTTTGTGGGGTCTTCTTGCAGTGCGTTTGACCTTCCTAGATCTTTTTTTTTGGCTTCGAAATTAGGCCCTTTTTGTCCTGGCTCGGCTTGACCTTGATGCACCAACGATGTATATCGCCCTACAAGCCCGGTGAATGACCCCTATCGGATCAAAATTGGAGCTTGGGCCCCAAGATCATCAGCTTCGATTTCACTGCCATATTTTCATGTATAGGACACCGGTTGTAGTCACCACGGTATCTTTTAATGCTCCGATTAGAAAGCATAACCGAGAATAAGAGAGAAAGGTAGTCTTACGAGCTACCGTTTCCAGTGACAGAGGGATACTGGCTGAGAATCTCAGGAATAACGCTTGTGGCTCACTGACGCTGTCCCCATCAAGCCTTTAGCTTTATTCAGCGACTTCAACGAACACATTTAGATAGTGGGAGTTTGTGAAGCCACTGGGCATACGCTTCCAGTGTCTTCCAGTCTCAACTCAGCAAGCTTGCTTAATATGTTTAGCAAAAGGCCAGATAGATTACGAAGTGTGCACATGCACAGGTGAAACATTATTCAGTTTCTCGAGGGAGTACTGGCGTGAGTCAGTAGCGGTCCCTCTTTTTTTTGAAGTAAAAGTGAACAATTGTTCACTAAAGGTTTTGAAAAACAATGCGGACAATATTAACATCTGACAGCCAGTCTGCAGCTATGAAGAACTTCTTTTTGTCTTCCCTTGACTCTCAGAAAATGCAGCCCCTTTCATGCATACATCAGGAAATGATAATATGAGCACGATTGAAGCTAAATAATTCAACAATGCCTCGCAACTACCTTTTGTTGGGCTGTATGGTAATCAAAATAGAAGGTCAGCTCGTACATGTGCAACCATCATGCCTATAGATTTCATATGGTAGAAGTTTCTCATCTCAGGCGTCCCAGAGACTGGCGCCATCCGTATCACATCATACTATTCTGGCGCTATGTGGATGCTGCCTCTCATTGGACTGGGCGCTATTTGAGCACGACCTAGTATTCCCGCCTGGTAGTGCTGGTAATTTCAAGACCAAAATGTACGTGTGATTGGCATAGCTGGCTACACGTGGCTTTGTTGGAGCGTAGTCAATGATGGGAGCTTTTTGGTAGCTTTTTGCTTTCTTTGGTGGATGGGACAATGTCGCTGGAGTTCGGTACATTGAGTACTGGAGATGTATAACAGACACACAAGCTATCAAGAATTATTATAAGCTTCCAGAGTGTATGATGATTTTAAAAGTGTGAGCCCTTCTGCAAGTCCGAGGATAAGCGTAAGCAATGTCTAAAACAATAGAACCCACACATGCTGCACAGAGATGAGCTGTCTGTCTATATCAACTATAGAAATAGTGCGAAAACACGCTAGGCGAGAAGCAAGCACATGGACTTCTCCCGACATTGATCCCAGCGCCAGTGGAATAAACTAATTGTTGTCATTTTATACTATAATGTCACTCTTCGCTATGTCACGTCTGATTGAAAAAATATAGCCCGTGAGAAGACGATAATACAGATAAGATATTTCCGCCTGCGCATCTGACTTTATTCACCCAACTTATCCAGTTCTGTGTCGGTATCCTGGTATGTGCAACTAAAAGATGAATTAGCAATGTCCTTGTTCAAACAGATGGTCTCTGACCAAAATCCAGTTATTAAACCTTCTTTTTTTCAAGAGCTAGCTGGGTTTTGGCACTTTCTTTCTGCCAAGCACCGAGTTAGGTGCTAACGCGTTCTCCGCTTATCGCGCGCTCGCGCGCTCGCGCGGGAGTTCTTATTTTTAGACTTTTATAGTACAAAATGATATAACATTCAATTAGATGTCAGAACACCGGGAAATTTTGGTTGTGCATAGAGGCCCTTGGCATTCTAGAGCGAGCCAAAGGGCAGGCCGATCGACTGTAAGTTGGGCTTCTGTTTTAATTGCTAAACCATTGGATGTTAAAGAGGTATGGAAAGTTGCAAGTCCAAGACAGAGTCTCGGCTCTTGCAATCTCTGAACCAATTCATCGGGATTCTGGCACATCTAGAGGATTCGTCCCAGACCTCTACAAGTGCCAGCTCGAAACTGGCGGCAAACTATCTTCGACTGAACCTCCTCTCACAGCTGCGACATTTTCATTCCGTTGCAGACGGGGTCAAAAAGCTGGATTCGAAAGAGAGGGACATTTTGGTACAGTGGTGGATAACGTTACTCAACTTCCTCAACAGCGACTGTCGTGGCCAAGAGCTTGACTCAGGGCATCCGCTTATTAGCACTGACGTATGTTCCGTCGCTCTGGAATGCGTCAGCCGGATTCTGACGCTCACAGGGCTTGCCGCCACATCCAAACGAGAACTGGAAATAGTGGCCTACCACACCCTTCTGACGGTCCACTATGTCACAAACAGACTCATTTTCAACACAAAGCGGCGCAAAGTGATGGTGACTAGTAAGCAGTTGGCTCCAGCCTTTGTGAAACAGCAACTCAACCATCTGACTCAGTATAACACTCTTCTCAATTCATTCATGGGCAAGTTGATGGCGTATGCCTTTTTTTATTTAGAGGCATCGTTTTATTACGATTATTTGGTTCTCGACTTTCTAGAGCCAGGCGTTTACCCCGCAGCCCGCTCTTTCACTGCATTTCCTTGGAAAACTAAGGACTATAAACCTGGCTTCCAGAAGATTCACATTAATCCTCAAGAAAAGATAAAGGAGCAGGATAAAAAGATCTTTCGAATTATGATATCGTATTTGAAAAACGATGCCATCTTCATGGGTTTTTACTGGCATTACTGGCATATAGCCTTAACACGGCTCTCTGCGATGAACGTACGAAAAACTGATCCACAATCAGTTCCAGGATGCAAGCTTCTGATTCGTTATATTAGCAAGAATCTTGACACTGATATCTCAGCATTTACTCGTTTTCTTAGATCCCAGGAAAGCGATAGTTTTCTGCATACTCGTCCGAACGGTCAAACTACCTCGTTGACAAGTGAGCAGTTGAACAATTTCGTCTTTGTCAACTTCAAAACCATAAAGCTTTGGGAATGTTTGAGAGCATTAGTCGGATGTTTAGACCCCGCAATACCCGAGCTCCTTTGCAGCCTGATTAGGCTGCATGACGATTTGCATCTTAAAAGGCTTGCCAAGATACCTGCACATGACTACCAGCTGGCCAATCTCATGTATAACCGAATACTCCAGTTCATTTTATTCCAATTTGAAACTATGAATCATTATTTGATGGCCCTTGATTGGCGAAAATGGAGCGACGGGCTGAGGCGTATGCTTGAAAGTTTAAATGTTAATTGCCAGAGTGTGGCTTTGTTGTCGTTATTCAATATCTGGGATTTCCTTCCGATGCAGCATGACCTGCGTGCCGAAATGAGTACTTTACTGGTCGTGGATATGTGGAATTCATTGGGTAAAGATACGTATTTCGACGTCGTGAGAATTCTCTTTTTCAAAATCGTAGTTTTCCGTTTATTGAACGATTCATCCTGGGATAACAGTATGGTGAAAAATCAGATTGCTGACAAACTACTGGGATGCTACCAACAGGCTGTGCAGCTTGCTGAGATACTTCCTAAGCAGGTACAACCGAACGCCACCAAGGATTCCCTCATTTTCCATATAAACAAAAAGCTGATTCTGTCAAAAGTTGACCCTGTTAATGAAGATACCTTAATTCGCGACTATGAAACTAGTCAGAAAAGTACGGATAAGAAACATCAGATATTGATTCCTTCTGTTTTGGCTGTGACAAACGTGAGGCCCTCTTTCTTGATCTCGCAAGGTCGCTACCCTTTTGACATTTTAGATGAGATGGTTCTCAAGGCTGCCAGGAAAGCTGCTCAGCAACGTCGAGAGAACGCGGTCGCAGATGCCAAATTTTCCAGGCAGTTCAGTAAAAGCCGTTCCACGAGTATCAGCAGTAAAAGTACGAATGAATCTGCTCTTGAAGAAGATGATGAAACCTCGGTAGCCAGCGCGTTAGGGTCGTTTCTCTCGAAATTTGGAAACTCAAGTTCAACTACGTCCAAGAAAGCGAAAGCTTCGCTATCTGAACGACTAGCAAGAGGTACCTACGGGAAGCATAGAAAAGCTTCCGACAGCGTCTTCAGCACTGATACCAAGCAGGACAGTGAGTCAGTTGAGATCATGTCGATGTATTCTTCACTATCCTTGACGTCTTCTCTATCGGCAAATCGAAGCTGCTCATCATTAGAATTGCGCACTCAGCAGTCAAATATTTCGTCAGATTCATTGGCACAGAGGATGTTAGGTGTTAAAGAGGAGCTAAGCGAAGCTCCTTCGTCACCGTCACAGAAGAAGAAGAAGCTGTTGGCACCATCAGAACTTAAATTTTCGAAGACTGTTAGTGATAGTACACCAATTCAGTGGTTTTTTCGCCTGGTTACGGCGCCCATGTCAGGCTCCTCGTCCTCGGCCATTGCCAAAGTGCAAGAAGCGAATGATCGGTGGGGAATTTTTAGCGCAAGAACTTATGATAAACCGCTGCCCCCAACAGTTGCTAACAATCTGAACACTGAGCTTGATGACACTTTTGACGTGTCTTCCGTTACTGCTGGTATGAAAGACCTGGATGTTTCTGGAAAGCCCATGGCCGAATCTAGAGAACAATATGAAAATAGCATTTCCTCCAACACCTCAGAGGTTCCATATCCTGATCTGGGTAGCCTGGGGCTCATATCATCAACTTTGCCCACGACTAATCTCGACGATCGAACGATCACGTTCGACTCTATCGAAGAGCGGCCAATAGATTCAATGGACTGCCTACTGCGCGGAACCGATTCTGGTGTAAAACTTACAAAACGAACAGCGGGCATAATGAGAGAAGAGACTGAACTTTCTAAGTTGATAAAACTCTTAGATGTCTACAATGATACCGTGGCCGAGCGAACACACTTTCTCAATTTGATGCACGACACTCGCGATAAAGTTATATTGGATTCAGAGATTAGCAGTTTTCGTGGTCCACAATCAAGCGGTAAGAATCTCGTCAACGCTCAGATTGAGTACTTGTAGCATTACTTATTTGTAAATATAATTTATGACACATAAAACCAGGCGTTCCCATCCAAAAACAAAGGGCAGGTTTTGTATCGACGTCCGGCACTAATGTGGAACTATGCCCGCTAGTCCATCTTCGAGCCTCTTACGTGACCAGCACGAAAGAAGCTGATCGCAAATGCTGCCAAGAAAAAGAATGAGATGATTGCGTTGAAGAGAAGTGTTCCAACAACGTGAGTAAGCTTTTTCCACCGTACCATAAGGTTTCTCAAGCTATGTTCAAAATTCAGCGATAATGTGATGAAAGAAGTGCTCGTATCTACGATCAGATTAGCGTTTCCAGCAAACTTGAGGGATAATTCCAGCTTTTCAACATCATGCTGTAAAATGATAGGCTTTTCCAAATGTATGTGATTCACTAGCTCTTGCTGGACTTTGCGAGCAAAGGTGGGCGACAATTTTCCACTTGCCCCCAACGTAGGGATATCCCTAGTGTTAGCGCAAGTCATCAACAGAGTCTTGCGGAAAAGAACATTTTCTGCTGGTTTGCCATGTCTTGATACACTAAGGGTAATTTCTCCATCCCTTATGCTGAGGTCTGTAACCTTATTTAGGCAGAAAACATTCAAGTCGAGATTAACATTATAAGGAATGTCGGCTCTTATTGGGACGCCTTGAGGAAACCCATTCGGTATTACTTGTGGAATTTCGGCAGTCTCAGTCGAGTAGCGCTTCAGTTTAAAGGCATAAATAGCTTTTCCACCGCTCCACCCAGTACCGAGCTGTTGCCCTGCGGCGAACGGCACAGTCTGAACGGAATCGGCAGGGATTAACCTGGAATAAAAATCGCTGAAGAGAAACGCCGAGAGAGGAAAAATCAGCATAATGTTGACAGACATTAGTATCAGAACATAACCCCAGCATTGGGCCCACTTGAGTGGCAATGTTATGTTTACTTGCATCCTTGATAATGAGTTTATTCTCAAATCGGCCAAAGTGGCAAAGCAATGCTAAGGTCTTTGGACTCTCACAGGGTACTTGCGACGTTTTTATGTGGCGAGTGCCAACTGATCTAACGCTACTTAGAGAATAGGAAGATGATGTCTCTGGAGAACGCCATTTTTCAAGAACAATCAATTTCCGAACTCAGGAAAGGAAGTTATGCTTAAAAACCTGGGATTTCAATATAAATTGGTTTGACTGGACACCGGTGGCTAGGACGATTATCCGAGCCAGCGTGGGAGAGAGCACCAATTCTCTCGTTAAAGAATCCTTAGCTAGAGCTCCCAATTGTAGTGTACGTATAAAACGATATAAGTAAACTCCTATAAATCGGCACCATTAAAGAGGCCAGTGAATACCTAATATCCACACCATCATCAGCATGAATAACTAAATTCATTACTCACTCTCAGGCCAGACAGGAAATTGCATCAAAGCTACGAAACTTACAGTCTTAGTCCCAATGGTTAGTCTCAATGGATAGTCTCAATACTAATACAATTCATACATTTTACATAAAGTGCTTTGACATCAATGCGTAGAATGCCCTCTGTGGTATTTCAGTCCGTTTAAGTTCTTGTATCTCTTGCCGCATACCTCACAGCGATACGGTTTGTCCTTTTCAAAGCCCATCCCGTCAGGATAGGGCTCGTTGCTCTCCGGGTCTATGATGCTGAAAGTGCCATCTGGATTCTCGTGCAATTTCTGATTCTGATGACCGTGCAGCTTGTGATATTTCAGCCCGTTCTGATTCTTGTACGTCTTGTCACAACCAATAACGGGACATTTGAAAGGTTTGTGTTCCTCATGATCCATCACGTACAACCGACGCGCAGGATCATCTATAAAGCCCGGCTGTTGTTTGCGCTTGTTAACTGCCGTTGCTGGAACTGTTGTGGCCACCACCTCGTCTTCCTCATCGTCTTCGCTCAGACTACTATCTGAATCGTGGCCATTTCCTACCTTCGGCCGGTGAGACGACATTTTAGTTGTTTGGCCTGCCTCCATTTGTTTCCAGGCTTTAGCCATCTCTGGGGTCATCACGGGAGCACCTCCAACTATCGCATTTCCGTCGTGAAGATCGTCGATCATATCTGCGTCCATAAAATCAAGATCGATTCCGGCGCCTGCGGTGCCAACTTGAGATGTGAATTGGTTTCTGTTAAGAGCCGAGTTTGAAGCATTGCCCATCAAGCGTTGTTGATGTTGCTGCTGTTGTATTTGCTGCTGGTGATGGTGCTGTTGCTGCTGGATCTGCGCATTCTTTCGCTGTTGTTGAAAGTGCTGTTGCTGTTGAAGGCCCCCTTGCTGGTGTTGACCTTGTTGAAACTGCTGCATTGTCGAGGAGTCCATGCCTTGCTTTCCAAGCGGTTGCATGTTTAATGAGTAGTTGTTGAATCCGGGTTGCATTTTATTATGGTTATTGAAGCTGCCGTTGCTGACGGCCTGGTTAACCATTTGGCCCCTTTTACCCGATTGCCCCGCGCCTGTTTGGAGGAAGACTTCGTTGGTTGAAACCGCGTCTACCAAGTTCCCATTGAGATGAAGTTGTTGAACACTACTGGTCGTATTGGCGCCCGCATTGTGTGGTACACCATGTAGCTGCTGCTGCATGGCCTGATGAAACATTTGATTTTGCATCTGCTGTTGCAGATGGCCGTTGTCATTATGCGGCTGGGACAGTTTCGGGGACTGCTGGAATTGAGCGTTCTGATGCTGTTGGTGGTCAGTGAGGGGATGCTGTAAATGCGGGTTTGCCTGATGCTGAAGTTCTTGCTGGGCGTTGAGTGACCTATGCTGGGAAGATTGGTGGTTCTGTTGAAGGTGTTGTTGTGATTGTTGTTGCTGTCGTTGCTGAAGGCCAGGCTGGTTGTGGTGCTGGCGCTGTTGCTGATCATGCTGTAGTTGCTGCTGGTATATCGCGGCCATTCTCTGCTTTTTCAAAGCATTGTTGTTGGCCGCATGTCCCACGCTAGGACCAGTAAAACCGGATCCAGCAGCATTTGACATCCCAGGAATCCCACCAGAGGCACCAGCACCGGTGCTTACTGGGATATTGGCCATTGTCGATGCATGTGTGTTAATTGTTCCTGGGGACGTTGAAATATGCGCCTCTTCGTAGTGTCTAAGAAGGTCGTGAAGCCCCGGTAGAAGAAGACCACAGCATGAGTAGTCCTTACAGTACTGTTTCTCCAAGTTAGGTAAATACGCCGAAGACGCGCCAGGTGGCGAAAACGAGTTTCCGGCTGCTAGGTTCACGGTGGCGGGTACATTTTGGCCATTATTGTTTTGAATTAGCCCGCCGTTGTTTGAGTGAGCTTGGGACATGTGCGTGTGGATCATAACCTCATCGCGAAGCCACGATCCTATTGTCAACGACCCCCATGAAACTCCACCCATTCCCTGGGAATGCGCAATAGACTCACGTCTAAGCTTAGCCATATTGGACGCATTCGCCGTCATCCCTCCATGTTGCGAGGAAACCGATGACTGATTATTGTTGATGAGGATCCCTGGAGTGGGTCCTGTTGCATTTACCGGTTGTGCTGCGGTTGTAGCAGCCGAAGAAACGTCCATGACTGTACGCAGTTGTGACCTGGTGAAGGTAGATCCTGACTGGAGTTCTCACTGAACTGAATACCTCAACGCTCGCGGGCAGCAGATCTTGCAGCTAAGAGATGGTGGGCGTGCAGTTGGCCTGAACCTAATGAAATAACTTAAGAGCGTAAACTATCCGAAAGACCGGTTTGCTCAGGCGCTTCTTGTTCGTTAACTCGCGCTTCTTGTGCTTCTCCTCGTGCTTGATCGAAGGCGTAGCAGAGCTATTACTGCACTTCAAAAGGAGACCAATAACCAAGACACCGAGTACGATTAACTGGAAAGGTGCGAAATGTGACTTCCGTGTGATTTAAGCGAACAACCTAAACCCAGAACCAGAAAAACACTCGAGTACGGAAATGTACTTGCGAGAGTGATGTGCACAGGAGGTTTTTGAAAAGTAAAGCTGTTGCGCCGGTAGTTGTAGTGGTCTTAGCACTAGTCTCAGCAAATCTCTTATGGTTAGATGGCCACTAGATGGAAACGCTCTATTTGTCAGCCCGCGTTAACTTGTCAAGTTGATAAGCAAACCCTACCGTTGGGCAAGTCTAGCTCTCCTCGCGCTACTATGGTCAGCAGAAGGCTAATACTGCTAAATGTCAGAGGAGTCTGAACTTTTGTTGACTAACGACTGTAAGTCCTCCCCAAATCTTGACATAAACTGACTTTCATTCAATGAGCCCGGTCAATGGGAAGGCCAGCTGGATTGGACGAAAGGTTTCCCGACGCACACCAGTCGTATCACTCTTCACGTTGGTGTCTGATGTAGCACACTATAGCGCATGGCGTGCCCAGCGGCATTGACATCCTTCCCGTTCTCGGCCTCTCTCGTTGTCGAGACGGTTAGTTGTGGGTCGCCGCATGGGTCACCTGGGCAGTAGCCAACTAGCTTGCAGATGCGGCTGATTTGCGAAACGTTAGCTGCTTACCACACCCTCTCATCTCATAATGATGCGGATCCACCTTTGCGTACCAACTGCATAGTGCGCAGAACGCAATTGCCACTCGCGAGGGATTGCCGGAATTGGCCGTACATTCACCTTGTAGAAAACTGTGTCCTTTGCCCAATCCCACAAATAGGCCCACTGGGCCTATTTGTGGGTGGTTTAGAACACCCATACCTTTGGGTATTAGTCCATTGCTTGAGGCAAGACGGGCCAAAATTGACCAGTGTGCCCGTGATTGCGTCACCATTGTTGTCTGCACTCTTCTGCAGATTTACGGAACAGCTGCTGGCACCAATCGAAGCGGATACTTGTCGAACATAAACTATCGTTCGCGGTGCAGGTCGCCTGATCGGTGAATAATTTAAAGCGCAGCTCTATAAACCTTCCTGTTTTCGAAGTGTTCGTTCTTGCAATACTTCCCCAATCACCAGTAAGTAAGGGTGGTTTCATGAAATGAGAAAGTATAGCGGTTGTGAACTTAGACGATTTATATCCGTAGCCTTTGAGTCCTTGTAATGAGCTTTGAAAAAGACACTCTAAAGGGAATCAGTCTTTTTTATGCGCAACGGAGAACTCTGGCATTTTGACACTCACTTTCCAGCTTTCCGGTCAATCGCAACAGGTCTCTATGCCCGTTGACAACAAAAATTGGTGTTCCTCCTAGCCACCATCGCTTACAAAAATAGAGCAAGTTCGCCGGCAACAGTACTTTTAATTCATTCAGAGCGGCCACGCGAACCGCCAGTAATTCCCTTGGTATTAACGCAAGTTGTTCCAAATTTATCCCACGGCAAAATCAGCGACAATCTTTCTTTGTTCTTCTATATTTCAGTCCCCCACGCCTGTTTTCACTGCTGATATCGTGTGTCTCACGCCTTAAGACTCTTATAACACCTGGGCGGCTAAATATCGAAATTCACCAAAAGAACTATCATTTCTTAGGCTTATCGAGTTATCCCTATACCTAATTGCGGTGCATCGGCAAATGCACTTGTAGAGCCTATTGATAGATCAGTTTATTTCTAACTAACCGTTCTCAAGGATTAGTAGAGATTAAAGTTTACATCTTGACTTTATTACATGACTTTGTACCATTCTACTCTGAATTATTGATCACATGTTTTTACAGCATCGATAAAATTTTGTGATCTTCTTGAAGCAAGCGATGAGCTGAGAAGTTAAAGCTTACAGCGCACAGTTATCGAAGGCAACATGTCCGAGAAGAGATCTTTGGAACAAGAATCAAGCCAGCATGACGCATCTGTTTCCAAGAAGCAAAATAGTGCTGGTATTGCGCACATCAAGCCGGAATTCATAGTTACCACTAGTATTTCCTCTCAGATTAGACCTTCTACCGCTGACGAAGAGGAAGAGCCGGTTTCTGACCGAGTGGCTACTGGGAAAAATGGTGGCAAGAAGACGAAGCAAAAAAAGAGAGGTCAGAACAAAAATCGCAATATTATGCAGGTCAAAGAACAATACCAATTGTGCTCCAAACTGGTGATGGGAAGCGGCAATGGGGCCGAATGTACGTTTGGAGATCAATGCCGCTATGTCCACGATATAGACGAATATCTTTCCCACAAGAAACCGGAAATTGAAAGTGAGCAGTTTCGGGTATGCCCAGTTTTCGAAACCATTGGTCGTTGTCCCATGGGGCTCAAATGTAGATTTTTGTCTTCTCATTACAACTCGGAGACGAAGCAGTTGAAATTTAAATCCGAAGACGAGACTCAAAAGCTTTATGAGGCGAACCACGAGGTCAATCACATTGCCGCTGATAAAAAGTTAGATCTGATAAAAAAGCGGTTTCCCTTTGACAAGAGTAACTACGTGCTTGAGATTATAGACGCCATTCAGCAAGAATACAGAGAGGGTTTAAATGAGCTCAAACAAGTTGGAATTGAGAAGGCTGGAGAAAACGGCAACAAAGAAAATGCGGCATCTGAAGAGAAACAAGTTGCCCCACAGGTCTTGCAAAGGGAACAAGAACAGCGTGATAAGAGGCAGCGTCAAAAGGATTTATATCTTGAGTATAAAGACACTAGGTTTTTCGCACAGGAAAAAAAGCCTTTGGATCTCAACAACAAGAAGATAGTCTCTCCGTTGACCACAGTAGGAAATCTACCATACCGTCGCTTAATGCGCAAACTCGGAGCCGACGTCACATATTCTGAAATGGCTCTAGCGATACCATTGATCCAGGGTACTAATTCAGAGTGGGCCTTGCCTAAAGCTCATGTCACAGAAACTCCAGGTTTTGGTGTGCAAATTGCTTGTGCGAAGGCATGGCAGGCCGCTAAAGCTGCTGAGGCATTGGCAGCTCATGCTCAAGATATAAGCGAAATCAACCTTAACTCGGGCTGCCCGATAGATTTGCTGTATAGGCAAGGGTCGGGGAGTGCCTTGTTAGATAACCCAGCTCGTATGATCAGATGCTTGAACAGCATGAACTATGTTTCTAATGACATTCCTGTTAGTGTAAAAATCCGTACAGGCACTAAAGACGGACACCCAATTGCTCAAGGACTGGTCCGCCGTTTGGTTGGTGAGACTGATGTTGCCGCCATTACATTACACGGACGCACAAGGCAACAGCGCTACACACGAAGCGCCGACTGGGATTACGTTAAGCAAGTTTCTGCTACTCTAAGAGAAGCAGAGTTCGACGCTCAGGAAAAAAATAAGGACAAGAGAGAGTCCAAGCATCGCATTCAATTTGTTGGGAATGGAGACGTTAATAATTTTGAAGATTGGTACCGGCACATGGAGGACAAAAATATGGATAGTGTGATGGTGGCCAGAGGTGCTCTGGTAAAGCCTTGGATATTTGAAGAAGTAGAGGCCCAGCAACACTTGGACAAGAGTAGTCAGGAGAGGCTGGAAATTCTGAAGGACTACGCAAGGTTTGCCATGGACCACTGGGGGACAGACGAATATGGTATATCTCAGAGTCGTCGATTCTTCTGCGAGTTCATGTCCTTTTTCCACAGGTATGTTCCCATGGGTATTTGTGAGAGATTTCCGGTTTTACTCAATGAAAGGCCTCCGAATTGGAAGGGTAGAAATGACTTGGAGACGTTGATGGGAAGTAACGACGTAAGTGATTGGATCAAGTTGAGCGAGATGTTTTTCGGCAAAACTGACGAGAACTTCGTGTTTTTGCCAAAGCACAAGAGCAATTCATTCGCTAACTAGGTTGAACACCTACGAGAGTAAATGAGGCGAGTGAAGGCTCCAGGATAGATTGGGCGAGTCATATGATGTCTCGTTGCAGCCCCGAGCCGTTTATCAACCTTGTGGTCTCGGCCACAGTAACTGGAAAATAGCACTGCGAGCATGGTCAGTGGTGCTGGGCTTCAAATTTTATTTAGAATCTCGAGGACTCCGCTGTAAAATCGTGGTCGCGGTAGTTGAACGAAATCAAACCACTGGTCGCCAGTCGTTAGTTGGCCACCCCAATCGCCAATGCTATGATTACTATTTTTCATTCAGGTTTCTAACCCCGATCTAGTACGTAATGCTACATATCAGCCTGAAGACCCTCAGCACGTTCCTTTAGAGACTGGATCTCTTTTTCGGCATCCTTGATCTGCTTTTTGAGATCGTCGACGTCCATGTTTTCCGGTTCGGCTCTATAGCTTTCTTTGAGCTCCAGTAATTCCCACACGAGTCCATACGTTCTAAACACAGTGAACGTCAAGAACAAAGTGATACCAGTCAAGTACATATTTCTTTGGGCGTAAAATTTGCGACTTTGCACTTCATTGCGATCACTAACTCCAGATGCCAAAGATGTCTGTGAAAGCTCTGCATTAACGGAGTACACGCGGTTTATGGTGTCCACGAATAGGAGGAGGATGAATGCCAAGATGCATTTGACCGCAACCTGAACCTGTGTCAGGCGAAACGGCCTGATCAGAGCCATAGTGACTGGCTTGCGATATTTGGAAGGAACAGGCAAAGCCAGTAGCAGAAACATGACCATTTCGAAGGCCAGGATTCCGAATACAAATGTGTAGTAGAGCGTCATGGGGTTTATTCGGCAATTGTGTGATCTGTGTGTAGTTTCGAAGCTAAAGTAGGGGACAGCTGGCAAAACAGCTAGTTTGTATGAGATATCTTGCTAAGAAACCAACATCTAGGGCAAAACCGTCTGTCGCACGTGATAGTCACGCGACCGAAACACACGGACATTGTCATTTTGTACTAGCAGGAACGCCTTGTTCTATCACTATATACTAAGGTGGTGTGACGGTCACGTGTATGGGGTCATGAAATGTTTGACCTCCGCCGGTTCGCTTCTTAGCCTCTTATATCATGTTTCTGGACAGACCGTTCACGTACGGCACACAGTGCACTCAACTGACCTGACAACCAGTACAAGAGGCAAACGCCACTGGGCAGACAATGCGCTAGAGACTACAACTCCGCCGCTCCAAGCCTGTTAGCTGGCACACCATCGGAGTGCGATTGGTGCGGATCAAAAATAGCATCGGTCGTCGCAAACGCAACGTGGCACCGCCAGAGAACTGTGCCAGGTAACTACCACTGTGCGATGGCTCTGAAAGCACCAGTGCTACTGCTGATGTTACGGCCCGCTGGGACGAGCTTTTTACTTGATTACACCACACGCCTTCTCCACCGCTGCCTCGGCAGTCACCTGACGGTGTTCCGTCTGTCGTGTTTGACGAGTGTTACCCGACCGTTCGGCTACAGGTCGGGTAACCCAGGTCACGCGACCGACGACCTGGTGTGTTTCTTTTCTGACTGCCAGAAGCGACGCGTCTAAACGCTGAAAGGATCGATGCTCTGGCAACTCTCCTTTGTTTCCTCCTTCCCCAGCGCGTTAGGACCACCCTGCCCGTGCGCTACACCACTGCCCTTATCTTGGGCGCTGGTCCCTCCCCGCCAGCAGAGACCAGCCTGGCATCTATATATTATTGTATTTGATATCCCTTCTCACGAAGGCGCGTAGTTTCTAGTTCGCTACGTGTCGCTGTAGGGCGCGGAACGCCACGCGTACACGCGCACAATCTGGGCCGTTGGCGGGATAATTTTTTCTTCTCCCATGGCCATGGGTATTTAAGCACGAGGGCTTTTGCAGGTCCCTGGCGAAAGGGCAAAAGATCAACAGCCCACAAGCAGAGGAGGGAAGAAAAAATTTCAGCTCTGGCCCGTGCAAAGAGACCTGAGCGAGCAGTTGAAAGGGAGGGTAAGCTGAAACGTTAATAGTCACATGACAGACGCGGAGATAGCGACACAACCGGCGGTGGCTGGCGGGGCTAGCGGGGCTAGCGGTACTAGCGGTGTTAACGGTGGAGTCAAGACTGAGCATGAACTGGGCAAGAAGAACGAGGGAACTGGTTCTCAGGAAACTCCTTCAGGCCCTGCAGCAGCGACGCCGGCACCAACGCCCGTGCCGGCGCCACCGTCGGAGCCAGATCTCAACAATCTGCCAGCGAATCCGCTTCCCAAGCACCAAAACAAACACGCGACCACGGCGATCAAGGCCGTCAAGCGCCTGAAAGACGCACGTCCGTTCTTGCAGCCCGTGGACCCAGTGGCGCTCAATGTGCCGCTGTACTATAATTTCATCAAGCGGCCCATGGATCTGGGCACTATCGAGCGGAAGCTCCAGCACAACGCGTACGAAATGCCGGAACAGATAACCGCGGACTTCAAGCTGATGGTTGAGAACTGCGCGCGTTTCAATGGCGAGTCGTCTGCGATCGCCCAGATGGGCCGCAACATCGAGGCAAGCTTCGAGAAACACATGCTTGGCATGCCCGCTCGCGATGAGCCTCCTCGTCCGCGCGTCAAGCGGCGGCGCTCCGAGCTCGAGACGCCTGTGGTGATCCGCCGCGCAGAATCGCACAATGGAAGGCCCAAGCGGGAGATCCACCCTCCGAAGTCCAAGGATATTTACCCCTACGAAAGTGCTAAACCGCGTTCCAAAAAGCTTCAAACAGAACTCAAATTTGCCCAGCAACTGGTCAAAGAGCTCATGTCCAAGAAATACAGCTCTTTCAATTATCCGTTTCTGGAACCGGTGGATCCAGTTGCCTTGAACTGTCCCACGTATTTTGACTACGTTAAGCAGCCCATGGACCTTGGCACGGTGAGTCGCAAGCTCAGCAACTGGGAGTACGAAAGTGCCGAACAAGTAGAGGCCGATGTCAAGTTGGTGTTTCAAAACTGCTATGCATTCAATCCCGACGGTACGATCGTAAATATGATGGGCCATCGTTTAGAAGACGTCTTCAAATCGCGGTGGGTGGACCGGCCAATTGTGGCGGACGACGACTCCGAGGACGACGACGAAGAAGGCGAGTCTGATTACTCTAGCGATGAAAATGGGATGGGTCTCAACGGAAACGGGGTTGGTGGATCTGGCGGGGTGAATGGCGCTCACGATGATAACGACATCGACGAAAGTCTTATTACCAACCCTGCCATACAGTATCTAGAGCAGCAGTTGGCACGGATGAAGGTAGAACTTCAAAACCTCAAGAGGCAGGAGTTGGACCGCATCCGAAAAGAACGAAGGCTGGCACGAGGCACTCGTAAGAGACGAACTGGGCGCAAGAGGTCTAGAGTTGACGGCAGTGGTAGCGGTAAACGCAAGAAGAACAAGTTGAAGACCGTCGTCACGTACGACATGAAGAAGATCATCTCCGAGAAAATCAATGACCTGCCGGCTTCTAAATTGGAAAAAGCCGTCGAATTGATCAGGAAATCGATGCCGGACATTGGTAAAGACGATGAAGTCGAATTGGATATTGATATGTTGGACAATACCACAATCTTGACTCTTTTCAACACATTTTTCCGCGAATACGCTAAAGATGTCAGCAACGGTAATGGCACCGCAGTGGACGATCCGCTGCTGACCAGAAACTCGCTATCTCCAAATTCCTCTGGCTCTAAAAAGGCTAGGCGAAGAAGTAAGGCTTTGAGCGAACAGGAACAGAATAAACAAATCGAAAAGATAAAAAATAAGTTAGCCTTATTGGATGGAACTTCCCCCACCAACTCAAATGCGTTTAACAACCTTCTTGGGGGCGGAGACTCCTCCGATGGTGATGATGATGATGATGATGATGATTTAAGCAGTGAAAGCGAAGAAGAGTAAATGGCCTTTTTCTCTACCAACCAGGCCAAGGTTAGGCTTAGGCCGAGCATTCTCCTTCCATTTTTGTTACAAGGGACTTTGTTGCAAGCTGTCCAAGCTCACTAAGCAGGCACACAATGCCGTCGTGTGGATGTTTCACGGAGTTCAGAAGCTTCTTTAATCCCAGTTTCCAGGTAATCGAAATTAGTATTACAGAATTTTATATAGCATGGAGGTGGTCGGGAGTTGCATCCAAGGCGATTTTATGCCTCGTGTATTTTACAGATAAGCATTGAAACAAAATCTAAGTTTGAACGACCCAGTTGGGGACTTGAACGGGCTCCATTCTGGGGTAAACAACCTAGAACTCACAGGTTTGGTATTTCATAGAAAGCTTGTCTGAGAACTATGTACATTGGGTCCTTTTTTTCTATGATTTGAATTTACAAGATTGGTTCTTAAACTTTAAAATTCCTGAACTCTGCAATCAATGAATGAGTAACGTAGCTACGCATGCCAGAAAATTCCTGTACATTCCCTCAACCACTGATCAGTAATAAAATATAGATGATTGTTTAAGGGAGATGAATGGTGTTTCCTCGTTTGCAGGCCGCTGTCGATCTTCACTAAAGCATACACATTTCTCGACAACTGGAGCCCGTTTTCATTACTCCCGGAAAGCTACTGTATCTAGCTTCTTAAACATTAACTGCCTGCTTATGTTAGGCACTTCATTTCAATTTCTCCTTATCGAACATAGCACCATTTGGTCGGGAAGAGATTTAAGCGCCGAGATCGAAAATGAACTGCACTGGAATGCCACCGGGCAAGAAGAGTGTACTGGTATTAGCAGAAGTCTAGGATCCAGGTAATAGTAATGCAGATGACACAAGCAAACTCTAAACCCACTGGTCTTCACTTCCTCTGGTGCCCACCCCACTACAACAACTGTGATACCGTTAGACGAAATACCACGCACTAATATTGAACTGGCTTTGACATAACCGACAGCGCTACAACGAGACAGCAATCTATCTGGAAACATCACGATGACATCCTCTAGCTTGTCAGTGGATGAGCTATTTCAACACCTGAGAGAAGTTGAAAACGATGTGCCAGAAAAGTTCGAGGACTTGACTACCAGAGCAGCCACTGACTGCTCGCCAGCAGCTTCAGATAGCAAAGAGGTGATTGAAAGGTTCCTCCAACCGTCTGATATTCTGCCTTGGAATCTTCTCGATCTTATCCAGACTGTACCCGAACAGAACTTCATGGGGGATAACACCTCGTCGAAGAGCGCTGATTACGATTACAAGGAATTTTTGCAGATTCCTGATTTCAGCAAGAGGACAGCTTACCACTTCAAGCGGAAAGGCATTGTGGGTAAAATCAACGCTTATAAAGAATCTGTGAAGCTAGATGAAGTTGCCAACGCTAATGCCTCGAACTCTTTATCAATTTCCAGAAAAGTAAACACTGACGGAAATGTTATAAGAGGCTCAACTGGTCAATTGCCTTTTGCTCCCGGTGGTTTGACTATGTCGGCTTTGAGCCATGGTTCTGACGTTTCGGCGATGACTTCTGCCGTAAAACTCCTACACAGGGACGAGCAAGGTTTGTTTGACGTACCCCAGGGCTTGGAACGCGGTATTATTCCACAAGACATTCCTGCTTCCAGTGAAGCCGATCAGTTTGATGAATTTAACGAATTAAATGAACTTGACAATGAACTAGAGAATATACAAGAGCTTGCAGACCACCGCCAAAGGGATGAGGAGTTACTGGAACAAGAAGTCTCCACACAGATATTAACCCAAAAACAACAACCTTCGAATCCAGATTTGGCAATTGATGATCTACTTCCCATAGGAATAGACTTCGGACGTACTATTCGTAAGACCAAGGAAGAAATTGGACGAAAGGAATGGGCCCATGTTGTCGACTTGAACCACAAGATCGACAATTTCGATGAGCTCGTGCCAAGTCCTGCCCGAACCTGGCCATTCGAATTAGATGTCTTCCAAAAGGAAGCTGTTTATCATCTGGAACAGGGTGACTCGGTTTTTGTTGCCGCTCATACTTCGGCTGGTAAAACTGTCGTGGCTGAATACGCCATCGCGATGGCCAAAAGAAACATGACCAAAACCATCTACACGTCTCCCATTAAGGCCTTGTCTAATCAAAAGTTTAGAGATTTCAAGGAGAACTTTGAAGACGTTGATGTAGGATTGATCACAGGAGACGTCCAAATCAACCCGGAGGCCAATTGCCTTATTATGACAACCGAGATTTTGAGATCCATGCTTTATCGTGGTGCCGATTTAATCAGGGATGTAGAGTTCGTGATTTTTGATGAAGTGCACTACGTGAACGATCAAGATCGTGGTGTTGTATGGGAGGAAGTGATTATCATGCTGCCTCAACATGTTAAATTCATTTTATTGTCAGCGACAGTGCCCAACACATATGAGTTCGCAAATTGGATTGGAAGAACCAAGCAGAAAAACATCTACGTGATCTCCACTCCTAAGCGGCCTGTTCCACTTGAAATTAACGTTTGGGCAAAAGAAAAACTACTGCCAGTGGTCAGTGAGAAGAGAGAGTTTTTGGAGGCCAATTTCAAGCTCCACAAAGAAATTGTGAGTGGGAAGAGTTCCACCTTGGCAAAGAAGGAGGTTGCTAACCCGGGTCGTGGCCGTGGAGGTGCTGGGCGGGGTGGTGCTTTAGTTCGAGGGCGTGGTGGTTCTAGAGGAGCAGGTGCTGTAGGGTCGAACAGAAGTGATTTTTTCAAAAGAAGCGGCCCCAATAAAAAAACCTGGTCGAATTTGGTCAACTATCTTAAATCTAAAGACCTACTACCAGCCGTTATATTTGTTTTCAGCAAAAAGCGCTGTGAAGATTACGCAGACTGGCTAGATGGCGTCAACTTCTGTGCGAGCAAAGAAAGGTCACAAATCCATATGTTCATTGACAAGTCTGTAACAAGGTTAAAAAAGGAAGATAGAGATCTTCCTCAAATTGTGAAGATGAAGTCATTGCTTGAAAGAGGTATTGCTGTACATCATGGTGGTCTTTTGCCCATTGTAAAAGAGCTTATTGAGCTGCTCTTTGCCAAGGGGCTGATAAGGGTACTGTTTGCTACTGAAACGTTCGCTATGGGCTTAAATTTGCCCACCAGAACGGTTGTCTTCAGTGAGATTCAGAAACATGACGGAAATAATCTGAGAAACTTAAATCCTGGTGAATTTACCCAGATGGCGGGAAGAGCGGGGCGTAGAGGTTTAGACAAGACAGGTACCGTCATTGTGATGGCTTACACATCACCACTCGAACAGGCCTCCTTTAAGGAAGTTGCTCTAGGGGTTCCAACAAGATTGCAATCTCAGTTCAGATTGACTTACAACATGATTCTTAATCTCTTGAGGATTGAGGCTCTACGCGTGGAGGAAATGATAAAGTATTCCTTCAGCGAAAACAGTAAGCAGACTTTATTGCCGGAGCAGGAAAAGGAAATTCAAAACTTACAAACTCAATTGGAAAGCATCCAGTTTTACGACGATTCCAATCAAGAGGAATTAGACAAGGTGCTTGACGCCACCATAAGGTACAAGGAGTGCACAAAAGACATGATGAATGAGCTTGCTAGTGGAAGCAGCGTGTTCCGTATCCTTAATGTGGGTCGTCTTATCTTATTCCGAGACGAAAATGATTGCGCTAAGCTAGGTTTTGTGTTCAGAAATTTACCCAAAGAGGGTCAGGTCGTTGTCATGACGGTTACTAAACCCAATACCCTTGACAATGGTCAACCTAATCATCTGCCTTACTTATCCACAGTCACAGATTTTGTACCAAAAAACTTCAAGAAATTTGAGAAGACAGATTACTACATGGAAAACATCGTCATTGAAAGCATTGAACTAATCAGTGCATTCACGCTTGATGTTTCTATGACGGATATAATGAAACAGGAACCGGAAGTTTTAGAGAAGTTCAACGGTGAGGTGTCTCTTATTTTGCGAATCTCGCGCAAACTGAAGGAAACCAAATATGAAAAGAAGGCCAGTTTGAAAGTTCATCAAGCTGTTCTGGATCGGGAAAAGATAAAGACGGAGCTAGCTTCTTATAGCTGTCTGAGGTCTCCAAATTTTGCCACGCACTTTTTACCAAAGTACAGGGAATTTGAGGTCCAGAAAAAGATTAAGGCTTTGTACCATTTAATGTCCGAGCAAAACTTGTCTTTACTTCCTGACTACGAACAGCGCCTTTCCGTCTTAAAAGATGCTGGATTTATTGATCAAAGTCACAACGTTCTACTTAAGGGACGAGTGGCATGCGAGATCAATTCCGGCTACGAACTGGTGCTAACTGAATTGATCTTGGACAATTTCTTGGGAGATTTTGAACCGGAGGAAATTGTAGCTTTGCTTTCAGTTTTTGTCTATGAAGGAAGGACTAGAGAAGAAGAACCAGCGATTATCACTCCTCGCCTCACAAAAGGTAAAGCTAGAATACAGGAGATTTATCAGACCATGCTTAATGTGTATGAAAAGCATCAGGTCCCTCTAACTAAGGATGAAGCAGAATTCCTGGAGAAGAAGCGGTTTGCGCTAATGAACGTGGTGTACGAATGGGCAAGAGGCCTCTCGTTCAAAGAAATCATGGAGATGAGCGTCGAGTCTGAAGGAACAATCGTGAGGGTAATAACAAGGCTTGACGAAATCTGTCGGGAAGTGAAGACTGCATCCATCATTATTGGGAACTCGACATTACACATGAAGATGTCACAGGCCCAAGAGGCGATCAAAAGGGACATTGTATTTGCCGCCAGTTTGTACTTGTGATTTAGAGACATATTAACGTTAACCTTTATAAATGTGCTAGATATATGTTAGCCGAAATGAAAGCCAAACCAGCCAACCGTTCCTATTTTCAGTGTCCAAACAGCTCTTTCACAACAGGCCTTGACACCTCATCGTGCAGCAATGCAGCAACTTTTTTCTGGTCGTTAATCAAACTGATGTAGCCTATTAGCGCGTGGAAAGATCGCCGATCGAATACTCGCTGGATTCGAATGGGCACTGCACTCTCGGGCATGGGAATTCGGGCTAGTCTATCGTACCGATGTCGTATGAAACGTTGCAGTAGCTTGTCGGGGGACCTCTTTGCCGAGCTCAGATGAGACATTTTAGCCTCATAATTAAAATCCAGACCACCTATGTCCTGTTTACTCTTCCTGAACACATCAAGAAAGGTTCTATTAAGGTTTAATTGCAAGGAGCTATTACCCAGTACCTGCAAGTGGCCCAGTCGGTGCGCTTTGCCGTCCGGCAGTCTTACCATGCAATCGTCTTTGGGATACAAACACTTGGCTAGTTCTCGAACTTCACCATACGCAATGCCATGCAAATCAAAACCAAGATTTTCCCTCACTACCTTCAACTTGGCTTCGTCTTTTAATTGTTGCCTATGCGACCTTTTATCAATGTTTCCGTACAATCTTAAACATCGCATCCTACTTTTTGGTCGAAAGAGATGAGTTTGTCGCAGCGAAAACAATAAACAACTTGAGCCTGGCATTGAAATTGAAATCGGCTCGCTCCTTTTCTGATGGGCAGCTACGATGGGACAGTTGTAGCCGTGTGCATCTTGAAAATTTAAGAAATGTGTTTAATTATTCAAGATTAATCTCATCTCATCGCATTACTGCAAGAACTTAAGAAGAGCAGTCAAGGGAAAAATAAGCTCGTGTATTATCGGGAAATGGCTCCTAAAGCACCTAGTTCCTCCAGCAAGAAAAAGGTCGGCTCGGGCAGCAGTGATGAGGCCAAAGTGCCCAAGTTCAAACTTCCATCGACCTTTATAGTTAGGCCTAGCAGTAAGATAGATGATCGTAACATCAGCCATGTTTATATGGCCAAGAAGGTTATGAAGGCTTTGGAACTCGATAACGGTAGTATGTGCGTGGTGGGAAAACTAAGCGAAAATGGGATTGTTGCGATCGCTCAGACGGGAGAGGATTCGATGATGGAAAACATTATACAAATTTCGGAGTCTCTGCGGTCGGTAGGGAATGTTCTGCTAGGCGACCGTGTGGACATTAAGAAAGTGGCTTTCCAACCGGATTACGCGTCGAGCGTAACTTTGGGTTCTAAGCAAGGTATTGAGATTCCGGCTGAAGCACAGAAGGCGGCTGAAAAACTGATCGACGAGTGTGGATTGGTCATGCCAGGGATGGTGTTTCCCGGACGCAGAATAAGCGACCAACTGATATTAGACTTGGTGGTCATCGAAATCAATGATCTGAGTGCAGATGAACTACCGAACATCTCTAAATTGACTTTAGGTTCTTCTGATCCAGAAAGTGAGACATTCTACCTCTCACCACCTGGAATTTTCCGCAAAGGTTCCACAAGTATCATCTTTGCCACGCAGACTGCCCCTCCGTTGAAGTACGGGCTTCCTCAGCCTGTTTCCTACAACAGCGTAGGGGGACTATCCAAGGAAATCGACCTGCTTAAGCGCACAATTGACCTCCCGTTGCATCAACCAACCCTTTTTGCCGAGTTTGGAGTAAGCCCACCTCGAGGAATTTTGCTACACGGGCCTCCTGGGACAGGTAAGACAATGCTACTCAGGTGTGTCGCGGGAGAAGCCAATGCTCATGTATTGACTATCAATGGGCCCTCAATTGTTTCGAAGTACCTTGGGGAAACGGAGGCAGCACTGCGAGATATCTTTAACGAGGCAAGGCTCTACCAACCGTCGATCATTTTCATCGATGAAATCGATTCTCTGGCGCCCAGTAGGTCTAGTGACGATGCAGGCGAGGTTGAGAGCAGGGTTGTCGCAACTTTATTGACGCTTATGGATGGTATGGGGAGTTCTGGCCGCGTAGTTGTGGTGGCAGCTACAAACAGACCCAATTCTGTAGATATGGCTTTGAGAAGACCTGGAAGACTTGATCAAGAGGTTGAAATTGGCATTCCTGATGTTGACGCTAGACACGATATTCTAGTTAGACAATTCAGCAAAGTTTCAGAAAAACGTCACGCTTTGAATGCCGAAGATATTCAGCTAGTGGCCTCCAAAACGCACGGTTACGTTGGCGCCGATCTAGTGGCTTTGTGTCGAGAAGCGGTAATGAAAACGCTACAGAGAGGAATTACTCAAAACTTGGATAGAGAATCTCTCAAGATAGTGCTGAAGGACGTCGAAGAGGCTATGGCTGAGATTCGTCCAAGCGCTATGAGGGAAATCTTTCTCGAGATGCCAAAGGTCTACTGGTCAGATATAGGTGGCCAGCAAGACCTAAAGCTGAAACTAAAGGAAATGATCCAACTTCCTTTAGAAGCCTCGGAGTCTTTTTCGAGACTGGGTGTATCTGCTCCCAAAGGTGTGCTACTATACGGCCCACCCGGCTGCTCCAAGACGTTGACCGCAAAGGCTTTGGCCACCGAATCGGGGGTCAATTTCCTCGCCGTCAAAGGTCCTGAGATTTTCAACAAGTACGTAGGAGAATCCGAGAGGGCAATAAGAGAGATTTTCCGGAAAGCTCGCGCGGCATCACCTAGTATTATTTTCTTCGATGAGATAGATGCACTATCTCCTGATCGGGATGCTGGAGGCTCCACTTCTGCAGCCAACCACGTTTTAACGTCTTTGCTAAATGAAATTGACGGTGTCGAAGAGCTTAACGGAGTTGTGATAGTTGCTGCAACAAACAGGCCTGATGAAATAGACTCAGCATTGCTGCGGCCTGGAAGACTTGACCGTCACATCTACGTGGGTCCTCCTGATTTTGACGCCAGGCTCCAGATTCTCAAGAAAAACGCCAAGAACTTTCATATTGAAGACGAAAAAGCGACCTTGCAAGACCTAGCACAAAGGACGGAAGGATGTTCAGGTGCGGAGGTGGTTCTACTGTGTCAGGAAGCTGGTTTGGCCGCAATAATGGAGAATCTCGAAGCAGACCATGTGGAAGCAAGGCATTTTGAAAAGGCGATCAAAGGAATCTCCCGAGGCATCAATCAAGAGATGCTGGACTACTATGCCGATTTTCAATCACGCAGTGGCATTTCAGCTTGATATCAGTTGCTCAATTGGGACTTCTTCTCATCTTATCTTCAGTCATCTCATCGCATTCGGTCGCTGAGGACGAAAAACCTTCAACTTTGTCTTAGACATTCATACCTTCAGTAAGTTCAACGTGAATGTCGTCTAGCCAAAATAGGGCCGGCTTGATGAGCCAAACTGTCAATACGCGAAAGTTTGTACGGATTGTCCGAGATGAACTGGTGAAAAAGCTCAACGTGATTTCCAATGGCGAAAACCCACAAATTTTAGTGCTACAGGCCCACCTAGTACCCTATGTTAGCAACTTGTGTACTTTCAGCCAGCTAACAGACTCGACGGCGGTTGCGAAGATAGTGGTTCATGATTCGAGCTGTCGCGCAAATTTAGAGGAGCTGATAGCGGAGACAAAGTATCAACTTGTATTTGCTGTTGATGTCAGATCGGACTTGCAACTACCATCCGAATTTTGTGAGACAATTCAAAGCCTGGACGCACAAGCTCCCCATTTGCTCTATGTTACATGGGAAACGGAGCCCTCTAATACACCAAGTAAACTGCCGCATTTTTTAAGTCTTCAACTGAAAGGAGCGGCAACAGTCCTTCCATGGTTTGTGGTGCCAACTTGTATGATTGACGATAACTTGCTTATGGCTGGTGTTTTGTACAATTCAGACGGCGAGAATTTGTACATGCCGCGGTTAAAATCAATGCAAAAGGCCACCCGTGGCATTCTAATGCAAAACTTGTCGAACGCCTTACAAAGCCTACTAGAAAAAACCGGCCTGACTATAACACACGCATGTTCATTTGGCAAAGACTCGCACCTGCTGGTCGATCACTTGAAAAGGGATGTAGATAGCCGCAAGACAGAAACAGACGTATTTCTTGATCAAGCGATGTATGGGGCCCGACATTCAGGATTACAATGCGATCTTGTAGTCATCGAAAGGGAAATGGATTTGGTAACACCGCTGCTATCCCAGTTAACATACGGTGGCATCTTGGATGACCTTTACGAGATAAACGATAGAGCTTTGATAAATGCACCAGACTTGGCGGATGTGGAAGTCATATCGCTCAATTATACAAAAGATGAAGTGTGGGACGAGCTCAAATTCAAGAACTTTGGGGCCTTGGGTCCGCGTCTCAATGAAATGGCTCGTGGGCTGCAAGCGGAGTACGATGCGCGACACCAGGCTGAGAGTGTGGGCGAAATTAAGCAATTTGTGGAAAACTTGAGTAGTCTTCAAGAGCGTCAAAAGTTTTTGAAGCTGCACACCGCTTTGTCTTCAAAAGTCGTCAGTGAAGTTACCGAAAAGGACGCCGGTGAAGACGAATCCATGTTCAATCGCATTTTAGAATTAGAACAGGACATGATAGCGGGCAATCTTAGCCAGCGTTCCACTTGTGAAAAAATCCTGGAACTTTTGCACGAGGGACAAGTGTCGTATCGCACAATTGTAAAACTATGCTGCATCTTCTCTTTAACACGAAACGGCATTCGTGATCGCGAATATGGCTTACTGCGTACAGAAATTGTGGATGCCTGGGGGGCGGAAAGCATGTTTGACTTACAAAGGCTTGCGAGAGCGGGGATGCTGCTTAACAAACAGCTTTTTGCCGAGTACTCTCCGTGGCGGGATTTTGATTCGTTTGCAAAGTATTTGGACCTCATCCCGCAGGTGGAAGAAGAGACAGATCCCGGGAACCCCTCGGAAAGCTCGTTTGCGTATTGCGGAACCGTGCCGATCCTGACGCGTGCCATACAGCTGCTGTTCGACCGCTCGGTAGTCACCAAAACGTTTTCGTCGCAGCAGCCGTTCATCATCTCGAGGAGCCCTTCATGGCGCGGTCTGGAAGAGATATTTAGCCAGCACTACGGGCCCGGCATCTTGCGAAACCAAGTGTGGGACGGGTCGACGTCTCCGCGTACCAAGATCATCGGCAAACCGGCCAAGGGCGCGGTGGACCCAGTGTTGGTGGCCGTGCTTGGTGGTGTCACTGTCGGCGAGATGGCCACGCTGCAATTTTTGGCGGACCAACTGCGGCAAAAAGGCATCTACAAGCGCTTCATCGTGGTCGCCGACGGCATAGCGGGCGGACCAAGATTCCTGGGAAACGCAGTGGCGGCCCCTACGTCTAGCTAGCGCATGTTTTTGCAAGAAAAATAGAACTCTACTAATAACAATGAAAATAATAGTCAGTTTCCTGTATTACCTAGATCTCGTATACTTGTGGCCGGAGGGGGTACTTCGCGTACCAGGCGCCCGACCCATGCAATAGAAACGGCTGAAGGCCAACCCCGGCCGGGCTCCTTCTCCTCTCTTTTCCGTGGTGAATGCAAGCTTTGCTTGGCTCTGCTCTGCTCCGCTGCAGTAGCGTTTTCTGCCACCCACCTAGTTTTCGGCTGCCTTTTCAGCCGCCAACTTGGCGTAGTAAGCCTCTCTTTTGGCAATCAAGTTCTTGTGGAATCCCCACCAGTAGTAGCTGCCCATAACACCACCAATGGCGAACCCAATGGTGAGATCAGCAGCAATTCTCTTTTTTAGTGTACCGGTAATAGGAGCAATGGCAGACATCGTAAATAAATAAACAACAAGCTCGGGTGTATCTGGCGAATCCGCTAACACTAGCTCTGTTTAATTTGAGTTGGCTTCACTTGTCTTAACCTTCCGTTAGTTTTCCAACTCGCTTTTCCAAATTTTCTACTCGTTAACAATCGTCTGATCGAGAGCCAATCACAGATGCTTATTTCCTTCAATTTTTTAATGCTAAAACTGGTGAAAAATTACAAGCTGATAGAGTGAATTACACTACTTACTGTCAAAAAGCATTGAACTAGACAGCTTGTTATAGCCCGAAACCGTCATAGTTTTCTCCCTCATCCATGCTATTCCCACAACTAACCAGAGTTGCCGCTAGAGTGGCCTCCAGAAGAGCGTTTTCCGCCAGCGCCAGACAATCCGCTGCGCACTTCAAGGAAGGTGTGTACACCAACATCCCAGTCAAGGTCAAGAATAGAAAGATTCCGTTTGCGTTGATCCACTTTGGATGGTTCGGGCTAGGGTTCCTGGTGCCCTTCATTTCATCGTACGTGCAGCTGAAGAAGTCTGGTGTGTACTAGAGGGCCACACGGGCGGGGCCGCCGTAGGGGACTATATCTAATCAGCACGTTAGCCAAGTAGCATGTACGTTTTGTACCAATAAATGAACATTAGGACGAGAGCAGCGGGGGGAGATGCGCGGCCAAAGAGGCTGCTTGAGGGCAGCTCCGCAACGGGACTATCACTCTGTACCACGCTGTCACAGGCACGTGACGTACCGTTATGCGAGCAGCATTTCAAAGCGGGCGCCGGTCGTTTCTCTCCTGCCCTGCCCTGCCCCGGCGCTGCACCTCTCAACACACACTCACCACCAGGAGAGACTCCATGCCGGCGAGTGCGCTCGACGTAGCTTGAAACGGCGAAGCCAGCGCCGAGCCAGCTGGATCTAGGCGCAACATTGCAACTTTGCCACTTCCCCAGGCCCTACGGCTGGTGAACTGCACCTGGAGCATCCTATCTGGCCGGGACAGTCGCCCGAACCCACGGCCCCTGCCAATGGTCCAAGATCACTTTTCTCCCGCCCGTCACTCGCAGGCAAATGTCACGTGACTTTTATATATCACTGCAAACGAAAACCACATGCGGCGACTCGGATTCCGCAACGTATGGTGGTTCTCACCCGTCGCAGGCAGCCGGGTCCACGCCGTACGTACCAGCGCGCGATTGCTTCCTACTCTGCCTAAAGCTTCAGGCGTGGACTCGCCTAGAATCCCTCGGTATTTTCCCGTTTTCTGCGTCTTCGTGGTCACCCTGCACTACGCCGATATTGAATGACACACTTATCGGGCCTCTATATAATAAGATGGAAAAAAGCTGGCTCACGTTGAGTCATGCTCTTAATCATACTTAAACATCAAACTTCATACACAGCCCGTTGGCAAATTGATCCTTTCTGATTTACAGAGCATCAATCGTAAGCGCCTGCCCCTCGCCTCGCCGTTATGTCAGCTATCAACATGATTTTCAAGAGGAACTTGGCCTCGCTGAGCAAGGTCAAAGTTAAAACGCCGATTGTGGAGCTGGATGGAGACGAAATGACCCGCATCATCTGGGACCGCATAAAGAACCGGCTGGTGCTGCCCTACGTGGACGTGGACCTCAAATACTACGATCTGTCGGTCACCAACCGGGACAAGACGGACGACATCGTGACGCACGAGGCGGCGCATGCCATCGCTAAGTACGGAGTGGGTGTGAAGTGCGCTACCATCACTCCCGACGAGCAGCGTGTGGAAGAGTTCAAGCTGAAGAAGATGTGGAGGTCGCCCAACGGTACTATCCGCAACATCCTGGGCGGCACGGTCTTCCGGGAGCCCATCGTTATCCCCAGGATCCCGCGGCTGGTGCCCGGCTGGGAGAAACCGATCATCATCGGTCGTCACGCCCATGGCGACCAATACAAGGCCACTGACGCCGTGATCGAGAAACCCGGTGTGTTGGAGCTTGTGCACAAGCCAGCGGACGGGTCTGCGCCCCAGGTGATGCAGGTTTATGACTACAAGGCCGGCGGCGTGGCCTTGGCCATGTACAACACCGACGAATCCATCCGCGGATTTGCACACGCGTCGTTCAAACTGGCAATCTCCAAAAAGCTCAATTTGTTCTTGTCGACCAAGAACACCATTTTGAAGCAGTACGACGGTCGTTTCAAGGACATCTTTGCCGAGATCTACGAAGCGCACTATAAATCTGAGTTTGAGAGCGCGGGCATTTACTACGAACACCGTTTGATCGACGACATGGTCGCTCAAATGATCAAATCCAAGGGCGGTTTCATCATGGCTCTCAAGAACTACGATGGGGACGTCCAATCCGACATCGTAGCTCAAGGTTTCGGCTCGCTTGGCTTGATGACCTCGATCCTCGTCACTCCTGACGGCAAGACTTTCGAGAGTGAAGCTGCCCATGGCACTGTCACTAGACATTTTAGACAACACCAACAGGGTAAAGAGACTTCCACCAACTCCATTGCGTCCATTTTTGCTTGGTCTCGCGGCTTAGCAAAGCGCGGTGAGCTGGACAACACACCAGAGGTAACTAACTTCGCCCACAAGTTGGAGGAGGCCACCTTGAAGACTGTGCAAGAAGATGGGATCATGACTAAAGACCTGGCCATTGCTTGCGGCAATAGCGAGCGTTCCGCGTACGTAACCACTGACGAGTTTTTGGAGGCCGTGGAAAAGAGACTCAAGAAGGAGATCGAGTCGTCAGCATAGTCGCTCCCACCCTTTCCTACGCTTGCTTCATATAATTCATTCCTGTCTTTATAGCTCTTTTTTCTTTGAAGTACCTAAATTCCTAGAACACTACGTCAGTTTGGCGAGTTCGGTTTTCCTCTGCTCCAGTTGATACCGCTGTTCATCCTTCTCTAGCCATTCCCAGGCCCAATAAAGGGCGTAATAGCTACCTACACACAGAGCCAGTGACTTACCCACCGGTTTCGCCCACCGTCGATAAAGCATGGCATGCGGAGAAGGCTGCGAGCGGTGGGCATTTCGGAGCATGGCGCTAGTTTTCATATTGACCCGTCGTCTTGAAAGGAGTGCTAGGCTCGGGCTGTAAGCTGCTAGACGCCGTTCACGTTGGGTTAAATAGTGAGTGGAGCCAATGATGCGATTATTATAACTAGGAATTAGGAATATGCCAAACGTAGCACCTTTAACGAACCCTCTGTTTCTCGAATCCGACACCATTTGACGAGTAGTGACTTGTTACTGAGACCAATCGAACCAAGGGGCCGCGAAGGCTTGAGACAAACAGCCCAAGTTCCAAATGGAACCCTTCATGTGGTCAAGCAATGCTTGTTATGTAAAATCTGTGTGCCCAATTTTGACGTTGCCCGTTGCTCGTTTGTTAACGAGCATAAACACAATCGTGCGACACTGGCGGAGAATTCTTGGGCTTGTAGGCTTGGGCAGAACTGTAGACTTGGGTAGAACACCATAGGCGGACTTTCAACACAACGGCTGGACTCGTGGTCAGCTCTGACACAAATGACATATAACTAACTATACATGAATATCATTTCGTCATTTAGAGACGCTCACGGCTGTCCTTTGCACACAGGGAAACCGAATCATTACTGGGCAATCGATTCTTCCTTCTGGAGGCCCCTTACGCATCTCCACAGTAGGTTGAACTCTTTTTTATCGGCACCACCGCACCCCATCCATCTGATCTTGAGCTGAGGGTCCACCACCAGCACATAGCTAGTGTACAGGTTGTTGATTTGCAGTTGTTCGCGGATTCCAAAAGGCAGTTGGTTTCTATCCGCAAGGAAATAACGGGAATGGCGCTCTGCGGGTACGCCCGAGCGAAGCTGCCCCATGGCCAGTCTCGCAAAAAGCGCCTTGAGTTTGTTTTCGGTGAAATTGATCTCAACTATTTGCGTCTGCACGGTACCTGGAGTTGAGTTCAATGGCGACTCATTCTTCAAATAGTCCACGTCTTCTTCGCTCTTGAAATAGGACTTCCCCAGCGAGTCTCCGGCCGCACTGGTGAAGATGCGCACCACGGAAACTTTGCCCAGTAAGGTGGTCTCTATATCCTGAAATTGCGAGCTGGCCAGTGTGCGGCCAACCAAATGCGGAAAGTACTGAGCTTTCTCTTGCTTCCAGAATGATGGAGGAGAAAGGAACAGCTTGCCGTTGGTCTTGCGAAACGTATACACATCGTAAAGCCCTCCTTTGCTGAATTGTAGTTCCAGTTCTCGAGCTCTTTGCGTAGTCTTAGCGTCGTCAAACAACTCACGTACGCTATTGCCCTCTTTGTACTTCACTTGTGGCTCCGGAGGGCTTGCCAGACCGATGGGTCGTACAAGCTCTTTCACAACATGTTCTTTGGGTGCTGTGTTGGCAAGATGTTTTTGAAGTCTGCCTAAAAATTGCAAGCTGGCAGAGCCGGTTAAATACCGTCTTGAGAAATGGCTCATATTGTTCAACACAGAAGTAAGTGAATGTGTGATTGTCAGTTCGACCAAGACCACTGACTTAAAAGTCATGATCAATTTATCACTGAAAATCAAAACATGGCCAGTTTGAATTCATTTGAGACTAACTCATGACATAAAATCCGTTAATGGATTAATGATAATCACAGCCTTGCGGCAAAATGGCATTGAAGCATTAGCCGGACTGGTTTACCCTTAATCTTAAACTTTCCTTCCGAAATTATCTTTTCTTGTATAGCTGACAGACGAAAGGCTCAATCGCAGCCGGAAAGTGAGACATAAGAGCTTGCCGCTTTGAACAAGAATGCTACTTTTGGCTGTTGAATCGTTTATATCTACCCTTAGTGTTTGACTGGATTTAAAGACTAATTGGTATTTGTGGACCCTGAACATAGTACTCATTATACTCTGTGTGTCACAGTGAGTGGTGACAGCGATCTTAGACAATAACAGAAAGAACCTGGACATGCCTCCCCATATCGAGTTCGAGATAAATCCACCAATCAATGGCGACTGTTTTGTCTCCAACGAACCGATCAGAGGGTTTGTGGTATTGAAGCTGAAGGGTCCTACATCTATCGTTGCAATATCCATCGAATTGCGCGGCACGGCTCAGACCCAAACAAATGATTGCAGCATCAGAACTCCGAGCGGAACTAAATCGTATCATACCTTGGTTCATTTGAAACAAGAGCTTTTCCCGGCGAGCAGTGTCAGAAACAGCGCGATGGATCCTAATCGAGGGTTCCAAATGTCAGGCGGGGAGCACAGGTTTTGTTTTGAGTTTTTGATTCCTAACAGGCCCAAGTGCGTGGGAGACCACGGGATGGCCTTGGCTGGGTTTACCAGAGACCAAGAAGAAGAAGACTTGCGGCTGCCACCATCTTTCAACAGCGGGGATTACAATCAGGGACTGGCAAGGTGCATGAATTCCTTCTACAAGTCCAGTGCTATAAGTTACTACCTCAAGGCTGCTGTTGAAATCCGCAGACCACGTTTTCCCATGCGGGATAATACGTGTGTCGCGTGGGAGTTCCAAGGCTTCAATTACATGCCTCGCCAGCTCCCGGACAGCTCGGTCACGATGCGGACGAGCCCAGGGCTCTGTTCCGTTTTCCGATCCAAGCGCTGTCTGGAAATGGGCGTCGATTTTAGGGCGTGGATAGAAATACGAGCCAGTTCGCTAGACAGAGTGTTTCGTCTGGATAAAATATTTCAGCCTGGTAGTGGGAAGCTAGATGACATAACCTTGGTTGTGAATAAATACCCTATGACTGCTACTGAATTCGAAATAAAGAAACTGAAACTAGGTTTGATGCAGGTTCTCAGTTGCTATCCCCTGGGGAGGAATAATAGGACGACTGAGTATATTCCACTCTTAGAGACAGACTTGTCCTTACGGCTCAGCATTCCACAAAGAACGGCGGAAGCGGGTGGAGTAATCGAGTTGCCATTACGGTTACAGCGGGCGGGAAAGTTGGCAGGTTACAAATTCAACGAGAAGAATATGTCGTACGGCGAGAACAGACTCTACAGCTTCACCACCTGCAACATCAAACGAGAATTTAAATTTAGTGTAGCTATCACAGTTGAAGCAGACGGAAGGGAGGCAGAATTGGAAGTCTTGACAAATTTCTGTCATATCGAGTATTTTTCAGCCATGGGTATTGAAGAACTACCCAAGTATGGGATGATTGACATCCCTCCTGCTTACTCTAACGGCTGAAAAAGAGTCAAATGGAGCTGGGAGCCCCACAAGCTATGGCCCTATTATAAAGCCAAGCAACACTCGCCGACCTGGGTGGATGCAATTATTCTAGCGAGGGGTTGTGTCACTAGGTCGAAATGGATGCGAAGTTGCCAAGCTGGAAGAAAGAGGAGACTATTTTCCATATAGTTCTTTGACAGCTTATAATTGAAGGGAAGTTGAATTGCGTGGACATGCAAAACACCATAACCAGGATGTTAGGACATGTGCGGTACAAAAGAGGATGTAAATTTGACGACGCATGATTTCGGTTGTGATATCTATGGCTATCACAAAGACTACAGCTTGTAAGCATTAAGCACAAGTAGTAATACGTGAGCATAGATTTCTGTTTTATGTCAAAGAGTGAGCCAGCGTCGGCGGTAATTAACTTGCTGACCTGTTTGTTTGATTTTTACTTTGCTAATGATAGTATATATGGGGCTTCTAAGCCGCATTCATATTGTAATTCTTGTACTAATTTGAACTATAAATCTCTTCCATATCTGGGACTTGATGCTGGCTCTTATATAAAATCCTTGCGGGAGGATAATCTGTGCGCAGTTAGAGCTGAGCTATCCAGTAATTGAACACAATAAGACGACTTTCTTGGCTGCTGAATAACTCAAACTACTGCCCAGCACATCTCTACCCAACCACTACTTCGCGAAATCCCAAGAGATATATATTATCTCTTATACATTCCTATTTTACTGACATCTCAACTATCATTTTGTACCATTATGACACCTAGCTATTGTATTTAGCTGTGCAACCTAATGCTATTCAAGCAGCACCAGGGCACTGCCATCTGGTAGTTCGAACAACTTGTCAACTTCCTTTTTGAATCTCAATGGGTAAATTTTTTATTTAATTCAAACGAAGCAAGGTGGCTGTGATATGTCAACCCCCATGGATGTCAGGGAGTATGGGATTCACAAGTTCAATGGAGAATACATCCTCTGGCAAAAGTAGTATATCGTACAGCTACAGGTTACATAAGGTTAATTCAAACATTTAGTTAAAGCGTGTAAAAGGTGATTAACGTCGAGTTTTCACTCACTCCAAATTAAGCATCTTTCTAAGTTAGACCATTAGCAAAAATAGTGGCAAGCACAGGTCGAGGTTCTTTCAGCTTGGCTGAGCATCGAGTATCAGAAATTTATGGAAGAGCAGCAAAACAAAAAGCTCAGGGTTGTACACAACCAGGATTACTGTTTAGGACAAAGTGGAAAATGATAGAGTTTGATATTTAAGATTTAACGTCTAACTACATGCTTGTTAAAGCACCGATGTGCTAGCCTTTTTGGAGGATCATATGATTAATGAGATTGTTCAAAAGAACAGGAAACGTTCCGAGGGTATCGTGAGTAATGGAGTGCGCTTAGCGTGCTTATAGAATCATACCGGCGATCATCAAACCACCAACCAAGCCCGATCCAGCTTCGAGCAGATTAGCAGCACCGGTCTGAGTAAGGATGGAGACGGATGAAGAGGAAGAGGAGAAGGTAGATGAGGTCGTCATTTGAGTAGAGAGTGTGGAGGCGGCAGAGGATGGAGCAGCAGAGCTTGTGGAAGAAGCAAAGGTGGAGGATGGAGCGGCGGAGCTTGAGGAGGAAGATGGAGCGGCAGAGCTTGAGGAGGAAGTAGAGGTAGAAGATGGAACGGCAGAGCTTGAGGAGGAAGTAGAGGTGGAAGATGGAACGGCAGAGCTTGAGGAAGAAGCAGAGGAGGAGGATGGAGCAGAGGAGGAGGATGGAGCGGCGGAGCTCGAAGATGAAGAAGCAGAGCTTGAAGATGAAGCAGAGGAAGACGCAGACGACGAGGCAGACGACGAAGCAGACGACGAAGCAGACGACGAAGCAGACGACGAAGCAGACGACGAAGCAGACGACGAAGCAGAGGAAGAGGCACTGGAGCTCACGGAACCAACAGTGACTTTCTGTTCCGAGCAGGAGCTCTTGAACGACGAGTAAGCGGAGCTCGCCTCATCGTTGGGGCAAACAGAATCTAGGCATTTCTTCAAGTCGCCGTTGTCCTTCTTGCAAACGCACTGCACGTTGTTGAGGCCATCACACGACGACGATTGGTCCGTCACCTGTGCGACACAGGCCAAAAGACACGCTGGAGGAGTCGCCAAAACTCCCGACGTAAAACCCACAACGGAGAGGGCAGCAGAAAGGGCAATACTGGCACGCATTATGAGATTGAATGATATGGAACTGGTGTTTTTCGATTCTTGACCTCGCTGGGTAAATCGATAAATTCAAGCGATGGAAATGGTTCAAACGGACAGAGAAAATACCTGACGTCGATCGGAAAAGGATATAAAGCTCTCAATCAAAGGGAAACCAGCGAAAACGAGATCTGAAAGATTGTTGTGGTGAAACTCTCAGGTTGTGGATGTCTCAAAATTTTTTAGACCAATACATACTGAAAACTATATTTATCTTTTCCGCTCAGAATACGCTCGAAAGGTCCACAAAAATCAAAACATCACACCACACGGTAACAAAGATCACGATCAACGAAAACAGAATATCCCAATATCATTTAATACGGAAATCTATACGATCACGTGATAAATAGGACGACGACTTTATTGGTCAAAGTGATACGACTACGGCTACGACTACGGTCCCCCATCCTTCCGCGTAGAGCGCTCCACCAGTACTACCGCTACTGCTGCGGACATGCATCTTGCAATTGTTTATCGAGATTACCCATGTCCTGCTCTCCATCCACCTCGAGCAACTTCTCAAGATCGGGGCCCCCAGTGGCATCCGCACTGTTGAACCCTTTGCTCACAGGCGAGTCACCCAGCTGCTCCAGCCCGTCCAGCAAACTGCCGATCTCGCTGCGGAATTTACCGTCTTCGTAGTCTGGTCGCTCGTAGGTTGCCACAATTTGATCCACTAATACCACCTGCTTGCGATAGCACTCTATTTTATCCGCGTGCTCCTCACGGTCTGCGTTCTCTGCCATCCAGCTTACGAATTCTGTCTGCATCTCCTTCATGGGCTTGTAAAGCACGTCTTTCGACGACATCTGGTTCAGCATGTTCTGGATCGCATTCTCCATACCTTCCTCGTCATCGTCAGCGGTACCGTCCACCAGTTGGTCCAGCAACTGCGAGAGCACGTCGTCATTAGAATTGCCCTTCTTCCGCTCTTCCCGCAAGTTCGCATCCACCTTTGTCCCGCTTTCCTTCAACCGGTCAAGCGTATTCGACACGACGTCTTTGAAGCCATTCGGTCTATCCCGCCCCCTGCTGTCATCATTCAATTGCTGCGACGGGCTCTTTTCCTTCTCCTTCTCTGTCGACCCCGCTTCTGCCAATGCTTTCAGCAACTGATTGACGCCGTCCGCTGTTCTTTTGCTTTCTTCCTGGGAGCCCGCATCGCTATTCTGCAAAAGTTTGGCAAACTCTCCCTGAAGGTCTTCCATGGCACCTGCGATCTCGGGATCCGTTTTTGTCGTCCTCGGGCTGCCACATTCATCCTTGGCAGCTGTTGTACTGGAGGCGGAGGCTGGCTCATCGTCAAGTTTTGACGGATCCTCTAACAAATCATCCAAATCCTCGTACTCATCCAAATTCGAGCTCATGATGCTATGTAAGAACGTCAATTCTTTATCTCAACTGGTGATGGCCTTTGGTATGTTTGATGATTAGTTTATTTAGGCTTATTTAATAGTTGACATCGAAAACTTTACCATATAACAAAGAACATCCGAAGGATAAGTTACGTAAAGGCTCACACAAATGTCCAACTTAGAGCTACTCCGAGCTCATATTTCCGATTCGAAAGCTGTGACACTAGTAACTCCAGCAGGTGAACAAACTGAGGATATTTCCGCGGCCAGTAGAGTAGTATTGGAACAAAACGATGAGACTAATGAACCGTTAGAGCTGGATCAAGAGACAGAATTTCAAGTCGATGGCAGTCATGTTCCCTTGAGAGTGGTGCTCCACTGCTGGCAACACAAGGATTCTAGCGCTGCGGACTACTTGGCCGATTGTCAGACCCGCAACATCACCAACATCTCATTTCTGCAAAGAATGGATCTGATTGCGTGGCTTTCGGGGGAAAGCGATAATTCCAAGTTTGTGAATACGGCGGAAAAGCAGCTAGCAGCGAAGGTGACTGCTCAGATGTCTGGGGAAGCATCGTCCTCGGCCAATGAGGACCCACTTTTGCTGGAAGCGCTTTCACATGAAAAAGTGCTGTTGGACCACAACTCATCGCTCAGGGGTTCAAAGCCCACCAATTTTGGCTATCTTATAAAAGAAGTGGAATTGAAGCTGGTACACTCCCTCAAGGGCTCTAGTAAGTCCAGAAAGGCAGCTGAGCGCGGTGGGGTGTCGAAACCAGACGCCGCCAAGAAGGCTGCAGCCAAGAAGGATCCAATCATCCTGATTCCATCTGCGGCATCATCAATTTTTACTATATCCAATATCAAACAGTTTTTGGAAGAGTCCAAGTACGTACACCCCAGAGACATGCCTGGCTCCAAATCCGACGTGACCACCGTGACGAAGAAGCTCGATCGGTTCGCGAAACCTATCAAGTTTATGATCGCCAGTAACACTCGTCTTTTCACAAAGCCAGAGTATTGGGACAGGGTTGTGGCAGTGTTTACAACCGGCCATGCCTGGCAATTTAATAACTACCAATGGTCAAATCCATCTGAGCTTTTCCAAAAATGCAAAGGCTACTATTTTTACTTCGCTGGCGACGTAGTGCCCAAGCATGTCGAACAGTGGAATGTCCAACGTGTTGAGTTGGATAAGAATAAGCGGTTCAGAGATGTTGAAGTTTTACGATACTTCTGGAACACTATAGAAAAAGAATTGGCTGGCCGTGGATACCAATAAAGATCTCGGCTTACTTTGCGACTTGCTAGCACCAGAAGAAACGGCTTGTCCGTACCCTACTACCCATTTAAGGCAAGCACTAGATGGATAATTGTTCCTTACTGCAGGTTATATTTGTGATGGTTCCTCGCTATGCGGCAACTGCCAAAACTGACAAGGGAGCTGGAAGATACGATTTCGCGTTTGGCGGAAAAGTTCAGTCTACTTTTTTAAGCCAGCTGAGGCAAAGGTGCCCGTTTGAAACCCTCCAATGGTTCTTAGAAATAGCAGACTTCTGTAGCAGTAAAAGCTTGCGAAAGCCACCAGTAGCCCATGACATATGAGCTATGCCATTTCCCGCCAGTGCCATACTGACTAACTTTATTTACACTATAGCACACCCTTGAAATATAGTGACGTACTTACATCTTACTTATAGAAAGGTGATGGAACATAACATGGCGTGAGATTTATTCTGGAAGTGAGAATCTAGAAACTCACCACTGATTAATATGACTTAGTTAAACTCATGTGCCCACAGAAATGCGAGCACTCCAGATAGCCAAATACGAGCCCTTTAAGTGTATTTAGCGCAAAAGTAGGATATTTAGCGTAGCTTATAGTGCCTTGCTTCTTTCAAGGACGCCTCTTTCCTAGATTCGGCCCTCATATGTCGTACTGAAGAGTAAGCGAGTTTGCCACCTCAGTAGTTTCTACTGCTTTCTTAAACTCTTCAAAGCCGAGTTTCCCGTCAGCATCGCCATCGTTTTCTTGAATTGTCCTATCCACAATTTGTTGTAATTGCTCGTCTTCCAGATTATTCCCCACCATTATTTTCAGCACTATGAATAACTCTCCATTAGAGATCAAACCGTCCTTATCAATGTCGTATATCTTGAAAGCGAATTTAAGCTTTTCATCTTTACTTCCCCTTCCGCTGAATATTGAAAGACCGGTGATAAACTCTTGGAAATCCACGTCTCCGCTATTATCTTGATCAAAAACCTCCATAATTCTCCCTGCCAAAGGATTAGATGAGACCCCAGGTATCGACATAAACTCGGCTTTGTCTATTGACCCTGAACTGTCTCGGTCCAACTTCATGAATCGTTTCCTAAGTCTCTCAATCTCATCTCTATCAACTAGATTCCGAATATAGTTAGCATTTCCCAATTGTGACCTCGATGTTTTCTCTTGTTCACATACAATTAGTATCCTCAAGAAGGTCATCCATGACCTTCGAGAGTCCAGATCCCATAGCTCTTGATTGCAGTCCAAACAATTCGTGATTGGAGGACCTGTAGGTTCAATCATCACTCAGTTTACACTAATTAATAGTGTGCCTTCGACATAATACTCGTTACGTATACAGTGATATAAATCCCACATCCTTTAAACCATATTTTGGCATCGTTGCTCTCGGTAGCAGCCCGTTCTTACCGTTGAGGTATTGTTAGACTCAGAATTTCAATAAGGGATTATTTTGCGAACCCTCCGTTTGTGTCTTTATGTCAAGTTTCGATCAATTTTTATTCTGTTTATCAAACTGATATTGACTTGCAATACCGCTCCCACCTTCTTCTAACGTAGCGCCTTCCTCCTCATAATTTTCTGGCGTGAAATCACTCCCCAAACCAGTCCACTGTCTCTGTTGAAGATAGCTAGCCGAAGTAGAAAAAGTGTTACCGATCGTGACCGCCCCAGAGAATTTCTCGACCAATTGGTTGGATTTCGTTGATTTTGGTTCCTCAGGACTTTGAATATTCACATGTACCAAATTACGTAGCGGTCTGGAGTTGTTGACGTAACGCCCACTTACAGCGTTGAATTCTGGCGCTTCACTCTCGAAATTATCGTTGTTGTGCTCTGCCAAAGGCGTATCATTTCTTTCACTCTCTCCTTCTCCTTTTCCTTCTTCTCCCCTATCATCATCATCGTCATCATCATCATCCTCGTTTTCTATTTCCTGCAAAACTTGTTTGAAATCCACAAGCCACTGCCCTGTCCAGGTAACTTCAGGATTTAATGCAAGGGTCAGTTCATATGGGGTGATGATGGGTTTCAAAAACTCGTTAAATTGATCCACTATGATACCACTTTGGCCACACCCAAGGATACACCAGACGTCAATAGCCTCGAAATTCGCTAGTTTGGCAACATTTGGTTTACCAACAACAAACATGTAGTGCTTCTTCCCATTTTCCTTTATGAGTTTCGCTACGCGTTTGATAGTTTCATTAGTGTTCCTGAGTGATAAGGTGTTAACTAGAATCCCTATTGTACCTGCTGTTCTGGCCTCATGCATGAATTTATAGCGTTTCATCATGGAGGGAAAGGGCCCTCCCGATACGGTGTTATCCACGGGATCGTAAACCTTCAAAGACTTGAACTTGGTTGTCAAAAACAGTAGTCTTGGATCTTCTGGGATTGTTATATGGAATAAACTGTAATCACTCTGAAACTCCTCTGAACTAATGCCGCTGATTTCATCGAGTCCAAGTATGACCCTATTCTCAACTACTGGGGCATTGCTGGAACTTTCGTGGCTTTGGAGGCCAACAAAAGATGCATTGGGACCCGCATAGTCTTTGTTGATATTGCTGAATAAAACGTTGGAATAGCCCAATGACCTCAGATTCTCATGCAAAGCTTTCAAATGGCACGAATAAGGAGCATTCGCCATCAAGACCACTTTTTCATTAAGGTCAGAATACTCTTTTTGGAATTGGACAGCGGTAGCCTCCAAATCTAGATATGGATTTCCGAAGCAGTAAAGAACAGGCAGCTTTTGAACTGCATTGAGACAGGCATCACCAAAATGAATCACCAAGTCGCCATTGACGTGTTCTGAAGCCACCTCATCTACGCAGCACGCACTGTATGCTGTATCTGCGAGAATCCAAACCCGCCTGGCTCGATTTTCCGATTGCAATCCTTCGTCAGAACTCTTTTGGCAACAGCCCGACGCCTGATCGCCGCTTTTGCATGCTGATTTCAATTTTGAGTTAGCACTTTCACCCGCAGAGTGGTCGAGGATGTTTTGCTGGAGTAATTGGGCTATAATTGCGGCATCTTGAACCAAACTATCAGGGAACTGCAATGTTATTTTATTGAAGTGCTTATTCTCATTCAAGAACCTCACGATGTCATCTACCCTATAATGGTTTCGCAGATGGACCACCAGGTCTTCGTGTGTGGTGGGATTACAGCCTAAATAACTGTGTCTGTCTTTCACGGTGTCAGTAACTCGACCGAGATTAAAAGTTTCTTCCGCTTGGGTTGTCGAGAGGGCTGGAGCCACCACTGTTTCGCCGTTCATTTTACACAAGCTTGTCAATAAGCAGAATGGAAAACAATCTTAGATTGAAGTGCGAGCTCACTTTTGTGACTTCTGTTAGCTTTGTTGATAATCGCGATGAGATGAGATGAGATAGATTTCGAGTAATTTTTCAATTAACTTTTTGAAACTATTCAATATAGACGGCCAGGCTTGCGAGACTGCCTTTGAAGGTTACAGATTTGATTAGCGTTCGACTAGTGCATTCCAAGAAGCTATTTTCTACACAAGACTTCTGAATATGGATGAAATCAACCTTGGTGTCACCTGTGACATGCATGTTCACGTAAGGGACGGTGCCATGTGCGAGTTGGTTACACCTACAATCAGAGAAGGAGGTATTTCTGTGGTCTACATTATGCCAAACTTGCAACCTCCAGTGACAACTTTGGAAAGAGCCATTGAGTATAAGCAGAAATTGCAGAAGCTAGCACCGGAAACTACGTTTCTCATGAGCTTTTATTTGTGCAAAGATCTAAGTCCCGAGTTGATCCACGAAGCTGCAAGAAAGGACGCTATTCAGGGTGTCAAGTGCTACCCAGCGGGAGTAACTACTAACTCATCAGCTGGTGTGGATCCGAATGATTTTAGCGACTTCTACCCAATTTTCAGGGCCATGGAAGAAGAAAACTTGATCTTAAATTTGCACGGGGAAAAGCCCTCTGTGGGAGAGGAGGGCAACGATATTCATGTCTTGAATGCCGAAGAGTCATTTTTGCCAGCGTTAAGAAAGCTACATGCAGATTTTCCCAACTTGAAAATCATTTTGGAACACTGTACTACGGCAGCAGCTATCGAGACTGTCAGAGATATCAATAAGAACGTAGCACAGCCTGCGGACATTAGGGTCGCGGCTACCATCACTGCGCACCACTTATATTTGACCATCGATGATTGGGCTGGAAACCCAATAAATTTCTGCAAGCCCGTGGCAAAGTTGCCCAAGGACAAAAGAGCTCTAGTTGCAGCTGCCATCTCTGGCGAACCATACTTCTTCTTTGGTTCAGACTCTGCTCCCCATCCTCTATGCAACAAGGCCAGACACGTAGGTGTATGCGCTGGGGTCTACAGTCAGTCTCTGGCCATACCGTATGTTGCCGAGATCTTCGACACCCAAGATTCATTGGACAAGTTGAAGTGCTTTGTATCTGACTTTGGGTTGTCCTTCTACGGTGTCAAGAAAAGTGACCTCAAAAGTCTGGACGAAGTTATTCTTTTCCGCAAAGAGCAACACGTACCAGAAACGATAGGCGATGGATCCGACATTGTGATTGCACCATTCAAAGCGGGTGACACTCTAAAATGGTCTACGAAGTGGGCTAAGTAGGATCATTATCTTCTTCTCACGTATTGCAGCTAACTTGATTTATAGTATATGGCAGCTTAATGCTATACGAAACACGTTCGTCGTTGTTCGTCGTCTCTATTTACTATTGCCCCCTTGACGCTGTTGATCAATTTCATCATCTTCCTTCCCCTTGGTTCTAGCGCCCTTAATAAAGCTCAGCACACCATCGTCGCCAGAGAATTGGTACCCAAATCCTCGAGAAATAGTAAGCGATGCTTCAAGACCTTCTAGAAGAGTTCTGGAAAGCGTGTCACTTGCTTGATAAAAGTAAGGGCCGCGTAAACAATTGATTAGAGTAGTCTTATCGCGCGGTTGATCCGCGGGGAGGTGCTCTAGTAGTCGCAAAAGCTTTGGTGAGTCAGAATCCATGTTTTGTACATGATCAATGATCAGTTGCTTCGTTAAGAAATCATTGATGTGAGCGATTGGTCTAGAAAGATTAGTATTCAAATATACTGCAATGAGCTCCTATGGGTACCAAAGCCCTCACAAAAACTTACTGGTTAGACGGCTGTTCGACATCCATCTCAACGTCTCGGTCTTCGTCCTGATTTCCACTCTCTGCATTGACATCCTCTTCCTCCGAGACTAGCAGTTCATCAAACTTCCTGACAATCGATTTGTCGGCCTCAGATAACTCATTGAGCTGCTCGGAACCCTGATGTTTGTCCTGCATCCAGAAGAAGTACTTTTCCTCAGACGAAAATACCAAGCAGAAAATTCTCCCGTTTTTCGAAGATTTTATGTGAACCCATTTTGTCGTGTCCGGGATCAAAATCAACTCTATCGTTTGAATGTTCCCAGATGCGACTTTCTCAGTTGGTTTCCACTCAAAATCGTAAAATCCCTCCGCCTCTTCGGAGTGCTTTACAACGATCTCTCCCTTAATTGGATTAGGTGAACAAACCTTAGAGTTTTCATCAAAATCGGCAATGCCTGCTCTAAACTTGAAGATTTCTGACATTGTACACGGGGTCGTGGGGGTTTTGTTGCCGCCTTCGATGTTGGTTTTGCCACCTTCTTGACATAGTTAGATCATTACAGCTACTTTAATTTGAGGTGACAAAATAGTACGAAATGATTACTAAGAGGAAGAGCGTCGGGCTTGTTATTCGAGTTGAAATGTTAACTGACGGTGGCTGTGGCCACATAGCTCAGGGAGCTGTGAATCTTCAAGCTCAAGCACTTTTTGCCAGATGCAGGCGTCTAAAGTTGAAAGTTATGCGACAGGAAAAGGAGAGCGATGAAACACACATCACCCTTGAGGCTCCATGCCGTCACTACGGCGTATAAATGTACCTTGAGCACCCACTCTGTGTTATTTTGATTTCAATCTGATCCACGGGTTTCTGATCTATTTCAGTGCCAAAAATGGGTTATCTCAATCACCCCGATAATTTACATATCTCATAAAATAAATCGCCGACACACACCGAGCTTCAAGCACTGCTTTTCAGATGTCTGGACTTTTCAAGGCTCTGGTGCTGATATTGCTGCATTGTTAAGGGGTGCTAAACATTAATTAAGGAGACTGCTGATTTTGATGCCCTTATTATCATTGTCGTAATAATTATAAAGTTCAGTATTTGTACTACTGAAGCGAACTTACACTTCGAGTTCGGACAACAGCACCGTAGCAGTATGTATCGAGTCGGGCTGGGATTAGATAGATGGCCAGCGATAAGAGCGGCCGGCTTGGTACTTTCATAAGTCACGAGCATGCGATGAGAATTGAAAGGCACTAGGACCATCGGAACAGTGTGTTTTAGTTTGTTAAGACTTGGTTGGATGCGTGGGTTTGATTATCGCAGAAGAATAATCTACAGAGTAGAAGAAGATCTGTCCAAAAAAGTTGAAACGTAGCTGAAACTATAAGGACATTGCTTGAGACTGCGATGCTAACGAAACTGTCGAGAAATACATATGAGATATAATTTTCAGATTTTGATGTCGCATGGATGAGCATTCGTGACTGGTGTAACATTCATATCTCGATCAGGCCCCAGGAAGCGAAAATGTCGATAGAAGCACTCTAAAAATAATGTTAACCAACGAAATTACGTCCATAACTTACAGTAGCACCCAACGCCTCGTCATCAGCTCCTGAGTAGAGTTCTGCTCGACAAGACATGAAGGAATGAGTTAAGAAGTAATCTTGGACGAGAGGGTGTATTATATTATTACCTGTCAGTCGCCTAAAAGCGTTGTCACATCGAATGGCATACAGCTTTGGTGACCATGACGGCTGAATTTCCACCATCGGAGGCTACCCGTGTGGTGCAACGCATTTCTGAAATTCTAGTTTCTCGCAATGAAACTATAGCCGTTAGTGAAGCCGCCTGTGGTGGCCTACTCTCCAGCTATTTGGTTTCCGTTCCTGGCGCGTCGCAGTGGTTCCATGGAGGAACTATGGTATATAGTTTGAAAAGCAGGCTGAAGCTTAGTGGTTGGAGCGAGCAGGATATTCATGACTACACGGGCCCCAGTGTGGACGTTGCCCTGCGATTGGCTCGAAATCTGAAGTTTGAGCTCGGTGCCAGTTACACACTGTCCGAAACGGGATACGCTTCGCGCTCTCCCAATCTAACCTCTTCAAATCGAGAACAAAATGTAGGAGTTGTTTGTTATGGTGTTTCCGGTCCTCACGAAGACATTTCAGCCACCCACGATACGGGCAGTGAAGACAGGTGCTACAACATGCAACAATTTGCCATTCACGGTCTTAAGTTCTTGCTAGAACAGCTCGAAAAAACACACGCTGAGAGACAAACCAAGGAAGAGGTGGGCCCAGCCACAGACCAAAAATCTCTAGTGAGCCCCAGCGGAGCACAACCAACAAAGCAAAAAGAAACTGACGAACCTAAGACCAAGAAGAAAAGGTCGAACCAACCCTAAGTGCATTGTAGAGTATTTAATTGAAGTCATGTTGGCGTTTTCCATCAGATCGTGGGCTGCTGGCATCTCGACCACGTCGATAATGACATGGAACCCTCAAATAGACGTTATATCGTACATCGTAGCTCTGTCTACTTCATCCTACAGCTGGCCCTCATACAACATTAGTGGGTTCTAGCAATTGTAAAGGTCAACGCTATTAAGGCCTATATAAGGAGTCTTTGCGTGTGTTCATCATGTCTCCGCCGCCAAGCTTTAAGTGGACTCCTACGGAGCGGTTGATCCATGGCAGGATCATCACCAAGTTCTTACCTTTAAAAAGGTTCCCTCATTTGGGGCTTGAAAATACCAATTACTCCAACCTCTATCCTGGCGATGAGGTATACGTTTTTGAAGAAACAGCGGATGGCCGCTGGTTCAGAGGCTACATTTGCTGGCAACCTCTGCCCGAGGACTTTATAAGCCGTCAAAGCTCCTTATCCGAAAAGCTTCCGGATCAAAAATTCAAGGTCGTGGTCTTTCCACAAAAATTTGTGCATTTGAACTATGATGACCATGTTACCGAGCAGCCTTTTTTGGCCTCGTCTGACATCTCCCAATTCATCACTTCCGATACGAACACAAATCTTCCCACGCTGAACGAACTGACCGCTAGCAGAACCGAAAGGGAAATTTTGGCCCTCAATGGGTCTGTAGCAGGGAAAGCTCGTCGTCCGCCCTTTCCGTATTTTCGTCTTCAAGACTATGATGTGGTCGAGGAGTTAGCACCAATGCTTTCTCAGTTAGTTTCACACATTTACTCGATGTACTCCTTTGGTGAATTCGACGTTGCTGAAAACATGTCTGACCTCTTTTACAAGCTCGATGATATACGTCTGCGGCTAAAATATAACCTGGCAACTAAAGCGGAACATGTTCAACTTGTGAGAGATATGTGCGCTACCTCATACAAGATTGCTAAGTACATTTCTTCGAAAACTCTGAATGCCGCGAGTCTGAAAGACGAATTAGCAAATGTGGTTGACTCCTCTGGCTATGGTGGCATTTTGTGTCGGGATATGAATTCTGGAAAGCTTTACAAGACGGGAGAGACCAGTCCTCAACTCGTAGCCACCATGACAATGTTAAGCGCGTTGAGCAATAATTTTCCCAGCACAAGTGTGTATCAACTAAAGATGGTGCCTTTGAAGAATGTCAGCTATGACTCTCTCGAAACCACGAATATCCTGGTCGATTTGAAAGATGCTTTGAGTGATCCAGCGGTGAATCCCAATTTTCAAAACCTCTCGGCTATTATGTATTTGAGAGGTGGGAAAACTGCATTGACTGAGCCATTCGTTTTAAACATGGAGCGTGATGCAGTTATTTCGCTTAACAACATATCAGGTGCCTTGTTCAACAACATTCCTCCAGGTGAAATTGATAATAACAAAATTTATCTTGTGGTCGTTTTGACAGAAACGATCGACGTCCAGCTTATGACACCGGATTCCAACAAAACATTCAAGAAGCCTTTTGCTCCATTCCTAACCGGGACGGATAATAAACTATCACAGATTAGAAAGGGACTTGCCGCTGGTGTGATCGACATTTCTAGGCTTTTAACACGTAAGAAGAAGCATAAACTTTTAGGAAGCGCACATCAGTTCAACGTTGAGCTTTTTGGTTCTTATTTTCCTACCAAATCCAAAGATAAATCGGACTCACAAGCAATAGTAAATTCCCCGATTTCTCCAAATGCTGCAGCTCTGGCTAGAGCTGCTAAAAGTGAAGAAAATAATGGTTGGGGTGAGTTAGTAGATAGAATAATTGGCGACGCCAATAAGGGTATTGCCGTCAACCCACGGATTTTATCATTGGCAGTGACCGTAAGGGAAATTGAGGGAGACAGTGGTCACTCGAAGACGCTGAAAAATAATATGACTGCCATTCAAAGTATTCCCACATGTTCATATGACCCCATGTCAACTCCAGATGACAGGATTTATCTGACTTTGGGCAAAACATCGCTCTGTGGATTTGGAAGACTTGATACTAATATCACAAGTGTTGCCATTTGTATCTCCTCTAGTAACCCTAAAGTTACTTTCAGGAACGGTGTGAATGATGATCCTCAGAAGCATTGGATGTTTGTATCAGTAAAGCCTGACGAAGTTATTGGCGAAACGGTCCGCGTTGATGGCCTTTCGGCAATGCAGAACGATGAAACGTTAAGGTTGTCCGCCTATCTCAACGGGTTTCTGATGGCGAAATCAAAATTTTATATCAAGAGGAATGAGCAAATTATCCAGTATGCCAAAAAATCTGTATTCCAACTGATGTCTACCACAAGCGAACCACTGGTTGATCTTGAACTGACCACGAAATACGTGGGTAAAAGTTTTAATGTAGCTTCTACTGTTCGAAACTTTTTGCAGTGTTCATACAACTTCGGAAATCCTTTCCAGTACTTCGAAAAGACTTGCATCCAACTATTAACAGAGATGAAGCCGACCCCTGCGGATGAACTGGTGAAATCTTTTGATTCAATTCTCACCAAATTAGTAGATGTATTTCATATCGCGAATGTCAAAGAGGCCCAAAGTTCTTCGCTTGCATTTATGAATGCCTCTTTCGCCTCATTGATCCATTTTCTGGATATGGTCATTGCACGTCAAGAAAACTATAGACACCTCTTCAATGATTTTGTGAATTCTTTTTCGAACAGCAACAGACAGCTTCCACGGGTTGGAGTACAATTAATTCAGTGCGCATCGAGAATATTTCATAACTCACATGAGGAATGGGATCATAAGGGAAGGACTCTGTGCCGCGTATCAGTTTACTTGTTCAAACTTGCCGTCCTACTTTCTGATCCACATGATCAAGATTTGGAAGATGCATTGGATAGCTACTTCGAGGGCGTCTCACATTTTTTCAGGCTTAAGAAGGAATCCTCACTTGTTGACCAAGTGTTAATTTTGGATGCACTTGACACATGGGTTTTAGTGTTAGCGTCGCATTGCGATCCTGGAAGATTGATTGATGGTTCAATAGCGCTATTCACAGCTTGCGCAGAAAAGGAACGGGCGAGCGGAATGTACCGAAGACCTCTTTCGGTCCGGGAGCAGAAATTTGTGGCTTCCAAATTCTTGGTTATGCGTCGTCTGATTGGCGTTGACGTCGTCAGGAAGACGCTACTTGAATTTCAGGACGATGGAGTCCATCAGCAAACTTTTGTTGCCAAATTGATTGAATGGTCCTTCGACCCGTTCCTTAATCATAGCGGCGACAACTTGCACTTAACCACTATTAGACTTGCTAACGGAGTCCTTTTGAGTGTCATTCAACATGCATCCCCAACGGTTCAAAGAAATTTAATCAGGCTTATTCCAACATTATGCAGGTTTTTCATCTTAGTCAGAAAGTACTGCAAGGACAAAGACCATTTCAAATATAAAAGAACGTTTACAAAGCTTTTCCCCATCACTTTCCCCTTTGACGAGATTACTGTTGACTCCATCGTTCAGGAAGAAATGGTAGTGGAGGTGCTTGTGGAACTAGCAACTTTAATTGCATCCATCACCTCGATGGCTGAGGATACCTTCAAGAACTCAACATCCTTCGTACAAATTGTGGGACTATGCTCTAAGGATGCACCTTTCAATTCTGTTTTCTACACAACGCACTTTGCAAGGGAAGACATTTTAACTATGGTGCACACTGTCAAACTCTTAATGAAGGGGAGATTTTTCCCCAACAAAAAATGGTTTTCTATGACTGAGGTGTTTGTTAGGAGCTCTATATGTCTATTCAGGTTGAGCAAGGACATTCTTGTAAGGTACACGATTCCTGCAGTGGGCTCGAATGACCCCTTAGATATCAAAGTGTGGAGTGAATGGATGAGAGTGTTGATTTCGTTGGGCAACCATATTCCTTCCAACCCAACAGCACTTGCAGAGCTTCCAAGAAAAGCGCTGCATTTGATTTGTGGTGATTACAGACGCGAAGTTTCTCTCATATTGGGTGAATGCTGGGATGCTCTTGGTGAGGATACATCCGGCTCAGAGGTATGGGATAAGTATGGTATCAAACGAGCCAAAGGCTACCAAAATCATCTCGTTCGCGCGGACAAGACCTTCGTAAGAGAAATAATGGAATTCACTTTACAACGACACACGCTTGCTCGCAGAACGGGCGCCAAAGTCATTTGGGGTACTTCTGCAAATTGCTGGTTTGCATACGGGACGTTGCAACCCGTAATATTGCAGACGACTTCTGAACTTTGTTTTGCTCATCAATCAAAGAGATTTATCCCGACGGCCCAGGAGTCAGAAAATTACCTGAAAGCACTGGTTTACACAATTCGTCTAAGACAAGACGATGAAATGCTTGATGCGCTGGTTAAAGTTCTGAAACTTGTCCGTGATTTGCTAACGGTTTTGACCGAATACAGTGAGATACCGGACGACAAAGAGTTTGACGACGACAGAACTGCCCACCAAATTACTATTTTTGGCTATCTATTGGATGCTAAAAAGCCAGAAGAATTGCACAAGCTCATCAACGATCTCTATCTCTATAACCTACAAAAAAAAGATTACGTGCAGGCAGCATTGAGCTTAGAGTTGCTTGCTAGAACCTACAAATGGGAGCCTAATGATATGCTTGCCTCAGTTACCTTTCCAGCTTTGCCAGAGCAATCTTCATTTCAAAGGCGCGAATATCTCTATAAGGAGGCCGCACAGCTTTTCCACAGAGGACTGAAGCTTGAGAAAGCTTTGTCAGTTTACAAGGAGCTGGCTCAAGCATATGAAAAGATTAACTACGACCTAAGAGGGCTGTGCAGTGTCCATGGTAACATTTCCAAATTGTACGGAGATTTGCAAACGGTTGACCGGTTGATACCGACCTATTTTAAAGTTTCTTTTGCTGGATTTGGATTTCCATCATCCACTAGAAATAAGACGTTTATTTACGAGGGTCTTCCTTTCGAACATATCACATCTATGCAAACTAGGCTGTTAGCCTCTCACCCGGGTTCTCGAATGGTGGGATCTCAGCAAGAGGCAGACAATTTGCTTGTGAACCCCCCAATTGGCAAGTTCGTACACGTTCTTGCGGTTGAACCTCGGGTAGAGATTTCGGATGCATTCACAAACAACACCAATAAAGAAAATGCTAACAATAAAATTCGACTCTATATTGAGAACAGAGACTTGAACACGTTTTCAACTTATCGGATGCTCCCGGGGGGGAAATCAGCCACTGAGCTCTGGGTGAAAGAAATCACGTATAACACTTCTTCGACTTTCCCCACACTGATGAACAGAGCAGAGGTTACGAGCACGAACAACCGGACTCTTTCGCCGGTTCAAAATGCCATATGGTCCATGCAGCTGAAAATACAAGATCTTACAGGGCTCGAAGTCACGTCATATAAACTTTTGAAAGAAAACGGCGATTATTCTGCTATATTCCCTGAGTTATCCAGAAACATTAGTGGTACTATCGATTCCCCCGTCAATGGTGGCGTTTCTCAGTACCGTGATTTCTTCACTAAATCGAACATTGAGGCGTGCAGTGACGATCAGTTGGAATTGTTGCGATCTACATTTGACGAGCTCGCGACCACATTGAGCAGATGTCTGACGTTACACGGCCAACTATGTCATGGACATCTGAAGAAGTCACACGAAATGTTGTTGAACCTCTTTCACAAAAATTTCGCGGGCGAGATCAAGCGCAATCGCATTGTGGTGAGCGAAGGCGACTTGGAATTCATGAGCCGAGTGACCTCGAGATCGACGGACACTGCGGCCAGTCAGGGATTGCCTGACGTAACAGTTGATAACATACCAATCATGAAACCTCTGAATTCCAGTGCCCAATCCATTACCTCATCGGAATCTGGAGCGTCAGAGAGCGTAAGAACGCTTTCAGTAGCGGAAACTGTTTCCCAAAATGCATCACAAAGCTCTACACCACTTCCTACTGGAGTTAAGACTACTTCACGAACTTCAGTGCAGTCTTCTAAATTGAGCTTGATTCGAAACGGGATAAACCGCAAGTTTGGCAAGAGTAACAAACCAAAACCTTCGTGAAGTGGTGGTGTCTGGAAAGACATGAAACGATTCCTTGGGGCGGAAGAACGTCAACCGGGGAAATACAAATCAGTGTGGTCCTAACTCCTTTTACATAATTTGATTTTCTAAACACATATTGCTGCTGAGCCCTAACTTAGCTTGTGAAGGTAACACAAATTACGACGCGCGTATGTCGGTTGTACTGCGCGTGTTGGAAACAGGTGAAACGCATCGTCCTTACCACTTAATCCAAGCTTTCTGTAACTTGATAAGCCTTAACTGGACACAACTAGATCTTACTACCATAATTGACTATTATAACCGACTACAATAAAAAACTACCATAGCGGATCCCAACAACTTATCTCCAGAACTTATCGGCAAACTGCCAGATCGACGTACGTTCAGAAACTTACCGAGCTTCAACGATTTCGTCCACACTTTCTTGCCATTCATACTTATAAAGGCAGGATAGCTGGAACCGGTCCAAGCGGGGTAATGCCCAAAGGATTAACTCTTGGGTGGCTTCGAGTATAATGTAACTTGATATGATCGAAGTTCGTCGTGTCGCGGAAAGCGGGTATGTTCCAATACAGATTACGAAGCCATAAGTCGACCATAGGAAATCCGTCTCTAATAGTTGACAAGTTGCACTTAAAGTGTTGAACGTAAACTGGGTCGAAACGAACAATTGTAGGGTACAGACGCACGTCGGCCTCTGTCAATTGCTCGTTGATCAGGAATAATTTCGAAACTGCTCCCTCTGCACCATATTTGCTGACTGCTGTGTCATAATTGATCCGAAGGATGTGCTCAACCTTTTGGAGATGTTCAAAGACACTCGAGACTTCTTTTTCATATACTTGTGGAGATTCCGCAAAACCTGCTTTGTAAACCCCGTTGTTGATGGTATTGTAAACCCAAGAATTGATCTCGTCAATCTGAGCTTCCAACTCTTTGGGCAACAGATCCAGCTGGTTCTTTTCTGGGTCGGCAAACTCATCGAAGACACCGCTGTTCAAAATGCGTATGATCTCTGAGCTCTCATTATTGACAATGGTTTGAGTCTCCAAGTCCCACAAAACAGGAACCGTGAACCTGGCGTTGTAGTTGGGGTGGGCCTTGTAGTACAATTCTTTGAGCCTATTGTAGTGGTAATTGTGTTCGATTGTTCCATCAACGCCCAGCCTCTGCGAGTCATTGGTTACGCTTGACACGGAGCTGCTCGTGGGGGTACAGGCGATTCCAGAGGCAGGACTATAAACGTCGCCAAGTTCGTCGGCCGAGCTTGCACTGTAGGGGAGGAAACGCCAGCCCTTGGCATCCATATTCCAGTGAACCACAGAAACCCCAATAACTGATGTTAGGCCCTTCAATGCTCTTGTAATCAAGGTCCTGTGAGCCCAGGGACATGCTAGCGACACGTACAGCCAGTAGCGACCCTTGGCCGGCTTGAAAATGGCATGCGATGGAGAGATTGTTTCTCTAAACGACGACACTTGTCTTTTGAAAGACCCATCTTCCGCGTTAGCCCATTTCTTAGTATCAGACATACTTGATTGATTAGATTTAGTTGTCTAAGGTCTGCTAGGTGTGAACGATGTAGGTGAGATGCAAGGCCCAAGCTAGCTTTTATACACGAGCAAGTTCACAGAAGGTCAGGCACCCTTAGCAAGGACAGCTTCGTGCCCCATGATACTAGACGCTATATATCTCGTCTCTTACTAATGCGATCTTTCTATCATTTCAATTAACGACTTAGTCAGGTCTTACTATTATTTGTAAATTATAGAACGATCTATCTGTACTCTTCCTGTGGGCGTGATTATAGACATATTTCATGACATTACTGTACAGAGTGATAGTACGAGTGTCATGAAATAACTGACATATCAGGATGACAATTCAACGAAATGTGATACAAGGACAAGGTCCTGGTGGAGTATTTCCACCTAGCTTTGACTTTTGTTTAATCGCAAACTATGGGGTCCATTAGTTGTATGAACTTGATGATTGGAAGAATTGGAGAAGGTGTTAACGTAAACGTCGGATCCCTACTATATGTTCAATATCTGTTTCCTTTGATAAGTTGAATGGATTAGCAGACCGCCTTCTAATGACGCTGGCTTTTCTTCGATAGTATGAAGTAGCTCAAGCGCAAGTGTCCCTTAAATTAGAATTATAGCCCCATTAACTGCTAACTATTCAGAACTGTCGACATAAAGACGATACAAGGCCCTTCCCATTGGCCCTGTCAGTTAAAATTCCTTTGGCGACACTCGCGCTAATATAGAGCAGGCACTAAGACTGATTGCAAACTTGAGGCATCCTAGCGTCTGGACAAAAAGTAAGTCGTTCAAATAGAAGCGCTCTTCTGCGTTTTTCTCTCTACCTCGAAAAGCCCTAAATTGCGGAGGAGACAACCCTGGCGCGGTCTTCGTTCTAGTCGATCAGCAGCTAAAGCCGTCATTTCCAATTGATTGTAATATTTTTTGCAAGCTTTACTTTCAAAAATATGTCCTGGTGGTAGGACACCAAATTTCAAAACTTTTTGGAGCTCTCTCCCACAGCAAGAGACGAAACGAGGTAATTGGATTGTGTGCATCCTATACTACACCCATATTTGCAGTTCTCTCGTAGCTCCTCATTTGGCATCATTTTAGCAATGTACACAGCAACCATAACGTTCACACCCCACTCCCGCAAAGAATTATTGAAGACTTTGCCGAATTTGAATAGAGTCGCGAGCCAAGAGGATTGCAAAAATGAGTTGACAGTTCCAAAGGCTCCCACGTTACCTTTAAGCTTAGGTTTAATCTTCTCCACCTTCTTGATGTTAATTTGATGAAACAATTGTGAGATTGATCGATCCCGTTGGTGAATTCTTCACAGCGCGTCCCTATGGGTGCAGACGAGCTATATCCAAGATTGGTGCGGATCAAATAGTTGAACACCAGACGTCCCACCTGGCTGAAACTGAGGTCACAATCCAAGACTTGGTCTATAGACGGTGGGATATTTTTAACTATTTCTTGGTCTTGATGATAATTGAATGTAGTGTCTCCGCCGTCTAGCTTCAAGGCAGATGAGATAGCACCTAGATGGTCTCTCAGGTCCATGAAAGAATGAGCACCCCCGCTGCCATCTTTTAAAGCATGCTTTAAAATGAAAACAAACTTGGTCCACCCCTGCGCTTCCCCGCCAAGCGCGAGTAACCTCCAGATCAGTCTGCTGGGATGAAATAACGGAATTTGCATGGGTGCCAATGATTAGAATAATTTGTTGGTGTATTTGTGGTCATTGTTACGTAATAATTCACTGGCCGTGCTAACGATTTCAGCATACTCTTCCTGATCATTAATCAAAGGCATATTCTTTCTGCTGATAAAACTGGGTTAGGCTGGCATAAGTATTCTTCACTTCTGTAATAAGACTGTGGGTCTTCTCTCAGCTCCGGTTTGATTTTAAACAATAGTATTGGCGTCGTAAGCACACAGAACGCAGAGCCTGTGTCAAGAAACGCCTGAAGCATGGGTCGTCAAATGCAGCACAGACTCGGTATAAACTCTAACGTTGTGCAACAAAAAAGAGTTTTCCGTCTTTCCAAGGCGCCGAGCGTGACCCCGCAAGATGGGAGTTCGCACATCAGTCAATTAAGTAGGGCTGTGATCTCAAAAACGAGATTATCCAAGGTACCCTGACATGCGTATAACCGAAACTATATAATATAGAAACAAAACATCCTATGAGAGCCAAATCTGAGTTTAAGCACTTCAAGCATTGACTCAACTGGCCCGTATTGAAGCCGTGGACCCTATCAATTATAAAGTTGGTTCTTTCCTCAACAACATCCACTTCAAAAATTAGACTAAGAACAATCCAGGAATTGCGGTGTTTTGGCAACTTATCGTTAGATCAGCAAGTGGCCTACGAATTTTGATGCAGCTTCAACAATCGGGTAACGGAGTTACCAGGGGGGAACACAAGATCTACTGGCCGAAAACCGGGTTTTATGTTTTTCCCTGATAGGATAGGCACTAGGGTTCTTGGCGAGTACCAACTTCAACAGAATCCTTAGACAATCTACGTTGAAAACGCATCCACCACGAGATACTGTGATCGGACTGGAAGAGCTGAACCACTGAGTGGTAGTAATTCAGTATTGCTTGAAGAGCGTCGCGCTGCAAAACAGTAATTACTGTCGAATAGGTACCTTATTGAGGCGAATCGGATTCATTAGTAGAAAGCTATTGAGGCGAATCTGATTCATCAGTAGAAAGCTATTGAGGCGAATCTGATTCATCAGTAGAAAGCTTACTAAGTTTGTCTCGTAAGTCGGACATAGTCATTATAAGATGAGTAACTTGGATCTAAGGAATTCTATTCATCTCTCCGTGATTATTTTAAGCATTAGAGTTGGGTCAGTTACCTGAACCAAACTGCTGGTATTTATAGTCTCACTCGGTAGCCCTGGTCAACACATTTATTAATCACCCATTCTAGATCATCCTATTGCCCAAGGATTACGGCTTCAATGCCGTACACTACCGATAAATTATCAATGGCCAATCCCATTGGACAACAGTTGTTCTCTTCCGCTTGTCTTAGATGGTAAATCGCTCTGTATGGCCTCTGTTGTGTGCTATCATTCTGTACCACTGTGTCACATACCTCCTGACACATCACCATCAGTTTCCTCACATTATTCCCAACAAGTTTTATCGGTTAGTGACTAGTCATACGTAGAGGGATCTAGGCGAGATTCTTGCTATCTTGCACATTTATTATTGAGGCGAATCTGATTCATCAGTAGAAAGCTTACTAAATTTGTCTTGTAAGTCGGACATAGTCATTGTAAGATGAGTAACTTGGATCTAGGGCATTCTATTTATCTCTCCGTGATTATTTTAGACATCAGACCTGGTTCAGTTACCTGAACAAAAGCCTGGTATTTATACAATTCTCACTCGGTGACTCTGGTCAACATATTTATTAATCACCAATTCTAGATCATTCTATTACCCAAGGATTACGGCTTCAATGCCGTACACTACCGATAACTTATCAATGGACAATCCCATTGGACAATAGTTGTTCTCTTCGGTTTGTCTTAGCTTGTAGCTCTATTTGTATGGCCTCGGTTGTGTACTATCATTCTGTACCACTGTGTCACATATTTACTGACGCTGATTATGCGATTAGGCGCACATCACCATCAGTTTATTCACATCATTCCCAACATACCACCCATGGCGTCAATCCATAATCATATCATCCAATTTTCAATATGTTTCTGGAAGATTTTAACGGCCAGTGGTTTGGTTAGTATATCCGCAGTATTTTCGTTGGTTCTGATATATTCCACTTGGAATTTCGAACCTTCATAGCATTCTCTTAGTCGATACGCTTTGCTACCGAAAAATCTATTTCTGAACTTGACAACATTTGTCCTTGTTATCAATGCAATCAACGTTTGGCTATCTGTGAAAATCTTTACACTAGTTTCGAGATCCAGCCTATCAACCATTCGCTGTATGCTCCGGAGCAAAGGGACCGAATTAAAAAATGCATGTAATTCTGCCTCAGTCGAAGATACACATTTGCTTGTGGATTTGGCTGATCTAGCGAACACATAATTTCCATTTACCTTGTAAAAGTAACCAAGTTGCGACAGAAATTCTTTTTGAGACCCGTGCGAAGCATCAGTTTATTGCTTCCATTCTAATAGTTTTCGCGCTACTTGACTTAGTCCAAGTCAGCTTTTTGTGTTTGTTTGTCCACAGATATTGTATGCACTGAGATGCTAGGTCAAAAACTTCCTCACAGGGAAACAGTGTGTGTCGTGCTAATATATTCACGTAGTATGACATCTCAAACCTGCATTTCTGTGTGATATAGGATAATAATCCTACAATCTTTTGTAAATGTTTTACTTTCCTGTCAAATTCTTCCTTTGACAGTAGTAACTCCTTATCTGACACGTCCAATATCTGTCCTGGTTGTCCAGGTACGAACCTTTCTTTCTTACCATGCAAGGGTATTCCTAACTTTGGTAACTTATCCACTATTGGTTTTTCCATTCCCAATAGCATTCTATCATTTACCTTATATTCAATCTCCATTCCTAAAATGTCGTAGCTGGCAAATCCATTCCTATCGGGATATCCATCTGCTACGACTTTAGTCCCGAAACTACTCTGGAGATGGGTTAATAACTCTTCGTAAAGTTCGTTATTGCTTGACATGACTATCATGTCATCGACGAACAAATTTACCACCAGTGTATCTTTTCCTACCCTTCTCACTAGGACGCATGGCCACATGTGTACTTCAATCAATTTGCAGGTGGAGGTCAGATATCCTTTGATCACCTCATACCAGTTGGAGCCTGACAGTTTCAAACCATATAGTGACTTCTTCAATTGGAATACTTTGTTCCTCAGTCCATAGTGCGGTGGTGTTTTGATATACAGCTCTTCCTTTAATGGAGCGTATAAGTAGGCAGACGTTATATCTAATTGTCTTATGGTCCATCCCTGTTCCAATGAGATGGCCAACCACGTCATTAGTGCCTCGTGTGCAACCGTATAAGTTTCGGCATCCGGGTCGTACGTATCCGGCTTCTGCTGGTCTCCTCTTGCAACACATCTACACTTTCTTCTACCATCTCTCTTTGTGGTGAAGATAAACATTGAGCTTACTATCTTATCTTTTGGTACCATACTTTCGTCTATTGGGTTGCTCAAATCCCACGTTCTTTGCCTCTCGAGTTGATCAATCTCTCTGTCATAGGCTGCCTTGTATTCATTCTTTTCTTTAGTGTTGGTATTCTTAGTGATCGCTTCTTTATACTGAAGCGATCTATCTGTTGTGTTTGCAGGCTGTAGTTTATATCTCATGGCCCTGAGATAATACACTCTCTTCTTTTTCGTTGTTGACGTTAGCTCTTCATCCGTTTCGAGCTTTTTCCTTTTCCTACTTCCTTTTGGTAAGGGTTTTCTAGTTAGCTCTGCAAACATCTCTTCATTTGTTATGATTTCTTCATCATCTGACTTTGTATCTGTTTCAACTTCTCCGTTTTCTTCCTGACCAGAATCTGTTATGCTTGATTCACTATCTGCTTCCTGATCTTGTCCTACCGTCGGTATTTCTCTCAACTTATCCGGAGGATTATCACTACCACCCTCAGGAGAAAAACGAGAAGGTCCCATTTCCTGGACTATGATGGTGGGTTGAGTACGTTCTGTACCACCCTTGGAAGTATTACGATTCGTGTTCATGTTTTGAACACTAGGTTCAGGTTGGTCAGCTAGGCTATTGTGCTCTGAAGGAGGTGGAACAATCTGATCCTCATAATCGGAGCTGCCTAAGGAGTTTTCTTTATGGTGTGAATCTTCATGATCACTAATTTCGTCTGCAGTATCGGAGCTCTCGCTATCGGCGTTTTCCGATCGGAGATGGTATTATCTTCGCTCATATTAGTATCTTCGTCCGTGTCGTTACTTTCTTCGACACCATCGACTTCTTCGACCTCACTTTGGTCGGTTTCTGCATTGTCATCAGAATAGTAAATCTCTGTTGCCTCTATATCGTTTGTTGCTGTCGTATTATGGTCGTCAACAATATAATAATTTCTTGTGTCTACCACCCTATGCGCACTAGGTATGTAGACTAGACAGCCAAATGAGGTTTCGGACTTTCTGAGTATGAATCCGGGAATGCTGCGTACGTTAAGTTTCTTCTTCAGTGCAGCAGGGTCATGTACCATACATGGTTGACCAAACGGTGGTAATTTGGATGCTCTAATCGGAGCTAATCCTACCATGTTTCTAGACGATGTGCCAATTCGTGGGTTGTATAATGAGTTGTGATGGTGACAAGCAGTTTTGATCGCATGGAACCACAAGTGTCTTGGCATTCCTGAACCGGATAGAAGTGTGCGACAGTCATTTAGTAGTGTCAGATTTAACCTTTCTGCAGCCCCATGGGATGCTGAATCTGCCGTAGTAGTATAATATGTGTCAATGCCACTTTTGGCAAAGTAGTCTCTAACTGACTGATTTGTATATTCGCTGCCTCTGTCCATTTGGAAAGCCTTGACTTTGATGTTGTGTTGTCTCTTAATGTGGGAGACTAGGTTCTCAATACAGTCCAATACGGTATCCTCGTCCTTATGTTGGAGTGGAAATACCCATCTGTATCTGGTTCGTTCATTTGTGAAAGAAATAAAGTATTTCGGAGTTCCGGGAGGCATCTTATGCATCGGTCCGAATACGTCTGTGTGTATGAACTCTAACTCAGTATATTTGCCCTGATAGGTTTCTCGTGAATTAGGCACATGGTTGTTCCGTTTTCCTTTGCCTTGTAGGCAAGTTACACATTCAAACTCTTCCATTAGTCTCCAGTTCACGTCATTCATCGACACATCTTGTATCAATCCGGACTTCACAGAGTCCTTGATGTACCTTGGATTAATGTGACTTAATGATGCATGAAGTTGCTCTAGTGTGATTTTACCTCTCCTACCATGTACTGCACTCAACGTTTTGTCGTATGTCTGACTTTCCCCTCTTATTATCAAATCAGAGGGTAGCCAGTTGGCACGCTGATCTCTTATTAATTTCGCCATCTTATTGCCATCCTGATCCCGTAAATGGCGTGTTTGGAAATCAGGATAAATTTCAAATTCCTCAAGTTGTACTGTGGATATAACGTTGCAAAAAATACTATCAGATAGGTATGCTTCTAGTCTTACCACCCTACCTAAATCTAGCTCCACAATTCCTTTGCCCTTGAGTTCAATCTTTCGATCTTGTGCGTCGAACATCTCATCGTTCGAGTCGATCGGGTGTAAAGAAGTAAAAAAATCTCGGTTACAAAAAATTGAAAAACATGCACCACTGTATATTAGCACACGTTGTGATTCTTTTGATTTATTGTAACTCTTCGTTACTTTCTCTGTTGACAATTTGCCTAAGACGTTTCTTGGTCTTGTCCTTTTGATAGGATCCGTATTTTTTATTGGTCTTGACTTCGTCTTCTGGACATCTATTTGCAGTATGTCCTTTTTCATTGCATTTGTAGCATCTTAGGGTGCTGGATTTACTTTCCATTGGATCAACTCTGTCCCAAGTGACACGTCCCATTTTTCCATAATTAACTCCATAGTTGTAAATGCCTTTTAGAACTTCGTCTACATCGCAGGTAATGAAACGTGCACTGTCAAAAGGAATGCCGGGTCTGAAGCTTGCCATAAGTTTTGGTACTGCGTCTTCTTTTTCGTCAAAGTATCCAGACTCGAGTGATTCCTCAATTAGTTCCTTGACCTCTTCAACGTATAAAAAGGGATCTGTGTACTTGTCAAGCTTTAACTCTTTCCATTTTGAGTTCATGGATGGCTTGGAATCATCTGTAGTGACCCTCATTGCAGCCTTACGAAACGCTTTATAAGTGTATCTTAAGAACAGCTACGCCTCACAGCCTCGCCCTATGTACCTTGTTGGGCTTTTTTTTGCCAGTTAACGCGTTACATCTAACAGATGGCACCGGTGTTTCTCTAAGCTTTCTTCACGATTGAGCTCAACTTGCCTCGGTATCATTCCCGTATACCATGCTTCACGATTTTTAAAGCTTTAAATTATTTTTCGTACAAAAGGATATATATGCCTTTTGAAAATTTGAACTCTATCCGGGCCCTATTTGTCACGGAAATCTTACCAGCATCAGAGGAATTCCAGTCCAATTATCAAGTCAATAATCCGGCCATGCTTTCATCTATACTCCGTGGTAGCTCAGTGGCCCTTAGGGGAGCCGCCATTAGATCTGCTGTGCGTCCAGCCGCTGTTGTTGCGCCAGCTTTGAGATCTCCAATCCGCTTTTACTCTTCCGGTCTAAACAAGGACGACGTCAGTTCCAGAATCATTGACGTCGTGAAGGCTTTTGACAAGACTACTGCCAGTGCCCAGGTCACAAACGAAACACATTTTGCCAAGGATTTGGGTCTTGACTCGCTGGACACTGTGGAGTTGCTGGTGGCCATTGAAGAAGAATTCGACATCGAAATCCCAGACAAAGTAGCTGACGAAATCAAGACCGTCGAAGCAGCCGTCAAGTACATCGAGTCGAACCCAGAGGCCAACTAGATGCTGCGTGCGACAGAGTGATTGCATTTTCCAGTTCCTTGGGACTCCCCGGAGGGATCCTGGTCACTTTCGCTGCTCTTCACTCTTTACCGAAACGCCCCACGCGCGAATTGTCTCGCACACGCATAGTTCTCAATCTATTATTACTATCCTGTATATGTTATTAGCCAGATCACCGCCGGCCACTCAATCGACCCAGCGCTCGGTGATCAGAATATTCTTACGAAATAAAACCAGTGATTTTCAGTTTCTAATGGCTCGAGCAAGTGCATGGGGTGTTCACCATTTCTCTAGCGCTCCTTCCCCGTCGTTCGTCTTTTATATGTATATGTCCTTAACTTTTAGTGTTTAAATGTCCTTTTTATTAAAGAACATACCCTGTTGTTTTATACCGACTGGAAGACTCTCCATCGAAGAACACAAACATATAGCGTACAATGACTATCGATTCCCGTCCAAATGATTCAGAGGCAACACAGCAGGAAGTAGCAGCAAACTCTGAGGAGTTTCCCATTCTTCCGGATCCCAGGACCGAGTTTCTAAGTGCCGATGTGGATCTGACTAGCGAATTACCCGATGACACAGAGGCCATCGAGTTGGTCCATTTACGTATTCAGTCCATGGAGGACCTGGAACTACCAAGGTTTTTGCGTTTGAAAAGTCTGTGCCTCAGACAGAACCAGATCGAGAGTATGAGTGAGGTGGAAGTTTTACCAGTGGAGACTATCGAAGACATAGATCTTTACGACAATAAGATCAAGCATATATCGAGCAACGTCAACAATCTGGTCAATTTGAAGAGCCTTGACCTATCATTCAATAAAATCAAACACATCAAAAACCTAGATAGGCTCACGAAACTCGAGAACCTATATTTTGTGCAGAACAGGATCTCCAGAGTTGAAAACTTGAGCACCTTGAAGTCTTTGCAAAATCTGGAGCTAGGAGGCAATGAAATCAGTGAAATTGGTCCTGAGTCACTCCGAGGCCTTGATAGTCTTCGTGAGATATGGTTGGGCAAAAATAAAATACCCCGGCTGATTAATCTGCACCATTTGCGCAGCCTTCGCATTCTATCTATACAATCTAATCGACTAACGAAAATCGAGGGCCTAGAGGAGCTTGTAAATTTAGAAGAACTCTACCTCTCACACAATTACATCCAAAAAATTGAAGGACTGGAGAAAAACATTAGATTAACCACCTTGGATATTACCTCAAATCAAATAGCCAAGGTGGAAAATTTGAGGCACCTCACAAAGCTTACAGATCTCTGGCTATCATTCAACAAGGTGGATCAGTCGTTTGAATCTCTCGGCGAAGAGCTCCGCGATTTGCCAGAGCTTGAAACGGTGTACCTGGAAGGGAACCCCGTCCAGAAGAATGCAGGTACCAGCTATCGGAGAAAGCTTGTGCTCAACTTGGGTCCAACACTGCAAAAGATTGACGCTACCTATATTCGCGGTTAGTTAGCTCTCTTCCAATCTCACGTGATTGTATATTTGTACATATATTTCATAGTAGGTATCTCTTATCGCTTTTAGGCCTCTCTTCGGTAACTGTCAATGAACCACGCCGGCTACGATCAACGGATTATAACGTCAAGGTACATATACACGTTGCCACTATGGCTGCTACTGTACGGAATCCCACGATAGTAGGCGCCCTAGCTTGTCAGAAGAACTCTTTTCTGAAGAAAGATTTCCGAACTACGGTAGTACAATGTGAACCTACCAAAAAGAAGAGTGTTTATGAATTGATCCTTCAAGACACCATTTTATTTCCGGAAGGTGGCGGTCAACCCAGTGATTCAGGTCTTATTAGATCTGCCGGCTCCAAAGACGAAATTGTGGTGTCACAGGTTGTTCGAAAAGGTCTAAATGCTGTGCATTTAATAAACGAGCATGTTGAACCCGGTACTGAAGTATGTCTAGAGATCAATTGGCAGAAGCGCATGGACTTTATGCAGCAACACACCGGTCAACATTTGGTTAGTGCGATATTAGACGATAAATGGAAGCTTGACACCCTATCGTGGTCTATGGGAGGAGTTCCTACCGACAAGAAACCAATAGTGGAGCCCTACGAGCTTTTCAATTACATTGAAATTGGTCGTAAATTGAGCGAGGAGGAGTTGTTAAAGCTGTCGGACGCGTGCAACGATTATATTACCGTCCAGGATCAACCCATCACAGTCACGGAACATGGTTCTGAAGCCATAGATGCAGAAAAAGGCGCAATGAGGACTATCTGCATTGGAAAATTAGATGCAAATCCGTGTTGCGGCACTCATCTTCAGAATACCTCCCAGATCGGATCAATCTTGTTTTCTCCTTTCCAAACAAGCGCCAGAGGCACAAACTCCAGAGTTTATTTTATGTGCGGTTCCAGGGTCCTGAAGTATGCTAAGTTTGCCCACACCATGACTAGTCGTTCAAAAACCTTGCTGTCGTGCAGCGAGGCCGAAATTCCCCAAAAGATTGAGCTGCAGCGCGCGATGACTCAGAAAGTATCCAAGCGAGAACAATACTGGATGAAAGAGGTTGCGAACTCAAAGGCAGCTTCTTTATTCGATGCAGTGGTGGAAAAGAGGAAAGCTTGGCTGGCGTTAGATGAGTTCGGCACTTTGGACATGCTGAGTCTTGTTCAAAAAACACTGACCTCAAAGATCGAGGAACAGAAAATCGAGGGTTACAAGTTCGTGATTTGTGGCCGCGAAAAGGCCACAAACTCGGGTGTGGTCATGATAGTGTCAGACTCCGCTGATGAAATAGCAAATGTTGCGTCCAGCCTGGGCCAACTTGTGGAAAAACTTAAAGGTGGGGGTGGGAAGAAAGGCGGAAAATGGCAGGGGAAAGTGGCGGAGTACGGTAAGCCAGAATGGGATTCTTTGGTTCAGTTTTTGGGCGACAACTTCTGAGATTTGGTAATCAATCATCCTCGCCTCTATATCACTATGTACTAATATATCGAGATCAGTAATATAGTGAATGCCCGAAGCATATTCGAAAAGTTTAAGCAAAAGCGTAGTACAAGATTACGCTGAAGAGCTATCTAGCCACAGGAATGCTTGCACTACGACGAGCTGGTGAGTATAAATTGTTTGGTCAAATTGCTGCCTCCAGACTTTACTGTGCCTCATGCAGTGCCAAAGTGACGATTGCGAGTGTATCACATAATGTATCCACGAAACAACAATTGTTTTTTACTGATCCCATTTCTCCGGGCTCTATATTCTTTCTTCCTAATGGTGCGAAGATATTTAACAAGCTGGTCAATTTCATGAAGCTACAGCAGCAACACAAATATGGATTTCAAGAGGTGATGACTCCGCTCATATATAGAAAGTCCCTGTGGGAACAATCCGGACATTGGGAAAAATATAAGGAAGACATGTTCCGAGTTGAGGGCCAGGATATCGACAAAGAGGAATATGGTCTTAAACCCATGAATTGTCCTGGTCACTGTGTTATGTTCAAAAAGTCAGCGAGATCGTACACTGAACTCCCGCTAAGATTTTCCGATTTTTCGCCGTTACATCGCAATGAAGCTTCCGGTGCACTATCGGGTTTAACTCGAGTGCGTAAATTTCATCAAGATGACGGTCACATATTTTGTACCGCAGAACAGGTCGAGTCGGAGATAAAAAAGTCGTTGGATTTAGTAGACCTGTGCTATTCTAAGGTTTTTCCCCTTGGGCCAAATGGCACCCCTACCAAGTACTCCCTGTGTCTTTCTACAAGACCTGATAATTTTATCGGAAGTATAGAGGTGTGGAATAAGGCTGAGTCTGTCCTAAGTGACATTCTGCGGACCTCTGGCAAGGAATGGCGTGTCAATGAAAAAGACGGTGCCTTTTATGGTCCAAAGATCGACGTGCTACTCACTGACCATCATGGTAAAGATCACCAAGTTGCCACTATTCAATTAGACTTCAATTTGCCAGAAAGGTTCGATCTAAAGTTCAAAGATAAAGATAACGTCTACAAAAGGCCGATAATGATCCATAGAGCTGTATTTGGCTCATTAGAGAGGTTCATGGCTATGATTATTGACTCCAATGCCGGAAAATGGCCCTTTTGGTTAAACCCTCACCAGTGCATGGTAATTCCCTTGAATACTAAAAATCATGAAATGGTGTCAAAGTCAAGGGAAATAGCCAATATACTAAAAGGTGAAAATGTCGAAGGTACTGAACCTGTAAAGATGAACTCGTTGCATTTCAACGTTGAGGTCGATGACCGTGCAGAGCCTGTAGGCTACCGCATCAAAGACGCTATCATGAGAAATTTTTCATACTTGATAATGGTGGGAGCAAAGGAAATTGAAAGCGAAAAATATGCTATTAGGACTAGGGACTCCAGAGAACTCAGTCACTTGTCAGTAGACGAGATTTTTCAAAAATTTGTCGATCTTGAACAAAACTATCAATAACTTGCTCACCTTACCACCCACTTGTAAATACTCACACTTTTCTAACATGGAAATCGAATGAATATAGAGGAGATATATTACCAATTTCATCGGGCCATATTGTTTCAGGAAGGAAGTCCCCATTCTCTCTCAAAAACTTTTGTCGTTCGCGGATGTCGGTCGAACTTAACTGCTCGAGCTGTTCTCTGCAACTTTCAAGTAAATGTGACATCTTCTCGGCTGTTTCACGGCGTCTATTAACTTCTGAAAGTAGACTGTAGTAGCTTTTCTCAAAATTGGAATAGAAATCGAGAAGTTCCTTGGTCTGCTGAATGCTGTCCCTGCAAGACAACACGAACTTTCTAATTAGATTGGCTATACCCTCAAAGACCAAGATGTATTCCTCATGCTTTCGCAGCTCATTTAAAAGCTTCAATACCATTGACTGTACCAGTGCCTTCTCGGCCTCTTTACCGTCAAGGAGATTATTAGCATGTTCGACAAAGTGGGCAACATCATCCGCCGCTTCTTTTAGTGCATTACCAATGGCTGGTAACTCTTTGTCATCGCGTTCCACAATTTCATAAAGGGTTTTAATGTCTTCAGGCGCCAGCTTTTTCGACAGCAAAATGTCGCATTTATCGAAGTGGTCAGTCAGAGACTTTAGAAATTCAGTAAGTTCCTGTTCCAGTTGATCAGCCTCTACGGTAACGTGCTCGTCCAGCTTGATATTGCTGTCACAATTATCGCCGAATTTGGCTTCGTATAGTTGTTTCACCTTTCGCAAGCGAGTTTCTAAGAGTTGACTTTGTACTTTGCCAACCATCTGTTGATATTGACGAGATATCTTCTCAACCTGTTTCCGTATGACTGGTATTTCGTTTATCTTCTCGTCAAGCGCATGAAATGATCCTCTGGATATAAAATCACCCAGTTTTGAGTCCCGCTCTCGATCCAAAGCATTGGAGACACCATCTAGCTTGGCAACCTTTTTTTGAATTTCTTGCTGCCAGCGTTCCATGTCGCCCACCAGGTCCTCTAAGACCATTTGTCGCCACTGTTTCTGGATGAGATTACCGCCAGTGGCATGTTTTAGTAACACGTCCACCAGGAACTGACACTGCTCTGTTACACAGTCCAAGACGAAGTGTAATTTTGATCGGTATTTCTGCCATTCTCTAATGCGAGCCTTGACCGATGACAACTGATTATTCGATTCATGACAAATAGACTGAGCTTCAGTCAATAACCTTCTTGCCTTCTCTGAAGCTCTTTCGATATTAAAGTCACTCATAGGTCATCTTAGCTGTTTATGAGCTGAGTCTCCCTCAATTAAGGCGATTGTTAATTAGTTTAAAATATATACAATACGCTGATGGACTAATCACCTTGACACACTATAAAAAGAATGGCTTTGAATTTCCAGAAAGCTCAGAATAACTTAGCGGATGATGTTGAAGGTCTCAAGAATGAGTCTACAGAGTTCCCGCCCAATGATAGATCGAACGAGCTATCCAAGCCGTTGGTAAACAGATATGGGATAGGCGCCAAACTTCTTTCGAAGATGGGCTATAAGGAGGGCCAAGGTCTAGGTAAGAGCAATGAGGGTATAAAAACACCGATAGAAACGCAAGAACGACCCCAGGGTATGGGATTGGGCATGCCAGGCATGATGACAGCGGAGGAAGCTGATTTGGAAGGTTACGGGACTGAGAGCTCAGATGACGAAAACGTGGCTACAAGGACGAACAAAATTCAGTTTACGTCTGGTAATACACTCGATGTAGATGGTGATAGCTTGAAAGGTCTGAAGAGAGCAGGTTTTCCTGAATTGGCGGCTAAACTTGAAGACGCCATGGGTTCGAGCTCACTGTCGTTTGGGCGAAAACTTGAGGCTGATCGCACTATGAAGGAGCTTATTGACGTATGCGATAGGCTTGATAGCCTGCAGCTCCGGTTGACGGAGCTTGAAATAGAGATGCAAAGCTCAGCAAGGGAGGTTAGCGATATGACAGAATTGCAAGGGCTAGTGGACAACCCATCAAAGAACATAGTGGAAAAAATCAATTCGATACTGGTCTTAGATGACATGGAACTAGTTGATAAGCTGTCTGGCTATGTACTGCGATGTGAATTTGAGAACCTAGGCTCATGGAGCCCTCTAGACTTCGATAGCGAGGTGGTCCGCACTCTTGATTTGATTATCGATATGTTATCTTACCGCATAGATACCAAACCTTCTCACTTAAATCGGGTACAAACTGTTATATACCGTTGCGTATTTGAGTGCCTGCGACCGTACTTTGAGGGTTTCGAAGTCTCGCAGCAGAGAGTTGGAGAAGTTTTACTTCTATTGTTAAATTACCAGAAATCACTGACTTTTATCAACTGCAATTCGTATGTGATGAAAAGGTTCATCGTTCCAGCCTTAGAGCGCGCCATTAGTGGGTGGGAAGTTGGCCACTCTGCAATCTTTTCACCACCCTCGTGGTTTTTCGATTTTAGCAACTTCATGGACTCTTCAGACACCAATACCCTTAAGACCCAACTGAAAGCGCGATTTATTGAGTACTGTAAAAACTGGTATCACAGAGAAAGTGCCATCCTACCTAGCGACTTTCACTTCTTGAGGGAAGTTCTTTCAGTATCGACTTTCGATGCGATTGTTGCAGACATGTTGCTGCCCAAATTTATAACTCAAGTTTGGGACAGATATTTCGACATCTTGTTGAGTCTTGAGGAGCCAGATGACGATTCTTTAGACTATTTCATGTCCAAAATGAAACAATGTAAGACACTCTTTTCAGAAAAGCATTGCGAAACGTTTACCAGAGCGATTTTCAATGATATAAACCGTACAGTATTTCAATGGTACTGCTTTTCCCCCGAAACTTTTTATCGAGAAGCTACCTTCTGGTTCAATTCTATCGCAAACCGATACTTCTTGTACCCAAATGAAGTGGAACTCTCTGAACTTCGAAAATCTTATCAATTTTTGGAGAAGCCCTCGATCGAGCCTATTCACGACGAGTCCATTGGGATAAGCGAAAGGCTAGGTCTGGGAGAGGAAAAGTCGAATGAGATTAATTTCAAATCAATCCCGCTTACTAGGCTGGCAGTTATGTTTAGAGATGTTGTCCAAGATTACTGCGATGAGCATGGCATTTTGTTCCGCAAGGCTGGCAATGTGAATGTACAGTTACCTATCGGTGGGTCCAAATCGGTTCTGCTCCCTGCTTTCACTTTAAGCTCGGGCAAGTCTACTTGTGAGGTCACAATCCATGAGGATGTGCTATGGCTCAAGAGGACGGGAGGTTATTTTGAACCGATTTTTCTCTGGCAAGTTGGAGACATATTGAACAAATGATGATCCTTTCTTTTGGGATAGTGGCTATTTACATGAGAAACTATGGATCATGACCTTCGATGTTCTTGGTTCACACTGTTGTCGACTCAAACTCAATTTTCTTTTTCAAGAGGTTCCTCGGTCTTTGATTGCCCTTGTTCTGGTCTCGCAGCATCTTCGAATTCGGCCTTTTGCTGGAGCACGGGGGCGGATTCTTCTGGGTGAACGTTTTGAGCCTCGGGAACCATCTCGACTTGGTCGTTTTGAGACTCCATCTCTTGGGCCGCTTTCGCCGCTTCTTCTTCGTCCTTGATCTGCTCGGCGTAGTACTCAGGGTATTTGCGGAAGCATTCTTGCATGCCCTTGAATTTTTCTATGCAATCGATTCCTTTGGGCTCTTCCTCTGAATAGACGAAGCAGGAGAAGGCCGCCTTGAACTCTTCACCACATGGTCCCTGAGCCATACCACCAAGGCAAGGGCAATCCCAATTAATTACACCCGTATCAGGATCATACGCAGCTTGAGGTTTGGATTCATCATCTCCCGACACTTGCGCTTCCTCATTCGCAGACTCGGATTGTGGCGAAACCGTTTTGGTGTCTACAGTATCCTTTTTCTTTTCCTGGGTGTCTAGCCCAATGGGAGCACCAGAGGCCACAAGACCTAGCAGACTACCTGCAGTCAAAGCAACAGCGGCGGTCCTCAGGTGCGTCTTGGATGTCAACTTAGGGCTTTGGGACGCAGTGAAAATGTGCCTCGATGAGAATGACGACAGCTTAGAAGGGGAGCCACGGCGCAAAGTGGCAAGGCTTGAACGGAACATCTTGAAGGGGACCAAATTATAGTTCTTGAAGCCAGGTAAAGATGCCTTGGGTATGAGCGAGATCTGCTTCAAAAGAGCTACTTACCAATGCTCTCAGTGAATGGATATTATATACTTTGCCATGCCACATAGGTAATTCCCAACGAGCTCAAAAATTACGACCGAGTTGAGGTCATGTGACTCATATTGGTGGTCATGTGATGGATAGCCCTCGTGTTGTACGTGTGGTATCATTTTAGACGTTTACGCAAATTACGCTTCTTATGTCAACATTTTGAAATGGTTGTCGAACCCTTCTTAAGTTGTGGTATACCCTAGTGAGAAAGCCGGGCCCCCATTATCTCAGGCTATCAGCATCGACATAGATTATCCTATGAAGATTTATTATATTGGTGTGTTGAGAAACTCCTCAGCAAAGGCGCTAGAGCTGACGTCTGTGAACGACTTGTCACAATTTGGGTTTTTTGAGAGGAATGGGGTATCCCAGTTCATGACCTTCTTTTCGGAAACTGTAGCTGCTAGAACCTCCGCTGGTCAGAGGCAAAGTATCGAAGAGGGCAACTACATAGGGCATGTCTACAGCAGATCTGAGGGGTGCTGTGGTGTTCTCATTACAGACAAGGAATATCCAGTTAGACCGGCGTACACGCTGCTCAACAAGATTCTAGACGAGTATTTGATCGCGCATCCTCCCCAGGAGTGGAAGGACGCTGTGGCGACGAATGACTCTTTGAAACTCCGGGAACTCGATACATATATCGCAAAGTATCAGGACCCCTCGCAGGCAGATTCGATCATGCGCGTGCAGCAAGAGTTGGATGAGACCAAGATTGTTCTGCATAAGACCATCGAGTCAGTTTTGCAAAGAGGTGAGAGACTTGACAACTTAGTCGACAAGTCTGAAAGCTTATCGGCCAGCTCTCGTATGTTTTACAAGCAGGCAAAGAAGACCAACTCATGCTGCATTATTATGTAATCGGTTCATATAACAGATCAAGAGGACACTGTGCTATTTGGGCAGAACAGTTTAGCAAGGTAACAACACAGAGCTCAGAATGAGCATGCCGTAGATTGACAGTTTGTTAAAGTGTAGCTGAAAATTAGAAATTCAAAAATTACGACCTCGGTGAGGATTGAACTCACGATCTTGCGATTAACAGTCGCACGCCTTAACCAGCTTGGCCACGAAGTCTTATCTGAGATTGAAATCGCTACCAGCGCTATATGGAGGGTGTTAAAAGCAAAATTCCGCATCGACGCCGAAAGGAACTGTGACGGGCCATGGTCAGAAGATACTTGAAAGTTCCGCATAGCCATGAGGCACTGGTAAGATATCATAAGTCAGTTGGCACTAGTCTTATTGAGGATAGCAAGAAGACTCGGACCCGTGCATCGATATGACGTTCTCCAGGGTTACCTCAGAATGCGGGAAAACATATAAAAGGAGGTTTGGGGACAGGGCCAGAGAGCACCTGAAGACTTCGGGTGGTGGAAATAATGGTGGAAAAAGAGCTAACCTAATGAGTCCTTTAATTTTTTAATCCCGGCCCTGTGATCAATCTCCATCATGGCTCAAGGGTACCTTACGCAAGGTGTTCGTTACTCCCACACCGCTTTTCTTTCAGCGCCTATATATTACGTGAATATTTCTTGAGCCACCTTTTGAAACACTCCTGCTAACTTAGAGAGAATACCTAGAATACGTCCTCTGGTTGATAAAATATTGACGGAAAGATATGTGTCGTATATTGAAGGCTTGTTCAAAATCGGAGCTGGCAATCCCATGCAGGCTCAGGATTCATGCCCCCACTTCACGTCAGCATACATGTTTCCCATTGTGGTCGTGTGAGAATGATGGCAAAATCAAAGATTAAAAGATACTACGTATTTGCAAATCAGCTTGCAAGGAAAGAGTACCAGCCAAAAATATTGCACCGTGAGAGTTAAACAGAGTACATCTCCATTTGTTTAATATTTATCAAGTTGCTATTATTCTGTACTCAACTGTCGTTAGTGTATTATTAAAAATATACTGAAATGTTCATCAATGACAACAAGACTTGAAATTACCTCGCAATCATAGGCCGCAAAAGAAGTTAGCGGAGAGAGAGAGAGAGTAAATCATTACTCTGACATGAAAACAACCAACTCACTATCGCTTTCGTTGTTCGTCAATTAACTCGCTGACACCAGTAGTGTTCTTATAAGTGCGCATGCACGTGACTACTATCAGAGTGTTTTCTTGAAGCTCACGATTAGCCAGGTCAACAGTAGTCTGCCGAGATAATTGACAGAGTTTGACGACATAAGTGCAGTGAAGCTCCTTGAGCTTAGCGAAAATGCCGAATTCATATCGAAGGAATGAAAATGGGCTGCGAGAAACTAAGCCCAAGCTCCCGACCTTGCCGCCTTTAGTGACAGGTCATCGAATGCAAACTCCAGAAAGATCACGAAGGGAGAGGGATGACGAACGAGTTGCCATTGGATGGTCACAAGTAAACGAAAGCAAATTTTCGCCCCGTATCTCGGACAGTGCTATCTCCTCCGGTGGCCAGCTCACTGCGTCTCAATCAGGATCCGGAAAGAGACATACAAGGCGGCCACCACCACCGATGTCGGTAGGCGCTGTGGAAGCAGGCAGCTTAAAATTTCCAGTGGATTACACAAGCCCCAGTTCTTTGGGACATTTGAAAACGCCAATGACCCCACAAAGTTATAAATCACCTTTCATTGGTGAGGAAGAGCTGGAGGTTTCGGGCGGAAGTTCGAGCACTCCTACAAAAGTAATCAGGTCCCCATTCGTCGGAGATACGAGTGTGCTGGTACCACGAAAATATGGGAGTCACGACTCCCAGTGGATTGTGGGAACAACGGGCGGAAATTTTCCCACCCGTGCAACTGCTGGCGAAAGTGAATATTCCGATGTTGACTTGATGCATACCCTCAAGGAACTACCTCCTTTACCTCCGATGTCTCAAGAGAGTAGACAGAGATTGAATTTTGGGTTGTACACGGCGTCAACAGAGCCGACCTCAGTGTCATTGGATGCCAATGCCACCCAAGATCGGTACGAGCAACTGCACAAGCCGTTCCGCCCTTTTACTGACCAGTCACGTCAGAGCAGTGGTAACCGAGCAATTTCTGATAGCATCAGCAGTTATTATTCCAACTCAAATTATGCGTTCAACGACGAAATTTTACAACATCGAAGTTTCGAATCCGTTGCCGGAAACAGGCCTCTCCAACAAGTACCAAGCGTTACGGTGCCAATGCAACCCTTCAACATTGATCAGCTTGACGAAAATAAGCTTTTTCAGTGCTATAGCGTCTATATGTTGTCAGACGTCTACGAATGGCTTTTGAAAGTATATTTTGAGTGGTTTAATGAATGCGTTTTTCGAAAATTCGAGTTGTACCAAATGGTTCAACTACTTCTGGAGTTCCAATTACCAACAAGCTGTGATCAAGATGTGATCGATTCTAACGTGGACAAAATCATGGAATCCCTAGTATTACAGGGCGCAGTGCGTTTTGAAGCTGCCGTTACTCAAGATACTTCTAATGATGAAATTACATTCATTGTAGCGGGATTATCAGTTCAGGGTGTCTTTACTAACCTAATTCCTTGTTATTCTCACGAGACAAAGCATTCTTCAGCTAAACAGCATGTTACTTGCTATTCCCCAAGGTGTTCATTCAAGTCGATGAAGCAGTCCCGACCTGTACTTAAGCTATCTGAAATCATAAACAAATCGGTTGGTCTTTGGAGCGAGTACTGGAAACTCTCCCCGGAGGAGCTGTCAGAAATAAACCCTCGGGAGGTAAGCCGACAAAGTTTCATATTTGATTTGATTATTTTGGAAGAACGGTCACTCAACTTGGCCCATGCTGCAATAGAAATATATGGGCGACGCTTTGATCCATCGCTTCTTCCAAACGATCCCAATTTTAAAAAGCTAGCATTTGATCTATTCGAGCCTATGATAGACCTTCATAAGGAACTTTTACTAACTCCTATATTTTGGAAGCTTTCATCTCAAGGGAAATTTATTGACGGCGTTGGAAAGATCTACTTACAATGGTGCAATGCTGCAAAAGACCTTTACATCCAATACGCCGAATCTATGGCTACTGTGCATGAAGTTATCAATTGGGAAAAGGAACAAGGGACGGTTTTTGCTCAGTGGCTCAAAAAAATTGACGACTCACCTGAAATATTTAGGTCGAAGCTATATCACGACGTCATCTTTTTTGGAGGCTTTTTTAAAGCTCTACAGAACATTCCTGTGACATTAAACTCCATTTTGAAAAGCTCAGATCCATCAATGGAGGATTATGAATATCTTAAACTTGCGATTAGGGAAGTCGAAAAATTGAATGCCACTGTCGATCGCGTTCATGGTGCTGCCGTTGACCAGAGACGAGTGATTCGGTTTGCGCGACAACTGAGCCTGAGCTCAGGGTCAAATAGTAGTACGGTGGGATATGTAAATATCAATGAGGGAGGAAAACAGCATTCTTCGACACAAGAGAAATTGGACTTGGGATTGAATCAAAAATCTAGAAAAATTATTAAGGCTGGAACTGTTTTCAAGAAAAGAGATTTATGGTTAGAAAATACTCAAATATTTCTTGTTCTCCTTGATAACTACCTACTTATAACAGAGGTAGTGGCGAAGAACACAGACATAAAATATAGGCTATCTGAGAGGCCTATCCCAATTGACTATCTGAGCTTAGAAGCCAAAGATGAACTTTCTCTACCACGATTTTCGTCTTCCAAGACGGACACTCAAACCCCTTCTCTGCTAAGCATTCAAAACGCCTCAGAAAGTACAGTGGGCTCTGTTAAAGCGAAAACTAGCGGGTCTAGTTCTCCTACTTTCAAAGGACATTCACCACGTAGGCCGATACCCACGCAGTTATCAAGCCCTGTCATACAGATAAGGAACGAATGGTCAGATCATCAGGAATCATCTGCCTCTTTCAAGATAAGGAATACTGCTACTAACGAATCATTTACATTCTCAACTCATAGCGTCGAGGAGCGAGACTCTTGGGTAAGTACCTTAGTCGCTTGTTTCAAGTCACATCATGCGAACAAGAAAGAAATTTACGCCCTAACGTGTCTCACGGATAAGTTCAGTTATGAGGAGGGGCAAGCACCCACCAATCTGCCCATTCTACACGAAGGAAGTTCTATCGCCCTGGCTCTTGAAACCTACTATAACGTGGAGGAAAAGCCGGGGTACCCCATACAAACAGACGTCAGGTGCACGGTTCGATTGCACTTCGAGGGAAAGGACTTTATCTTATGCGCTGTCGGTCTTGGCGTCTACATGACAATATATGGAGGTCAACATCAGTGGAAGAAGATCTTAGCTCTGTCAAAAGTGACCCGCATGGAGATAAACATACGACTAAATGTTCTATTCGTTTTGGCAGACCGCAGACTCTGCTATTTTAATATCCCGAGTATAATGTGCGCTTACTATAGTGCCAAGAATTACCTTCCGGACGTTCAGGTTACAGGTATCCTTCTTCAGGAAAAGGTGGGATTTTTTACGATGGCTGAAGATTTTGGTAACCTACGGCAGCTGTTTTACGAGCGGAAAGGGACTATTGTGGTATTAACACCTGAATTTAACAGGCTTACGAAGCATCTCAAGTTTTTCAAGCTGTACAAGGAATACAAACTTCCGAGCTTGACAAACGGATTGCTCTCTGCAGACGTCAAGGACATTGTTGTTTTCTCAAAAAGCTTCATCGTCTGTTCTGCGAAGGGTGCAATACTTTTTGGTGATTCTTTCAACGATGAAGGACTGTTTCTACCAAGTTTTAGTAAGGACACGTCAGTAAATGCCCACAAGCACCATTTCCCGCACCACTCGTTCAGAACGCAGAAAGATGCTTTATCCAAAAACGATTCCTCTAAACAAAAAATGGCTGGATACGTCAAGACTGACATAGCTAATTCCAAAACTGCTTGTTTGAGTTGTTTTCAACTTAGCGACAATGATTTCATTATGATATATGACGAGGCAGTCATCAGAATCAACAAAAATGCCGAAATACCAAATTGGACATCGGACATATTGGTACTAGATTTTCACTGCTTGTCCGCAGCTTTCACGGAGGAATTTCTGATCTTGTTTGGTGAGAACCTTGTTCAGATCTACGATCTCAACTACGCCGGCACAATCTTGAACACCAAGCTTAGCAGATTGACACCGGTCCAAATTATCAAAGGTAAAAAAATTCGGCATCTCAGCTCTGATCGGTCCGAACAAAATCCTGCTGTAGTTTTGAGTCATCCCACCATCGCAGGACGTCAGTTAGTCTTAGAGTTCTGTCGAGATGTTTAATATATGATAGAAGGACAAGGAAGGGAGGAAGAAGAGGCATTATTTGATAAACATTCTATACTAGATTCATCGACCCGAAGAGATAAATTTCAAGATAGAAACAAAGTACTAAGGTTTTGTTCGTGAAGTGTTGATTATTGATTATTTAGTTAGCATTAATGATTGCTGGATTTGTGACGACGTGTATACAATGAGCTCGTAAGAAGTGTCCACAAATTACAGAACTGACCACAGCTGTACAAGCGCTGAGGCAGCTACGAGCCCTCTCTCACAATTATGAACATAGATCAAATTATCGAGATCATAGTTGTTCCAATTCTCAGGTTTCCAATTGTTTTGGTCGCCTTTACGAAATTGTATGTATCGCAGCCAAAGCGGTCAATCGTGCAGGAGATGTCTGGCATCAAAATTTTGTACTAAAAATCTCTCGGGAGGACAGCTCGACTAGTACCAGTGCTCGCTGGTTCGATGTCTTGGTTTTTGTCTATACGGTACTAGTCAATGCATTATGGTGGTTAAACAGGCGATACAAAACGAGAGGGAGATGGCAGCACTTAGACCTAATGGGGCATGCCACCTGTGTCGTTACTGGTGGCAGCAAAGGATTGGGGTCTGCAGTGGTGAATGAACTACTCACGAGGTTTGCAAATGTGCAGGTGATTGTGGTGGATATCGCTCCGCCCAAAATAATCAATTCCCGCCTTACCTATTATCCGTGCGACCTTAGTAATGAGTCAAGCGTAAATCGCACTCTAGACTACATCAAGAAGAACCATTCAAAAATCGACGTGCTGATAAATAATGCGGGCATTCGTTCCAAGTTCCAGAATTATTCGGACTTGCATAAAGATGACGTGAATCGAGTGTTTCAGGTCAACGTTTTTACACCTATGCGTTTTATTCAGGAGTTAAGCCCAAGAGATGATAATAACCAGCAATTCTATACAGTTAACGTGGCCAGCACACTAGGGACATGTGCCCCGGCGCGCGCATCGTGCTATGGTGCATCAAAAGCAGCTACAATTGCATTCCACGAGGCTTGGACTCAGGAAATAGGCCCTTACAACAATTTCAGAACCCTGCTAGTGATGCCGGGGCAATTAGACACTTCAATGTTCAGTGGATTTTCACCTCCTAAGCAATTTTTGGCTCCCTTAGTAGATCCAAAAGCACTTGCTCAGCGCATCGTAGAATGTTGCAGAACGGGCCAGCGCGGTGAACTCTGCGCTCCGATGTATGCCAACTTCATGGGATTAGTGCGCGTTCTGCCGTATGCTATAAACCAAGCTGCTCGCAAATTTTCTGGCATGGACAGTTGTTTGCCCGTGGAGAAAACGCACTAACCCTATGGCAATCTTGTGATAAAAGGTCACTTCGCCAGTGATAATCGCGGCTGGAGTTCTCTCTCAATTCAATCTAGTACTAGATGATATTATGCACGCTATGTAGCACCTCGATGAGAAAAAACTGTTCCTCTCTTCTACTGCGCCTTTTTGACAAGGGAGCCTAAAAACTCCTCGAACCATTTGAAGAGCCTATCAGACTGCAGATATCCGGCTTCGTTGAATACCGTGTTGGCCGCCAATTGGGCCTCGATGACTTTCCCGCGATCGTCCCGCAGCGTCACCTCGTAATTGACACTGTGCTTCTCCATCTTGGTGGCCACCACAACGGTCCTATCCCCCGAGCTGCCAGAGTATTTGACACCTTTCTCCACATACTTGCTGAAGTACCAGAAAACAACCGAGAGGACCACATAAGCTCCGACCAAAATTTTCTGATAAGTAAGAGCATCCTCAAACGTCCACTTCTTATCCAACATAAATGAAATTCCTGCGATCAACGCGATCGAATATCCCAAAAACAACTTTGTGTCAATCAATTTAAAAGACTGTGTGAATCCCAGTCTTTCGAATGTTGCAGGTAGCGCTTCGTCCAGAGTTTGGCGTAAGTCTGGGGTGCTGTAAACATTGATTGGTTTGCTCATTTTAACACCGAGCAATTGGAAATTCAAATGCTGCAACTAAAACAGTAACTATATCCGACTGGTTTTATGTTATACTGCTTACACCCTAAGTGTGAATGGCCAAGGCTTAAAACTGATTTGTTTTGAGCTCAGCAGAAATTGTGCGTATCATATATTCATCATATACCTGTGCACTATTAATATTATTTCATCAAATATAATAAAGAAATGAGTGGTAGAGGGCACATACCTCTACAATTTTACATTTCTAAGGCCAGAAGAACTCTTCTCTTTCAATGAGGATATAGGTCAATGTCACCGGAAACTAGCGGCTCTCCAGATACTGGTGCAAAGAGAGGTAAGCAAACTCCATCAAAAGCCACTTTAAAAAAAGGTGGTGCCCATGGGACAGGCCGTGGCAAATCGAAACAGGTTAAGCAGAAGGACAAGAGCTCATTACAGCCAGAAAATAACGATTTTGAGTTCAATATTCAGGATGAACTGGTAAATGGTAATTTCAAGGCGAGAGGTCGCAAAACACAGGTTTCCATAAATCATTTGCTGGAATTTCAACTGCCGGAAAGGTCGAAGGAAACGCTGTCTTCGGGCAGCACAGGAAGACGAAAGGGAAGAAGAGCTCAGGAAGATCGCGTCCACTTGCACGGAGAGTCTTTTGTCAATGCTAATTACAAGTTTTTGGTCGACGATCGGTTTTCGTGCGCGGAACAAGGTTTGGATCCCAACGTGCCCATTCCTGGCGAAAAAATTGTTCGAGTAGAGGTGGCTAGGGGCCAGAGCTGTCCTATATGCCTGTCAGACGAGATTGTAGCTCCTAGAATGGTCAGTTGCGGCCATTTATTCTGCCACGCTTGTATGCTGAGCTTTTTCGCCGCGGGCGAAGTCTCAACCCCAGATGAGGTTACAGGGATATTGCCGAGACGAAAGAAGTATAAAGAGTGCCCATTGTGCGGTACTTTCATTTCCAAAGGAAAGTCAGCACCGGCCGTTTTCGCCCACCCGAATGACTCTTCACAAATTCCACAAATCGGCCACAGCAGCGTCTTCCAACTGATGTGCAAACCTCACGGATCGATGCTCGCGTTACCTGTGGTTTTGAATATCGATCCAATGTCCCTGGGTCATTTCCCTTCGACAGAGCTTTCAGAGCTGGCCCCTTACTCGCGTATCATGAAGTGCAACGCTTACCACGCTATTGACTTGTACAAGAAGGATCTGGGCGATATTCAGGCTCAATTTGAATTGGATAAAGCGCTTTACAACGAGAGTGGTAAGTTTCCCAACCTGGCCATTGAAGAGATCAAGCAACAGATCCAAGGATATGAGGAAGCCACCCAATTGCAAGATCCAAAAAAAGATGTAGCATCGAACTTGGCACAGCTGTCACTTGAGGTTGGGTTAGAGAGGTACCATGATACAAATGCCTACTTTTTTTATCAAACAGCGCATACGGCCAATACCAGGTATTTTTTGTCCCCTCTAGACGTTAAAGTTCTGATTACTGCGTTTGGGCAGTATTCTCGCTTCCCCCCTATTTTGACAGCAACCGTTGAGGATATACATCATGGCTCGGTTGTAACAGAATCAATGATACAAAAATACAAATACTTCGGTCATTTGCCTATAGGAAGTGATGTAGCTTTTGTTGATGTCGATTGGCGTAGCGTTGAAGATGTGCCAAGTGAGGTGTATCAAAAATTCGCGTCTGAGCTCAATACAAGGCGCCGGAAGTCCGCTTGGAAAAAACAACGTGAGGACAAAGACAAACGACGTCATGAGAAGCGCCTGGAGCGGGAACAAGAAGCTTTTTACATGCGCGAGAATGGGGATTCACCGGATCCTACTATGCTCCCCGCAAACTCTCTTGCCGGACAACACAAGGGTCCGCGTCTGTCTGAAGACTCGGCGAAAGACCACACTTCGGTGAAAGATAATCAGGGACAGCACATCTCATCGTCTTCCAAGCTTGAAAAGACAGTCTGGGGTACCTCGATCCCGACCTCAGAAGAGGCCGTTTCGAAACAAGAGGAAGATGCCGAGTTTGCCAAACTTCTCGAATCTCTCAATCAACAGAAAAGTTTAGAAGCCGGTGGTAAAAAGAAAAAGAAGCGGATGGTAACTTTATTAAGCTCTGCTCCATCTCGAGGTTCATTCTGAGATAGCACCAGCATGTATCGGAAAGAGCTGCACGTTCCTTGAATATCAGTTTCACCATAAAAAAAGAAAGCATTCTTCCTTGACGGCCCGGTGTTGATTGGTCTTAGAGAGGAACATGCATGACTCTTTGCGACTACATTAGCAATTTCCCAGGAAACAATTATTGTGACCCGTTAGAGGTAACTAATTGAAATAAGGGCAAGTTGGGACACCTTCTGTTGTGCACGACATAACTGATTTTGTTAATATCATTATTTTCACGACATCTGAATTCAACGACTTTATGTTATCATCACGCATTTACAATGATTGGAAGCATTACAGGCCTATCAAGTTTTGTGGAAATCTTCATAGAATGATGGGCACTACCAGTTGTATAGGGTACTCTTTGGGGATTCCCTTTTACAACCAATCGTTGCTTACCTCGGCTGTCTGCTCCGATGTCATTATAATCACGAAACTAGTAGATCGTATATAAGTACTTCCAGAAGGCATTTACGGATAGGGTCTCGAGACCAAAACATTACCCACTTAGGATACAGCGGACGTAAAGACTCCTCGACAGCAAGGGGATGAGGTATGTTCTCTCGATTGAGATTGACAGGAATTAAAATGTTGTTATGGACTAACCTTTTTGGCCAAATTGAACAGCGGTAAGTTTGTAAGGGCTTCAAAATACAGACATGTATATGGCCAAGTGGCAAAGAAAGAAAGGCAATACGAAAATATCAGGGTCACCAATAATGCCTGGGACTCCAATTTGATTCAGGCTAACAGCAAGTTTTTGGCTGTCAACTGGAACTCGTCTGGAGGTGGTGCCTTTGCAGTGATTCCGCTGGATGAAGTTGGGAAAGCTCCGGACCAAGTCCCCCTCTTTAGAGGTCACACGGCCCATGTTTTAGACACCGACTTTAACCCATTCGATGATTACTGTATTGCGTCAGGCTCGGATGACGGAAAAATTGGCATTTGGGAGATTCCTAAGGATTACTCATTTCATAACTACACGAGCGCTGACGGTGAGCCCAAGGATTTGGAACCGAAGAAATTTTTACAAGGCCATGGTCGTAAAGTTGGCCACGTTCTATTTCATCCAACAGCTCAGAACGTTCTGGCTTCCTCGTCCCTCGACTACACTGTCAAAATTTGGGACATTAGTACTGGTAAGGAGCTTTTCAATTTAAAACATCCAGACATGGTCACTTCTATGTCCTTCAGCTATAATGGCAATCACTTGGTGACAGTTTCTCGTGACAAAAAGCTTAGGGTTTGGGACATTAGAGCTGGGAAAATAGTCAGCGAAGGGCCAGCGCATACAGGAGCCAAAAATCAGAGGGTTGTATGGCTTGGAAATTCTGATAGAATTGCCACTACTGGTTTTTCTAAGTTGAGTGATCGCCAGGTTGGTATTTGGGATGCATTCAACCTTGAAAAAGGAGATTTGGGTGGTTTTTACACCTTGGACCAATCTTCAGGAATTGTGATGCCTTTTTATGATGATTCTAACAAGATCTTGTATCTAGTAGGCAAGGGAGACGGCAATATCCGTTATTTTGAGTTTCAAAATGACGAGCTTTTTGAGTTATCGGAGTTCCAATCCGTCGACCCGCAACGTGGTTTTGCAGCTGCCCCTAGGAGAGCAGTAAGTGTCAAAAACAATGAAATTTTGAAGGGATTCAAAACGGTTAACGATCACTGTATCGAACCAATCTCATTCCACGTACCTAGAAAAGCGGACTCTTTTCAAGATGACATCTACCCTGATGCGCCATCTCATATCGCTGCACTATCGGCTGAGGAATGGGCCTCAGGTAAGTCCACCGAGGGCCCACTTCTGTTTAATATGAAGTCCCTCTTTGATGGGTCAGAGCCCATGTTGGTACCATCCTCTGCCGGAAATTCTGAACCCGTGCCGCCTGCTACGACTCCATCTGCGCCAGCAGCCGAGGAGCCGAGCGCTTCTGAAAAAGGAGATGTGGGCCAGAAGGAGGAATCGACGCCGCAATCGACCGAAAAAACTTTGACAAGGCCTCCGTCACCAGTTACCATACCCAAGCCCTCTGCCCCAAAGACCTCAAAGGAGAATGGTAGCTCTACTGCAATTGATGAAACATTAAAGGAAGACAAGACAGTCAATGGTCTTCTGATGAGGGCTTCGCAATTGGACAAGGATAACGACGCAGAAGATCCCTCTAAAGACGTCTCGACTTGGGATGAAGGCGAGGATAATGTCCCCCCCGCTGAACTCCCACCGCCTGTTTCTTCAGCCTCGAGAGTTGAAGAGAGCAAGCTTGTACCAGCCAAAACAGAAAAGTCAAAAACAATCCCACAAGAAGCCGTCCCGGCCACTCAAACGCCAACACCTGAGGCTACGCCTTCTCAGACTAAAATTAAGACTTCAACTTCCTCGCCTGCTACGAGACTCGAAGAAAAGGTGGAAGAATTTACTACTACAACTAGCGACTCCAATGTTAGTGATTCTACAGTTGCCCCCACGGCGAAAACTATGGGTCTCAAACAATCTGTGGAGACCTTGTCAGGTTTAGTTTTACAACTGAGCCAGGTAGTTGATGACCTAAAGAGGGCTAGCCTGGAGAAAGACACCCGCCTAAAGGCTGTGGAAGACAAGTTAGCTCAATTAGTGGGGAAATAAGTACTGATAGAAACCGTTTTTTATAATAACACGCTATAGATCTGAGGACCTTGATTTACTTAAAATTTCTTATTACTTTTACTGGCCAGAGAATCCCGTATATAGTATATAGCATTATTACTTGCACAAATTTTTCATAAATGATAAATTCGAGGCGATCCACGCATTTGTTAAGGTTCAGTTCATACACACCTGAAAGTCAATCACGCCCACATATCGTATTTCCCCGTTGCAAATAGCTCTCGGCTTAGCACGCTCTGGCTTTGGGTCGTGTGTATTTAATATATAGGTATATTCTCGCCTAGACTTCAGTGAGAATTCACAATCCCATAAATCAAAAACAAGATCCTTTTCTGCGATCTTGATGAGTTCGGGAGTCAGTAGAAGTGAGATACGCGCACTTGCTGCAAAATATGTGCCGCAAATTGATCAAGTGTATGTCTCGTCTAACCAGGGCATAGATGAATCGAAGCTCTTGGCGGAACTTTTGAAGTTGATCGACAAAATCCCAGATGATGAGCATTTGTTCTGCGACGAAGACTTCAGGCCTATTGCAGTCTTCTGCCTGACGCTCTTTTCCTTCAGCAACCAGGGAACTGTTCAATGGCTAAAGGGTAGATTTGATCCAGTGTTAGCGCGGTGCAAACAATGTGTCCTTCATTTTACTAGGGGAAGGTGTAGAATGCTGCAACACTTTTCTGTGCTTCGGAAAGTCCCACACGAGCATGTTACTAAGTTCAACAATATTGTTTCACTTTGGAGGTCTGAAGCTTTACTTCCTGTCACACAAGGTATTGCTGTCAACAACAACACTGAAATCAACCTCACACCAGATATCGAAGTGGCGTTATACGAGTGTTTCTGCAACCCTCAGGTTTTGAGGACAAATGAAAAATTGAAAGCCGCATTCGATGCAATTTTTAAGTTCCTGTTCCATTCCAAACATTCGATTTTGGAGTACCCCCCAGCAGAATCCATCCAGCAACACATTTCTGCCGGTCTGATATACTGCTGGTTTGAAGGCTCGTACGAAGAAGTCCACTGGGCTCGAGTGTTCTTGGAATTACTGCACAAGTATCAGGTTACTTTTGCTGCGGACAATTTCCAGCAAGATTTGCTCGAGGAGATCAATGTACATTTCCTGTACCTACAAAATTCCAGTAACTTCCACGAAGCTCTGGTATCGCATTTCTGGTCAAAGTTCAACCCACTGTATTATCTATTTGATACTTCGCTGATAAACGCTCATCTCATTGTCCCCCCAAATCTTGAGTCTTTGCGCCAGTCTATCCGTCATCCTATCGAATCAATCTATAACCTATGGTACCGCCACCTGGCGCATACGTACCGGGAAACACCACTAGGAGTTTTACTGAAAACTCTGAAAGTTTTTTTGGAAAAAGAAGGCTCGGAATTTTGGGAACGTATAGAACCCTTCACTTTTCACAGCATCTTAGACTTAGTGTTCGAGAAAAATGCATTTTCTGTTACACTAATAAAGATCCAAGACAATCAACTCACACCTCAAGCATTTGAAGCTCTGTTAGTGGAGGCTTCCTCTCTTACTGATCTCGTGTCTTGGACGCTTCCATTTTTCCACTCCCTATCTCCTTCCAAAAGAATTCAAATGGTCAAAAAGGTCTCCATTGGCTTTTTTCGAGTGATTTCCAGTCATAATCACTTGAAGACTATTCCAAAAGCATGCTTGATTAATTCATCAACCGCTCTTTTGAGTGCGGTGCTGGCTGTGACAGACGAAGAGCGGTCGGTTCTTTATTCAAATGCGAACTTTGAAACCACGCTTTTCACAAAAATGGACTCTCGTGCACTTTTGAACAACGAAATGGTTCTTAATATAGTGATACAGTCAGCCACCAATTCGATAGATTTTCTAGGAGTAGATCCATCTATTGCTTCTGTTCCTTACTCTGCAATGAAAGTTCTGGCCAATTGCATAGACTACGATATTCTAATACTGTGCCAGGCTTCTTATAGAATCTACAGAGGGGGCAAGGCGAACGACGTCAAGGTCAACACTTCCTTAATTTCTGGCCTAGTGCAAACCTTGGATTTAGGGCGTAGTCAAGATGCTGTCCGTTTGGCATCATTGTTACTGGCTTCTATGCGTAACGTTAATGGTCTGTTGAGACCCAAAACGCCTGATCCATTGACCACTGAGCATATCCGTTGTATTGAAGCCTACTTTGAATTGCTGAAAGGAATCTTGATGAAGATTACTGATATTCTGCCTTCCCATTTAATTAAAGTGATAACAGATGAGGCTGGGTCGAGAGGATTTTGGTCCTGTATATTTACATCTGATATTGAAATTTATCAGACTGCAACAAATATTCTTTACGAATCTTTCGACGTTGAGGGTAGACTAGAGGGTATCCAAGAAACATTCAACCGTAGTCTGAACCACAGTCTAGGGTCAATAAACATGGTCTTATCTCAACTTATGAAGCACGAATTTTTTGAGCCCTGTCCCAGAGCTATCAGAGTCTTGATGGACATTATACAGGTTCTATCGGATCCAGTCAACGGAACTTTCGCCAACTATAGTTCTTTGAGAGATGATGAAACGGATCAAGTTATGCAAAAGTTTTGGAGTTTGTCCTGGCAGTTTTTGAACATGATTTATCGAGCCACTTTGAAGTGGGCTTCAAAGTATCCTTATTCAGAACTAGAAAACTTCACCAAGGATACTCTTGATACCAGTCTCTCTATGGTAGATGCATATCGCGAATTCGAAGGCGCGCTATCAAGTTCGAATCTCGAAAAATCTAAAGACCTACTTCAATGCGTCTTAGCCACTTTCCAAGACATGCTATACTGGCTGAGACTAAGCGACGAGTATCTTCTAGCTTCTTGCGTGGGGCTTATAGTAAAAGCAGCGGACCTCGCCATAGAAAAAGGGTTGAAGTTTGACGATGACTTGGTAATCAGCATGGCTAAATATGCGCTCAAGGCTCGCAAATTTTCTAACAAGCTGACTGCTCAGCAATCCTTGGAGTTAATATCGAGAGCAAAAGGTTTCAATGAAGCCTTGGTAGAAAAAGTGACCGCAGAAGTTGACTTTTATCAAAAAGAGAGGGAAAAGCTCAAGTTGAGTAAAGAACCCTCACCACTGAATGACAACTTGGCGATCTCGAAAAACATCAATACTAGTCAATCAAAGTCACAGGTTGAATCTAAGGTTGATTTTCTACAAAGAAAGGCGATGTCATCCTCCCTAATGGGCCGGCCCAAGAGTCAAGCGAAAATTACATCGTTTGGAACTCTCAAGCCAGGATTTACACCGAAAGCTCAAGAACCATTAAAAGGTCCGCCATCCAAGCTAGAAATCGCAAGGAGGCAGCTTTTAGCGGGTAGAAAAGTCCACCCGCCTAGCACGAACGTCTTCAACTCCCGTCGACCTCAGCAGCCGCGCAGTGTCCGGGACGACAGCAGCGATGACAGTGATGATGATTTGGAAGATGCCAAAGAGTTGTTTTCTCTTTCAAAATCGCGAGAGCGGAGTAAGCCCATTGTACTAGACATCAATGGAAAACCGGTTGTTAAAATTGACAGTGCTCAGCGAAAAAAACAGGAGGAGGAAAATATGAGGAGAAGATTGAATGTGGATTTGAACCCCTTCTACAAAAAAGTCCTCAAATGGAGCTTTACTGCATCTGGTGAGTACTATTTCGGTTCTCAAAGCGACGATTTTGAGGACGTTAAAGACACTTTTTCCTCGGTTGACGATTACCAAAAGATTATGCAGCCTCTCTTGCTTCTAGAATGTTGGCAAGCTATGTGTGCTGCACGAGACAGGGATGATAATAAACCATTTAGCATGGTAATTGGGAATCGAACTGTCGTTTCAGATTTTTACGAGGTTTATGCTTCTGTCAGCAAAAAGATGATGATCGAAGCAAGTATTTCAGATTCAGACTTAATAGTGTTAGCATATTTCCCGACCGCTAAAAGTGTGAACGAACTACGCACAGATAATTTCAAGGCTGCTGAATATTGCTGTCTCGCAAAAGTATGGGGTATGAAGAATAGTAAAGGCGATAACATGGACTTGACCTTGAGAATTGACAGAAGCACTAATTTCAGCAAATTTTTGACACTAAGGGCTGAAATTTTTGCTGTGAAGGTAATGCAAATGACAACAGTTGAGAGAGAATACACTTCACTAACTGGCCTTCCTTTTTACGATTTAGCAGGTCAAATTACAACCGCGACTTTGACACCCACAAAAAAAAGTGATCCCGCTGAGGTTGAGTTAGTGAAAGAAAAGTATAAACTGAACAGTTCCCAGGCGGAGGCTATAGTCAGTAGTGTTTCTCGTGAAGGCTTCTCTTTGATTCAAGGGCCACCCGGTACCGGTAAAACAAAAACCATTTTGGGTATCATCGGTTATTTTCTCAGCACTCAGAGGGCTTTGCCAGCCGGTGTCATTAAACAACCTGTAGATTCTGCAAATGCGTCTACCTCGACTGATCAGCTCTTGCTCAAGCAAAAAGTTTTGATATGTGCCCCCAGTAATGCAGCCGTAGATGAGCTTGTCCTCAGACTGAAACACGGAGTGTTCGACAAACATGGCAACTCATTCAGCCCTAAGCTCGTGCGTGTTGGTCGTTCTGATGCGGTGAATGCAGCCATTAAGGACCTCACTCTGGAAGAACAAGTTGACAAGAGGTTAGGAAGTAAGAACTACGAATTTATGAGTAATCCTGCATTGGAACAAAACCTGCAGAATGCAATTAATGAGCGCCGTCAGCTCAGAAGGAAGCTTGACGCTGAAGATGGGTCCCCCGTTAGTGATTTGTCGACAGATGATATTACAAAAATTCAGTTGGCTATAAGAGAACTGAGCAAAAAGATCAATGGGCTTGGGAAGCAGAAAGACGAGATTAGGGAGAGAAACTCTGTGAACTATAGGAACAAGGAAGTAGATCGGAGAAAAGCTCAATCTCGTATCCTGGCCGAGAGTGATGTTATATGCTCTACTCTTTCAGGTTCTGCGCATGATATACTTGCTTCGCTTGGTGTCAAATTCGATACCGTCATTATTGATGAAGCATGTCAGTGTACTGAACTTTCGACAATAATTCCTCTTCGCTACGGGGCAAAAAGATGTATCATGGTGGGTGATCCTAATCAACTACCCCCCACCGTTCTTTCTGGTGCCGCCAGTAACTTCAAATACAACCAGTCCCTTTTCGTTAGAATGGAAAAGAAGTCCTCACCACACTTACTTAATGTGCAGTATAGAATGCACCCAGCAATAAGCAAATTTCCATCAACAGAATTTTACAAGGGAAAGCTAAGTGACGGACCGGACATGGAGGTACTTAACACCAGACCATGGCACTCACATACCCCACTAGGACCGTACAAATTTTTCGATATTGTTACAGGAAAACAAGAACAGAATAGAAAAACAATGTCTTTCATAAACATGGAAGAATGTAAGGTTGCAATAGAGCTCGTTGAGAATTTGCTGAATACTTACGAGAACAATTACAACTTTACAGGTAAAATTGGTGTCATATCACCATATCGTGAGCAGATGCAAACCATGCGAAGAGAATTCAAGAGATATTTTGGTAACCCGATTACTGGCTACGTCGATTTCAATACTATTGATGGGTTTCAAGGACAAGAGAAAGAAATCATTTTGATATCTTGTGTCAGGGCGGATGATACGAAATCGGGCGTTGGGTTTCTAAAAGATTTCAGAAGAATGAATGTTGCTCTGACAAGAGCTAAAAGTAGCATGTGGATTTTAGGCCATCACAGCTCACTGTTCAAGAATAAGCTCTGGAGAAATCTAATCACCGACGCCAAAGACCGAGGTTGCTTGGATTTGGCTTGCTCAGGATTTCTTAACCCAAAAAGCTCTAAAGCGACAAGTATCCTTAAGCAGTATGCTGCCTCCCACGATCACTTAACAGGTGATGATTATGACCCGGTCGTTGCAAGAAGAGACAGAGTGCCCACCAAGACTGGCCCTTCTCGCAATGCTGACAGAAGGGCCATGAAGCATTCAGCTACCCCAACTTCCCAACTTTCCCAAACTAAACATTCTCGCGAAAAGCAAACTTCTTTTCCCTCTAACGCGCAAGGGACGAGACCGAAACCTGTTATGTCGCAAGCTCCTATGGGTAGAAAAAAGAAATCGTCAATTTTCGGCGGGCCATCTTTGATCTCAGGTATCGAAGATAAAGTAAGTCATCCAAGCATTCATTCCCGATCAAATATGAATCATCCTGATCCCAAGCCAGGCAACAGGGACGCAGATAGAACGACATCAGTGAAGCGTGTAAGATTTGAAGAAGGTGCGGGGACAGAGCAACAAAAGAAGGCTAGGTCCTCGGATGAATTAAAATATTTAAATGCAGGTGATAATCCAGCTAAGCCTGCAAACTTCAACACATCTCGAGAACCCGTGGCCAATGCACCAGTGGGCAGAAGTGTCAGTCATGCAGTTGAGAGCTCAAAGCAAGAGGAAGGTGACAGTGACAGCAGCCAGGATGATTACGATCCTTCTATGTCACTTTCCCTCGATCTGAAATCTGCAGGGCAAAATGGAAGCCACTTTAAAAACATCAAAGACGTTGAAGATCGCGGGGTCCCCCGTTCTACCTCGAGCTCTAATCCATTTATTCCAAAGAAAAAAAAGCCCTTCTCCTATAGGCGATAACTTGATATTATAGGGCCAGTGATCATTTTAAACTTCGACAGTCGCGAAGATTCATTCCTTTTTCTGCATTTTGTCCAATCCGACACTTGGGGTCGGCAGCGGCTCTTTAAGCCCACCTTGGAATGTTATATTTTCCCTATTAAGGCCAATTTTGGGAGGAGACGTTCCAGCGATACTGAAATTACTACTAGCTTCTCTAACAGGGCCCGGTGAGGAATTCTTGGAGTTCCTCAAAAACAATTCTTGATTAGCACGTTTTAGCACCTCTATTTCGTTGCCTAAGCATTCACGCAGCACAGGCGAATTGTTGGAAGATATCGCCTCTTGTAGGTTGGTGATGACTTGAGCAATTTCTACCGAGAGTCTCTGTGGCGACACTAGTGGATTTTCCGAAAGCATGGTTTTCAATAGATTTTCAAGCGCACTTATTTTATTCAAGCATTCATCCCACGTATTTCTTGCAGATTCCGCCAGGTTCAGGTCCTCTTTGAAGTTTCTCAGGTCCGCATTCAAGATTTCTTGCCGAGTGAAGAGAAATTCCTTTGCATACTCGAGCTGGTCACTGAGCGGCTGTAGTGGTTCTTGAAGGTGCAGCTTGTTGAAACGAGAGAAGAATGTGGAATCTCCACGGGCAGAATGGCCAGAAATGCCTAACTTAGTCATAATCTTTTCTTGCGAGCTCTGGACCCTCTCTAAATCGTTACTAAGAAGCACGAGTACGCTGTCAACTTCGCTGTTTCGGCTTTGAAGCTCTTGTTCAATGAAATTTTGGTCTTTTTTCAGTGTTGCCAACAAAATTTCCACCTCACTGATAGTTAGTTGAATTTGCTTTTGACTGGATCGAAGAAACGCTATGTTTCGGGTAGTCTTGCTTTTGTCCGGCTTTGGATCATCAGGTAACTCATTCGCGTTGGCAAGCGACGTGTTGGTAACCCCCACACGATCAAGGTACCGGTTCAAAAAGTGACGGTACCCCGTTGTAAAAGTGAAAGTATCTCCCTCAGGTTCTTCAGTCGTAGTAGCGTACTCCTCTTCCTCTTCACCAGCTTTCCAGTCTTGTAAAGCGTCTCTGATTGACGTTTCTTCTCGTTCCAACTTTTCCAGCTTTCTGCCTAACTTCGCCAGCCTATCAATTTCTTGCTTTACGCTACCGCCATCATCACTAGAAGTTAGCATAGCGTTGAGTTTGCAAAGATCATTCAGACATATGTGGATATCGTTTCGAAGTTTGTCCAGCGTGCCAGCATCTTGGACTTCGAACAAATAGCGCCGGTGTGTCTTAACAATAGTATCCAGAAGGCCGCTGATTTCTGCCCTTTGGGTCAATATATCTTCCATACGCATGCTTGCGTCGATACAAGCGGTAGCACCAGGCGTGGTAAAAACGCTGTCACTGAATCTGGGGATAGTCCACTCCCAACGCGGTTGATAAATCAAGGTCTCTTTCGAATTACACCGTAACTAATGATGACACAGCTGGGCTTGCCCTTGAGACGTGGAGCGCACCGAGGTAGGTGGGGCCACCGCTCCTCAGTGTCTCATTGGTTGATTCTTCACGTTGTGTTTTTTTGGTTTACTAAGATTGATAAGAAAATTCCCACTACTCTGGCACTGTGATGATCGTCATTATCGAGCCACTCGGCGCAGATCACTGCCATCTGGTAGTTTTTAGAGATCCGAGGCCCCAATTTCTGTCGTATTACGATAGAATTCCTCAAATTGACAGGATAATGTCGAGGGTCGGTTTCAGACGGTGTTTCAAAGACAGTTGAGGTTTCACCCCAAGAAAAAGCACTAGTATAAGTAGAGCTAACCGGAACAACTCATCAATTGCTAGCTAGCCATAGGTGGGAGAAACTAAGCGTGATTTGATCTATTTGTTATGGTCATACCGATCGTACCACGGCACATCCTGCTTTTGTGTCAGTATTGTACAAAGTGATCATTTGATAAAGTCCCACACACAACGTTCTACCCATAATCGTGCATTTCTAACCATGAGCCTGCCGTCGAAGCCTGCCGCAACCACCTTGAAAGTTTCCCTCCCTTCTCAGCACCTCTCCCGCTATATGGACAGATTTACCAATTAACATGTTTTTGACTTCTCTCCTTCGCCGCTAATATCTGTACTCCAGTCTTCTATCCACCTCCAGAGCTCAGAGTCTTTTCCCACGCCATGGCTGTCTCTGCACCATCCTGCAATCTTCATGCGATGAGCTTTGACTGACAAAGATGAAAACTTTTTGACCAAAATTTTTCCAGTAAAGCTGAGCCCAAAAAAAAAAATTTATATAAATTCACAAGAAAATGACCCAGATTTTCCAGCTCTTGCTTCCTTCTATGGTTTTAATCCTTGGGATTGTTTCCCTGGAATTTGGGTTACTTGGATTTTACGGATGTTTTCTCTTTGTAAAATTAATATTAAAAGGCTCACAAGGCTCTTGGAAGTTGTCTAGATTTTAGAAAAAAAGTACTCTGAATAATGTCAGTCAAGGAATGCTCAAAAGCTTTGGATTACCTCAAGAACTACGATGAGAGGGACGGGCTGTCTGCTGAACAGCTCATGGACTCTAAGACTAGAGGTGGTCTGACCTACAACGATTTCTTGATTCTGCCTGGCAAAATCGACTTCCCATCTTCGGAGGTCAGCCTGCAGACCAAGCTCACTAAGAAAATCACATTGAACACTCCGTTTGTGTCGTCGCCTATGGACACTGTGACGGAGGCAGAAATGGCCATCCAGATGGCGTTGTTGGGTGGTATCGGTATCATCCACCACAACTGTTCTGCTGAGCAGCAGGCCGCGATGGTGCGCAAAGTGAAGAAGTTCGAGAACGGATTCATCAACTCGCCCGTGGTGGTGGGCCCAAACAGCACGGTGGGAGAAGTCAAGGCCATGCGCGAGAAATATGGATTCTGTGGATTTCCAGTTACTGGTATGTTGAACAGACGGGATAAATCGTCTAGAGGGACACAATCACCAATGGTGTGTGTGGGCGTGTGGCGAAGTATACGGCGAGGTTTGAGGATATTTGTGGGCTACACACTGGTGCTTGGGATGAAGGTAACGTGATGATTGATCTTTAAATTAATAACTTTCGTTCTACTGAGTATTGATCAAACGATCTTGTAGAAACCTTTTTGATCTGATGCTTTTAAAAATTGAGCACTTTTGCAGCTTGCAAATTCGAAGAACTGTCCGTTGCCCACGGTCACCGCCATTGATTCTGTCCTGATAAGTGTGTGTGTTTGCATTTTACTAACTATTAACTTTTAGAAACTGGTTCCTTGCCAAGCAAGTTGGTTGGTATCGTTACTTCCCGTGACGTCCAGTTTGTGGAAGACGAATCTTTGTTGGTCTCCAAGATCATGACCTCAGAACTCGTCACCGCCCAAGTCGGTGTGGATTTGTCCGCAGGCAATGACATTTTGAAAAATACCAAGAAGGGTAAGCTACCTATCGTTGATGAACAAGGAAACTTGGTTTCTATGTTGTCCAGAACCGATTTGATGAAAAACCAATCTTATCCATTGGCCTCCAAATCTGCTAGCACCAAGCAACTTCTATGTGGTGCCGCCATCGGTACTATCGATGCCGACAAAGAAAGACTGCAGTTGCTGGTCGATGCCGGTTTGGACGTTGTTGTGCTCGACTCTTCCCAAGGTAACTCTGTGTTTCAACTCAACATGATCAAATGGATCAAAGAAACCTTCCCAGAATTGCAGGTCATCGCTGGTAACGTGGTCACCAGGGAACAAGCTGCTTCTTTGATCCAAGCAGGTGCCGACGGTTTGAGAATCGGTATGGGCTCTGGTTCCATCTGCATTACTCAAGAGGTTATGGCTTGTGGTAGACCTCAAGGTACCGCCGTTTACAATGTGACCCATTTTGCCAATCAATTTGGTGTGCCTTGTATGGCTGACGGTGGTGTTGGTAACATCGGTCACATTGCCAAGGCTCTCGCGCTTGGTGCTTCTTGTGTCATGATGGGTGGTATGCTTGCTGGTACAACCGAATCTCCCGGCGAGTATTTTTTCCAGGATGGTAAGCGTTTGAAGACCTACCGTGGTATGGGCTCCATCGACGCGATGCAGAAGACTGATAAAAAAGGTAATGCCGCCACCTCTCGCTACTTCTCCGAATCCGACAAGGTTTTGGTTGCTCAAGGTGTGTCTGGTGCTGTCGTTGACAAAGGCTCTATCAACAAGTTTATCCCATATCTGTACAACGGTATGCAGCACTCTTGTCAAGACATTGGTGTTAGATCCTTGCAAGCTTTGAGAGAGCAAGTGGACAACTCGACCGTCAGATTCGAATTCAGAACCGCCTCAGCCCAATTGGAAGGTGGTGTTCACAACTTGCACTCTTACGAAAAGCGTTTGCACAATTAACATCTCTGCAACGCATTAAATACAACTCAACAATAAACCACTAAATCTTATGTGCTTATATATATAAAGAATTATATTCATTGTCTAAAACTTGACCCGGTTATGTCATGAAAGTTTTGACTGACCTTCGAGGGTGTTACTATCGGATTGGACCCATCTACTTATTTTTTTAACTTACTGTCCCCACTTCCCTTTACCATCTTTTCAAAATACGCGTGCCGCCTCTTTCCAACTTCTTCTAGCCTGGGAGGCAATCTTTCGTTAACTATATCTTCTCGACGAGCCTTCTCAAATGCAGTAAGGGCTTCATCCAAGCCCTCCGTACCATGTGCGAGAGCTCCTCTCGGCAATGTTCCGGCATTGATTGTTTTCAAATATTCTACCTTCTCACTTTCGTCCCTTAGAATGGAATACATCCTTGAAACTTTGGCGATGGCTAGGATCTTATTGCGCAAAGCTTTTCTCTTTGCCTCATCATTCAGGATGGTGGAATTAATTTCCGGGGGTGGCCCAGGGCTCGAATCCATATTCTTCTTCAAGACGTTCTGCTTAGGGAGTTCGACACCTTCGTTGACCAAAATTGTATCTTCCTCAAGCTCTTCGTCAGTACAAATGTTCAAGATGGACACCAGCATTTCAGTAACCTTCTCTCCGACGAACGGCAGAGACCAGGTGAAAACATCCATAAAGTTTGGGAGCCAGTAAGGATGTGGTGACATGTTGAATTGTCTTATATTCATAACGTTGTTCGAAAACTTCAACACAGCCGCTTTATTTTTGTAGGTATCGAGGTAATTTGGTGCGCTGAAAAGAGTGAGTAAACTTGGGAAACCTAGTGTCTTCGTATTTCTGTACATCCTGTAACCGGCGTCTTGTGCTTCGTGTGCCCTAATAATCGACAATAGCCCAGTTCGTTGTAAAAAGTCACACGCAGCATGATAAGTGAATGCAAAAGAACATCCTCTTATAGAATTCGGCATGAACGTGCCTGCGGACAGGTCGTCTGCATTTTCATCATAATTTTCGGTGGGATCTGCCCACATAAGGTCGCACATGAGACCGCGGGAAGGTATTTCTCTAAATCTGTTTAACTTATCGATGTCCTCAAGGGTATTTAGTTCTGGGGATATACCACCATGCACACAGAAGTATTGGTTGTTCATCACAGCTGCGAGCGGAAGGGCATTGAAGGATCGACAGCATGCCTCATAAACGTTGAGACTGTATTTATGCAAACATTCACTCTTGAAGGTGAAATATGACGTTAAATGCTTGCATTCGTGATTGCCTCTCAAGAGCCAAAAATGATCGTTGTAACTTAATTTCAGACTGTACAAGTAGAGCAAACATTCGATAGAAAAAGAGCCACGATCCACATAGTCTCCGAGAAAGAGGTATGGTGTAGTTTCCGGATCACCCCCAACTTCGAAAAGCTTCAATAGATCGTAATATTGACCATGAATATCCCCACACACAGTGACAGGAGCAGGAACATGCAGCAAATTCGGTTCTTTCGACAAGCACTCTGTTCCCATCCGCAGAATCTTGAGCACTTGTGACTCACTAAGCCGTCCTTCTCGCTTGAAATGGTCTTTGAGAAAAGCGTGGTTGGGGACTCCACTCTCACTGAATAATTCCTGGTCGCTGGGCAGCCCCAGAGCCACAGGTCGCACTGAACTACATACCCTTTCTTTGGTTGAGACTCTTGTACCATTCTCTAACGTGTACATCGTTAGATCAGATGGCGCGGAGCTTGTCGGTGGGCCCTCCGTCTCTGCGGGTTTACTTTGGATAATTTTTAAAGCTGCATTGATTTTCTTAGTGTTCTCCTGGGCCTTTGAATTCGGGTTTGACATTCTTGCGCTACTACTTCGTGAATATGTTAGGAATGAGGCACCAGAAAGCTGAGAAACAAAAATTGGCCGTCAAAGGAAATGGGCCTGAATTTTCTCGACGCAGTTGATCAAAAACTCGTGGACCTTTTGGTAGCAAGCGGCACAATCACCTTGAATGGACACATAGTCCATGGTGCGTATAATTCAATTTATAGGATCAAGTTGGTGAAATTGAGCCCCCTTCGTTAAAAGGTACTGAAATTTTTCAACGTCACTTAGCTCATCGCTGAAGCTAAAATGACGGACTCGACTCCGAGAAAGCTTTGGTGAAGCCATAGTTGAACTAGTGTTCGCGATCAGCACGAAAGTACTTTACAAAGTTTTCCTTAGCGGATTCCTCGCCTAATTTAATTCTCACTCTCACAATGGCTACCACTATTGACGAGCTTGCATACGTTGAAGCATCCAAGGAGAAGGCCAGCTTGGCCTTTGAAAATGACAAGCAGATGGCCCGATTTGAGCTTGGTGTATCCATGCTGATCCACAAGTGGGAAGCGCTGGATTTGGCTGTTCAAAATGGCTGGGGAGGGCCTGAGTCCGCCGAAAAGAGGGATTGGATTACGGCAATCGTCATTGACTTGTTCAAGACAGGACGAGTGGTAGAGGTGGCATTAATTGAAGAGACCATGCTTTATGCTATGATGGATGAATTTGAGACCAATGTAGATGATGACTCCGCACTGCCGATTGCGGCACAGATACTGGAGATGTACAAAGAATGCGCCGAGGAGAACTATTCCACAGTTGAGAATTTATACCAGGCCTGGACCGAAAAGCAGAAGTCGAAAGAAGCTAAGCGTGAAATTCAAATCGGTGATGATCCTTGGAACCCCGACGTTTCAGGCAGCGAAGGTGAGGAAGAGGACGAAGAGGATCTCGCCGACTCTCCCCCACCTCTGGTTCACGATGCCGATCACGATGTAGATATGGACGCACAAAAAAATGAGCCTGTTGTGGATGAAGATGGTTTCGAGTTGGTTCAGAAGAAGGGTAGGAAGCCTAAAAATTAATGGCACAATGCCAATCTTTGTATATTATAAATCCAAATACCGAACTGTGTACCTAACTACTGGTATCAAATTATAGCATTTGTCTGGAAGACAATACCTACAGAAAGCATCAAAGGCCGATTTTTACCCACTACTTCGAGCCTCTCGAGGATGGAAGTGGACCAACGCCAGTTAGGGAAGCACGACGAGTCCAAGGGCGCGATGTAGCTGGCGTCAAGGTGCCTGCAGTCACCATTATACCCTCCGGGGCATTTAGCGTAGTCGTGCTCCCGAATCTAAGTTTCCGCAATAATGTCGAGGTCATATCTACGAGACTGTAGCTTTCCCGCTCGTCTACTTTTACCTTAAAGAGAACAACTCGCGTCCCTACCCAGATATTCGGTTTCAACAACCCCGCATCTAATACAAATGTGCCACTGTTAGAGGAGGTACCACTTGTTGATTCCACTTCGGACTCCTCGTCAATCTTTTCCTGTTGCGGTTTATGGAACCCGGTCCAAGAAAATCTAAATAGGGACCGATCACTAGATTGTCCTCCAGAGTGGTGCTTATTGTTCACCCAGGACGAAAAACCAGAGCCTAAGCTTGGGCTACTTGGAGTGCTGTTGGGTGTGGAATCAGGCTCTTGATGTAGTAAAAATGTAGTAATGGAACTACTATTGCTGTTCGTTCTTGACAGCGACGAGCCTTGTGAATTCCACCGTTCAAGTTTTGGGGTTTGCGGCTGCGAAAGCGACTGCTGGTGCTGCTGTTGGGTACTATCCTGCGAAGAATTCTCGCTTGCAAATGTGCTGATGAATGGTACGCTGTTGAAATCGAAAATATCACTCCACAAAACAGACAAGTACCACTTGAAGGCTATCGCATTGGAATCCCAATTTATAAAAAGCGTGTTGGTCTTTTTGTCCCTTCTAGATAGCGTTTTTGGCGTCGTATTAGATAATTCCAACTTTAGAGGTACTTCAAACTTCACAAAGGATCTGAGAAGCTGTAAATAATTTGAACCAGTGATTTCCGGAATTGAAGGAAACTTTTGGTTAACAATGCGAAGCACCTGTAGCATGTAAAGTAGAGGCATGGATCCAAGCCAAGTCTTTTCGAGTCCAGCTTCCTTTCTTAGTTTCAACTTCTTCTTAAAACTCAATCCAGGGGGTCTTTGGGGCCTCAAAGCCATAAGAATTCCAAATTCCAGCAGGGGGTCATCGCTATGATCCGCGTACTCGTGTAGTTCGATTGTCTTATTTGGGGACACACGGGCAATTCCTTCTGCCTTGGCCTCCACCTCTTCTAGTGTACGTTGTTGTAGTTCAAAAAACATCAGTGATTGTAGTTGTACCCTTTCCAAAAGGTCGTAACTCTCGGTTCTTCTATATGTTTTATCACTTTGCCAGTTGTATCTGACGTCGGGCGATACACAATCCTCAAAATAATCGTCGGAATGCAGTTGGGACGACTTTCTTGGCAAATTCGAGTCTGTACCCAGATAATTGTAGCTTATCTCCGAAGATATTTCTATCAAAGTGTTCCTTAGTTGTTTTGGCACATTTTCGTGCCTGCAGAAAACAAACAAAAGGTGCTTGCAATCTTTGTAATGATTGAGAATACCATAATTAAATGCTTGTATTAGGAGCGCTAGCATGTCCAGCTTGAATCCTGGAGAAAGGGCATAGCACTTTCTTGGCTCATTGGGCTTGTTAGCTTCATTGAGGGCATCTTGGGAGGTCGCGGGAGAGGCGATGCCAGCAGCTTCGCCTGCGAAGCTGGTCAAATATGCCTTTGTTGACATCTTTGCAACTAATCTCAGTAATGAGACTGACGCACTATAACTTATGCCAGTCACCTTATTCGTTTTGTCAGACGAAAGCTGTACCATATCCTCATCCTCAACGTCAAGAGGCATTGATACGAGATTGAAGATAATCTCTATAAATGTGGGATTGAGTGCAATGTTGTCTTTTACTTGAGTAGCCGCCATATTGCAAAGCTGGATTATGGCAAAATCTCTGTGGGTGAAGCGATCCACGTCTCCTATAGATATCTTGAACGAATTAGGTATTTTGTTCGCGTAGTAATTAGCATTAAAGCAGTACTGCATTTTCGACAAGATGAGTTTCTTCGAAGACAGGTAAGTGGCAAAACCAGAGATCACTGGAATCAAACTAGTATGACATTCTATAGCGTCAGAATAGTTTTTGACATAGTAAATGCATAGCAAAATCAGTTTGCTGCCATACTTGTCGGCAACATAGTTTTCGAAAGCTTTATTAGTCTTCATGAGCTCCCATAACAGAATAAATACCTGCAAGGTAGACCGAGGCAAGCGAGGGGGGGAAGTGGAACTTGAAAACGAAGTCGTCTTGCTTTGCGTAGACCGCTTCCCACTATTTGAGCTCCCGGCAGAATTTCCTAGTAATGAGAAAGGATTCGATTCATTTGCAACGGCCTGCTCCATGGGTCGCTTCAATAGAGTGGCTAAGTTGACCAGCATGAACTTGAGATCGAATTCTCTTATTAGGGTACTCAAGTACGTCGAAACCAGATTGTTGATTTTAAATTTGGTTGAATAAAGATTGAGCCCATATAAGAACTTGTGAATGGGTCCCAGTTGGAGCCCCTCGATAGGACATGTCAAAGACAAATTTAGAAGATGCATGGTAGTCATCACTAGAGCCCTTCTCAATGATCGCATTTGAGAACTTTTCGAAGAGGAGTGGTACGAATTTGAAGGGTAGTTAAGGCCATTGTCATCGTCATTACTGCGGCACGAACGACAAATGAGGTTCACCATGGAGGACGTCAGGCAAATGCTGTGAAATTCGGGAATTGACGTCGTTAGCACTATCAGGAACTTTGGCAGATGCTGGAAGTACAGTTGTTTGGAGGACAGCGTGAGTAACAAGCGCAAGATCTCGAGCCTTCTAGCGTCCAGTCTGGGGTTTGGAGGGGCAAAGGACACCTCGGATGTATTTATGCCATTCTCCCATAGCAGGAAAGACACTTTCCCTAGGTCTTGCATACCCGACTTCATCAGTGGTACAGTAAACCCTTTTATGAACAGCAATTTCACACAGGCTTGTAGAATCAGCACGCCTAAGGGCACCACATGCTGAACTTCGGCTTGGGCATTATTTACATTCAGCGTAGCCACCGCGACTGAGGCCGGGTCATCGCACTGTAGCACTTCCGAGCTGTTCTGGTTCCAGAAAACTGAATTCTCCAGGTCTTGAGTATCGTCCATCTCAAAGAAGACAGGCATGATCTTAGTCAGTATTCGAACACAAGTTAGCAATTGGCTTTCCCGCATCCGAAATGTAGCCACGCTACCACAGTCCTGTAGGAGACACGACAGGACGTGAATTTTGAAAGCTACGAACCGTACGAGGTTCGTGAAACTGCCAATATTGGCCTCGCAAATGAACCGCAGCTCCTGCGTAGAGACCACGGAGTAGATGTCGCGGGCCTCCACGTTCGGCACAATGAGTGCGTTGAAATTAGACGAGAAAGGGTCCGAAAAGTCTTTGCGGTTCCAGGAAAATGGATCATTGTAGTACCGGATTATTTCTTCGGCAGTAATGGAGGGTGAATATAACGGGGTTGGAACCGAGTCTGCTAGTCGGAATACATGTTCTCGGTACTGAGCAAGCTTCGAATCCGATTGCCCCATGCCAAGGGCGTTCGATGGATCACAGATATGGGACAAGTTTGCTGTAGTAGTTCGTCAACTACTATGTCACCTTAAATATGTACCAATATACAGGTATATATATACTTTAGAACAATGCCTGCTATATCATCATTGCAGTAAGAAAAGCATGATAGAATTATCACGAGACCAGCCGCGATAGTTGCTCGAGACTCAAGAGCCGGAGATCAAGGGCCGACCCACAAGTCGAAACCAATCTGATCATATCAACGTCTATCTAGACGGCCTTGGTAGCCATGGGCTGAGAGCGGGGCAAGGTTGGAAAGTGAGCTGACAAGCGCAAGAGCTGAAAGGTCCTAACTTATTGTAGTGTATGTAAATCCAATGAAATAAATGTAAACGTAAGTGGATAGGAGATCGTAATAATGACGATTGACGAGAGACACGAGGAAGCTCGAAGATATCTCCGACCACAAACAAAGTGAAGAGAACTGAAGAGAAGAAATAGAGTGAAAGACATGCGGGGAGGAGGGCCGAGGAGGGAGTCTCCTATGACGATGCTGGCTGCAGCGGCGGCAGCACTAGTGGAGGCGTCGGCAGTACTCACCAGTCCTCAACCTGGTCGAAAGCACGCTTATTGCGCATGATGTCGTTGTCGATGAGCTCTAGTCTCTCGTCCAGCTGGTGCTCCCACATCTCCAGCGAGCTGGAGCTGGACACTGTGCGCGCGTTGACCAGCATAGGGGGTTGCTTGGCGGCAGGCAGAGGTACACGCTTGTATGCGGGGATGGTGAAGTCTGAATTGTCCTGGACGGAACACGCGTCTTGGGAAGCCCCACCGGTACTGCCAAACTTCGCGGGCGACGTAGAGGCCGCAGCACTAGGGCTGTCTCCCACCTGGTATCCGCGGTCCACAGACTGGCGGATTCTCATTCCTAGGGTCGAGAGACGGTTTTGGCCCTCGTACGACTCGTATTGTCTCTGGATGCCTTGACCTAGGTGTTTTTTCTGTGGCGATTGATTCATTGGAAGTATTGCTCTCTGTGTGTGTGTGTGTGTCGGTTGGACCGGTTATATGGAAGCGTATGCCTATTCGTCTGTCTGGTTGCGATGCACTCACTATATCAAGATAGTTGTGTGATAATCACTTATGGGTACAGGATATGCCCGCTGTTTGCTGTGTCGACTAGAGAAATGATGAAAGGAATACCCCCACTTGCGACTAGATGTTTGGAAACCCGCGCTAGGGAAACCACGGACGACGTCCGGCCATTATTTTTTCCAGAAATTGGCCGTGCTTATATAGTCCGAGCCACGAGTACACAGCCCTCGGCCGGGTAACGGACCGCAGGAGCACTTGTGTCACGTGCGTGGTGTCTTTTGCGCGCGCCCGTACACCCACCTTTGTTTTGTAAACAGTGGGTGTGTGGGTGTGTAAACAAACCGGGGGAAGGGGAGCGTCGCGTGATCAGTCATGTGGTCGCTCACGTGGGGCGGCCCAACCAAGGGTTTCGGCCTGGCGCGTTGTCGGTAAAGGATCAGATCTGGTGACCCGGCGTCTGGGCACGTGACGAGGTTCATTTGGGCACGTGTGGGCATGCGGGCCTGCCGTAGCTGGTTACCTTATAGGCGGCTTTCACGTGATTCCGCAGGGTGACGGCCCTTTCGCACAAGCAAGGATAATCCTATAGGCTAGCGCCCCGCCGCTTATTAGTATTTTGCCGGCGCTGACTCGCTCGTTGGCCCTGTTGATGGGCATCGCGTATAAAAAATTCTGCGTGCTTGATACTAAAGCTGGAGCGTATTAGGCGAGTTCTGGCTGTCTCTCCGAGCCAAGTAGCATGTTGTCTGCCTGTTTAATACTCGGTTGAGAGTTTCTTAGCCACCCACAGCGGTCGTCGCGTTGCGGAAGTGCCCGTATAGGTGGCACTCTTTCGCTTGTAGAGACAGCAACTTGCCTCGCGACACAGATCTTCGCGAGTAGCACTCGGGCCGAGCCTGGTCTACCGACGCATATGCTGTCACGTGACTACCGCGTATCTTTCTTAACGCAGACTCCACTAATTCAGACTAGGCGCAGGTATCCGACGGCAGGGTGTTGGCTCCTCCAGAGTGGCTGTTCGAACACCGCAGCAGCTGTCCGCACCGCGGAATGCGCGGTGTGCGGCCCGGTTCTCCTGCGCTCAGCAGGGTCACGATTTGGTCACGTGGGTTTCGCGATCTATGTCACTTTATAAATTGGTGACGCTGTTGCCTAGCGTATCATTTTATCACGCGTTGACACCAACGTCGCTCCGCACTCTTGGGCCCCGACCTCAAAACATATTCACCTCACCCTGGCCATCCGGCCAGTTGCTGATCCACCTGGTCACAGCTCTTTCCCTATAATGCTCGGTGAATCGGGTCTCTGAGCGCACAATTTTCGTCCGCCAGATCTAATTATCTATCCATCAACGTTAACTTTGACCTTCTTTTTCCTCTATCGACAAAAAACAGCGAAAGTTCCTCTAAGAACTAAGGACAGCGAATGTTCCGGACAATCGCTCCACGGCACCGTGATAGTGGCAGAGGCGAATGATAGTGTAGGAAAAATGTATATAAGGCACACGCAAGAGTGGCAAGCTCACTTAGAACCATGTAAGTTCATCTTTGTCAGTTCGCACTGTCAACCACAAACTACCTCGGATCATGCTATCTACCAACACCACTCTTTCTTCCAAACAAACTGTTGAATTCGAACAAGAATACTCAGCCCACAACTACCATCCGCTACCGGTAGTGTTTGAGCGGGCGCTGGGAGCCCATGTGTGGGACCCTGAGGGGAAAGAATATCTGGACTTTCTATCGGCGTACTCCGCTGTCAACCAGGGTCATTGCCACCCTGAAATCATTGGTGCTCTTGTGGACCAGGCCTCTAAACTTACTCTTTCGTCGAGAGCCTTTTCCAACAACGTTTTCGCTGCGTTTGCCAAGTACGTGACGGAGTACTTCAACTACGAAATGGTGCTGCCTATGAACACCGGCGCGGAGGCTGTGGAAACGGCCCTAAAGCTTGCCAGACGGTGGGGTTACACCAAGAAGAATATCCCCGATAACGAGGCTATCATCCTAGGCGCCCACAGCAACTTTCACGGTCGTACCTTTGGTGCTATTTCCCTGTCCACGGACGACGACTCCCGCAACAAGTTTGGACCCTTCTTGGAAAACACTACTTCCAAAATCCCCGGTGGAAACGGCCAGTACATCCGCTACGGTGTTGTGGAGGACGTTAAACAGGCTTTTGAAAATGCTGGTCCCCGTATCGCCGCTTTGATTGTGGAGCCAATCCAAGGTGAAGCCGGTATTGTGGTACCAGAGGCAACGTACTTGACCGAGGTTCAGAAATTGTGCCGCCAATACAACGTGCTGTTGATCTGCGACGAAATCCAGACCGGTATTGCTCGTACCGGTAAAATGCTATGTTATGAGCACTCGCCAGACGTCAAACCCGACATGGTGTTGTTGGGTAAAGCCATCTCTGGCGGTGTTCTGCCTGTCTCGTGTGTTTTATCCTCCAAGGATATCATGCTATGTCTGGAGCCTGGTTCCCACGGGTCCACCTACGGCGGTAACCCATTGTCCTCCCGTGTTGCCATTGCTGCTCTTGAGGTGGTGAGAAAGGAGAACTTGGTCCAAAGGGCTGAAGAATTGGGTAATTTCTTACAAAGTGAGCTTCTAGAATTACAGAAGTCTTCCGGTGGCATCATTTCTGAAGTCCGCGGCAAAGGTCTATTGACTGCTATTGTCATTGACCCCTCCAAGGCCAACGGTAGAACTGCCTGGGACTTGTGTTTGCTAATGAAAGATCAAGGTGTTCTTGCTAAACCTACTCACGAACACATTATTAGATTGGCCCCACCTCTGGTGATCTCGAAGGACGACTTGTTGAAGGGTGTTGAAGCCATCAAAAAATCTTTGGAACTCTTGCCAACTGTTGAAAAGGCATCCCACTAGTATGTGTTTGAACTTCCTTCTAAACCTTGACTGCAATCAGCCATCGATCGTTACACAAACGAAATTACCTCACTGTATATTCCATTTATTCCGTTTTATGTACCATAAAAAGTTTTAGCGCATTTCGCTCAGCTGCCAATCATTAGGCAATATGTTCGATCAAGTCCACAACTCTGGTAGAGTACCCGTATTCGTTATCATACCAGGAGACCAACTTCACGAATTTGGGCGATAGCATTATGCCCGCTGAAGCGTCGAAGATCGAAGAATGCGAGTCGCCCAGAAAATCGGTAGATACCACTGAGTCCTCAGTGTATCCAAGAACACCCTTCAATTTGCCCCCTGAGTGCTTCTTGATGGCGGCTTTGATAGCATCGTAAGTCGTTCCCTTCTGCAATTTAACAGTAAGATCCACAACGGAAACATCCACGGTTGGTACTCTGATGGACATCCCAGTCAATTTGCCCTGAAGCACAGGCAAAACTTTACCAACGGCTTTGGCGGCACCAGTGGATGAAGGAATGATATTGCCAGATGCGGTCCTGCCGCCTCTCCAATCTTTGTGGGATGGACCGTCGACAGTCTTTTGTGTCGCGGTTAGCGAATGAACGGTGGTCATCAAACCTTCCTCTATGCCAAATTCATCGTTGATCACTTTAGCCAAGGGCGCCAAACAGTTGGTGGTACACGAAGCGTTGGACACTATCTCCTCGCCCTTGTACTGATCGTCGTTTACACCCATGACAAACATTGGCGCAGTAGAAGACGGTGCGGTAATCACTACTTTTTTGGCACCAGCCTCGATGTGCTTGTGGGCGGAGTCCAACTCTTTGAAGACACCAGTGGAATCCACGGCAATATCAACTCCGAGCTTGTCCCAGGGCAATTGAGCTGGATCTTTTTCCTGGTACACGGCGATCCTCTTGCCGTCGATTATCAAATAGTTGCCTTCACTGGCAACAGAGCCCTCATATTTGCCATGAGTGGAATCGTATTTGAACATGTAGGCGGCATAGTCCGTTCCAATGAAAGGGTCATTAATGGCAACGACTTCGATAGAGGGCCTGGAGATGGCAATTCTGAGCACCAGTCTGCCAATTCTTCCAAATCCGTTAATGGCAATCTTGGTCATGACTACTGAAGTGTAATGTGGTGAAAGCCGGTCTACTCGATTGATAGAGCTATCGCTGAAGATAGTGAATGTTAGAAAAGAGTTCAAAGTGAAATGTGAGACATTGTGCGGACCACATCTTTATATAGCCCTTCGGAACTCGGCTGGTCAATTGCCGGAACATCACCTTACCGAGCTTTGTCCAAATCGGAACTCCCACGATGATTATTGAGTTGCAGTCTCGAGGCGCACTTTGTATGGATCGCTCGGCCGCGTCTGACGAGCCAAATGCTGACTGCCCATAATGTCTTCGTCCGGGTTCATGTTAACCGACCCGAGAAACAATATTGGTACAGTGCGCCATTTTATGAAAACCCGCTGTCATCAAGCAACTGACGGCTAATTACCGTCAATTCAAAGAAATGAAGGTGACGGATATGACAAACACGAATGCCTGGCGCCCAAAGTGGTGTGATCGTGAGAGTCGGCGATATTCCGGCCACACTAAAGAAAAGGCCAGCTTATAAAGTATCTACTATTGGAATTCCAATTTGCCAACGCTTTCTATATTGTAGTTTTCATTCCTAGAAGGTAGATCCTCCCACAGAAGACGTTTTGACCTATGTTCTAGTGCAAGAAAAGAAGTGGGATGAATAATACAGCTACTTACAACAAGTCATTCGTGCTATAAGCACTGAATGCGTGCTTCGCTCACTGCTGATTGCTGCGTGACCGTAAGTTGTGCCATTGGCTTGTTGTACAAATGACAAGCTCTTAAGCCAATCTCATTTTGGGTAAATAATTGTTTTAGATCAATTTTGTGACATTGCACCAAGCTTACACCAAGCAAGTAAAAGGGCCAAACTACTATAGCGTCAGACAATATCCAGGGCCTAGGCTCAATCAAGCAGAAACAGCCTTCAAGAAATGAAGCGAGCCCTCTCATATTTAGAAATTCATAAAAAATACATGAGTACAATACGAATATTATTATCAATCAGTTAATTACTCAAACCACTTGCACATACCCCACAACCTTTCAGGTGATGATTGCCAACCAGCAACTTCTGTGTGCTAGCTAGCTAGCTAGAATGGGACTCAAGTATTTAAATATTGAGCGTTCAGAATAATCATCAAGTACGGATTGCTCCAGACTACAAAGTTGTTAACTTTAACCAGATCAGGCGCCTAGCTTAGGAAGATTTCCGACTGTAGAAAAGACAAACAAGGTATGCCTAATGCGAGTGCCTCCGATAATTTGCTAGCTAATGACCCTGTTCTCAATGCCACAGGCTTGACGATTGCGGGAGAAAACGCCCTGGTGGCTCTTTCTAGAGCGTTATCGATGTTAGGGCAGGCTTCAAATGCTGTTTTCAGCATTACCGGTACTATAATATCTCAAGGCTTTTGGCAAGTGTTGAGGTTCTTCTTGTTAAGAATCCCTTCATGGCTTGTTTTGTCTTCAAGCTTCAGCATCACGCTTTCATTTTCGACGCTGGTGCTTACCTTTTTAGCGATGATGCTAGCAACGTACTACGTTTTGAGGAGCCGATTCCTTAACGCGTACAAACTTCTGCAACCCGACGACAGCGATGAGAAGCAGCTGAAAAGCAAGAAACAACGTGACGAAACCGAAGCGTTGTTCTTGAGCAAGTTAGATCAGAAGCACAAAAACGGGTTCACCTCATACCTGGATGAATTTCTCAGCGCCATTAAAATATTCGGTTACCTCGAAAAACCTGTTTTCCACGAGCTCACAAAGGACATGAAGACACGTAGGCTCCAGGAGGGTGAGGTTCTCTTGGTGGATGACGCCCTAGGGTTTGCCATAGTTGTCGAGGGTAGCTTACAAACTTACCATAAAGTACAGCGCATTCCAGGTAAATACCAGCCAGAATACGCCAATTCGGATAATATTAGCAATTTTGAAAGCGAAGATGGCCTTTCTTCGCACTATGATGGTTACACGTTGAATGGCGAAAAGTATCAGCTTTTGAACAAAGTCAAAGCCGGAAATCCTGTCTCCTCTTTGGTGAGTATTCTCAAGCTATTTACTGGCAATTGCGAAGTGAATCCCTTGAACAAATACATGAAAAGCTCCGGCCAGCGAAGTGGTTCCCACCGTAACCTAATGTCGCCTTTTCTTGACTCGACTCTTGAAGAACACCATGCCGAACTGTCGAAACAACGCCCACCCCAAAAATTAAACCTAGATTCCAGTTTGCTCGAGCAGGACTCGGAAGCCGCTTCCAGAGATATGGGCGATGGTCGCAAAGGTAATATCTCGCGGCCAGACTCAGTATCAACCTCCGTCTCGTCATCGCGTAGCCCACTACCCGACATCATTGCTTGTGCCTCCAACGACTGTACAATTGCCATCATTCCAGCTGCGGCCTTTCGCAAGCTTACATCGAAATATCCTCGTTCGGCCTCTCACATAATACAAATGGTTTTAACGAAGCTCTACAGGGTGACCTTTCAAACCGCACACAGCTACATGGGATTAACAAAAGAGATTATCAAGACGGAGGTGGATTTGAATAACTCTAGCGATTCTGAACTTCCTTATTACTTGAAAGAAGCCGCTATACGTAAAATAAAGCTGAACGAAAAAGCACAAGGTGACGCGAAGAATGAAAGCAAAGTGCAATCGGGTGCATCCAGAACCGGTGTTGGAAATGCCACCAGCAAGTCCCGTAAGAGTCCCCATAGTTTTTTAAAAAGTCGAGGTTCTCGTCATGTCGTGTTGGATTCCAGAGACCATCTTAACCCTGGTGATTTGTTATCTAACGTACCACTCTCCCGAAAAGAGCACCCTATCATTCGTGGCACATCTGTAAACTCGCTTAATAACGCTGATGCCTCAAGCTCTGTCAAAAGTGCCAAACATTCCAATCCCCTATTGGGTCAATACCTGCCCTCGTTTTCTTCTGTCACAGATCAGTCAGTGCCAGTAAATAAAAGCGCCCACAGTGCTGCTCCCAGCTCTTCAAAGGAGGACGACGAGATTCGAGCAAGAACTTTCTCTGCCGTACAAGAAGAAACCGAAGAATCATCATGGAGGATTGCTTTGGTTGAGGGAATGTTTTCTTATCTTGGAATTACTCAAGAAAACATATTACCAGCCCCAGAAGAAAAGGATTCATCATCTATCATGTTAGCAAATTCTGAAGTGTCGCGCACTCCATCTTCACAATTTGGGCCTGCTTCTTCTTTCCGCTTATTAGCCCCTAACCAATTTGTTACCAAAAAGAGGCCCAATCTCCAGAGCAAGAAGGAGTATAAGGAGGAGTTTCCCTCTAATTTCGATTTCGACACTGTCAAGGACGAGTTTGCCCAAGGACTTCAAACAACGTTTATTCATGAAAACTCTGTCTTGGTTTCGCAAAACTGCTATAACCCAGGTCTCTTTTATGTCATCGAAGGCTCGATCGAGGTTATATGGACCAATGAAGAAGATAGCACTGAGCATACCCTATATGTTGTGAAGCCAGGCGGGATCGCAGGTTACTTGGCTTCCCTCATCGGCAGTAAATCGTTCGTGACTCTCAGGGCACAATCAGACCTTTATGTTGGGTTTTTACCGGTTCCTGTGTTAGAACGACTTTGTGACAAATACTTCATGATATACTTGAGGATTGCAGAAACTTTAACGAATTTACTAAATCCAAAGATCTTAAAATTAGACTACGCTCTGGAGTGGGTTAATCTTGATGCTTCCGAAATATTATTTCACCAGAACGATCCAGCAAATGCAATTTATGTTGTTCTCAGTGGGCGCTTGCGCCAGCTACACCAGTCAAACGATGCCGAGCCCGCAGAATTAAGTAGAGGAGGTGATCCAGACTCTACCCATAAGAGTTCTCCCGTCAGAACAGTTAGAGAATATGCTCAAGGGGATAGCTTAGGGGAAGTCGATGTATTAACAGCGGTCAACAGATTATCCACTGTAGTTGCATTGCGTGAAACTGAATTGGCCCGGATCCCAAGAACTTTATTCGAACTACTTGCTTTGGAACACCCTTCAATTATGATTCGAATAAGTAGATTGGTGGCAAGAAAAGTTTTACAGCAGCAGCGTGGAGCACAAACTCTAGAGCCACCTAAGAATGTCAAAAGTTCTAAGTTCGACATCAATTTATTGATCCCACCAACCGAGGCCACCAAAGGATCTGTTATAAATTCGGATAGCGCTCAGACATCAGATGAGGAGGGAAGTGCCCACAGCTACCGAACTATTACAATCTTACCCATTACGCAGGGTCTGCCGGTAGAAGACTTTGCTACCAAGCTTGTGAATGCTTTAAAGCAAGTAGGCATGTCTACGATTGGGTTAAATCAATCGGCAACCATAACACATTTAGGTCGCCATGCATTTGACGGGCTATCTAAGTTAAAACAATCGGGTTACTTTGCCGAGCTGGAGGAGTTATATGACACCGTTGTATATATTGCCGACACGCCTCTTAACTCTTCTTGGACAGCCACCTGTATCAATCAAGGTGACTGCATCCTTCTTCTTGCCGATTCAGCAATGTCGCCAGGCGTTGGTGAATTCGAACGGTTATTAGTGAAAATGAAGTCAAACGCAAGAATTGAATTGATCCTTCTGCATCCCGAGAGATACGTTGAACCGGGCCTCACCCATAAGTGGCTCAAAAATCGGATGTGGGTTCATTCTCATCATCATGTTCAGTATGCTAATTCGAAGTTCATAGGGGAAGAAAAGCCTTCATCATCGGCCCTGTCTGCGTCAGTAAACTTCATCGAGAGCTTGAAACGAAAGGAACCTTTCAACGCTTTTACGAGGCAAACTCAAGAAAACTTGTCACGGCTTTTACCGGATTCGCTGAGAACAACTGTCGAAAATTTCTCCTCCAAATATATCAGCAAAAAGCACCGATACTACACTCCAGTGCATACTCACAAGAATGATTTTCTCAGATTAGCCAGAGTCCTTTCAGGTAAGGCCATCGGGCTCGTGTTAGGAGGCGGAGGTGCTAGAGGAATTAGCCACTTGGGGGTACTGAGGGCAATTGAGGAGCACGGTATTCCGATTGATATGATTGGGGGAACATCAATAGGTGCATTTGTGGGTGGACTCTATGCTAAAGAATGCGATATTGTTCCAATCTACGGAAGGATGAAGAAGTTTGCCGGCCGGGTTGGATCATTCTGGCGGCTCCTTACCGACCTCACCTGGCCTGTGACTTCGTATACGACGGGTCACGAATTTAATCGGGGAATATGGAAGACGTTTGGAGATGTGCGCATCGAGGACTTTTGGATTCAATACTATTGTAATTCAACAAACATCACCGAATCCATACAAGAAATCCACTCGACGGGTTATGCCTGGCGGTATATTAGAGCTTCCATGTCCCTTGCTGGGCTATTACCTCCGATGGAGGACAACGGTTCCATGCTTTTAGATGGTGGTTACGTTGATAATCTGCCTGTTTGGGAGATGAAAGCTCGGGGGTGCAACACCATCTTTGCCATTGATGTCGGATCGGTGGACGATCGCACTCCTCTGAGATATGGCGACTCGTTAAATGGGTTTTGGATAGTGTTTAACAGATGGAATCCGTTTTCCAATCATCCGAATGTCCCCAACATGGCAGAAATTCAAATGCGATTGGGTTACGTGGCATCAGTTAATGCTTTGGAAAAGGCTAAAAGAACTCCTGGTGTAATTTACGCTCGGCCGCCCATCGAGGATTATGCAACGCTTGACTTTGCTAAATTCGAGGAAATTTACCAAGTGGGAACCGCTTACGGACACGATTTCCTTCAAGAGCTCAAGAAACAAAAGAAAATGCCTATAATTCCCGGCTTCGAGATTCTTGCGAACAACTCAGAATCGTTTAAAGGTATGCTACACAGGCGCAACAGTGTGTGAACTGACCTTATGAAACCAAAATGCACTTCTTCCGTGCAGTTAAACTTCTCCTAGAAGATGATGTGTGCTTTCGACCATTTTATATTGTGACTTCCCTTCAAACGTCCTTATGGATTAAAAATAAACCCTACTTATAGTACAAGCTGGCCGCTTCGTTTTGAATTTCAATTTTATGCGCATGCTGATTGGCCCTATTCGGATGGTGTGGTGATAAGCGTAACCGAGTCCCCTCTAACAAAGACCATTTCTGAATCTTTCGTCGTCGACTTCAGGTCACCATCCACAAGTTCATATATGGTTTCGGTCGCATTTGAAAGCACAATGTTGCAATGCGAGTCGAAAGCTTGCAAGGTTCCTGTCATTTCCCTGGCACCGCGCAGTTTGACAAAAACTATTTCATCTAGATTGAGCTTCAACAAGTCTAAAGGAGTATCCATCGACATTACGGATTTGAACTGAAGGAAAACGGCCTCTGATAGGATCTTGGACTGCCTCTAAAGCTAGCTTTCGAATCTTTGCCTGTTCTGCTACTAAGTAATTTTTTAACCTTCATTCCCTTTACACAGCACCCGATACGAAGAGTGTCACAATATTTTGATATTCGTCTTACTGATGGTTGCCAAGAGCCACCTAGTAGATGCTAGTTATGTAATGACGAAGTAGCCCGACATTAGCGGAAACATCAACAAAGCTGCTCAGCAAGCTTTGTCTTTTTTGTTAAATTCGACGTAGCTTTGAAGGAAGAATAATTTGCCTAATGGAGCATCGGTGAGAAAATTACCACAGGATTTCTTTATGACAACGACAAAGTCCTTGTTATCAAATCTGTAAATCCAGGCATGCGCTCTTGCATCTTGGACCTTCAACACACCACTTGAAAAAAACGCGGTTGGTTCAATAGTGGCTTTATTGTAGTCATCAACATTGGGAAAACGAATCATCTGCAATAAGTGCCGGAGGTCATTCAAGCACGCTTGACATTCTTCTGGTGAATTTTACAGCCAGACGACCAAGACGTTCTTTTCGGTTGTATGCTCAGAACTATGAATTCCCACAATGCTACGACCTCGCAAGTAGGACGAACAGCTTAAAACACAAAATTTCAACAGCGAATGTAATCCGACTACTTGTTTTCTATCGTGTTTATAATCATTGTGTTTTCAAAAGCTCAAACGAGAGCTTCTTCGAAATTGATGACTACCAATTTACCGGATGCCATTCATAATCCTCCCAAAGGTTTCCCAAAATGCAAGAGCATCGTTAACGCGTCTAAACGGATATGTGACTCTGTGCATTATAGCATTATACCAGTCTTTAGAAACTCTAGCACGAGCGACAATAGGGCTGCAAAGGAGATGGTAAGTAACTTAGTAAGGCTATTTTTTTTTGGCCTCAGACTATCAGCAATTGGCCAAGTAGTTTTCAATAAGTCGAGAAGTTTAAGTCTGGCTGCAACCGACATTATACTACTTGATGCCAGTGACTCAGCTTTTAGAAAAATAAAAATGAAATAGAAGAGGAATTTTCAGTGAGGATTGGCAGAAAGAATAACTACTTCACGAACGAGTGCTTGTTGCGACGTGAACCAGTGTCATCAACGTCTGCGTCCCATCATCACTTTTCCTTTATGTATCACATTAAATTCACGTGATAATGGCGGTCGTGCTCTTTGAAAAATTTGGATGATATATTCAATCTTTAAGTAAGATGGCCAGCATTGCAACTGTTGTGACACTCATTATTACCGCCTGCTGTGACCGGTCTTATTGATCAATGCTTTCGCTCAAAAGAGGCTTACATAGCACGGCTCAGGCCTGCGCCAGAACCAAATACACCAAACCCAAACCTAAACCAAGGTCCAGACCCAATGTGAGACCTCCCACACAAACTACGCACCACAGCAAAAACCTGAGTGTAACTGCACCAATCCCCCCTGCTGCGTCCAATATAGTTACTCCTGATGATCATCCTCTATGGCAGTTTTTTTCTGACAAGAAGTATCTCCGTAAGTTCGACGAACTGGACAATGACTCTAGAGCATGGACTATTCCGGAGCTGCGGAGGAAATCATTCGACGATTTGCATTCTCTGTGGTATACGTGCTTACGTGAAAGAAACGTTCTGGCTCGCGAAAACCATCTGCTGAAAAATGATATGGGTTCAAATCAAGATTCTTATGAGGCAGTGGCTGAGAAAATCAGAACCACGATGTGGAGGATCAGACATGTTCTCAGCGAGCGCGACTGGGCATTTCAAAGAGCTGGCCAAGAGTTGGGGTCTCAGAAGGAGTTATTTTTAAAAGAGTTCGAGCACGATTTTCTGGAAGCTCCAGCAGCAGAGGACGAAGAGTCTTTTGAAAAACTAGCAAGGCTACAACACAGCGTGTTTGGAATTAGCGAGTATATTGACGAAAATACGGTTGACCGAGCCTTTGTGGATGGGATGAAATATGTCGCTACTTTGAAACTCAAGAAATTTGCGGGCAGACAACAAGAAATTCAATCATTGCTTGAGGAATCTGAGCAAAGCATTTCAGACGCAGGTGAAGCGTTTGTTTTATTCACCGCGGAAAATACAGAAATTGCCGTTAAGGAAGCTTGCGACGTTGTCAGAGAGCTTCGCGGCAAGAATAATTCGGTGTCACGTTATGATGAACTAGACACAGTTGCAGATTACGTCAAGCAGCTAGCTGCTACCCAAGTGGACAAAACCTCGACAACCGTTGCATAACCGTTGGAGGACCCGACTAAAATCATTGATATCAAACAGGAATCTCGTGTATATAATATATTTACTTTCTAAGATCCGTAGGTGACGTTACTTGCGGTTTTTCTTTTGGGTCGCCCTGTAATTGTGTACTCAATTTTTTCTTCCACCACTTTCTCAATGGCACTGGTACTAATCATATCCAGATTCTGTTTTTTAACCAATAGTTGCTGTTCTTGCCCTTCAATCTTCACGGCAAACTCCAATCGCCTCTTAATGGCCGTGCTCTCGCTGGTGGCTCCGCTAGTTTTACCCACTTCTTGGGCAAAAACAATACCTTGGGCCCAACCTGCAAAATTGCCCCATTTTTCTTTGAATCTCGACCGTATCACGTCAAGCTCGTAGTTAACCTTTTTACGAGTAATCGGCAGTTCTCGGTACCTTGTTTGAAGCTCCATAATATCTTGTTTTCCGGCACTAAACTTGTAGTCTCTCTGAGCGATTCGAGCAATATGCACATCCACGGGGACCACATCATCCATCTGCAACCCAGACAGACATACGCAATCCGCCACTTTGGGACCAACTCCGTGAAAACTCATCATCTTTTCGCGTATCTGTTCATATTCTAAGTTGTCCTTCCACGACTGTAGATACTCACTGTCTGACAGGTGAAGCCTCTCATGTTCGATTTTTTTCGCGGTGGCCATGATATACTTGGCACGGTAACCAAAGCCCAAAACCCTTAGAGACTCTTCAGATGCTCTCTGCGTGAGTTCCCGACTTGTCGGAAATGAGTAGTGATCTACACCGTCGTAGTGTCCTACCAAATTTCCAAACTCCGTGGATAATGCATGACACATTTTGGTGATGCGCGCAATATTGTTGTTGCTGGAGCAAATGAAAGAGCATAGCGTTTCCCAAGGATCTTGTGCCAAGATTCGCACACCCTTAGGGGAAATGTGTTTAAACCTAGAATCTCGCATTAGCCATTCTGTTTTCAACAACGTACCTAAAGGCACTTCTAACCTAAAATACCGTTTCAAAAAACCATACAAAGCTGCACATTCTTCACTCCCATCCTTCCCCAAGCTTGCATACTGAATACAATCCTTTTCGCTTTGCTTTACAACTACTATTCGAAATCGATCACCTACTTTTAAAGTCGTTGAATAATGTCCCAGTTTTTCGTGGAAAACCCACCGGAATGCCTGCCCACACTGTAATACGTTTTCCAAATGAAGTTCATCCGCAGTGAACTTGATACATTTGAATTCTAACAATTTAGACATGTAGTTATTATTCTGTCTTTTCCGAAACGCCAGGCTTGTTGTACTTATCTGAGCTCATCTCATCGCGTAAATTAATATATAATATGTATAGTATTAATTATATTTTCAATAACAGATCAAAGCTTGAAGACGCCAATTGTGTATACTAAGGTCCTTGCAAGGTTTGGGATTCTACAAAGCTGTTACGTTTGGGTAAGAAACTCCTTGACTCGATCTTGTATATTATTCATACCTCAAGTTTCGTGCGCAAATTCTCATGGGAAATTAAGACGTTACGGAGTTATATTCGCGCGAAGGAAAATTTAAGAGAGTTATATGCGATCGCTACCACGGTCATTGTGCTTACCCGTGTTATCTAAAGAGTTTTCGATACTTGAGATGAAACAAAAGAATGCGAGATCGCCAGTGTTTCAGAGATATACGAAGCGGGCAAAGACTTGGGACAGCAGAGAACTCTGCCAGCTTCTGTCAGATTCTGACGGTTGGGACGATTTGGAAGAGTTTGCCGAGCAAGTAGATAAGGGTTTACCAGCTTTTAGTGCGCCTGCTGTCTCTGTAGAGTGCGATGATGATGATGATATGAAGATTTTGTTCGAGAAGCCCGCCAATAACCAGCACCCGCAAATTTTGGCGTCCAACAATAGTAGCAGATATCAATTAGATCAGTATCTGCGGCATGACTCGCTGCGCAGCACCACACGATCTATAGAACGCAATCTACTCCCGCCTTCCCGTCCATCAAAATCGCTCTTTGCTGGTAACTGTCCGAAAATGCCACAAGCGCCCGGCATTCAGAAGGCTATAACCGTAACAGCTCCTATTGCTGATGTCAGGAGGTTCTCGACCATATCTCCAGTCAGGAGTAAAAGCACTGAAAAGCTGAATCTCGCCGCATTAGCCAAAGAATGGGAAAACGCCCCACAAACATTTGATAACGAAGTGATTAAGACTTTGAGCCGATCACCATCATTTGAAGAACCAGAATTCTCTTCATCCGAACCTCCAACCCAGGAAGATTTAGGATGCGATACATCTGTGCCGACTCGTCCTTCAAAGAGATCCAGAAACCATGAACTCGTATTTTTAACGCAAAAAGCAGATAGGGAAGGATCAGAGGAAGTTGCTTCAAAAGCTAACAGCAATCTCACCAGAAAGTTGGTCCAGGGTGTGGTGTTAAGTGAGGAACAAGAGTCCGTGATAGAGTTGGCGAAGCAGGGCCGCAACCTCTTCTACACTGGGAGTGCAGGGACAGGGAAATCCGTCCTTTTAAGAGTATTGATTAAAACACTGAGACGAAAGTATGGCGCTGGTAGTGTTGCTGTGACGGCCTCTACAGGCTTGGCTGCGTGCAACATTGGTGGTATAACGGTACACTCTTTTGCTGGCATTGGGCTCGCAAATGGTGACAAGAAAAGCCTCCTGAAGAAGGTTAAAAGGTCAAAGAAGCATTGCGTGCGCTGGGCTACAGTATCTGCCCTTGTAATCGATGAAGTTTCCATGATCGATGGGGACTTGTTAGATAAGTTGGACTACATTGCTAAAACGCTCCGTAAGAGCCAGGCGCCGTTTGGTGGGATGCAGATCATCCTCTCTGGAGATTTCTTTCAACTACCGCCAGTTAACAAGAACAACAATGCTAAAACGAAATTTGCCTTTCACGCTGAGGCGTGGAGAGAAGCAATTGATGCCACCATCATGCTTCAGAAGGTATTCAGACAACAAGGTGATAGCGAATTTGTGCGGATGTTAAACGAAATGAGAATGGGAACCATCTCTCCAGAAACCGAGATAGAATTCAAAAAGCTATCTCGTCCATTGCCACCAGACGACATTATCCCAGCAGAACTCTACAGCACGAGAAATGAAGTAGAAAGAGCAAACATATCCAGATTAAATGGGCTCCAGGGGAGCTGTCATACATATAATGCTATTGATGGCGGAGACATGAAGGACGAGGAGCAGAAGCAGAAGTTGCTGTCCAACTTCTTAGCTCCAAAGGAACTCAAGCTAAAAGTAGGGGCTCAGGTAATGATGATAAAAAATATTGACGAAACATTGGTAAATGGCTCCCTTGGTAAGATCATTGATTTTATCGATCAGAGGACATACATGTTTTATGAGACAGTGAAAAGCGATCCAACCATAGATGCTGCGACCTTAATGGCTATGCTTGAGGGAAAAGTCCGAATGGATGAAATTAATGACGAAGATGAAATTACGCAAAAGGTCATAAGGAAAAAGTCTATGAAAGAGGCGTTTTGCAAACCTCAGAGCCAGGTTCCGCATGACAAGCTCGATGAGAGCATATTTGACTTTTTAATGGTTGACACGAATACCCTAGACCAGAGTCAACGAACGAACATCGAAAGAAAAAAAGCACTTTTGGAGGAAATTCGCTCAAGCTCAACTGGGCGCAAACTGCCCTTCGTGAGATTCTTGACACCAGATGGCACGTCGAGGCTTGTTCTAGTCCAGCCCGAGGATTGGGCAATCGAAGATGAGAATCAAAAACCTCTTGTGAGTAGAATTCAATTGCCCTTGATGTTGGCTTGGGCCCTTTCTATTCACAAGTCTCAGGGCCAGACCCTGCCCAAAGTGAAAGTGGACCTTAGAAGAATATTCGAGAAGGGACAAGCGTATGTTGCACTTTCTAGAGCAGTTTCTAGAGAAGGATTGCAAGTGTTGAACTTCAATAAGACAAAAGTACAGGCCCACGAGAGCGTCATGGACTTCTACCAGACCTTGACATCAGCTTATGAGGCCAAGAAGCGATTTGTTGATACTAAATCTAAAGATCCAACTCGCTCATCGTCACCTCAAGCGGCTAGGAGGTCAAATACAAGGGCTCTGGAAGAACAGCAGGACCGAATAACCACGATGCTGATGAGCAAAATGAAGAAAAGCCAAAATGAAGCTGCATTAGAGGGCATTGATGTGGCTCGAGATGCAAAGGTAAAGCTCGAGTATTTCAGCTAAGTATGTGAACTTACTTCCTAATATTCCACCAGAGGTTCCCCAAAAGGACGGGTGGAACTAGTATGTTTGATATTTGAGGACTCTAATCAAGCCACGTCATTGTGTTTCCCAATTGCCCACTTTACGCCGCTTGACAAAAAGTTTGAAGCGCTGGTCGAAAGCTCTTCGAGAATCCGGTCTTTAAATTCCTCACTTGAATTATGGTGCGTCAATGAATATGGATCGTTAACGAGGTCCCTTGTAGATAATTCGAGCTCTAACCCACTCCATTGCGAGACAACAGCCTCAACTTCATCTTCAGGGCATACGTGCAGTAACTTGCCCAAAATATCAAGTTGAAGATAGATAACTTCGGTGGGGATCTCACTATCCATCCAATTGGGATCGAAATATTTGCCCACCTGCAGAATCGTCGACCAATATTCTCTGCAGTCAATTCTTTGAAGAAGCCTATTCGTCTGATGAAATGCAAAGTCGAAGTCAAAGTTAGCGAGGGCAAAGTCAATGTGTAAAACTAGTATTCTGGTGTACTCGTTGTAATAATCAGGGGAAGATGGTGCTAGTTGAAGGCCTGAATACATGCCTTTGAGAATGTCAAAGGTTTCATCAATATTCCGCCTAAGAATATTATTCAATTCTAAAAGCTTCGAAATTATGTCGAATGGTTGGGCAGCATATTCCGTTAGGTTAGAAGGCTTAAAGGGAACACCCCTAGAGAGGCTCAATGAGTACTCAGAAAGTTTTTGAACAACGTTGAGCAACTCATTAAGATGTGCATATCGACCCTTCGGAAGAAGACTCAAAATTGTTCTGGCATTGACCATTGATGGCCTTTCGCGGCCACCGTTGGACGCAGAGTTGAAAAAGTTCCAAAAGAATTTAAGAAGTACAGTGTCTTCTAAGTTAATTCCAGATCCAGAGATAAATTGTTGCAGCAGATCAAAATTCCCAGATGCCAATAGCGATTCTACTATTATGAGTTCTTTTGTTTTTGTGTCGAGTTTGCAATATATCATATTTTCCGGCAAAAAAGACTCCAATTTTTCGAGTGCTTCATTAGGAGAGCCATACTGCAACAGCAGCTTGCACATCGTGGAAAAGTAAGATCTTTGTGACAGTTCAGTATCGTTCCTCAGTTTTTCAATGTCTTTTAAATTGAATATTTGCAATGCTTTCATGGATCTCGAATACGCCTCAAGCGTTACCAAGTTTATATTATGAATTCCAGACTCGTCCTTAATCGATGATAGGATCAATGCATGTTCCCTCGGCACATCAACATTTTGCAGCTGCACAAGAGACCCCCCATTGTCATATAAAATAGTAAGCACCCGTTTTTGAAAGATAGTGAGGAATCGCTCGTCCATCTGACCTGCCATTTCCAAAGTAACCGCTTTGTAAAGATTGTAGTTCGACAGGGTATCTAATGGAAAGTTTTGCGCATTTAAAATAACATTCAGAAAACTGTCGTAGTCACCTTTGTAGTTAAGATACGGTTCAATCTCATATGTTAGAACGGCCCGAAAGTCTTTGACTTCATGGCTGGCGACAGAGCTCCACATCATTTCGAGGACTTGGGAAGTGGATGACGTTTGAAAATCGCCAATCGAAAGAAACTTGTTACATCGTTTGCTGAAATGTGCCAATGGCTTGACGATGCCTGAAATCCAACTGTTGAATGCTTTAAAGTCAGTGGTATTTAGGAATTTCCAGAGAGGTTTATAGAATAGCGGATCCTCCACAGTCGTATTACAATGTAACACGCGCGCTTTTAGAAATGAATTGCGCAGATCGGAAGGGTCCAGTTTAGCTGCCGTGTGCTCAATTTGACTGGCGATATACGATTGCAAGGCGCTCCGCCTGCTTGTCAACATTCCCGAATCTGCTTCCACGGCAGATATAAGCTCTTCCTCGCCGTTGAGAAGAGATTCTATGAGGCCCAGCCTTTCTACAGGCTTCTGATCAATTCCATCCACGAAGACTCTCAGTTTTAGCGGGTCGTCTAGCTCTGGCCATAGGACACACACAATTTCCAAAATATCTACCAGAGGTAAACGCTTTTGACCCAATGCTAGCTCCACAATTCTGCTGGAGTCTGAGTTAGCCGCAAATAGGCAGCAGAGTATATATAATTGGTCTTCAAGCATTGGTGCCGTACATACCAAAGGGTCTGTTTTGGCTTTAGGCATTATTAAAGTTCACATTAATTATATTAAGTTCACAACGGAATGTAGACATCCAAGGAAATAATTTGGTCAACAGGATGAACAAATCTAATGAAATAAAGGCCGTTGAAAGAAGACTAGCCGTCTACAATCCCGATACACAATTAAACACCTATTTAAGTGCAGTTTCAGAGCTTTCTACCGTTTGCTTTGCTGCTCTGACTGGAAAACTGGAAGACAAACATGCATTGAGCTTGGAAAACGTTCAAAATTGGAGAAAGAATCTCAAATTGAAACGTCTCGATGCTGAGTTGTATGTGGAGGTGGAAAAGCTGAAGGTTGCCATGGAGGCTCAGAGCGCTGATCAAAATATCGATGAAATTAAACAACATTTGAAGAAAGATTTAACAAAGCTAAGTGAGGGAAATGAAGTTATGAGGCGGCGAAACATGATGCTTCGAACCTTGAACTCGCATATTGATTTAGTTAATGAACAGATGGAAGATATGCAGCGCGGTAGGTCCAAATTGAGTGCTCCACACGATGAGTGGGAAAAGCAGCTAGGTACTGACGAGGTTACTGCCATGCTAGACGCCAATGTTCTTAAAAGAGAATTGGTGAAGGTACGAGAAGGCGATACGGAGATCGAGTACGAGGAGCTTTCGCTATTAGCGAACTTTTCAAAGGACACTACAGAACTCCAGAGAACAAATAGTTCAATGAAAGACAGCGCCAAGAGGCTGAGGACGGAATTACAGGAGTATCAAGACAAGTGGAGTCACAATGCAGGGCTGTTCGACAAGATCTCGGACGTGCTCAAAGAAGAGCTGGCAAAAAGAGAGTTGTCAGTTCAAGAGGCAGCAATACAAGACACCATGGACGAAGAGGACGAAGTGGAAGACGAGGAAGATGAGGAAGCAGTGCGAGGTTATCACGAAGAGGGCGAAGTAGAAAGTGATGGAGAGGGGGCCGAAGAGAACGGCATGTGTGGGGGCCACGACAGCGACGATGTTGACGAGGTTGACGAAAACGATGACGACGCCGCGGATCACGAGAACGAGGTCAATATGGATGAGCACGTGTGATTGAGGCTGCCCGCCTTATTATATATAGTGAACACGAACTTGCCTTGACACCCAACACGTATACGGTAACTGTCTTCATACCAGACATGCGCGACGGCTATAGATTAATAAAACCGTTATTGATTTTGTAGTTATAATGTGATACTAATTGCAGTTAAATTTTTACACAGTTTCCAAGATTTCGTCCTTGAAACCAGAAGCAACCTTCTTACCCTTTTCTTCACCGGAAGCTTCACCGTGCAAGGTCATCAAAGCACCCAAGTCGAACTTTGGTTGTTTCAACAACTTCACCTTTCTGATGTGGACGTTTTGCAATGGGAAAATGTCCTTGGTGGCGTTTTCGATTTCCTTGTTGATGACTTCTGGGATCAACTTGGAGGTCAATTGGGCCAAAGTGGAGTTTTGAACCTCTCTGGTCAAGATCTCGGAGATAACCTTTCTGATGGCTCTGATGTGAGAGGATTGAGCGTAACAAGCCTTCTTGACCTGGTTTTGTTGTCTTCTGGTGAAGGCAATGGCAAACACTCTCAAGACGTAGTCGTCAGCGGTCTTGACGGTGACGTTGGCCTCGATCAAAGTTTGCCATTTTCTAACCATGGATCTGTACTTGTCGGCGGTGAAGTCTAGACCGTGGAAGTTGGTCAACAAGTTCTTGCCTTGGACTTCGTCGACTCTCAACTTGACCTTTCTGAAAGAGTGGTCTTCAGAACCTTGTAGGTCAGCTAGACACACTTCCACAACTCTGCCCTTCAAGTAGTCAGAAGCGTTCTTCAAACCAGTAGACTTGTTGACCAAAGTCTTACCAACGTTTCTGTTTTCGAAGGTGGAAGGGGCCTTGATGTCGTACCATTCCTTTCTGGTGAATGGGTCGACGACCTTCTTCTTCAAACCCTTCTTACCCTTGGATAGTCTCTTGTTCTTACCAACAGCCATTGTGATTTGGGGGTTGTGATTTGTTGTTTGGAAGTAAACTATAGTAGGTTTGATGAAGTGAAGTTTTACATCAACTTTTGATGAAGTTGGGTATTGGAGTCTCGGGATCCCTGCGGATGGAGAGAGTGCTGCACTGGGCTGGTCCAGAGCACTAGGCGGGAGTTTGGCTCCGCCCACGCTAACGAGCTTGGATGCTAGGCAGGGATCAATCGGGTGTTCCCTCTAGCCCATCCCTCCGCTGTGCTACCATCAGGACAGCCTCCGCCCAGCCTTCTGGGCAGCTTCAGCCTAGCTCTTGGATTTTTTCAACCCACTCAGAGCAAAGTTTCGGAAAATGGACTCATGGTCACATTTTGGAGTTTTTCACCATTTTTTATAAAATTCGTAAAACCGATTGGATAAATGGGAATGTATGGGTTTCAGTGGTTAGAGCAGTCCCATGGTAGCCGGGTCACATGAGTGAGGCCTGTCGATGGGTGACTGGGTTTGAGAAGTGTCAGCTTCTAATGGGCATTGATTCGGGCTGCACCTTACAAGATGTAGTACGCGCGAGGCCACACTATATAGAGTTCCAAGGCACCCTTGTTTGTTTGCCAAAAGCAGCGCTAAAATTAAAGTCTCTTAAGCATTCACTTGCACCTTAGCGCCTCGAGCGGACGGCTCCATCTTCTAATACACGCTTACAGACTCAAAAATGCTGCCCCCTGTCAGTGCTCCGAGTTTGGAGCTGTGAAGTGGCGCCGCGGTCTACCGTTGGATGAGGCTTCCGCGACACATGCGTACACAATGATGTATTTTGCCAACAACCTTTACCGTTTCACATAATATTGAGCCTTCTTTTCAAGTCAGTTCAGGGAAGTTCCCAGTCACATTGAGACCCCTGCATGAACGTTCTTTAGTGATCTCTTTTCTTCAGGAGAACTCGTTCTTAACTTTCAACCGCACCATTTCAACTTCTGAAACTACTATTTCCAATAGTTCGCAATTATCGTAGCATCCCCCTTTCCATGCGTCTACAGTTTAATGTAGTCCTACCTATCTCGTGTCTGTAGGCAATTGGACGTTTACTTATCTGCCCTTGAATGATCCAAACGTCCATAGCATTAAATTGTTTGAAGTGTTACGAGTGAACTTGCATAACCCGCGCAATAGCCTCCAAGAACGCTCGGGAGACAAAGCCTGACAATTATCGTACATTTTCAAGGTATATATACATATAGCCTTTATAGGTTTCCATCAACATCGTATCCGGAGAGCTTGATCCCCCTTCGTCTGAACCATTTGTAACAACAGAGAAAAAAGGCGACCCTGGGCGCACAGATACTCCTTCCGAAAGCTTGTGTCCGTAATTCTCAGCTTGTCATACTCATAACCACTGGCCCAACCTTTGCTCAGCATTTTATATAATGTCCGATATGAGATTATATTGAGTCGCCAAAGTTCAAAACAATGAAGGCTGTACGTAATCTTGAAACGATAAAACTCGCACCTACAGGCTTCTTTGTAGGAGCAGAAGGCTGTAAAAGGTATGGACACGAATATACCGCCACTTCCGCATCCCAAAAGTACCTTTACAATCAAGATCGGCCTCATAGGGGATGCTCAGGTTGGCAAAACATCACTGATGGTCAAGTACGTGGAAAACGTGTTTGACGAGGAGTATACACAAACGCTGGGAGTAAACTGTCTGAGCAAGAAAATAACGCTGGGCTCGGCTGATATTATGTTCTACATCATGGATCTAGGTGGCCAGCGAGAGTTTATCAACATGCTGCCACTTGCGTCTGAAGGCGCCAAAGCAATTATCTTCCTTTTCGATCTTACGCGACCTGAAACTTTAAAATCCATCAAGGAATGGCATCGTCAAGCGACAGGGTTTAACGAGCAGGCTGTGCCCTTACTGGTAGGGACTAAATACGATCTATTCGTGAATATGGACCCGGAGCTGCAATCGCAAATCTCAAGACAAAGCATGCGGTATGCCCAGGCTATGGACGCACCGCTAATCTTTTGCTCGACCTCGCATTCTATCAACGTTCAAAAGATATTCAAAATCATTATCGCAAAACTCTACAATTTAACCATGCGTGCCTCGGAGATCAAACAAATAGGCGACCCACTGCTCATATATAAATATTTGGGCGGTACGCGCAGGTCCGCTTCCGCGTCGTCCGATCCGTCAAACGCTTCAAATTAGTCATCTTACCTACCAGAACAAAATCATTACATGCTTCTATTCTTTATGGTACAATATAGTCACATTACAAATTACTCTAGCCATTCCACTGCCATGAGGGGCCACGGCAACTCGATGAAACTTACTCCAGCCTTTGTTTTTAAATTGTTTTCATCACTTTGTCCTGATCCAAGGCGAACTTAACATCCTCAAGGGAGACACTGAACTTTATCGCACTTAGCCGTTCGTTCTTCAGGTTTTGCCTAATGATGATCCCCGCTTCAATAAGCTGATTTACCAAAAATTCCCAGGATACGATCCGAAGCTGTTCCAGTGTAAGTTCTTTATCTTGATTGAATAGGACCCTTTGCATCTCCACAATGTATTTATTCTTACCATTTGCATCGATTGAGGACTTGATTTCATCCACAATGTCTCCTAATGGTTGTTCCTGACAGCCTGTTTTTCTTATGAGAGCCACCATGGAGTGAAGAAAAAGCTTAGTTGTGAATGGTAGATTGGTCATAAATAGCACGACAGGAGAGGTAACAGATTCGTTCAGAGCCTTCATAATGTGGAAAATTTTGACATATTGAACATTTTCATCATCAGCAAAAATGGACTCCCTTGTGAGTTTCTTGGGGGGAAGCTTCTCGGTACCATCATACCCGTACCCATGGCGTTCCATGTAATCATGCTCTGCAATTTCGACTGCTCTCTTACAAGCTTTTAACGCCCTTCTAGCATCTCCACTGACGCTTGCAATTTTACGGGAGGCAATCTCGATAGCATCAGGTGCGATTTTCAATTTTACTTTAAGCATATCAGAGGGGTCAAAATCAGGAGTCTCGTTCTCATCTGTTATAATGTGAGCACTTCCATTCTTAGCATCGACGTAAAAATAACTTTCATTTAATCCTTTCAGTCTCAAATTAATGATTGTTTTCAGTTCGTCATGATTATAACCCGTGAACATGATTCTCGTAAAGCCAATTCTTGACGACACTTTGTTGCCTAGCTGTCTTTCCGGCAAGTCCATGGTGTTAGCGACAGCGACAACAACTAGTTTCGCGTTTGTATAAGTCGTCCAATTGAAGAAATTGTACATCACGTCTTGACTTTTTGTAACAAGAGCATCCAGCTCATCCAGAAGGACCAATATTGGTCTCTTTTTATTTTTTGGCACTTTGTTGAAATAAAATTCCAGCGACTCCATAGCAGCCCCCGATGTAAGCCTCTCACCTGAAATTTTGTTCCAGAGTACCTCATAACTATCTGATGGTTTAATCATTTTTAGTCCGTTGATTTCAACGTACTGAAATTTTGGGAGCTCATTCTGGTCAACAGATTGAAGCAGTTCTTTCACAACTTCTCTAACTGTCAACGTTTTACCAACACCGGGGGTTCCAGCAACGTACACAGTCGTTCCTGTACCGGCCTCTATGGCACTGTAAAGGCTCAAATAAATAGAAGCAAATTCATTCTCACGGGCGGGCAAATAATCATCAAAGTTGCTGGCCTTCATGATAGAGTCCTTACCGTGCGACGTGTACAACTGCTGCTTAACTTTTGAAAAAATTGTTTCAGTCGTATGTTGCTTCTTGGGACTTCTTAGTTTGCTCTCAAGAGCAGCCACATCGAGGTCAATTTGATCCTGATTAAACTCTGCTAGCTTCGTCAAGTCAGGGATGTCTTGAGTTCTTTTGAATCTTTTCGAAAAGGACGTGTAAGCCTTCTTCGCCCTCGAAACGTTTTTCTTCGTGTATTTTTTTAGGCCCACAGAATTCGATCCATTGACTTTGTTGCTTTTGGAAGAGGTTACAGCTTTAGACGATCTTGTTCTCTTCTGGGGGCTGCTAACACCAGTACGTAAGGACCGCTTTCGTGTACTCCTTGCGATCCTCTCGGGTTCGTCTTCCGAATCTTCTGCCTCATCATCAGTCGCACCAGTCTCTTCGTCCTCTTCATCCTCTTCATCTTCCTCCTCGTCCTCCCCGTCTTCCCCCTCGTCATCTTCTATTTCTTCTTCCCGTTCCGGCACATTGTCGTTCTCATTCTCTAAGTCATCTCCCTCGTATCCATCATTTTGTTCGATTTCCTCACCTGTCTTCTCATTTTCCATATTCTTGGTCCCTGGCGTACTTCTGTTACGTTTCTCTCCACTGAACTTATGTCCATTGCCTTGGTTGTGAGCTTCAGGAGTTGAAGGACCTTTACTTGTGTCAGAGCTCACGCTCGAATTAGAGCTGGAGCTAGAGCTAGAACTTCTAGCATTTTCCATCAATATAACATTGGTCCCCTTAGTGTTAAATTGTCTGAGACCATCAGTTGCATCCTGAAAATCATCGACCTCTTGGCTACTAGAGATGTTAGACTCTTCGTCGCTAGCTTGTCCGGCCTCTCCATAAGCTCTTTCTTGAACTTTCCCCTCTTGGAGTTCAGGCCTATTAATTGATAATATGGAAGTCCCCGTTTTTTGCTGCAGTAGAGGCGACGGCGAAGGACTAGCACCAAGCTGTTTCGATGTGGCTGGTTTTTTCCTTCCCTTGGTGCTAGGTCCTTTTAAGGTTAATTCTTTCACATACCTGTGCGACGACTTTGGCTCCATCATTACAACATTCCGTTCCGCACGGTGGATATCCACTTTATTGAAAGAAACTCCCGAGGGTTCACATGCATACTGCACTAAGAAATGTTTATGCTTGGATTGTTCAGCGTGGGAGCTGAAAAACTCCCGGGCGTCGAGAACCCTAACCTTCGATATATAATCAGTAAGGTAAATTTCACATAGCTCTGCTGTCAATCCTAGCTCGTCAGAATGAACCGTTTTTTCAAACAGATTAGAAATTTCTTTGTCCCTAAGGTCATCTAGGTTGCTGGTCTCCGGAGAAAGCTTAAGGTCACTGGCCAGGATGTACTCGAGCTTGTCGAATTCAAATATTCTCAGGTAAGTGAAGGCCCAAATTTCCACTGGATGATTCAACGTGTTGAGGCGGATCTCGTGTATCATATAGATTGAAAAAGAGTCGAGTTGTTCGTCTCTCATCATAATTGAGTCTCCACAGCGTAGTTCTGTCTGGTCACTGAGTCTGAGAAGAGAAATATGCTCTCTTTCGCCACCTCGGTCGCCTCTACGGCGACTCCTTCGCGTTTCTATGTCATTTTCTAGTAGCTGCCCTTCGCTGTCGCGTTTGATTATTTCCCAACCTTCGAATTCACGCTGGTTTCTCGCCATTCAAAGACGAGTTGGTAAACTTTTGGATAAAATGATCAAATTGATCTCGAAGCCAGATCAGATATAACCTATCCGTGATATCTTGTCGTGTCTCTGCGAGCTTGTTAAGTTCATCTTTTCCATAAGTTGATGTAACAATCTAGTCGATGAACCGTCTATAGTGATGAGGAGAGGGCATCAATCCGGCACTCCCATAGAACGATAAGTTTCGCCGTCTAGCCTCTGCGTTTGTTTAAGAAACGCACTAGAGGCAACACCTCTATAGATGGACTGTAGCAATTTGGCAGTGCACTTTTCATCTTTGAGAACCTCCAGGTTTTGTGATCTGATTGTGTCGATATACCGTCGAGTTTTGTAATAGTAAATATCAATATAGTGTCATAATACTATAAAGTGATACAAGCTACGTCAGTAAAATAAGTTTGATGGAACACAAATGGCACAGAAGTACGCTAATATATAAGAAAGGCTAGCCAGTCAAAGTTGTTTGAGGATTGCGCATTACCTAGCCCTTACTATTCCCGGATTATTCCTGCCAGAACTTCGTATGAATACGGGCTGTATGTTCCATTGGTGAATTGGAGTTCTGATCCTGAAAAAACTAAAGTCTCGTTTTTGACTCAAGGCTCTCGTACACGTCAAGCGTATGTAAATCTGCCAGCCACATCTCCAAGTACCGTCTCTCCTGAACCCGGCTGTCAATGATTTTTATCATGTAATACGAAGGATGAGGTTAAAATACTGGGCCATATTTGATAAATGCCACTACACATCTTGTAGCGCAGGTATCAGCTTCCGGAGTGCGCAAGGTTGTCTCTTGATGGGACCGGTATCACTGCTAGAAAAGAGTGACCATGCCGCTACGCCGTCTACGTAACGCTTTTAGCAAACCGTTTGATAATCTTGGGGCTTTGGACCGTCTTGTTCAGTTCTTACGTCTGGGATCGTCAATGATGGTCTTGCTCTTCACGTTGATACTTACCTTGGGAGCTTTTGTATCCCCAAGTAGGTTATTTATGGGGAAAATGAATACATCTTCCATTGATATAGCTAAGGGACTGTTTCAAGTGCTAGAGTCGTCGGTAGAGGCATCCACCGCCAACTACATCAGCAACGGCGTGGGTCTCACGACATCCGAGATTTTGATTCTAACAGAGTACACTGCGTATCAAACTAGTACGTCACCACAGTATGTGGTCAGTTCGGTTTACGGCTGGTGTCGTGTCGATAATCGGACAACAGCCAAGGCGGGTCCGAGGGCAGAGAATTATACTACATGCGTTAACGCAGGCCCTGACTACGTGTTTGATTACAAAGAACTCATGAATGATGTAGGTCTTGGGGTGATTTTAGATTACGCATACGACGCCTCCGGGGACGCTTCGCAGGCGGAGAGTTCCTACACAGATTATATGTCCAGCGCAAGGAAATTGAAAGAAAAGAAGATCACTTTGCTCTATGTTGTGGCCAGTTTTCAAGCAGTAATGATAGTATTGACTTTGTGGTTTTACTCGGTAAAGGGACGCTCATTAAACCATTTCAGGGAGTCTTTTCTCATCCACACAGTGTCGGTTCTCTCCTTGTTAATCTGCATATGTGCATTGGTTAGCGTGATAGCATTAGCCTCCTTTAATCTTCAGGTGCGATCCAGAATACAAAACGAGCTTGGGTCGATGGGTGTATCATATCATTTGGGCGGTGCGTGGTTCACTTCACTTTGGCTACTAGCTTTTTTCTCCTGCATTTCGTGCGCTACTTGGTCGGGGCTAGTATGGTGCATCACCGATGGTCAAGTTGCAGACGGTGATTCCTACGAACTGGGCATACTTGCATCTGCTACGCAGCCTCTCCAAGAGCAAAGTGGCGAGGCGGATCCTAGAGACCTGCCGAAGCCCCCCATACTCAAGGAGGATGAGGCGTCACAAATCCATTTTAATGATATCAATTCGTTAGAATCACTGGATCTGCCAGATACACCTCTCAGCTATGCTGGTTCTGGCTCTGGTGAGCGTGTTGTCCCGGTGTCGGCATTTAATTTGTGACGTTCTGACACAAGACGTCTAGAATATGGTAAAAGATAATAGAAAAGAACATAGATTTTTGAGTGATACAGATACTACCTGTTATTAGCCCTTCAAGCCTTCATGATAAGACCTGGCCTGATTTTCAGCAAATTAAAGCCGGCACTTCGCAATCTGGCGACTCTGGTCTGTTTGTGGTTTTCCATTTTGGCCACATTACTTACAGTGCTCCTCCTCCACCTGCCCAACGCTTCATGCTCTTCCGTATCCGGCCCACGGTATTGTCTCCCTCAATATGAACTAAGGTTTCTAGAAGTGCCTGAGCGCAATCAGGACATATTTTTAGGCGCCAAAGACCTTTTGACCCTACTATCATACGTCGCGGTAGACTTAAACATGAAGGTTGAACCTGCCGCTTCTGCGGATTATGATGACGTGAATCTTGTGAACACTTTTAGCCCTTCTAATGTGTTCAAGATAAATCATCTAGGATTCTGCAAAGACCAAACTTCGGTCACAAAGCTTCCTAAATATTGCAGTGTGAACCTCAATGGACTTGAACCTATTTCCATGATTGTGAGAGACGTGGGTGTTCAATTTGGCATAACTTCGGCGAGGAACCCGCGTATTATGGGAGAATCATTCGTTTACGCCTACAGGTTGGGCCTCAATGCGTTGACGAAGGCCCGGGGTGAGCAAAACATTTTTTTGAAGTACCTTCAGCCCGAATCGACCCCTGGCGAACCTAGTGTGGCTACGCGCGACTATAACCAGTGGCAGGGAGTTGCTGGGGGTTTGCTGCTGCTGCAGAATTGTTGCTGGTCCATCAGTTGGCTGGCTCTCATAGAATTTTCTATCTGTGTTTTAGTCATCGTATCAACCCTTTTGACAGCTCCTAAGGTGCTGAGTGGTCGGAATTATAAGAACTGGACTACGGTCAATACAATTGGCCATTTTGCCTTGAGAGTACTACCCATCGTTGCGATCATCGTCAATTTCTTGGGTGTATTTATCTCCGCCGTAATCTACGTATCTCTAGCGAGTGCTTCAGCAAATTACGGAATGTTGCACAGAGTTTTCGATTTACAAGCGGGAAGTGGTTTCTACGTCGGGGTTGTCAGGTTACTACTTGAATGTGTTCTGTTGTGGCAAGCTTTGACCTTCCAAAGGATTTCTTTCAAGACAAAACAAAACTCAGCTTTAGTACCTTCGTCTATCGATAATTTGCAAAAGAAGTACGATACAGATTCTATCCTCTCTTCAGGTGCGACAGTGTGAATCCGTTTAGTTAGTCGCTTTCAAATAAGTTATATACAATAATATGTCTGCCATAAATGAAAATGTCGTCAATATTCTTAATACAAAAATTACCAGTACTCGCACATCAAGATAGTCAATGGCTGGCCTGAGGACCTTTGATGCGTTTCGTATGTTGAACTAGTATTACGTGAGGCTAGAGACAGGTGTGTCTTTTTTTCGGAAGAACAGGTTCTTATGAAGACGCTCTTCCATGGACTGCTCTTTTTACTAACGGAATGTACAGCGAAAACGGACGCTCAACATGTCAAAAAATCGTCCAAAGGTGGATACACGACTATTTTGACCTACCTCTTCCTCGCATTTATTGCCTGGAGCGAGTTTGGTAGCTTTTTTGGGGGATATATCGATGAACAATATGGGGTGTCTGACGAACTTCGAGAAACAGCCCAAATCAATATGGACGTCTTTGTGCATACTAAATGTCAGTATCTTACTGTGTTAGCCTACGACCGTACGGGGGATCAGAAACTAGTGCAGAACGAGCTCTCACTGGAAGATCTGTTCTATATTCCCCTCGACACGAAGGTGGATGGGAGAAACGACATCCGCTCTCCAGGATTGGACGAGATAATGGCAGAGGCAATTCCAGCGCAGTTCAGGGAAAAAATCGATTTCTCTGCTCTTGCTGGTGGCGAGGAGTTTGACGGATGTCACATCTTTGGTTCTATTCCTGTAAACATGGTCAAGGGGAACTTGGTGATAACCTCCAGAGGCTATAGTCCTGGCGATTTTAGAAGGCCCCCGCCAGACGTTATCAACTTTTCTCATGTTTTCAATGAGCTCTCATACGGCGATTTCTACCCCTACATCGACAATCCTCTCGACAAAACCGCCAGGCTCTCTAATGATCCTGCAATACGCTACCGTTACTACACATCTGTTGTTCCCACCACATTCAGGAAACTGGGAGCAGAGGTTAAGACCAACCAGTACTCGTTGAGTGAAAGCGAAACGACAGTAACATCCTCCAACAAGCAAGCTCCTGGCATTTTTCTCTCTTACGATTTCGAAGCCTTAACTATCACCGTCAGCGATAAGCGCATTTCGTTCTGGCAGTTCATCGTCAGACTGGTAGCAATTCTCTCCTTCATCGTCTACACCATTTCATGGACCTTTAGAATTACTGACAAGCTATTAGTAGTTTTGCTGGGCCCCAAGTGGTCACTTCGCTATCCTAGTGATGGTCGTCAAAAAAGTGGTATTTTGGAGTAGTAACTCAAACTTTTACACACCACAATTGAATTAGGAGGTATCAATAAGGTACTGAAAGGTGGTGCAAAATATAGGCTTGTCGACTAGATATAGAGTATTTAGTAATGTTGGGTGGATTAGAGAAGTCGAGCATGACGTCCAAAGTCGAAGCCGCTTTAGGAAGAGACAAAATCGAGAGTTTTACGCTGGAACAATTAGCCGCTGAGTGGCAAAATAATGAACACAACAAGAAGGCAGTACATGATGAAATGATGAAACAAGTGGTGCTTCAGAGGTTGAGTCAGATCACTGGCCTGATTAACGCAGATTGTGATAGGCCAAGCGGAACTTCTGATCACGGGCCCATCAGCTCTGTAAACTGGGATGAAGTGTATGAGGTATCAGCAAACGTTATGGACTTGTATACCAAGGAAATCGATGAGTGCCTAGCAGAGCTTGATAGATCTTACAGGGTATGTGAAAGAAAAGATGGTCGCACTTTCGATTGGCAGCTAATCCATACTAACCGTTGAAACAGAGACAATACTTATGGCAAGAAGCGGCTTTCACGATCGATTCCCATCGTGGTGCTACTAGGATTGGTGTTGCAGAAAGTTGGATTGTAGGTAAAGAAGGCAATTTGGAGTTTACAAGACAAGAGCTTTCGACATCGGCACGCGTTATCAAGAAGACTTTGGAAGAGCTGTCTCGAAAATGAGAGCCACAAAGCTGATGACTTGCAAACCTTCACCAAGGATAATAAGAGTTCCCTCTTGGCCTCCATTCTGTTGCATAAAGGCTCTTTTTCTAATATGATGAGGCTTACAAGCATACTTAAATTGCTAGCTATCTAACGTCAATCATTCGACCTTTGGTTTCTTGCTAGGCCTGTCTGCGTCTGCATCATCTGCATCGCTGTCGCTAGCTGGGGCATCTGAGTCGAATTCTTCTGCTACGTCATCGTCTTCAGAACTGGCCGCGAAATCTTCGTCAACCGATTCGTCATCCTCACCAGCGGATCCCATATTTACATCTTCATCACCACTGTCAGAACCCAGGGCACTTTCTAGTCTCTGTTGAGCCTCTTTTTCTTCGTTCTTAACTCTTAAATTTTTGGACTTGAGGAAATGCTCCAAAAGTTGCTGCTCTTCCTTTGAAATATTTGCGAATGTGGTTGTACCATTATTGGCCCGCATAATGATTTCTAGATCGAAAGTCCGAGCCGACGTGGTGCTTTTACCGGCTCTTGAAATATTTACCATGCTCACATCGCTGAAGGGCATGTACAGGGTTGGCTTCGTCAAAAAGAGAAAAGCGCTGTCCAGTGGGTACAGATGACCTTCATTTGCTTTAAAGGAGCAAGATACAGCACATTGATCATGCTTGGACTTATATTGGCCCGGAACAATCACTCTACGCCCTGTTAAACCTTTCAATACATGACTTAACACGATATGCGTTTGAGCGTCATACTGTTTCAGGAGCTTTTCCTTGTATAGTTCCTCGAACTCTTGATCTTCAACATTCAATTGAACCTCTGTCTCCTCAGTTTTTTGAAATTGCATAACCAAAAATGGGTAAGATGTTTGACCTTGACGCAAGGGCGGTTCGATAGAGAGTACCATCAAATGATGAATATCGTCAGCTTTAGGCAAAGAGAATATTCTTTGGATTTGACGGTGTTGCAATTTGTACTCGTAGGTCTTACCTCTGAGCCTTATAGAGTTCTTGTAAATGTCAATATCGTAACGACCTCTTGGTGTCGTGAAGAAAACGTCTTGGAACGACACGATAGCGTCGCCTGAAACTTCGCCAATATCCGCCTTTTCTCTCAGCTCCTCGTAAAATGACTCCGCAGCAGGTTTGAGCTCTTTTTCCATATTCACATCTTCTTCTCCTTCGGCTTTTGGTTGTTTTGTATCCTGGCCCTCGTTGTCGTTTTCATCCTGTATCGTTCCTGGAACGTGGAATCTCATTTCCACAAGCTCGTCACCAGCTGGATTGTAATCTTCCTTAGTGAGGTCAAATTCAATGGCCACCTCGGTCTTGGCGGTCAAGTTTGTATTGCTGATATGTGAGTATGGAATTTCAAAGGTGGGCTTTCCATTGTAAGCAAATATCATCTCATTACGCGCCATATCAGCTTTTCCCCAGTTCCAACCACGTAAAGAGTGCTCGCGCTGTTCAACTTGGACATTGAACCTTCTCTTAAAGTCATTCTTAATCAAATTGAAATCTTCTTGCGAGAACCCATCCAGTTGCACAACTCCTTGGTTTTTCGTATTTATTTTAAGCTCATGACCTCTGCATCCTCTACTCCATTGAACTGAAGCTAGCTCAGTTGCTGGAAGTAGTAATGGCGCCTTTTGTTGCCCTGCAGCTGATCCCCCACTGCTCGAAATCTTCCAGCCTAACCCAGAATCTGCGATACGAAACCTTCCGTTAGATCTGGATTGGTTTAAGTAGATACGCTCAAAATCTGTACTCATTGATAGCAATAATACTTCAAATTGACCGTCAGATACTTCAAGCCGTAACGTTTCAACCAGGTTCAAATAGTATCTGTTTGATCGATAGATAGTACGTCTCATTTTTGAAAGTGAACTATATACCTTTAGACGATCATCATCAGGCTGATGAGTATCGAGCACCAGTGATGCGATTCACGCATTTGAAAGGCAGTCTTGTCACTGCCTAAGATTAACTACATATGCAATTGTGGTACAAATGAAAACCAACATTTATATATGTAACTCCATATACGTTCATTTCATCAAATGTCAACTAAGTTCATTAAAATTTAACCATACTTTATTTCCCATGGAGCTGAAAAGTGCAATTCCAGTTCTCTTATACGTGACTTAGTTCCTGAGTGCCACATTGACTTTAGTAGCCATTCTGGACTCCTTTGAGGAACTCGACAAACCCGAGTGCACCTGGATCAGGGATTTCGCTGGAGTCACTGACGTAGGATGCTCTGCCAAATTTAGCCTCGATCGAACCAGTAGATGTAGCACCTTTGTCGGCAGCCTCGATGGCCTTCGCAAAGTCGTTTGACGCAGAAAACTCCTTGACAAAAGGCTCCAAAGCATCTACAAGCGTAGAGTCGCCTGGTCTGGCTCTCGTGTACTTATAGAGAGTTTCTAACGCAATTTCAAAAGCCTTTGAAAGAATTTTTGCATCCACTTGGTCGTCCTTGTCCTTACAAGTCTGGATTAGACCATGTGATAGGCCGGATATCATAATTGAGTATAGACCGCCCGAGGTACCACCCATTGAGCTTTCGATGTGATCAGAGATTTGCGCCAAAGCTTGAGACAAATAGGTTTTATCCAGACCAGCCAGATTATCAGTGATACCCTTCGCACCAGCAACTAAAGTATAGCCGCAATCACCGTCTCCAACTTGTGAGTCCAACTTGGTAATGTGTGGTTCACTTTTGATTAGCTGATCGGCACCAGATTTCATCATCTTGGCAAAATGATCGAAATCAAATTTCCCAGCAGGTTTGACCTTAATATCCTCCTTCAAAAGAGATTCGTCAATTTCTGGCGATTTGGCGTCGTCGTGGGAAATATTGGGCCAACCTGGGGCATCAGTTGGCGCTCTCAATAGACTTAACACACAGTCCACCTCAGAAAATTCTTGGTGCAGTTGCTTCGAAGCACGCGAGGCGTTCAATAAAGTGATGCTGAACCCATCCATGTCAAAGGAAGTCATCAAAGTACCTGTGATGGTTTGCACTGGAGTGATGTTGTAAGTCTTTTTAAGCACCTCAGTGGTCTTGGCAGCGACGGCAGAGATAACAAAGTTAGAAACACCGCCTAAGTTGTTGATTAGAAGAACAACGTTATCATCTTTCGCGAATTCCACAAAATGTCTATCCTTGTCCTTGGGGTCCAAAAGCTTTGGAAGCATGTCTTTTTCGATCAGTTCGTCCGTGCTAGGAACCGGTTCTAACACTTTCACGCCTGGCTCGTTGTGAACACCCATCCCGAGCTCCATTTTGTTTTCGTTGAGTTCAGTTTCAAATTTACGGCCAGGAACCTTACAATGATCCAAAGAGGCACCTATCGTGACCAGGTTGCTAGTTACAATGTCTGCCACGCGGGCAGTTCCATCGAGACCGTGCTTGTCCGAAAACGCGTCCGCAAATGCACCTGTGATCTTGTGCACTAGAACAGTTCCGGCCAATGCTCTGCGGCCCACAAATCCGCCCTTGGCTCTTCCCACGGCGACATCGTCGCCAACAACCGCAACCTTACAATTGATGCCCAGCGCCCTGGCACGTTCTGCAGCCAAACCAAAATGCAGGACGTCACCTGTGTAATTTTTCACAACCAGCAAAACCCCGCTGGACTGTTTGGAAAGCAGCTTAATTCCGTTCAGAATCTGCTTAGTCGATGGACTAGCAAAAATATCACCACATACTGCACCTCCTAGCATACCCTCTCCGACGAAACCAGCATGCGTGGGTTCGTGGCCACACCCACCACCGGACACCAATGCTATTTTGGTCGCATCCGTCTTCCGAACGAACACTCTTTCTTGTTCCACAAAAGTCAATTGCGGGTTTGCCAAGGCAAACCCCTTAAGACTGGTGTCTAGCGGCTCTGACACTTCAAAAGACTTGACGGATGGCATATTAAACGTCAATTGAACTGAAAGCTGTGATCCAAGGTGGCTGCGAAAGTGAATAACTCTTTTTTCTGAAGATTATATCTACCGGGTGAGACTTCGTTAGAGCGCCCTTCGGACCTTCACCTTTTTAAGTTTGCCAAGAAATTAGAATTGAGTCAAACAACGGCACCACGTCAACAACAACCGTTCAACGCCTTTTATACTTTTTCTTGCACATCGCAGACGCCTAACGTGGTGACACTCCGGCCAGGTCGATAGCAAGTAGGCTCCGGCACGTCATAAATATCTCGGCACTCGTTTAATTGGCTTATTTTGTACGTGTGAAACGATGTTGTGTTGGTTCGTCGATAGTGATGTTAAGCGGTTGCTTATGTAACTAAGTTGTTTTGTTCACGTGACGAGTCCGGCGTTGCTTCTTGAGTCCTCTGTTCGAAAGCACATCATGGCCCCGGTTGCTCACGTATACCGTTCAACCACAATGTAGTTGGAAGGGAGGTAGCCCCGGTGCTTAGTTCGCATGGATTCGCCGTACCACCAGCTGGGATCGTTTTTCCGTATCACCCTTATTACTTCTCCACGGTGGAAAGTCAGATCTCCCAATTGATACCCGGCATCGTCCATGCCATAATCGTAGAGCGCAGTAGCATATAGCAAAGGCACTGATCCATGGATGGCGTACTCTTGAGATTGGGTTTTGGCGCTTTCCTTGGCAGAACAAATTGTGGCATTGTAAAAACGGGCAAAGTCCGTGATCCGGAGATCACTCATGTGCATGTTTACGCAATCTATATCGCTGCGAAACTTTGTGACAATGTCCTGCATTGGCATCTGCGCCTGTCCAGAAGCGCACCCTGCGCCGTGAGGAGGACAAGTTTCTGGAGGGATCAGATGACCGTCCGAGACACAGTCCTGGGCCGACAAGCCGTCCAGCTGGCTGGCCACGGGTTGGCTAACCATTCCAAACACCTCTTCGGCACACCCTATGTTGCTGTACAATGTGAACGCTAGGGAATAAGAGTTCAGGATAAAGCCCTCAACCCACTTCTCCATCAGCCTGGCGAAAAGTGTCAAAAATACTTGTACTTTAACCTTGGTGGTAGCATTGAGCGACTCGTATTTCATCCTCTCGAGTTCCAGATCCCGCGCATGTCTTAACTTGTCGCGCACCTGGCGCGGCCCCATATGCTTCCTGTTTTTCTCTCGCCACTGGTCATATTTGGCGGTACAGTCAAGCACTTTTGCGACGCACGTCTCCCGCGCCCTTGCGAGTTCACTTATTTGCAAACACAGTTCATGGACTCTGACTAGGGGTTGCCGGAGCGCTCTATCCATCAGTTTCAAGTCGGCCTTAATCCTTCCACGAGCGACCTCTTGTCGGCATCTGAAGTTGCGAACATTGTGCTTACTCAGGAAGTTTTGGGACATACAATTCTGCGAAGCGATCGAGAGGGGTTCTAAAGGAGATTTATCATATTGATAGGAATCAGGCATGTGCTGATCGTGGACAAATGGGCTACCAGAAGGGGCATAAAGTTTTCTGGTTGGAAGTCTGTATCTCCATTTCTCGCTATTGTTAAGAATTGATTCAAAGTGGCTGGAGAGACCAATCGCGCCCTCCACAAAAGAGGCCATTCCATCTGAGTAACTGTCGCAACCCATCAGTAACGTCTTCAACAAGCGCCTCATATGTTTGAAATCTCGAAACACTTCCTCGAACATCGGATCGGTCAGTTGCGTTCGCACGTTGGCTTTCCCTAGGTTGGGTTGGGGACCATAGACCCTGTACTTTTTTGGTCGCCCTTTCTCTCCTTGCGCCCTTTCCTTCATCATGTCGGTCGTCGTGATGAAGATACTCTTGCCTGTATACACCTCCTATGCGTCTTGTCGAGGTTAAAAGAGGAAGTGGCCGCTTAACATTGTATTTTTGTCACTAAACTGCTAACGACGCAAAAACGTCAGTTTTCCTCTTTACCGCTGCGGAAGATAAGAAGAACAATTGATGTCAAGGGTGACCAGGATTCGTACCCGGCCAGGCTAATATGGCTTTGGGCTTTGAGGCGTGGGCCCCAGGCTTGACGTCTTCAAATAGCTCCTGTACCCGGCTTGATGTAACATGTTCAGGATCCGAAAGTGAATCCATGCATTTTTTTTTATATTCTTCCAGGAGGTAGCTTAAGGAATCTAAAAGTTTCTGTCGGAGACGAGGATCTGACAGCGGCGCCGCAGTAATCATCTTTCGTAAATTGATCACTACCTTATATCTGATTGCCAGAGACTTACAACTCACCTGTGAGCTATCTGCATTAATATCTCCGGGGTTCAACAGGACTAACGACGCATAGTAAAGCATTACATGTACATGCATCGGTAAGAATTGAAAAATACTTTTGATGTCGTTGTCCTCAGTGGCCAGTCGAAGTAACGAATAGGCGGCAGATCGAGATATCTCGTGAGAAGCATCAACTAGTGAACTTGGATCGTCATCACTGATACTACAAGCAGAAGATGACTGCCATAAGCTCACAAAGTCCTTATTGGCGACATCGAACATTGAAGACTTTCCTCTGGCCAACAATGGTTTTGCATTTATATGCATTCGCGCAAAATTATAGTACAGCAGTGTAGCTTTTAATGACCATGGATCGCTTTGAAAATCGAGGTTCTGTAAAGTTATGGTCCACGATATCATCCACCTATCTAACTTTAAATTGCTTTCCCAAGGGATTCCAAAATTTGAAGGTTGAAGAATGAACATGGCAGACTCTAGAGCTTCATTGGTGTTCGATGTCTGCATGGGATTGAAAGAGAAAATGCTCTCCACGGCCATATGATATTCTACTTGGCCCAGTATTCTCAGATCGTTCAAAGACGTGGGGGAAATAGGAACTTTGTGGGTCTCAACTTCATTTAAAAGCTCTAATTGTCTGTTGTTGACCACTTTATCCTTTGAGTCCTGATTCTCGTTGAGAATCTTACGAACTAAGGGATCTACGAGGTTACTCACTATATCTCTTCTCGCATTCTGAAGCAGTTGCTCTGATCTTTCATGGATAGACGGGCTCTTTTCGAAAGTTAGATTCTGGTTTCCATCAACGATGTATAGTAAGTACCACAGTCGGTGAAATCGTTTTGATTGCAAAATGGAATGACTTGGATTTTGCTGATCTATTCTGTGGATACGGGCTAGTTGAATAGCGATTGAAGTGAACATCTGGCTGGATTCTAGCCATAGAGCGCCGATCAGGAGCGCCAGCACGGTATTCTCAACTTGTTTCACTGGAATCTCACATGTTAAGCATTGAGACGCTAGAAATTTAAACTTCAGATTCAGAGTATCAAATTTTGACTTAAGTGAGGTGTGGTGTGGACACGCGACAGTGCATATCGACAATAGAAGAAGAGACGACGATTTCCACATAGCATCCACATCCAGAATACCAATGTCGTAACCAAACAGTCGAGGCGCTAATGTTTCCCTAAACAGCCGAACAAGCTCTCTGGCATCTTCCTGCGATAGTGTCTCTGATACCTGGACGTCTAAAGTTTCTCGATAACCTAGAAGAGGGTACTTATCCGTTTCTCTATAAGGCTCCTTGGCGCTCGGGAGCATGAAAGGTTGATCCACAGACGATGAGTGGCGCTCTTGAAATTGCAGCTGCAAGAAGTCCATCTGTTGCTGTTGCTGTGACTGACTGGTTTGAAGGATTGAGAGGACCGATTCCAAAGCGCTTTCTAATGTTGAAATACGGTTATCCACAGAGCCGGCCCATCCGGCTTCCCGCTGATGGCCACCGGGCGCGTTAAAATGCGGCAAAATAGATGGCGGCACCATCTGGTGTTCTGGTTGTGATACGGTAGAGAACGCTTCGCTTCCACCGTACCGATGATCTGGAAAATAGCATTTGAGCTTAAACTTGGCACATCGCTCGCAAGGCTGGCCCTCCACATACTGACATCTCACTTTATTCCTCTTGCAGCCTGTACATGGTATTGTACGTTTTCGGCTTTCATTTAGAGCCATCAGCTACAAGACCGTGCTGGGTAGGCTGAACCATCGGTCAGCAAATGCATGGAATCTTTGAATGTCGAGAAGAACCCGTGATGAGAAAAGGTAACTCCTTCCAAATATTAGAGTCCGTACATGGTGCTGCTAGGTACTTTTAAAACTTCAGGCGGAGAGGTTTACCATTAAGATGAGACAGCTTTCTCTTCAAGATACCACTGCCTGTTGACTCAAATGGTGTTTCGTTGTTTTCATCATAAAAGCCCAATGAAGATTAGGCCAGTAGTTTTTGTTTCTACTTGGTCAACTGCTATTTCGCCAACTTAAACATCCCTTAGTTGGGATGATAGTATAAGCAAATGACGCTGTTTGTGTACTGTTTAACGCTCGGTGTTTTCAAGGACAATAAATGTCTTCACTTGATTGTTCATGTCGAGATCAAATGAGCCCGCACAGGCCTTGCTTAATTTATTAAATTTCCTCTAAAACATTAAAAGTCACGAAAACAATACCCATTGCGGATAAAACAACCAAGAGGGAGTAGGGGCAGACGGAGAAAATGCCAGCGTAAGGCTTACCAACTACCCCGGACTGCAATTCGCAGCATCTCTTGAAAAAGCTGTTTAACTCCATTAGCTAAAATGCTTATTATGTGAATGACATCGACAGAGGATCTCTAAACTCAGGTAAACTGGGCTTCTTGTAACGACGAAGGTGAAAACGTAATACCCAGGGTAGCGCGTAAACTAACGACGGCACCGTAAAGAGATTCAGCGTAAGCACATGATGCAGTTTATATGTATTATTATTTCAATCTCATTAACTTTTCAACAATTGCTTGCGTGGCGTAATGGCAACGCGTCTGACTTCTAATCAGAAGATTGTGGGTTCGACCCCCACCGTGAGTGTTTTTTGTTTTTTTTGAAAACAAACCTTTATGTCGATGTTCGTGAGGCCCGTGGAAAAACCGTCCATCCTTCCAGCAATCTGCGATCAAGCAAAGTGCGAAAGGATTGTGGTCCTCGTTGATGCCCTAAGAAATGGTAAAACAGCAGCTCAGTTCCTTCTTTGGGCCTCATCGTCTCTATTTCGTTTGTGGCAAAGTATATAAGGATTTGTCTTATGCAAATCAGATTGTCCATTGGTTCGTCCAACGAAAGCTGCCTGTGGTTCCGATTACGCCCACTGGCGGTTATGTAGATCTGACAACTGACAGTCAGACGCGAAATAGATCCTCTTTGCGAAAATTACCCATCTACAAGAACGTGGCAGAAGGACTAGGGAGCTTCGCCGACAGAAGTGCCATCGACGGTATCAGCGTCTGCTTTGTCACACCACCAGCAATTACCCTCTCAATCTTGCAACAATTGGACACGGTTCAAACCCCGATAAAAAGCGTATGGTTCCAACCGGGATCGTGGGATATGCAATGCGTCAACTGGGCAGAACAGGAACTAAAAATCGATGCTCCCCACATTATTAATGATTGCATATTGGTAAATGGTGCTGCTTATTTTGTTGGAAGCGAGCTTGGCTAAAACTATTCATGATGGCGTCATTCGCGAGCCGAGGCCATTGTGGAAGATGAGCTCACGTATCTCGTCCCGGTCCGGAGACTCCACGTAAGAGTCAACCAGCGGAGTTAAAACAGCGATGTAATTGACTGCTTTTCCTCATCCCATAGCAAAGCATTGATCAAGAATCCTTCTAAATTGGCCGATCGTCCAAATTCTGCTTCTTTCACGCCACTTCCTGGAACTCTCACGGCGCGATACTACGGTACATGTTTCCAGTAGATCCCCACTATCATTTTCGGGCGTGACAGCTTCAATGTGATGGATGATGCAGCTTCTAGCTTTGCCTGATCCGAAAAGAACCGTTAGTCTCGCCCACTTGTCGTTGTTTATCTTAACAAAGCGTAGTCCTCACTTCTCTGACACACCCGTTGATCCACTGCTTCAACTAGCAGTGATTCGTGTTAACTCTGCACCATGAAATACCTGAACTGCACGTCTTCCCAGTCTATAGCAGGTACAGCTGTATGTCCTATACAATGGACAAGAATTGTAGCAATGCACCTTTCGGATGCGGTGCATGCCTGAGGGATGAAATTCTATAATATATCGGCTTCTTTAGAGATTGGTACTTCTAAATAATATTAGCCTTTTGAGCTGTGTAAGGTCTACTATACACCATGGGTTAGCAAACTAACAAAATCGAATACGTCCGTCTCATTTGTTATGTATAATCAAGACATTAATATTCTTTGTTAGTTGATAAGAATTAAATCTGGGGAGGGTACATTAACCTGCCATCTTCATCGTTTGAGCCCCCAAGATGACGATACACCACCACTTTCTGGATGAAATCGAGACTTTGTTGGAGCCCAATGAGTCGATAGAAGAACTTGTCAGGTTGGGCGTTCTGGATCTGGAATTGAGGCTTCAAGAGAGCGATACCTCAATGTTATCGGGAGAAGTGATGAAAAGTAGGCCGTTGAAGTTTGAAAAATGGGGGGCTCATCGAATTCCTCTTGCGCTGGATTTTGGTGGTAGTTTCATTAAGCTAGCTTTCATCGATCCGGAGAATGGCTGCATTCTGAAGCACCACAGTTTAGCAGTGAAGAGGACCATTGTCGATAAAAGGCTGTTTCAAGATGTGGTGGATTGGATTTGTCAGCAAATCGACGTTTTTTTGGGAGAATCTGGAACCATTTGCCCCATCGACTACGTGATGGGCGTAACGTTCAGTTTTCCGCTGGACTTGAATGGTGGACTCACCACTATGGGAAAGGGCTTCATATTGACCGATGAATTAAAAGGAGCGAAAGTTACTGAGCTACTACAGTGGCATTTTGATCAAACTGTAGGCTCTAGAGACGCTTCGTTCAGTGTGCTGGTGTCAGGTATCGTCAACGACAGCGTCGCAGTGTATCTGGCGAATGCTGTCACCAACGCTCAAAAAAACAACATTTCATTGATTTTGGGAACGGGAATAAATGCTTGCTTTTCAATACCAGCTTCCCGCCTTCCCGCGAGAAAGCTACCAGCAGATGCTAAGCCTCTCGACACTGTGTTGATTAATTCTGAACTGGGGTTTTTGGGTCAGCGTTTCATCAACCTCACAGGCTTCGATTGTACTAGCGAACCACATATGCCATTGGAGTTTGTCACCTCAGGCAGGTGGATACCTCAGACACTTTATAATATTTTGAAGAGCTATCATTTACTTCCTAAAGTTATAAGCGGGCTGGAGTTCGATGGAAAGCTAGTTTGTGGCATCTTAGATGGATCGAAGACGTCATTGTTTGATGAAACTCAACAGGATGTGCAAGAAATTACACGCTTTTTGATAAAGAGAGCTGCTATATATGCCACTGCTGCTCTTTTGAGCATCTTACACTTTACTGGATCCACACAGAGCGGGGTTGTACGTATTGGATATGTCGGATCCTTTTTACAACACTGCTATGAATACAAAAACTTGATTCAAGAATTTAGTCAGGGCCGCTTGGAGCTGGTTTTTTTGGAACATAGCAACTTAATCGGGGCCTTCGTGAACTCCGAGATGAAATTAAGAGTTCAATTTTAGCCTTAAGGTTTTGGAGAACTTATTCAAAATTGGTTTAAGTAGTTCTGAACTAAGATGTCAGAGGGCTGGAAACAGTTCCGAGCCAAGAGTAATCAATTTTTAGAACCTAATTAACTATTTGACCGCTTGGGCTAGCCTGCCAGCTACCACGACCTTAAATATACACTATGCTCCAAAGAAAAAAACAAAAGCAAACATTGCATCAGTCTTTATGAGTAGCTGCTGAGGTGACACTGAGAACCTTATCCAACTCGACAGCTCTTGGGAGTTCAACATGGCCCTGGGAATACACACTACCAATGTAGTTTGCATCGTCGTTTTGAACCATAGCCAACCTCTCAAGTCTTTCTGCTTCCATAACCTTGTCCAAGTTCCAGTATCTCCACAAGAATATACATGCAAAAACAGCACCAAGGCAAGCCAAGACCGCGAACGGAATAACTAAGTGTGGGTCGACCAAAGATGGTGTGATAATTTCAGACAAGGCCGCGGATAGAGCAGTGGTAAACAGGAACAAGGCCATGACAAAACTCTTCATTTGGGGAGGAGACCTTTCAAAAGCAATTTCATACCCTGTAGTCATGGCCAAACACTCACTGAAGCCAGTCATAGCATATTGAACCGCAGTTACCCACATCGAAATAGGGGACTTCTCTTCACAAGTAGTTGCAAAGTTTCCACAAGGAGAAGTGTCGTAAACGGCTTTTTGGGTGATGGCACCTGCTACTTGCGACAAAGCTGCGACCATAAATCCAGCAAAGATTCGGTAGACCGGCTTAAAATTGATCTTCATCTTACGCAAAATAGGATAGACAATCCAGTCAAGGATTGGCATAAAAATAATAATGCACAATGGGTTAAAGTTACTGATCAAATCGTTGGGGACGCCGTTTGAAGTCATGGATGCACTTTGAGAGACCAACATCGAAGAGATCCCGTTGTCATTGATGTTGTAGATCACGTAGTACAAAAATATGACACAGGCACTGATGGTTACACGAGCATCTTGAACTAATTGTTCTGGATAGAAACCAGGCTTGTTCTTTCTCCAGCCGTCTCTACCCATTGTCCTCAAGTTAGATGGCTTCGCATACTCCCAGAAGCTTCCGGATCTGTATCTTTGCACCCAACCACCTTCGAAACATACCTTCAAGACCTTCAAGCAGTCAGCAACCATGGATCTTCCAGAGGGGGGCTCGTCATCGATGTGGCGTTTCAAAAATATCAAAACAACTGGCATAATCAAGTATAGGATCATAGGAATCAAGAAAGCCAACCAATAACCAATGTTTCTTGCAGCATAACTTGTCGCAACAGCCATGAACCCACCAACGTTTATACTCCAGTAAAAAGTCATGGTCATTCTTTGCAAACTAGCATCACGGTCGATAATAACCCTTTCACCAGTTGGCAGAGTTTTGACAACATCAGTTTGGTGTGGGTACTGCGATAACAAAGTGGGCAACAAAACCGGCTTGATAAATGATGTAGCTATGGCCAGAGTAATGATACCAATCAAACAAGGAGCCAAAGCGGGACCGCTGTTCTTGAGCACGGAGGGAATTGCCCCGATGATAAATAAAATGTGTGAGACGACACCAATCCAAACACCGATCCACAACATCTTCATTCTGCTCCAGTAACGGTCAGCGATGTAACCAGTTACTAAAGGAAAGCAGTAAGCGAGGAAAGTAAGCAAGAGATTGAGAGCCGTCGAAACTTGAAGGCCCATTCCAAGAGCACCTGCAGTCAGTTCGGAGTTTCTAGGTGGAGCACCAGCACCATTACCGCCAGCGGGAAGTGGTTGTTGAATGAAGTTTGATAACACGCCACTAGTACTATAGTAGGAGGCTCTTTCAGCGAACTCGATCAAACAGATGAGATAAATGTACCATTTAGGGTAACCAATGATCTTCCGAAGCTTGGTCTTTTCTTCAGAAGTCGGTTCAGCAAATGCTGGGACGCTGGACGAACTTTCGAATTGATCTTCGACTTCTCCGATCTCGACAATGCTCTTTTCCTTGTCAGATAGCTTGGCGGACATTGTTGAACTGAGTAACTGGAAGGATGATCGTTAGTGTATTATTCCAAACAAATAAGATGTGCAGCTCTTAAGAGATTGTCGATTTTTGACGTTCTTAAATACACCACTTGGCTTGCTTGACACCCAGCGTTTCTGAACCTACATTCCGATTGGGGCACCAAAATTTGCGAAAAATCAGATAGAGGAAAGGTAGATTGATTGATAGAGACCAAGACATACCAGCCCAGATAGATTTGACTTCTTGATAGCAGAGCCCTCTCCCCACAGTTCTGCCGGCTGTGTGGCCCCTGTCATGCAACGGCAACGGGACACGATGGTTTTCTGTGGTCCCTAGCCCTGGATCGATGCACTGGGAAACAGATATGAGAAAAGGAACGACATCAGATAACGAAATGCAGAAGAGCCGGAGTCGCTCAAGCTGACACATTCTCAAACCTTGTTGGAGGCAAATGTGATAAGTGGCCATATGCTAGGTTTGCCGTTCGAGCGTGAGGACGACATTGCACTCCTAAGAAAGCCGCACCATTAGGTGGAAAGCTTTTGAGATAAGGTGTCACCGGGTGCCATGAGGACTTTGCTAAATGATAAGACCATTTTTGTCACCGATAACGGATAGAATGTCAATGAACCAGCTGGTTCATGTGTCGATCAACCCAAGCCACAATCGCTTGACTGGCTTAAGATATCCGATTGTGACACCCCCCGTATGAGAGCGGCTCATGTCTTAAAAATAACAAGTAGGCCGTGTGGCTTAGAGAACCTGGGATTGAATCGTCAATGGTTTGCCAACGGCTACAGGGACTGTGAGGGACCCAGCACGTGAAGCACGAGAGTGGGCCATATCGGTAGCGCATGCCAGCATCAGTGAAAGGGCCCGCAAATAGCCGTCTCGGGCATTCTTTCGTGGTGAAGCGAGTTGGTGCTTTACATTTCGGCAATTGTTTGGTGTAGAGTTTGCGCTTGCCAGACGAAGTACTTGTACCTCAGTCGTGAACCGGCGATGGTCGCAGTAGACGATTGCCGCTGAATCTCCGGTTTTGAAGTTGAGGAGAGCCACTTACTCATTAATTCTGTAAGACTCAGTCGCATGCGTAAGATGAAGCCGACTCCGGTTCTTTTCTGGACTGTAGCGCATTTGTAAGACTTTTCGATCACCTTCAACTGCTTAAAACCCCCCATAACAAACACTTTAGCAGTGCCTTGCCTTATGTCACAGACCCAATTACAGAAAACTTTGTGCTGGCGTCTCAATTACTAGCGAGACTTGGTAGAGGAGTTCCTCGGGACTACGTTCTCTGAATAATGTCGGAAGAACTGATGATTTCATGTGGCCCCAGAAGGTGTCTGATGGGGGCTCTCGACACTTCGGTTCCATACTATTTGAAAACTAACCAGTTATCAGTACTAAGGTAAAACCAGGCAGTGCCACTTTTTTAAAAAGTGATAATTGGATCACCAAACGGAGGACACCGGCAATAGAAATCAACAACAAATCAAGAAAACAATCAAGGAACCGACTTGACAACGCCGACAGCTTGCAAGTATTTGAAGGGATGCAGTTGAGAATCGTTACCGGGTTTATTAAAATCTGATATGAAATGTAGGCCAAACTTGTTCACCTAATGCAGGTATTCCGGCAATGAAAAAAGGCGCGAGATAGTGGAGTTCCTATGTGACAACGTAACTAAGTAAATACCTTGTTTCTGGTCTCAGCACGTTATTGCGAGGCTGTCAACAATTACGATGGCCGATTCACAATTGAATCAAGATCCCGTACAACTCGGCTGGTACTTTAGGTGCCGTAGGTCATTTATTCGTGGTGTCTAGAAAAATCATTGGCTCATCTGTCCCCCAGCCTCTCGAACAGGTACAGACTTTTGCAAGCTTTGCCATAAAAAACGCATCTGCATCAGACCGGCATTAAATAAACAGAGTCTTGGGGAAGCTGATGAGATGACATTGCAGTTTGACGTGCATCATAAAAGAAAGCAACAAGTCCACCTCAGTGGAATGGTAGAGAGCAGTGTGGCAAGATTCATGTTAACCACTCGCTCTCGAGAACTGGCTCATACTCAGAGTTTATCAATTCTTAACTTCGCCCACACATGGGTATCTCTCGTGAAAAAACCGAGCCCATTCATCCACACGTTGCCGAGCCTCCGTGGAAAGGCCCGTAAGGTCATCACTGCATGTTTCGCGCAGGCCACGCATGCTCCAGAGCGAGAAGCTAAAGGCTCGTGAACAATCTGCGCCTGCAAACTGGCGATATGTACCGCGTGGTCCGTATAGTCCACTTTTCCGCGTTACATCGTAAACCTTCCCCTTAATGGCTAGCAAAATTGGTGTATCTGATCTTGTCCCATCATAGTCGCGCAATTGCCTGTGGGAAAATTCCAAAGGTAGTTTATAATCCCTCCAATAGGCGGGAACGATTCCCGGACCTTCACCGGTGGTCTCCCTGGACCAAAAACGACCGAAAATTCCGGGAATCAACTGTTTTGCGAAAAATCCAATCAAAATTAGCCCGCATACCATGCGAATTATGTCTAATATTGTAAACCGGGTTCTGGCATGAGCAGCATTTTTGTGGCGGGCTAAAGGCTTCTTGGGAGCAGTAATGGAGTTTCGACGATTACGAAGCATTTGAAGTTTTCAAAAGTCCTCGCTGGTTTGCTGGAGTGCTATCGATCCTTCTCTTAGCTCAGAACAGCTTGCGTTGACAACGCTCTCTCGTAGAAAAATTTGAGCGTGCTTTAAAAGGCGGAACATTAACAGCAAGTTCCTCGATGGGCTCTCAACAATAATCTGCACACAAAATCACTTCCGGAGTGATGGCCAGGGGGAGGGTGTCTGCTCAATAACTTTGGCATTAACGAGTTTAGTTGAACTACGAAGACAGATCCCAATCATTCATCATGCCACAATAGTATGAAGTGATCTATATTTACTATGTGCTCAGTCATACACTTTCAAAACCACTGCAGATCACTGAACTCAAATCGCCATATGCCAAATAAAGCGCTTGCGCATTGATTCATTTTTCTGTACTTCAAGTCTAAGTTTTTTGCAGCTATTCGCCTTACCTTTTCCCCTTTTTGTAAATTGCGGAATGATTACTTACCTATCTGTTGAAGCCAACAGCCAAATCTCATAATCGTGTATTCTTTTCTTTTGTCATCTACGGCACTTCAGAACTCAGTGTAATTGTCTAGAACTAATTCCCCGTCAACGAGGAAGCTGGAATCAGCTACGTAATTCAAGACGGGCGAAGTCCTCTTTATCAGCTTACGCAACCTAGGGGCATAAATTGGAACGCCTCGATCGTTCTGTATATTCCGGGGACATTTGACATAGCAACTCTAAACTCAAATAGATTAGTTGAGAACCGCCTCAACTTGATGCAGGGACCCAACGCTTATGCATACCGGCGCATAAAGTTGCATCACATTGCCCCGGGCGGTAGACTCAGTGCTTTTAGACTTGTGATTTGTGCGAAAATATAAGACTCCATTAACGATTGTTGACATGTCATTAGCTTGAATACGACCGGTAGATGAAACCAATACGATTGTCAATAACATTTCTGCACTCTTCAGAAATCGGGGTTTACACCCCGAAATATCCTGAGGCCTAAAAAAAAGTTTCTGAGGGACTTGCTATCCAGCGACCAATGCCATCTTTACTACTGATGTTTTCCAACTGAAAGTTAACTTAGTAGCCCTTAGAACCAAGTTTACGAAATATTGGGCAGCAAGAAATTATGCTAAAATTGTTAACTTGGTTTCGCGCTTGGGCATTAGCAACAATACCATTCGGTGAACATAAATTTAAAGACATCTTTGGAATTCCAAAAGGCAGTTTCGCTACAAGACGAGATGAAGTTTTCTAGAGTCGGTCAAAGTCCGTTACTCGTATTTAATGCTCTTAAACAATGGAGCTTTAGTAGCCTTGGCACATTCATCAGTGTTGACTGAATTAAGTAGTTACGACAACATAACTTGCCTCCAGTGTCACTGAAGGCAAGGTCGACAGCGCCCCTCGTATAAATTATTTTGGTCTACCAGCGGGACCTTTTTCTCCTGAAAGCGATTCATTTTTCCTCGATTGGTACCGCTTCTCGTCAACGTCTGCGATTCTGCAGAAAAGACCTCAGAGAGGCTGTTGTAAGACACCATGAGGGCCATCAAGGCCCGGTATCCGGGCGGGAGACGGAAGTCAACGTTATCGCGACAAATCTCAAGAGCTGAGCGAGAAGGATATACTCTCACGAGTAGGGCGACGCCATTGCAGGGAACATGTACAGAAATCGACGGGGAAAATCATGCTGACATATGTGATAAGAGCTGCAACGGGGGTGTCCGGAGTGGCTCGCCCTGCGATGAGCTGGATGGGATACAGGACAATTTAGCCAATTCGATGCCCAAACAAGTGATGGAAAAGCTCATGGATTTCAATCTATTCCGCAATGCACCACATGCATTTTTCGTAGAAATCGCCCGCAGACTTAAACTCATGACATACCATGTGCAAGACCACATTGTAAAAGCTGGAGAGCCTGCCAAAGCTATGTATTGGATACTTCGAGGCTGTGTCAATGTCACTTCCCCTGATGGCGAAACGGTGCATGCCCAACTACTTGAAGGGAGTTACTTTGGTGAAATCGGAATCCTTTTTAATCGTTCAAGAACGGCAACGATAGTAGCCAAGACCAAAGTTTTGCTTGGGGTTTTGACTGCCGATAATTTCAACCAAATTCTGCCTGCTTTCCCCCAGGTAGAAAGGTTGATCCGTGACGAGGCTCAAGAGCGTTTGGCAATGCAAGATAAGAAGAAGCGCTGCGGTGTTCCCAGTCTCATAACTTCGAACCTTTCGTGGAATAGTAATGTCGAAAAATCAGTTCGGCTGCCACGGTCCGAAGTTGAGGGTTTTGGACCCGGACCACTGCCGTCTCCGCAATTGAATTCTACTGAGGTAGTGGATGACTCTATCTCTATACGCCAATACCTGAAAGGTTTACCACTCTTCACTACTCTTCCAGCCGAGATAGCCCACAGGCTTGCCCTATGTGTCGAAATTAAACAAGCAGGGCCGTACGAATACATTTTCCATTCAGGAGATCGGGGCACTAATATCTATTTTATTGTAAGTGGGGAGATGGAGGTGTTAACCCGAGAATTAGCGCCTACTATTAATGATGGCATTGCTCCACGGAGATCCATACTACAAACCGAAAAACTATTAGCAAGGTTGGGGCCTGGTCAGTATTTTGGAGAAATGGGATTTTTAGGCTCTATCAGCGATGACCAGGAGAAATCGATAAGGTCGGCCGATGTCCGATCTGTTTCTTCAAGTACGTTATTAGTACTGACTGGTGAAACTTTGAAGAAGTTCTGTGAGAACTATCCCGTGGTGAAAAGGGAAATAACAAAAACCGCCACAGATCGCGCCTATTCGAACTTGAATTCAGTCCAGAAGAAGCGCAGCGAACGATCAAATTCGCCCCTCGAAACAGGCTCCACAGACCATAAAAGGCAAAAAAAAATGCGTGCATATGGCGAAATTTCTGAAGCTCCCCCAGGTATCATACCTGGCGCTGCCGAAGCCCTTGACAGCATTCCAGGCTCTGTTTTTAATATCAAATTCGGATTCAACGAGAAAAGGTCAAGACCACTGCCCTCAATTGGGCCCAGCACTCAGAATAACTCAGAGTGCTCTAAGATATCGAGAACTAGTTCACCTAAATCTCTGTCCTCAATCACTGGAGCCACTTCATTATTGGAGTTAGAAACCCCACAAATGAATTCTATGGCAAGGTCAGGCGAATCGTTCAAGGTTCAACAACCTCTGCCGCTGGCTTATATGCCACATCGCAGACGTACCCGGCTGTTAAGTTTGGGAGGCGGTATTCATCGAAAGAGGAACTCTGTTCTCAGCATTGGGCCATTGCCGGATCGGCTTCTGCTGAGATGTTTCCAGTTTCTTGATCTTCCTGAACTCATGAAATTGCGGTTGGTATGTAGGAGGTGGCGACAACTATTGTATGTTGCTCCGGGCCTCTTTGATTGCATAGACCTCACTCCGTGGAGTAAGTCCATCGACGATAAATCTTTAGTGGAGATCACAAATTTTGTGGGTTCGCGGCCAAAAACAATTAACCTTTCTAACTGCTTCCATGTTACCGACGAGGGTTTTTCGTACATGATAAATGAGATTGGCATAGAAGGAGAGCTCCGGGTTATTAAAATGAGAGGTTGCTGGGAAATTTCTGCAATGGCCATAATGGATATTAGCACCCCATATATTGGAAATTTGGTTGAAGAAATTGACTTGACTGCATGCAGGAAGGTCAAGGATGATGTCATTCAGAGGCTACTGGGTACCCAGGAGAATTCAATTCCTTCGATGAATTTGATGTCGGGAGGTGGGGCCTATCAAGGGAGTTGGACGTTTGCGCTTGATGAGCCCATAAGAGGAATGGAAATATTCAATGAGAATGATAAACAAACAACAAATGTGGGCTGTCCCAATTTGAAGGTGTTGACATTAAGGCATTGCAAATCTCTAACAGATTCAACTCTTCGTCATATTGCATTGTACGCCCACCATAATCTGACAGAACTTGACCTCACTCGGTGCACAGGTTTGACGGATGTGGGATTTTCTTATTGGGGATATCAAAAGTTTGCCAGTTTAAAGAAGCTAGTCCTTAGTGAGTGCATATTTCTGACGGACGATTCGATCAGGTCGATTGCACACTCTGCAAGTGTACTACGCGAGCTCTACTTGTCGTTTTGTTGTTCTCTGACGGATACTGCATTAGAGATCTTGTGCCTGCAATGCCCTGATCTGGAAGTACTGGATCTCAGCTTTTGTGGCAGAGCTGTTAGTGACGTTTCATTACTCGGTATATCCATGCATTTGAGAAAACTCCGACGTATTATACTGAAGGGTTGCCTGAGAGTCACTAGGTCGGGTCTGGATTCTTTGCTCGGTGGATATACCTCGCTGAACTACATTGATATCTCTCAATGCAAAAATGCACACATGTACCAAGGCGGTATTGAAGCTACAAAGTTTGAAACTATAGGCTCGAGACGTAGTGTCTTTTTGACCATGGAAGACAGCAAGGACACATATGTTCAAGTGGTTTTCTAAGTGTTGCATAATGGCTTGGGGGGAATGAGAAATACTAATTATAAACAGATCATTCACGGCTGCTGAAATAAGTTCTAGACTTCTTGTATTGGAAATTTTTGTATGTATTTTCATTTAGTAGAGGTTAGTATACTGAAATGTAATTGTTGATCTTTTCTCTTTGGCTCTGAGCAATGCACTCCGCAATCCAAGTAATATTTCTGATTTCTTGCTCCTTAGACTTCATCCATGCCCAGATGGTGCTGACAGTAAACTGCTGCGTGAAAGCGTCTCTACACAACTCCATTTCCATTCTGTAAAAATGATCTTCCAAATTACCTGTCTCGAAAATTCCACGGTACTCGTACACGTTGTCAACAATCGACCTCACTGACTCAAAATCAGCGCCACTCGTAGCTAATTGTTGAGACCCTACCGGGTACAACTTTCCAAAATCGGGAAGAAGGTCACGTTTCATTTCAGGTGTAATGACGTCTCCGCTCTGCAAGGAGTTCAACGAGATATTGATAGCTCTTCTGTCGGCTTCGAAGCTCAATAATTCTTGCATGACTTCCCTTGCGGGTTCGTCAATTTGAGTAGACACAAAATCATGGAAATCCGACAAATAGGCTTTGTACAGCTTGTTTCTGATGATCTCGATATTTAGGTCATCTAACTCGTCAGCGGCATCAAAACAATCTCTGAAATAAGGAGCCAACGGGGTGTCGATCAAAACCGTTTCGTACAACGATTCCAAGTCTGTTGCAACAGTGAGTGTAGGCAACGTGTCGAACCAACCCAGGGGGTGGCAACGAGGCAAAATCTCTGCCTTGTCACGGTCATGGATGGTACCGGTAATCATCAGAGCGACATTGTCGATCATGTAACCGTAGGTGATGTAGTCGAGAAATTTTCTCGCCACAGCGCTGGACTGATCGCGGATGTACTGAAACTCTTGGTATAGTTTTTCGGAAGCCTTTTCCTGTACTATGGATGTCGTAAGAGCATCTGAGGCAACCGAGGAAAGAAAGTTTCCGTAGTCACTTGAGGAGAGCTGTAGCTTGAGGTCCTCCAAAGTATCACATTGGGTCAAATTGATGTACTGATTACTGGTCAGAAGCCCGTTCCTGTAACCTCGCACAATACCTTCGATAAAACCGTTATCCACGTTAAAAAATACACCTTCCATTTTGGCGTTGTACCTACCTGGTATTGAAAGTATACTATCTGAGATTGGTTGAAATCCCTGCTCCGACGAATAAGCTTTGCTTGACGAGGGGTAGAATGGACAGAACCTGGGAGCTGCTTGGTAGTCTTCGAGATAGTTGCGGACTCGACCAAACGAAAAGGTACAGCTGGTAGCTTTTACGACACTGGCTCTATATATCCAGTCCCCGACCCTATCTCCTGATAAATAGAAAGATATGTGGGTTGGCTAAAAGGGAAGTCAATACACTCAGTCACTATACACGTCCTATTTGCTTGGGTGCCAGTCGTTCATTTTGTCGAATCAAGGCGACTTAGGCATTTCCTCGCTGTCACGGCTTCGATTATTCCGTCTTCAGAATGCAAATGAACATAGCACGACCCCACCCACACGGTTCGCGTGGTCGAATGAGAAACATCACCTATTCTAGAGCGTCGGTCACGTGATCACAGTCGTCGCTGTCTACTCTTTCCGCGACTCTGGATGCTCTCAAATCCAGAAGCTGGGTTTCAATCACCTTGCGCTATGGCTCTCAGTGTCCCATGGGCCTTCCGCCAGTACAAATTTTGTACCGAGACGCTCCCGCCAGTGGAAAAAGATCTCGAGTATTTGTTACGAGATTTCAGTGGAAAATACCTGGACTAAGTCATCCCGGTAGCCGTTACATTATGTAACTGTACCTAGAACGTGGTATGCCGAGGCCCTTGCAGTCCTGGAGGCTACACCGAGCCAATATCTGCCAAGGTGTCATAACGTAGAAATCGTATACCTTCGTGAGTACTGATAGGCCCTTCAATTTATCTCGAGTGAAGCCTGAGATATGAGAATCTACCTAAAGGTGAGTTTCGAAAGTGCAAATAACGACTCGAAAACTGTTCCGAGAGGGTTAGATTACGGATGGATGCCCTGAATGTGCTTCTTGATGGCGCGGAGATCCCCGCTTCAGACGATGGGGCGGTTGAGTCGTTTCTGATGTCAAAATTGCAGTCGAAGGACTCATACGACGCATATTTTACCTCATTGCCGCTGCAGGGCAGTATAGTGGAGGATATAGCAGAGGTCCAGGCACAACTTTCGGTTTTGGAACGTGAACTGCGAAGCGAGCTTGTTCAGAATAAGGAAGAGGTCTGCGACTCTCTGAGCAACCAGGATATAGAACTTCAATTGGACTTGATACTTGAGCAGATTGACCAATTGTGGGAGCTGGAAAACCCTGAACTGCCAGCAGCAGAAGCTCCTGACGTTTTTGCGTCATTACAAATGCCCAGTAACGAGCGGGCCTCCAAGGGAATGGACGAGTTCCAAGTGGCCTTGCAGAAACTGAAACAACAAGCTCGTGATGAGACCGGGCGAAACTCTGACACAAAACGCGACAACTTGGGACTTGTACTGACCAACTGGAATGCATTAAATGAGCTCCTCGAGCTACCGACTCTGGCGAGCACGTGTATCAAGACCGGCCACTACCAGGAAGCCCTCCTGTGTCACTCGCATGCTCGTAGTCTGGTGTACAAATTTCCCGCAGTTAGCATAATCCGCCACATTGCAGATGCCATCTCTCACGAAGTCAGAACGACAATGCTTCAGGGACTGGTCAAGATGCTACAGCAGAATATAAGCGCTAACCCAATGAAAAAGATACTGACGTATTTGCTGTCCATTCCGCCATTTGACACCAACCCTCAAGCGTTGCTTCAGGTCTTTCTGACTATGCGCTACAAGTTTGTTTGTGCCGAGATGGACTCATTTTCGATCACAGAGCTCGCCAACGAAACCATGGGCGAACTCCTGGTCAAGCGGAAGATCGAGGCGTTTCGCGAACACGTTTTTAACGCAATAAGCATTCTACAGATACAATCAGAAGCGTTCAACCTCAAGTCCTATGAAGAAGCCAGTATTTCCATTCCGCTGCTTGGGGAACCAAGGAAAGCTATACATACCAATCCACTAATCCTTATGTTCGTGGAAACATGCTGCGACGCCTTGATCGCATCTTTACGGTCTCATCAATCATTTCTATCGGTCTCTGTGTGCTTGCAGTTGGTGTATTGCTCTTTCAGGCTAGCTGACAGCAATTCAAACTACCACCACCTTTTCATCAACAAAATTCGGGAGGCCGAACTATTTTCCAGTGACGAACTGATTGCTGCCATGGACAAGAGGCGGGAACTGGCCAACAAGTACTACTGAACTAGGCGAAGGGACTAAGCTGCACTTTTATGGCCACCCAAGAGGGAAAATCGAATATTAGAATGAAAGACAACAAGCCTCCACACTCTCATCACTCAAAAAAAAGTGGATGAGATGCGAAAAGGTACGGCGGTGGTGTTTCAATCGAAGCTGGCCATCGACTCTCCTCTGCTCTAACGTAAGTCCTTACAGACTAATGGTTTGATTCTATGCATATCTTCCATGCTTGAAAATCAGTATGTACGAAATAACTATCGGCAGAATTAATCCATGTAAACTTCCCTTTCGTTAACCTGAAGAGTCGACCCAAGTAGCGCATCATCCGAAGGTAAAAGGCTCGCGAACATCGACGCATCTAACATGGCTAAGAACGTGAGTACTTTGCCTGTGGACTCGAATCTAGAGTCCAAAGAGGCGAAAGTTGGAGGAGAATTGGCCCAGAAGGCTTATTCTGAAATGGGTGCTGCTAAGGCTGATAATAGACGGTCTACATCATCATACGGAGGCTCAACAAATGAGGTTTTAGTTGCATCTGCTGCTCAAGGTGCTTTGAAATTGCCTGCGCCCAATGAGTCTGGCACAGTCGGTCCGGCTTCACTGGAAATCACGGACCCTAAGCAGTTTCGGAAAGCCCCCTCGAGGGAAATCAATCTTCATGACACCAGTATAGATAGGGCACTATATGCTGAACGTGAGAGAAGCATCCAGAAGATGAAAGAAGCGATTGGGAAGGACAAAGTCGGTCACGTTTATCCTTGGAAGTCCATTGGAGCTTTTCTAGGTGGTGATCAAGGTCCGGCGAGTGCCGACGCCAAGGTCGTGAGGGCCTATATCACGGAAAAGTTTTACAATGACATCTACTATAACATGGCTGGCATAGTTGGGACGTGTTATTTCTCGTGGTTGTTAGCTTGGTTAGGATTTTCATGGCTATCGCTATTTTTCGTTTTCTTTTGTGCTGCCTCTGTTTACAGAACAGAATTTCGTCGTTTCAACCGGAATATACGCGACGACCTCACAAGAATTGTTGTCGAAGAGACATTGTCGGATCGTAAGGAGTCCACAGTTTGGCTGAACTCTTTCTTGTCTAAATTTTGGGTCATTTATATGCCCGTGCTTTCGCAGCAGGTGAAGGATATCGCTAACCCACAATTGGCTGGTGTAGCCCCAGGTTATGGTATCGATGCTATATCTCTTGATGAATTTACTTTGGGAACCAAATCGCCCACCATCGACGGAATCAAGTCATATACCAAAAAGGGCAAGGACACTGTCGAGATGGATTGGGAATTTTCCTTCACACCAAATGATCTGTCCAATATGACTCCAAAGGAAGCCAAGGAGAAAATCAACCCTAAAATTGCTCTCGGTGTTACCATCGGTAAGGGTTTTGTTTCTAAGTCACTTCCAGTTTTGGTGGAAGACATCAACTGTAAAGGAAGGCTTCGCATAACGATTAAACTAGGCGATTCCTTCCCGAATATCAGAGTCGTCTCACTTTCCTTGATGGAACCTCCTTTTATCGATTTTGCTCTGAAACCAGTTGGTGGTGATACGCTAGGATTAGATATCATGTCATTTTTGCCAGGCTTGAAGACTTTCGTCAAGACAATGATCAATTCGAACGTAGGACCAATGCTATACAATCCCCACAAGTTGGATATTGACGTTGAAGAAATTATGGCAGCTCATTCCCAGGATGCTACTGGTGTTGTGGCCGTGACTATTCATTCTGCCGATAACTTGAAAGGTACAGACTTCCTTGGAAACACAGTTGATCCGTACGTTACGCTCACTACCGAGAATGGAAATATTGGCGAGACAACTATTCGTACTTCTGTCAAATCAGACGTTAAGTCACCACGTTGGAATGAGACGAAGTATGTTTTGGTAAACAGCCTAGAGCAAAAGTTAACCTTCTCCTGCTATGATTTCAATGATATTCGCAAGGATTCGCTGATCGGGAAGACCGAATTTGATTTACACGAACTTATACAAACACCTTCTGTCACCGGCCAAGACGCTAAACTGATTTCAGGTGGTCGCTCCAGAGGTGTTCTTAAATACGACCTCCACTGGCTACCCGTCATTTCCGAAGAAGGCGCTAGTGCATTGGAAGAGAATGAGGGTGATATCGAAAGGCAACAGGAAGACGATGATGCTGAAGCTAATCTCTCAGCTTCGGATGTTGGTATTTTGAAGGCTACATTCCATAGAGCCAAATTCTTGAAGGCCGCTGGCTCGTTACAAGGTGCTTTGAGTCCAAGTGCAGAGATGTTGATTGATGGCAAAGTGGTTAAGAGCTATAGAACTCTTCGCCGGATCAACGAGCCATCCTGGGAGGAAAGTGTTGAAGTTCTGGTGCCCTCTAAGAAGAATTCTACTCTAGCGATCAAGATCTTCGATGAAGGTATGGCTGGTCGGGAACTTCTTTGCGATTATTCAGCCTCTATGGCTGACATTTTGAATCTTTCCGAATTAGGACAAACTATGTTGAAGGCTTCCCCACAAGGTGAACTCTATTTGTCGACCATCTGGAAGCCTCTTGCTATGACTGGTGCCTTCGCGCCCGTCAATTCTGTGCGTGATCCCCTTGGCGTGATCAAACTACATATCAAGGATTCTCTTGTTGACGAACATCTATCTGGTGTGGGTGACATTGATCCATATGTCACTGTTTCATTGAACCATCAGATCATACACGAGACTAAGTACTTTTCAGAGAATCGGGAACCCAACTTCAATTCAGTTGTTTATGTCCCAATCACCTCCGAAAGTCAACAAATTGTTTTAACAGTCATGGACTACCAAAAGGTTAATAAGGATCGTGAAGTGGGGTCTTACACCATTCCTGTTTCCAAGGTCATGAAAAAGGACCCAAATACCAACAAGTATGTTGCAGCTGATAACCTTGGTTCAGCTCAATGCAGACTTTTGGATGAGAAAATGAAGCTAACTAAAAGCTACATTAATGTCGACATGTCATTCGTGCCCGTTACTCAAGTTTACCATCCAGATGAGCTTTCTAAAATCGAACACTTGGAAGCTAAGATTAAGGAAAAGAGGGAGAAGTTCGAAAAAGAACAAGAAACGCTAAAAAAGGAAATGGAGCAGCATCCAGACCAGTATGAAGTGGTTGAAATGGATGTTACCCATGACGAAGAAAAAACTTTAGGTAAAAAGGAAAAGATGAGTCCTGAGCAGTTGCTAAGCGAGAACTCCGGGGTGGTGGACTTCCAAATTCTAGGAGGCAAACTTCCCAAGCAATCTGCACATCTGCAGGTCTTGTTTGACGATTTACCATGCCCAGCCTCAACTTCTTTGAAATCCAAGACTGGTAAGGCTATTCCTGACAGTGGATCGTGCTTCATTCGTGATTTGAATCACAGTCGTATCACTTTCAGGCTATCAAAGAAGTTCAAGCCAAGGGATCTGGACCATGTTTTGGAAGAAGCGTCATTTTCACTAAAGAAGCTTTTGCAAAATGGAATTTCCGGTCCAACCACTATCAAATCCAATGGAATTGAGCTGGATGTTCGGTTTTTGTACACGCCAGCGGCCATGAAATTGCCTGCTTCGGAATCTATCGAGGACACAGGATCCTTGAAGCTAAACATCGTTTCCGCCGACGGCCTTCCATCTCATGATAGAAATAATAAGTCCGATCCATTTGTGGTAGTTAAAGTAGATGGGCAGAAGGTTGAAAAGACTGAAGTTATCAAGAAATCGCTTTCTCCAGTATGGAATGCGCTGCTGGAAATCCCCATTCCTTCTAGATCCAGATGCGAGGTTCTGTTGGAAGTTTACGACTGGGACAGAGCAGGTTCCAACGACCTTCTATCTTCTACAAAGCTTGATACTAAGTCGCTTGTGCCTGGCAAGACCCATGACCTCAATTTGGATCTCGACCCTCAAGGTTCCATCAAGCTGAAGGCAACTTTTGCGCCTGAATATCTATTTCCTGCCTTAGATCCTGCTAAAGGAGGACTAGCTGTGAAGCCTTTCAAGGCTATCGGAAATGTGGCCAATATGGGTGTTGGTGTTGCAGGAGTTGGTTTGGGTGCTGCCCACAGTGTTGCTGGTGCGGGCCTCGGAGGAGTTCAAAAAGGTGGGAAATTCTTAAAGGGGTTTGGCTCCAAAAAGTCCAAGAAGGATGCTCGGATGCCGCGGTCTTCTCAAGACCTCGGCGAAGTCCAATCGTCAGAGAATGGTAGCACCAAGCCAAGGGTTTCCATGAACCCAGAAGACGTTGATATTACCAAACCTAACAACAGTTATGCTGAAGTTCAAGGCAGCCACGGCCCAATGAATGATCCCGCACCTTCCCCAACAAAAAATGGAGACGGGTCGAGTGTAGTTGGCGCACCTGGCCCAATACACAAACGTTCTTCTTCCTCGGCCAGCAGTTTTGCTCGTACTCTGGCACCAAACGGTACCTACAAAGGTAAAGTCACCGTCGTCGGGGCCGACAACATGGGTAAAGCTTCTCTACAAGTGCGCATTTCGTTGGCTCAAGGCGGAAGGATAAAACATCTGTACCGCACCGAAAACAAGAAAACGTCCGACGGGCGTGTTGACTTCGATAACGAGTCTTTTGAGTTCAAGGCCAGCCCCGAGGCCAACCTTGTTTTTGGAGGTGTAGCTGCCCACCGCTTCGGCAAGGACACCGAGCTAGGAGTTGCCCAGGTCAACCTAGGCGACTCCCAAATCCAGCAAGAGGGCCTACTATCTCTGAAGCTGGGCAAGGGTAACCTACTGTTGAAAATCCAATTCGGCGATGACGACGTCCCACCTTTGCCAGATATGCCTGCAGAATATAAGCATTAGTGCTCTCAAGACGATATACAATTCAGAATGTATACTTCTCAATAGATGCAGTAATAGCCCGTGTAGTGGGCAATGCAAGAGTGCATGCACGTCAGGACCACCATACCCGTCCAAGCTCCAGGCAGCGGCCAGCCCACGTGAGAGTCAGTTGACCTGTTGTGACTGTCACTGAGCTCCACCCACACATTATTTTCCCAAAATATTTTTCATAAACTGAACTTTTTGTGCGTGGGTACTCACTTCAGCATGTAGAAGGCGGGCACCGTAACGCTTCCCCACAGTAGCAGCAAGCTCCTCTCTGTCCAGGGCTAGGGAGGGTCTCCGGCCCAGCTTCCCTCTGACTCGGCTGGGTCCCGCCTAGCTTCCAGCAGTGGTTCGCCCAATCTTCCCTCTAGCCGTAGGCAGCCTAGCAGGAGACTGACGAGCTCTCTGCCTGTTGGCCGGCCTGGCATGGGACTGTAGGATCCTCGCTACCAGTCCATGGGAGTCTGGAAAAAAGATAATATTTGATAAATATTGGCTATTCAATATACAAGTCGAGAGCTTATACCTAACGAAAGAATCAAGCGAAATGAGTGCCCAAAAAGTATGTGGAAGACGATTTTAATGGTAGATATGAGTGGTGGGAAAGCGTTGCTACAGAGCGAGCTAAGTTCAGACGAGATTTACGATTGTGAAAGGCCCTACGGAGTATTTGCCTGCCCACAGTGCTATGAGAGTGAACCCGACGGAAACAGGAGCTTGTACACACGGTAGTGCGAAATGCGAGATGCGTGCGGATTTGCCCTTGCTTTCTGAAGAGGGCACTTTCAGGGACCGTTGTTCAGGTGTGCTAAGCTGTGCTCCACCACTTTTACTTTGACTACCACGGTCACGCACACCCAAGATTGTTTACTAACTGTTTTTTCTACGCAGGTTCCAAAGTGGTATCCAGCCGAAGACGTTCCAGTCGCCAAGCAAACCAGAAAGGCTTCTCGTCCTCAGAAATTGCGTGCCTCTCTAGTTCCAGGTACCGTTTTGATCTTGTTGGCCGGTCGTTTCAGAGGTAAGAGAGTCGTCTACTTGAAGCACTTGGAAGACAACACCTTGTTGGTCTCCGGTCCTTTCAAGGTCAACGGTGTTCCATTGAGAAGAGTCAACTCCCGCTACGTCATTGCCACCTCCACCAAGGTCTCTTTGGAAGGTGTCGACGTTGCCAAGTACAACGTTGAGTACTTCGCCAGAGAAAAGGTCACCAGAAAGCAGAAGGCCGAAGCCGGTTTCTTTGGTGAAGACCAAGCCAAGAAGGAGGTCTCTGCCACCCGTGTTGAGGACCAAAAAGTTGTCGACAAGGCTTTGTTGGCTCAAATCAAGAAGACCCCATTGTTGAAGCAATACTTGGCTTCTTCCTTCTCTTTGAAGAGCGGTGACAAGCCACACTTGTTGAAATTCTAAATCAGGAAAACTAAAGACAAATTCTATCATCAAATTAACACGCAAAATTGTTTTTATCTACATACTTCTTCCATTTAGGGTTTCCACCTAAAGTGTATACAATCTAATCTACCCATCAAGCTATCAAGATCGTTTCAAATACTGGACAACTTCTTGGAGTTGAGCGTTAAGCTAAACCTATATTATGGGACGATACAATTTACATAAACTAAAAACTATTTCAATCTTAGTTTAATGGACAGCGCGGCTGCAATTGACAAATACTGGATCATCTTTTCATTCAATCCTGAGAGTTCTCGGAGTCATCTTTGAATTTTTTGATGCGATCCTTATTTTGTGTCGCAGCCCTGACAATCTGCGCGAATGCATTTTGCGTTAAAGTAGACTTCAAGTTCTGCGAAGAGTCTGCATTCACTTCGTTGGCACTACTACTGCTCATGGAAAGATTGGCCATGGAATTGTTGAGGCCACTGAAAGTGGAATTCTCTTCGATGTCAGAATCCTCGCTTTCCTCTCCAGTGGAATACAATTCTTTCAATTTCTTAATCCTGTTGTTCAATTTCACAATTTCAACAGCCTCGCGGAACCTACGACGGGCATCAAATTCTTTCTTGATACCTGGCAATAGATTGTCCGTCTTGTGAATCTTCTTAGCGATCCAAGCATGGTTCAATAGTTCGGATGCAGTGGGCCTGTCATGAGCCTCAACGGTGAGCGCTTGGAGAATAAAATCTTTTGCTTCAGTAGATATACTAGACCAATATGGCTTATGGAAAGTAACCGGTTCTCGACCGCTTGTACACTCCTCCAGAAACCCTTCCACACTTTCGGCCAAGAAGGGAGAGTATCCACACAACAAGGTATATGTGACAACCCCTAGAGACCAAATATCACAAGGTTTCCCATGTCCGTCTGTAGTCAAAACTTCAGGAGCCACATAGCCCATTGATCCCGCAGCTTTATGTATAAGTTCGTCATCTTCATTCAATTGTTTGGCAATACCAAAATCACCGAGTACAAGCGCAGAGTCTGCGTCCGGAGTCAAGTAAAGAAGATTTTCTGGCTTCAAATCACGATGGACTATGTTTCGCGAGTGTAGATATTTCACTGCCTCCAAAATTTGGTGTACTATTTTTATAGCATCGCCCTCGGTAAATTTGCCTTGTTTGAGAATTCGATCAAAGAGTTCTCCACCAACGGCCAGCTGGGTTACAATGTAGAATTTGTCCTTGGACTCAAACCAGTCCTTGAACTTGACTATATGAGGGTGGTCCAGTTTTTGCAAAAGGGCAAGCTCATCGTACAGCATTTGCATCTGTACGTCATTGCCCTTCAATGCTTTCTTCAAAAGGATCTTGACCGCGACATTTTCACCGGTTGATAATCTCCTAGCTTGCCTCACAACTCCAAAAGACCCAGCACCCAGAGTCCGGCCAAAAATGTAGTCGATTTTGTTCACATATGAATTTGGCTGTCCGGAGATTTTGTGAAGCATTTTCTTGATGGTATGCCCCTCCACTTGTTCTGGCTCCTCCGGCTTCTCGCATGGCGTAATTTGTTGGCCTTCTGCTTTAACTAATCCCATTATCGCAGCAATGATCGCAAGATTTCACTTCAGGCTTGGGGTCAAATTATGTAGTGGCGAAGCAAAGTTAATAGAGTCTAATGATCACTCAAAGTACTCCTATAATGGCGGCAAGCAAAAATTACCTTTCTGAGACTCGTATAAGCAGGTTAGGAAGCCTATCTGGTTCAATTTTGCAGACCGAATATTAAAGGCTAAGCGCATCTGCAGAGCCCTTTAATTAAGGCTCGGGGCTTTTAAATCTTAGGTTCCAATCACGTGTGAACAGTAATGACAGGTATCCGCAAAGTGACAAATGACTGGCTTGGATCGACGAGTAACAAACTAGACAAAGCTAGGATTTTTGAGCTAGCACGGGCTAGCGGTGATTTAAATCTGGTTAAAGATATCATTGGATTTAATTGAGAGTGTAAGCTGCAATCTGAGGAACCTGAAACTAACTGTAAACGTTGGTCATAAAATAATGAGCTCTGGTGAAATAAAAACTTGACGAATAGAGACCTTTCCGGACACTATTGGCCGTAGCTTTGGGAAGATGCTAATGCCTATGTCACTTTCGTGTCATTTTATTCGTTTGACGATATGGCCATGTATAATACATATTATATACACATGCACTAAAAAGCTAGGCGCTTCACGACCAGATAAGATCGTTACAGCACTAAATGAAAATGCAAAGCGGTAATGTATGAACTACGCAGCGAACGTCATTTGATCATCCTTCAGTTAATATGCTTTTTGTTTTTATTAAAATTAAATTCAAAAATATTTGATTATGCTCTCTTTAGGGCCAAGTCCAGAACAAACTACAGCTTGCTGTCTCACTCGGCAGTAGCCAAATAGTTCACTTCTTCTTCCTCTTCGTCCTCTACGCCCATGCTCAGGTAGAAATAATCGTCTGCATTATTGGCATCTTGCAAGGTACCCAAATCGCCTGGTGTCATTAAAACGGTACTGCCAATGCTCTCGGCCCTTGGGTCGCGGGGAGAGCCTGGAACACTCAATGGACGGGAGATCTTGATTTTCTTCCCTCCGGCGAGTGAATTCATGCTAGTGTCACTAACCTCTTCACCCACAGCAGCCTTGAACAAGTCTGGGTACGCCCTGCGTAACGCCAGTTGCCTAGCCTTAGCATACTCGAGGCCCATGCGTTTCCAGTCCAGCAAGTCACACAGTCTCTCGGTTCTGTTTCTTTGATTGATTCTTTGTCTACGAGTCTTTTGCGTGAAGGTCTCGAGGTAATCAACGAGCTGCTCGACAGATTCATCAGCACTCTGATGGCGGCGATCCACAATGTAGATACCGTAGTCCTTAGCTTGGTCCTGCTCGATCAAATCTTCCATATAGGCACCAAACCCAGAAAGGTTAGTTGTCACAGAAGGAATTCCCATCACGGTACACTCTGCTGGAGTGTAACCCCATGGTTCGTAATACGAAGGGAACACGCCCAAGTGACAACCGCGCACAAACTCGTCATAATCCAAGGACAAGATGGGATTATTAGCGTTCAGAAATTCAGGATGGAAAATGACTTTAACACGATCATTGGAATGATTGAAGAGTTGAACCCTTCTGACTTGGGTCAAAACTGGGTCGTGAGAGTCATCAACCATGTTGTGGGTTACAACTGGAGGTAGAGAGCCCTCTGGTCTTCTCAAAGCCAGCACCCTTCTTTTCAGTAACACTTTGTCAGAAGGCTTGAGCAGTTGGTCCAGTTCAGTTGGGATTTCACTTCCAACTCCATCTGGGTTGCGCATTGCATATTCAAACAACCTTTTACCAATGAGGGATGTAACATCATTCACAGTATTTTCTAAAGACTTGACGACGGCTTGTCCTTTCAATGCATCAACAGTATAAGATTTGTTCTTGGCAGGCATGATGATGAAAGCCACCACAGTCATCTTGGAGTTAGCCATTTTCAAACGATAGTTTAGACGAGCAAGAGCCTCGATGAACATATCGGCACCTTTATTTCTGTATTCGTACCTGCCTGCAATGAAGAAATACAGCGTGTTGTCCAGATTGAAGTCGTAGTGGCCGTGGAAATGACCACGGACAAACTCATCAATCTTTTCCTTTTTCAAAGCATGCAAGTTTTGAAACTCATGAACCGCTTGGAACTTCACCACGTTGATCCCGTTGGGTAAAATGCCGTCTGGCTTGCGCTTGAGCAGAAATTCGGATTCGTAAGCGGTAATTTGCGACACTGTGGTGAACACGTCTGCTGTATGAGCAGCTGCACGCTCTATGCAATAACGGTGGTAAATGCCTCTTTTTCCAGCTTCCGAATCCACGTCGAATTTGTCGAGGTTGTTGTAGAAGTCCACATTACCAGCACACAGATAGCGGCCCAGCAGTGTGGCATGGGTGGTGAAAATAGTCACGACGTCAATGCGCCTTTTACGACACAATGGGAGCGCTACACCGGCCAACCACTCGTGGAAATGCGCCACTATCGCATGGCGCTGGTCTAGATGCGCCAATTCCCCGAGAAACCAGGCCACCACGTAGCCCAACAAAATAGCGTCGTTGGTTTCTGAGTCGTTGTCCGTTGAGGGTATCCCGGCAATGTTCCACAGGTCTGATTTCCACTCGTTCAGATGGCACCTTACCGTGTCCAGGTCAAATAGAATGACGCGCGGAGCCCCTTCGATCAGCCAGCGCCCATACACGAAATGCACGCCGCGGCTGCTCATGTTTTCGAGCGCCGTGCGGATCTCCGGGGTGTTCACGCCGCGCGCTTCAAACGTGTGCGGATCACGCCAGTCCATAGGCTCGACCTCTGTCTGGTACGTCGCCCGGTTCAGCGGCCCCAGAAGCGTGTACTTGTCCCGGTAGCGTGAGCACGTGATCGGCGCCTTGGACTTCAACACCGAATAAATACCGCCCACCCGGTTGGCGACCTCTGTCGCGATTTCGAACAGCAAGTGGCCCTGGATGTCTCTAGCCATGATGTGGTACGAGTTTATATCACCTCAGAAACGATCAATCAACACACTCTCAATTCTAACGCTTCACAACTCCGCCTGTATAAAGAGTCCACGCAAGCAGCTTACTGTCCTGCTGGGTTCTCCTTCTGAATCTGCAGCTGTAGCGGCCTACTCCAGACGTTCCTAGCCGTTTGTAGCTTCTTCAAACTTCTGTTGCAATCTTCAGCCTGTTACCGCCCACCTCTTCATTTCCCCCTGCTCTTATATACGCCAAAATTTGAGATTCCGCCATCCCCCTTTTATGTACCGGTGACCGACCCCTTGTTAAAATTAACCCCAAACAGGCCATGTTGCGTGTGAAATGATCTTACCGAGAGCCAGCGCTTCCTCTGGCAGGAAGGCTGAACTAAAGCTCACAAGGTTCGCTTGTAGAGGAAAGAAAGCTGGTATGTCGAGAGCTCGTCTTCAATGCATACCCCGCATTCTTTGTCGGTGCATGTTTTCCTGCCTCTTGTTTCTGGCTGCTAAGCTAGGCGGGGATGCTGAAGTTGTGAAATTAGGGAGATAATAAGGCCCTTGCATCTCGGGCGACGTTAGACCAATTAAAAGTTATATTTGGGTCTGTAACCAAGCATAATTGAGGTTGGTCTAATCGGAGCTGGGATAAATCACAGCAACAGGTGTGTAGAAGTGGAGCGGAAGCTGAGATTTGCAAAATAAAACTGCATCTGTTTCCCCCATACACCGTTCGGACTTTGAAAGATGCTCTGCAATGCAGATGTGTGTTTCCAGTGGTAGATGAAGCTTAAATATGTCTTTTAACTCTATAGACAAGATCAACAAGCCAATAAAAAAAAAAAAAAATTAATATATATCTATTATTCGGATCTTCCTGAGATTGCAGAAAAATTAAAATGCATTTCGTAAGTTTGTTCGTGAGCTCCGGGCACTTGGCCGGGGCTTGGGCTATTCATCTGTCAACGCGCGCATAGTGTAATTCGTGGTGGCAATTTTTTTGTTTTACGTGCAGGCAAGCGTAGTGTGTGTATGAGATTAGGTTAAACGCTTGAAAAAAATAGAAATGATGCGCCATCATCGGTTCGAGTTATAGCCGAATTGGTTGTTGGTGCCGCGGTCGCCTGACATGATTGTCTCGATAGAAGCAGCTTTGTTGATCAGGTCGTTACTGTCGTTTACGTCAAAGGCGGCCACCCCTGCATCCAGCGCGGTAGGAGACATACACGGGCTAAGGGCCTCGAACCCCAGATTTGTGTAAGACGCCAGAGGGTTCTTGACGTCAAAATCACCGACAGAAATACTTGTATCGGTGGTGGCGGCAGTGTCGTTGGTAGCAGTGGTTCCCATGGTGTTGTCTCTGGTTGAAGGTTGAGAAGTTGCCGTCAGGTTTCTTTCTCCTAGGCCGTTGAGACGAAGGTCGAGTTCGCCTCCCGTATGAGGCGTCATGCCTGAGTGGCCGGACAGAAACATACGATCAAGGTCGTCCATGTCTGGAACCACCGAATTCAACCTGTTACGCGAATAACTGGTTGAGAGCGGCCGGTCAGCACGGTCAGAAGGTAGAGGGGCCATTGCTTGTGGCGGTTGTTCCTGTTGGTAACTTGGGTGTTGATCGCGCTGCCACTCAGCAACGGAGTTGGGGTCGTGGTCAAATAACGACACGAGCGGATCCTCTTCCGAGTAAGCTGAGGGAAGGTCGTTAAGGTTAGTGAAACTGCCACCGCCATGTAGGTTACCTTGGCTCATTCCCTTGGGATCAAAATCACCGTAGGTTTGATTTATTGCCTCATTCTCATTAATATTCGACCCTAAAGAGATATCATCGAAATGGCCGATGGAAAATGCGCGCGACGGTGACGTATTCGATTTGGGTACATTCTGGCTCGAAGATTCTAGGTCTTTGGAAGAGTGCGGCATCCCTATGGAGTATATTCCATTATCTTTGGAATTCAAAGCATTTGGTGCTATGCCGTCGTTGAGATCCATTTGAAAGTCGTCGGTGTTCAAATAATTCTGAGGTTGCAACACATTGAGGTCATAAAATTGGCTTTTGGCAGGATTGACATCCATGGTATTGCTGTAATCCACCGCTGGATTGAGGTTCTGAGCATTCGTGGAAGTAGTAGGGGCTGTGAAAGGATCGTTTCTGCCAAAAATGTCAGATTTGAAATCGACTTTCGGAGAAGAGACTTTTTCAGAGGGAAAGTTTGCCGCTTCTTCGCGGTAACCCAGGGCATCGAGCGATTGGAAACGAGTCCCACCCTTTGGCACAATAGCAATGGAGGGATCACTCATATGGCGCAGATGCTTTGTACCACTTGACCCTACAGAAAGCCGAGGCTTGCCCACTTTTCCGGGAACGGGTTGCGAAGCGGCGAGGTTGACCAAGCTCCCTTTTCTTGACCTAGCCAACGAAGACTTCAAGAGTGAAGAATTTAAGCCATGGACATCGCCCACCGCTGAGACAGGAGAAGCTGATACCGAGTAGTTCTGCATATCAGATGGGCTCAACTGAGGCGTCGAGGGATGGCTTGCATCCCCTTGCAGGACGTCCTGGATAGAGTTATTTGAATTGAGGCTTGACTGTGAGGCTGCGCGAATCCGTCCCGACATTACCGAGCTTCTGCGTTTACGAGCCTCCACGCGCTGCGTGCACTTGCCATCTGAGATTTTATTCTCTTTTTGCTTCTTCTTATGTTCTTTAGACTTGTTTGGATCAATAAAGTATTGTGGTAACAAAACCACATTCTTGGTTGGCTCATAGCACAGAGACCCCTCTGTTAGAAAAGCTGGATCTGCAAAACAATGATACGAGAAGCCTTGAGCTTTCAGTTCCTGCACACGTTTGTGGCATGCGTTCATGATATCACGGTTTTTCTTAGCAAACTCGCTGCAGAGTTGACCATATTCACGAATCGTTAGTCCCGTTATAACTTTGAATACCCTGTGGAAATGCCATGGCGTTATATTGACCAGGTATCCCAGTTCTCGAAAGCCGATGACCCCACCACGCCGTAGTACTTGTTCTGTAGTGTCAGCGGGAGAAAGTTTGGACTCTGCAGTCTGCTGAGCACCTCCAGCTCCATTACCATCCTGTGGTTCCTCTGGTGCACTTAAATCGCTGTTGTAAGACTCGCTGCGCTCCGTATCGTCGCCCATCTCTGAAGCATCCACTTCAATGCCAGCGGCTTTGTTGACAGTCGCGTAAGCGATGTATGCGCATGCAAGTTCGACACGCTTGACGTTCTCGTAGTCCAGCTCCGTGATCAGGCGGTTTTTGTAGTAGACATGACCGTCGCGCGGTACATGCTTGGCTGATTCTGGGATAGAAGGATTCAGCTGTTGGAGCTCGTCCGTAATATTTGTGGGCAAAAAGTAAAGCCGAGATTTGTTCTTACGCATCGATGTACCCGTAAAGGCGATGTAACGTTCCCTTAGCTCAGCGTAATCTTGGCTAGGCACTTGGTAGCATAGTTGCGGCTTGAACGATATGGCATCGTTCACGTTGGACAAAACAAAGTTTGTCAGGTCCAGAGCCACCTCCTTGATAAGAACCATTATTATATAAGGCCACCTGCTCTCGTTAATTCTTTAATGCGGTGGTTCAACGTGATTTTGCTTCTTCTCGTGAAGCCTTCTTGCGCAAAACTTAACCCTCTGTCTTGGGTGGATTCGTCACTCGGGTACAAATAGAGAGATCAGATTCAATCTGTGAATTAGAGTGCCTTTTCCTGCGCTTGATACTATTCCAAGTGCTCTCTTATGGTACCAGGGCGCCTTAAGTATGTGTATGGCCGGAGACTGTATAGCCTCCCTAATACGATGATATGATAATTTCCCGCCGCACATATATATACTAAATTTTTTCATTGTAGAAAAGCCGGGTAGATTGGTCCGGCCAAATTCTCACCTACCAAATATCAAGTTAATTTGCCGATTTGAAGGCGCTACTAGGCCATTGGAGAAATTCCAAAAGCATCACCAATAAGCACGCGCCGGAGGCAAGCCTTGAGCCTTTTCAGCGACTCTGTTTAACCACTTTTTGATTCCTTGACTACTGTCACCTAGTCTTTTTCGTACCACATGAAAAACTCACTAGCTACCTGAATAAAAAGGTGACGGAATACAGCTTTCACACGGGTCAGGCCAGCTTTGGGAGACAACCACAGAAGAGAGGCGGTGAAAAGCGGAGGCCGGGAAAAAGTCTAAAAGGCCAAAGTGGCGAGATTTTTCTCGAAAAATGGGGTATGAGAGAAACGCTCCCCGCGCGGGACAATCGGAGAAGCCCAGGCTCCCGCAGCAACGACACTCGCTGGCCACGATGACCATTTTGACACCTGCCACCGTTCAATAAACGCCTTTCCTCCACCTCTGGACCTCCTGACGTAACCAGGTGCCACGCAGGCGTGGCCTATGGTCGACCATCGCTAAGTAAGCGTCATTGCTTACCTGAGAACCTGGAGACGCTTGAAGAGACAGTTGAACGGCCCGCCCGGGCTGTGGTCAATTAGCTGGTGTTACTTCTCTGGCTTCGCGAGCGGGCCCGCTAAAGGGACGCTCTTCTGTGCTGCCATGCCGCATGATGCAATGCTGGGCATATCCACCCGCAGGTAAGCGTTACTTCACAATCGACACGCCGGTAAGCATTACCTCATGCATATCACGTGAACGATACATGATCGCGTGATATGTATGTGCACGTGTGTATTATCGTTGTGTACGTTATTTGGCTTCAGCGCTTGAGACTAACATAAGGCACCCGGTCGAAGCTGGATCTAGCTCAGGCTCCTGTCGTTATCGCGTCTAAATGGACTTCAGCATAAGCATGGGTAATTCGGCTCCAAGAAACGACATGACAGAGCCGCGCATCGCTAGCTTAGTAAACGGGTGTCATTCCTGCGCCCTCCTTGAAACACGACCCAGTTAAATGCAGTGATCATCCAAGGTCCCTTTGTAACCCGCTGTGTACCGTCTTTCAACGCGTCGGTCAAAGACAGGGTCTTAGTTTTCAATTACCACGTCAAAACGTTATATTTATATATATATATATATGATATTTATATATTTTGACACATTGCTCTGGGATGAAAAGCACACTATGTACGTTGACACTTGATTGTGGGTGAGGAAGTCACACACGTTCAAGCCCCAGCTTCATGCGTAGCTATTAGAGCAATTTTCGGCTTCACAGGTCGTTTCGCGTACTCGTATTATCTCTATTCGTGGTCTTAGTAAGTCGGTTACTCGATGCCAGCAGCTCGGCACTTTTTCTGTTGGGGCCAAATATCCACTACAGCGTCTCGTAGATCAACTCTCTCACCCGATACTCTTCGTTCGCATCATCCATCTCTTGCCAGTTCCCAATCACGTCGTCCCTGCCGCGAACTACCGCAGGCAAGCTGCGTCCGCGACCGAACCTTTTCCACACTTTACGGGCTTCATCGTCTGTTCCCAAATCCCGGTAGGTGAACTCTATGCGGTTGGCACTTAGGACTTGCGCCAGACGATTCGTCCTGGACGGCATGTGGTATCCACCGCCAGCCAACGAAATGTAAATGTAGACAGGCTCATTGGTCAGCAGATTGCGGATCTCCTCTGTGGCTGCGGACTTATCGTTTTCAGCAAAGCCAAACGGACTGTGCATTGTACTTCCGGCGGGTTGTGCATGCTCGTCGTCTTGCATTTCCTGCAGAAGACTTTCGATCTCGGCAGCCACCTTCTCCACCGAAGAGGGCTGCTGTGCAAGCATTTCGGCTGGCACTCCGGGACGGTCAGCGGCGTCCAATGAGGTTACAGTTTCCTTGATTTGTTGTTTCATCACTTGTTCGTCGTGAGCGTCTTCCGCGTCTTCAGGAACCACCGCGTCTTCTGTAACCACCGCGTCTTCTGTAACGCCGTCGACTTCATCAGTCTCCTCTGTAGTAGGTACATTAGATTCTTCTGTATAAGCTTCTTCTGCCTTAGTTTCCCCTTGGTTCGATCTCTCTGCTAAATCTTTCAAGCTAACAAGGGCCCCACGATCAGCAGCCAATATGGTGTCTTTGAAGCCGGCTTGGGGCACTTCCTTCTCGACGGGTGAGCCCACCAGCTCACTCAGCGTCAACAGAGCACCTCGGTTGACAGCTGTCACCTGTTCCGAGGGATTGGTAGGCTCAGGAGAGTTGACCAGTGCTTGAGGCTCCTTCGCAGTCGATTCATATGAAGAGACGTTTTTTACCCCTGGCGCTTCAATTATCGCCTGTTCCTCAAGCTCCTCATTGTTTTCCTCGAGAGCTGTTTCACGGCCCGCGCTTTCCTCTTCGTTGTCGTCCTGCTGGGTGAGCTGTTCTAAGGTGAAAAGACCTTGGGTTTGTGCCCTGAAACTAGCCCCTTTCTGCGGTAATTGGCAGGTCTCGGCGAGTGTTTTTAAAGTTATCAACCCTGGACCTTCTTCTTGCCCCTCAACAGGAGCTATTCTCTCCTTCCCATCGCTACCGCTCTCGTCCGTCTGTCGTACACCTTCCTCACGCTCCACCGACCCCATCTCAGTTTCAGATCCTTCTAATCCAGCTGTTCGCTCGGCCTGCTCAGACTCCACATCGCTGTCGACCATTTCCACGCCAGGCTGATTCTCTGACATCGGGGCCGCTCCGTCTTCTGAAGAATCGTGCCTATTTTCTGATGCTAGCTCATGTTTACTAGAAGTACTATACAACTCTGATGTTACTCTACCATTTGTCATATCTGAATTCCTTGGTTCCTCAGGTTGGACAGCGTCTTCAGCCATTGCACCTTCTGTCTCGTCATTTACCATGAAATCCTCAATCCCGTTCATGAGACTCTCCAATTGGCTAATGGTACCATTTTTTGACATAGCCATTGCTCTCTACAACTTCTGTACTTTGTCAGAGGCAGCCTCTTGAAGATCGGCACTGTATCTTTCGTCACCTTCATCGTTTAATAGCGCTCCTTGATCTTGTTCTTCTTCAATTTCCTCTTTGATCACGTGCGGAGCGTTTTCGAGATCGATTCTGGAGATGCTATAGTTGTTGGTACTATACATAACAGCATCTTCCAATTGTTCTCGCTCTTGTACCTTTTTGGGATCACGACTCAAGGAGCGCGACAAGGACCTCAAGAAGCCTCTGGAAGCGTCTTCTTTGCGGGAAGTTCTGCCAGAGCGCTCTGTGGGACTCTCTGTGTCACCGTGCTTGGTGCTCTGGTACGATTCACCGCCCGCCAAATGAGGACGATGAGACTTGTTGGCGATAAACTCACCGTAGGAGTTACGAATCTTGTCTTCACTCTTGTGGCCGCTAAATGAGGCGTCGGAATCGCGAGCAGAGAGATTGAAGTTGCCTCCAGCACGAGCCTTGGCCACGCTCCCTTGCACCACAGGGTCGGTGGACGTTACCAGCGACGAGCTCCGGCTCTGAGAGGGCGAATACGACGATGAAGCAACCGATACGGATGATGAGGAGTCCCCGGGCACATTTTTTGGGTTTTGGCGCGGTCTCCTGTTCTTGCGCAGCAACGACTTCTTGAGGTCGTCGGCCTCGTGCAGTTTGCCGTGCACCACGTTGTCGAGGTCAACTTCGTTGTCGTCGGTCAAGAGAGCGCCTTCGCGGTTCAGCTCGTCCACGCTGGTGTACGCGGAGTCCAGTTTGCTTACCTGTGAAGATGAACTGATCTTTTCCAGCAATTGCGACGACGACCGCCCCATGCCGGGACGTTTCTCCTCGTTGAAATCTGGGTTTTCTGAGTCATTGATACTCCTCACGGAGATCCCCACCAGTGACGGAGTTCTAGAGTCTTTGTCCATCGTGTGTATCGAAAATAAATATAGTGCGTGAGGGTACGGCCAACCTATGGAAAAGTATCTCAAGCGGACGCAAATATGTTCAGTGATCCCACAGTAGTCCGGTGGCAGAATTCTCAGATCTGGCTATTCAATGAAGAGTTCTTAAAGCCTCAAACTTAGCTGTTTTCTATTAAGATTTTTTTCAGTAGATATTAAATAGGGCTCTTGCTATCTTACCTATTTTATCTTAAGGTTATCGCTATGCTATCAAAAAATATCTTTCCACTATACTTAAGTCTGAAAAAAACTAGTGCGGCATCAATACAGATATTAGAGGAATCGGAGTTTTCCTAAGCCAGTGTCGCGCACAATTTTCGCTCGTTTAGTATATCAAGTTTGGTCCAGTTTTAATTTTTAAAAAAAAAAATGCGCAAGCCCGGAATCGAACCGGGGGCCCAACGATGGCAACGTTGGATTTTACCACTAAACCACTTGCGCACAAGTTAGAAGTCTTCACGTGTGAGTTACAAACTATACAGTCTTTTATGTCACATGACTATGTTAGAGATGTAGTTCCAGCAATATAGACAGTTAAGTTGCTCATCATCTTGCCCAAAAGGTTTAGAGGAACGCAAGATCAACATATAGCCTCTCTAATGATGTACAGAAACGCTTTAAAACCTTCTGTCTACTCACAGTTTATATCTGGTTTCCGGACACCGTCTCATGCCTGCTTGGGGGCCACGTCTTTTTCGGTGAGACATTCCAGCTGGTTTTCAAAATTGATATACCCATTCTCCAGCCCTGGTCAGTCTATCACGGAGTCATACAAGCCGTCCAGCGTTAATGGAAATCAATGTTTTTTGCCAATACGCAGTGATAATGAACTTGAAGATACGCTGCGAGCCAACAACAGAAATCCCTTGATTTTCAACTTCACAGTGCGCGGCGATGCCAAGTGCAACGAGCTGACGGGAGCTCTGAACAGAATTGTGCTGCTAGAAACTGACAAGAAAGTGAATATCGCCGATGTGGAAACCGACTACTTGGAAGTTCGCGATTCGATGCTCAGATATGGGGTCAAGCATGTGCCCACGTTAATCGCGGTAAGAAAAACGTTCTTGGTCGATTCCTACGTAGGTGACAAAGGTAAACCTGTCAACTGGCTGGATCTCAAGAAGTGGATCGAGAAGAATGCCGATTGAGCGCCCGTTTGGCGAAAGTTATGCACCCTCATGTGCATGCTGTTATCGAGCTTGGCCTTGAGACCGAGAAGAAAGCTAGACCCTGGCCTTTTGAGCTCAAAATGCACTGTCTCAACTGCTGCCACAATCTTGGTTTGTAGCGAGCTTGTAGCACAGCCGAGACTAGACTCAAATTACTTGCGGGGGTGAAAAAGCTGGATCTAGGAACGCTATCAGCACTGTTGCCTTCAATCATGGAATAGCTACGCCACCTTTCGATCTACATCTTGGCTACTGAAAGAACATGCTCTTGGGCAGTAGATGTGACATATGAGCCTCTAGCCGATTTCCAAGTCGATCCTTGTGCTGTTCGTCTCGTCGATCATCTAGTCTCTGGGCTTTAAAAATTAATTAAGTTCGGTAATATTTATGTTCATCTTCCTACCTTAGAAAGTCATAATTGTACTTAAGCAAACCTGTTGAGGCAAATCTACACACATTGTGGAGCTGACAGTGGCTTGTAAGTGCAGACTTTAGTAGCTTTCTAGGAGGAGCAGGCAATGACAAATTTGCTGCCCCGTCACGGCGAAACTCACTTCGCCAACATACCGTACGGGTATTATGCATTGTTAGTGTGCGTCGCATTTGTACTTAATGTTATTGCTGCTCGACTCGTACTTGCAGATCGACCAACATCATGTAATCGCTGGTACCACTCGGTAATCCGCCAGTGGTACAACGCTTCGCCGTTGGTCGGTCTTGTAACGCTGTTCGTACCGTTAATGATACCGTTCGTCCATCATTACAGTATCTGGGAGCATGCAACTGTCTACTTGAAAAGATTGGGAAGACTGAGCTATGTTCTAGCGACACTGAACCTATTCCTCACTCTGCGGCCAAATCTTTTACTCCCCCGGTATGTATATTTGGAACTAGTGCCACTTCACAAATGGGTATCGCGGTCTATATTCTTTCTGGCATTTTTGCATGGCCTGGGGTTCTTGATTTGGTGGGCCGTAACATCTGAAGTTTCCGTGTTTGAGAATGCTGCTCGTAATGTATGGAACCTTGTGGGAGTTGTCGACTTGTTCCTATTGACCTTCCTGGTTTTAGTTTCAATCAAGCCGATGCGCAGGCTGAGCTATCGCTTTTTTTACCTAACGCACACTGTCGTTTCTTGGGCGTTTGTATTTCTCACGGCCTTGCATGCGAGGCCCGGGGTGTTCGCTCCATTCACTATCATTAATAGTGGATTACTTTTCCTTCACATCATCTCAAAAACCGTCTATGCGCGGGCTGTTGAACTTAATGCTGCTGATACTGAACCTGAAAGATCATCAGGACTGGTAAGAATTTCTTTGCAGCGCAAAGCAATGCCTGACTTTTTTCCTCCGGGATGCCATTTACGCATTTCTCCTTACAGACGATTTAACCCATTGTACTACTTGTTACCGTCACATCCATACACTGTTGCTTCTCTTCCTAGTGATAACACCGTAGAATGTATCGTGAGAGAGCATGTCAGAGGTTTCAAATTGCTGACGGGTCTGAGGTACACGGTCCAAAACCACTACGAATCTGTCCCACGCAAATGCCTTGAAAGTGCCACTCGGATAGCAATAGTCTGCGGCGGAAGTGGAATTTCATTCGGCTTGCCACTCTTCCAATATTTTGCAGATAGTGAGCGTGCTACTGAAATCAGACACCTACAATTTATTTGGCTTGTACGAGACAAAAACGATCTTTCGGTCCTTGCAGGAATGAGCAGTTTGAAGTCAAACGACCCTCGATTTCATATATATGTCACCAGAAACCTTCCAAAAGATGACACTGATACTAGTGCATCAAAGACTGAAATCGGTTCCTCTGGTCCCGAACCTCGTCACGATGATTTGGAATTTGAGCTAGACTCTCTAGATAACCAGCTGGATCAGAATGGAGCTTTCTTGCGAGAGGAAGGCACCGGTTCAAAATTGACCGATGCTGCCTCCACGGTTCATTTAGGAAGAAAGCTTGATTGGGCTGCAGATTTGGCTCAACTAGTGCACGAAGATGCTTTGGAAACAACCTGGCTAGTGGCTTGTGGCCCCACTGGTCTAAATGATGCAGCGAAGAGGTACGCATTCCAAAACAAAATTAATTTGGCCTCCGAAAGATATGCTCTATAATCTACACGGAACTCTCGGAGCATGCTTGGTATTCTGATGGACTTTGTCGGCTTTGAGTTTTAAAATAGGGACGCCGTTATGAATGGAGGCATCTTTGATTTCGCTGGATGATTCTGAAGACCACTTATTTACTAATGCTCGCAAGTTGCGGATTCTCTCCCCGGCAGACTAGGGAAGATACGAGGTGGAAAGCATCAAATGCAATATAATCAGAACCGAAACTACAAATGGCATACGGAAATTATTTTTAACCTATTCACATATAGATCTATAGCGCTTTCAGTAGAAAGTTGACCCTGATGCTAACATGTGTTATTTAAGAGCGGAGATAAAAAGGGCGGTACGAATAACCAACAGAAGTTTACCTACGTATTTTGATCAATTTCTTGCCCCTTATCATTTCGCCACTGTTGGTTGTTTTATTGCTAGCTGTTGAGTTCATGTTTTAGAGCCTATGGAGAGCATTCAGATATACATTTCATGCAGGCAGACGAAAACAATCCACGAGGAGTTCCACTCTTCGACGCCATAAAATTCGTATATATATAGCTGCATATCTCTAAAAACATCACTCCCAAACGGGAAAACCTTGATTTGTACTTTGCAAATCACAGAGACCATCTATTTCGGAGTTGTCGATGGGCAAAAAGTCAGCTGTCATACCCACCGAGCCCGTATTTTGGTTGTTATAAGTATCGAAGCCCACCGCCTCAACAATGGATGATGCATTGATCATAAGGCCATTGAGGTTTGAGTTCTGCATCAAGAAATCTTCGAAATCTGGAGCGTAGTCCGCTGAGGAAGAATTCTCGGACACGGCACCAGGAGAGATATTAGTCAAGGGCGCGGAAGACTTGGCTTCATCCTTTTGAAGGATTCTCATGCTATTTTTCAAGCCTCGACTAGGTGGAAGCTCGTCCGGCCTGGGGATAGGGGAGCTAAAAGGGGGGGCTGAAGATCTCACTTCGTGAGGTGCAGGAGGTGACTGAGCCCAGCTCTCACATTTTACAAGTGCATCAAACGATATAGAAGGTCGTGAAGCCTCTGTCCCTAGCTTTTGTCTCTTGGTATCTGAATTTCTAACGTCCGAAGTGCGCCGCAAGTCATTACTGGTGTAAGTGATAGGTTGATATGCCCGGTGTAAAGGAGTGAGGTGTTGAGCCGAACCTTCAGATGAGGTACGCTGTTCAAAGCCACCTTGTCCGGCTGTAGGCAAGAATCCAACCGCATCCTGGTAAACTGGGCATCTCTTGATTTGATCTCCGTTTGCTGACATTATTAAGGAAGGCACGTTCTTGAAGAAGCCAGTCATTTTGGCAATACTTGGGTGATTGAACTTAGGAGAAACAGTTCCTGAGGTTTTATGATCTTTTTCACCACTTGAAGATCTGTTAGACGGAATTTTCAGAAGAGTGATAAAGAAGCCGGTTGACTTCATCATCCGCCTAGCATAAAAATACTTCAGGGAAATTTGTTTTGTCAACTTGTGGAACATCGTCATTCGAGAAAGAAGTATCTCGGCCAGCTCATCACCAACGTCCAAATCTATATCCTTTTCGAAGTCAGCTAACTCTGCATTGAGCTCCTTTCGGCTGATACTCAAGCTAGTCATTTCATTCTCATCTTCGCTGCTGCTCGTGTTATTACCGCTGTTCATAATTGGGTTCTCATTCATGCCTGTTAAGGGCCCACACTTGGCCCTTAGAATTAAACAGACCATAAACTGTAGGGCACGATGGCCAACGTCAAGGCAATACGGGGCCAACACGACTTCCATATGATTGAAAATAGAGCCATTACCACTTTCACTAACTTTAGAGTTGTTGAACAACAGAAAACAATTTCTGAAACCATCCATCGCATAATTTAGAGCCTCTTGGGCGTACCCTTTTGCCAAGGGCCTTGTACCTGGATCAATATCTCCTTTAGGCTCATAATAAGTAAACAAGACGTAATTGAGGAGGTAAAGTAGCATTCTCAACATTAGATGCTTGGAGAAAAATAAAGCGCGAGTGGTCATTTCGTGTGGCAAGTAAGGTTTCCTATCCTTCTCGTTCTCTGAAGGAAGCGGTGAGAGCACCTCTTCTAAAGAAGGCAGCGGATAAAACTCCTCAAGCGACTGATCCACACTCCCTTCTGTTGTGAAAAGTAGCCCTTTGTTTACAAGCATTTTGATGGCTTCACTGACATTGCCGTCAACAAAACAGATGTTTTTCAAAACTTCGATGAGAGAATCCAACTCGAATTTCCTCACAGTCTTAGCCATAGACACGTTCAAGATATGGTTTAAAACTGCTGCAATGCAAATATCAATTTGGAAAAATAGAGTGTAGTTTTTCACAACGACGAGTTCCTTGATATCACGCACATAGTCTATTTTTGATGTATAAGGTAGTTTGGTGTCGCTGAAATCTCGTAAATTGCGAAGTAACCTAGGCGACCCCAGTGATAAAGACTGTTGTACATCCAAAGAAACTATCACATACCAAGTTTTACGCCAAGTATGTTTGAACCTCTCAGCACTGGAGATGGCCTCTTTGTTAAGCTTACCTTTTGTGTTCACTGTAAGCTGTGGGAAGTTGTCCGGATCTCTATGTAAACCGCAGCTGAATGCCATTTGGACGATACTGGAAAGAAGCATTTGATGTGCTTCATTGTCCTGACTGGTAGACGTGAAGGCATTGAGTTGTGTATCAATCGTTTTCTCTGTACAGCACATAAGGTAGAGTTTGTAAAAAATGGCAAACTGAACTGTGGTGAGATTGACGTTGCTATTAGAGAAACTGGTAACTTCATCAAGGCGAATGAGGTACTTGCGCACCAGCTGAATGGCTTCAGCTGGTGTTTCATAGTTCATTAAAAATTGTTCTTCTCTCGATTGCGCCACAGTGGTCGTTGTAACTTTGGGAACAAAAAAGCTTCCACAACGCGTGCCCAAGTCAACAGAGCACGCGTTTTGTGGTAGTGATAACCATGTAAGTCGCAATATGATGATCAATATACCAAGTGTAGAGCAATCAGAGGGCTTTCCGAGTTGTAACACCGGGATATCGCCTTTTGCCTGTACAATCTGATTCACTTGGTGTTTAAAGCTTTGCTCATCCAATATAGGTATGACAGGATATACGTGTTTGAAGAATTTATCAAGGATTAGTGCGATGATTCTCTTGGGAGGAAGTAGTTTGCACAACTCTGCGATGGCTTGATCCTGCGTTTTGTTACTAGGATTTGGCCCCAGACCGGTTGGCGGGGGTGGAGATGAATCATGGATGACTGGGCACTTCGATGTCAGTTTTTCAAATGATGGCAATGTTACTGGGTGGGATTGAATTCCTGTATTGTTTTGCACTGTTCCAGGTGTTTCGTGGGCTACGGGACGATTAGACTCATAGGTTGTTGATTTTTGACTGTGAGCTATAGGACATCGTGGAGACGGTTCCTTCGATACCTGGGAAGACGAGAGCGGAGTAGTGACATTGGGTCTTGAATTTTCAGTTTTTTCATTAGTCGAATGTGCACCTAAGAGAGTCTGATGGTCAACCGGGCATTTGCTTTGCGTGGTCTTGTCTTGCAATGTGCCGAGGTGCGCCATACTAGAAACAGGGCAGCCTGATGATGCTACCTGATGTATTACAGGACATTTGCCTGCCGAGTTTTGCAGATGACGCCCAGAACCATTATTTGCATTACCCCTTCGCTTGTTCATGATCCATTCAGACATTTTTTCGCGCATTGTGAAGATATGACCCCAGAGAAGTTTCAAATAAGGGTCACCTTTCATGATAGCTAGCCAATGGGTAGCACCTAGATGAACGGTACCGTTATTTTTCAAATGCAACATGTCAAATTGCCGCGTGAGGTCCAATTCGTCATTGTCAAACCTTCTTTCGTCTAACAGTTTCGGTTCCTGACTTGAAGCTTGAGGGTGGTCTCGGTAATAAGGTTTTTCTTCCAACATAGCAGTTGTACTTTCTGGAGTGGTACTACTGGCAGCGTGCATTACAGAAAGCATTTTTTCTAACGCTTTGATTCGTTCTCGCAGTTGCTTCAACTCCGAATCCTTGGAAAGTTCTTTTTCTGCCTCTTCGGCCCAAGTCTGTTCCATATAGTGGCAAAGGTGGGCAACTCCTGTCTTGACGCACTGATCACAGTGCGGCCTCTTTTTGTCACATTTGACCTTCCGTTTCCTGCAAATTGTACAGCTCAAAGGTACTCTGTTGCGGTTTCTCTTATGTCGTTCACTCATCAGTTAAGCGTATGATCTTAAAATCTATCAGCAGGCGCTAGAAAGCTTGCAAAGAAGGCACTAATAGGCGCCAAATTTAGATCAACTTCAAGCAATTTGGGCTCCTAAGAACTATGGAAATCACTGCTGGCGTGAGTTCAAGCTCTGTGTCGGACACTCAAGTTTTATAGGTTCGAAAAATAATGCTATTAAAGTTTTCCTAAGTTCCGTGTAAAATACGGGCCAGTCCCAGATTCGTTGGACATCTAAACTCTTTGTGTCGTTTAGCACACGCCGGCTTTTCGTTCGTTGGGTGGATCAACATCACCAGATTTATACGCTCGCTCACCAAATGAGACGTATACCATCACGCATAACGAAGTTAAGATGTTTGAGAGAATTGAACAACCTCTGGTAAGCCAGGTTACTGGCGTCGAACGTGGTATATTCACTACAATTGTACAATATCCAAGCTCAGTTTTCGTCGAAATCCCTAAGCGTCGTAAATTCCGCTCTGATTTTTCTCGACCACGGTTCAAAAACTACCTCGGAGAGTCATAATACCAAGTATGAAGGCATGAGGATTGATGTGTTTGAGTAATGAATAAAGACAGACACTTTTATAGATATTCTATCAATTTCAAATGGGTCGAGAATGTTGGAAATAGATGGCAGATCGTTATTTATGGAAAATGAACTACAGATTATAAATGAGAAACTATGGAAGACGTTCAGGGAATATGTTGTTTTTGAAATTTGTAGCAGACCCATCCGATCAAGAGTAAGTAAAGCCACATTCGTTTGGAACTTAAGATATACGTTTTTTAGGTCAAGTGTAACTTCTTTTCAAAAGGAGGTTAGTGACATCCAGAGCCACCTTTAGCCATAATAAAATGTATCGATAGATTCCATTACTGCGTAACACTTGCTGCAGAACCCTCGCTTTGGACAGTATATGTGCATTATGAAGAACTTTTACTCATTGGCATCGCCTGAAGTAAAAACAATACCAACTGTCATCATGTTTCGGCAACACCATCAAGCTTCAGCTGCCCCTAGGGAGGTTAAAGTTGACGCAGTGAGCTAGACGCGTAAAACCCGGAAAGGGAGTTTAATTCATCGAAAATTCTCAGTAATGTCGTCTTCAGGTAAAGTAGAATATTCTTGCGAAGAAGACAGGCCCTCATGCAATTTTAATAGCTCACAGAAAAGAGTGAGTCTGAGGGTGGGGGTTGTATAAAATCTGAGATCGTTGGGACCGCCCTTGCTTAGCTGATGACGGCAGTAATCAATTCAGTAATCCATATAGAAACACATGTCTCGGGTTTGAAGAGACATCTGGGTGGAAACTTCATTACGACACCGTTGAATATAGTACAAGAAAATGGGGAACGTCCATTTCTTTAATCTCTTATTTTTCGCGATGACTTAACGTAGCGATAATGATGGATCTCATTACATTGCCTATAAAAATAATACCGTCAGTGTGTTTATAAAGCTACCGCTTAATGAAAAGACGGTATTTTCATCATGTCTGATCCCACACTAAGTCTTGAAGATGCTCAAAGACTGATATTGAGCTTGGAAAGACAGCTGGAGGAACTTGGAAGTACTAGTCATGAGTACGAGCTGGAACTTGAAGGGGTTATCAAGAATTTGGAGTCTCAATTAAACGAGAAAGACGAGATGCTCGGAGCTGCAAAAGCTTCCAAGAACCTCCGTGAGCAGGTTACTACCTTAGAAATCAGAACGGATGAATTGGAAAGTGAAAACCGGACTTTACGACATCAATTGCGACAGATGGAGATTGAAAATGGTAACATTTTGGAACAGAATATTCTTCTCCAGCATGAACTCAGCGATTTTCAAGACAGCTTGAAGGGAAGGGATCATCTGGCTAATGGTACTTTCTCACAGACACTTCCGAAGATAGTGAGTGAAAATGCGAGAATCAAAGAGCCTCAGGTAATGTCCGTGACACCACCCAAGAGAGCTGAAAACCAAAACGTTCTTAAAGTAAGCTCTGACCATTCATCCCTTAGATTGTCCTCATTGGAAACCAATACAGACCGGGTGACTTTCGTCAGCAATAAAAGTGTGGTTTCAACAACTGGGTTTAAATGAATGTTGATACTGGTTTTCTTTTGCTAAAGGCACTTATATACATGCTTAATGGTTATTCGATAACTGATTTCGAAGCCAAAAGGCCAAATCGTAAAGGACTAGCTGATTTTTTCGTTGCTGATACGCCCACCATGCTTGCAATTCCTTAAAAATCCAAGAAAAGGACCACCTAGGAAAAGATAAGTTGATGGTTTGGCGGGCCTCATCATAAACTGTACGCGCGCAGTACTGGGTCATAATCAAGAAAGTGCGTTCTACGCTAAGTGGATTTTGCAGACATTCGTCCAGATGTCTCGTTAAATCATTCGTCTTCAAAATTAATAAAACGATTCTTGGAACTCGACACAAGATAGTCATAAGTTCGCCAAGTAAAGAACCCTCGGTTATTGCTTTCGCCATTACCTTCATCTCCTCATCTGACCTTGGTTTCATGAGCTCCGATCCGCGTGCTGCATCGATGCTTCTCCCAGTAATTGCCGCGGCGAACAGAGGAAACATCTCTTCATCGATATTTGCGAACTTCATGGCGTATTTTTTCATATTTGCGTCGTCCTTGTCTAGGAGGGCAAGCCAAAATTTGGCGTAGTCCCGTCTCATCTCCGTTGTAGGGTGTCTATACAATCCGTGGTCATAAAGTATTATCTCGAAATTGTGATGACCCCGAGGATGCTGTATTCGTCTAATCGCCAGATTCCCACCGTGAGGATCACAATGAATCCCGACGTTGGGCGTGAAGATCATATTATTGAATATATGGGACAGACAGGATGACACCTCACCTCTTGAAATATTGTTCTGGTCGATGTACGCTAAATCATCAAGCCTATGGCCGCCAAGGTATTCCATTATCAAGACACGCTTGTGGGCCCGAATGACTTTGGGTATGCGGAGTGCAGTTTCTGGGATATAATCCGCGAAGTACTCAGCTGTCCTTCGTGCATTACTAGCTTCTTTAGTGAAATCTAATTCCACGTATATCGAATTCTGTAGCTCATCGGCCAACCACCCTAAAGGATACTCCGGAAAGACAATATCAACAATATTGAAGACGGTCTGGGTTAACAAGACATCAATTGGCACAAATTCCTTGAGAGAAGGATGCTGAATTTTGACTGCAACCTTTTGATTTTGGGCTCTGAGCGTAGCAGTGTGTACCTGAGCCAAAGACGCTACCCCAATCGGTTCTGGGTCAAATTCAAGAAAGATCTCATCCATGCTAAGCTTCAAGTCCTGCTTGAATAAAGCTACAATTTCGGCATGTGTGGATTGTGGACATTTGTCCTGCAATGGAATCATCGCTTCTGTCCATTCAGAGGGCAATAAATAGGTCATCGCTGCGATATGTTGACCGAGCTTGATAAAAATACCCCCATTGGCCTCTAATGCTTTTAATGTAATACTAGCACAAAGCTGGTGACATGCGCTCAAAGCCTCGCGACGTTCTTCCTCTGATTGATAGGAAGCATTTAAAGTTCGGTGATAGTTGTACACGCACCGAACGGTTGCCTGGGAGGCAACGCCTACTCGCTTGGATGTAGTACCAACGTGTTTTAGCACGTTGCGAGCATTCTCATCAGCAGAAACGTAGATTGCGGTCGAAACACCAGCCGCTAACAATATTCTTTTCTTACTGAATAATTGTTTTCGATTCCCTTGCCGAACAGACGATGAGGTGGAAAGCCATCGTAATGAGTGGCCTACCGTTAGCCTAGAGTAACTTGAAAACATATAGAAAGCTACAATCCCGGACAATGGTTTTCTGGGCTCTTTCTATCTTTTGACGCTACTGTTGAACTGAGACTAGAGCCCATTTTACAATTAACTATTTCCTACATCAATTGTCATTATGTACAGCAATCGCGGCGTTGGGCCAAAAATCGATCTAGTTATACTATCGAGGACCCACCATGAGCGAAATCACTGAAAGCTCTGTTTAGTGCTATGAAGACGCCCTTTACTCCTTTCCAGGTGTCCCTAGATCTCCTAACTGGAGGCAATTTTTCTATCTTCACGTAATTTGTCTGGAAAGACGCGTCTTATGCTTGATGTGATATCAATCCTGAATCCAAAATCGCAGCTTTTTGGCCTGCTCTAAGGCACCGTGCTAATCCAGATGGGCTCTTTTATTGGTAATAAAGATCCATAGATCTTAGAAGTTGAACAATTTTTCAAAAAACCTAACAACTTCCTTACGACGTAGCTATCCAAATTTTCACAGAGCCACATTGTATTTACCAGTAGAAACCAATACCGGAGCATAGGTAAATCAAATCGTCGTTGAGGTAAGCTGGCTTGCCAATACCAAGACCACGTGATTTAAGGCTTTTTAAGTTGAGTTATTTAGGCTATTTACAACTCTGCGCATCGTTACGATAGCTCCTTGTAGGCAGGTCTGCAGATACGCACCACAACCGGTGTTACAAAAGTTCGCTATCTTGTGCATTCTGCTAGTAAATCCTTTACTCTTTATTCAGGGATAGGAGGAATCTCGACAGGTAGTAATTGCTTCACATTCGTGGCTTCGGAATTGCGATAGGATAGAAAAGTATTCCAAAAGATAGCCAACACATTTACAGCGAGGAGTCTGTGCTGAACTGGGACGAGTGAAAAGTTAATGAGCTGGAAAGCTGGCCAAACCATCCAATTAGTCTTAAGAATGTCCCACCACACGGCGCCGATCTTCTCTCCTGCATGATTCAATGATTTTCCCTCCATCAAGGTCAGCGTACCGAAGTAGAATGGGATACAGGTGGGAGCAAAAAGAAGTTGATCTGTTCCCACTCGAAGCGCGAGATTCGACCAGTGGTCAGCTGGCTTTTTGGAGAATTTGACCTTACCATTTAAAATTTTGAACCATTTGTCTCCGATGAATGAGAAGATCAGCGATCCATAAGCTACTGCACGCACCGTTCTTGCTATATCGTAAGTTTTAGGGATGGACTCTCCGTCGGAATATGTGGAATTCGCTTTTTGGGAGGGGAAGCATATCTGTGCGACTGCATCACCCAAACCAAATAGCGATCCCGTCATAATCGCATTGGTCGTTTTAGGATTCTTCTTGAGAGAGGAAGTATAGAACTTAAGGAATGCTGACATATGGGAAGCTTTAGCGATCAAATATGGTGCTAATTGAGGGCAGGGGTAAAGTTTGCGTTTAGTGGGAAAGGTGGATGAAGTTTGAAACAGAAAGAATGGTTTTTTTTCTTTCTTTGTGTGGCAATCTTGAATGCCTCACGCCGAGCTATGAACCTTTCAATTCAGGCAAGATGCTGTTGCTTTGGCTACTTGGCGATGCGGTATCGGCAGCAGTAAGCAAATAATGTTCCATACCACTGCGTATCAAATGATGAAACATGATTCACCTTGAATCATGGTTTGGAACGTCAGTGACGGGATGAACACAAAGTGATCTCAGATATACTGCCTCATTAGTTCGCCCTGTGGAATTTTGAATACAGGAGGATCGCCGACTATCAGCGAGTAATTTTCGTTCCTCATTCGTCCGCGCGGGAAGACGTATGATGTAGGGGTGGCAGGCTATTTTCGGACTTTCTGGCTCCCTCATCGCAGGGTCTCCCACGGAAAAAGAAATGGATATTGGCCCAATGAATTCACCACATCCGTGCATCCAGCATCGGAATCTTTGTGCCAGTGTCAGTATAAAAAGTTTCACTTTCATAGGAAAAGTATAAGAGGTACAGGTCCAACACCTTTCCTCCTTGCCAACTGCTCACCACTTTCTCATTCTTCCTTGACATTCAAAAGCTGAACAAGATTTTAACTTCAAAGAATAGAGTTGCTCATTACAATCTCTTGCTTTAAAAATCGTGTTAAGGTAAACTTTTCAGAAAGACATTTTCGAGATCTCCTATCTATCTCTTTAGCAGATCACCAGCAAATTTGGAGATACACATAGTCGCCACTCTCTAACAATTGTCTGACGTCAAATTCAGACTCATCGTGATTATTGGACACATCAAATCTAGTATTGGAACTCACTCAGGAGCTTGTATTGGCACGATTATTTCAAAACAAAGAAATATTACCTGTAGTTTGATCATCGAAGAACTACTTCTGGGCACGTTATTACTTGAAACCCATATATAGGGGACGCCTGGAGAATAGGCTTTAAGGGAGAAGCGAAAGCGCCAACGGTATAGGGGGAACACCACTCGAGACACAAAAAAAGGTGTGGTTTTATTTCGGTTCTTCAAACAAGTCACAAACTTGCACCTTTGCTAGGGAATCGTTAAGTTTTCTGACATTTTGGTACCAGGCACGCTGAGGTACCCAATATTTGCAAAGAAATCGCTTCCCAATCAAAGTTGTAGATAACTCTGGTTTGAATCTTTTATACGCCGAACATTCAAACCGTCATCAATAAGGTCTACTTTCTTCACAAGCGCAAGACAGGGCTGAATCGTGAAAAATCAAAATGTTTCTCGATTATTCGAGTCGTGATGAATTCGCTGACATCAATACCGCGTTTGCTGAAAAATACATTGAAATACTTTACATTGAACGCCTACAAGAAGCTCAATCTCGGTTGGACTACATAAAGTCGCGTGCAAAACACTTACCAGACATCCAAGATCTTACCTTGAAAGACCTTCAAGGAAATTTTGGCTGGCTGACTTATCTGCATGGCATTATCCTGACACGCGAACAGGTGGTGGCCACGAAAACCACACTGCTCAAATGTCCGACTTTGTACATGGCGCAATTTTGTTCGGACGGCTGCTCACCTGAAGTTGCTTTCTCGAAAAACGAAGCTGGCCGGTTCATGGAAGAGAGGCTCTCGAGGGCAATAAGAAGCGCGCATCTGGACTGCTTAGAACCCTGCGAAGAAATTATAGAGTCTCTTCAATCTCATTTTATCTCGTTGCGACCCGTTCAAAAATATCCATTCAGCCAATTTGACTACCTCCAGAAGCTGATGTACCAAGAAATGTATCCCAAGATGGATGGGCCATTTAGGGCCCATCTCGGGCTTGTTATAATGCCAATAAAATTTCCTCCTTCTTTCAAAGAAGTGATAGGTGAAAACGCTTGTCCAAAATCCGTGACAAAGATACGGTTTTACAAGTGGACTGGAATCAAATTCGATGGATTTGATGGTGATCTTTACAAACTCAAAAAATCACAAATACGACCATCACCAGTTGATCAAAGAGTAGTTTCTGTCTGGAACACAGGAAGTCCACATAAGCTGTTCCAGCAATACGCTAAACTGCTGAGACAGGGCAATTATTCGGTTCATGACCAAATTGATACGGAAACGACAATAATCATGAAGGAAATAGAATTGAGAGTCGACGATCGAAGGTTGATGCTACGGAATTTGGAGCAGGAAACGTCGAGGTGTGCGGCAATACTTACCGATGAAACCAAAGAATCTCATGTGGGAAATCACTGCATTGATGATATTGAGTCCACTGAAGACTATCAAGATGGTCTTACTGAAAGTAAAAGGCCCCCAGAAGGACCTTTAGTGAAAGAATTGAGCAATTCAATGGATTTTGATTCCGGCGCTTTTGCACAAGATTCTTCAGAACTTAATGTTTCGAGCTCAAACCAATCACGACAAGGATATGTGTGCAAAGACGTTCGAAAGGAAGAAGGGGCCCTTGAATTGGGTATTGAAAAGACTTCTGTCATCTCATCTATCTCCTCCATTCCTGACTCAGGACCTAAAGGTATTCCTGCAAGCAAGGGATGTACACATCGGAAGAAACATCCTGGGTTTGGAACCTTGGCACAACACGAATCGATGCTTAACAACTCGAAGAGTCTCAACCAATTTGTTGATCATAAATTTGGCCCGACGAGTTCACTCGTTAAGGGCAAACGAAGCTCTCTTGATAACTCTTCTGGCTACTCACGGGCGTCGAATTCCATCGCAATGAATGCGTTTCAAGATGAGATGGATGAAATCGAAAAAGAGATTTATGATTTACTTGAGATTCGCCGAATTGCCCGGGAAACTGACGAGAGGGCGGTGCCATTTGCGAAACCCACGACCGAGGAGGATGAAAAGAAGGCAGAGAGGTCGAAAAAATTCCAAAAACTCCGCAAACAGATTATGAGCAGAGAAGAAGAGCTCATTTTTACTAATGCGGACATAAGTAGGTCATTTGAAGGCGTTTTGGATCAAAAACTTAGGTGTGCAATGACGGCGAGACGTGAAGGCGTAAAAAAACCTCTGCCTGTCCGCGAGATTGTAGCTACTATCGAGAATTCCACGAAGAGGTCGGATCCCTCTTTTGATAAAACTAGATTGTCGGGAGAAAACGGGCTCCAGAATAAACTTTCGGCAGGACATGACCAAGTGCTGCGGAGGGAAGAGGATAAAAAGTTGGAGAGAGTTGCGGTCGCCACGAAAGCCTCAATAAACCAAAGAGTTGATATAATGCACAAAGAATCACTAGAAGAATTGCGGTCACAGCGTTTAGCTAATAGTGATGATTGTGATAAACCTCAGCGCACAACGGAAGAAGCATATCTAGGATGTAACACACACGATGCCTCTTTGCAAAAAAGGTCGGCGACACATGTCGCTACTGAGCAGAGCAAGTTTGAGCAAGTTACGGCGCATCACCATTTTGCGTCCAATGTATCCAAGGACGATGGTCATACGAGTCTTATCATTAACGATGGAACTAACGCCCACAGAGGTACTTCCATCGTCTTGAATGTCAAAACTACTAACGGAATGGAAGGCCGCAACTTTGCCAATGAGCGTATAATTGACGTATTTGAAACAAATCCTGACCTCCATCATTTGAACCAAAATCTGAGTGGTTTCACTTACGACTCCTCGTGCACAAATGGAAGATTGCTCGAACGACATGCGTCTGGTGCGCAAGATAGCCAAGCAAACTCTACATTAAAGATACGCGATGAATCGGATAGTACGAAAATCCCCACTATCAAGCGTCAAGGAAGATTGGTCTGCAAAAATTCGATGGGAGGCTTACTTGAGAAAAATATCTTACCACATCCACCAGAATTGCGTAACCAGGGAAATGATTTTTCAGTTAACGAACTCCGAGCAAGCAGGCCTAGCGGGGTAGCAGGATCAGAGGCAATCGCTGGTAAGTGCCCAGACGTTCTTCTAGGCTGGGCACCTAATTCGAAATGCAGCACAGGAGGCCTTAGTGAGCCTGTCGAAGTAGCATTATCAATACAATCAGAATGCCCTCTGAAAGAAAGCTGTCGTAACCCGTTTCATGAGCACCATCCTCTACCTATATCAAAGAAAAAGATCACCTCGTTGCAGCGATATTATACTCGTCCAGCTGCTGAACAAGCCAGTGATCCTAATGTGCCAAATTCTAGCACCACCCAAGAAATGCAATCACTACAAAGAGCACTTCTACGCAACAAGCGCCTCCCGGATAGTCACGAAAAGTGTGTAGTGCCCACAAAAGACGAAAGCAGTAATGTTGCTCAACAGCAATGCAGCTCTTTGATTTTTTACCGCAACACAGAAGATACTGCCGTTCAAGTGGGACCTCAATGCGGCTATAGCCTGTGCACGGATAATGTTCATCATCAGGACAAAGACTTTCAGTATAATGAAACCATGAAATCGGAGTCTATAAGTGACCATAGGTCGGTCATAATTTCGCGGCATCTTTTTGGATGTCAGAGCGAAGAACACAACAAAATCAATAGCCAGCGGTCTTCCAGTGGCCCGAACAGAAATAGGAAACCTTGGAACACGGTTGGTGCCGCAGGCGACGGAAATGAACATTCCCTGGCCAATACATTTAGGGAATCTGATGATTCTAATAATATGTGTTATGACAGCCGTGACGCCATCCTTTCTTGCGAGCTCTCTGATTTGGATCGCGAGTTTGGTAGAATACCTTATTTTAAAGAAAATTTGGCAAATTCAAGCCCTCAGTGCAATTTTGAAATCAGCGAAAGCACATCTTCCTACGGTTCAGAGCTTTCTTTAACCTCCCCAATCTCATCGGAAATTGATGCAGCAGTCAATGAACACTTGAAGAGGCAAGCGGGGCGTCAAGATTCTCGATGCGCATTCGACTTCACATATCCTGTTCCTCCCTACACCACCAGCTGGGGAGTTATGGTCAATCCCCCTTCCGTTAAGTTCGACTCCGGTGACCCAAACTTCAAAAACTATACTTATTTACCACCTCTCGATTCATACAAAGAACCTGAGCTCATAGTAAAAAAACCCCGTCTAGAAAGTAGCCGCCCCAGGCTATCAGAGAGGCTTCGCAAATTGGTCTCTCCCTTATCGGCACCAACACGACCAGACCCCAGACGCAAGACAGCTTGCGATTACAAAGAGTTATCTCCCACGTTGTCGAATGTTCGTTTCAGGGATTTGATAAGATTCAAAGCCAAAAGGCTCAAGAAAGATTTGGAATACTTTTCCGATGTTGCAAAGTTGTGTATCATTGATTTTAAAGGGCGGTCACCAACAGCCGAATGTTTACTTTATGAAGATGATTTACATTGGAAATCATCTTAATCAACTGCCGCTCAGGATTTTCATCCACTAACGGCGACACTTCAAGGGCCCCCCGCACTCGACAAACTTTAATGCTAAATTTGAGGTGGTCACGAAGAATGATTAAAAAGAGGCAAACTATTCAATTATACTCCTGGTTCTGATTATTGACATAAACAAAAGTCTTCTATATATAAAAGATCCATTAACGAACTTTAATGCGTACTCTCACGCAGCGCTTATCCTCTTCACACAGGCTTGTCGTGCTTGTCGTGCTTGTCGATCCTACACTTGTGATAGGTATAAAAAAAAAATCCGAGTCAGGCTCCGGGGAGCCTGGCTCTATTTGAAGTTTCCCGACGTTGCCTTTCTCATACAGATTGAAGCGCCTTTATGCTGCTTTCGAGAATTTTCTCACAAGACTCAGGGCCGCGACCCTTACAACGAAGGGCTTTATGTCCAGATATCTCGGAATGTGGGGCAAGTACTTTCCGGAGTCTGACTCGAACCTGTTCATTGACTTGCTGCAAAAGATCAAAGCTTATGGCTGCCATTCAAAATCAAGAAAAACGCCTTTTTTCTTGCAAGGCAAAGCTGCGTGAGTTTCAACTAGTCAACAGCAACCATATTTTAAGTAAATGAACCCTGATAATGTTATGCTTATTGTAAGAAAAAAAGGTTCTGTACACGTAGTTTAACTCTTAGTTAAAATTCATATCGTCTATAAAAGCGCTGAAGGGTGGGAAGAACATATCCACATCTGTTGTTACTGCTGACCGATCCGGCTTTTGCTTTGTGTCATGAGCTTCGCATTTTTCATAGCCCTCATGGGCCGAAGGAACATGAGAGCTGACTTTGGAGGTTTGATATATTTCTTCACTTGTGAGTTGTCGCAATTGCTGTAAAACACGTTCCTGAAGAAGTGTTTGATCACTTGAAAGTTCGTCAAGTCCTTTGGTGGAAGACTTTGTTTCTCTTTGGCTCGCATTCTCGTGGAGTCTCTCTGAGTGTGAGTGGTCCGGCAAAGCGTCATTTAAAGCATGACTGTGGAAACCATCCTTTGGGTATGATAGGTCCGTACTGATATTGGCATTTCGTAGCATGGCACTATACCAAAAGGTGTCGATTGCATCCAAGGCCACATAATTCTCAGTATCATCTGGGGCCTGCTCATTCAACCCTCCAGTCGAAAGTGACGCTTCCACTTTGCTAACGCTCTCTGATGATACGGGCTTTGAGCTCAAAGTCGACGACCTTGTTCTTTCAGCCTGATTTACACCAACAGATTCTCCAAAATGTTGTCTATTGTTTTCATGAGCTTGAGTTTTGATGGAACGCTGAACTCCATTCAATAGTAAATCCTTCGAATAAAGGCCCCTAGTGCCCAAAAACGATGAAAATATTTCCCAGTCTGTGGACGATAAAATTGATAATAATTGTTGAAAGTCGGAAGTTTTGAAAGAAGCGAGGTTATTAACTGTGGGAACTTTGTCAGAAGATAAACCAAATGGACTGCGCTTGCGCAATGTTGCGGTCGCTGCTTCTCGTCCCGCCTGACAACCGCCATTATCATATGGGCGCTGTAGTAAGATGCTCTTTTCTTCTAAAAGATGGTAGACGTGAGAGTAGCTCTTGGACATTCGCCAGGCGTAAAAGTGAGTTCGGCTCAACAGCTTGGTGATACTATTGATGAGAGAGAGCTTATTAAAACACAGTTCAATCAAATCATCAATGATACCTTTTCTTTCTTCAACCGAATGTAGTTGCGCAGTGGTCCCCACAAACAAGTCGTCTTTATAATTTAACTTCAAGTGCTTCAACCTCGTCACAAAACATTGGAGAATTATGGCGAAGTGAACAATGAAGCTCCCACAACATTGCATGATTAGCAGTTTGGATCCACGGCCGAAGGTGACATCAAAAACATCGGGCTCATTCCCAGCTTCATCATCCGCAAGTATAAGAATCAAGATAGGCTCGACCTCCACGTAATACATCAAAAGCTTCCCTAAATAATCCTGGAGAACAGTGTTGTTTAGTAGCTTGTTATTATCTGCAATGCACTTATCAATGTGAAGAAACATGTGGAAAGTTACCATAGATAACAGTGTTGTCGTATCAATAAAATTTTTGAAAGCATTGCATTTCAGAGCAGATTCATATAGACTCGAACAAGGCTTATTCACTACCGCCCGCAGCCCAGACCCATTGCTCAATGCCAAGGAAGATTCAAGTTCATCACATAAGTATTGAACTGTTGAGCATCGCGTTCGTGTCTGCCTATTCATCACAACATCCAGGAGTCTTCTACATGCGTGTGATAGTTCGAAGTTTTTTGCTAAGCACTCGACAGAGGCGGCTTCGACCGCGGCGTTTTTAACGTACTTTGGCAGGCTACCACCTCCGTCCAATTCCATTCTGGGGAGCTTGGTGTTGAAGCTATGCTCGTTAATTTTAAGTGAATTACCACTATTCATACATCCGTGAAGATCCATAAAATAAATGGTGTACCAGCATTTTCGCCATGCTTGCAGATACATGCCAGAGTAGGGAAGTTGCGTGAAGTCTATTTCTGTATTGAGACCAATTGAGGTAGCCATGCCGCAAATGAGGCTCGAAAATGGTTCGATGTCTCCACCATCAACGATGTCACCCTCTTCTGGAGCGAAGCGGCGATATAAATGTAATAATAAGGCACAGTGCAATACTGCTAACAGAGCTTTTCTTTGAAGTTTGAATAGGTTCAGACACATATACGCAGTGTCGGCAAACTCCGCACCAATTGGGTGCGAACTTAGTGCTTTTTCTTCATCACTTTGTCTTGACTCACACTTTTCAGAATACATCAAATACGAAAATCGAAGCAGCAGCAGCAGCGTGCCGAGCTTGGAAAAGTCAAGTCTGCTGGTGATTGTTACGACAGGTGGCAAATCTGAATCGCTGCGCTTACCAATGACGTCAGAGATATCATCACAAAACCAGTCTTCTGTCAGTATAGGATACAGAGCATGCAATGGGGATTTGAAATAGTTATCTAGATGCTTCCATATCAGCCTTGATGACGGAAGTAGCCCTTTGATTTTAGAAAATGTTGTGAACTCAGGAGCTGGCATCATATAACCCTTAGTTGCATGAAAACGTTGAGCATTTTTATCTTCTGAAACGATGTGATTATCCCCTTTCGAAGTCCGCTCTTGAAGTTTAGCTAGCAATACCTGCAATTTTCTCCATATCTCAATCTCAGTGCTTTTATCTTTATCTCCCCTCTCGGCACTCCCCAATGAAGGCCGATTCGTGTTGTCCTCGTTTAATAAATTTACTACTGACAGTGGGTTCCGCTCTAAATTTTCACTATCGCATGCTAATGTTTCGTCCATGCCTTCGTTTTCCAAAAGCTTCTTTTTAAATTTGTCATCCGTCCGTGAATCTTCTTCCAGCGTGTTGGCGCCTGTGTTGAGTTCTTTACTACGATTAAGCCTATCTTTTGCCCGAGCTCGATTGAGAAGTGATGCCACAGGAGCTCCGTTATCCTTGGGAATGGGTCCTGGCGAGTGCCGCCCGCTTACCAAAAGGTGATTTGCTATTTCATCCTGTGTGTAGAAGGGAAGAGGGTATTTCTTCCCCTTATTTTTATTCGCTTTCAAAGCTTTTTCACGCAAGTGATTCATCTCCCTACGAATCTCTGCAAATATCACATTAAGAAAAGGATCCCGCCTACTAACGGCAGCATAATGCAAGGGACCCGCGTAAGTCAGTCTACTGGCCTTAATTTCGATTGCCTCGTAGTCCTCGTGAAAACTCATTTCGCCAAATGGATCTAAAGTCGCACCTCGAAGACTGCTCATGGATGCTTCTGGGACCCGATTTGATTGGGACAATCCCTCGACGAAAGGAATTTTAGAGCTCATTTGAACACATTTTTCATCATGATTCGTCTTCGATAACCTTCGCTTCCCCTTTGAAAGAGTTCCAGAGTCGGGATGGAACATGTGGAGAAACTTTATGCTCTTTTTCACATCATAGCGACATTCAGTTACCGAGTTGTGCCTCACGCAAGTTTGACATACAGGTTTTGCTCTATCGCACTTCACTTTACGCTTTCGACACACAAGACATGATCCAGATCTTTCATTGGATGCCCCCATTCAACCACAAAAGTGTTCGTTTGGGAACGACGACCTTCCGTTGGTCGATAGTTTCCCACACTTCGTGGTTTATCAAGTCATCAAAACATCACGTGATGAATATGAATTAAATCGGCCCACTGTGGTAGCGTCAGCGTCACAGTCGTCTTCAGGCAATAACCTATCCATTGAATAACGTCTATCTTGAAGTCAAGGTTTGAGTTGATTTTGACACCCCTGAACGTTGAGCAATCATATAGATCACAGAACAACATTTTATTGAGGCGAATCTGATTCATTAGTAGAAGGCCTATTGAATTTGCCTTGTGAGTCGTTGATAGACATTGTAAGATGAGTAACTTGGGTCTAAGAAATTCTATTTATCTGTCCGAAAATTATTTTAGGCACTAAAGCTGGTTCAGTTACCTGAACAAAAGCCAGGTATTAATACAATTCTCACTCGGTGACTCTGGTCAACATATTTATTAATCACCAATTCTAGATCATTCTATTGCCCAAGGATTTACGGCTTCAATGCCGTACACTACCGATAACTTATCAATGGCCAATCCCATTGGACAATAGTTGTTCTCTTCGGTTTGTCTTAGCTTGTAGCTCTATTTGTATGGCCTCGGTTGTGTACTATCATTCTGTACCACTGTGTCACATATTTACTGACGCTGATTATGCGATTAGACGCACATCACCATCAGTTTATTCACATCATTCCCAACAAGTTGTTCTCTTCGACTTGTCTTAGATGGTAAGTCGATTGGTATGACCTCTGTTGTTTACTATCATTCTGTACCACTGTGTCACATATTTCCTGACGCTGATTATGCGATTCGGCGCACATCACCATCAGTTCCCTAGTAACTCACATAATTCCCAACACATTTAATTGTCTCCAAGAACTTTTTGAATATGAAAATACTAAGATATCGTTTTGTGTTCCCTACCGTCCGCCGAACATGTCGCTATATTCGGAAATAATCATATAATAATAAATATGGCTTAATATAGCCCCAGAATTGATGACCAGCATATTAATAAGACTTTATCAAAGCTCATAACAGCAAGGTCATCATGACAAGTGCTCAGATACAGGCTATTTTTTTACGATGGTTGTACCATCGCCTTCCAGACCCAGTAGGACGATAGAGCCCAGCCGCGTGTCAACCATCAAGTCCAGATTTCCCTCCACAAACACTTCTGCTTGACCCTTGACCAAAACCTCGTTAAGGCATCGCGTCAACTCAAGTCTGTCAACTACCTCCACATCTTTATCCGCAATGTCAAAAGAAACCCGCAAAATATTGCGTTTAGGGTCGTTAGTGGGAAGTATCTCGGAGTCTGCTGGCGTCCAAACGTCCATCGGAATTGTTACAAAGTGAACATCATTGTGAAATAGTTTAGTGCGCCCTTTGATTTTTTGAATTGACATCGTCGTTTTACCACCCGCATTGGCTGAATTATAAAAGGGAATGTTGACCATCGATATGACTTCGCCCATCATGGTTAGTTTCTTGTCGTCCCATCCTTTTTGAACCCATTTTAACTTCATTCCATTAATAGAGACCTGCTCAACTAACTGGTCAGCGTTCAATGTGAGGTTTGCCTGGACGGGTTGTGACAATTTCGACAAAATTTCGTCCAACATTGCTTTAGGAACTATGGTATGAGTAGAATGCCCCGAGGTGTGACCTATTATGTCAAACTGCACCGTTTCCGTTGCGTTGAACATTCTGTTGAGAAAAAGATTGATGGGTGTCACGACATTTTCTTCGTCTGAATCACACACTTGATAAAGTAGCTCATCGGGCAAGGGACCATGGACACGACCACTAATATTTAGCAAAACTGGGTTCGAGTTTTGATAAAAATCCCTTATGAGGAGCGTAGGTGTCCAAAATACAGCATTTTCAAGTAAAATTGGGTCACTTCCAATGCAGCCAGGCATTCGCACTTTCCAAAATGTTGAAGGAATCGTGGCGTTTTCTTCAAACCTAAAAAGACCACTCAATTGTGTGGGGAGAGTGTAGGAGATAGCAACACGGAAATCGACCGCCTTGTCATTGTCACTGAACTCCATATTGTCGACTTCCATTGGTTGTTCAAAAAAAGAATGCACTTCTTCAACGTAGGACTTCAACCTCCCCCAATTTAAAAAGTCATTCCAGTTCAATCGGTCTATATTTATTTTGCCCAGGGAGTAGCCCCACTTGGTCAGAGTAATGTCAAATTTCGACCACAAATTAAGTTCTTGAAACTTACGCTTCCAGATTTTGATAATTACGGATGCAACGTTTTGAGCATCAGGATGTATGATTATCGGAAAATCAAGTTCCGTTTTTTGGTTAGCTCTAAGATCCAGACACACTGTCTGGGGGATACTTACCGATCCCAACGCCTGCGTTGCTGTACTGTTATCATTGAAGGCGGTCATGCTGTTTAGCTCAAAACAAACCGTTTTCAATATCTTCTGGCTAAAAAACCTAATCATCTTTTTTTGACGATCGCTATATGCTGTATCATTTGATAGCCTAGAGGTAGCCAATTCATGGTCAAATTGTACCCCGGCTGTGGTCCGAAGTTTCAAATATTTTCGCACTTTTTCGCCATCTTTTGAAATAGTTGTATCGCCCATCCACAGTTCACTTTCTGTAGCATTTTCAGAGTACCATCCTTCATAGCTGACACTGTGGATGTTAATTTTAGTGACATCTTCATAATACTGCCGTACAGCTTCCTGCGACGGGATGAATCGGCGTAAATACAATACACACCCGGCCAAGGAAAATAGTACCATAATAACTGTTATCAGTGCCATCAGAGGCCTATAAGGATATCGCTTGTGGTACTTGGCCTCAGACTGGCTCGAAGTGGCCCCATAGTTTGCCTGCTGCTCTGGCTGAAGTGGTCGTTGTTCCAAATCCTCTGTGCTCATTGGTTGTGACCTTGGTCTTTATAATTTCACTCTCTTGAAATGAAACCAGAAATTCTTTAAGGTAGTTAGAACGATCCTCTAGATAGGTGGCCCCGTTTGTGTGTTCGGCCCAGATACCTTATTTGTAAATTAGCCCCATCGCTTATATCATCGATGAGCATCAATTTTTTGCACTTAGTATTGAATGATCAACATCAGATGAGATGCACCACGATGAAATGAACAAACATATGACAAGTTTCACTAGCTCTTGGAATCTTGCAAAAGCTGCAAACATAATCATCAGCTTTGCGTTCAAATCGAAAGCCGCCGGAGATTTGAAGAGGAAGAATAAGAAGCCACTAGAATCGAAAAGTTTGGGGTTTTGAGGCCTATTACCGAATTAACACCAATAATTAAGCAGTCGTGTCTATCAACAGAAAGACCAGCATTCAAAAAAGGAGTGGTATCGTCTGTTTCTCCAAGCCTATTATTTGATGACCCGTGACGGGATGTTTATCGCGACTTTATAGCACAAAGTGATTACTGTGGTTGATACTGCTGATGCCAATAAATGCCCGAGAAACGACGAAATATAAATCAAGCACAGAGAAGCCGCTTTTATTAAATAAATAATGACCATTGCAAGAGCCTGTAACCCTTATGGAACCAATTTGAATGGGGCTTGAACCTTTCCCGGACTCCGAGTACGTTTTGCACCGCAAAGATAGCTACTGTAGTTTTTATTATGTGACCGAAACGTTCCACTCATTAGAGTTATTACTCTTCAACAAAACACTCCACGAGCAGGTAGCCCCAAATTTGTGTTTGGGCACCATAAATAATATATCTGACCTTCACTAGATGCAGTACTTTGCAACTGTGGACTAAAGTCAAAGACGCCATTCATGAATCTACCAAACCTTCGAAGGGGAATTCGTCGCTTGAGGCGAAAGATTCAATCAGCTCGTGGCCAGAGATGGGCCCATTATTTCTGTCTTGAGTTTGAGGTATCTCTACGCGAATAGTAACGACGTGCTAAGTCAGAATTCTTGAAACACACAACACCTGCTGATAGCAGGCCATTGGCTAGTTGTTAGCTAGGCAAAATCTTTTCCTGTCAGCCACAACACCTTATTGAGTTTGTCGCTGTCATTGATCAAAATCAGATCACGTGGCGAGGTTTCCATCTATGAAAAATTAGCTCATCACATCAAGAGAGAGAGAGATATGTAGTTGGTGCGAAGGTGAAGCCATAGACCGTGAAAACGAGCGGATAACTCACTAGAACTCTTACACTATGCTATATTTGATAGGGCTAGGCTTGTCATACACGTCAGATATTACCGTACGTGGGCTGGAGTCTATTAAGAAATGTAGCAGGGTTTACCTGGAGCATTACACCAGCATCCTCATGGCGGCATCACTAGAGGAATTGGAGGAGTATTACGGTAAGAAAGTATACTTAGCGGATCGTGAAATGGTTGAAAGTGGCTGTGAAGAGATTTTGCGCGATGCTGATAAGGAGGACGTGGCATTTTTGGTGGTTGGAGATCCTTTTGGAGCTACCACCCATACAGATCTGGTTCTACGCGCCAAGAAACAAGCCATTGAGGTCGAAGTGATCCACAATGCATCTGTGATGAACGCTGTTGGATCTTGTGGCCTGCAACTATACAACTTCGGACAAACAGTCTCAATGGTGTTTTTCACTGACAGTTGGAGACCCGATTCATGGTACAACAAAATCTGGGAGAATAGGAAGATCGGTCTCCACACTCTTGTGCTGCTGGACATTAAGGTCAAAGAACAAAGTATTGAAAACATGGCCCGTGGCAGACTCATTTACGAACCCCCTAGATACATGTCTATCTCCCAATGCTGCGAACAACTGCTGGAAATCGAAGAGCTCAGAGGAACTAAGGCTTATACACCCAATACACCAGCTGTAGCAATCAGTAGGTTAGGTGCACCCACGCAGAGCTTTAAATCAGGAACCATTGAAGAACTTTCTCGCTCAGACTGCGGCGAACCCTTGCATTCTCTTGTGATCCTTGGCAGACAATGTCATGATCTGGAGCTAGAGTATCTACTTGAGTTTGCCGAAGACAAATTGGAATTTCAAAAAGCCGTTTCACAAGACCAAGAATATTTCAAGCCAGAACCTTGGGTTCCTCCTATCGAGGAGGAGGATTGAATTATAATAAGGGTCTACAGATTGGCAATCTATCAACTTTTGAGGTAAGGAGCTGTCAGCAAGTAGAAAAAGTATAGATTTTTGACAGAAAGTTAACGTCTTGGCGTTTAGAAGCGACATGTACTCCAGGATCCATATATAGAGAAATTTGGTGAAGTACTTTCCTATTTTGGCGTGCACATAAGCCAAAAAGTAGAATGATTAAAATAGCTAAACTCATGAGTACTTAAAGAAAGGTACGAACGTGAATGGGGTTACAAGCTCCAGCCTTGTATTAAGGTGTCACCGCTATTATTGGATTCCATTCACATCGTTTCAAATGACAGTGTATTTTATTGGCTTCAACATTATGTGGAGCCGAATTAGCAGAAATGCTAAACAAACTGACAACACAAAGATTCAGCTTAGCCTTACTCAAATAACTCATTCTCTAATGGTGCAAATAGATTACATGCTCATGATTTCCAGGCAAGGTAAAGTACGTTTAATGCGCTGGTTTTGTCCTTACAGTGCCAAGGATAAAAATAAGATCTGTAGAGAGCTTACCACAACAGTTCTCTCTCGCAAGACCAAGATGTGTAACATATTGGAGTATCAAGATCATAAGGTTGTTTACAAGAGGTATGCGAGTCTCTACTTTGTATGCGGGATCAACTCAGATGCTAACAATGAGCTTCTTACGTTAGAAATAATTCATCGATACGTAGAGGCCATGGACACTTACTTCAACAATGTGTGCGAGCTCGACATTATTTTCAATTTCTCTAAAGCTTACGAGATCTTGAATGAAATATTGATATGTGATGGTGCAATTACTGAAACCAGCAAACATTCGATACTCAAAACAGTGGCGTCTATGGACGCACTGGAAACGAGCGATAACTTGGACCAGGTTCTCAGTTAACTGTTCGTCAATGCATATTTATCGATACGGCGAGTCACAGAAGTTTATGTATCATAGCAATGGAAAATTAAGGAATTCATAAAGGACTAAATTTAATTAGCAGCGGTTCAATCCCGAGGAAGATACCCCTCATTTGTATAGCAATTTTTCGAAGTCGGGGTCACCAAGCGCTCCACTGCCCTTTACATTGTGCACAGATTGACCCTGCGCAATCGATCTAATCTCGTTGTATACTATGCCAAAGACGTAAGGCGCATCACCGTATTCCTCCATTTCACCTATCAAGGTGCGGTGCATTGTGTTACTGTGACTGCAAGGATGTTTTTCCTTGTACATATCTGCATATCCGTTGATAAACGATTGTTTGTCTTCTGTCGAAAGGTCGGCCCACTTTCTGTACTCAGCTAGCGGCAAAGAAATGTGGAACTGCCTTAGCGGGATCGTGCGAGCCCCCTGCAAATATCCAAGCGATGCTAATTTACCGGCTCTACTTAGCATGGTGAATTCGGCTGTACTGAGCTCCTTTTATCAGTTGAATGAGAGTTTCAGCTATTCAAGGCTCCCTCTATGGTGATTTATTGCGCATGCACCGCCCGTTAAAATATGGTATATGATATGATTTCTTATGTACGATATATATGGAAGGTCCCCACCATCTACTAATAGAAGCCATTTTAGTATAGTGGTTAGTACACATCGTTGTGGCCGATGAAACCCTGGTTCGATTCTAGGAAATGGCATTTATTTTTGAACCTGGCACCACCCTCCCTGTAAGGGACAGGGTGAGTGTCTACTTGAAGCACGCAGAAGAGTTTACTCGGGAAAACCCAAAATAATCGGTTTTAGCCAACTAAGGTTGTTTGGCAGAGCGGCTTAAGGGGCCTGATCAAATAACTTGAGTTCTTAACATGTACTACGGTGGAGAAATCTGAGGTATAAGATGCAAAAGTTCGAATCATTCCGCAACCATATGTTTATTTAGGTACAGGTTCTTTCCAGCGACTTGCTTCACAAGATCAACGCACTTGTCGAAGACTGTAAGTCTCCATGAACTTTGTATTATATTGAAGATAAAATCAAACACATCTTAAAGCTCATTACTTTGGAAGAAGCAATTCCAGATGTGCTTGCCAGATACGCTTTCGTCCCCCTCAACATTGATTGAATATTCTTCGTCTTCGTCTTCGCTCCCCTCACTAGAATTGCCACTTACATCTTCTGCGTTTACTACTTGCTTTCTAGCTTTGAGAGAGCGCTGTTCATCCTTATGTAATGCCCTTTTCTCTTCTAAGATCGATTTATACTTCACGATGTTATGCTCCACTGTATTTCTAACCACAAAATTCCAAATATAAGTCTCACGCGTTTGACCGATTCTGTGGGTTCGATTTATAGCCTGAATTTCCCCACTGTCATTTATAATTGGCTCCATAATAAACACATGTGTCGCGTTCACAAGAGTTAAACCTGTCGCCTGCTTCTTGACATCAAGCAGCAGACAGGAAATTTCGGGGTTTTTTTTAAACCTTTCAATGCTCTTGGAGAATCTTGAGGTACCAGAGGTGTTGAAATGTTTGACCGCATGCCTCGTGAGAACTTTGGATAGAATATCCAGAAAATCTGAATATTGAGAGTAAATGATAATTTGAGGGGCTTTGGCGCTTGGTTCTTGGTCGAGAATTTCTTGATGACATATCTGCAGATAAAGGACCAGCTTTACTGCGAAGTCTACCTTAGTGCCGTAAGTCTCTTTGAGACTTAACTGATGTATTTTTTCGAGATTGGGGTATCTGGTGTATTTACGCGGGTATTCGCTGTCTCTGATGGCGGGTTGCGAGATTGCTCGACCACGTACTTCCTGCTCCTTGTCAGATAACGGCCCAACTTCTATCTCCATTCTGTCGAAAGGCGGCTCAGCTTGCGTGTCTTGAAATTTGAAAGTGTAGACTTCAGATATCGTGGTTTCCATTTTGCACAAGGGACATGCGCTTTTGTTTTTGAGCCAACTGTAGATACAATTTTTGCAGAAAAAATGCCCGCATTTGATCATCGAGCCCATGTAAATCTCGCTCAAGCAAATCGTGCAATTGAATTTTCTCTTGAGATCTAGACTCTGCCTCAGATCTGTAAGGGTCTCTAGGTACTTGAGTCTTGATTTTAGGTTATTAATTTTCCGGATGTTTTCGTTGAGCACAATATTGTCTTTCGTGTTCTTAAGTATGATCGCCCTAGCTGCTGGCTCTAGCTGTATCAGGGAGACCAGCGAATCGGAGATTTTTTGAAGATTACTGAAATAATTGGTTTTGGCGTTGTAGATCTCGTTGAACTTTTTCATATTATCTCGCATTTGTTTAATTTCCTTCTTTATTCTCGGTATTTGAGATTCATATCTTACTAGGTATGCTTCAAATGAATGCTTAGAATCAGACATAGATGATGAAAGGCTTTTGACAATCGTGACATTTTTTAATTCCGTAAAGATCATTTTTAGAGATGGACCTTCAATGAGTTCAAGCTGTGAGGCCAAGCCGACGTGGTGATCTGAAAATGTTTCAGTGTTTCTGAAAAGATTGGAAGATAGCTCAATTTCTTCGTCTGACGACGCGGCATCCTCGCGATTCGTCAACAGTCTTTCCAAACAATCTAGTAGCGCAAAAGCTTTATCTTGATTCTCAATAGTGGCTTCATAATCCTTAGCTTTGTTTTCTTCGTTTTCCTCGTCATACTCTGTTATTAAAGCCCTGTATGAAACTTCCTGAAGACGGTCTAACAAGCCGTTGAACTGCGATGCTTGGGTATTTAGCCTTTGTACGAGGTTTTTCAATCGTTTGTAACAAAGAGCTACCCCCATGTTAGAAGAATAATCTTCATCGACTGACAAGGAAATCTCAGCAAGCGTACAAGAAGAGGATTGCTTCTGTGAGCTAAAAAACTGCTTTACTTCTTCAATCTCATTATCAACCTTCTTTATACGATCTGCTAAGATGGCTTTCCTTAGCGTCTCAGCGAACCCGTAATTATCTTGCTCTAGCTGTTGGTACACATAAATTTGTTCCAATTCTTTCTGCGAGTATACTTCGGAGTATCCTTGTCTCTTCATTTCAGAGTCCGATGGACCCTCTGCCAGCATATTGGAGCGCTTCTCGTTTTCCTCGTCCACACCTTCAAGTTTCTTCGAGCCTAAGAAGTAGTATGCAGTAGCAATGAAGAAAAAAACCTGATGTAACAAATCCAAATACGACTTTGCGCTCAATTTATTGAAGCCGCTCTCGTTTTCGGCAATAGAGCTTTCTTCGGACTTTTCCATTGAAAATGTAACGTCGAATTTAGCTTTCAAATCATTTCTTAATTCCTCCCTCAAAGTTATAAATGAATTGGCAGCCTTCAATGGTTCATCATTTAGCTCCATGTTGACTTGCGCATGTTGTATTTTTAAAGTATAATTTTCTCTGTGTAGGGACTCAATCTTTTCGAGTACATCCTCCCTCATGCTGAGCAAAATGTTGTCCATAGTTTGAATGGTCACCGAGTCTGGCTCAGATTCCTGCCTCAACGTTGGCTTTGGCATAAGAGCATGACAGCAAGTTTTTCTCAAAAGGCCGAGCCAATGGTTCAGATCTTTAGGCGTTAATGTTGTTCTACCGCGGCCGTCATTCTGGTACTGTGAAATTTCCAAGAACGCATTCCACAGATTCATGTAATTATCTTGTTCTATAGGGAAAAATTCCAAGGGAACAATGTAGTTGTGTTGTTTGGGGATTCGAATTTGGTCGGCAACATCGACCTTGGAGTGCCTTATACTTAAGTTGAACCTAGGAAAGAGGTCCATTAAATCGTTGGCATCAAAATGTACTCCTCTCACAAGCGACATAGATGAATTCTCTGATCGTGTGCCCCCGTGCTCATCTGGCCGTCTATTTTTCCTGGCCACACCCTTTCGTACCAGATCTACAATTTTTGGGCTATCTTGAAAAGGATGAAATCGCAAGTAGGACAATACAGTCTTGAAATCGGTTATACTGTTTATGGGAGTTCCAGAGACACCCCACGTATGGACGCGATGAAGCAATCCGGTACATCGCGCAGCGTTTGTGCTCTCACCCCGTAACGTTTGAACCTCATCAAGAATAATACGATGAAATTGCAGGAGTGACAATGGTGAGGAATAGTCATATTTTGGGGCGCTACCTCTGCGATATCTAACTGCCGTACCGAACTCTGCATAGTGGACTTCAGAAGACACCGTCGTGTAAGAACAAATCACAATATCAAAGTTTGAGAGCTGTTCTACAATTGTAGCAATGTCGTCGGTTTGAAAAAAACTCTTGACCTCTTGAAACCCCTTGTAGTGAAACACAGCGAGCGGCGTAATTCCATGGCTGATATTTCTCACCGAAAGATCTCTTGTACTATCATTACCGACATGCATTTCAATCTCATCAATCCATTGCCTTAAAATGCTTTCTGGGCAAACGATTAAACTAGTAGCGGCTTTGCGTATTTCTTTGTTGGCGCGGGTTGTGAACGTCAAGTTTCCAACAATTCTGCGCCTGTTTATTAAGATTAGAGCTAAGATTTCTAGCGTTTTACCTAAACCCATTTCTTCCGAAAGAACACCCTGTGCTTGCAATTCTTGGTTCTCGAGAGATTCGAGAATCGAAGTTGCTTCTTGCAAAGAGATAATAAAGCCAGTAAACTTGTTCCAAAGCATTTTTGTGTTGTCTGGCAGGTGCATAAGTTCGTACCCAAAGGACACATGTGCGTTTAGGAGCTCACAAATTTCTTCTGGATCGCTGGAACGCCCCGCATTGTGCATATTATTTTGATTAGACAGATATCCTTCCTTGTCTAACATCCACTGTACAGACTCTTTTTGGAAGCGCAACAGTTTAACGTTGAGCTGGGGGACATCTGCCAGCATTTCCGACGCTCGGAGATGGAGGTCTTTCGTGTACTTCGCAGTTTGGTGATTAAACTGTCGCTGGACATAATGATGGGTTATCTCATGCTTAACATAATGGGGTCGACTTTTTTTGGAAAAGATGTTATCGAGAAACTGATTAGTCTCGGGCGAAAAGTTGTTAGTAGCATTCGGCTTGTATCGAAGAGTAATTTCGAACTCTAATAGCCACTCGACTTTATCACCGCCAGACATCGACAGACAAGCATCGGAACAGACTAGTTCCCGGTACCTGGTTGGTATTCTGCTGGCAACCCCAACGTTACGGGCAACTCCCGTTTTCCTCTTCTTTCGTGGTCTATTTTTCTCGCCGAGCTCTTGCGACTTCAAATCTTGGGCTCTCAATTTCAAATCACGCTCTAAGCATTTTTGCGTCAGCACTTGTAGTGGGAGTTCTACAGATTCCCGCACAGCACTTACATTGCACTTCAAAATGGGCCTAGAGGCATGGCTAACGATGAAAAACTGCTGATCACTTGTGGTGTGAAACTCTACAGTTACGAATAATTTCACACCCGATTCGCCTTGGACAGCTGTACACGAACCCAGTCGACATTTGAGTATGGAAACGCTAGATTCCATGTCCGTTTTTAGCCGTTTAATCTTGGTATCTACAATCACTGGTTGCTGCCATTCTTCTCCAGCAGCGATTTCATCTGGAGACGCATAGAGATCAGCTTTCAAAGCAAAAACCTCCCGTAGACCCATCGCAGCTCTTGCATTGAGGTGTGGTGGGTCCTTTAGAGTGAATGCGACTGTAAATCTATTGAATGTTAAGCGCTAAGTTGAGGGGATGCGAACCGGGTAGCAGTGGACGACAAGATGCACAAGATATACGTTCAAAGGGATCTAGATGGTTATCGCTGACAATCGACCTCCTCAAGGGCAGTGAACACTGCCGAGTAAAGATGAGAGCTACCAAATGGCACTAGGTTAACAGTGTTTAACCAGCGTACAGCTGCGTTGTTGTCTGAAATTGCCAATGTCAGATGTTTTCATGAGGTCTCATACTGTAGACAAGTCGTGACAGTATTTTAGAAAGTGACGATCTATCATTGCTCGTGAAAGGAATGACTGACGGGTATGAAATGTCAGTGACAAGTGGTCTCACAGCTGAATGCTATTCCTATGATGGATGGTCCAAGAGACAAATTTCCCAGATTATGCAAAAAGTTTGCTCATCGCTCGAACTTTTTGACAGATTTTAGGTATTTAGTCCACCTGATGGGTCAAGATTGCCGAAGCTTTGATGTCTCTTTGAGTATACTGACAACTTTAAGTTGAACGGAGAATCCAGCAAGCTACCTACTGGTCACGCTGATTTATCCGTGCCGAACTCTAGTTCCCCTACTGGAAGTAAAACAATTAGCAGGTTTAGATTTCGTCGGGATCTAGACTTACCCATAAGCTCTTAGTGCCACTTCAGTAAAAGTGGCCATGGAAGAGCTCTGCTGGCGTTGCTGGCCCAAATATCAAAGAATAGGAACCTATATACCTACCGAGGATTCCTTTTGACGTATGATGATACTATAGTGTTCAATATCGTAGCATGCCGTCAAAGACCAAAGGGGACAAACCCATGGAAAAGGGAGAGCAGCCTTCCCTTACCTTCAATACACTGGTAGCTGGAAAAGCTGTGGCTAGGTCGAAAACGCTGTCAAAGAGCGTAAAAGAGAGGTTCACGAACTAACACTACATTGCCAAAAACATCGACAGAGCACAGCAATAACACGAGAGTTCAGAGGGCCAACTCGAGCCAAGGGAACCCGCGAAAGGACGTAAACTCACCCCAAAATTCACATGACCTTTGCCAAGCCTGGAGGAAAGAGCTTGAACTCATTGGAGGGTCAACAGATACTTGCGGACGTTTTGAACTGGAAAAGTCTGATCCGAGGAAGAGATGTTTCAAGCTCAGTCTTGGTCCGTCACTTTCTCGTGCTACTTCAATACAGCGCTTTGTAGATTGTCATTTCGTACAAAAATGTCACGGCCTCGCACTCGCCACTATATAAGCAGCTATCACGTACAATAACAAGATTATAACATTACGTCTCACGCTCAACAGACACAAGGCACAGAGGCAGCCACAAACCTGGATGTCACTGTTAGCCTACTCACTCATTCGAAATCCACGCCCTTATTATTTACCAGAACCACGTACGTACGCCCTTTCACCAGAGCCGCGACAACGGCGGCTAATTATTGCCAGACCCTAACAATTATTAATACCGGTTCCGTGGCGCACATACGACCAGAGCCCACAACGTGGTACCCAGTAGCAGTCATAGAACCTCAGCCGGTTGCAGATACACTTCAAGCGACTCCCTCCTCATTCGTGAGTTGCTACTCAATACACTATGTACATACGGAACCACAAAGTGACAGTGTCTACAGGTTTCAAGACTGAAAGGAGTATCGCTTCTTCAATGGCAATCAATTGAAGAGGAGATAGGCCAGAAAGCGCTCCGTGTCAGCATGGCCGGCCCGCATCCCACTATACTGTTTGAACTGGTGTGATCCCAGTGCTTCTCATCCATAAAATGAGAGCACGAGGGCCCATTACTAAGCTTGTGAGCCTCCACTAACATCCGTGTGATGGAGCCGCCGCGTGCTCCTTTGCACACCCAGACATCCGCAACCCAGACACAACTGAGCCCCGGTTACCCGCCTTAGGAAATCCAGCGTTACCCTGCCAATCTCTCCGCATTTCATACACGTGCTTACCACGTGCATATAAATGCTTTTCTCGGCGCCTTATTTTCCTGCAGACTGACGCCACCTCTACGTCGTGGTCTTTTTGACGCAGTCGCGGTTCCAGATGTGGGCATCGCGCATTGTTTTCCTTTTTTTTCAACATACTCCCGTACGTTGTGGTAGCGTTGTGCGGGCGGGTAGAAAATGGGTAAAGTGCAAAGTATTCGAGTGAGTAAGTGGTTGAGATCACAGTTGGGGCCATTTTTTCATTGCTGACAGTGCCCCTTCTTAAGAAATTCGAAAGCGGATAACAGAACCTGGGTTGAGACTGAACACTTTAGCAGTTAAAGAACAAGACGAGATCGAAAACACCTGTAATATACGATGTTGAAGGTATGTGAGCAAGCGGATGTAGGATGCGAGAAGTGAAGCTGGGAAGACACGACTAGAAACGTAACACAGGGTATCGAACACACAATGAAAGCAGTAAGCAAGGATGACAAAGTAACGATGAATGAAGTAAAGATGGAGGGAGAGAAACAGATGTGTGAGTGGGAGGAGAAGCATAAGAGCCAGCCGCTCTGTTGAATAAGTGGTGCCGGCCCGTTGTTGTGACGTTGCAGAGAGGGACTTCAAACTCGCAGTAAGCGCTGACTTTAGTACTAACATAATGTTTCACCATCAGATCAAAAACCTGTTTAAGAAAAAACAATCTGTGGGAGCAGGAGACACGCCTATGGCGCCGCCATCTGTGAACTTGACTGCAGCAGACGGCAGTGTGACGCCCGTGATGGACTCGTTGGACGTGGCCAAGGCCAAGGCGGACTGTGTTGAAACAGCCGGAACGCTGAATCCGTCAGACCTCAGCTCCAGTGACCAAAGTGCCCTCAACGACCGCAGCGCCACGAGAGTGCCTGAGCTGCAAGACGCTGAGATGGCGGAGCCTACCAGCAAAGTGCCGGTTGCCGCTGGGGACCTAGTTTCTGTCGACGTGGACTTGGATCTGGACGGCGAGACAGACAGTCTGCAGGGCTCTACCACCGATGAGGAAGAGCCTGAGGGGCATTTTTTGGAACAAGCAGAGCTGCCGGATTTCAAGCTCATCTCGAAGATTGGCGAAGGCGCCTTTTCTAAGGTATACCGAGCTATCCCGCAAGCAAACTCCTCCAAGGGGTTTCTCCATAAGACGTTTCGCCAAGTGGCTGTTAAAGTCATCAACAAGGAGGATTTACCGTCGAGTAACCGCGATTCCAAAAGCAAAGCAGCCTCAAAGGATCAGGTACTCAAGGAGGTCGCCATCCACCGCACCATCTCAGCTAGTGAGAACGTGGTGTCATTTGTGGACTTTCACGAGTCTCGGCACTTTTACTTTATAATACAAGAGCTTCTCGCGGGCGGTGAGGTATTTGGGGAAATCGTACGCCTCACGTATTTCAGTGAGGATCTTACTCGCCACGTTATTCGCCAGCTGGCTTTGGCTGTCAAGCACATGCACGCGCTTGGGATAGTACATCGGGACATTAAGCCCGAGAACCTATTGTTCGAGCCTATCGATTACATTCCTTCCCAGGTGCCTGTGCTGCGCAAGTCTGACGACCCCAAGACCAAAGAGGACGAGGGTGTTTTCAGACCTGGAATCGGTGGTGGCGGTATCGGAGCTGTCAAACTCGCTGACTTCGGTTTGTCTAAGCAGATATACTCCACAAACACCAAGACCCCCTGCGGGACAGTGGGGTATACCGCTCCAGAGGTGGTCAAAGATGAACGTTACTCCATGCAAGTGGATATGTGGGGTATTGGATGTGTTCTGTATACGCTACTCTGCGGGTTTCCTCCTTTTTACGATGAGAAAATCGATGTTTTAACCGAGAAAATTTCCAGAGGTGAATTCACCTTTCTAAGACCCTGGTGGGACGAAATTAGCGATGGCGCCAAGAATGCAGTCTGTAAACTGTTAGAAGTGGATCCAGCCAAGCGTTACAACATAGACGAATTTTTGGATGATGAGTGGTTGAACCAATATGACTGCCTACGCGGCCAACGTATAAAGAAGCACAGAAACGAGTCTACCGAGAACGTTTACACACTTAACTCCAAAAAGAAGCGTCATCACCGCGTGCAAGGGTTCAAACGGGACTCTTCTTTATTATACTCTCCTGCCGCAGTCGCTCTGCGCGATGCCTTCGAGGTGACCAATGCGTTACGGCGTGATGCTGACGATAAGATGCATGGACCCCACGGAGTAAATCTTGGGCTATTACAAGAGGACGAAGAACTGGGCCTAGAGAATGATATGTTCCAGCTTCGTCTAAATTCCTCCACAATTATCAAGAGGCGTAAGAACAAAGATGATCCTGTCGATGTTCCAACAACAGTTACCGAGTAAAGGGAATTGCAGAAACAATAAAAACAAAACTAAAAAAAGAAAAATTAAACCTTGGAAACACTCAAAAATCTCGAGAGAACATTTAGTGCCAACTTCGAAATACACTTCATGTACTCATAAATTTGTTTCAACTCTGCGCAATCTACCTTTTTTTGGTGTCTTTTGAGTTTTTTTTTTTCTTTCTTTTCCCAGTCTCTACCAATCGTATATCTCGCCCACGAAACTCTTGCCCGACCACTTGCTGGAGTCCAAAATAGCGTGCTTGTGACAGATCCACAATCGAGATCTCACAATCGTGCGCGTTGTACATTATACCGATTTTACTATACACATTTTAAATTTTAATCACCCCTTTCCTTCGTTAACGCTTGAAATTGCTCTTTTGATGTTTTACGGAAGTTTACTTTTGATGTTGAGTCAAGCGTATCTGTTATACCACAATTCTTGGTCATATCATACACACTCTGAATGACCAAGGATTGGCATCCTTTTCGGATATTTCATATACTGGCGGTTAGATAGACAAAAAAATTAATAGTACAAGAAACTAATTCATATTCAGACAATCGTATAGCGAAAGAGCTGGCGATGTGTATTTACCATAGATTCGGTATGTGCGCCAAAATAACTTTTGGCTTGGTAGGGTACAACTGATGAACATGTGTTGACGCTAGCAGCATAACCAGTATTTATTCAAACCTCAAAGGATAGTGACGTTACACTTGTCACGATAACATTTACTGGCACTAGAACATGACATCATGATATAGAGTACAGGACCGGACGATGTTCGCTTCCAATTACAGTTTGATGAGCGAGGATGATAGCTGTTCTCATTCAAATGTTCAACTCGGCGGTTCTGTATGGTTATGTTTTGTAGCTACCGAGTGGCGGTAGTCCAGTATTGTTTGAATAGCATTCGAGTGGTTAAATAGGAAAAATTAACAAAGTGTCATAATGGTGCGACATAATGTTGACATTGTCAGTAAAAGAAAACAGGAAAGTGCAAGGTGGATCAACCAGCGGGGTCCAGAGGACAGCTACTAAATAAACTTACCTGGTCCAACATTTAATTCGCTTAAAGCCCATTAAGAGATTCACTTGGTGCACTTATTCGATCATCCAGCCCAACTTGACCAATATATTTTCCACCAGAAGTTTACATTAATAGCTGCTTTACGTTCTAATATAGGCCACAATAATAGTTCAATAGCAATAGTAAGATGGTTTGAAATTGTTTTATAAGCTCCAGATCTATTATAAAGTGCTCAGACTACAACTCAAGATGTCTTTCAGTAAATTGAACAAACAGTTCAGCAAGCTCACGACTACCGGAGCTGAATTGCTCCGATACTATACTATATCATATACTAATAGGATTTTTTGTATGAAATACCATCATAGTTTGTCTGTATGCCGTCTAAAACCAAAAGAAGCTTTTCGGTCCACTACATTGCTTACCTGGCAGTATATAATAGCCTTCATGAGGTGGCAAATGTTTTTAAGAGGTAGATGAACTTCTGAAGCACTGATCATGGACTTAGCTACATTCGAGACTCTTGGGACTAGTAGAAAGAAAGAGGAGGTGTAGCTCATACTCCCTAGAATGGGATCTTCTTTTTAAAATACCATGTTTGATCGTAAGTTGCCCATCACCTCGTGATAAATAACGGTGCAACAAGCGTATCCTTACCTCTCATATGCCTCATTTAGTATATCACATTAACATTCAAGGGCACGTGATTGGTTCGTAACTTGAGGTTGCCAGAATTGTAACTGTTAAGACATCTGGGGACTCCGCAAAAACACATTCTTGGGCCCAAATCATATATACACTATGCAGGGATCATTAGGTACGCCTTGCGACCTCACTGAAACCCAGGTTCCCTAATGTCGTAGAGTAAATGACCCAAACTATTGGTTGCTTGGTCCTGATGTGGTAACCCTTGGCTCCAAAATTTCATTCGGATTTGTACCAATTCCCAGGACGTTCCGCTATTTTGACCAAGACTTGAGCACTTAAGCAAGGTGATAAACTTGCTTATCAGCAGCACCACCGCTATCCTTTCCTTGGAACAGAAATAAGTTTAGCTTCTCAAAATGCATATTATAGTTGCTGCTCTGATACTACATACAGGGTTCGCCACGGCAATTCAAACCTTCATGAATTATTCTGGCCCGGATACAGTCACTAAGGTAGCTGTGATCGGCGCAGGTGCTGGGGGCTCTTCGGCAGCCTACTACCTTCAAAAATTTACTTCACATGGATATAACATTACAATTTTCGAAGATAATGGCTATATTGGGGGAAGGAGCACAACAATCAAGAACTATGATCCTAATTACCCTTTTGACATCGAACTAGGGGGAAGTGTCTTTGTAGATGCCAACAAAATATTATTCAATGCTGCAAAGGAGTTCAATTTAACAACAAAACGGGACAATTTAAGGTCGCAATATCCAAAACTGTTCCATGGCACAATCGGTGTATGGGATGGAACTGACTTTGTTTTTACACAGAGTGCATCCGATAGTGGTTTATTCAACAAAGCCAAGCTTTTTTTGAAGTACAAGCTTTCACCTTTAAGGACGTACTTTTTGGTCAAAAACTTCATCCAAGACTTTTTAAACGGTTTTTACGATAAGTATTTTCCGTTCGAACTTGATTATGCAGCTGGGCACACACAACTTGGCCCAGTGGCCAATGTGACTGGCGCAAGCTTCTTGGAATCTCACCATGTTTCTAGCCCCTTTGCAAAGGAGATAATCGAGGCCGCGACGCGTATGAATTATCGGTCAAATGTGGATGATATACATGCTGTTGAAACTCTTGTAAGTCTTGCAGCAGACGATACATATCAGGTTGAAGGCGGAAATTATTTGATCTTCGAGAATTTCATTGCCAGATCCGGGGCCAATCTATTGCTCAACTGTGTTGCTCAGAGTATATCAAGCATTGAAACTGGTTGGAACGTTGAATACTCGCAGGGAGGCAGTGATACGCAGTCAGATACTTTCGATCAAGTAATTATTGCCGCACCATTCCACCTATCAAACATCACCTTGAAAGGAGACAATATTGAAGGCATAGACGAAGTTCCATACAGGACTTTGCATGCGACGTACGTGTCAACTTCCAGGACGACACCCATTAACAATCCATATTTTGGAAATGGCAGTATTCCAGAAATGATATTAACTAAATCAAGTTTAGTGGATGTTCCGTTTTTCAGTATCAGCATTGTCTCCTATGATCCTCGAAACGACACAATTATATACAAGTTGTTCACTGCAAGCCCCGTGGATGAGAAGTTTCTGCTTAGATACTTGTTCGACAATGAAACTCCGTTTCAAATTGTGTATTCAAAGGTCTGGAAGCCATACCCACATTTGGTCAGCCGTCAGTCCTTTGGAAACTTCCAAATTGGTCAAGGGTTGTGGTACTTGAATAATTTTGAACCACTGATAAGTACTATGGAAACGTCGTGCCTGGCTGGCGCCAGTGTCGCTGGCCTGATGTCGATTGGTAGGAACACGACAGCGATAAAGGTGCCATGATTTGGTCACAATGCTGTCCTGCGTATTCCATGAACGGGCGCAATTCATGAGCTTATCAAATTCTCTTGTCTCTATCACTATAACCAAAGCTGCCGTCCTTGCTTCACACAGAAAAGGAAATTTCAAGATTTGCCAGAAAAAGCAGTCATTATACATTTGCGTATAGCATTCTTCTTTTAGACGAATGATTGGTGATGTCCCACCGCTCTCTTATTTAGACCTTGGCGGCAGCCAATATAGTGGGAACTCTTAACAAGAAACTTAGGCTCTACATCGTATCTACAACGCAGCAACCTTATGGTAAGTAAGAAATAAAGCTTAGACGTTGAATGCATTTTGGGAGCTGTGGCCACGGCTTTTTTACTCTCCAAGTTCAATGTCTGTCGACCTATATAACTAATTAATCTGCGACGTGGGAAGGAAAGTCAATCCCGTGGGACAACAAACCAATCAAACAGCATCACTCACTAGTGCCTGCTAACATCAGACTAACCAGTTTGAATACTGAATGTTCAAATGGGACTACCCAGGAACGCGTTAACGAGGCTAAATTTTGGCGACAACATGGTTGGCGGTTAACATAGTGCTGCGCGCGATTCCAATCTCAGGAGAAGTACAACCGTTCTCCTAGATGAGCTGTTGATTTGGAATGTTGGATACCACTCAGATCATCAACCAACATAGGGGTGAAACGTCAATCAACTTTGGGTTACAAGAAAGGGGGATACCAAAATTCATAGGGTACCTATCGAGAACAGATTCGGCTGGGGAGGGAGAGAAGGGGAGTGGCTACAATCATACTACACAATCAGGCTCGACAAGTTAGAATCTACCATCTTTCAACCAATTTCCCCCCAAGAACCAGAGTCCTCGCAAAGATGGCCGAAATTGCGGCAGGATGTAGCACCTTAGTAGTGCTACACATTGATGTCTTTTCTATACTACCTGCGAGCAGCGGTTCTTTCATTTATCAAAGGGCACGTCACTCACCTGTGCCAACGCTACCCTATCCTACAATAACAAACCCACAAATTAGCATAAATGCGTTGAAATCCAAACAAATCGCGCCGGATGGGATGTGCTCTGGCATTATAGTTTTCTCAAAGCTGCGACGCAACGGCTACAAAGTTGGCATTCCCCACTAATCAGAGACGCTCTCAGAGAAAAAAAAACTGAAAAACTGACACTTCAAGCAGATCTCCGCTGGCCAGTTCTCCATCTTACTTCTATAATGCTGAGATCGGAGTCACTAGGGTGTCGCATAGTTTCCTAGGTCTCAAGAACGTGAGTACCGGTGGATCCGAACCTTTCTTTCCCATCTCATCTGAAAAAGAAAGACTCAAAATACTACTTAGGCATAGCCGTACAACCTGGCCAGTGCCGCCCACAAACCAACGATGAAGCTCAATTCCTGAGTTATCACATATGATACGAGCCCATGGTGATGGCTTACTGCCTGGCATTCTCAGTTTTTGGCGTGAAAATTTTTTAGAAAGCATGCTGCGATGAGATGAGCTTCCGAAGAAGAAATCTGAAAAATTTTCCACATGTATCCAAGTTTCCGGGTATATATAAGAAAGCTGAAGTGCTCAGTGGTTTCAACCTTCTTGGTTTTCGTTTGACCTAGTTTGTTCAGTAAAGCTCCATCAGCGATCGTACCAATGTCTGACTCGGAACAATCCGTCAAGGTTCTTAACGAACTTTTTGAGAAGCTTTCGGTCGCTACTCCAGAGACCAGACAAGCTACCGCTGCTGAGATCTCTTCGTTCGTGAACGGCAACATCATCGAACATGATATTCCAGAACAGTTCTTCGCCTCTATCTCTAAGGCTTTGAAGGACAAGAAGACTGCTGCTAACGCCTTGGAAGCCATCTTGCGTGTTGCCAGTGAAAGCAACTTGTCCCCAGCCGTGGAAGCCAGTGTTGTTCGCTTGGTTCCCGAGGTGTCTGCTAAGAGTGCCGACAAGGACAAGGACGTGCAACAACAAGCCTCTATTACTTTGGTTGCTATCGTCAAGGCCGTCAACCCAGTTGCCGTCAAGATTTTGCTGCCTCACCTAACCTCCCGTCTAGCCGACACCAACAAATGGCAAGAGAAGGTTGCCATTTTGGCTGCCATTTCTGCTTTGGTTGATGCTGCCAAGACCCAAGTTGCTCTAAGAATGCCTGAGTTGATCCCAGTCTTGTCCGAAGCCATGTGGGATACCAAGAGGGAGGTCAAGGAAGCTGCCACTGCCACTATCACCAAGGCCACTGAAACCGTTGAGAACAAGGATATTGAACGTTTCATTCCTAAGTTGATCGAATGTATTGCCGACCCCAACGAAGTCCCAGAAACTGTTCACTTGTTGGGTGCTACCACTTTCGTTGCCGAAGTTACCCCAGCCACCTTGTCTATCATGGTTCCATTGTTGGCCAGAGGTTTGGCTGAAAGAGAAACCTCCATCAAGCGTAAGGCTGCTGTCATTATCGACAACATGTGTAAGCTGGTCGAAGACCCACAAGTTGTTGCTCCTTTCTTGAGCAAGCTATTGCCAGGTTTGAAGAACAACTTTGCCACTATTGCCGACCCTGAAGCTCGTGAAGTTACTTTGAGAGCTTTGAAGACTTTGAGAAGAGTCGGTAACGTTAGTGAAGATGATACTTTGCCAGAAGTTTCCCACGCTGGTGACATTTCCACCACCAGAGGTGTTTTGGACGGTTTGCTAAAGGACGTCAAGCCAGCTCCAAGATTCGAACACGTTGTCCAGTACGTTGCCGGTATTGCCGCCGACTTGATCGACGAAAGAATCATTGACCAACAAGCTTGGTTCACTCACGTTTTGCCTTACTCCACCGTATTCTTGCACGAAAGACAAGCCAAAGAAATTATCGACGACTTCAGAAAGTTGGCTGTTGACAACATCCCAGTTGGTCCAAACTTCGACGACGAAGAAGATGAAGGTGAAGATCTATGTAACTGTGAGTTCTCTCTAGCTTACGGTGCTAAGATCTTGTTGAACAAGACTCAATTGAGATTGAAGAGAGCTAGAAGATATGGTTTGTGTGGTCCTAACGGTGCCGGTAAGTCTACCTTGATGAGAGCTATTGCCAACGGTCAAGTTGACGGTTTCCCAACTCAAGATGAATGTAGAACCGTCTACGTCGAACACGATATCGATGGTACTCACGCTGAGACCTCTGTTGTTGACTTCGTTTTCCAAGGTGACGTTGGAACCAAGGATGTCATCACCGCCAAGCTAATAGAATTCGGTTTCTCCGACGAAATGGTCAACATGCCAATCTCCTCCCTATCTGGTGGTTGGAAGATGAAGTTGGCTCTAGCCAGAGCTGTGTTGAAGAACGCCGACATCTTGTTGTTAGATGAGCCAACTAACCATTTGGATACTGTTAACGTTGCTTGGTTGGTCAACTACTTGAACACCTGTGGTATCACTTCTATTATTGTCTCTCACGACTCCGGTTTCTTGGACAACGTCACTCAATACATTATTCACTACGAAGGTTTGAAGCTAAGAAAGTACAAGGGTAACATGTCTGAATTCGTTAAGAAGTGCCCAACCGCCCAATCCTACTACGAGTTGGGTGCCTCAGACTTGGAGTTCAGATTCCCAGAACCAGGTTTCTTGGAAGGTGTCAAGACCAAGCAAAAGGCTATTGTCAAGGTCTCCAACATGACCTTCCAATACCCAGGTACTGCCAAGCCTCAAATTTCCGACATTTCTTTCCAATGTTCGCTATCTTCAAGAATTGCTGTTATTGGTCCTAATGGTGCCGGTAAGTCCACCCTGATCAACGTGTTGACTGGTGAACTATTGCCAACCGAGGGTGAAGTCTACACCCACGAAAACTGTCGTATTGCCTACATTAAGCAACACGCTTTCGCTCACATTGAATCTCACTTGGACAAGACACCATCTGAATACATTCAATGGAGATTCCAAACTGGTGAAGACAGAGAAACCATGGACAGAGCCAACAGACAAATTAACGAAGATGATGCTGAAGCTATGAACAAGATCTTCAAGATCGAAGGTACTCCTAGAAGAATTGCCGGTATCCACGCCAGAAGAAAGTTCAAGAACACTTACGAATACGAATGTTCTTTCATGTTGGGTGAAAACATTGGCATGAAGTCTGAAAGATGGGTCCCAATGATGTCTGTTGACAACGCCTGGATTCCAAGAGGTGAATTGGTCGAATCCCACTCCAAGATGGTCGCCGAAGTTGACATGAAGGAAGCTTTGGCTTCCGGTCAATTCCGTCCTTTGACCAGAAAGGAAATCGAAGAGCACTGTGCCATGTTGGGTCTAGACTCTGAATTGGTGTCTCACTCCAGAATCAGAGGTTTGTCCGGTGGTCAAAAGGTTAAGCTGGTTTTGGCCGCCTGTTCGTGGCAAAGACCTCACTTGATTGTCTTGGATGAGCCTACCAACTATTTGGACAGAGATTCTTTGGGTGCTTTGTCCAAGGCTTTGAAGGCTTTCGAAGGTGGTGTCATTATCATTACCCACTCTGCTGAATTCACCAAGAACTTGACCGAAGAAGTTTGGGCCGTCAACAACGGTATCATGGTTCCATCTGGCCACAACTGGGTTGCTGGTCAAGGTTCTGGTCCAAGATTGGAGAAGAAGGAAGACGAAGGCGACAAATTCGATGCCATGGGTAACAAGATCAGCTCAGGTACCAAGAAGAAGAAGTTGTCTTCCGCTGAACTAAGAAAGAAGAAGAAGGAAAGAATGAAGAAGAAGAAGGAATTGGGTGACGCTTACGTTTCTTCCGATGAAGAATTTTAAAGAATGATAAACTGTATTTAATACCTCTTCATTTCTTCATTGGTTGAATGAATTGTCAGTCATAATAGTCTGCTCGGTTTGCCAAGCACAAGCACCCCGGGCACTTCTGCCACACATGTATTCTAGTTTGGTGTATACACATAAGTAATAGAGAATGCAAACTCTCAAGCTTTTTATATTGTTTCTTAAAAAGTGTTTGACACATTTCCCTGTTGATAGTTGTCTACCAGTGACGCTCTATTATCAATTCTCCATAAATTACTTTAATGGGCGCTTAACAATCAACATTTAATTATATAAATAATGTGGGGGCAAAAGTCTTGGTTGAATCTTTCTGATGTTGAAGGACAAGCTACAGTTCTCTGGGGCTAATTTGAAAAATGAAGCAATTTTATATTATTTCAATGAGATTTTGGCTTCTTGCCAACCAGGTCGGCGTCGCTTGTGCCTTGTCAAAGACATTGTCCACTTTCAGCGAGGTTGAATGTCCTAATATCGCCTTAGTCAGGGAGTCTAAAGTAGGAACGCCTCTGGCAGACACCTCTAAAGTATCTCGACTTAGCCTTACTAACTAGTTGCACCGGCGTCTATCTGTTCAGCGGAAGACGAATATATTAAAAGCCGCCAGAAAGTCATGAAAGGCCGACTTCAACAATTTATGCACACCTTGGCCGTACGTCAATCAGATGCAAAATATCTTGCATTGTTGGCGCAAGATCAAATCAATATGGGGCTGGCATTTTCGGGCGGGGGCTACCGCTCCATGCTGACTGGTTCAGGATTTTTGTTGGAAATGGAGAGTTTTGGATTGGTCGACTGTCTTAACTATGTCACAGGTATATCAGGAGGGAGCTGGATATTAGCTAAATTAATTCTTGGTGATTTCAAGGTTGATACCTTGATGGATTGGCATCTCACGGATGGCCTATTGAAAGGGGTTTCAGACCTGAATATATCTGAGCAAAGTGTGGTTAGTCTACGCGACTCTGATGATCTAAAGAATATATTCCGTGCTGACGATTGGTTTTATCAAAAGTTGACCCAAGTATCCAGCCTGTGGAAAAGGGATACTGCAACGGATCCGCTTGACGTGTTCAAACGATTTACCTCAGACGTGGAGAACCTTTCGATACTACTACGCGGAATGAGAGTTGAAAAACGGAGCAGTAACTATATTTCAAAATTTAAGCACCTCTTTCATGGCATTTTCAAAACTGACTCAAGTTTTGACTCGAAGGTGGGCAAGCTGCTAGAAGCATCTAATGAAATTCGCGCGATAGTTCAGTTTTACGTTGATCTTCACTTGAAGGCCAAGAATAAAAAATTAAGCGGCTTCCCTCTTTCATTTACAGATTATTGGGGGCATGCACTAATCAACCAGATTGCACCGTCGGAGGGCAAAAGCTCTATAACAGACATCCTAGCAAAAAGTTCGCGATTCCAAAACTATGAAATGCCCCTTCCGATATTCGTGGCAAATTGCAAGAATCGCAATTTGCACAATGCCGCCTTTGAATTCACACCGTTTGAATTTGGTTCCTGGACCTCTTTACGGTTGTTCATTCCGTTAAAGTACTTGGGATCACATATTGTTAGAGGTTTGCCAATCAAATGCGTAACTGGTTTTGACGAGATCAGCTTCATAACTGGAACATCCTCCTCGATATTCAACAATGTGCTAATGAGTGTGTGGCAGATGATTGCACCCTCGTTAAACACCCGCAAGGCGATAGGGGCCATTTTGAACGCCTTCAATTTGGTATTCGAAAACTCAGGACAGAAGGAAAGGCAAATACGTCGGAAACTGAAAACCAAACCTGAATACGCTATTTATCACCCCAATCCGTTTTATCAGTACCCCGGTGTCACTGATTTTCTAACTCAAGAAAGTCGTTTGTATTTGGTGGATGGAGGTGAAGATGGTCAAAATATCCCCATTGGGCCTCTATTAATACCAGAGCGGAAAATTGACGTTGTATTCGCCCTTGATTCCAGTTCTGATGTTTGCGGTTATCCAAATGGCACAATGCTAAGGAATTTCTACAGAGACAACTATCTCGCTGGTAGCAGCACGAATTCAAGGCCATTTCAAGTTTTGCCGCATATTCCATCCAGTGACGAATTTATAAAGCTTGGCCTACTATCTCGACCAGTGGCTTTTGGCTGCCACTTGTCTAGCTTTCCCAATTTTGAACTGACAATGAAGCCCGGTTCTAACTCTACGTTACTTCCACCAATCATACTTTATCATGCAAACTCAGCTCACTCATTTAAATCAAATTTGTCCACCTTCAAGCTCAAATATTCAGATGATGAGGTTCATAATATGCTACAAAACGGCAGAGATATTTTCAGTTTCGAATCAAGTCCAAAGTACAAAAGATGCTTGGCATGCATAATCGTGAAAAGGGCATACGACCGAAAATTACTGAGCTTGGAAGAAGCCCAAATGCCTTTTTTCTGTGAGGTGTGCTACAGTGAATACTGCTTTAACTGACATTTGATGTCTCGTGATTCACTAATAATTAGTTTTTAATTATAGGATTTTACGAAAACTAGCTTCCTTACTACCCAACTGTGCTCCAAATTGACAATCTCCAGATATTAAAGTCTTGTCATTATGAAAGTCTCGATTGCCTTTTTGAGCGCCCTCTTTGCTACGGCATTTGCTGTTCCAGCACGTCAGGATGGGGCTGAGATCAACGAAGAGGTAGAGGTCAAACCTGAGGGCCTATCATGGGAGGAATGGCACATGCAACATGAACATCAGAAAGATAGTTATGATCCAGAGACTTTTTTTGTACTGCATGACATTGGGGGTAAGGGTTACTTTGACAAGGAGGATATCTTAACCATGTATGGTCTAAATCGTGCCGAAGTGGTCGGTAGTGGCGACGGAATGGGAAAGCATGACGACTCTGAAATGATTGATGAAGAAACATCTGAGAGAGTTTTTCGCCTGGTAATGCAACTGCTGGATGTTGATGATGATAGTAAGATCGAAAGGGCTGAGTTTTTAACTTTTGCCAATGCAGGGAACAAGCTGCCGGATTTGGGCGTCGGTGTCGGCCATCACTCCGACTTTGAGCTCGAATACGAACTCCACCATTGGAACAAATATCATAGAGATCAGGATCCGTATGTTAAGATTGTACACAAGGAGGATATAGAACACGACTTGTTACATCATGAGCATGAAATCGAGCATGAAGAGCAACTCCAAAGGGGGGCCTCAAGAATAACTGTAATAACCGACGATGAGCTGGAGGCGAGAATAAATTTCAAAAACATTCCATCAAAATTTAAAAAAGGTTTTTAGATGTAAGTTGCTGTAGTGGCTAGGTCCCCTTGCCTATATAGATTTCAGCAAGTCTTCTAGTGTATCTATTTCAAAGTACTCATGTTCAATAGCATAAGTTCGAATGCCCAGGTTATTCAATGCTAGTGTATCTACAGAAATTTCGCCTCTAGTCAAATATAGCACATCAGTAACATACTTGGTCCATTCAACAGGTAAGTCGACTCCAGCACTTTCAGGTTTTTGGCTTTTTCTCTTGCGCTTGTAGTTATGAACTGCTCTGTGCATCGACTCCACAATCATTTTCACAAAGTGGAAGCCATCCATTCCGTACGTTTCACGGTCGTATTTGTTGTTCACTAATAAGACTTTTTTGGCGTGTTCGTTTTCCACAATGGTTTCGGCCACATTTCCCAGTATTATGATCGGCAAAAGGCTGGTCATGAGCGACCCCACCGAATAAATCACCATTTTGCTGTTTTTTAACTTGTTAATAGCCCTGCTATTCCCCTGTGGCAAAACCTCCTCGCCATATGGATTAATGTATAGAATGCGTTTTATCGGAGCCGCTAGCAAGTCCTCCTCGCCCACGCCCATCTTATCAAAATGTAACTGTGAAAGTTTTAACTCCGGATGGATATATCCCGGGTATGCAAATTCTTCTTCGTCGTCAGCTCCACGATCAGTTTCATCTTCGTCGTCATCATCTTCACGAAGTAGCTCTTCGAAACCTGTGTCAAATGTTTCTTGTTCTTTCAGATGAACCGATGAGTTCGGCCCTACAAGTGACTCCGTGCTGAAGTTTGCGGATGCGTTGGGCAACAAACCGACTTTGCTGGAGCGCACTCTTCTACCCTTCTGCTTGGACGGATGTGATATTTGCGATTGGCCTGTTATAACATCCCCATTCTGCAGCAGGGCTGATATGTGATGTGTGTGGTTCGTGTTTATGCACGGGATGATGCTAATGCGCTCGTCGCACCGGCAGACACGAAGGGCGAGCTCTATAGATGAATCAAGAGACCCTAAAAAAAGGCGGATGCCGGTGAGAAAAAGATTTCCAATGCTCGCTCTTTCGAATTGAAACGGGGCCGAGGTCTTGTCTTTTTTCAGAAGCTCGGCCTGCATGTGGATGAGGAAAGACCGGCACATTTCTTTGACTTCGCTGGGGAATCCCGTCCAGATTGGGTGCGTTCCATCTACAATAGCATTCCATTCCTGTTTAGCCCGCATTCTGGCAGCTGACAGTCGGTACCCCAGTAATGATGACACGTTCGCGTCTTTGATCAAACGCACGATCCGTGAGCGAATGTCCCCGATAGCAGGGCCGCCTACCACTCTCAGGATTTCGCTGGTCGACCCGCCATTATCAGAAATCGGCATGATGAAAGAAAGCTCATTTGAAACTCTTTCGAACGCTTCCAATAACCCATTTGCTGCTGTGCCGCCAGAAAGCACTACTAAGTTCTTCTGACACACTTCGTTACTCATATTCCTGTCAGGCCCACTCATTACACTCATTTAGTCCTAGACCCCTACAATTGTTCAATTTACCAACACTCACGAGGTTGACCAATCAATCACCTGTTGTTGAATCGGGAATTACGTGTAATCACTACTTGATACCAAAGGTTGATAATTTTTGTGATGCATAAAATATGCACAGAGAGAAGGTGGCGAGTTTCGCTCAAATTGTTGCTAAAATGACGGATAGTTGTTAATGTGAGAATATATATCTATGACAAGATATATTATTAAATATTATATGTAGACCTAAAGAATTCGGTGGATATAACCAAAAATCCTGCGATAGGTAAACAACTGACTGTGTTCAAAGCACTTTTTGTAATTCACAGAAATTTAGGTGCTACTCTGTACAACTATAGATCTCATTGAGCAATGGTCAACGCTGTAATTTTCACTGATTTTGACGGAACTGTGACGTGGCAGGACTCCAACGATTTTCTCACAGACACCAAGGGATTTGGTAAGGAGGAAAGAAGTAAGGTTTTTGAAGGAGTCCTGGATGGCACGAAGTCCTTCAGAGATGGCTTCTGGGACATGCTGGAGTCGGTGAAGACGCCATTCCCTGAGTGCGTCAAGCTCGTGGAGGAAAACATTCAACTCGACCCTGGCTTCAAAGACACATTTGAATGGGCCCAAGAGAACGGCGTTCCTATCGTGGTCATCTCCAGTGGTATGAGACCCCTGATCAAGGCGCTGCTAGCGCGCCTGGTCGGCCCAGAAGCGATCGAGAAGATTGACATTGTTTCCAACGAAGTTGAGATCGACAGCGACGGACAATGGAGAATTGTTTACAAGGACGACTCCTCTTTTGGCCACGACAAGTCGAAGAGTATCACTGCATACAAGAAACAGTTCGAGGCCGCTGGCAAGAAGCCTACCTATTTCTACTGTGGCGACGGGGTATCCGACTTGAGCGCTGCTAAGGAGTGCGACTTGCTTTTCGCAAAGAGAGGCAAAGATTTGGTTACCTACTGCAAGCGTGAACACGTCCCATTCCACGAGTTCGATACATTCGAAGACATTTTAAGCAGCATGAAGGACGTGTTGGCCGGCAAAAAGACGGTTACCGAACTGATGCAAAATTGATGAACTACACGCACAGAGCAACATCCGTGAGACCGGAACCTGTTGATCTGACAATGCGACAACGAGATGTTTCGACTTCCATGCCCTAAATAAGTATTCTAATTGATTAACTAGAATATAAGAACTTCTGCGAGCCAAGCACGCCAGTTGGGAAGTGCTTCTGGTGATAGGGTGGTTCACATATCATTCTTTGTTTATGTGTCGTGCTAGGGCCGTGCGATCACACAATGCAAGTCCATTAACCCACGCAACCCCCAACTCCAAGGCCCTCGCCGTAATGGCAAAGTAGTGACCCTGTCCGATCTAGAGTCAGACTATATAATCCAGTTCAGCTACCGGTATGAATGTTCCACCCAGCTCTCCCGGCTATAGTAGCCTGCAGTAGTCAACTGGCATCGATTTCCGAATTAAAATGTCAAAAGTCAAAGTGAAGAATCCCATCGTGGAGATGGATGGCGATGAGCAAACCCGCATTATTTGGCACCTCATCCGAGAAAAATTGGTTATACCATTCCTGGACATTGACTTACGCTACTATGACTTATCCATAGAAAATCGCGATGCTACTGAAGATCAAGTAACGATTGATTCGGCTATTGCAACCCAGAAATATGGCGTGGCTGTGAAATGCGCTACTATTACCCCGGATGAAGCAAGGGTTGAGGAGTTCAAGCTGAAAAAAATGTGGAAATCACCCAACGGCACGATCAGGAATATTTTAGGCGGAACAGTGTTTCGAGAGCCAATTGTCATTCCAAAAATACCCAGGCTTGTCTCAAAGTGGACTGATCCCATCATCATTGGACGGCATGCATTTGGTGACCAGTACAAAGCTACCGACGTAGTCATTCCCGGCGAGGGGGAGCTGAGGCTGGTATTCAAGTCCAAAAATGGAGATCAGGACTTAGATTTGAGCGTATTCCACTTTCCGGAGACAGGCGGCGTGGGCCTAGCAATGTATAACACAGTAGAATCGATCGAAGGGTTTGCCCGGGCCAGTTTTGAATTGGCCATACAGCGAAAGTTGCCGCTCTACTCCACGACGAAAAACACAATCTTGAAGAAGTATGATGGCATGTTCAAGGATGTTTTCGAAGAAATGTTCAATTCGCGTTACAAAGGAGAATTCGCGAAACTCGGAATATGGTATGAGCATCGGTTGATCGATGACATGGTGGCTCAAATGTTAAAATCTACAGGTGGGTTTATTATTGCCATGAAAAATTACGATGGAGATGTGCAATCTGATATTGTAGCTCAAGGTTTCGGCTCGTTGGGGTTGATGACCTCTGTCCTTGTTTCTCCCGACGGCAAGGCTTTTGAGAGCGAAGCAGCCCATGGTACTGTCACCAGGCACTATCGACTTCATCAACAGGGGAAAGAAACCTCCACAAATTCCATCGCATCTATATTTGCGTGGACCAGGGGACTAATTAAAAGAGGCAGGTTGGATGACACGCCAGATGTCGTAAAGTTCGCAGAACTGCTAGAAAAGGCTACTATTGCCACCGTCCAAGAGGATGACATCATGACCAAAGATTTGGCGCTAATGCTGGACAAGACAGAGCGGTCAAGCTACGTTACCACTGAAGAGTTCATCGAAGCGGTCGAAAGGCGCCTTAGTAGTGGCTTGGAGGCGCGCAGGTAAACTATGAGGACATATATTTTTATAAGCATTATTTTTATTATTAAAGGTACAGAAATCGTTACTGATTGAAGGCTAAAGTAAACCTTGGTTGACACAGTTCAGAGACGGGATAGCCCATCCTGTGATGAAATAAAGGCGACTCAATGCGAGAGGAAAATTTCTAGAGCAGTACTAGTCCGCGATAGTTTAGTGGCTAGAATTCGGGCTTGTCGCGCCCGGGACCGGGGTTCAATTCCCCGTCGCGGAGTTCTTTTTTGATGGTCACTCGATTGCCGTCCGCTGTATCCATTGAAGTAGAGGGACTGGCTGTAGATACATTAATCTTCGAGTTGTTGGCGTATCATTTCAAACCAAAATTTTTTTTGACGAGTAGATAACTATTTTATTCTTTTTATTTAGTGATATACCCACACCTTCGTAGCGCGTATATGTTTCGAGGTCCCCTGTTTCTGCTGATGTTCCCGTAGCTCGCTTCCTTGAAGCTCAACACTTGCGTGGTTCTTAGACTGCGCAATAATTATGTTTCACACGGCTCTGCCGATCTCTAAATATCAACTCTATTCAGCAAACTCAGGTCTTAGATCTGAGCGACGTGGGGCTACCAGTGGGTGCAGCTGTGCTAAGTATGTAAATGCCCACATCAAAAACATCATAGCCAGTGATAAAATGACTGTACTTCTCCACACCCTGTTTCAAGAGGAATAGTTAGTAAACACCATAAAATGTCGCGCGCGCGCTCAATTGTCGCAATCGCAAATCAATCCACATACGTTTGGTTCTCTTTAGGTGCTAAGAACCAAAATATCACGCTGGCCAAGGCCACCGTGAAAAAAACGGCAACAACGGTATAGCTGGATGTAGCTCAGTTAGTAACATGAAGTCTCTTTAAGATTATGTGATGGTGGTACTTCTCACATACAAGCTCATTGTGGGCGATGGATCTTTTGTGTTTCTTGTCGTCTAGTGTTTTTGAGATAGGATAAATTAAACTGTTTTGGAGGGGATTGTTATTATCCCTAACCACGGGTGACCTTACCGGTCGTTATGAATCGTTCAACACGCCTCTGGCTCATAACTTCTGTCCGTGTACTCAAACGAAGTGAGCAAGTTTGCAGCTTACGATAATAATACACCAATGGAAATAGACGAAGAGTGGTTCACCATTCCATTGATCACAACCACTTCGTCTTGAGCTTTAGCACCGTATCGTAGCACGTGATGTATCATGGGTTCTTCACCAATATCTTCGCTGCTCCAACGTTGCGCATATAGGATTGTGGAGTTCGTCGAGCTTGTGTGATCTCATTCTTGACTTAGAATTCACGACTTTTCTGATAATCGGCTTATGATACACGCCCTTTACTGTCACATGGGTATATGTCTGAGTAGACGTATAATAAATGAATAATTGAACATATCGTGAAACCCTTTCTGCGTCGATCAAGACATGGACTCTCTTAGCATACCGCCTCCTGTGATAGATTGGCTCTTCAAAGTAACACAGCCCGTATGTTGGTTTTTATTGCGTTGAAGCTGGCTAAACATCTTGTCGAAATTTCCAAGCCTTACTAACAACAGATATTAGTACTATGACGGCAGGGCCACATTCAGGGATGTATTGTACACATTGAGCGAATACCGCAACTTGAGACCTCGGACAAAGACATATACGGACTCGCAGGGCAAGTCGGCACTACTATTGTGTTTATACGGTGTCATCGAGAGCGGGCAGATAGCGGTACCGGTGCTTATTTGGATCCCTTTGGAATACCCTATTTTAGCACCGTACGTGTACTTAGACCTTGACTCCCTCCGAGATTACAAGATCAAGCCAAATGGAGTCGCTGATTCTAACGGTTTATTTTCGCTGTCTGCGATACACAATTGGGATGCCCAAGTATCCAACCTACGGGACCTTGTGCAGGAGCTCACATCGGTGATTCTAGAGGACACGCCGGTCATGTCCAGTACTGGTGCCGCATTGGAAAACCCACCACTCCCTGAACGAATAAGTTTAGCGCCCTCTTTTTCGCCGAATATCAACTCCTTTGCCGAAGACATGACGCGGGCAACACTGCACGGGCAAGAGCGGCCGCCTGCGCCAGAACTGCCACCTAAACCTTTTTCCAAAACTCCTTCGGCAACTTCATTCCTTAGGACTCCTTCAGAAGCCCCAACAGGTGCTATACATCCCGCTAGCTCTCTTAAAGACGCACCCGAAACTCTCGAGTCACAAATATCTCAGCTTAGCCTCATGGACATTGATGCAGGGGACCAACAAAACCTGTCTCACACGAAAGCACTTACAGCCCTACATGAGGCAGTAGCCTTGCTAGCAGAGCAAGACCATAGAACTGTACAGGATACACTCCGTAGCAGGATGTTAGCAGTGCAGAACGCTAAAATCCAATTTCGCAACATATGTGACCACGAAATGACCATGGTAGGCCAGAAGGAGACCATCCTGAGCAAAAGACATGAAGCTTTAGTAAATGGCTTAGACCACATCAAGGCACAGCTGAATAAAGCCCAGCTGTATGTTCAGGATCACGGTCCCGAGTGTGATCTACAATCAATACTGGTTCCGGAAACTCCCGGCATTCAACAGCTCAGAGAGCTTGTTGCTCAAGATCATGCTATTTCTGACACCATCACTGCGCTTAGTAGAATGCTGGGCCAAGATATAATCTCCATTGATTCCTTTATGAGGAATGTTAGAGCTTTGGGGCGAGATCAGTTTATGATCCGTCTCCACATCAATAAGATCATGGGCGTGGTAACGGCATAAAAGGCTGGTGTGCATCCTCTGGGAAAGGATCGATATTGGAAGGAGCACACATACGAGCTCAAAGGGGACTACGAATATAGCCGCCAATTTAAATGGCCTATGTAGTCACGCGACTAAAGCGTGACTATTCCGATCATGTGCAAGTCACGTTGCTATTTTTTGATTCATCGAACATACGCTGTTTTCCTTTTCCAAGTTTTCTGAGCATCCTGAAAAAAAATTTTCCGATGAGATAGATGATGAGAAGAAAGGACCTTACAAGCTTTCTCCAAGTGTTCCTTCCACACGACTTTCAACTTTAGTAGAAAGCTTATAGTTCAAGTCTGACAGTTAATCTACAATGTCTGACGAATACATGATCAAGCCTGAAAACGTGGCGCCATCTACTGACGCCAGCGAATGGCCCTTGCTGTTGAAGAACTATGACAAGCTTCTGGTTAGAAGTGGTCATTATACGCCCATTCCACACGGTTCCTCTCCTCACAAGAGAGATTTGAAATCTTACGTGAGCTCCGGTGTGATCAATCTGGACAAACCTTCGAACCCATCGTCGCATGAAGTTGTGGCTTGGATTAAGCGTATTCTACGTTGTGAGAAAACTGGTCACTCTGGTACTTTAGACCCTAAGGTTACTGGTTGTTTGATTGTGTGTGTCGACAGAGCCACCAGATTGGTCAAATCGCAACAAGGTGCCGGTAAAGAGTACGTGTGTATTGTCAGACTTCACGACGCCCTAAAGGACGCCAAAGATCTAGGAAGAGGCCTAGAGAATTTGACCGGTGCACTCTTCCAAAGACCTCCCTTGATTTCCGCTGTTAAGCGTCAACTACGTGTGCGTACCATCTATGACTCCAATTTGATCGAGTTCGATGACAAGAGAAACCTTGGAGTGTTCTGGGCTTCTTGTGAAGCTGGTACTTACATGCGTACTTTGTGTGTCCATCTTGGTATGTTACTTGGGGTTGGTGGCCATATGCAGGAATTGCGTCGTGTTAGATCCGGTGCCATGTCTGAAAACGATGACCTAGTCACTTTGCATGACGTTATGGACGCCCAGTGGGTCTACGACAACACCAGGGACGAAACATATTTGAGAAAAATCATCAAGCCTTTGGAGACATTGTTGGTGGGATATAAGAGAATTGTGGTCAAGGATTCGGCAGTTAATGCTGTTTGTTACGGAGCTAAATTGATGATTCCCGGTCTGCTGCGTTACGAAGAAGGCATTGAGTTATACGATGAGGTCGTGCTAATGACCACTAAAGGTGAGGCTATTGCTATTGCTATTGCACAAATGTCGACCGTTGATCTAGCCACTTGTGACCACGGGGTCGTGGCAAAGGTCAAACGTTGCATCATGGAAAGGGACCTATATCCCAGAAGATGGGGTCTAGGTCCTGTCGCACAAAAGAAGAAGCAAATGAAGGCAGATGGTAAGTTGGACAAGTATGGAAGAGCTAACGAGCAAACACCTGAAGAATGGAAGAAGAGCTATGTTTCTCTAGAGACGGATCAACCAGTAGCTCAGATAACTGCTAAGGTCACAGAAAGTACCTCAAGTGCCACTTCCCAAACTGCCCCAGTTGAGGTAGTTAAGGAAGAAGTGAAGACCGAAACTCTAGTGAAGGAAGATGATGGCGAGGAGGCCGAGAAGAAGGAGAAGAAAGACAAGAAGGAGAAGAAGGAGAAGAAGGAGAAGAAAGAAAAGAAGGAGAAGAAAGACAAGAAAGACAAGAAGAGAAAGTCTGAAGGTGACGATTCTTCTGAGAAGAAAAAGAAGTCCAAGAAATGATTAAGTTCACGTTCAGTCAAATTGCATTCACCGACACTTTTCTATATTGAATATGTATAAAATCATCACTGTATATTGTAATTCTAATGGTAAAATTGATACTTTGGACTTATAGAAGCCAATTGCACATTGCAAACTTACGTATTGACGACTCCCTCAGATATTCATTACCACCAAGATATGAAAATTAAGTTTATGCAGAATTGATGCTCGTCATTAATGGGATACATACAAGTGTATACACAGTACAGTGTCATATCTATAGTCAGAAATTTTCCATGATTGCGCTTCTTTGAGATGTGCTCAGTGTCACTGGATAGTCGATCTTATATTTCACTATCAAGTCACCGCGTTGAGTTGGCGTTTTTGCAATAGGCATACCTTGGCCCGGGTACGTCGAAACATCCGACGGCTGGACTGGTTGTATTCTAGAGATTGGTAGCGTTCTACCATCGATGGTTTGAATGGTCTTGTTGAAGCCTAAAAGTGATTCCTTGAATGACAATGGCAGAGAATATATCAAATCGTTGCCATCTCTGGTGTAATGTTCGTGGGGCTTTTCTTGGAGAATGAATTGCATGGTTTGTCTTCTGCCGGTCTGAGGATTGTAATCACCTTCGTTTTTGTAAGTGATTTTGGTTCCAGCCTTCCATCCCGGCCTCAATTGAATGTCAACCTGTTGTTTTTCTGATGTACCACCGGGGCCCTTCCGAGTAATTTTGAAAGATTTCTTTTTGCCTTGAAACAAGTCCTCCAAGTTGACCGGCAGGTTGACCTGAACAGTTTTCTCCTCAGGTGGTGGGGACGACGCGCCCGATTGAAAACCACCTGGCATACCTCCTCCAGAGGAGCGGAAACTTGTTCCGCCAGGGAACCCGCCTGCTGAAAATCCACCGTGACTCCCACCAGGAAATCCGCTTGAGAATCCCCCACCAAAGGCATCTTCGCCACCTCCAAATCCACCAAAGGGAGAGGCCCCTCCTGAGGAGGCACCACCACCGAAAAATTGTGAAAAAATGTTGAATGCATCTTCGTTTGAGAATGCATGAGCACCCCCAAATCCAGCTCCCGGATGACCACCGGCACCACCTGGTCCAGCACCTCCAAAAGCTGGGCCACCATTTCTTGCGGCCTCTAACCCGTAAGTGTCATAAATCTCACGCTTTTGGGCGTCATTTAGTATTTCAAAAGCTTCGGATATCTCTTTAAACTTCTCAGCATTACCTGAGGGCTTATCTGGATGATATTTCAATGCCGCCTTACGGTAGCCCTTTTTTAGTTCCGTTTCGTTTGCTGTGGGCTGAACCCCCAGCATATCGTAAAGTTTGGTTTCTTTGACCATTGTCGCGAATGAAGTGTTTTGTTAACTGAATCAAAAATACGACTGTTCTAATATGAAAAACTCTCGGGATTCTCTCGCTAAAACGCTAATTCGCTTCTGGCGCAAGAAATAAGGTTTCGCAAATCTCGCTTGTATCTGATTTTGAGCAGAACGTAAACTGAACACCTATCGATTATATGTTCAAGGTTTATCTAGTTGCCAATGGGTTTTTAAACCGAGAGGGTTCACGTACACGTTTCTTGATCGAGGCGAGTCGCACAATTGAACTGCTCCTTATATACGCTATCATCCGGTTCTGGTCGTGTTTACTAGAATTTTCTAGAAATACGAAAAGTGTTGATAACACTTTACACGAAGATACTCTAAGGACCTTTATTCATTTTGATGATGAGGGAACTTTATAGCATTAGACCTCAGTTCAATAGTTTGAATCCAAAAAGCATCTTCAGCGGAACTTGACTTGATTGACGGTTCTCAACCGCTTGAGCCTCTGTATAATTGCTATCATCATGTCAGTTATTCTGGCGTCCGCCGGATACGACCATACCATTAGATTCTGGGAAGCCCTGACAGGTGTATGCTCTCGAACAATCCAGCATGTGGACTCTCAAGTAAACAGGCTTGAAATATCGTCTGACAAACGATTTCTCGCAGCAGCTGGCCACCTGAATGTACGGCTATACGATATTCGTACTACCAATCCGAACCCTGTCACTTCCTTTGAGGGACACAGGGGAAATGTTACTTCGATAGCATTCCAACAAGAAAACAAATGGATGGTATCGTCAAGCGAAGATGGAACTATAAAAGTCTGGGATGTCCGTGCACCATCGGTACAGCGCAATTACAAGCACCATTCAGCTGTCAATGAGGTTTTAATACATCCCAATCAAGGGGAACTGATATCGTGCGACCAGGACGGTAATATACGTATATGGGATTTGGGGGAAAATAAGTGTGTTCATCAACTAACGCCAGAAGACGATACGCCACTACAGTCTCTATCGATAGCAAGTGATGGTTCGATGCTTGTTGCGGGCAACAACAAGGGCAATTGTTACGTATGGCAAATGCCCAATCAGACTGACGCTGCTAACCCGGAGCCTGTGACCAAATTTAGGTCTCATTCAAAATATATCACTAGAGTTTTGCTGTCTTCGGACGTCAAACATTTGGCTACCTGCTCGGCCGACCACACTGCCCGAGTATGGTCTATTGACGATAACTTTCAACTCGAGACCACGCTGGATGGCCATCAGCGCTGGGTATGGGACTGTGCTTTTAGTGCTGATTCAGCGTATCTCGTCACGGCATGCTCCGACCATTATGTGAGACTATGGGATCTCTCTACCAGGGAAATTGTAAGACAATATGGCGGACACCATAAGGGTGCCATATGTGTAGCACTCAATGACGTCTGAGACTGTACGTAAGTTAAGTGAATAGCCGCACCACGGGTGAAGATACATAATGACACATTTGTTAATATTACAGCCGTTATCTATTCTATAATGGCACTGGAATTTTTGGAAGCTCAAAACTTTTATTCATCGAACGAAGAAATTTTGACGGTGAAGTCGTGGGCTGAGAAGTGGTCAATCTTTGGCCTTGCTGACTCGGTCACTAATTCACCAGGTGCATTGTTCAGCATCCCTAATTTGAAGACATCATGAAAGTGCCAATCTCATCGCACCAACGGAGCCATTCATCTATAAAAGTCTTGATGGCCCACCAAGAACCAGCATTTTCAGAACCCATAATACTTAATTCACGAATGACCCCAGTGGTGAATACATTAACGTTGGCAATAATAATTGAAGCGGGCTGATCATGAATTTTCACCAAGAAAGATAATACCTGAACCGCCAGATCAATTGGGAAATTGTCACTAATCGAATGTTCATCTCGGTTGAAAAAATTGTCTATTGTTTGTAAAATGAAGTTGGAAATCTCCTTCAAGGAAGTTTCATCTTCTGAGCAACAAAAAAGTTCGGTCCGGCAAATTTCGCTAGAGTCGATGAATTTTTTCCAATCTTGGTACATGTCTTCTCTTGACGATTTTGTTTTATAGGCTTTGGAAGCACTCTTGGCAGTTCTAATAACGCGAGTTGACCGCTTGACAAGTTTCGAAAATTTCTCGGCAACCATCACTTTATTCTTTACCATAGGAACTGGTAAATCAATGTTTGCATTGGATATAACATCTGAATAGGTGCGCGAGAGATTAATCAGTTTGTCAGATACAGAGGAAGGGATCGTTGCAAACTCTTTAATGAACTTTGCTAGTGACTTAATGGAAGCCTTGTGGGTCACCCAGTCCGCCTGGTTAACCCAATCATAAACAAATTCCGATATAAACAAATTGAACATTTGTGGTGAGATTGAAGTTGAGCTAAACGACTCCAAAGTATTGGTTAAGGCATCAAACTTCGCAAAACTGAAGTTTTCTTGAACTGTATTACAGTGCACTTTGTACATGCACTCTAAAGAAGATGCAATATCCTTATCGGTATTTGGTGGCAAATGTGGGGTGATAGAGGGGATTTCAAGCGACACATTAATATCCACGTTTGATGTGTTGACGAACAATTCCTCTGCAACCTTCAAGGACTTCCACCTGGCGGTGTCTTTTGCTTGTCCTTCGCTTCTCTGATAATTATCTTGAAAAATTAGTGGTGTTGTAGAATTTGAGGCAGGCAGACTTGTAGAAGATATCGAGGGATACAGAGACGCATTTTTGTCTCGGTCCTGTGCATTGTCAGGGAGTTGGTGATTGTGGGGTTCATGACGGTTATTGGGTATTTCGTTGACTGGATTGGCGTCATCGTTATTGCCAGCTTCAAAGTTTCGAAACGAGGGATTAGGTGAGGTCGATCTAGAGGGGCTTATCAAATTTAGGCCACAATAGTGATATTTTGATTGGCCCCGCATACCCAAACGTCTCGTTGTGAGGTCCGGAAAAATAGACCTTATAAGTTTGCCTAAAGTGGCCTGTGACAGGGGTTTCAAGTTGTTTTGGGCACAGCATGCAGCGTACTGAGCAAAAATACGACCACGGGGAACAAAGCTGTTCTTTTCTTCGACGCAACTATCCATCAACCAGGTCAGAGCGTAGACTTGTCTTTCGCGTTCACGAACCTGTTCTGCGGCTTGAATTTCTGCTTTTGTGTGAGTAGATGGATCCATATTCAAAACAGCAAGTTCTGCTTCTCGTACCGTCATAGCACATTCTAAGGGAGACTTTGATTTGTTTTTCAACGCCAGCTCTCGAAGAATCGCTTCATTTCCGTTTTTTTTTGTGTGTGAACCGTTACTGCGTTCTTTGTTGAACGCCGACTCTTTGGACAATGCAGGGTGAGATTCAGAGTAGTCCATGTAAGATCGCTTTTTCCATGCTCCTTCAGAATCAAGAGCCGATGACGGTTGCGACTGTGCAGAATGGAAAACTGGAAGCTGTTGTAAGCCACGATACATCTCCAGAGGCTTTTCATTATTGACCACAGATTGTGGAACAGGGCTCGGCAGATATCCTGAGCCCATGGGTGGACTGTAAGCGGTCCCATATGATGGCATTGACTGTTGTTTGCTGTTTGAGCCACCACCAGCCGCCATACGTAGCCCATAATTGGATACATAGCCACGTTGCGGTTGTTGGAAGCCGGCATTGGACAGGAAACTGTGCTGCTGAGCTTGTTGGAACGGCTGTTGTTGAAAGTGCTGCTGCTGCAGTTGTTGGTTCTGCAATTGTTGCTGGAATTGCTGCTGCTGTTGCTGCAGTTGTTGTTGATATAGCTGTCGCTGTTGCTGTTCGTGGTCGTGTTCGTCCTGTTGACGAGGATACGAAAGTTGCTGGCCGTTCTGTGGAGGCTGTTGCATTTTCTGGTGTGCGTAGTGGTGCTGTTGCTGGTCCTGTTGTGTGTCATGGCGTGTATGCGCTTGGTGCTGAGGCACTTGTTCTTGATGATGATAGTTATTGTGCTGCCGCTGATGTTGTGCGGTCGCGGCATGCGTCGGAGATCCGACCGAGTCAGGTCGTCCCTGTAGGTGCATCAAGTTTATCGCACTGCCAGAGTGGTTATTACTCGAGACGTTGCTTGCACTGCTTGAAACCCCAGGTTCCACAGGCAGTGGGTGCGGTAGGGGTGCTAGCACCTTATCATCTAAACGACCGGGATTCGAATTGCTCATTGTGCGCCAAGCACGCACAAATATGTCACGAGAAGGTAATGCGAATGAAACGACAAACCAAATACAAGATCCAAGGCCCTGTCACGAAAAGAAGTCCACTCTGGTTACGTGTTGCCGCTCGAATCGCCTTGTAAGCTGTGACCCTTGAACGCACCTCGATAGTAATGACCTTCAAACACCTTTTTCTGCAACTCCGCGTGAGTTGAACAATTTGCTGAAGGTAGTTATGCCCTGTTCAATTATTCTTAGAAGCCTTGCCGTTCACAGCGGGCAAACTAAATAACGATCTTCCTTTAACCTGGGGTCTTAGAGATGCAATAAAAATCGACTCAATTCAAAATCCACGAATTCCCTGTCTGAGCAACCACTGCTTAGGGCTAGTTAGTCGATGACCGTCTGTTATCTTTGGTTTCCTCAGCGTTATTGTATTGAATTTTGGATTTCATCTAATCTTGCGTGCTTTCTCAGTCGCCGAATCGACACTACGACGAAAAAAAAAAATTTGGAGAAAAAATATTCTAGTTGCGACTAGATAAAAATGTCCTTGCGAGGAGATAAACGACTGGACGTCGCAGGTTGTGACGATTGCTCAGCAAGTTCGTTTTATAGAGAAGGCGACAAGATTGTCCTGTAGTCTGTGTAATGCTGCAGACTCATGGTATTGAAAAAGGTACCTGCAAAAATTATAGTCGAGTTATGTTCAAATAAGTATCTTCGCCTGACCTGCTGCAATGCGTGTGTAAAAGGAGACAGTTGAGGTAGGCTTTCTTTTCTCTTACTTGATCTCTTGGGCTAGCAACTGATTCTAGCTCTCTCGGGTTGGACTAGGTCCTAGACGCAACAAACGCTTGAGCTGTATGGATTTTATCAAGACATGTCACAACAAAAGATTCGAAGACTATTTTTAACGGCGGCGCTGTGGTTCCCAGTCAGCTAGCGCAAGGAGTGGTATATGTAGCTGGCACGCCGTCGTTTGAGGTTTTGCTGGGTGGATCGTATGTATCCAAAAAGTGGATATCACTTTTCGCTTTTACTGTCCACATCGTGACCAGGCAGCAGGAGAGCTCATCGGCATCTCATGTCTGAAAAATTTTAGCGATGAGCTTTGAAGATGAGCTACTCAGTTACTACAACTTAAAAGGCCAGTGCAGATTGGCAGCTACTCTTAACTCTTCGGACAGGTTACAGGTAACGAAGTACGCACTAGTTAATCAGAGTCTTGCATTGAAAGAACTTTGTCTCTATCCCTACCCTCACAGCAGATTTTATAGCATTGAAATATGGTAGCCGGTCTGAACTCCAACCCGGAAATTCTTCTCCGCAAGCGCAGAAATGCCGATAGAACGCGGTTGGAAAAACAAGAGCTTGCGCAACGTCGCAAGGAGCTGCAACAGAAACAGAAGCGTGCTCGCAAGAACAAGTTTGAGAGGGCAGAATCCATAGTAGCCACCTCGCTGGCCACGCAGCGTGAAAAGGAGCGTATAAAACGTGTCTCGAAACTGGAAGCTCAGCGTGCAAAAGGTGAAACCCAGCGTTTGGCATCGGACCGTGATTTTATTCTAAAAGTGCATACCACAGACGGTCAGACGGAGTCCAGTGTGGATGACAGCGAAGACGACGCTGCCTTGCAAACGGAAAAGTGCGAGTACGACGGCAAACCGACGCTCCTGTTTGTGCTGCGCATTCGTGGACCAATTGCGGCAAAGATCCCTCAGAAGGCTCACAAAGTGCTATCGCTTCTGAGACTTTCGGAAGTCAACACGGGTGTCTTCGTGCGCCTCTCTCCACAGGTGTATCCTTTGCTGAAACTGGTGGCTCCTTACGTCGTTGTGGGCCAACCGTCGCTCTCCTCGGTGCGTTCGCTCATCCACAAGAGAAGTCGCGTGTTACTGTCGTCCGCCGAAGGTGAGGAATCCAGGGAATCCATCCTCAACGACAACAATGTGGTGGAGGAACGGCTTGGCTCTGAGGGGATTATCTGTGTCGAAGACATCATCCACGAGATTGCTACTCTAGGCGAGGGGTTTGCCAAATGCAACTTCTTCCTTTTACCTTTCCGTCTCAGTCGCGAAGTATCAGGCTTCAGTGCCCTCAGTAAACTACAGAAGATCAGGCAAAGAGAATGGCAAAAGAAAGCCCTCAAAGTGTCGAATGCCTCTACGGCGCCCGTGGTTCAAATTGACATTGATGCTTTGATCGCTAAACTAAATTAAGCCGTCGCGGTTTGCAGCTTTGTTTCTCTCAACTTAGCACGTTGATTCTTCGTCACAAGATCTACTAGCTCGCCCATAATCAGTGTTCAACCATGACCGATGGTATTATCTGTGACTTTGAGCTATTTGGCCGGTACCGGCCACATATCTTCACCCGGCACTTAATTTATAGGTTTTTTTTCACCACTGGATATTGATATAATAGTATGTACATTACAACGAGTTGGAACATTTAAGCGTTCCTCGGTTCGAACAACACTTCTCTCAATTGCCGTTATTGAGCCTGCGTTTAAGTTACACTGCTGATATTGTCACATAAATATGGTTGACGTAAAGAAAATTGTTATTCTCCCAGGCGACCATGTTGGTCAGGAAATCACCGAGGAAGCCATCAAAGTGCTGAAGGCGGTCTCAGAGGCTCGCCCTAACGTCCACTTTGACTTCCAGCAGCACTTGATTGGTGGTGCTGCCATTGATGCAACTGGTGAACCACTTCCAGATGTCTCGTTGGAGGCGGCAAGAAAGGCGGATGCCGTGCTATTGGGTGCCGTAGGCGGTCCTAAGTGGGGGACTGGTCAAGTCAGACCTGAACAGGGTCTGTTGAAGATCCGTAAAGAATTGCAATTGTATGCGAATTTGCGGCCTTGTAACTTTGCATCTGAATCCTTGCTGGAACTCTCTCCTTTAAAAGCTGAGTATGCTCGTGGTACTGATTTTGTTGTGGTTAGAGAACTTGTCGGGGGGATCTATTTCGGAGACAGAAAAGAAGACGAAGGTGATGGCGTTGCCTGGGACAGCGAAAAGTACACGGTTGCTGAAGTCCAGAGGATCACAAGAATGGCGGCCTTTTTGGCCCTGCAACACAATCCTCCATTGCCTGTGTGGTCTCTTGACAAGGCCAACGTTTTGGCTTCGTCCAGATTGTGGAGAAAAACTGTTGAGAAAACTATCAAGGAAGAGTTTCCTACTTTGAATTTGCAACATCAGTTGATTGATTCTGCTGCAATGATCTTAGTCAAGAATCCAACCCAGCTGAATGGTGTAATCATCACTAACAACATCTTTGGGGACATCATATCTGATGAAGCCTCCGTTATCCCGGGTTCGTTGGGCTTGTTGCCTTCCGCTTCACTGGCCTCGCTTCCAGATACCAATACTGCCTTCGGATTGTACGAGCCATGTCACGGCTCTGCTCCAGATTTGGCAAGAGGTAAGGTTAACCCAGTAGCAACTATCCTGTCCGCAGCCATGATGTTGAAGTTATCATTGAATTTGTTCGAAGAAGGATGTGCTATTGAAGAGGCCGTGAGAAAAGTTTTAGACTCAGGTATTAGAACTGGTGACCTGAGAGGGACTAGCTCAACTACTGAAGTTGGTGACGCAGTTGCAAAGGCAGTCAAGGAAATTCTGGCCTAGTCGAAGCTTAATCATTAATGAGTTAGAAATGAGCGTTGATGAGATGAATGAATATTATATATACGAAATTGTACAGGAAAATGAATGGTCATCGCAAGTCAAAAATATACTAAAAAAACCTAATCTTGTTAGTTTAACTGTTCCGACAGGAACAACAGCATCCAGCTTTTGGTTCATTTTAAAGATGATTTGGAGATAGAAGAAGCAATTTTGAGACTGTTGTCGACGGCAGGCGAGAAAACTGCTAATGACCCGACCACTCGATGGAATTCAAGTCAATACCCTCCTTAACCATCTCCCACAAAGGAGATAGTTCGCGTAAAAACTCAACTCTCTCGGTGATAGCCTTGATAACGTAGTCGATTTCTTCCTCAGTTGTGAAACGCCCAATACCAAATCTGATAGATGAGTGCGCAAGAGCGTCATCTTTACCCAGAGCATGTAAAACATAGGATGGCTCCAAAGACGCAGACGTGCAAGCAGAGCCTGAGCTTAAGGCAATGTCTCTAAGAGCCATCAACAAAGATTCACCTTCGACGTAAGCAAATGAAACGTTGACACACCCCGGGTAGTGGTGATCTGGCGAACCGTTCAGTGAAGTGTGTTCGATAGCCAGAAGACCCTTGGTCAATTTCTCTGATAGCTTCTTGATGTGCTCGGTGTCAGCACTATATTCTTGCTTCATAAGCCTTGCAGCCTCCCCAAATCCAGCAACTAAGGAAGGGGCCAATGTGCCAGATCTCAAGCCTCTTTCCTGACCACCTCCGGAAATGATGGGATCCAGTCTCACACGGGGGCGTCTTCTGACATAAATTGCACCCATTCCCTTGGGACCATATATTTTGTGCGAGGAAATGGACATCAAGTCAATATTCATGTCATTAACGTCTAATGGAATTTTGCCATACGCTTGAGCAGCATCAGTGTGGAAGAAAACCTTCTTCTTCTTACAAATAGCGCCAATCTCTTTCAAAGGCTGCACAACCCCAATTTCATTGTTTACTGCCATGATGGATACCAAGCAAGTTTCGGGCCTTATCGCGTCCTCCAATTCTTTGAGGTCAATCAGGCCAAATTCATTGACATTCAAAAAGGTTACTTCGAATCCCTCATTTTTCATGGCTCTGGCAGCCTCCAAGACACACTTGTGTTCCGTTCTCGTGGTAACGATATGCTTTTTAGTCTTCTTATAGAATCTAGGAACCCCTTTCAAGGCCGTGTTATTGGACTCTGTAGCACCTGACGTGAAAATGATTTCCTTGATGTCTGCATTGACCAGATCAGCGATATGTTTGCGGGCAGTCTCTACTTCTTTATTAGTCTCCCACCCATAGCTGTGTGTATTTGAATGTGGGTTCCCGTACAGCCCAGTGTAAAATTTGAGCATTGTATCCAAAACGCGAGGATCTGTGGGTGTGGTCGCTTGCATGTCTAAGTAAATAGGTCTGGTGCCAAATCCTGTATTCTCCTGATAGGCATGTTTCAAGGCAGTTGTCCCAGATTCAACAACTTCTGATGAGTTATCTCTCGCATCAGCCAACTCTTTATTCGCCTGTTGCAAATCTGTATGTGTTTCTAATGGCACATCGAAAGCTACTTTAGCGGTCGCGTACTTTCTTATAGCAAAAGCCCGAGCCACCCGTTGTCCAGGTAAAATAGAACGAGGAATGATTCTCAACATCTTCGAAGCCCTTCTACTCTGACGTGCTGATGTTCTATTATCGATTCGGTCAGACACTAAATGAGATAACTAATCAACTCCCTCATCGACACACGCCCGATGATACTTTATACGAGAATTCTTCAGATCCTCTCCAACGAACATCCTTAGTATAACGTTTAGCGGCCGGATCCGGCTCCATCCGGACATAACGTGTCAAATAGTTTCCCCAGCGCGCAGGTAAATAGAAGAAACCTAACGTATCAATAAAAGGAGCCTCAAGATGGCATTATAATGTGAATAATCGATTCAGGATATTGTTTTAGGGACAATTGATGTTTAACCTTAGCGTAGAAATGAAGCTCAAGTATAAGTAAAGCTAATGGAAGCTACTCATTAGTTGCTTGTAGTATTCGGTGGGAAAAACTAAGGGTGGTTTGATACATTTTTTATATTTGTATATAAAGTCCACCATATCACGACGAGACTGCCAGCTGCAGTCCATGCCATCTCTTTGTAATTATTTAAACCTTGTGTGCTTCTACTCTTTCAGACCCGATTGCTAACTCTGTTCAAAAGAGCTTTTACACTGTTACGATAGTATGAAGTTCCCAATAATGGCCACTTTGGCTAATGACCACAAAAATAGATACGATGGGGCTAAATATATAAATATGATCAATAGATCAGATCACGGTTAGTTCTCTCTACCTGTGACTAGCTCTCAACTATCAAGAAGTAACCACTAGCTCTACTTATACATGAGATCCCAGTTGAGGCTTAACCTTCTTGTGAAACCGATTATTGCCATTATCCTGACATCCTGAGGTTTCCGATCCTCATGCGACGACCACTAAGTTAATGTCATAATGGTATCAAATGATATTCGAGGCGTCAGCACAACAAGGAATTGCAAGGTAACTAATAAACCCATAGAGTCAAGAGAGTTGCCATTGGACGGGAGTGCTCTTAGCCATTCCAATTTCCCAACAACCATTCAATCCACATTTTGGATGAAATTACTAAATTACTCAGCCTTAACCTCAACCATAGTATTCATGCCAGAATAATGTATAGTTACGGACTGTATTTCCCAGACGTGTTCAATAGTTCAAACAGTCATGGAGACACAACAAGGGGCTGCTGTACAAGTTCCTCGTCTATTCACAACCAGTTGACAATCAATGATGCCTGTCAAGTACTTGAACAAAGAGCTTAGCAAGTACACTACTGCCGATGCTCCCTGTCTCGCTAACTTTATCGGTCTAGTTCAGCACCATAAGTGCAGATACTGGCGACACGTTTGAGCAGGGTCAGTATCTTTGTAATCGGCTAACAACGTCGCACGAACGAAGCTTATAGTCTAAGTTGTGCGGTAAGATAATGTACTCGTTTCTTCCCCTTTTGCTTAGAAAAAGACCTGCACTTCTGCACCCAACATTACAATTTTTGCTGGCAATTCAAGACTTGGACTGTCTTAAATATATTGGTACGTAAAGTGCCAAAGATCCAAACACCAAATGGGGGATGAAATTTGCAGAATATTCGCTGCTTGCAAGCTTAAACAGTTGGATGTCAGAGCTGTGTGTGCTCATTTTTAGTAAACGAAAGAATTTGAAGATCTCAATCTTCTGGTAAATAAATCAATGCAACAAAAAATCATAGTCCTTGCTACTTGATGGTTGCAATTTTTCTAGGAACTGCTTGACATATGACTGGCTTCATAAGGAGACAGTGACGTGATGACTGCGACACGATGGTGTTTGTCTGATGTCGAGGAAATTGTTATTATAATCCATTTGCCCCAACATGAAAAAACGATCTCAGAATCGTTAGCGTCAATATCCACCTCGATTTCGAGAACGAGCAAATTATAATGGACAATGCTTCGTTTATAGCATCACTGTTGGCTGGAGCTGCGGCTGGGACATCCACAGATCTCGCCTTTTTTCCTATTGACACTTTAAAGACGCGTTTGCAAGCAGTGGGTGGCTTCTTCGCAAATGGAGGATACTTTGGTGTGTATAGGGGCCTCGGAAGCGCAGTGGTAGCCAGCGCACCAAGCGCCTCATTATTCTTTATTACTTATGATGGCATGAAAGGTTATTCGCGTCCTCTCTTTGACCAACTTATGCCTTTGAATAGTCAAATGGCCGAAACCGCGACACATATGTTCTCCTCATCGTTGGGAGAAATTTCGGCTTGTATGGTAAGAGTGCCGGCAGAGGTGATCAAGCAAAGGACCCAAACTCACAAATCCGATTCCTCCTGGCAAACACTAGTCAAACTCTTGCGAAATCAAAATGGGGAAGGTATAAGGCGAAACCTTTACCGCGGTTGGTCAACTACGATTATGCGTGAGATTCCTTTTACTTGCATTCAGTTCCCCCTGTATGAATTTCTCAAGAAAAAGTGGGCACTGGCGGCGAACTGCGACCACGTAGCTGCCTGGCAGGGATCTTTTTGTGGTTGCCTGGCGGGTGGTGTGGCTGCCGCTACTACAACACCACTTGACGTACTTAAAACTAGACTTATGCTGAGCCAAACCTCCGTTCCTGTTTTGAAGCTCGCGCGTAAAATTTACGCCACTGAGGGGTGGAGAACATTTTTCAGCGGAGTAGGTCCGAGGACAATATGGATTAGCGCAGGCGGTGCTATTTTCTTGGGTGTTTATGAAGCCGTGCACTCTGTTCTTGCATAATTATAGATTTGGATATAAAAACAGTACGTGTTGAACAAATATTTCCGCTCTTAATACCATTGTCTACCGAGCACTTATTAAAGTGCGCTTTCCATGCCTTTTCCTTCGTGCATATTTCATGACAAAACTGTCCATCTTGACGCCTTTGCTGTTCAACTCTTGGATAAACGGCACCATATCGTCAAGATCCCAAGTTGATTGCATCTTGAAAAGATAGTCGAATCGGTCTTTAGGGTTATCCGGAAGGGCCGCTTTGGAGAAATATTGTATGTTGGATCCTAAAGGGCGATAAAAATGCCCTCGCAGGGCATTGAAATCCAAATCACAGGAAAAATATGGTGGAAATAGAGATTTCCATTTTATCATAAATTCCTCCTGCGGGATCATTGTCCGTGATGCACATTTTGTTAAAGCATCTATACCATACCAACGCGCTACTGCCTTTCTTTGAAGAATAAAAAATCCATTATCACAACTCTCCGAAAACTTGCCTAAAATAGTACGAATCACTTCGAAGCTAAATGGATTGAACTCACCCTCATCCCCCATATCCTTATTCACAGCGACGAACACTTCTTTTAAGGTTAATCTTTCGAAGTTTAGCGATTCTGCCATACAGCTCATGAGAGTGATGTGCAACGCTCTTGATATGAAATCTCGTGATAAGATGCATGCTATATTTTGTACAACACAGCCACCATACGACGGCCATATCCTTTCAAATTCTAGTGCAGAACATGGTGAGCAGTCTCTGAGTTCTGCAACAGTTTTCTTCACGCACTTCGTTGTGCTCACAAACTCTTTGAATTTTTGCTCGTTCCCTGAGAATACTGGTAGTAGACTGATATCGACCTCCCCACTCGTCAGCCGGGGTTCGAGTTCATGGTTTTGTTTGGAGTATCCAAGGTGGAACGACAAGGGCTGCCCGTATGGGGCCGCGGATGGAGGGAAATCCATGGAGAAGTCTTCAGGCGCAAATTCTTCCATCAAAAGAACGGTATTAGAGTGATTTTTCTGCTTCACTAACCACGTTTTATCCTTAGAGCAAAGTACTACCGCCTCTTCGGCCCTGGCAGCTTTAAACTCAAGTTTTTCATTTCTCTCGATCGCAGCCAAGAGGTCAGGAGTAAGCGAGAGGAGCTTGTAGTCTGTAGAGGTCTCTAACTTGGCGAATAAAGCTGAAGTATTCAGGACCATCGAGAGCTACGATTTTGGAGAAGGCTTTTAAAGCGCTATAGCTTAACCAGCCTGTGCCATCCACGATTAGCGGTTCGCTGCCTTTCAAAATAAACTCGTAATACATGCTCTCCCCATATAATTTTCGTTTGAGACGCGCCCAAATGTAAACAACTAATAACCATCTACCAAAACCATCTTTGGGACATGCAAAAAGACCAGGATGCGGACAGGTCTTCAATTTATTCAGGCCGTTCTGACGGTAAACAAGCTTCAACGTCTGCCATTAAGTTGAGGGCTAATTTATTGGTCAACAAACCTCCAAGGCAGTGGGTATTAGACCGTACGGTAAAAGAATGGAACGAAGATATTTTTCCGGATGCAGCTTTATTCAGGGGGTATGACGAGTTACTCTGGGGTTACTTCATTATTGCTGTGTACAAGGATCCAGCTTCTGGGAAGCTGAGCAGCCTGATTGTCGATAAACTGGGTACAACTCACTTCAATCCGGTAGACATATCCAGCCAGTCACGTTTCCATCCTGCCATAGAGAACCTCTCTGCTCCAAATGCTCAATCTAGTGTGAGGAAGTGCATAGCGGTCTCTCTTCTGCAAAAATGTGCCGAACTGAGCCCTGAAATGATGACAAAGCTGCAGACTAGTATGAAGTATGATTATGATCCCACTGCCGCTGGTGATCTTGCCAACGCCTGTGAGCTAATCGGTTTCTGCTCACCGAGAGACTTAGGTAAAAGCTTAACTTGCCTAGGTTTCTTGCAAGATCGATCTGTGGGCTCACTATTATTAGATGTGGTATATGAGCACAGCCAGGATACCATTGATTCCAATAATGAACTAGTGCTGCAACTTGGAGATCAACTGGAGCAACTTTTTGATCCATTGGCAGAATACTCACCAGAACAGACAGAGTTTATTTACACCCCTCCAGAGGATGATAATTCTCTTGCGAAGGATGACCCACTGACGTCGTCGATATGCAACGAATTGTTAAGCGTTCAAAACAACTTCACCTTGACGTTAGTGGAGTTTTTGCAAAATTTTTTGATACCTTTGCGAATAGAAGTGTCTAATGATGAGGTGATGGGGCTCTCGACTTCCAAGCTCAACCGTTTATTTCCTCCCACGATAGATGAGGTTACAAGGATTAACTGCATTTTTTTAGATGCTCTAAAAATGTCCAAGGCATATGGTTCAGAAGAAGTCTTAAAAGCTTGCAGCGTAACAATCCCCTATTTCTACAAGGCCTACACGAGGCACGAGGCAGCAACGAAGAACTTTTCCAAGGACATAAAGCTTTTCATGGCCAAATTCCGAGGTGTACTACCTCGGCGAGAAGTCTATTCAGAAATGAAGATAGATATGATTCTCAAAAGCCCCCAAGAGATATTATTAAAGTTGAAGCTCGTCCTTGAGAGACTCAAATCTAATATGAGTTATGAAAAAGAAAAGGAGCATTTGGTAACTGCCAGATTCTCAAGAATTTTTGAGATTATCAGCTCTTTCGGAGCTGATGAACGTCTCATTAAGTCTTATAGTACCAGAGTCTTCACTCCTTCGGGAAAGCTCCTTACTGAACTGGCCAAAGGCTGGCCATTAGAACTACAGTACAGGTGGTTAAAAAGAAGGGTCGTTGGGGTCTTCGATGTAGTTGATCCTAACGATAATTGCCAGAGAAGTTTGTTGGTTATTTTCAGTGATTACATTGTGCTTCTCACTGTCATTGAGAATGATGACTACTTCGACAGCCTAGTGGGCCAAAGACCACTGTTGTCCAGCATTTTGATGAACTCTCTGATCAACGAAGTTCCCCTGCCACCTAAGGTACCTAAGCTGCAGGTAGCGGATTATTTTCACATCAACAGTGTGATGGCCTCCACGTTTGAGAAGGATATCATTCGTATTGACTGCGTCGACCCGAGCCGACCTAGAGCTGTTGCGTTACAGATTTGCTCATCCTCAACCCATAGCTCGGAAGTGGTTGATCTTATTGTGAAAGCAAAGATTTTAGAGAAGGACACAGCATTCCACCTTTTTCGCTTCATGGATGGCGGTCTACAAATTTTTTCGACAGCCCATGAATTGAGTGCGTACTCTACGGAGAACATAAGATCTAAATTTTGCTTATTCCTCAATGTTTCTCCTACAGTAAGCTTTCTGGCCGACTTCAATCTTGCAGTAGCGTTTTTCGCCGCTGTGAACAGCAAAGGTGATGTACACATCACCCAGCTCACCTGTGAAGGGATAACCTCAGAGTTTACCATTGACATATGCCACTTGGCAAGCTTTATTGTCCAACAGTTTCAATCTCTTTATCCGAAGTACTACTCGGGACCTCAATCCCCGTATTTTCCTCAACTGCTCACCATCAATGGTATGCTAGCAAAGCGAGCTGGCCGACAATTTAGTGGAGGCTCTGCATTTGACTCTTCCTCTCGGGCCACGGGAACGTCACCATCGGTATCCTCTCGATTGAATTTTTCGCGTTCACGATCACAAAACACCATAAGAACATTTAGAAGCTCTACTAATGGCGTTGAACAAGCGAACAATGCGATGCTTGAAAGTTCAGCAATCCAGCCAAGTAAAATTACAGAAGTTGTTGGTCCGAAGGCGTTAAGCAAAGCCCCAAAGTCAAAGAAAAAAAGACGAAGTTTTTTCGGTAAGTTCTCGAACCTTTTCAGGAAACACAAAGTTGATAACCACACGGTCACAGTTCCGAAATCGCCACCGTCTTATCAAAGCTCAAAGCTAGTCCACAATAAAGCAGAACCACTACCAAGAAGAAGCTCCAAGCGAGTGGACTCTACGCTCCATATTCCTCTCAATGCTAGTCTCCAAAACAACAAGAGGCGATCTTCAATAACTTCTCAAGACATGCAGGAAGCAAAGAGTCTTTCAGCGGCCAAAAAGCACGAAAGCAGGGCACTACCTTCCTATGCTGATCATACCGCAGTTGAAGACAATGCAGCTAGGTCGCATTTGCAAACAATTGCTAAAAATGGCCCAATATTAGATGAGAATAATAGCTCTAGCAAACAAAGTCCAGAGGAGCGCCAAAGCCTTTTGTACCATGACGACTTATATGGTGACATGTTTGATTCCGAGCGGCAAGATCTTGATCAAGGGAATTTGAGTCAAGGTTTTGGTCAAGACAATGGTCGATCAATTGAAGTACCCGTTCCGACTAAATTTGACGTTGTTTGCAATGATAGTAGTACGACAAAATACACTGACGTGGCCGATTCAAATACAGAATCATTAAGGCAGCCAAATTGCGAGGCCAGTGAATGCAGCAAGAAAAGGGAGACTAATGATTTAGATGACAGTGAAAAGCTCCATAGCTACAGCTCGCCAAATATCTCTCATAAACTTGGAATTTTTCCTCGTGTAGAAAGAATGGCCATACAAAAGACCACTTTTGAAAAATCGCCATCATTTCGTGAGCTTTTTGGACAGATGCGACTTGTCTTGGATGAAAATGACGAGCGAGTTAATTGGAAACGACTTCCTAGTCAAACATCATTGAAGACTAAGAATGAGAGTTCTGGAATCCACGCTTTCAAGCGTTTAGTGCCCTTAAACAGGCCAACAGTAGATACGGGTGCCTCCTCTCGAAAGTACCATGAAGAGCCTAAGCAATTTGTGAGCTTACAGGAAAATTCGCTTGGAAATGGTGAACTGAAATCTGAAAGCAGTCAATTGCCCGTAGATGCTGAAGATGGCGCGCAGCATGATGAAGTAAGCATTAAGACTAGCATCACAAGCCTTGATCTTAAAAAGGGGCCTAGCGCGCGTTTTAAGGTAGTACATCATTCACCTTCTAAAATGATCAGCTTGATAACCAATTCTTCAAGCTCTTCCTCAAATCTAATGTGTAAGGACGCAAGCGCATCAGAGTCTGCTGGTAAAACTCACAGTGATTCAACTTCCGAAATGAGTGGGGCTGATGGAGGTATGGCTTTTGAACCGATTAATAACTTCCATGGTGATATAAATGGAGAGCAAGAATATTTTACGCCTGTTGAATTTCAGCACGAAGTCTTCAAGGAAGGTGATGAGAATATCGGCCCTATGGCCGGCGACACCTCAAGGTCTAGTAACATCAGGCAAGAATCTCCAAACAATGGTATTCAAAGGACTGCAGTACAGCAAGAGCTGCTAGACGATCCTCAGTTTAGTTCATTTCACATGACATTTAGCGACATTGATGATAGTCAGAACTCCCCGTATACTAAGGTGCTACCTGCCGTGTCCACTTATTCCAATGCTCCTTGTCATCCGTCTCTGCAACCGTTGATGCCACCAGAACCCGTATTTTACAGGCTTCCTGCGATTGGAGCTTCTACCGACACATATTTCACTTGTGCCGACGACCAGGCAGGAAGATCGGAGAATCGTCGACACAGCGTACAACGCTATGGATTAGAAGAGGAGGAAGAGGCAATTTGGGTGTCGCCAAGCAAGCTCGATATATTTGACTTGAGCAAGCTGCCAGAAGCGGTATTCTCCAAAATAAAACCAGCGAAGGACAACATTTCAGGCCCAAGCCGAATTCAGGTATCACCATCCTATGTAGACGATACAGACGTTCTACCAGATTTTTCCTATGCTTACCTTGGTGACCTATTGTCTCATGACGAACAGGAGGACAAGAATCTAGACGACAGCGAACAGTCGGAACGCACCCGACTTCAATTTTATTGAGTAGCATCCAAGCACAAACCTATCAACCGCTGATACCCAGCGGCGCTATTCACACTTTAGGATGCTTGCTTCGGAATTCAATCGCATCCCGTTGGCAGCAATTCCTATGCGGCAAAATTGCATATGTAGAAAGGGCTCAATCGAAGCGTTACTTTTTTCTCCTCCGTTATTTATATTAGAGACCGTTTTCCCTCACTATCCCAGATTTTCATATGTACCCGCACAGCGACTCTACCAACTATTTTCGTGACTCTAAGCAGTTTCGAGATTTTCTGGATATTATTCGTTGGGACAGGCCCTTCTGCCAAAACCATTTTTGAACTTTCTTAGTAAACTCGTTACATCTCTATGTGCGAAGTTAACATCTTACGCCCCGGAAAGAATTTTGCACTATCAACTGCGGGACAGTGTCATAGCACATTGAAAGTGTTATTTATTTGCAATACATAACTTTTGGTTAGTTCTGTGAACTCAAGATCATTCAATATATATAGGACGCTAATTTCTGTATGTACATATATATATACATTATTTATGCTAATTGTGCATAACAATTCTCTGACTATTCTCTGAAAATACCATATCAATTCACGAAGGAGGTGAGGATGAAGCCTTTGTAATACTTTTATGATCTAAACGCTAATACGACAGTCCCCGTAATAGAGATGATACTTCTTCCTCGACGAAAGACCATAGTTAGCTCGATTTAAAGAAACTTCGCGAAAGTTATCGAGAGTTCCCTTCCACCATATGAATATTTGTCAAGTCTGTCAAGGCAAGTTCCAGCATGTTCCTCATCTTCAAATTCTACTACTGCGACGCCAGTTGGTTCGCCATTGTGGCTCAATCTTAGTTCAGCCCGTTTAACGGGCCCTATAATCTCAAAAAGGTCGAACAAGTCGCTCTCAGCAGTGGCAAAAGGCAGATTTTCCACAAAAATCGACTTATTTCTCTCACCTCCACTGGAGGCATTTTGTGTAAGATCCGAGTTTACTGTGTTCATGATGGACTCTTGGCGCTCTGACTCTAATTGTGGTGATGAAGCCTCCGTCCATGGCCCGTAGCCTTTCTTAAGCTCCAAAATTCTGCCATCTAACTCAAAACCAGCAAATCTCTCTAGCGCAGCACAGGCTTCATCCTGAGTTTCGTATATCACGGTACCGAAGCCTCTGGACCTCCCGCTACGGTCGAGCTTAACGTCCGCTCGTGTTGGGATGCCGCACTCCTTGAAAAGATCCTTGAGGGTTTGCCAAGTTACTGAATAAGGTAAGTTAGCAACGAAAACTTCAAAACCTGGATGGAATCTGTCGTTTAGCGATTTACTAACAGTTTTTCTATCTTCTCTTCTTGTACTCTCGGGAGGAGGGTTGTCCTCTCTGACAAAGATGTCCCGGCCACGGAACGAAAATCCATCAAATCGACGAATAGCTTCAAGAACATCCTCGTGGCTTGCAAATTCTACGGTTCCCATGCCTCTATGGTGGCCCCTTGATGTTATTATGTCTGAACGTACAACTTGTCCAATGTCTTTGAAAAGCTCCTTCAAATCAGAAGCTTTACAGTCGTAAGTCAAATTCCCAACAAAAGCACTGTTGGCGTAATTTCGGTTTATCTTCTCGTTATACGAGGTATCCAAGTCACTGGAAACCAGAGGACCATGTTCGGGTTTCAATCTAAAACCTCGTCTACCGCCTCTGCGAGGTGCAGCTTCGTCATAACCGCCGCGACCACGTCTGTACTCAGTACGATCGCCATAAAAATGCTTTCCACCTTTCGGCTCTCCATAATAAGGGCCAACTTCGCGGTCGCGGGGTTGCGCGGCTCGATCTTCCTCACTGCCATTGTTGTATCTGCTTGGACGGGAAGCTACCGTAAAACCATTTTTCTCGACAAATTCTGCAGAGGTGTGACGCCTTGTGGGAGACCTAGAGCGCGACCTCTGATCCTGCAACAGCTTTCTAATTAGTTATATGCCAAGCGACGGTTTATTTTCAGCGACTAATCGCCGCAGTTCTACTATGGCAGCATAAACCGCTAAGCACGGCCAGCGTTTGAATTGAGCTGATAGTCGCCCCATTTTAGAATTGTAATACTAAAAACGTATCCACTTTTGCAGTGAATAATCTCTCAAACATACGTTGCCGTAACTCATTATGGATCCTGTTCCGTGTCGAGCGTGTATACAGAACCCACGCAGGCTCGAATCCATTTACAAGCCTCAGGAAAAACAGTCAAAAACTTGACGAAAACTATTGTCACGTGTAGGGTGTAAGAGTCGACAGATCAGCACAGGAAGCAAGGATAGGATTGTGATGCTGGTAATTCTCCGACTGGGAAACCTAACCATAAAAACCTGCCCCAATATGGCATTGCTTACCTTATGAGGTGGCCTAGTGCCTACTTTGGGGGCACAAAATTGGTGTACTTCAGCGACGTCCTGGAAACGGCAACACAAGCCGCCTTGCTACCTCAGTTTCCTTATCCACTTCTTCCTCTCCATCAAATCTCAGCTTGCAGGTCCCATCCCTTTTATGTCCTATCACAACCGCCGGATAAAATGTAGTTGTCTCGGGATATCGCGCCAGTACCTTGGTTCCTCCGGGATAGTTGGGCGTCAAGTGTTTAGGTGTGTTTATTGCAGGTAAAAGAATGATTTCTTTCCAGCTGCACTTATAAACTTGACCAGGGTCCCCCAACTCGTCTGGCTCGGGGTCCCGAACATCAAACCTAGTGCCGTCGCTCGAGATCTTGATCACCTGGCACTGAAACCATTCCCCGTCACCCCCCTTTTTAGGTTTGTATGCTACTTCTGATCCTAATACAATTGGTTCGCTAGGATTAAAAGGGCTTGTCCAATATGATCGTCCAGTAGCGGTGTCAGTGAAAGCAGCAGATTGTTCTGATTCTCTCTCCGTCCTCTCCTGGGCGATCTTGAGCACTTCACTCAAACTATATGATATCGCACGTATCACTTCAAGCGCGCCGTCCAAATTTTCAGAGTGAGTTGAGAAAATGTCCAATTGCAACTGCAATTGGTCGGACGCTAGATTCTGAAAATTTACTCTCTTCTCATTGACCAGATCATCAAAGCTTTGTGACTCATGCTTCTTGCAAAGATCTTGGAGTGATGAAACAATAACGTCCCATTGATCGTCCATGACACCAATTTTTTCTGACACCGTCAGATATCAACCGATGTCTCATGTACTTTCACGATGTTTGTTGGGATTTTAATTGATTTTTTTAAGAAAATTCTACTTAGTGAAATTCACTTTCTTCGCAAGTGGTAACATCCGCACTGTGTAAGCTCTAAATCGTCCAGCTATGCCCATTTGGAATAGTACTTTTGGACTGGCTACAAATTCAATCGAAAAATGCTTTTCGATCGTTTACACACAAGTGCGGACCGCTACAAAAAAAGCAGCAGGATCCAGGACGTCGATGAAAGATTCTGCTGGTCGTCGTCTAGGGCCCAAGAAGTATGAAGGTCAGCTAGTGAAACCTGGGGAGATATTGATGAGGCAACGTGGAACGAAATTTTTCCCTGGAGAAAACGTCGGCATCGGCAAAGACCACTCTATCTTTGCCGTAGAGCCAGGATTTGTACGCTATTATTTGGATCCTTTCCATCCTAAACGAAAATTCATAGGAGTCGCCTTGGCCGAACACTTAAGGTTACCAACGCCTCACTTTGCTCCTCGTGTGAGGAGGTTTGGCCGTCAAGTGATCAACAATCCAGAAATGGCTCAAAAAGAAGCGAACTCGTTGACAAGAAAGCAGTATTTGGCGCGTGATTCTATAGTCTCAGATATGGCCACACGGAATACACGTCGGTCTGCTCTGCGGCTCCAATTTGCAAAATTTTTGACGGAAACACTCCAAGTAGACCTTGTGGGTTCATCTATGGACCGCGCGACTGAATACCTGCTGCGAGTGCGGTCCAGCTTAAAAAATGGAGCGAGTTTGTCGGATGCTCAATTCAACTCCCAACACTACTTAGAACAAGAAATTTTGTTGCAAGCAAAACGGGAAGACTGGACTCAAGACGCTCTCGAGCACGATATGCGTGAACTTCTTGAAACGACGAGAAAAGTTGATACGATAATTTCTTTCAATAACAGACTAGAACTGATCGGACACATTTCGTCTGAAGAGCGGGCTACTTTGAAAGCCAACTTACTTGATAGCTTATCGAAAGCAACACTATTCAGTAAAAAGGACAAGGAGGCCATGGAAAAACTTTTCGAGTCTTCCAGTAAATTTTTGACGAGGTCTGAAGAAGTGCATCTGCGGAGAAAGTTTTTGAAGCCAGTCAAGCCCGAAGGCGAGTCGATGGCTTCAGAGAACGAGAAAAAATTCATAAGCCTAAAGAGGTTTAATCATGTCAGAGGCGGTATTGATATCGTGTCTAGATCCAGGACAGCTTTTCTCAATAAGCTTTAAGTTGTTAATTAGCAGCAGATATAAATTTGTACATAGTCTAGTAGGACATTTCGAAAAATCCTTCGTAGAATTGAATGTCTCACAAGTTATTTTGCGTTTACAACAAATTCCCGCTCTAGCCTGGAGGAAGTTGCGAAATGTCAACGAAGTTGTTGGCATCGCCTTGAACCTCTTCGTCCCCTTTCATCTCCAAAGGAGTCCTTGGAAGCGCCATCATACCACTTCTTGCCACCTCGAGGACACCGAACGGTTCGACCAGCTTTAAAAAAGCTGAGATACGAGATGGTTTGGCACTCAACTCGACAATGCAATTGGTTTCGCTTATGTCTACAACGCGACCACCAAAGTTCTTTACCAAATTCGTAACACTGGCCAAGTGCTCGTGTTTCATTCTAAGGTTTTCACTTAGGGGCAGGTTAGAAGGGTGAAACTGCTTATTCCTAATTTGAGCAACAGTGTCCTTAGAGCCGATACAGCCCTCGGAGGCCGTTTTCTCGTGATGCTGGATTAAATCCTCAAAATATTCCGCGCCCATCAGAGACACACGAGCCAAAAGTAACTCTCTCTTGATGATATCAGCGTTAGAGTAATCAAGAACAGCGTAAACGGGAACTAGATCCTCTATCTGACGCCTTGCCTGCTCAATTACACCATCTTGGCCTTGTAGTACAATAGCCATTCTGCTCAAATCCTTTACTTCCGTGTTGCAAACAACCAGGGAATCAATGTTGAAGCCCCTTGCCGCGAGCGTTCCACTTACTCGTGACAACACACCAGGTTCATTTTGAACCAAACAGTTTAATACATGTTGCTTCCTGGGGGTACGAGATGGCGTTGGAGTCTCGTACAAAATCGATGATACCGCAGATTTAGCACTCCATGATGGTGTTTCTAAGGTTGGCAATGGGGGACTGACTCTATTCCTGTGCAATTGCTTGTACGCCAACGCCGAAGTGGAAGACGAGCTGTGACGTATGAGAAGCTTTCCGGATGGTTTTGACCCTGCTAAAGCTCTAATCATGTCTCGAATTGACTAAACTCTTAGAATCGGGTGACTCCGGAAGCCAGTTTTTGGGTGAGGGCGTGGACTGTAACAACCGAAAAAAATTCTCCAAGGAACTTAAGACTAAGGTTCTTACACAGATAATGAGTTTCTGATAAATAGGAAAATTGGTAGGTATTTCTTGTATCCTTTTATCAAATTGTGACTCAGACAATAAGTACGCTGTATTTATCAAAGGTGTAATTATTTTTGCAAAAATGCGCAAGCCCGGAATCGAACCGGGGGCCCAACGATGGCAACGTTGGATTTTACCACTAAACCACTTGCGCGTTATTAGTAGTAACATTTTGATGAATGAGCCTTAGGGATAAGATGATATACCTTTCATATGCAGAATAGTAGAGTGTGAGAGTCTCACTATTCAAGAAGAAGTAATGCTTAAGACCCAGGGTGTGACGACATTAGGTCTAGGGATCTAGAATGAACAAGTAATAATTGTAAGTTACAAGGTAACGAGAGACTCGGAACCGTTATTGTACTAGAGTTAGTATAGTAGAGTTATAGCATAGTTCCAAGCTACTTCGGATCGATTATATGGGCTATTGCATGACCTAATGTTTGATCTTACCACTGAATCACTTATGTGCAATAAATATTGATACCATTCCAACATCTAACTCATGGGCGAACAGCATTCAGCCTACATCTTACTTCTGTGAGCATAGTATTCAATATAGTAGGCTTTATCGAGAGATAGCATTTAACGTACATTCTCATATACTGTACCGTAACTCCTCAATTCTACTTAGACATTTAACAACTTCTCCTCATGATTCTGCCCTCTCATGTTAGCAATTCCATAGTAACTCTCTAGCAGTAAGGTATGATATTTATAACGTTATTCGTAGCTAGCAAGGGGAGTTTGTGAAGTTCCAAGTTTATTCACTATCAAGTCATCTCATGAATATCTTGCATACCAGTATCTATGATGTCAGATTCCATTTATAACAGATTGTCTGAATAAAAATCTTTACCCTTCACAATGCTTAGAGTTAAATGGAAAATTACACGGAGTGTAGTTTTTCAGGATATAATATAGCAGAAATAGGCTAAATCACGCTTGGTCCTTCTCACCTATGGCTACCTCGCAATTATCGATCAGTTTCAACAATCCTTACCTATACTTGAACCCCGTACAAAGATCAAACCTCAATTGCCCTCAAAACAATGTCTGAAACCGATGACCGACATTATCATGTTACCTAGAGATTTCATATCTTTTTATGACATGTTTTTAGGAAACTACACGAATAACGATAACAACAAGTCAAGAATCAGGAATTAATCGACAGGCCCTGATAGCCACGGGGCACCCCTATTATGTTATAGATCAATCTGCAATAGCCACGCTGGTGTTAACAATTGATGAGGCGAACTCATCAGTAGGAAGCTTACTAAATTTGTCTTGTAAGTCGGACATAGTCATTATAAGATGAGTAACTTGGATCTAGGGAATTCTATTTATCTCTCCGTGATTATTTTAGGCATTAGGGTTGGTTCAGTTATCTGAACAAAAGCCTGGTATTTATACAATTCTCACTCGGTGACTCTGGTCAACATATTTATTAATCACCAATTCTAGATCATTCTATTGTCCATAGTTTACGGCTTCAATGCCGTACGCTGCTAATACCTTATCAATAGCCAATCCCATTGGACAACAGTTGTTCGCTTCGACTTGTCTTAGCTGTTAAGTCGACTTGTATGGCCACTGTTGTGTACTATCATTCTGTACCACTGCGTCAAATATTTACTGACGCTGATTATGCGATTAGGCGCCCATCACCATCAGTTTCCTCACATTATTCCCAACAACAATATCATTCAAGTCTCGTCAATACAACGTCACTTCTCCATGTCGACTGACATCGAAGAAAGACATGCAATGGGAGCCTGTGCATGAGAAAAAATACTGAGAATATATATAGAGCAAAGGAATCTCAAAGAAAAAATATCATAACTACCAACTGGTAATGATCCAGTACTGTTTGAATAGCATCAATTATGACCATCAACCAAGTGTCTTTATAGTACGAAGTGATACCGGCGGCGTCGGTAAAACAAAATTGTACACGGTGAATAATCGACCAGTGGGATTCAAAGGAACAGCGATTACACAGAAATGTTCTGGTCATCTATATCAATTATCTAACAACCCAACAATTCATCTGTTTGGTTCAAATGTTGGCTTATCAAGCCCGAACTGCACCCAGATCATTCCCCTCAGAATTTTGTATAAACAAGCGCTATATGTATCAGACCTGGACCAGATTCATAGCCCAAATAATCATAGAGAGAAAGTCAGATCTCACTTTGCAAGCTTCGGATTTAATTTCAATTACTCAGAATAGTATACACGAAGTCTATCAACAAGTCGAACGAACAGTTCAGCAAGTAACTACTGCCAACGCTGACTCGCTCCAATGAAAACCCTGCAGTCAAGTTATTACGTGGCGTCACCATTCTTGAGTTAAGTTTGACTACTCACGTAGCGACTCGCGTGACTTGCTACAAACTCTGTGTCTCAGTCAAAACTGGCCACAGCCAGCAGACTAGTTCTTTTTTTAGCTATAGCAGATCCCTCCTTCCCCATTTGCTTGCGTCGTTCTCGCTTAGAATGTGCCATTAGAGAGGCACCCCGATTTAAGCAATTTTATGTTTACATTGGAAAGTGATGATTTTAATTGAGATATTGAGGAGGTTGTGCCTTCATGTTGCCGCACAGGCAAAATGTGAACTGCTCAAACAAAAATATTGAACAGATGAGGCAGTCAATTAGGACACGGAAAAGAATAACAGGCCCCCTTGCTTGCTTTTCTTTCGTTCAGCCATTTACAGGGAGGGAGCTAACGATGTTCAGATTGACCGATTCTGTAGAATGGAGATACTTCTCAGAAGACGGCAGCGTTGACCTAAATTTACGTAAGCTACTCGGATAACCAGTTATCTTCAGGAAGAACCTTGTGGGGAAGACTTAGAAAAGAACTTGGTCAGAGAAAAACATTTGTAGAGAAGCATCGAATCCACTAATTATGAGAAAAACATAATGGTTGTTCGAAGCATCCTCACGATCCCAAAAATGGAAGGGCACCACGGTTGTATCAAAAGTGTGGAGCTCTCATTTGCGGGCTTTATCTTCTCCATGAATAGAACCCATTATTCCATGGTAGTGCAAGGAATGTGGGGCAGAAATAGGAGTGTTTGGTCAAGGGTAATCTACTATGGGGTTAAGCTCCCTCTAAGCAGAAGTAAAAAGTCCATAAGCTTATAGCCTTCTTCTTTCTTGCGGAGAGGTGCGTATGCTGTGGGAAGAATGGTTAAGGAGCGCTCACACTTCAGACCTCCATATGTTATTTTATACATACGCACGAGACAGGGTAACAGAGGAATGCACTTTATGTAGTTTGAGGGCATGAAAATGAGTAAACTAAAGTTTACAGCAGGCCCGAGGGTGAATGTCTTCCGCCAAACAACTACTCTCACTTAGTCAACAGTTCGCTAATATCCACCTGATTTTCCTCAGAGGACTCAATTTTACCAAAAATGTCTTCGCATTGGCCAAGGCAGCCTTCCGGCTTATATATCACCTGTCACTGAAACCCTTCATCAAGACAGGTGAGTTCTTGTTGTGGTCCCCAACGTCCATTATTTTACGAAACCTAATGAGCTTGGTTCTTCTACCCTCCAACATATTGCTCGTTCTCTTTTACAATACCACCATAAGTGACCTTGCCAAGATTAATGTCCATATGACCACAGTGACAATAATGTTGTGTCTGCAATATTTCATTACGATGGTGATCGTTGGTCTGCTGTGCGGAGTTTACTGTGGAATGGCACTGGGGTTTATTCACAGGTTTATTAGAATCCCCGATAAGCACATTGACATTCTCAGAATTGCCAAACGCTGGTTTATTCCTGAAACGACGTTCGTTTCTGAAAGCCCAAGAGTTGTACCTTCATCTTGGGAGTCCGGCCATGTACAATCACCTTCAAATATTACACATACTGCCCGAACGAACTCGTCGTCTCGAAGAATTTCGCGATCTTCTGTAAGTGGCATCTCACGGGTGGCATCCAAGTTGCCTCATGATTTCTTCCAGGTGAAGGGGCCAATGACGCCCCTAGGGAGGTCCCCAAATACCAGGTACGATACCTCGAGGCTGTCGCCTTTGAGTCCAGAAGTAGGGGAGGAATCAACATCAATCTCTTCTAATATATGGGATACCACAGAAGGGCTACCAGAGACCTTTATAACGGAAGCAACGATCAGAGGCAGTGAAATCCCTCGTTCAGCGTATGCTACAGGCGCTGAGTTCAGCAAGTATGCTCGTACGAAAGATTTGAAATTGCGGGAAGGCGACATCGAGGCTCACGCTTGAGGATATCAATTAGTCAAATTATCAATTTAAGCATTGTACGCGAGATATAAATAAGTTCTACTCGATGAATAAAGCATATTACAGTTCAGAATAACGCCCTTATTGAAAAAGATTCCAACTTAAAAAACACTCACGGTGGGGGTCGAACCCACAATCTTCTGATTAGAAGTCAGACGCGTTGCCATTACGCCACGCAAGCTCAATTAGAATGAACACTTTCAAGAGGAGAATAGTACCAGCCTAACAAATCACGTCGAATTTTGATTTCAAGTAGTGCAGATTTTACTGTATTGGAGTACCCACGCAAAACGGTTAGATGATATTAATGAACAAGACCTTGAGTAAGTCACCTCCTTTGTCTTTAGCACGTCCTCTCAGGCTATTTGTGTTGAGGCTCGCTCATTCTAGAAATCTGATGGCTCTCAATAATGTTCCGATGATCGCCAATACCAAATCATATACGAATGCCGTGATGGAAAGGTTATCTAGGCTACAGACATGCTTTTATTTCAAGAGAGGTGAAATTGAAGTACTCAGTAGCCCCAGCTCATTTTACAACACCTTGAAAGAGAAAATTTTATCCGCTGAGGAGAGAATTTTCATTGCATCACTTTACATTGGAACCTCACAGCAGGAATTAATGTCATGCATCTCCACAGCCCTAGATGCAAACCCTCGTTTGAGAGTTTACTTTCTGGTGGATGGGCTTCGTGGCACCAGAGAGGCACCAGGTAACTGCTCTGCTTCGCTGCTATCGAAGCTTGTGAAAAAGCATAACGCTAGAGTCGACGTTCGTCTTTATAGGACGCCCGAGTTGACAAAAATAAAAGAATCGTTAATACCTAAACGATTCAATGAAGGAATTGGGCTGCAGCACATGAAAATATATGGAGTCGATGACGAAGTGATTCTTTCGGGGGCCAACTTGTCCACCGATTACTTTACCAATCGCCAAGACAGATATTATCTCTTTAGGTCGCAATTATTCGCCAATTACTATTTCAAGTTACACCAGCTTGTAAGTAGCATGAGTTATCAAGTACACTACTCTGAATCGGTACAAAAATTCAAGATGTTGTGGCCAAGAGAAAACGTCGGGGTTGATCCTCGGCTTAACAGACAAAAGTTCCTCACATCATGTTCTATGGCTTTAAAAGATTTTCTTCTGAAACCAACAGATTCAGACGCAATGCAAACGAATTTAAGCGGCGACTACAAGACAGTCGTATACCCAATTTCACAGTTCACACCATTGTTCCGGGGCACTAAAGACTACTCCACCGAGAAAGTAAGCATTCTAAATCTGCTTTCATGCATACCAAACAGCTCTGTAACATGGACATTTACTGCAGGCTATTTCAATATGCTCTCTGAAATCAAAGATATGCTGCTAAATACCCCCTCTAGACAAGGCAAGGTGATCACGGCGTCACCCCAAGCTAACGGCTTTTTTCAATCTAAAGGCATTTCAAGGCACTTGCCAGATGCATATTTACATTTATCTCATAATTTCATTAAAGAGGTCAAAGAATGTGGCAGAGAGTCTCAGATATCGTTAAATGAATGGAGAAAGGGTATCGTAAACACTCCAAATGGTTGGTCATATCATGCTAAAGGGATTTGGCTTTCGGATAGCGATACTGAGGACGATAGACCCGCTGTGACGGTAATAGGATCATCAAACTATACAAGAAGGGCGTACTCGGTTGATTTGGAGTCGAATGCTGTCATTGTAACCAAGGACTCGGATTTGAAGGATAAAATGCAAGAGGAAGTTGACAACCTAATGGCTAATACAAAAGTAATCACTACTCATAACTTTGAGGCCGAGCACGAGCGGCAAGTAAGCTTAGGAGTTAGAGTGGCAACGAAAATAGTAGGGAAGAGACTATGACATAGGACTCAGGAGGCTTTCGATGTTTAAGTTATAGCGAATGTGTTCTCTTATTGTAATACGTAGAAGTTTCAACCTATAAGGTGCTCTGTTGGTCGTCTGTTTGGGTGTCTGTAGACGTATTGAGCCTGGCAGAGAAGCGAAATTAGGAATATGAGTTGAAAAACACAATCATAAATGGGCTTGGAATTAAGAGGTACACGATACTGCTGCTGACTGTGAAATGTAAGGGAAAATCCCAACTGTAATGATGATGACAGCATACTCAAAACCAAAAATTTAGAAGAAATTCCCTGGGTACTTCTGCGCATGAAATTTAGTGTTATTTGGGGAAGAAGGCGAAAACCAGATAAAAACCCGCCCAATACCCAAATATAATTTATATGCTCCAAGTAAAATATTCCATATTTCCCGCTGTCGCTATAAGGCAAGTATATGGATGCACACGCGTAGCTAAACACACACAAAACGATGCAAATCACTATAGTACTTATGCAAATACTCGAGACACTTTGAAGTTTGCATTTTGTGTACCTATACCTAACCAGTTGTTCAAGGATTGCACATGTACATGCCAGATTTAGGATATCACCGAACATTATCAATTTGGATACAGGAATTCTCGAGTCAGTTGATGGGTAGTATATAGGAAACCTACGCGTAAGCTGTTTTCTCACAAGCGGTGAGAACATGTAATTAAGCCCACTGTAAATAGCGAGTAGATTGGAAACGAAGCTGAGTACGTATGAATCGTAGGAGAGGCCCTTGATCGACTTGTGTAAGCGATTATATCGCCTTTGATATGTTACAGCGGCAACCTGAAACTGTTAGCAGAATTTCAGCATAGAAAACATTCCGTGGCAAGGAGAAACATACATTCAATAGTGAGGAGAGAAATGTTATGATGGGCATGGTCTATAGTATGATTGGGCCACTAAGCATCTTTATGCTATTTAATTATTAGGGTTTTTTCAGTAAATAAATAGGCAACCAGAAAATTAAATAAATCATGAAGAAGTTAACTGCACATTAGACGCTTGCCATATTCAAAAATAACCTTATACGCCATGGATGAAAGCCAGAAAAGAGCTCAAACTGTGGCCCTGATCAACAAGTACAGGACTATGTACCAACTATACATGGATCAATTAACTCCCCATGTCAAACACCGCTGGATTGCACTTGGAGCGGGGGTGTTTCTCTTTTTTGTCCGTGTCGTGTACGGAGAAGGTTGGTACGTGGTGTGCTACGGGCTAGCGATTTATTTGTTAAATCAGTTTCTGGCCTTTCTAACGCCGAAATTCGACGTGTCTCTGCAACAAGATGAAGAAAACAATGAATTAGAATCTGGTGAAAGAGTTGACGAATTCAAACCCTTTATAAGGAGGCTCCCAGAGTTTAAATTTTGGCACAACTCGATGAGGGCACTGATTTTGTGTTCTGCAATGACGCTTTTCCGTATTTTTGATGTCCCAGTGTTTTGGCCAATTCTTGTAGTATATTTCATTCTGCTCTTTGCGTTGACCATGAGAAGGCAAATTCAGCATATGATAAAGTACAAGTACATCCCGCTAGATATTGGGAAAAAAAGATACAGTACCAAAGAGTAAGTAGCGGGTATCGAATTTTATTTAAATCACCGGCCGTCTAACAGAAGCAAGGACGAAGTCTCAATCATATGCTTTTTGCTAAACTTCCCTTACGGATCTCATATATATGAAAGTAAGAACCTGCTTGTTTCTCAAAGAACCCATTCCTTGCTGCAAAAGGTGTCTGATATAGGGATATGGGGTCAAGATAGTCTTGTCTCAAATTCTTTCGTCGGTGAAGACTGACGAGTCTTGACCAAAGTGAAAAAAATCGTATCAGCCAAGAAGAGGCTACAAACGCAATCCTCAGCTAGAAAAAATTCAATGAGAATCATCAACCAAGTAGCGGGCAATGGGAATAACCCTGAGCAAATAACCCTTCTTCCGCAGGACAAAGAGGATTTGTTCAGCTTGTTCAACATTATCAATACCGACGATGAAATTATCTTTAAGAAGATGGTTACGAGCAAAGTTGACAACTTAGGGAAGAAGAAAACTTCTGACCTGATAAGACTCCGGTTAAGAGTAATATCCTCTGAGTTTGAACCACAACATGAGTTTTTAAGATACAAGGGAGTCACTACAGAAGACGATAGCGGGAAAGCCAATGTTGATGTTCCGCTCGGAAAATACTTCAGCTTCACTATAGATTACAAGTATCCCTTTACTTTGATGAAGCATGACTACAACTCCTTTGTTGCCAAGCAAATTAAGGATGCCTGCAGTTTGGAGAGTCGTTCGGATATAGCCGCCGTTGTCTTACAAGAGAGCATTGCTCATATATGTTTATTGAGTTCTTTTAGTACTATACTGAAGAACAAGATAGAATACAGTCTTCCGAAGAAAAAGAGGAGTACAGACATTATTAAGTTCGACGAAAAAGTCGAGAAATTTTACAAAGCAACCTATGAGTCCATGAAGAGGCACTTTGATTTTGGAAAACTCAAGGTCATCATATTATGTTCGCCGGGCTTTTATGCAAAATCCCTGTACGAAAAGGTAATTCAATATGCTCAGGAAGAACAGAATAAAGACCTTCTTATGCAGAAATCAAAATTTCTAGTAGCACATTGTTCTACGGGTTATCTGCAGGGTATCAGCGAGGTATTGAAAAATCCTGCATATAGCTCTCGTCTTCAAGATGCAAAAAACTCCGAGGAAACCTTAATAATGGACTCTTTCTTAGAGCATCTGAATAACGATGACTTCAAAGCATGGTACGGTGAAGCAGAAGTAACAAAGGCATCAGAGATGGGTGCAATTGACACTCTACTAATTACAGACAGCCTTTTACGTGCAAACGACATTCAGCTGAGAAGAAAGAGTTTAGCCTTAACAGAAGATGTTGAAAATGCGGGCGGAAAAGTTTTTGTGTTCAGTTCTTTACATAGTTCTGGTGAGGAACTGGAAAAGCTTACGGGAGTTGCCTGCATACTGAAATTCCCCATCCCTGACTTGGACGAAAATTCAGACTCCGATTAGAGGAATACAGATCAAGCTAGGCCCTATATATTTGTTATATTGTCATCGCTTCAAATGTTTTTACGCTGCTAAAATTGTCAATAAATATGAACTTTAATTTTTTGACGATTTCATGAACATTAGATTATCCGAACGAGTAAATCATCTAATACTTAATTTAATGATAATTAAAACATTTTTGAAAAGTAAAAAACAAAAAATAGCATTGAACAGCTGACTGCAAATATATATTTCTTCAAAGTTTAAAATAAAAGAAAACACTTGTTTTTAACACTTTAGATAATAACAAAAAAACATTTTGAACATATAAGTGTGTAGTGTTTCCGAAAGGGAATATTATGTATTCCTAAAATATAAAATGTGTTTGATATCTTGCAAATAGTTGGGATGCTTTTGGGATGTTCTTCGGAGTTACCGTGAAACTTCAAATCTATAAGTAACATATATCTATTCTTTAAATGCCTGATAATGATGAACAGCTGAGGCGTGTAAGTGTAACGAATTATACTTATTCACAAACAATAAAAAAAACCTTGGGATTATTTACTTATAACCATCAGTAAGGAAGTCGCTGTCGGAGCGCTCAAAGAAGGAGAACTAAAGGCTCTAACGTTGTTGGAGCATTGTGGTTGAAGTTTGGGATAAGTGTGCATTCGAGGAGCGGCTGCTTGCATTTTCTTTCAAGGCGATGAGTTGCCTAGACCTAAACCCTTCATAGTGGACTAAGGACGTAGTTTCTATCAAGTCTTGGAGATGAGTTCTAATCAAGAATTCTCTCAAAAAGACAAACTCGCACTGGTTGATATCTTCTACAGAAATGCTTCCCCAACGAGTCTTGCGACCTCTGACGAGCTCACCATCGATGGATACCTCTTTTTCAGATCCAACTACTGCAAAGGGAATAATTGACCTTATACTTTCGTTTAATTCAATTTCCTCTTCAGTCAAATCATCGGATTGGTATGGATAAATTTTGAAGTTGTAGTGTTCAAATTGCTGCTGAATGATATTTCTGAAAGACGTTCTTTCGTCCATAGTTAAAGCATCAGCCTTGGCAATAACAGGAATCACATTAGCAATCTCCGTAAGCCTTTTGAGTGCTGAAACATCGAGCTGGGTTAAACCCTTGCAATTGGGTTGAATGAAGTACAAAACTGCGTGTACTCTTGTATCAGGGATGTGTCTTTCACGTTGTGCGGTCAATTCCCTGCGCAGGTACTGCGAGTGTTGTTCCTTGATAAATTTGATAATGGGCTCACATACTCTTTCATTATTGACTTGATCTCCAAAACCAGGTGTATCAATGACGTTAATATTTAAGCGTACCCTGTCCTCCACTAAAGAATGAGATGAAACTTTGATTTCGGTAGTTTTGGTGATCGGCAATTTTGTAACATCAGCTCCAGTCGATGTGTCGATCAGGTGTGAGGCAAACAAAGTGTTTATCAAAGTGCTCTTCCCGAGGCCTGAGTGACCGACTACCATAATATTGAATTGGAAACCCTTCTTTAGCAAACGGTGCTCAATCTGACTTGTTATTGTATCAAAACCCACATAGCCCGTAGGTGCGACAGGAGAATCATTAATGCCTGTGATTTGAGACATAAGAGGCGACTTGGTAGCTTGAAGCGATATTTGTTGTTTGTTTCGACGCGTAGTCAGTATATTTATTAAGATCAAATCACCTTGAATTAAATAGCATCCCGTGAATCGTCTCATGTGATCAAAAAATTTTTATGGGACTACAACAGAATTGAGTGACACAGTATCGAAGAAGCGCCTTACAGACAATCTTGTCTAAGCAGAAACTCAGATCCTCACGATAGGCGATTAGAGTGTTATGTTTTCTTTCGTGACATCTATGGCGGGTAAGCAGCCATCTGCGCCATTCTCATTCAGTACAGCTTTGACATTGATGTGGCCAGCTGCTCTTCGGCCCCAGGCTCTTCCTCGCACGTTAGAACAACTTCTCGAAAAGCGAGAGTCTTCTTCAGAGCATCAGAGTCATGAATCACCGGCCAAAGACGGGATTTGGCTGGCGGTTCCTAAGAAAAAGGTCTCCCATCAAAAAAAGAGACAGAAGCTCTATGGTCCTGGCAGGAAACAATTACAAATGATACACCATTTAAACCGCTGCCCCTCTTGTGGCCACTTTAAGCGGGCGAATACTTTATGCATGCACTGTGTCGGACAGGTCCACCACATATGGAAGGCCCATACTGCTAAGGAGAACTCAGAACCTTTACAAGAACAGGGACTCTCGGACTTAGACCACAGGATATTATACCCTGGTAACAAGAAAACAGAGTACGCCAAGAAGCTCAAGGATAAAGACAGCTATCTCGATCGTCGTTTGAGGTCATTGCCAGCTAAAGATTTAGACAAATGACTTCTTTTTCTGACCTTCGAGAAATAGTATAGGTGTACAAAATACTAAGAATCCTCCTGTATATATTTTAATGAAATGACGAGATAATAGTATGCTATTGATTTGTGCGAGGTACAGACCGATCAAGCTGATTATGCGACCGTCAAATACTTAATGCGTTTGTTTTTGTTACAAATGGAATCATTCTAAATTACGGATAGCTATTTTCTAGAGGTTCTGAAACGAAACATGAGAAGTGATTTCAGTTAACGGAAGTAGCGTCACAAGCATGAATTTCGCCTCAAACCAGGGTGTAAACCCTTCAATATTCCGTGTCAATCTTCATACGTTCGCTCCTTCACACCCTCTGGGTGTGAAGCCTTCAGGTAACGCGTTGATGGCAGATTGTTTAAAGAAGCTCGAAAACCAAAGGCAGAGGCAGCTAGGCAAATTCGGGGTCTTTCCAGAAAATGTGCTTACGCATTTACTATCTTTCATTGACAATCCACGAGATTTATTGAGTTTGGGGCATACGTCTAGGGTATTTTACGCATACACATACAACGAAGAACTTTGGAGAAGACTTTATATCGAGGAATTCGTTTCACTTGAGGAAAACACAGCTGAGGCGAGCACCCAGATCTCACCATTTGCATCGTCCAAATGGAGGGGTTCGTGGAGAAAGACGGTGCTAAAAGTTGATCAAGAGGCTTTGGTTAAAGTGAACGATTTGGTCTTCTCTGATCATTTGTATAGGCCCTATCAATGCTCACAAATTGACTTCGAGCACCTTTTTAGAAAAGTGATTGAGTTTCAGGTATCTTTAAAAGATCTGGGCCCAAGCTGGAGTCCTACATTTGGTGTCCAAAGACTTGACGAAATGAAGCTAACTCTAGATGAGTTCGAAAAGCACTTTATCGACATTCCGTTTATTTTACAAAATCATTCAAATCCCAAGAGATGGCCTGAATGGAGCTTAGAAACACTTGTCGAGGGCTTTGGCTCCGTGAAGTTTCGACAGGAAGCTGTAAAATGGTCTTTATCATTTTACGCCGACTACTTCAAACAAAACTGTGATGAGTCACCTCTTTATTTGTTTGATTGTAGTAGTAGAGCCATAAAAACGCTAAAGCAGGAATATGAGGCACCCATTATTTTTCAAAATGATCTTTTCAAAGTCTTTGAGAATGCCGATACACAGTGCAGACCTGATCACCGTTGGCTTATTGCTGGTCCCCAAGGCAGCGGCTCAACTTTTCATAAAGACCCGAATTACACCTCGGCTTGGAACACCGTTCTTACTGGAAAAAAGCTATGGATCATGTTCCCTCCTGACGTTAAACCGCCAGGAATTTCCACGGATGAGGAGGAGGATGAGGTTACGTCCCCAGTAGGTGTAGCAGAGTGGATTCTTTCGGGATTTTACAATGACGCCTTAACTTTGGCACAGGATGGTAAATGTCGTATCGCCGTTACCTTCCCTGGCGATTGTATATACGTACCGTCTGGTTGGTGGCACTCAGTGATAAACCTCACCGACTCAGTGGCGTTGACTGAGAACTTCGTGCCGGCTCCAACACTACCAAAAATCTTACTGTTTTTAAAATCTAAAAGGAAGCAGCTCTCTGGATTTCACTTGCATGACATAATGTTGGCGGCAACAAAATTTCTGGAGAAAAGAGGAATTTTTGGCAACCAAGAGTCGGAAGATAATTTTATGAAACTGGAGAATTTTTTGTCTACAGAAATGGCTGACGCTATTGACAATAGAGATTGTGGCCTCTCGGAGGCAGCTTCAGAATTGCCAATTTTCGAATTTTTTGTTGAACTGCTAAGATCATCAAAGTTCGAACCGATGCTAGAGGATGCGCTAAAGAAAATGAAGGCGCTAGAGTCCGAAGAAGCAAAAAAGAGACATAAGCAAGTCAAGGTTTCTGACAGATGGACGTCACTCGCAGCGGACTCTAATAATGGCTTTAGTTTCAGCCTAAGTCTTGAGTGACGAGTTTTGAAGTGGGAAGGCTTAGATATCGTATTTTGAAGGATATTTAGGCTATAAATTTACATCTTCTTTGACAGAGTGGACCAATAGAAAAAATTTCAATTAAATGTTGTCTTTTGTCCAATGTGTCTATAGGACATGAACATCACGCTACATCAACAAGCAGCAACCATTGTCTTTCTTTTTCGATTGATTTTTCTCTGTACCTGAAGCTTGCTGCACAGTTCTTGTAGTCTCTGCCTTCTTCTCATCAGCAGGCTGTTTAGCCGCTGACTTTTTGGTAGCGGAGAGAGGAAAGTGTTGTGCAATTTCGAAGAAAGCTTTACCTTGAGCTGTAGCAAGCCTTAATTCCAATGCACTAGGTAGCCGAGAACCGTCCGCGCCAGCTAGAGTACCAGCCCCCCAAGCGGAGCCACCATGTATCTCCTCAATGTTAGAGAGCTCTGCAAAAGTATTTCCATATCCCAAAGGCACGAAGATCATGCCGTGGTGAACCAAGTAGGTCAAACAAGACTTTACCGTAATTTCCTGCCCTCCACCATAAGTACCTGTAGATACAAAGATGCCGGCAGGCTTGCCTTGTAATGCACCTTTAGCCCATAAACCACCAGTTCTATCCCAGAAAGCCGACCACTGAGCGGGAACATTACCGTATCTTGTTGGAACACCAAAAAGAAACGCATCGTATTCTTCAAGGGTCTTAGCGGTAGCAAGGGGAACATCGGGTTTAGATGGTGCATGCATCTTTTCCAAAACTTCATCTGGGAGTGTTTCTTCGACCCTGAAGAGGTCAGCTTGACCGCCGGCGGCTTTGATACCCTTTAGAATAGATTCAGCCACAGTATCGATATGCCCATACAGCGAATAAGTAATAATTGCAATTTTAGTCATTTCAAGGTGGTAGTTGAGCTGGTAACGTTTTCAAAAAGCTATTTAGCGGTCGTTTCCTTAAAGTGATGTTTTTTCGAGTTTCATGAGCCCCTTTAAGTAGCCTGACAAGTAATGTTAATCGAAAAAATCCAGCATTACTACGATTTTAGTCACTTGTGAAAATCGTGTGTCGAATATTACCAATCATCACTTTAGGGAAAAGGAAAAAAGGTACAGTCCATCAGATGGGGCTTGCCATGGTGACACTTTTGTTATGTAAGCTAAATATCGTTTCATGAAAAGCACCTCTATCGGAAATCCTCACCATCACAGCATTCACATGTTGTCGCGACTAAAATTGTGAGGGACATAAACCTTGGCTTGTCAAAGCTTGAATAATCAGAAGCAGGAGAGCAGGGGCCAATGTTGTGGCCACCTGCTATTAAACTTTCGATAGACATTACTGAAGAAGATTAAATTGACGTGATAAAAGTTATAAATACCAAAGTTGAGGGCGTTATGTGGATGCGAGAATTGGTCCAGAGTATGAGATTGATCTTTGGGGATTTGAGACTCAAGACTATAAGTAAGGTAAGTCTGCTCTCCAGAAAACTGTTAACTCTTGTGGTTTGTATGGTACAAAATCGTTGGGATCATGACTGGAAAAGCGAGGACTCAGTTCTTGGCATTGATAGACTTGACCAGTTGGATGTACTTCTCGGTGGAAAATGACTTTGGCCTCTCGATTGGCTGGCCAACAGCTCTATCGATGATAAGTTGGGGCAAAACACCTAGGGCTCTAGACACACCGAACAATACGGTGTAAAAGGAACCCTCAGTAAGACCGTAGTATTGTAACAAAACACCGGAGTGAGAGTCCACGTTTGGCCATGGGTTCTTGGTCTTACCGTGCTTGGTCAAAACACCTGGAGCAACTTCGTAAATGGTGGAAACCAACTTGAAAAGATCGTAATCTGGGAAGTGCTTCAAGGCAAATTCACGTTGAGCGGTGTAACGGGGGTCAGTTTTACGCAAAACAGCATGGCCGTAACCTGGGACAACCCTGCCGGAATTCAAGGTATCCCACAAGTAATTTTCGATGGTGTCCTTGGAATAATCTCCCTTCACTTCCTCTCTTAGTTTGAACAACCACTCCAAAACTTCTTGATTCGCACGACCGTGCAAAGGTCCCGCAAGACCACCTAGACCAGCTGAGAAGGACAAGTATGGGGAGGACAAAGCAGAGCCCACCAGGTGGGTAGTGTGTGCCGACACATTACCACCCTCATGGTCGGAATGGATAGTCAAATACAACCTCATCAATTCGACAAAATCCTCGTTTTGGAAACCCAAAAGTTGAGCCAAGTTCTTACCAAAATCAGCATTAGGATCCACGGCGGGCAACTTACCGTCCTTGAAGACGTTGCGGTAGATTCTGGCGGCAATAACTGGCAACTTACCAATCAAATCTAAGGAGTCCTCAAAGGTGTAGTTCCAGTAATCCTTCTTGGAAACACCTTGAGCGTAGGCTTTGGAGAATTTGGACTCACTTTCCAAGGCGGTGACAGCAATGGAGAACTGAGCCATAGGATGCAAATCCTTTGGCAAAGTGTTCAATAGCTGGTCAACGTGTTCTGGCAGCTCGGATCTCGAGGCCAAGTCGGCAGAGAGGGCTTTGACTTGCGACTCAGTAGGAACCTCACCGGTAAGTAGCAGCCAGAAAAGAGCTTCCGGCAAAGGTTCGGAGCCGCCGGCTCCCTTTGGTAGCTCTCTTTGAATGTCTGGGATAGTTTTGTTCCTGAAACGGATACCCTCTTCTGGGTCTAAGACAGAACCTTCCCACACTAGACCCTTGATACCACGCATACCACCATAAGCTTGCTCGAGAAGCACTTCGCCAATGACGGTCTTCCCGTGTTCCTTTTTTAGCTTCTTGATTTCTTCGACTTTGCCAGGAATGATTTCGGCGAAACGTTCCTTCAATGTTTTCTCGCCGTTACTATAGAAGCGAGCCATGTTTAGGCCTGCGTAGATAGCAGATCTAGTGGTCGCCGACTGCTGTAGGAAGCCGCGGGCTACCGAGTTTCTGGAAGACACAAATAAAGACATGCTTGATGTAATTGAGATATTTTGCTCTAGTTAAAAGAAAGCGTCCCGTTAGTCTAATCTAGTATTAGTATGGTTCTAATCAACTCAAGTGACCTTCTTTCAGTTCAACCGCTGTGCGTTATTGGCAATAAAGTGAAGTGCGATTACCTCTTGCTGCAAAGTAGTCTACAGTGATCAACGACTGTCGCGAAGGTGTCTGGCACTCAGCTTGGGGCTTCCGATTCGTCCAGTTTATATACTTTTGTCCGAACTCGGCTCCATAAGGTCACGACAGCGGGAAGTCCTTCCGCTACGTAACCGAAGTACTGGCAAAATATTGAGGATCCGACATCGAAATTACACGTGACCAAGAATCAAGGTAATTCGCTAACAGTGCCAGACTTTGGGTTGAACTGTGAAGCACACATTCAGGTCGACTAGAATGGACAGTGGGGAAGAGAAATGCACAGTTTTTCCTGTGGGCTGTATAGTGACTCAAAAACCTCAATGCTACTAGCTTTTTTGCTGGTCTTTTAAGGACCTCGAGAATAGTGTGCTTAATTTATGCAATTATAGGGAACGCATTTATTGCAAAAAGAAAATGGGGCGAGCCGGGACTCGAACCCGGGACCTCCCGCACCCTAAGCGGAAATCATACCTCTAGACCACACGCCCGTGTGTTATTTTTGTAGTGAGAAAGGGAGACACCAACATAGCAGCCGTTGGAAAGTCATGCAACCATCCCAAAAATCGTAAAAGCAGTCGTTAGAAGGGATATGAGGTTGGCACGGATTCTGAGCATCTGCGAGAAAGCTGGCATCATTTGATTTTGTGCTAACAAGATGTGGTATGTGATAGTCGGGGTATGATCATAACGTGATCGGGGCGTTGCTCGTTCAGGAGCTGAAGCATGTCCTTTACTATTGGTGCTAACCCTTTCCCGCTGCTCCAAATATCTCGGTTGCCCATTGCTGTGTAGGCCTCTCTGAAGAGAAAAAATTAAGTCTTCAAAGTTCCTTCTGCATGGCAATTGTCCGAATATGGAAAGATAATCGACGAAATTTCTGGTGCTAACTTCTTCTAGCCAAGCAGCCAATCCCCTGCGCGGCGTGAAGAATAGCCCTTGGATCTCGTCCAGATTTACCGAACTCAAAATCCACGTCGTCCGAACTTGCATGTCCACATAGGGCTGCTTCGAAACCAAAGAAGAGCTCAAGCCCTATTGCTTCTGCTAATAAGGGGTGGCGGATGGTACATGGTTGCTAGAGACCGTTGATGATTTCAGTTAAGTCTCCACAAGGCGATTGGCCGCATCACTTTTCACTTTTACTTCATGGGCATTCCAGCCCGTTGAAATCGTTTCCCCCAAAACTCTAGGCTGTTGTTACATTTCCAACAACCAACGTCGCTGCGTAGTGGAGAGCCCAAGTTTCAACATACGACGCGCCACTATTGCGGTGCAATTACTGTTCGGGTAGCTCCTCATTTGACTGCTTGCCTATTAGGCTGCCCGCCAAGTGTGACGCCTGTGATGAGGTCCGCACTACAAACAATTACGGTTCCGGCTAAGTATCCGAATAGGGGAATTCGAGGATAGGCCCATGTGCCGTCGAGAAGTAAAGTTACTAAGTACCGTTGTGTATATTACTTTGATATGCGTAACGATGGTGGTATTCCTCCCGGACCATGTCTGGTCAGCTTTAACTGTCATTCCTGTCATCATTGTGAGTTTTTTTTATTTTCCACTCGGGTGACATGAAGCGAGAGGCAAGTTGGGTATCTCTAACCGAACTAGGAAGAAAAAAAATTAATGCCACCCGTACATAGGTGGTACGCTGGTCATAAATCAAGCGCAAATGTCATCAACTACTCATAGTCAACCACCATCTCAACAACTCATCTGGCGTTAAGAAGAAGACGGTCCATTCAGCAGAAGAAAATTTTCCGTCTAGTGTCTGTTTAGACTGGTAACAGGAACAAACGGGCGTGAAAGGTACCAGAAAAATCAGGCAGTGTGGAGTGTTGACGCAGCAGTAAGAAGAGAAACTCGCCAAGCAAGGTTTCCTTCTGCTAGCACAAATCGACTAAACTTAGTGCTCAAGCTTTTACAAACACATTAGATCAATACTCTGAAGCTCATAAGGGCGCTCGCTGGCAATTATCCTATCACTCATCCCAGCGCATCGGCCATACTGTTGGCTCACTATTACAAAGGCGAACGCAACACGGGGTAGTATCCAATATGACAGCGACCACAGCCGAAGTTTGCCCCACCAAAGCTCGCAAAACTGGCCTGTCGTCGAAGATCGGCAAGATTTTTGGTTCGGGGAAGAACGCTTCGGCGGAATCATCATCATCCGACGTAAGCTCAGTGAGACAAGCCCACATACCATCCCCTTCTAACTCGTCACTGTCATTGGAGAGCTCTAACATCGATTATCAGAAGGGGTCCCTAATACCATCACGACCCAGCTCGCCACCTGCATCCTTGAACGGACGCGTGTCTTACGGCGGTGTGCATGATGAAAGTTCCATTTCCGCGCTCAAATATCGGTCAGATATCAATGATAAGCCTTCTGCTAGCTCCTTGAATATCGCTGCTATGGCGTCCGCAGGGTCCGGCAGATTTGTGATACTTGAAAATAACATGCATGAGCATCACTTGAGGAACGCAAAGCGCCAAGAAAAACTCAGCAGCATGATTAAAAATATTTTGGGTGCTCAAAAACTGCGAGGCGAAGCAAAGTCAGCAGTGCCGGATATCCTCATGAACCAGAAAAACCAGAAAAGTACGTCAGACCCACCTTCTTTATTTTCGGGATTTGTTAGACAAGCATCGACCTTAGACCGGAATACGCCCTACAGTGGTGCCTCACAAAGTGCAAAGAAGTTCTATTACAAAGAGAATAATAGACCAGGTGTGAAGAATTTGGATACTGAAGCTATTTCGATGCTAAACGAAAATTCCGCTTGCTTTGCCGAAAAGTACGGTCGCTGCCAGGAAGTGGTCGGTAAAGGCGCCTTCGGGGTTGTGAGAATCTGTCATAAAAAGTCTCAAGATGAGCCCAATGGCGAAAAACTCTTTGCGGTCAAGGAATTCAGGAGAAAACCCACAGAGTCCCCTGAAAAATATTCTAGAAGACTGACATCTGAATTTTGCATCTCTTCTTCCTTGAAGCACACTAATATCATTATGCCACTAGACTTATTTCAAGACGCCAAGGGTGATTATTGCCAAGTGATGGAGTATTGCTATGGAGGCGACTTGTTCACTTTAATAATCGCTGCTGGCAGACTCGAATACATGGAAGCCGACTGTTTCTTCAAACAGCTGATACGCGGTGTTGTGTATATGCATGACATGGGCGTATGTCATCGTGATTTGAAACCCGAGAACTTACTCCTGACCTCTAACGGTGTTCTAAAAATTACGGACTTTGGGAACAGCGAATGCTTCAGGATGGCATGGGAGAAGGATATTCACCTTAGCGGCGGAGTCTGCGGTTCAAGTCCATACATTGCCCCTGAGGAATATACACATGAAGAATTCGACCCAAGACCAGTCGACATCTGGGCGTGTGGTGTTATTTATATGGCCATGAGGACTGGTCGACAATTGTGGAGTACGGCTCAAAAGGAAGATGAATTCTTCTCGAGATATTTAACTGGTAGGAAAGACGAAGCAGGGTACGAACCTATAGAAAAGCTAAAAAGGGCTCGTTGTCGCAACGTCATATATTCCATCCTTGATCCCGTCCCAAGTAGGAGAATCAGTGGGAGGCAAATTTTGAACAGTGAATGGGGTCGAGAGATTAAGTGCTGCCACGAGGGTCAACCGTTGAAGGAAGAGTGAGGACACTCATTCTACATTTGCATTCATTTTCGGAACGGTAGTATTTTAAATATCTACTCTCATGTATTATAAAAAACCTTGGCAGAAGGATTTATTCCTCGTAGTTCACGTCCCTGATGGTAAGTTCAATCGCGGGCATAGGGTACAGTACATAGGGCACGGATTGGCTGCCAAATCTGCAGTGCCAAGAATTGGAATTTCCAATCTTTGCATATGAAGTTTGTTGGCAAAGATCCAAGGACCTAATGCCAGAGTGAGAGCACCATAATACATTGGTTATCGATATGCGAATACCAATTTCAAGCCAAAAGGAGCATATACAACTGTAGTGACTAGCAGCTCATATTTGGCCATAGTTGATTGAAACCTTTTTTTCGTTGAGCCGCTGTCTCCGCTTATTTACAAACTTCAAGCCAGACTCCTCTTCATTAGATGCACCATCGGGCGCCAAAATTAGCTCCTCGTGGCCCAAGTAAAATACTTTCATAACGTTACCGAAGCCAACCACAAGTGATTTAGCGCCAAACTTTTCCACTGGGCCTATTCTATTTGTGAGCAGCCCACTTTCACCGACAGGAATTTGATAATACGTTACTGTACCGTTGACAGTCATTGTCCAACCCTCCCAGATGTCATGAATGTTATATTCCAAGGATTTTGATGGTTTCATAATCCTACTTTCGATCCGATTCCTCAAACGATTATCACCTAGCTTCATGTCCTCAGAAGCACTTCTGACCATCGTCTTGGATATCACACTATCAGGCCGTTTTTTCTGTTTTCGTTTGAGACCGATAATCATGTTGTTATCCGTTGCATCCCATTTGTCGACGTCTTCGAGGATATGCTTTCGTTCTATTACAGAATCTAGACCGAGACAACGAATTTCTCTGGGGTCTCTCTCTACACGCAGGCATATGCTTGTTTTAGTACGACTTTCCGGTTTAAAAGTCCTCATAACTAAGGTTGAAGAACAGTGCTCATTGTAAGCAATTGACAAAGATGCAACTGAAGCACTACCGCAAAATTTACAATGCGTTGGTTCGTCATGAAATACACGAAGTGTTACTGGGCTGTAATTCGAGATTTTAAAGTTTTTTATGACGGTTCCAGTTTGCGCATCGACCAATTCTGCATCATGAGCTTTGGCCAACAACAGCAAACCTACAAACGGAATAAGACGCGTGGAGATGACAATATCTTCTTTAGCAGGTTCGTCTGTATTAGCTGACCGTTCTTGAAGGTTATTATCCATTAGGGTTGCAGGTGTCATCAATTTTTGGCCCCTATTGAACGAATTTCTGACCAGGACAAGTTTGCGGGGCCTCCATCTATTGTTCACGACAGTGGAAATGTATACATTGCCCTTACTGTCACAAATTACAAGTCTGTCGTTAACCCTTGGAGTGGTTAGTTTCTTGCAAGAGGAGAGAGGAAGCGTCGACTGGCATACTTTAGAAGTATTCACTGCGCCCCGAATGTCCACGCTTGTTATGTTACCGTCTGAAGTCACAAAAACGAGCTCTAAGTTCTCCTCTGCCTCGGCATTAACGACTGCAGCCCTATCGCTATACTGGGCAGCGTAAGCCTGAGATACAGAGGACGAAGATTTCCTAGAGGATATGGAAACATTGCTATCTCGCCTCTTAAGTGCTTTAGGCACCAGTTCATCAGCGCCGCTTTTTGATATCGTGTTAAGCCGACTGCTTGGAGTCGTTTTACTCAAGAACGCTGGTTTCGTCTTGATTCGGAAAAACGCTTCCAAAAGATCATCGGGTCCAAACCCCACCTTAATGGTCCACACAAATCGCATACTTGTTCTCGACCAACATGAAATATAGCCACTTTTGGCAAAAATTGCTGTAAAACTACCATTAGTGCCCGTAACAATCTTGAGCACCGGCCACAATTGCTTTCGCAATGGAATTTCAGTAGGTAGCGGAACAGGACTGGATAGGGGAGACCATACTAGGAGCTTGCGGTCAATTCCCACAGATATTACGAATGGAGAATCAGAAGTCGAAATGGTCATTATATCTAGACTGTGTCCGCCAACGGACAGCTCTTTGGTATGGAAAGTTAAACCATCATTAGCCTTACGAGCTGTAAGTTCATTTTCAGGGCATGAATCTGCCACTAAATTTCGCCCGCCATGTTTTTCTTCCGTTGTCAAGGGCCATTCCACTCTATAGAGAAGTAGTTGAAGACCAAGGAGGGCCATAGAAGACAGTAGTACAATCATAACAATGAACTCGAAGAGGTAGTAGAGATCAAACCTATAAGATGAGACGAGAGGCGTCTGCAAAATATTCAAGTCTTTAGCCAAAGAGTTTTGTTTCAGAGTAGAGCCTGCTTTCAGTGCTACTATCATTTCATTGACAGACCAAATTACGGAATAACTCCCGCTCCCATATGTGGTGAGAAGTAGCCAAGACAGGAATTCTCCCTTTAGGCCACTAATTGCGCTTGACTGGGATATAGTGCTAGATCCCCAGATATTCCCCGTGAGGGCCTTATATGGCAATGATGAAGATGGGCGAACCAAGGCATATCGTTGGATAATGAAAATTTGATATAATATGCAAAACCCATCGGGATAAAGGCTTAAGCCAATGAAGCTGCCAAAATTAGTAGCTTTGCTGCGTTTGAGAACGATCTGGCTGGAATGGTCATCTTGATCATCTAAAATTTTTGACAAGGACTCATCACTGTCTCTTAAAAAGAGTAGTTCATTACTATTCAATCTCCTGTAGTCTAGGCTCAGGATGGAGGTGAAAGAAGTAGCTTGCAGAACAAAGAAGGTTACGACTGTCAAAGAGAGGAAGAAAGTGGTCTGTCGACTGAATGGTAACAGGAGTGCAGCAATCAAGATCGACTTTAAAATTCTATCCAGAAACGAAGCGTTGGCGTTCACAGTAGCATAAATAAAATTCATGGAAGGGGCCCGATCACCACCTTCAAAGTTTGAGGAGGACTGCATGTATGAGTATTCGGAGATGATCGTGCCTGCCGTCTGGTCAAGCATTCCAATAGAGCCCGTGGATGTGATTACCACGACAGGAAACCACATGAGGGTCAAAGGTACGTGAACGTTGTTTCCAAAGAAAATGGCCGTGACTGTGTTCGACACTGCCATGCTGATTACTATCTGTGCTACTATGGCCACTGAAATACCAACCTTGGATTTCACCAGGGCCGTTCGCTTGAAATCTCCGTAAAATTTTGTGGCCCATGCTGAAAAGAGGCCCACACTGCCCATCAAATCCCATGAATTAATGGGTTGGACATTTATGTTAAAAAGTATATCCAGGGAAGCATCCCTGTCGTCCATCGAGTCATAAACCTGAAAACCTGTCACATTTTGAAGTAAGTTCAATTCTTCAATATTTTTGCCGAGAGATGATCTAAAGCTCTCGAGATTATCCTTCGATGCCAAGATGTTAACGACGATCGCCTCCGCAGATGTTACATAACCGTTCACCTTCAGTGCCTTTCTTAGAAGATATTTCGGTATGGTGTGAGTTTTGGAGTTGAGCGTCTTCAAGGGATAAGGATCTTTGTGTAATATTTCTATTGTATTGTTCCATAGTTGAAACGGCGATTGCACCAAGTTTATGTGATCTTGCTCCGGAATATTATGCAAAAGCCTGCTTTGTATTGCAAGAGCCTCCAACATTGAGGCCCTTCCTAAGATATTTCCCCCATCGACCTGCGTGATCCAGAGTTGGGTCAATGAAAAGTCAACAGGCTTCGCCAGACGACTAAATTCCACATCCGTTCGGCTGAGGTACCACGAAGTCAACCAAGTGGTCTGCCAAATAGATGACAGTGATGGATATGCTATAATGAAGAACGTTATGAGAGGTATGAATATTGACAATAACGGGCATCGTACTGCCCTGGAAGAGATATCATAAAATAGACGGTGCGAGGTAACGGCCTTTCTCAGCATCGTCCATGGGCTTTTGAGTGACCGCTGAAATACTTTAAAGGGGGAGTAGATCACCAGCTCTCAGAGAAAAGAAAAGCCTTCCAGGGTCTTGGATATGGTCGACGTTTTACCATGTACAAACTTCCAAATGGGATATTTTAATCATTGGATGTAAAATATATATAATCTATAAAAAAATTGAAAAAGTTGTAACCAAGTTTAGGGACAAATGCCTCCACTAACCTTCGCAGTTAACAGATTGGTAAAATATAAGCCACGTATAAACATTACTTGAACCCTAATGCACAAATATTGAGGTTATTCATTTGCTGGAGAAGGCCAGCTATCTTCTCATCTAACACACCATTGGCGTATTCATCGCGAGATTGTTGATCGAGATACTGCTGAATTTGAGCAAGTCGTGTGTATCCTTCTGTACAAAATCGCAGCTGAATTTTTACAAGAGCTTCAAAACTTGGATCATAGTAAGGCACTCTCAGTGAAACCAATTGAGGCAATTCTGTTTTAAGCTGTTCGTTTAGATTGTCAAAAATATCCTTCGCCAATGAAAGCTCTTTCTCGGCTCTTGGAAGCTTAGAAGCGTCCTTAGCAGGTTTATCAATGAGGCGACGGACTTTAGCTTTGGCAGCGTCGTAATCTTGCTTCTTGTGGTCCCGTTTCTTGATAGCATCGCCAATTTCATTGAAATACATAGAAAACTTTGTGATTGGGTCCAGGACAGTTTCTCGAAAGGGACCATCAAGCTGTTTCACGGTCTCTGAGTCAAAATCTTGCACACATTGAAGGTAATAGTTTCCAACATTATATCCACCTCCACTCACAGACTTAGAGTCGTCGTAAAGACTCGAAATCACCTCAGCAATCGTAACCTGAGAAGCAGTGACAGCTCGGAGAGAGTCCAAGTAGCCCTTAGCCTCCTTTTGGAGCTCCTTGCCGGCTCTTTCTAGAGTCTTGTAACGGCGCTCCTCGATGTCGTATTCTTTATCCACCGTTTTGTCAACATTTTTGATTAGCACACTATTGCCCGCTCGATTGACAGCTTTCTTGAAGCCTCCCCAACTCATTATTGCTCGGAGTTCTTCAACTCTTGATAGGAGTCCTGAAAGCTACTCTTGAGGCCGTGTGCTGTGTCATCTTGACCCTTTTTAAAATGAAAATTGATACCGTGACACGGCAAATTCGGTAATATCGATTGGCCATATCTGTTCACTCAGCGCCAATTGCGAAAAACCGTCGCAACATATCAACGCGGAGTATAGCTGAATCCAGCTTAATACTTATGAAACAATTTAAATTCCAACAAACAACTTGGTTTTTCTTAGAGAAATTCTAGAAACTGTCATGCCTTGATTCGTTTTCCGTAGCAGGTGAAAGCAGGCTAGTAAGAAAAACAATTTAAACCTTTATAGATGGACTGTAAGACCTAGTACGTCAATAGTTTCGCGCATGCTCTCACCCTGAATTTTGTCGCCAGATAGCTTTTGACTTATTCCTCGTATGAGCGCTTAATAAATATGTTTGTAAACTTATTTACTTTCTACAAATTCGATAGAGTGCTCTAGATTGATCACCCTAGACAGTTTGTGATGTACTTGAAATCATCTGCAACACCGCATTATATTACAGACGACTCATTGCAATTGGAATGACTCTAGGACAAGCTCCTTTCAGCCAAGAAAAGTAAAATAGACAGAAACCACGATGGAGCGGATTCCTGTTCTGGATCACGCTCCTCGTTCAGCCCAAAAATTCTCAGCTACAAAAGGACGCCAATGTGGAAGAAATGAGCTGTCGAAAATGTGGTGGATAATCTGGCAGCTTCAGCACGATGGTAAGCAGACGGTAACTTTACTATCTTTTTAACTTCCGCAGCCGTAATAACCGTGACATATGATCATAAATCGACATTAAGCGAAAAATCCGTTTCAGGTGTAGCGTCGCGCTGACATTGTTCAAGTGCCCATAGGGCAACATGAGAACCCCGATTGCCAACTACATCAAGCACCATACTTTAATCTTAGATGGTGGCCAGGGAACAGACCTTGAAGAGAGAGGGGTTGACATTGGGAATCCGCTGTGGTCCACGCTACCGTTCCTTACTAGAGATGAAGTACAATTACAGTGCATTCGTGAAATGTATCGTTCATTCAAAAAAGCTGGTGCTAATGCCCTCATGACAGTAACGTATCAGGCGTCCTATCAATCTTTACTTAAATATAGCAATGGCAAAGTGGCTAATGAACAGGATTACAAAGACTTTCTGAACTATATTATCAGTTTTACCGAGAAAGAGTGCATCTCGTCGAATGACTATCTGATCGGTAGCGTAGGGCCGTACGCAGGTTTTCTTGGGAATGGCGTTGAATATAGCGGAGATTATGGGCCAGAAGAAATTGATTTTCTAGAGTATTATCGGCCGCAGGTATCCCACTTCGCAACAACGGATCGCATTGACGTTATTGGTGTGGAAACGATACCAAATGTAGATGAATTCAGGTCACTATTAACTCCTGAGTTTGCAGCTCTATGTGGGACAAAGCCGTACTACATTAGTATAACCACGGACAACGAAGGAAATTTAAGAGACGGCACCTCTGTTAGAGACCTCTGTCGTTATATCAGGCAGAGTATTACCGCGCTACCAAGTTCTTTACTTTTCTTGGGCGTCAATTGTGTTGATTTTACGCATTGCACAAGTATAGTGACCAACCTCAATAACAACTTATCTGGATCTCCCCTAAAGTTCAGGGCTGCCTACCCAAATTCGGGTGAAATCTACGATGGTACCACCTATTCGTGGAGTCCAAACCCTAATAGTGCATCGGGTAGCACTTGGGAGAACTTGACCTCGAGTTTATTAGAAGAAAGGTGTGTCATGATTGGCGGCTGTTGTCGGAGCAGCTCGCGCGATATAGCTCTGGTTTCCCGTGTGGTGCAGAAGCAGCCAGGAGCTTAGGTCAAAGTAACGCCTGCAAGGTACAATTTATAGTGCATAGTGGGTGTCAACGGTGTACTTCACGCAACCTTAGTCACGTAGGGACATCCGTCAGAGAGTCCACTCATCCAGATATATAGCTTCACTATCTTTGCTAGAAGGCGCTATGACGTTACGACATTTGAAGATCGAAAAGCTATCTTGTATAGCTGCGTCGGAAGTTTGCTCTGGCTGTGTCAATTCTAATATGCTTTGCAAAGAAACTTTATAGCAATCAAACGAAACCTTCTCTAGCTTGTCATCATAAACTAAGACCTGGCACAATGATCTAATATCTGAAGTTGCCAGCTCTACATTCGCAACTTTTGCTCCGATTATAAACTCCAGAATATCTTCTGTTGAAGCATAGTTGTTCACATGAGATGTATAAAGAACCTCCTTACCCCCCGTAAAATTGTTGAAACCACCAGGGTAAGTTCGTTCGGCGACGAAACGCCAGACAATGGTAAGCAGGCTGTTGATAAACTCAACATCCAACTCACTGTCAGTAAACCATGGGCCACCAGTAACCTCGATTGAAGGCTGTAAGTTGTACAGCATGTAAATCTTGCGCGTAGGAAACTTTACGCTCTTAACGCTCTTAACATAACGCTGAGATTCTAAAGACTTCAAACACTTCAGCACCACATGAGTATGGAGATTTGTTCTAGCCTTTATGGTCTTCGTCCATATGCCTTCTCTCCCGCTGGCCTCGATGTACGAGTATACCAAAGCCTCATCAGCGGTCATTGCTGCCTTCTTTTGCGCTTCAGCAAAGTCGACTGCCTGAAACTTTAATTCACTGTTCTGCTTTATAAGTTTTAAGAGGTTTTTGTCCAAAAGTTCTTGTACAATCGACATGAGATCGGTCAGCGATGAGCTATTCGATATATCTTTCAATTCGAGCTGCGTGAATAGCGCACTCGAGCCTCCGGCCGTCATACTACCATGAAGCGTTCTTGCTCTGTCAGAGAGATTAACACCATTTTGCATGAGACTCTCCATGTTGCGCAGTGAGATATAGAATGTTTTAATAGTTTAAACTTTGTAAGACGTTTGATTATGATGTAGACTTTTTTTTTTCAAATTTACAAGCTGATGCGAAGGAGTGGTGAACAAGCACGAACTCTGGGGACGAGAAACGGATCAGAGTATGCCATGGTAGAGTTACATTGCTTTGTTTTGAAAAGAGCTGAAAGTGTAGATCTAAAGCGGTTCTCGCAGTGACTAGATATCAGTTTTGGGACGAATAAGACTAACTAATTGTAGATTACTAGAGAAAATTCAGGTTGCAATGATCCTCGCTGTCTGTATCGCGCTTAGATTGATAAATACATTTGCTGAGCTTACTTGTTTGCCGAACACTCACAACGTGGTCTACAATCTTTTTTCTTTGAAGGCTTGGAAAATGTGAATCAACAGTGCAATAAAGATAGTTTAAAATTGAAGGTTCATGTTTGTTCTAAAAGGTGAGAAGGATAAATATCCGTTTGATAGTTTTTATCCAAGATGCCATCAAGATCGACAAGATAAAGCTTGATTTGGAGGCGTAAACATTCAAGTAGGCCGATCGAGGGAACTTATTCACCGAGATCAATCAATCCTTCGTATTCTGACTCACGCTGAGGAGACCTATTTCTGCTCTACAACAATAATCTCAAGCCCAAGATATCCCAGAATCAAAAATATGAGGTTGAAAGCTATCAGTAGTTTCACGTCGAGAAAGAAATCTTGAACAAGGAAACCAAAAGTGCTGAGGATGGTGGCCCCTGGGACTTCTATGTTGAGGCCATACTTGGTTTCTTTGAGAATGAGGGACTTTACCTCATTAATGATAAGGGACTCGTAGGCGTAATAGAATATCGACAAATTCTTCAAGTATTTGAACGCAACATTGCTGATGTCTTTCGTGTTGATAAAAAGACCGCTAAAAAGTAATGACGCCAGTAAAATCAAAACGCTTATTACGATAGAGTTGTTCAGATCTTCAAAGAATATTCCAACGCTCAAAATCTCCAGCGAAATCCCCAAGTTGAACAAGACGAGGATTCCAACAAACTTAAAAAAGGCCCCATCAATCATATTCAGTCCAACAGTAGGGTACACAACCAGTGCAAGAAGGGTTGGGGGAATAACTCTTAGTGGGAGAACGTCACTTAGAATTTTGCTAATGTAATAGGCCATTGGTGAGTAGTAGTTATTCGAGCGCTCCTTTAAAAAGATAATCCTTTCCAGAGAGAAAGAAGTTAGTCCGGTGAATGTCAAGAAACCAAAGTAAGTCAGGATAAAAAAGAAAAGCCCTAAGCGATTTTGAAACCCGCTAATATTGTTTTGAACATCATAGTATAGTGAACCCAAAAACAACCCTAAAAAGAGGGTGACCACGTAATTCCCGAGCAATAACTTTGGATTTCGGTAAATATTTTTGAAAGTCCTGGATGACAGTATAACTAACTGTTGCCTGAAAGAGGCAGCCTGGGTGCCACTATTATTTTCAATCGTATCGGAAGTGGAGGAAAGTTTGATTGATTCAATGTCAGCGAGCAGAGCAGAGAAGTATTGACTTTCTTTAAATTTAGAATGCAGCACTTTAGTATTTAGCGAGCCCAAACCACCGGCTTCTTCGTCTTCGTTATGAGCTAAAAGGGAGCGTAGCTCATCTCGATGAGCTGCGTAGTGTTCCCATTCACGCTGAGTAGCGGTCTCGGAGTTTTTCCTGGCCACCGAACCTTCCATCGGAAGATTCCCTCCCACGCTATGCAAGTTAGACTCAATGTCATCTGGTGTTGACGCTATCCTGGTATATGTCTGCTTTGACTCAAATGTGATATCAATGAGGTAATCGGCAATATTGTAGTCAGAAGGACACACGTAACCATTATTCCGAAGAAATTCGCTCACCTCACTTGCAATGCCGGAATATACCAATTCACCCTGACTCAATAGGACTAGCTTATCGAATGACTTGAATATATTCGATCGAGGTTGGTGAATTGATAAAACCAAAGTCCTGTTGTAGTGTAAGGCAAGACGCACGAGACATTCAATGACGTTGTTGGCGTTATTTGAGTCCAGGCCCGAAGTGGGCTCATCTAGAAACAAAATAGAAGGTGAAGTCACAAGTTCGCAAGCAATCGACACTCTTCTCTTTTCACCACCACTAATTCCACGCTCAAAATCACTTCCAATAATGCGGTCTTTAATATCGAAAATACGCAATTCGTCTAAAACTTGATAAACTCGTTTTTGTTTGGCGGAGAAGCTCAACTTTCTAGGCAAACGTAGAAGAGCGCTATTCAGAACAGTCTCGTAAACGGTTAAAGTTGGAAGCAGAAAATCTTCCTGATCGACGAATCCAATAATTTTTTTCAGATTTTGTTTCGAGACTTCAGAGCCATTCACCTTCACAGATCCTGAGACTTTGCCAGCTTTGTCTTTCATGGCCAAGATATCTAACAGAGTAGTCTTCCCTGCACCCGAACCACCCATTAGAGCCATTATTTCACCTGGCTTGACCGAACCGCTTATACCATTTAGAAGTTTCGTTTTCTTATCTGTGTGGATGCTATATTCAATGTTTTCAAACGTAAGTGTGGACCTAAAACCCAACTTAAGAAATTCACTGTCCCCGTAGTCCTCGTCGTCAGTCAATTCTACAGCAGGCTTGCTGAATATAGGACTCTTTGAGATGAAAATGATGGAAGCGATTGCCAGGACAAGAACCAACATTGAAGTTCCCGCCAGAATGATGATTGAAAGCAAAGACAACTTTTCTTTGTCTGGCTCTTGGTACCCTGGGATCTGGCTATAATGCAGACATTCCCCGGATTCGCACTCAAGTGTGATATATGGGTCACCGAAGACTGTTGAAATCAAGTCGTTCATGCTGGGCTCACTGAACTTGCATTTTCTGGTATTCAGATTGCAGCTAAACTCCCCAGGGCCCCTAATTGTTTCTGTCAAAAACTCGGAAATATCAATTGAACCTTTTTGCCCACAAAGCATCTCCCCCGGAACGCATTTGCATTGAACCGCTTCGCACTCGTAGTGGGAAGAATTAGTCTTCAAGTCATGATTGAACTCACATGTTGACAAACCACAATAGAAGCTTTCCTTCTCCTGAATCCAAAATTGAAAGTTGCACTCCTTGGACGACCTGCTGCAAGAGAAGGTAACTTGTGGCTTCTTACCATCTAATATCTGAACAATCTTTTGGTTTGTAACATCACATCCCTGATGAAACTGGTTGACGATCATGCCTTTTTTATAGCACGTCCCCTGCACACCCTCTGGGGTGAAAACATCACAGGCGGCATCTTCTTGGCAAATATTACAATTGATTCCACCCCAGCCGTCGGCACACTGACAGCTCTCTGTCTCGTCATCCCGCGCAGGTCTATTGTTGTTACCATCCGATAGGGCCCCGCAAAGCGGTTTAGAACAGTCATCACCGCCAAAGCCCTCCAGACATTCACACCTCCCGGTATTAGAATTGCATTCAGAAAATTGTTTGCATTCAAAGATTGGTAGCATACAGTTAAAACAAGGAGGACACTGGTCATTGTCATCCTTTGTGCTGACAACCTGACCATCAGCTTCAACAAACCTTCCTCTCATATTAGCGAACACCAATTTGAAGGCAATCAGACAAGAAAGCAATTGCACAACATTTCCGCGCATCGGCTTGAGTTGAGACCGGTCGTGTCGCGCTGACATACAAGTTTATTAGGAGAAATTAGTCTGCAAATAAAACAATACACGTCCCTTAGCTGGTAATATTTGACGAACACTAAGAGAGAGGGCCAATGCCAAACACATAGAACGTCTTTCCAACGATTTCTTCAATCCTACTTGTGAGTGCATATTCTGCTACAAATGGTACTTCAAACTTATTTAGGTGGGTGTTTTAAAACAGCTTCTGGTAGCTTGATATTCTCAACGATCAACACGAAGCTGAAGGAACAGCCAAGGTATTTGGAATTGCTGCCAGGACATCTGGGCCTAGACTAGCCTATTAAAAGTAATCAAATTGGTCGGCCAAGCGTGAATAAACTAGCTCACATAGGAGAATAGACCAATTTTGAATTTTTGTCTTGTCTAAATTGTTAAAGTTGTCTTCCAGCGTATGCCAAGCGGTCGGAAATGGCAGCGGAATAAGATGCATAATGCGAACACCGTTTTTTAAAAACGGCAGGTGATCATCCTCAATCACTATCCCATTGTAGTTCTGGAATCGGGGGTCCTCGCTATCGAATAAAGTTTCGCGATAGGGAAGATTGTGCTGATTGAGACTCTCGATTTCTATCAAATGTTTGTATTCCTCGGCTGAGCTGGAAAAATAGCTAGGTACCCTGACGTTGTCAACACTGCCCAACAGATCGAGCAATATGAAAAGATCTATCTTGCTCATTGTTCCGTCCTTACTCCACTTCTCTGCAAGGTGCTTGGAACCATAGATCGAATCCTCAGAAGTCCATTCCTTGAGGGCTTCTTCTCCATCAAAGAATACTATCTTGAGACCCATAGGCTCCTGGTGGAATTCTTTCTGTGTAATGTCCTGGCGGCCGTCAAATAGCGAATCGACAAACTCAGCAATGTACAAGAGGATACCACAGGATGCTGCACTATCTATTGCACCAACAAAACCCTCAGGTACCAGTTTAGAATCATAATGAGCCGACAAAATTAAATAGCTGCTAGCATTTTGTCCAAGAGTGAAAACCAGATTAGTGAAGTTGAAGTCACTTTGTGAAAACTTGTCTTCCTCAAAGAGCCAGTCGTTCCTCAACTGATTGAAATGACTCTCAATGAATTTTTGTGTCTTCTGGGATCCTGGACTTCCCGGAGTTCTTGTCACGTTAAAAGGAAGAAGTAGGCTCGATTTATCAAAGTCATTAAGGCTCAATCTCACGTTCAAAGTATCGTCATAGAACTCTTGGCCAAAGAGTTTACCATTGATGAACCCTATAGCACCCAAGAAGTGAAGGACTAAAAACAATATTCCTGTCTTCATGGCTCTGCTGACCCACAGATACAGGTTTTCGATTTTCAAAAACGTTCTTCACTAAAAATACAAATATAGCTTATACATGAAAGCCCGCTCCAGCAATAGTGAAATGAGCGCAAATGCAGGAGACAGTATCACATCGTTGAGCTTTGTTGTGAAATCTGGAAGGAATGAAACATTTGATTTTTTCAGCAAGAAGTCTTTAGCGCCCAGAACAACAACTGACTTGGATACAAACCCAGTGCTCAGTAATATTTCCCTTCCGACCACGGTCCCTTTAGAAGCACCAAAAGTGGGTGGGCAGGAGAGGCTAGGCTTTAAAGGTGCGGGAGGGGAAACTTCAGCAGGTACAAGCTCTAAACGGTCTTCCCTGCAGCTCCCCCCTCATTCGATCCAGACCGATGTTGAAGTTGACCGTGATGATGAAATAGTCAAAGATCCGGAAATAAATCGCAAGTCAGATTGTTACAGCCCTGATGGGTCAATAACTGACTTTGAACAAAGCTCCTTGATTCAAAGACCATATCCCATGCCCCTCGAAAGCAGCGCCCGAAACAAACGGGCTAGCATATATCAAGCGAAGTACAATGGTGCCATACCCATCCGAGGGTTTAGTCATGCTTCACATACACAGCATATCGAAAACGATGATAAGGTATCCGTTAAGAGTTTTTCTTCAACTTTAACTGCCTCATTCTCTAAGAGCTTCTTATTCGGCTTCTATAACAACTACAAAAACGCAGGTAAGATCCCGAAAAGCGTTCTCTCGAAAGAATACTGGATGAAAGATGAGAGTGCCAAGGACTGCTTTGCTTGCACGAAACCTTTCACCACCTTTAGACGCAAGCACCATTGCAGAATATGTGGTCAAATTTTCTGTAGTTCGTGCAGCTTCCTCATCGATGGTAGAAAGTATCAGCACGCGGGTAGAATGAGAGTATGCCGCAATTGCCATGCTCATTTCGATTCATTGGAAGACTCCAGTGACGAGTCATCGATCGAGGAGCTCGAGAGTGCTCAGCAGTCTGTTGGGTATTCCCCGGAGAAGGGATTCCGGAATCCCGACGTTCTGCTACTGAAAGACGATGAAGTTCAAAGCATACTTACCACTGGTGAAGGTGCCAACCTATTTCGCTCAACACCACCTCCTCCCCCCAAAATGGCCATCCCCGCCACAAGGAAAGGAGGTTCCCTCGAGATAACAGTACCCAGCATGAGTAGTTTAAATGCCAGCGAAGGGTCTTTGAGACAACGGTCAAGCTTAAGGGACCGATATACAATTAGAGATGTTGATATACTTCAACCTTTTAGTAAGGAAGAAAATGGTAAGCCCCCCTCGTCCACACGCTCTCATCACGGAGGGCACCCGACCTTTCCTCAAATTTCTAATTTAAAGCATTCCATTTCAAGTTACATTTCTAACGCATCTACAGAAGCAAACCACTCGAAGAGTCAACATTCCTCTAATTCAGTTATTGCGAATCTTTCGAATAACGATTTCAAATTCGAATTCAATTACGGAGTGAAGAATTTCCAGGACTTTTTAAACACCACTAATGCAGATCAGAGCCACCACGAACGTGGGCAAGCTAAGAGGATTGAATCTTCTCCTGTTTTGGCCTCATATCAAAACCCGCTTTACATTGATTCGCACACTGGGTATAGTGACGAAGAATCTGAAGACGAGCGCTCAATGTCATTGTATGCTGCCCTGAATGAATCGCATCAAGACTCGCATTATGCGAGGCCAACGAGAAACGGTACGAAGTCACTACAGAGGGCACAAGCTTCACTCCAAAGAATGAGATCTCGCAGGAAAAGTAAGAGCCGTGCTCATCTGGGCCAAAATGTTAGCCGAAAACAATTCGAATTTTTGAATCATAGTAGCCCCAATCTGAACTCTACTGGAAGCCAAGAAGATTACTTTAGTGGCTCTCATGATTCAAATAGCAACTCAGCTCGAACAAAGCCACGAAATGATCTGACATCTTCACGAGATATGAGGCGAATTATATCAACTGCATCGGTTTTGAGGATGAAATCTCAGGGAAGTAAAACAGAGCTTAGTGAAGTTTCTCAGTTGCATATGAACGCGTTACTCAGGCAAGTTTTAAATGATCAAAATGTAGATAACGTGGTGGGCTGGATCAAAGCGTTTGGACCAATCCTCGAGGCATTACAAGGAATCCGACTAGATGCAAGAAATCAAAATGGCCTGGACTTTAAGCAACATCACATCAAGATCAAAAGAATTGATGGGGCTACAATCGATGAATCCAAATTTATAAATGGTTTGATTTACTCTAAGAATCTTCCTCTGAAAACGATGCCACGGTTAGTTAAATCACCTAGGATTCTTCTAATCATGTTCCCATTGGAATATCAGAAAAACGAAAATCATTTTTTGAGTATTGATTCAGTTTTGGCTCAGGAAAGGGAATATCTTAAGAAATTAGTTCTGCGACTAACCTCTTTGAACCCTGACCTGATTTTAATCGGTGCCAATGTCAGTGGTTATGCTCTAGAATTATTAAACGAGGCTAAAATTGTAGTTCAGTTCAATATGAAACCCCAAGTTATAGAACGCGTCGCAAAATTGACGGATGCGACCATTGCAATTACGGTAGACAAATTGGCGACGAACATGAAACTTGGCACTTGCGCCTCCTTCGAGGTCAAAGCATTTCGCTACAGTAACCTTGTCAAATCATACACATTCCTTGAAGGGTGTAAACCTTCGATGGGTGGTACGATTCTTTTAAGAGGTTCAAGCTCAGACGTCTTAAGAAAGATTAAAGACATAACAGAATTCATGGTTTATTCCGTTTTTTCTTTGAAGCTCGAAAGTTCATTTTTCAGTGACAATTTTCTGCAGCTGTCTGTCGGAGACTATGAGCGATTCTCAAATGAGAGAATGGAACCGTCTTTACCAGGCTACTTCAGCGACTTTGTTGACAAATTTCATCAACGAATATTATCGATTTCGCCAACGGTCGAGTTCCACATACCATTTCTTCTTGAAAAGGCTCGTACTTTGGAACAAGAATTACTAAAGAAGGAGAACCAGGGTGAATTTCTCTTAACCAATTATGCTGAAAACAGTAGCAGTGTCAATAGGACTATTCAAGGCTTAGGAATAGAGCCTGCGTTGACTAACAATGATATCAAAAATCTTGTAAAATTTGTTCACGATAAAGAAGTTGAGGACTTGAAAGGACTCCTAAAGTGGAGAAGCCGGCAGTGGGAACTTTCTTATGCTCTTTCTAAAAACATGCTAGGTACTGGTACACATCAGAGCATAAATGTTTTATATTCGATGATTTCGAAGAAAACGGCAACTCCCTGTGTTGGGCCTCAGCTAGTGACAATTGATTACTTCTGGGACACGGATATTTCTATCGGGCAGTTCATAGAAAATATCGTGGCCACGGCCGATTATCCTTGTGCGCATGGCTGTGATGCCTTGCTTATTGACCATTTCCGAAGCTACGTTCACGGTACAGGGAAAGTCGATGTGCTAATTGAGCAATTTCAAAGTCGTTTGCCATCACTAAAGAATATTCTGCTTACCTGGAGTTATTGTAAAAATTGCAACAGTTCTTCCCCGATTCTCCAGATGAGCGAAAAGACCTGGAATTATTCTTTTGGGAAATATCTAGAACTAATGTTCTGGAGTAAGAGTGAGGGAATCAAAACTGTAGGGAATTGCCGACACGATTTCGCTAAGGACCATGTTAAGTATTTTGGTTTCAATGATCTGATGGTGAGAATGGAATATTCTGATGTTGAGGTACATGAACTGATAACACCGCGCTCCAAAATCACCTGGAAGCCAAACATTGATATTAAACTCAAAGTTGAATTGTATTATCAAATTTTGGAGAGAATCAATAATTTCTATGGTAGCGTTAGTGACAGACTGGTAAGAGTTAAGCTGGACGGCATACCTAGTGAGCGTGTAACTGACGGGGAAGGCAAGATAAAGGAACTCAAAGATCGCGCATCTGAAGAAAAGCTCGAACTCACGGATCAAACTGATAGTATCTATCGAAATACCCCAGGAGACCAGCATCTTGTTCTTAACGAGATCATAAGATCTTTGCATAATAATGCCGCTGGCTGGGACCTAGAGTTCATCGAATTTGAAAAGACATTTCTACCATCTGAAAGGGATGTAGCACGAATAACTGCAGTTCAGTTAAAGAAACTTTTCAGCGACGCAGTGAAAGACGAGCAAGAGCAAAGAGTACTGGCAAGAAATTCAGTGAGCGAAGATTTCGATCAGCGTACGATCCGTGGGCACCTAGATAGCACATTATCCGACGACTTGGTAACTTGTCCAGATTTGAAGATTGATCTCACTGAACAGACACATGAACAACTTCCTCGAATGCCTCGTCCACCAATGGTCCACCACAGAACCGCACCAGCCCTAGAGAAGTTTCCGAAAACAAACCTGCTCCATCTGCCCAAAGATGACATATTTGTCGGTGACAATTGTTCTACTGAGCGTATTTCTTGGGCATCTCAACAGAAAACTAGTAGAACTTCCTCGGTGTTATCGGACGGTGCTCCTAAGGTTTCTCAGTGTATGCGAAGTTATAGCACGGGTAGTGAGAAAAGCAACAACACCTTAAATACCAAGGAACATAGTTCTGGTGGGAAGGTGGGGCAGTTGGCTAGCTTTTTTGATCAGATTCATTTCGACGCTCTCTCCAGAGAATTTGAACTACAAAGGGAATTTGAAAGACTGCAACTTAATAAAAACAAGTATAAGGCTTTAAGGGTGGAGCCATCTAAGCCTATCGTTGAAATCTACAAAAATGTCAAAGATGCTGTAGATCGTCCCCTGCACACGGAAAATCAAAAGAAGAAGCTCCCCTTTACAAATCTGCGGCATGAATGGAATGCTAATGAGCAGGACGCACCCTCTACGAGCAATGAACTAGGAAATAAATTGAAACACTCGATACATCAGTGGGGGGAACAAATTCTCCGTAGTGACGGTGGGGACAATAGTGGAAAGGTTAAATCGTCTGCCGATGACAAGGAACAAAGAGATGCCGATAGTGAGGTCGAATCAATTGCCACTACCCCTCACGTGAAGATTGAGGAATCCCACACCGCTTCTCAACCAGAAAGATCCTCTCTAATGAAGACGTTGGCGAACTTTTGGGCAGACCGATCTGCAACCTTATGGAAATCTTTAGATTATCCTACTCTATCAACAGAGCATATCTTTGTGGATAGTCCGGTTATCATCCGCGAAGATGAGCCGTGCTCTTTAATTGCTTTCTGTTTGAGTTCTTCCGATTACCTAAATAAGATGAAGCCTCAAGCTGCTGTCAGAAGAAAAAGCACCTCAGAACCCAAATATTCTACTTCACGTAACGATCCACATGATAGTACAAATTCCACATGCTTGGACAGTGGGGTTAGCGACGATGAAGAGTACCCTCATGGCGAAACCTCAGCGGGCAAGCCAATTTTAGAAAAAAATGATGCAAACGTTGAGACAAATATTGCAGCTGAAAATGGTAATGTGCGAGGACTGCATTGCAATAATGATGTGGGGCACGATGAATCTGTCGGAGAGATCAGCCTTGAGTCTATCATGACCAAAAAAACAGCAATGCATCTCAGATACCAGTTTCAGGACGGTACCTCCATTATGTCCTGTAAAATATTTTTTGCAGAACAATTTGATGCCTTCAGAAAGACTTGCGGATGTGAAGACAATTTTATTCAAAGTCTTTCCAGATGTGTGAAATGGGATTCAAGCGGTGGCAAAAGTGGTAGCGCTTTCTTGAAAACGTTAGACAATCGATTTGTTATAAAGGAGCTATCACACACTGAGCTAGACTCCTTTATTAAATTCGCCCCTAGCTACTTTGAGTACATGGCTCAAGCGATGTTTCACGACTTACCCACCGCTTTGGCAAAGGTGTTTGGTTTCTATCAAATACAAACAAAAAATTCAGAAAGTGGTAGGAGCTTCAAAATGGATGTGCTAATCATGGAAAACCTATTCTACAACAAAAAAACATCTCGAATATTTGATTTGAAAGGATCAATGCGAAATCGGCACGTTAAGCAGACAGGCAAAGAGAACGAAGTGTTGTTGGACGAAAACATGGTTGAGTACATCTATGAATCACCAATCTTTGTGCGAGAATATGACAAAAAGCTTCTGCGCGCTTCTTTGTGGAATGATACGTTATTTCTGGCGAAAATGAATGTCATGGATTACTCTTTGGTTGTCGGTGTGGACAGCAATGATCACACTTTAACCGTAGGTATTATTGATTTCATCAGAACATTTACCTGGGACAAAAAGCTCGAAAGTTGGGTGAAGGAACGGGGATTTGTAGGTGGAAGCACCAAAGAGCCAACCGTTGTCACACCAAGACAGTACAAAAATAGATTCAGGGTTGCTATGGAGCGCTATATCCTTATGGTTCCTGACCCATGGTTCCAAGAAAGTCACAATTAGCCAATATGTCAAATATGTAGTTGTGTCACTGGGTGTTAATTCTGTCTAGTGTATATGAAAGGGGATGCATTCTCTTTCTTCGATCATACTATTTCACGCACCAACTTCAATCAGACTATATCCAGCTCTGACGGATGGGCCAATTACTTCCTGAAGCAATGTTTAAGAAATTTTTTGACCCAATGTTGTAAAAGCACATGAAAACATCAAAAGAACTTACCGTCTTGTCAGTGTGGGCTATCATATAGACTGAATCAGTAAACACCTAGATAACACGCCATGACCGACTCAGACAATCTACAACGGGCGCGTTCAGAAAACCTGGGAGGGCCCACTTGTACTTTGGATCTCAATTAAGGGATGCCTGAAATCTAATTCGAATTGCATAATTGAGTCCAGGTCTTCGGAGGCCACTAAATAGGAGCCCATTTGATGTGCAAGAACTTATTTTTACGAATTTGTCTCGGCAGTGGGAAACTTGCGAAATTGTTCGTTCACTTATTTGAAAGACATCGCAATCTTAGAGTTCCGAGCGTGGATAATAAGTCTAAAAGATAGAAGATGAATTCCACTTCTGCCTGTCTCTTTGTGATTAGTTGGACACGGATCTGGGACATAGCACCCGTTATTTATACAAAATTTTGGCGGAAACAATTTGTGTGCAATGAAGGCTGCATATTACTCAATAGATGGAATATTGAGCTTTTGGATAAATAGAATTGCTGGCTAAGGCATACTTAAGTGACTGCTGCACCCCCTCGGGCTCCCATGGCAAATTATTTGCCTTGTCCGTTCTTGCCGTTCTTGCCATACTGACCTCGCAATTATCGCTAGGTACTTCTATGACAGCTGATGCTTCCTTTTATGAAACTCAAAGCTCTCCAAGCAGAATTAGGTCACCACTATTTAATAGTTTTCACGCATATTGGATTCAATCCCTCTCTCTTCTGTGACGCCAATCCATTACTGAATTAGTCAAATAAAAGGTTGTGTTACATGCGACATGCACCTAACTGCTTGTCTGCTCCGACAAGATGCTCTAGAGGTAGCTTTGGGGATTCACGTTCAACAAAACAGTAATGTGTTTTCAGTTCATCAGCTGGATCTGAAGGGTGCTGACAGGACAAGATCATAACGTGAAGATTTCGCGATTCACTAATTTCGTTTGGGCGGGAACGTCTGCAGAACACTATGGAGCACATTTCTGGGCAATCCGGGGGGGAGGAGTTTATTGAATTAGCTTAACGTCATGATTAGAGTCATCAGGGGGTGTAAAATAGGCGCAGGCGTATGAATAATATATTTGTTCAGGTTACTTCAAGGCACAACTGAGAAGTGAGCGTTTAACTATTGCGTCAATCAACAAAAATAACGTCACAGACAGGATTCGAACCTGCGCAGGTAAAACCCAATGCCTAACTCACTTTCGATATGTCGAATAGCAGGGCATCGCCTTAACCACTCGGCCACTGGGACGCTTCCTTGAAAGTGTTATGAAATGACTGGATACGAAACTTATATTAAAAGTAACGAAACCATAGATTTGAGATAAGATCAGCGACAGGAATATCAGTCCCAGGGATTCAAGGGAGCGTTAATACTTGATGAGCTCACTGCAGAACGACAATTAAGAGGGAACCTTATTGGTCATGCTAATGTCATTCTTAGTACTGAAGAGATCAAGCAGAAACCAATAAGTAAACAGTAATCAAGAATTGGACCATTATAATACCCGTCTGGTATAATAGAAGTTAGCGCTAAGTCCCACTTCTACTTCGGATTGATTATCCGGGACCGTAGCATAACAGAGAGAGATGTAGTTTTATACTCTCATTCCACACCTTAGGAAATTTGTCTGTGCAGTCCATAATTTCCATAAATTCAAACCAAGGAGCAAAGGCTACTGAATGTCTATTTGAAGCAGTGGACTTTGTTAGTATTCACTATTGACTCACCTTTCTCATACCTGATATTCCTTTTCGTTCTGATCGGCTGGCCCCTTCATATGTCATCCCTCGCTTTGAATCCACCGTGAGGAATGTTGCATTGACGTAAAAGCCTCGAGTCATCTTGCTATCTCTATCGAGACTGATGTGGCTTAGAGGATGCTGTCTTACCCTTGTCTCATAGCCAAATGGATCCGTTGGCTAGTTTCTGCCATGGCCTGTCATTATCAATATTCCTGTTATTTTATCTAAACAATGATTGTATTAAGGTCAGAGAGTACTAATGGGTCTACGTAACCACAAGGCCCTGATTTTGATTGGTTCAGTAAATCTGCACCAGGCTCACTTAGGATATTCGAGTGATTCGTACGTCGGCCATCAATATGTCATTTCACCTTAATAAGTAAAGTAGAGGTAAACATATAAAAGGCAACTTTCGGATTAAGTCATTAACATAGATTATAAGGCAATAGTAAACATTTAATGATGAGTGGATCCAGCTGCAGTTGAATCTTTTTCAGATTTTTTTGAGGATGTGGTAAATGATCGCGACAGTTGGGAGCCGGGGACGGTATTGAAATTCGGGCTGTGCCAGGGATAGTTGATTGGTGTGAGGGCGACCGATCATACACTGAAGGAGGCGATTGGATTTAAAAGACACTAGAATGACTCAGATCACCCTGCGTTGGTAACAAAAAAGCGCCATCAAAGACATGCTAACAATTAATTAAAGGATAAAAGAATTAAGGGTATTTTACGAAATCAAGAGCCCCTACCAAGAGACCCTGTCAAGAGCCCACATCAAGAGCCCACATGAAGAGTACTCACAATATAGAAAAGACAATAAGTACTTTATTATGATATCTCAATAGAAATTTAAAAGAGCAATTAACATATATCTGAGGTTCCATCGATCAATCTTTACTTACTTGTAAGCGAAGGCCAGGTGGAGCCTGTTACATCGGGAAAGTTCGATGACGAAATGACAATATGGTACTCTGTAACTTTCGATGTCGAAAACCACTTGCATCTTGTACTTCAAAATTAAACGTCGTAGTTAGAAGGTACGTTGTGCCAATCGACCTTACACAGAGGTGGCCAATACGAGGGCGGAAAACTGGTATGCAAGCCGATTCTCTTCTAGGTGGGCGTTGAATTAAATGGTAATTGTAAAATTTGACGTTTGTTAAGGCTATGTACAAATCTCTTTTAATTTCATCTGAAGTCCGAACGCTTTAGTCCCATCCATTAATCCAACGGTTTTCCCACAGATTGCAGTCAAAAATCGGCTTTCCAAGCTTACGATTAACATCGTTGTGAGCCTCGCATACCCACTTACCCAATTCGTCGCGCGAATTGACTTTCGGTGCATTGGCACGAATGAACAGTTCGAAATCTTTCGCGCACCACCAGCAAGGATATACATGTGAGAAAATGGTCATGAACTGGCTCATTTCGCTCTTCTGCTTTTCATTTGGCTTTTTTGGGTATTTAGCGGCTATTGAGTGCAACAATGTCCAGCTCGATCGGCCCAGTAATTCGACATCCGGTGGATCGACTTGGGCATATGTATCCGGCTTAGACGTGGTGTCTGCTACCTTTTGCACCTTTGGAGTAGTTACTTTTCCAGTAAGTAGCTGAAAGTCTAACAGAGTATTGCACGATCGACATCTGAGTGCATATAGTTAGTAATGTTCCCGAAGTAATTAAAAAGAAGTCGAGACTCAAATCAGCTGTCATACGGCTTTCCATTCTCATCATATATTATCTTTCGCCCCGAAGGTGCTAATCCAGGCTGCGAGCCATCGTTAGGAGTTGCCGTCATCGCGAATTATAGTCGTAATTTTTATGCATATTGCTGGATGTAAGTTTAATTTATACATGTGTGAATTCTAAAAATCAAAAAGGATACTTGCAATATCTACAATTCCGTGCCGCATAATAAGGACATAAGCTTCGGATCAACAGAAGGGCCGTGTTCCTATTTCATCTTGCTAGATGTCTTCACCTCGGGCGATAAACTTTTTGAACTTCAACCAAATAGGATCATGTATATCGATGGGGACATCGAAGGGATTCGAAATCTTCAACTGTGATCCCTTCGGTAAATTTTATTCTGATGATAGCGGAGGATATGGAATTGTTGAGATGCTATTTTCGACTTCGCTACTGGCAGTTGTGGGGGTTGGTGATCAGCCAGCCATGTCGCCCAGAAGGCTCCGAATTATAAACACGAAGAGACATTCGATAATATGTGAAGTGACATTCCCTTCCACAATTCTTGCGGTGAAAATGAACAAAGCCCGTCTTATTGTTCTTTTACAAGATCAGATTTACATCTACGACATCAGCAACATGAGGCTGCTTCATACCATCGAAACCGCTTCGAATTTGAGAGGCTTGATCGCAGTGTCACCTTCGTTAGAAAGTAACTACCTTGCATATCCGTCTCCACCCAAGGTTATTAAGTCAGAAATCAAAGGTCATGCTACAACAAACAATATAAGTCTATCATCTAATGATACAGGAGTGAGCCCGAACTCAAACGCGGTTGCAGATCCAGTCTCATCTTCAGCACAGCGACCAATTGCAGGTGACTCGACGGCTGGGACTAGTTCTTCGGTAGAGGTAGCACATAATTCAATTACACCCACGCTCAATCATAACAACCCAAAAAATGCCAATAATATCATGAAAAATGGAGATGTGATTTTGTTTAATATGCAAACGCTTCAACCAGTTATGGTGATTGAGGCACACAAGGGTGAAATTGCAGCTTTGTCTATGAGTCGGGATGGATCACTACTTGCCACTGCATCGGAGAAGGGGACGATCGTGAGAGTTTTTTCAGTTGAAACAGGTTCTAAGGTTTATCAGTTTCGAAGGGGAACTTATCCCACCAAGATCTATTCGATGTGTTTCAGTGACGATAATCAATTCCTGGCTGCCAGTTCGTCCAGTAAAACTGTCCATATTTTCAAACTCGGCAATGCAGCTTCTGCAACGGGCGCTGTGGATGCCCACAACAACAGCGACCTAGAGGATCAAGATGCCGACGATTTTTCCATCGAGGAAGTGGATGACGGTGATCAAGAGGAAGTTGTATCATTGGATCGAACCTCCACTGCGAGTTATGACTCGTCGCAGGCCGATAATCACCTCAAAGAACCGGTAGTGGATGCATCAAGAAGAACTGTAGGTCGCATGATAAGGAATTCATCTCAAAGACTCTCGAGGAGAGCTGCGCGAACCTTAGGTGCTTATTTTCCTTCGAAGGTGACGTCCATATTGGAGCCTTCTAGGCATTTTGCGAGCCTGAAACTCCCGATCGAAACTGGAGCAACGATAAAGTCTATCACAACCATTGGCCAACTAGTCGATATTGACACTGCAGAATATCCCGAACTTTTCGAGAATAGTTTATGGAATGCTTCTGCAAATGAGCCGAAGGCTAGTCCGATGAAGATGATACCAGTAAGGGTCATATCATCTGATGGCTATATGTACAATTACGTTTTGGATCCAGAGCGGGGTGGTGATTGTTTGCTGCTCAGTCAGTTTTCATTATTAACGTACTAGCGAGACTCAATTATAGTACATATTATGTGCAATGGAGCTTAACGCAGAGCGCAATGCCTAACCCAAGCGTCTGTTCCGCCGGGCATCCAGCAGTGACGCTTCCTAGCATCGGCATTATTGACGATCATTGTGTCTATAGATTGATTTCGTACGAAAGATTGAATCTGTTTTCACTAGGCAGCTACCCGGACATATTACCCATTGCTGTGCAGCAAGCAATATATGTTCTGTAGGACATAAAACCCTTCTTTAGGTATTTGGGGAAGCACTCGAGGATCTTGTGATTTGAGGAGCGAGGTTGAAGCGCAGTTTGCGAGCACAATAGTACAGCAGTGGCACCCTCGAGCTCATTAGGTTACTTATTGGACTCTTTTGCATTGCTTGTTGACGAATCTGATATCCAACTTTCATCTTACTGCCCGTACATACGAAATTCACGATAACATCCACCTAAGCTTCCACGCAGTTTAAAAATGGGCTTTACAGGCACTAAAAATCATAAACCGCCTGCTTTATTCGAAATTAGAGTCAAATCTGCAGAACATGATGTTATAGTCGTTAAGGGGGCCCCCCACGAAGCTAGTTCCGTTCTTCTCTCTGGAACCATAGTCTTATCTGTTTCAGAGCCGATGCAAGTCAAGAAACTGGCATTGAGAATGTACGGTATGATGCGTCTCAATCTGACCACATCCTACCGTGGCCCGAAAGGTCCAGCGGAAAGAAGTTTCAAATATGACAAGAGATTCTTCGAGCATGTCTGGGACAACATTAATGTTCAAGATTATCTCCAGGATCCTCATAATAATTTTGAATTTAAGCGGCCTCTATCCTCGAAAACCAGCTCTTTTAGCAATCTGCATGGTCTGCACAGCAAGGCCAAGTCGACGACATCCTTAATGTCGCTAGGGTCTGGTCAGGGGGGCAGTGGGCACATTTTGGCAAAGGGTAATTACGAATTTCCATTTAGTGCTATTCTACCAGGTACCCTTACGGAGAGTGTCGAGGGACTGCCAAATGCCTCTGTCATTTATAAGGTTCAAGCAACAATCGAGAGAGGTAAATTCACAACAGATCTGATCGCCAAAAAACATTTAAGAGTGGTCCGTACACTGACTACAGATGCTGTTGAACTTAGCGAGACTATGTCTGTGGACAATACTTGGCCCAAAAAAGTGGACTATTCCATATCGGTTCCTTCCAAGGCCATTGCGATCGGCTCCTCAACGGTCATCCACTTATTATTGGTGCCTTTACTCAAGGGCTTAAGACTAGGGCCTATCAAAGTCAGCTTGGTTGAATACTCTTCGTATTGCGCCCCGTATGGGGCCGGTAATAACCAAGAGCGCGTGGTTAGTAAACTCAAACTGTCCGACCCTCTGGGTCATTTTAATACTACTGATGGCGAGTTCCAGTCTGTGGAATATCAAGACAAATGGGAAGTGGCCGCGCCCTTCGATATTCCCGCAAGTTTGTCGAAATGTACACAGGATTGTAGTATATTGTCCAATATCAAGGTTCGCCACAAGCTTAAATTTGTCATTTCTCTCGTCAACCCAGATGGTCATGTTTCAGAGTTGCGAGCTTCGTTACCGATTCAATTATTCATCTCACCATTTGTCGCCTTAGGCGTTAAATGTACCGACTCCCTAGACAGTAGCGCTAACGTTTCTGCTAATAGCACTGACGTTGAAGGAGATGATAATGATGATGATGACGACGACGACATGATTTTTGCTAATACCGCTTCCCAATTGGATTTAGGAGCCCTAAGTCCGAATCAGAATCAACCAGGTAGTTCGAATTTTGGCCCTGCCCTATTGGCACCTCCCAATTACGAGAGCCACATATATGACAGACTTTGGAGTGGCATTTCCATTGAGAATACTCCCACTCATTCTGGGCAGCAGTCTCCAGTTGGCGGTAGGGAGGGATCATTTCTGAGTAGCCCACAAGAAATCAGTGCACTCCAACAGGGCTTACAGAGGTTACATGTTGAACAGGAAGGTTTTCAAAATGACGATAACGCAAATGGTGGTACTGATAACGAATTACCAGTAACGCCAGAACTTAACGGGCAATCAGAAGTAGCGTCGGAAAATTCTGCACCACATGATTACTTTTCAGCTCCTATACCTCGCCATGTTCAGAGCATGTTTGCGATGAACAGATTGCGGTCGCCTACACCTATGCTATCTCCTGGACTTGACCACATATCTAGGGCCAATTCCTTTGGCCCTGCGTTAACCAGTGTCAAGTCCGACTGGAAGATTAACACTCTGAGTAGAGTTCCTTCTTACGACAATGCAATGAAAGGGGATTCGCTGCCCATCGACTTACCACCTGCTTATCCCAACGCGGAAGGCGAAGATTCAACTCCAGATATAGAAAGACCTAAGTCGGTGCACCAAAAATCGTCTGAGATGCATAGGACAAATAGCGGGACACGTTTGTCACATGCTGCACTGTCACGAAGCAACAACAGCTCGTCAAGCTCGTTGCCCAAATTTTCACTTTCGAGAAACAATACTGGCGGTTCAAATGTGTCTATCAACGGTGGCGCCAGTGGCGGCACCAGTGGCGGCGCTAAAGGCGGGACAGCATCAAAACAGTTTGGATTTAACATGACACCTTTAGGCTCAAGAAGAGATCTAAAGCAGGACCAGAGCCATGCTCAATTTTCACTCCACGACTCAGACTCAATCGGCACAACCCCTTCTATCAGTAGAAATGGTTCCTTGGTGAACATCAAAGGTCTCTTAAATAGGAAGCCCAAAAAGTAGAGGTATATAGACATTGCCTGCTCATAATATGTGCGGCAATCACTGTCCAGCGAGAATCTACTGTAGCGTTCTCTTCATGAAATGAATTATGTTTCGAATGTGACTAAAAAGTTGAAGGATTGATTTGAAGTTTATTGTAGAAGTGAACCCTCAATCCTACATTTTTTGTTTATCGGGTTATGTATGGACTGCGCTTGGTGAGCATCGTTGTCGAAATAACTGGCTGTAGCTTTTACTGAAGGCAAATCAAAATAATGAATAATATCTGTTGCCCACTTCGAGTGAGGGTAGGCTAAATTTGGGTGGAGTTCTTATCGTTTCAACTTTTATGACATTTATTGTGTTTATTATTTAGTGTCGCGCGCCGTTGACGAGCTTTTCGATTTTAAGATAGGGTGCCCCAATACAAAGAAAAATAATTGCTATTCTAACAAACTTCTCATCTTTATAGAGCAGCAGGCAAACATGTTTAATCGTATATTCAGACCAGGACTAGTGCAAAATTCTGTCCTTTTGAAGTGCGCGACCCGTTCTAGACTGCAAGTTGCTGGCCATAAGCAAAGCGGTTTCCTAGCCCCTAGGTTGCTTCACTGTGGTCGCCTACTACAAAAAGAAGTTCAGACAAGCTCGGTAAAGAATAGTTACTTCTCTGAGAGGTTTGGAAAATTTGTCAGGCTGTCAATATTTACCACCGGTATCATTGTTTCCTCTATTGGTATCTCGCTAATAGGATTTTTCCTTTATGATGCCACAACATATAAGGACTGCGATCAACCACAGTTTATCGAAGTCCCCAAGCTGGCTTTGAACCCCGAGCTTGGTGGGCCTGAAAATTTACCGATCTTGAGAGACAATCTTGATGCTTATGATTCAGAAGACAAGGAAAAGTTGTCCTACCGGCCAAAATTAGTTGTGTTGGGCTCCGGTTGGGCGTCAGTTGGTGTTCTTAAGTCCTTAGCTTCGGGAGAGTATGACGTAACTGTTGTATCGCCCCAAAACTATTTTCTGTTCACGCCTCTTTTGCCATCCGCTGCCACGGGAACCTTGGAGGTCAAATCATTAATGGCTTCTATTAGAAAACTTGTTAACGAGGTGAGTGGCCACTATTTAGAGGCCAAGGCCGAAAAAGTGGAGTTCGCTGAAAAGTTGGTGAAAGTATCTCAATTGAATCCACAAACCGGCGAAAAAAGACACTTCTATCTGCCATATGATAAGCTGGTTATTGCTGTGGGATCAAGTGCTAATACTCATGGTGTCGAAGGTTTGGAGAATTGCTCTCGCTTAAAAACAGCAGAGGATGCCATCACTTTAAGAAGAAAAATCAAGGATAATCTGGAAACTGCCTGCTTGCCTACCACCACTGATGAAGAGAGAAAGAAGCTTCTAAGTTTTGTGGTTTGCGGGGGAGGTCCTACTGGTGTTGAATTTGCTGCTGAGGTATTTGATCTGTTGAATGAAGACTTACCGAAGATTTATCCAAGAATTTTGAGGCAACAGGTTTCTGTTCACATTATTCAGTCGCGTTCTAACATTTTGAATACATACGATGAAACCATATCCGAATATGCCATGCAGAGATTTAAGAAAGACGACATTGACGTTTTAACGAACTCCAGAGTCCATAAAATTCTTCCCGACAGGGTCATCTTTACCCAGAAAAATGCCGAGACCGGAGAAAAAGAGCTGAAAGAATTACCCTTCGGGTTGTGCCTATGGTCTACCGGTGTTGCACAAAATCCTTTGGCTCAACAGGTTGTTCAAGATTTGTCTGTTTTTCAAAGAAACAGAAGAGCCATTGAAACAGACTCACATCTGAGGGTACTTGGCACTCCATTGGGAGAAGTTTACGCCATTGGTGACTGCGCAACTGTGCGTACAGATCTGGCTGAACATGCCGTAGAATTTGTAAGGCAGTTCATTGTCAATAAGCATCTTCACCCAACGAGAAGCACCGAAATTATTACTGACGACGACATAAAGCACCTATCAATATCATATGATGAAGTTCAAGACCTCGCAAGGGAACTTCTTAGAAGGCATCCCCAAACCAGGGAACACTTGTACAATGTTGAAGAAATATTACCCAAATATGATACAAGAAATTCTGGATGTTTGGACTTTAACCAAATCACTCAGCTTCTGAGAGATGTCGAGAGTAAGGCCACTTCCATGCCCGCTACGGCTCAGAGAGCCCACCAACAAGGTAAGTATATTGGTAAAAAGCTTACCAAAGTTGCCAGGAGTTCTGAAATTGTGAATGTGAACGAAAGTCCCCAACTCATATCCGATGAATCGGCTTACAAAGCTTTCAAATACGTTCACTTGGGGTCTCTGGCCTATATTGGTAACTCTGCGGTTTTCGATATCCCAGGGTACTCTTTTGTGGGTGGCTTGATTGCAATGTACTTGTGGCGTGGTATTTACTTTGCTCAGACAGTCTCCTTGAGAACAAGAGTGCTATTATTCATGGATTGGCTAAAAAGAGGATTCTTTGGCAGAGACATTTTGACCATCTAGAAATTAGATTACTGCGCTCAAACACACCATATACTTCGATAAAATATACATAGATTACTAGACGATTTGGATAGAGCGGAGTAAAATCATCTCATCGCAATGGCAAGACATCCTGGACACGTGCCCAGAAATATACTTATATACATGTATCCATTTATACGGGAGTTTACATTTTGTGTCGCACCTTTTTGCCGCCATTGTGTCATTGTGTCATAAAAAATGTCAACCGACACTGCCTCCAGACCAATTTCATTGCTTGAAATTGATACCTCAAAGACTCAAAGTCGTCTACACGATAGGAATTGCGTCCAGACATAACATAACTAGTTATACTTTGCAAAGCGTTTAACTATAAGCACACTTTGTAATCGAAGATTGGGAATCTCCGGAACCTCTCGAATAGCTTGTGCTGCTAAATCTTGGCAGGGAAATTAAGCTGGAATACAAGTATGTCCTTGCAAACTCGCGGCCCTTACAATAATGGCGATGGAGATGTTCTGAACAGTATATCTCTAAACACCAAGAGACTCAACGGAGAGAATTTCAAGCACGGCGAGTTGGCCAATGCCGCAAATAAGGGACAGGCCAATGCTGCTGTCAGTATGCGAAAAAAAAGCGGGGAAGAAAACAAATGTGGATCAAGCAATTCGTCACAGCACTCTGAAGACGCCCCATCTGAAACACCTTTTCAATTGAATGCATCCAAGGATCCATGCGTGACAAGCTTCAAACTAAGCTCCCTGTTTATTGGTGATCTAAATTCTCGGGTCAATGAAAAGATGCTAACCAAGGTGTTCAGTAAGTATTCGTCGCTCCAGTCAGTCAAGATTTGTGTCGATGCCGAGACCAAGAAATCGCTGGGCTACGGTTACTTGAATTTCACTGCTAGCGAAGACGCTCAAAAGGCAATAGAAGAGTTTAGCTATGTCAAGTTGTTCGACAAGGAAGTGCGAATTATGCCATCTATGAGAAACAGCTATTTCAGAAAGAACATTGGCACGAATGTTTTTTTTGCTAATCTCCCACTAGAAGATCCAAGGTTGACGACAAGAGCATTTTACGAGACCTTCAATCGCTATGGAAGGGTGCTTTCCTGCAAATTGGAAAGACGAAAAAACATCGGGTTCGCGTATTTTGAAAGTGACGCAATAGCGAAAAAAGTTATCGAGGCATTCAATGGAACTGAATTTTACGGTACTAAGATTTCCTGTGGCTTGCATTTTGACAAAGAGATCAGAAAATCACCGGAATTTGAGAAGAGGAAGGCAAAACTTGAAGGAATTACAAAAGAGAGCCTCGTGACGGAAGATCAAACCGAAGTCGAATTTAACAATTGTTCCAGAGGACCCCATCCTAACTCGATTCATGTTAAAAATCTTCCTTTGAATGCAGATAAAGAAGCTCTTCTCGACTATTTTAGCCAACTTGGCCCTGTAAAATCTATATTTACGGCTAGTTCAAGATCATACAAAGAATCTTGCTGGGGCTTTGTGACATATAAAAAGGGAAGTGACATGCAGAGAGCACTTCACGAACTCAATGGAAAATACATGGGGGAAAGAAAGTTAACTCTTACCAAGGGCCAACAAATGGCATTCGGGGGCGCGAGAGACCTACCTAGCGATAACGATGCCGTAACTTCTAGCAAGACAGCCGCAATTGATTCATTGCTGTCAAATGGATATCGCAAGACTATATATCTTAGTAATTTGAGCTCTGTCTGCAATGAGCAGTTTTTGACAGAACTATGCTTGAAAGAAAAGATTGCTTGCAAAAAGATAGCCATCGAGGATTATGATCATAATAACCTTACCTTCCTTGGCCATGTTTTATGCAATTCCCGTCCTGACGCCAATAGATTATTTGAATACCTCAACAATAAACTAGTTGGGGATAGTGTTGTTAAAGCCTCCTGGACCGCCCCCATGAAAAATAGCGAGCCAAAGAATCTAAATGACAGTTCCCCGAAGGACACCGAGTACTTTGAAAACAAAACCCTCATCGCGAAGGGCCAGATAAGCTTCATTGCAGATCATGCTCGCCCTTCTTTGTGCGCAACAAGCGCACGCATAATTCGGGGATCAAACAGTCTAGCAAAAAATCAGCTCCTGGACGTTTTGAGAAACGAGATTAAAAAGTCAATGGATTTCATCTCAAGTCCTAATGCCTCTAAAAATGAGAACTTGAAATGTATATCAGAATACATTTTTGACGTATATTGGCGTTCCAACGTGGAGTGCTTATCGAAATTCTTACTACTAATCAGCACGCGATCACAGCACGGGAGAATATTGCAAACTCAGGTTCAAGAAGCTATCAATTTTCTCGGATTCGAGCGGTAGAGGTCACGCGAGGAGAAACTCCGATCTTTCGTCCAGGGGATTATATTTTTTTTCTCTCAGCTCGATATATGAATTTTTCTGCCAGTAGCCAGATCGCTATTAAAAGGTTGCTGAGAATTGAATTAAAATGGATGTACAACTTTCTATTTAAATTACTTTGACAATAAGCAACCTGAAATGTCAACAGATTATCACGTCTCATATGAAGCATGTTTTCTTCTTTATTTCAATCAGCTCCTATTTCGGTAATGTGGCACTATGTGTTAGAGCGATGTCATACCAACTCAACATAGTTAGCAGGAAATATTCCTTCTTGACTGTTGTTGCGACCCGTCCACCAATCATTTTGGGACTCAGATTTCTTCAATATGGATATAACATCTCCTTTACGAAAGGATAGATCACCACTTTGCTCGCCCTTGAATGAGTATAGAGCCACAGCTTTAGGCGCCCCTGACGAAGCTTGTCTCGAGCTTCGGGGTCCCGCTTGCGAAGATGAAAGCCCAAAGTCTGGCTTCTCACTCCGTGGTCTAACGGGCGCATTTGACATTTTCGCGTTTCCCAATGTGGTACTAGCATCTTCAACGTCTCTATCATAAACATCATCTTCCCAACGAGTCGCCGTCCGTTGACTTCTTGCTCTTGAATAATAGCCGCTAACATCGTTCGGGTCACTTTCACCAGAGTAGTCATCAAAGTCATCATTATAAGATCTTTGGGAATGTACCGATTCCCCCCTTCGCCGTGTAGACCTTGTATTAGGCCGTTGAGAGTCCATATCCGTGGAATCGAATGAAGAGGGAATATCATCATAAAACTCGTTGTCGAAATCCGAGTCTCTCGTTCTGCTGCTGTAGTTAAAGGCACGGGATTCCAAAACCCTGAAAAGAGGATCCGAGGCGGGCGGGGATCTGACACGGCCCGATAAAATCATTTTGGCCTTGCAATTCTCACCATAAATCTTACGATTTGCCTCCCTTCTTTCAACAATTACCGACCCTTCAAGAGAGACACCCGCAAATATTCCTTTGGTCTTGGAGTATGAGAAAACCGCTGCAATGCCTCCCAGCGAAGCTGAAGCAGCTGCTTCCGCATTTCTGCCCAACGGACCGGCCGCAACTGATATGTTTCCCCCCAAAGTGACAGTGCCAAACTCAGAAAAGGATTTGACAGCATCATCCGTGTTAAGGATGAAAACAAAATCAGTGAGCTCGAAACCAATCATACCGCCCGCCCCTGCACCAGCGAGAGCAATTGCCGATGGTGCAGACCATGAGCCATCCTTTAAGCGCGCGACAATCACGCCGGATCCCGCACGCCCGCTGAACAGAAATCCCGCCTTTAAGACTGTTATGATTGCCAAGCCCTTGGCGCGCTTTAGCACATCTGGTGGGATCACTGCATCTGCACCTAGAAGTTGGTTGGGCTTGACAAAACTAGCAAGAACTTTGGCAGCTTTTCTTCACAATTACACATACTTGGTTAGTAAACTTTCTGTTTGCAGGACCAACTCACGGCGAGAACCCCTATAATAACATTATTCCAGCCAATCCACATACTTGCTTTCGGACTTCAGTGAGCGAGGAATGGGATTATTGATACCCATTTTAAAAATATCAACAACTAAATTCGAAAATCGTGTGCGGTGTTTGTTATTGTTATTGTTACTGTTAAAGCTATACTCCTTTTCCACTATCCTGGATGATTATTTAAATTTTGTATTTGTTGCAACCAAGACAAAAATGATGATAAATTGCGAAGTCGGACAATGTCGAGCGACTTTTTGCGAAAAAACTACAAGAAATTATCAACGCAACGTTATGAGGGCTAATCAATTATAGGTTGAGGAATACCAAGTGTCTCGGTACGTTTTCCCTATTTGACAAATTTCTGAAATATCAGTTTTGCTTCGTAGATCGGTTTCCTGGTGAGAGCAGGATGATGGTAACATCTGTAATACTTGGTGAAGAAGGTAAAAATAGGCGGACAAAAAGATCGACCTAGCACATGTGAGTCTCCAGTGTAGGTAAAGTGACCGTTTCGCCCCAATCCGAACGGAAAAATTCCTATGGAAGCTCCCTTAATGGTGCTAAAAACCTGCTCAAGTGCGGTCTAATCGACTACCGAAGTGAAACTGCGCAGCACTCAAAAGACTTCTTAAACACCCCATAAAAGCTCTATAATGGAGTAAATAGCCCCCCCCCCCTTCCCAGCGCGCACAATAGTTTTGTTAGGCTGTCAATTTGTGCAGACTAGTACATTAACTATCTGTTGTCGTACCAAGTGCACATGATACCACGATCTGTTCTCTAAAGATCACAACAGTTGTCGAAAGAAGTATCGGCACCAGGTATGAAATTCGTTTGATTGAAGCCCAATGTCTAGTCACGTAGTGGATAAAGTTTTCGATACAGGATTTTTCTGGTTTAAAAAGGTAGAGTCTCTCAATCGACGTATTATCGAAAACGTGAAGGAACTTGGCTCCAGTTCAATTGACGACTCAAATGGAGCCTTAAAAGATGCACCTCACGCAGCTGCTGATTATTACCATAGTCTTGGGAGACCTCAATTAGGATTAATTGCTCAAGTAGTAGGCACAAGCGCCGCCGCCCTTTTGATTTGGAGCTATAGACACAAACTGCTTCCTCGACCTCCAAAGCATTTAGCACAAGGCGACAAAAAATGCATCCTGTTATTTGGACACATGCGGGATCCGATCACTCGCCAAATAGTAATGGATTTATATCGGCGTGGCTTTGTTGTCTTTGTTTGTTCCGAAGGAGGTGCTTCAGAAACTGATGACGATGGTCTTTTCCATATTGCTTCTTCAGACCTCAGCAACATGATCAAATATCTTTGCGAGAGCTCAACTGTGCTATCCTCGATATTAATAGTTCCAAACTCGGCTTACAATTTGTCAGGTGCATTCACGACGTTGTCAACAACAGCGGTTCAAGACGAGCTTCGAAGAAATGTATTTACTCACATGCACGCGCTTTCAAAGCTAATTCCGCATTTGATTGCGAACGTGCAAATAATTTTACTGGCGCCATCTTTACCTAGAAACCTTGGGATCCCGCATCATTCGCCCGAATACCTGGTAGCTGGCCTGATTGAATCTTATTATAAAACTCTCAGGTTCGAGTACCCCTCCGCAAAGATATACTTCTGTCATTTGGGCTTATTGAAGATAGCTAGCAGCTCGAGCAGCTACAAAAACCTCCCGTACACCGGCACAGCAATTGGAACATCGTTACTCAGGCCTTTGTACAACCTAATTGTTTCGCAAGACAGCTGGTGGTTCAGCTTTTGTGAAGTCTTGCGCGGTAAGCAAAGATTTTACGGTAAATGGAGCATGTTAGGGTATTATTTCGGCAATTGGCTACCACTAAAGATTTTGTATCATCTATAAGAATATGTCCTCTATGATCTCGCTCGATCGTAATCGCACAAGCCTTTTATCTATGTCGTGCTGATCCGCATTATAGCTCAAAATGAGCACCATAACTGAGAGGCAACATACTTAAAACTACGAGGAATGAAAACATTAAGCTCAAGCTATAAATTCTGTCATGTAGCGTACATTACGGTTTACACCTGCCTGTGAAACGAGGGTACAGGGAGCAGTCTCTGACGGTAAATCTGTCGCACAGCCAGGCAAGAATACGTTCAGTACCGATACCATAACCACCATGAGGACAGGTACCGTACTTCCTCTGATCGATGAACCAGTAGTATGGGTCAGTGGCAATACCCTCACGAGCGAAACCAGCTTCCAATTCTTCGGTTGTTTCAATTCTCATTGAGCCACCTGTGATTTCACCAACGTTTGGCATTAGAACATCGACAGACTCGGTCACGTGTGGAGCATCGGGGCAACGCTTCATGTAGAATGATTTAATCTCAACAGGGAATCTAGTCAAAAATATAGGCACTCCAATCGTATCTGTCATCTTTCTTTCAGCTGCCTCAGCAATGTCGTCGCCGAACTTGAACTGTTCTCCATCCTCGTTTTCAATGCCGTGCTCGTTCAACCAGGTGATTGCGTCTTTGTAATCAAGTCTCATGAATGGCAAAGTAGGAGCTTGGAAGCCGGGGTTCAATTGCTTGACCAACGGACCGGCGATTGGGTCTTCCAAGACGTATTGGACGACCCTAGAAATTAGCTTTTCGATGTGAACAAGCATTTCGTCGAAATCTAGGAAGCATAGCTCCGCTTCGATATGAGTATATTCAGATAAGTGTCTTCTGGTATGAGACTTTTCTGCTCTGAAAGACTCTTGAATACAGTAAACATCTCCTAAACTGGCCAGACAGGTTTCTAAGTACAGTTGAGAAGATTGTGTCAAGAAGGCTTCCTCGCCGTAGTAGTCCAGCTTGAATAGGGTAGAGCCACCTTCAACTTGAGTTTGCACCATGCATGGAGGAGTGACCTCGGTGATGCTTTCCTCATCATAAAAACGGCGAATGGAACGCAGCAAAGATGCACGAACCTTCATCACAGCGGACAGTGTCTCGCCTCTGAGAGCGAGGTGACGCTGATCTAGCAAGAGAGATGGGTCAGCACCTTCCGCTACCTTGTTGGTATAAGCATCTTCCCCAGAGGGAGCCAATGACACGATTTCATAATAATCGACTAGCAACTCTACACCACCGGAAGCAGTCTTTCCGTCAGGCAGCTTGCAGATTTTACCAAATAACGTGACAGTAGATTCTATCGTCAACGTGGTTGTCTGGTAGGCGAGAGCTAGGTCACCGGTGAGGACTGCTTGCAGATAGCCTGTACCATCCCGCAGTACGATAAATACATGGTTCTTGCTGGACCGCAGCCTGTGGATCCAGCCCGAAACCTTGACTCTTTCGTCAACGGCGCTGTAACTCTTCGATATTTTGGTTTTCTTAGCTTCTGGTAGAGACGGATCCTGTTGAATAGTGATGTGCAAGGCCTCCAATTTCTTAGCGGCGTCTCTCTCTTTCTGCTCTTGTTGCTTCTTATCCTGCTCGGCCTGCTTAGCCAGCTTTTTAACTAGCCCCTCGCACCCTTTGCGGGCCTTTTTCAAGGCGCTTGCAGATATTTCAACGTATCCGTCACCTTTTTCTGCGTCTTGTTTATAGACTAAAAGCTTAGGTTCTTTGCCAGCACCACGGGATTCGAACAAAGCATAGGCAGCGGTCTTGTAAGGTTGTTGTTCCGACCCCGAGGCAGAAGTACTATCCACCCCGCTCAATTCGTTGATGTACAAGGACATCGTTAATATCTAGTTTTTTGAATATCTAAGGAAGGTTTTTCAGTTCACCACTAAATGTTAGAACTTGATTAAGGACCAAGAGTATGAGGTTAAGACGATAACCGGAGAACTCTAAAAGTAAGAGGATCAAAAACTGCCGTTAAATAGCTCCAAGCTTTCGGAAGTCGGTACTACGACAGTTGAGTCAGGATGTGTCACCTTTTATCTGGATGTCTTCCCGTCTGAAGAGAAAAAATTTTTTCATATGGAAAACATGAAACTTGAAATATCTATCTATGAGATGTCTTGACCAAACATAGGTTGCCGGTTCTCGATCAGAAAACCTAAACCCAAAATCCAATAAAAAAACCGAATTTTGGATACAAGATGTCGTTAGAGAATAGCTTTTCTAAGCTTTGCGTTTCTGCTCAGGCCGACTCGCTAGCTGTCAAATCCTTAGTCTTCAAACCGAAGACTCCTAAGTCGGCTGTCCCCGTACCCATTGTTGTTGTGGCCTTGCAAACAACCTCTACCGCATCTGCGCTAATTGCAGGTGAAACTGGTACCAAAGATCCCCGCTTGGCTCGTGATGATCTTTTTGCCTCTCATTTCAAGTGCGGGTCAGCTAAAGACTTCAATTTGGGCCATCTTCTACAAGCGGCCTCTGAATTCAAGCTCCTTCTTGATACTGCAATTGAACATTGTCAAGACGGCCAAATTTTAAAACTTAATGACGAACTCTCCATTAGCAAATCCGATTTGTCGCACTATCTGCAGCAGTTCCAACCTGTAACCGTAGATTTTTCACAAGAGGCCAAGAAGCCGATCACCAAGGCTTCCGCCAGCTCCGCCGGCTCCACCACTCCTTATATTCAGACTAAATCCGCTGCTTTAGAAGATGCAAAGCTTATCGGTATTACGGTCGACAAGAAGTTAGACTTCTCCGGTTGGTATCAACAAGTCTTAACTAAAGGTGAGATGTTAGACTACTACGATGTATCTGGCTGCTACATCTTGAGACCACCTTCATACGCTATCTGGGAGAAAATTCAGAGATGGTTCGACGACAAAATCAAGGCTATTGGTGTTGAAAATGCTTATTTCCCAATGTTTGTTTCATCTCGAGTATTGGAAAAGGAGAAGGACCACATTGAGGGGTTTGCCCCTGAAGTTGCTTGGGTTACTAGGGCGGGCTCATCAGAATTAGAAGAGCCAATTGCAATCAGACCCACCTCGGAAACTGTCATGTACCCGTACTACGCTAAATGGATTCAATCATACAGAGACTTGCCTATCAAGCTAAATCAGTGGAATTCGGTGGTGAGATGGGAATTCAAACATCCTCAGCCTTTCCTAAGAACCAGGGAATTTTTGTGGCAAGAAGGGCACACAGCCCATTTGACCAAAGAAGACGCCGAGGAGGAAGTTTTGCAAATATTGGACTTTTACGCTGGTGTTTACGAAGAACTGTTAGCCGTTCCGGTCATCAAAGGTAAGAAAACGGAAAAGGAGAAGTTTGCGGGTGGAGATTTCACCACAACATGTGAAGGTTACATTCCTCAGACCGGCCGTGGTATTCAAGGTGCCACCTCGCACCACTTGGGTCAAAACTTTTCTAAGATGTTCAACATAAGCGTTGAAAATCCGCTAGGTCCTGAGCATCCAAAGGTTTACGCCTACCAAAACTCTTGGGGGTTAAGCACTCGTGTCATTGGTGTTATGGTCATGATTCACTCCGACAACAAGGGTCTGGTATTGCCTCCTAGAGTAGCTCAAAACCAATGCGTGGTTCTTCCTGTTGGAATAAACGCTAAGACTTCTGATGAGCAAAGAGCTATCATTCATCAAAAGTCCAAGGAAGTCGAGCAACGCTTGCGGGCAGCCCGCATCAGAGCATTTGGGGACTACAATGACAATTACACTCCTGGCTGGAAATTTGCGCAATATGAGTTAAAGGGTATTCCTCTCCGGTTGGAATTTGGGCCCAAGGATATGGCTAACGAGCAAATCACCGCCGTTCGCAGAAACGATAACCGTAAGTACACTGTGAAACTGAGCGATTTGGAGACACGTATTCCCGAGATTTTAGAGGACATGCAAAAGGACATGTTCTTGAAAGCGAAGGAACTTTTTGATTCTCACAGAGTAATTATTGAGGAGTGGAAAGATTTTGTTCCTGCTTTGAACAGAAAATGTGTCATTTTGGCCCCTTGGTGCGGTGTCACTGAGTGTGAAGAGGATATAAAGGACTCTTCTGCTAAGAAGGATGATGGAGAGGAGTTTGAAGCTGACGACAAAGCGCCAAGCATGGGCGCTAAAACCTTGTGTACACCATTCCAACAACCTCAATTGAAGAAGGATCAATTGTGTATCAAGTGCCAAAGAAAGGCTATCCAATTCACTATGTTTGGGCGCTCGTATTAAGCTGTTTGCTGATTACTGTATACTGTCACTGTATATATACTGTTATTATAATTAATTTGCATATCACAATGACAGCAGCGAAATTATGATAAGGCTCTGTCTACAAGTACTGTTCCCAGAAAGATGATTGCCTGATTTTTTCAAGGCTTTTTGACTGCACTTCCAAAACTCCTGCGACGTCTGTCAGGTAATGCAGACGTTCGAGATTCAAGATGTTTGACATATACGCCAAGGCTTTATCATAGCAGACACCGACGTGTGCAACACCATGTGCATCATCACTCAGCACAAACCTCGTGCCAGCAACGGATTGAGCTAGTGTTGCGAAATCTCGATGTGGATATGGATCTCGCAAGTTTTTACGGAGTCCAGATGTATTTATCTCAATAAGTCCGCCATAAGACGCAACTGCTTCTAAATTTCTCAACGCAAGGCCCTTTATGTCGTCCCATAATGCAGGAAACGATGCCTCAGAGGCACGAACAGAGGTGCTCGATAGTTTCTCTACTTTCTCACCTGTTTCAGCATCAATATAGAGATCATCAGTACAGAAGAGACGGAACAGATCGAAATGTCCCAAGACAAGTGGTTTTAGCTCCCTGATGAGTTCGTACTGCTGTTCGAAGTAATCTCTTAGCAACGACCTCAAGTTGTTACCAGCAGATTTAAGTGCCCGATCCCATCCAGACCGATCAAAATCAATTGGTATACCGTTTACATGGTGAATGGACCCTATACAAAACTGGATAACTCGTTTGTTCTCCTCCATCAAGTCTTTGGCATATGCGATGTGACTCAGGTCACACCCCTCTACTTCCATTCCTATGATGATCTTTGTTGACAGGTTCCTTTTCTTAATTTGGGCAGCGTGTACTAAAAACTTTTCGAAACTGTTTCGCAGAGTTTCCAAATCACTTTCCGCATTCCCCGTAGCTTCCTCTGGATACAGTAGCTGGGCGCTTATCCTTGGCATGTGCTCGGTTAAACAAAATAGTTCAAAATGCATATGATTGGCCCTTGCAACCACTGACTCGAGATGATCGACCCCGTGAGCCACATAGTCCAAAGAATGAGAGTGATGGGAATACATGCTGATCAGATTGACTAGAAAGATGGGTGATGAGCCCTGCGAAAAACATATTGTCAATTTCAGAAAGGGATGCCGATACTTTTATGTGGATATCATAACCTTCATGGTTTTTTTCTCAAAGCGGCATGCCCCAGAGATCACTTGACTCGGGGCCGCATTTCCTTTAATCTTGATAAACCCATTTTATCGACTCACGTTATCTATGAGCTGCTCGATATACTGTTCAGTGTGAAGCATCGACATGCTAGTCACCAATTATCCCACTACTATATAAATTGATCTCGAGCCACCTAAAGTGTTGGTACGGAGCATACATTGATCGAAGATTTCAAGAATGCCACCAACAGAAAAATGTCGAAAGTTGTGGTTCTAGGAGCTGGTGTATCTGCTTTGACATCAGCATTATTGCTTTTAGAGAAGTTTCCCACGGAAATTGAAAAGTTAACAATTCTAGCATCAGAATGGCCGGGCGATTATCACGCCCATGATTTTACTTCACCTTGGGCGGGTGCAAACTGGGCCAGTTTTGCGAAGAATGATGACTTGGAACAGATCAAAAGAGATAAAGTCACATATTTGAGACTCACAGAGTTGGCCAAGGACGAACCAGAATCAGGTGTCAAACCTTACATACTCAAGAGATGCGTTCCAAGGAGCAGCGAAAAGCCATGGTATATCGAAGAGAAATTTGTCAAAAATATCAAAACGCTGAGTGAACAAGAACTACGCTTCAGGAACCTTGATCCGGAACTTTATTACGGCTATGAGTTCTCGAGTTTTACCATCACTCCCACTGTCTATAACACCTATCTTTTGTCAAAGATACGTAAGCTAGGAGGAAGCGTGCAGCGAATCCCTCGTTTGGACTTGATTACAGATGTGGTATCGACGATTGGGTACGTTCCTGAACTTGTAGTAAACGCAACGGGAGTGAATGCCGGTAAGCTGCTCAGATGTTGGGAGCCTGAGGAGCTAGAGAGAGTTCACCCTGTTAAGGGCCAGATTTTACAAATCTACGAGGATTTGCCTTACCAGGTTATGGTAGAAGAGCTGCCAGAAGAATTGAATTGCAGAGCAGATCAATTCTTAAATATTTTCCCTCGCGCCGAGGGTGGGTGCATTGTGGGAGGCATCTTCAAAAAGGGTGACTGGTCAAACACTATTGATGAAAAGTTAAATGAGAGCATTCTGCGAGTTTGTAGATACCATGTCCCAGAGCTAAAATCGGCGACCATTTACAACACTTACGTAGCTCTGAGACCTGCTCGTGAAGGTGGTGTTAGAATTGCACTCTCTACTTACGCGATAGAAGATATTTCGAGGCCTCTCAAAGTCATTCATAACTACGGCATTGGTGGCGCAGGTTATCAATCGTCCTATGGTAGTGCTTGGGAAGTTTGTGAGCTTGCGGCAGAGGTTCTTGACACCAGAAAGAAGTGGGCAAAATTATGACCTGCTTCGACAAGAAACTTTGAAATACCGCATTTCACATAATTTTGCTGATAGGCGCCTTTTCATCGGAGACAATGCTATAACCCAAATCTATCCGGCTCGGCCCAGACATAAACTCAATAGTTCTCTCGAGAGAATAATTTTGGTACGACTGCAAAAGGATAACGCGTGACGCTTCTAAAGTTAAATTGTAAATTCTAGTTGATTGGTATGTAGCAGACATGGTAAAATAGAAGTTATTACTTACATGCTTACTGGGGTTAGGGGGAAGAAAATCATTGCCACGCAAGCTAGTCCGTTGGCGGTACAAAAATTCTGAAGCAAGAACTGGACGAGACCGGAGTCGAACCGATGACCTCTCCCATGCTAAGGGAGCGCGCTACCAACTACGCCACACGCCCATTGTGTAAACTGCATTTGGCTTGTAAACCAATATAAAACTCTGATGAAATCATTTTTTTGTCCTGAACAGTAATTACAATCTCAACTTAAAGGACAAAAGCTCTAAAGGACGACGAGAATCAGTAGACCTTATTAGTATTCACTATTAACTGACTAATTCCAATATCTCATATTCCTATTTGTTTTGATCCACCGGCCACTTCTTGTGTGTTTCCCCTCGGCCGGATTCAACCCTGAGGAAGGTCACGTTGACGTACAACCTCCGAGTTGTCTTGTAATCTCGAGCGAATCTCAGGCTGTTAAATTCGTGTCACTTATCCATTCTGGTCCATAGGCTAGTCCTCGAGCCATGGCCATCAATAATGACAGGAACAATAATAATGGCAAGACATGCGGCCAGAGACATGTCAATGAGTCCAGGTAGCTATAGGGTACTTTCGAGATATTTGGAGCGAGTCAGTGTCGACAGTACTTAGCTTGCTGCCCTGTTGTTTCAATTGTTGATAGACGTCGTGAATCATATTCTGAATTTTTATTTGACAACTATTGAGGCGAGTCGGTGTTTTTAGTAGTTAATTCGCTGAATTCATTGTTCAACTTGATAGCGAGCATTGAGATTAGACATATATTAAATATCTGAGTTCTTATTATCTCTTTGTGATTATTTCGACCATGATGTTAATCCACTGGATGGACCAAAAAGTCGGTATTTATACAAAAATTCAAGCCCGGTGCAAACGTTTCGTCAGGGCTTCCAAAATTAATATATTATACATCGATAGAGTAGTCAGACGTTCTACCAGACCATACTTGGAGCATCATCCGATCCATCGGGCGACTAATTCAAGATCTTTAAGCTCATTTGTTTCACCGGCGTTTTGATATCACTTTGTACAGCACTGTCACGATTGCTCTCAATAGTTTGGCAATCGAGCGCTCTAAAATAGCAAATGAAGTTCTCTTATATCGTTCCAACATGATTAAAACAGCAGCCTATAAAACGACTCCGGTTGGCTCTTTGTTACTATTTTGGAGTATGACTGGTTCATATCTGGGATGTATTGCCATCATTTCTGTAAAGTTCGGGCGGGAAATTCTGGGGCGCATTTAAGGCTGGATAACACGACAATTACACCCAGCGGCCCATTTGCTTCCGCTTTACAAATATACTGTTAGGTAATTGAAATGGCCGGCCAGGTATATCTGTGTTCTCTTTCCCTCTCTCTTTCGTTCGCATTGATTGATTATTCACCTTGCACAATCTTGCCTTACTGACTACGGCCAGTATCACTTGGTAGTATTCTGACCACCTTTTAATGTCAACTATTATGCAACTCGATTCTATTCAAACATTACTAGATCATCACCATTCGGTAGTATCAACTATATGTTTCCCCTCCATCTAACCTAACTTCGGGAAACAATATATCCACGCAAGAGCCTCTAGTTATTTTGTGATGTCCGACGAGGCAAGTCCAGATTAACTCATGATATTTCATCAATGCCCCATGGCTACGCGCAGCTGTCAAAGTCCTCGCTCATGATCTTTCTTTATCCTCCTTCCTGTCGTTCGGCCACGCATTATTATTTTGCCAGGTGCTTGGTGTTCAAGTGCGTTATATTACAACATGTATTGGCGTTTGACAGTATTGTGGGTTATGAGAGTACATATCAGATACTCCAGATAAATAAAACTCATCGGGCTTGCTTCTCTTGTTCTGATGGCCAAAGACGTGGAACTCCACTTTGTATGGTTGTTTTTTTTAGGTGGTCAATCTGAAGCAACGGATCTGTAACAATCTATATTTTTCACTTTCCATCAACACTCTATTGTTCCGATTCCATCCATCAACGAAGGGCGTGGCATCAATGCTAGATCCCAGGGTATCATAGCTTTGTCCCCAGTTGTTCCTACAGGCAGGTAAGTAATTGGCTAGGGCTCTAATCTGCATCCGGATTGAGGTAACATTATGATCCGAGCAGGCAAATCGAAGCAAAGCACCCCCAAACGCAAAGCATTAGGTCAATCTAGACTAATTTTCGGGAAACAGAGAGAAGCCAAACCATTTCAATGCCTCGAATGCTCTTTGTCCTACTCTCCGAGCGTTATACAGGATATCGCCGCACATGCCAAACACCACGATTTGCATCTATGCGGAAAAAGATGGTCACCAAAGTGGGGTGAAGTTGTCCAAAGTTTTTCTAGATCTATTCCAGTGAAGCATAGGCGCAACAATAATGATTGTGGTCCAGTAACTGGCGCCAAAGAAATCTGCACCGGTGCTGGAACCGATCAAATAGTTCAGATCTCCAAAACAAGAAGTAGCGAGGTTAAAGCAACGCTTGAAATAATGCACATCGTTAATGAAGAATTACAGGCCCCTCACGATGAAAACCATTTCTGGATTGGTGACTCGGGCATTAACAACAACACGCAAAGGCGCTCTCTCAAGTCTAGTGATGGCTCCGCGTTCGCGTATATACGGGGTGGTCGCGCCGTCGGTATCATAACGGTGGAGATCTTGAACGAAGTCGATGAGCGTGGGAGATGGATGATCTGCGATTCCGCTCACGTAGTGCCCGGTGTAAGGCCACCAGTAAAGCTTGGGATATCAAGGATATGGGTTTGTAAAAAAGAGAGGGGGGGGCACATTGCTACAAGGTTGCTCGAGGCAGCTCGACATCATACTATATCTGGCTTAGAAATTGCTAAATGGGAAATGGCGTGGAGTCAACCAAGTGAAAGCGGAGGGAAACTGGCGAAAAGCTACAACAGCGTGAATCACCCTAAGAGTGGTAATGTCTTAATTCCTTGCTATATTTAGATGATGTAAATGTAAAAATGACAGGGGGGGGGGGGTTATACAACAGCATCCAGTGGTATAGATTTCAATTATTCTTGGATTTGGTATTGTATCACATATTGTGTCTACATATCCCAAAAAACCAGTATTTGATGAAATTTTCGAGGGTCTGCAACATCAGTGTCTGAGAACAGGCCTATCTGTATAAGACAATGCAACCTTGCAGTTATTACTACGTAGTAAGTATTTCATTTTAATCGGCGTTATCTTTTAGCGGTACCGGATACCTTTCTAATACCAGCCCCACTTGCAGATCGCCTTCCTGCTCCACTAGATATAGCACGTTTGTTTTTGGGGGCAAGCTGTCTCAAGGCGGCGTCATCTTCAATAGAAGCTGGGCTGCCGCGCTTGCTGGCGCTACCCTGACTGCTATCCACCTGCATAGATTCATCGTCACTATTGTTTTCGACTGGGCGCTCTTTAAGAGTCCTGATTTCCTCCACCCTATTGTTCCCATTCTGTCCTTTTCGAGGTTGACCCGGCGAATTTTGGGGCACCGCCGTAATGCTTTGCAGCGTTTTTTTCTGGGCTGAGCCAGGTGGCGTTACTGTGTGATCATCTATTGTGTAATCACTTATGTTGTATTCAGCCTGCTTTCTATAGGATTTCTTTGATTTTTTTTGACGTCTATACTCAGCAACAGTAACCAGGGGATAAAGATCACCAATGACTTCGCTTGGCTCTAGCCCCAACCTCATTGTATACTTCCATTCTCTGAACGTATGCTGGTTCAAATAGAGCCAATGCTGTTGAGGTCCGACAACCATTCCTGGCCTTATAAACCTCAAAAATCCTATGCACTCGTTTGCTGTGAAGCCGTGCGTGTAAATAAGATGCGCGCCTATAAGACACCCTGTTCTACCGAGCCCTGCCTTACAGTGGACAGCGATCTTTCCACCTTGATTTATTATCGTCTCTGCAGCTCCCACGAAATTATGGACTATCGACATATCCGGGCACGAACCATCTTCAAAAATAAGATCGAGATGACCAATTCCTGCGCTTTCGAAGTGTTTTTTGTTATAAAGATGCGAATTTAGCCTAACGACCAACTGCACGTTGTTGTCAGAAAAAAAGTTCAACACTGAGCGGAAAGCCGCGTTCAGGTGCGGCCTATCTGAGTGCGTTTTATGATGCGAATCTTCTTCTGGGGAAGCAAACGCGACAAAATCAGGTGTCAGAACATTGAAGTCACCGTTCTCCACTCTCTCGTAGCGCTCATACGTTTCTAGGTCAAAGCTGTTCAAGTTGACCAATCCTTTCTCTTTGGCCCTCCATATACCGTACACGACATCCTGTATTGAGATTTCGAAATCAGCATTAGAATAGCCAGCATCTCTAAATGGCATGAAAGGGGGGTCCACTTGTGCTAGGGGCTGCAAAACCTGGTGAGGAGTCCACCCTTGAACCAACAACATGTAGCAACACAGCATGCACGCTGAATTGGCTCTTTGGCGGGTCGAGGAAGATGAGTAAAACACTACAGCCTTGCCTGCATTATCTGGATCATTTAAAATCTCATGAAAGATAACTGCAAACCGATACAAGTGTCCAATATGAAGAGGTCCAAAGTCCAAGTGGAATCTGTTATAGAACAGAATATCTTCCACTGTAAAATATACGATCTCATCTGTGTCCGATGGAGTGAGATCATAAGCCCCCAAATAGACTCTACCACGTAAAAATTCTATCGCATTATCAATGGGTATCCGTTTTCGCATAGTTCTGCGAGTCCTCTCGGTTCTAAAGTGTTTGAAAGGCCCTCAGTGGTGCAATTGAGTTCCAAGAATTGGGGAGGGGCAGAAAAGTACAGAAAAAAATAAATAAAAGATCCCGCGAAACCCAAACAATGAAATGTTTACCTCTCAAAAAAGAATATAAAAAATTCTCCCGGGGGCGATTCGAACGCCCGATATCAAGATTACTTTTAAAATTACAGTCTTGCGCCTTAAACCAACTTGGCCACCGAGAGGTGATTATCGAACATGGGAGTGGCATCGGTACTGGATGTAAGATTGGAGCACACGGGATTTTTGCCGTGATACGACAGGAATAGTGATTACACTGGCCTGATAAATGACACATGTGTCAGAACCCAGTCAACGAGTTTATATGGCTACGGGAAGGGATAAGACAGCATGAGGCAAACCACTTTGGCCTCGCTAGAGCTAAAAAGATAACTCGAGGCTATAAGTCAGTGCGACGTACCTCACATTTGCGCCAGAACGAGGGAAACCATATAAATGGGAGGGCCAGATAGAGAAGAAAGAAGTCAAGAGTGAATATCAGTGAGATACACTTATTCTAAAAATCATAAAGTTACCTCAACCTTAAAAAATTTCTTAGATGTGACTCAGCCACAATAGCAAATACCTTACTGAAATCTTTGTTCAACTTATCTCAGGATATTGCGATTTGACAAATAATAGATTTCTGAGGCTACAGTTATTCCTCCATGAACTCTTGGATTATGATGCTGATGGAAGCTGGTCTTAATACAAAGTCTTTTTCTTGGGAAAAGGTACTTAAAATATCCGAGGGCTCTAATGATGCCCAGTTATTTCGTTTTGTCGGCGGGATGAATCACTTGGGTTCCTCGTAACGAGTTGGAAAAATATGCAATCACCTTCACTGATCAATTCCGAATTCTTCTTTTACCAGGTCTCCAACGATCAGCTGTACCGTAATTTCATTAGTGACATAACAAGGTAGTTTGGAAGAAATCTTCGCTCAGTCGGTTTTCAACGTTGTCGCTAGAGTAGATTTTTCAAAACGAGACGGCTTCTCGCCAGTTAATGGGAGTAAGGTACAGAAAATGCTTTTAGTGTAAGCCTTTTGAGAATATCTTTACGTACAAACGTGGTAGGGGCATCAGTGTCACTTAGAGCCCACATGCTACTTTTTCTTTTTACAAGCAGGTCAAATTCATTCCGCTCTTCCAATTTTGGTACACCTGCCGGGTTAAGCGAGGTTCCTTCATATATCTGTCCTTCGACGAGTCCCTCGGATTTGATAAGATGGGTCATCTACTACTTGGAGACTTCCTATAGCGCTTTCAGCTATAATGTCCCTTGTTATGGCAAGCAAGAACACGTGGGTTCTTGTCTTTCAGAAAGCGGTCTAGTTAAATGGCCTGTGTTTGTCGTAAGCCGGACTTTCCGTTTGTGCATCTACATCTGTGGAGTCATGTTTTACACGTTTCTTCAGCAAGTATGGTTATCCTTGGGGTGTTTGGGTTTTTATATTCGTGTGCAACCTCTTGAGCTTCTTGCCAGGTCGTTGGATTTTAGTCAACGACCTTGACGAAACTGCATGGCTTAAGACCGATTTTTTTGGTCGAACAAGATTTTTGGATCAGGGCACCCGTCTTTTGGAAAGAAGGCCAGTGTGTTTTCAAAGGTCATAATATCTTCTTGGAGTGTTCCGCGTTGGCTTAGTCTTGTAAAATCGGCCCACCTTCTCCATCTAGTGAGAGAAGGAGTACGAGCTCTTTCGAAAGATTCCTCAGCTTCATCATACGACACATTCTTCAAGTCCAGTTGGGTGGCAATAAAGACATTGAATCAATCAGCACTGGTGTTAACTTCAACTCGTTTGGCCAATTCCAAAAACTTGACGTGGTGCGTATTAGGTTTATTCTCGAGAAACCAAAGGTTCAAAGCTTCTGAGAAAACTGGAATTTTATCACCACTCTCTCCTTTAGGTTGAAACTTCGGTCCTGTGGGCACTGCCATCGTTAACATTATATTTAATATATTAAAGCGGCGCTACGAAATGTTGTGGCAGTTACGACAATGACCATTTACAAAAGAAGCAGGGCCTATTAGCTACTAATCCGGATAAAAGCTCTAGCTTTCGCTACAAACTTGCTTTTTTTCTATATCTAGTCTCCTGTTGGTCTTGATCCACCTGGCGTCTTCTTATGTTTCCTTGATCTTATTGAGGCACGTCATATGTATGACACACGAGCGTCGAGTTATCTTAATATATCTAGTCCCTAGCGAGGCCAGTGGAAGCGCCTTATGGCTTCGCGGGTCCGTTGATTAGCATCTGACTCGAGGCTTACCATAACTGCACCACAATGAATAGTTATAGTGACGATTACCCGCATCTACCCATGCCATTACTACCTGTTTTTACATTACATATTTCGGTTGCGGCCATATCTACCAGAAAGCACCGTTTCCCGTCCGATCAACTGTAGTTAAGCTGGTAAGAGCCTGACCGAGTAGTGTAGTGGGTGACCATACGCGAAACTCAGGTGCTGCAATC